CTACACCTTGACTATCAGTAATGGTAGTACAAGGATAATTTAAAAAAAAAAAAAAAAAAAATTATCAACCTTCACCACAAACCAGTACTTACATCAGGTCAATTCCAACTATCTCTTCCCCCCACCAAAATAGATTTTACATCAACCCGAAACATCTTCTACTACATTAACTCCATCAAACACCACTGAGGTAGAAACACAGTATTCAGATTCTTCTCAAGATCATTTCCTGGTATGGAATACATCAAACAAGACAGTTGTAAACTACAGTAAAATTACTATTTTTTTACCATCTAGTACCAAACTTAAAGATTAGTATATATCTTTTATATTTTTAATTTATTAAAGTTAAATAATATATTAGGAATAAGTACAAAGTAAGATGTATTCAAATATATAAGTCTTAATTTAAAAAAATAAAAATAAAAAATAAAAAAAAATAAAAAAGAAAAAAAGTTATAAACTCAAACATGACAATTATTTAGTACGGAATGGTGACAGTTGATGTTTTGAAGAAAAAATAATTTTTAAAAAAAATAATTTATTTAATATATGGTCCATTTGCCTTTTGTCTGTATAATAGCATCCATTCGGTTTGGAAGTGATTCATATAAATGGTCAATTAATTGTAGGTCAATATCCTCCCATATCTCACAGATCACCTCCATCATATCCTCGCCAGGGTGACCGTACATGTGATTCTTTACTTTCTTTTTAACTATTCCCCATAGGTTCTCGATGATATTAATATCTGGTGAGTATGCCGGTATGAATAGATTTTTTAAACGTCGAGCTCTCATAAAGTTGACCACATTATTGGCGGTATGAACTGGACAATTGTCTTGAGCTAGAATATATTGTCGTACGTTTCCACGATAAAGCTGAATAGAATCGATGTTTTGATTTTGGAGAATCTCTATATATTGTTGGTTTTCCAAGTTCCTTCGATTTCAGCAAGATAGCCTGTTCGGACTGGTGTCACACAACTCCAAAAATTAAACTTCCTTCGCAGGTATCTCCTCATCCTGTAAACTCTCTCGAATCTGTTGCAACCAAGTCTGTTCCATTCATATTGATTGTAATTCTTAGGATTTGATTCGATTGTAGACTCATCGGTGAATATACAGTGCTTCCATTGGTCGACTGTCCAGTGACGATGTTCTTTGGCGAAAGCCAACCTTGCCTTGATTGCAGCCTGTATCAAATCATGTTTTTTCGACAGAGGTTTGTATAGAAGAATTTGTTGATTGATTATTTTCTGTAAATCTGGCTAATAGAAACGAGCCTATTGAATCATCTCTCGATACATTGTTGCACTTGGGGAACGGTCATACATTCTCGAATTAACAAAAATCTGACTATTGCTATTCTGATTCTGTCACTGAATATTCTTGGTCTACCTGTTCTTACTCTATCTTTCAAAGATTCTATTTGTTAGAATCTTTTGATTCTATTTACTACTGTTCCTCTACTAACTCCAAAAGTTCGAGCTATCTGTGCTTGTGAGTCACCTCTATTGAAACTATCTACTATTCTTTGTCTAAGTATCTCTGTTATAGACATTATAAATATATATATAATATTTCATTAAATTTATTATTTTTAAAGAATAAAATAAATTAAATAATTATCTTGTTTTCAAACAATACTAAATAATTGTCATGTTTGAGTTTGTAACTTTTTTTCTTTTTTATTTTTTTTTATTTTTTATTTTTATTTTTTTAAATTAAGACTTATATATTTGAATACATCTTACTTTGTACTTATTCCTAATATATTATTTAACTTTAATAAATTAAAAATATAAAAGATATATACTAATCTTTAAGTTTGGTACTAGATGGTAAAAAAATAGTAATTTTACTGTATGTTCAGCAAATGACTTTGACCCACATACACATTATTTCTTTAATTGTCGAGTCATCCTAAATAAATTCAACCTCAAACACATCACACAACATCTACAAATTGCCAACTACGAAGACGAATGGTCAATGGAAAAATCTACTACTCACTTCTCTCTCTGCGACGAATCATCTGACCTAACAGCGATCATCTACCACAACATCTGGAAACATGTCAGTTCAATTCTATTCAGTAAAGATGACAAAATTCTCGGTTTCTCCAACCAATCTATTATATCCGACTTCGATATCCACAGAAACATTCTAAAATTAATAAACAACTCCAACACCAGCCATCTAATCAAGTAAATGAAATTAACTCTCTTCCCAACCTGCGAACTAATTAATTAAATCAACCAACAACTAAATAGAAAAAAAATATACTAAGAAAAAAAATATACTAAGAAAAAAAAATTGATGGTAAATCCATCCTTTTAATACAACTTTTAATAAAACATGTATACCTCTTTAGTTATTAATAAAAAAAAAAAAAAGATCTTTGCATTTTAAAATATTTTTTATTATTGGATTGTTTTATAACCTTTTGGTTTTTTAAAGTAATAGATTACTCCAACTATTGAAATGACGATCAGCACACAACCAATTACAATGAGTGATATTGCCCAGGCAGGGAGTTTTTTGTTGATTTTTGGGATTCCTTGAATAATACAACCATTATTTGAAATACTTAGTGGACTGTTGGTTTTTAAATTGGTAAATGTTATTTCTGTTGGTGGAGTGAAATAGTCTAAACAGATCAAATCTGTACCATTATACTTGATAAAATTTGAATTGTTAATGAAACAATTTGCAATTTCGAAATAAAATTGATTATGATCGAACTTTGAGTCAATGATTTCACATCCACCAGGGGCAGTCAAATGTATTTTAGTGTTTGTAAAAATACAACTACTAACATTGAAATATCCAGCGGCAACATCAATAAGATGTGGGGAGTCAGGAATACTGGTAAAGTTACTGCCAATTATGGTAAAAGTGGTTGGTCTAAGGACGTGATTTGTGATCAGTGGTATAGATGTGATAAAGTCAACATTCTCCAGCAAAAGAGATCCATATTCAAATTGAATCAACTGTCGATCGATATCACTTTGATTAAATGGAAGATCTGTTCTAAGCTGTGAGTCTGACACCACAACAGTTACAATTATAAAATTATTTGGTTGAAAACTAGCAATTGAACTAATATTATTGAATGTAGATCCAGAAATATCGAGATTGATATAAGGTTGAGTTTCGGTGAGGTGAGCCATATTCATTGATAGTAACTCTCCACCATATGATATATAGTTGAAGGTTGAACTAATGATTGAGATATTTAATATTGATCCGAAAATTCCGACATTGATGACCTTGTTGACATTTAAAAATTCGAAATTGTTGATGGAAATTGCTGACGGTAAATAAGGGCCATCCCATGTGTCGACAGAGATTGTGAACATACTTTTATAGTTATTGGGTAAAGTATCGGCAGCAGTAAAATCAAAGGTTACTTGACCTTCGGTTTTTGGAGTCTGATACAAACTAATATTCAAGCCGTGAAAACTAAGATCGCTATTTCCTGTGTAATTATAGGTTCCTGGTGCAACGTAGATCATCAAAGGAAGACCATTCTCTGAGTTGTTTGAAGTAATATTTAAATAGCTTGAAATAACAGTACTTAAAGAGGAGCATGCATCCAAAACAAGTGGAGATGAACCACAAAGAGTTGTATTTGACGAATTTGTTGATCTTTTGTCCATATAGAGTGTTATATATGTTGAATTACATGTTACTAGAACAGTCGAAAGTAATATCAAAACAAATAATGACATATACATTTTTTTTTTGAAAAAGATAAATGAAAAAAAAAATTTTTGTTGTTTGGGTGATTTTTTGTTTTCACTATTATTAATTTATACAAAAAAATCACACATTCTTGGTTTCAATTACCGAAATAAATTTTATTAATATAATAGCTCACCCCAAATGTTGTAAATCAATGGCTAAAAATCCCAACAGTTTGGAAAATTCCTTTGAGATCATTTCTTCAATTAACAGTTCAATTATAACCCGAATAATGAAAAAATCTTTTAGTGTGTAATATGACAAAAAAAAATAAATTAAAAAAACAACAAAAAATTAATTTTTTTTTGGATTCTACCCTTTGTCCAATAAAACAATTTAATTTCCTACTTAATTTTTCGTCAAAAAAAAGAATTTGCACATCGAACATTTTTTTTGTTCTTATGATTATTTTAATTGGTGGATGGGAAAATAGTAAAATTTTACTATTTACAAAGATTTTAATTTAAAAATTTCTTTTTATTTAATTGTGAGGATGGAATTTTTTTATAAAGAGAAAAAAAAATGAATGAGAACAGTATTAGTCAAAATGTTTAGAATAACAGATATTTCAAAGCTATTATTACTAGGTTCACTTTTAGTGTGCATTGTACAATCACAATGTTCTAATTCAAGTTCTGGAGAATCTACAATAACAAGCCAAATACAAATGCAACAGCAATGGTCAACTCTTGGTAATGCCATAGCTGATGGTCTCTTCTTTATAGATGAAATCGAACCTTTGGCACCTATTGGACTTATTCTATCAACTATCACTTCTTTGGCTTGGCCCTCAGGACCATCACCAGCACTTTCAGTTTTCGAATCGTTACTGAGCTATGTGAATAATATGGTCTCACAACAACTTATATGCCTTCAATTTAATCAAAATCTCAACAATTTAAACGGATTGGGGGATAACCTAAAAGATTATAATTCTTGTATTGGACTATATCTCAAAAACATAACACCACCAACATCGGAATGCGATACTGCAATAAATGAGTACTATTTAAAGTTGAATGAGATAGAACAATACAGAGATATCTTTGGCGGTCCAAAATACATGCCTTACAGTCTATTAATGAGTGCAACAATACTTCCAATATACGTTCAGTATATCAATCTTTATCTTGGATTTTATCGTGATGCACTATTACATCCTCAAATCTTTAATTTTGGGTCTAATGATACTATCTATATACAATATAAAATGTCTGAAATATCTAATGAGGCATTACAATATGTTTATAAAATTTCATATCAACAACTAAATGGTTTTCCAAAGACATCCTGCAAAACATACAACTCTCCAAACTGTATATCTTTAGAAGCCTATAATCAATTGGCAAATTTCACTCTTACGGTTGCCCAAGGTTGCCTTCAATTTGCCGATCTTTGGCCTTACTTCGATCAAATCAAATATCCCTTTGGACCACCTCCATTCCTTCCACGTAGTATAATCACTCCCATCACTGGCAACTATTTTAATTCTATCGATGTATATAATAAGTTTGGCAATAAGTGCACTTATTTTTATGGTGATATCAGTTATCCAGATACAACATTCGTTTTCAATTCGTCAAAATCAGTTTCTCAATTCCCTGCAAGCTCTGTCAAATACTATAGAAACAATGAATATGTAAAGTGTTTGGATCTAGTTTGTGACGGCGTATCTGGAACATCACAAAGGTTTTATGGTTTAGCAGGAATGATCTTTCAGAACGATCAAACACAAGCTTCGAATATTATTGGCTCCATTCCTGAAAATTCAAATAGTGACGTAACTCTTTCAGCTACCCTACTTCTTCCTAATCCTCTACCTAATTCATTAAACAAATATTTCATCACATGGGTCAAGACATTCTATCCAAACCCAAGCGACAACTATTATATAGATTCTATTCAAGCTGTTCAAATGGGAATATCAAATGGACTACAAACCGATATTATTGATGATGGTCACCTTACCTCCAATCTTCAATCTACAAACTTTTCTTATGTTGGTTTCTATCTTTCTGGAGCTGCTTTTATCGAACATCCTCGTCTTTATTGCACTTCACAGGTTCCAAATTCTTTAATTGCAATTTCATACAGATACACAGAGTACATTGGAATGATCCCAACGAAACCAGCCATCCCAGTTCAAATTTATCAATTCAGTCAAGTTCAACCAAATGGTGGTGTCAATTATTTCTACTCTGCTTATCTATATGGTCACGAAGAGAAACTTTTATCTGGTTGGAATTTGGATGGACCAGTATTTGGTGGATTGACTTTTGGATTCACAAATGGTACTATATTTCCATCAGCAACTGTCTACCAATATCATAGACCAAACCCAAATGGTATTGATAATCAGTACTTCTATTCTAGGACTGGAACAAATATAAATGGATGGACATTTGATTATCCAGCATTCAATGTCTATACAACTGGAACAGGTTATATAGTTAGTCTACGTCTTCAAGTTGTAAATGGAGTTTCTAATTATGCTTTGTCTTCTGAGTTTATTAATCCAGGATGGACAGCAATTTCTATTGCTTGGTTTACACCCAAAAGTCAAATGTTTACAAATGTTTCCATCGTAGATACTGATACATGGTATTTACTTGCAAACATAGGAAACACTGGTCTTTGTCTTACAGCTGATCCAATTATGTCTGTGTCTTTAACAGGATTCCCATGTTCTCAAAATATGATTCCAAGTGCTATGACCAGTCAAATCTGGAGAAGATACGGTGCATTTCAAAATGGAACAAATTCATACGCTCAACCAAGACAGCTCATTAATATAAATAATGTAACAGTTTCAAGTAAGTTTACTTCCAACGATGCGCCAGCTCTAGAATCAACTCTCAATACTACCGATCCATCAAGAATCTTTCAGTTTGTTTACGATCTTCTTTATTATATACCTGATACATACATGATAAAATCTCCAACTTATGGTCAGTGTCTTCAATTGGAAAATTCTATCAACAATAATCTAAAGTATAAACCTTGCAATAAAGACAATCCATACCAATGGTGGAAGAAGGTGTCTGCCTCTTTGAAAACAATTAGCATAGAAGGAAAGTGTTTATCAATTGTCACCTCTTCCCCCTCTCCAGCTCAATTATCCTTATTAATAATACCTTGCATAAATGGATCTCAATCTGTGTCTACTAATTGGCTGGTCAACTCAACTTCTATATCTGGAGTAATTAATTCAACTAGTTACCAGTTAACTGCAGGTAATTGGGCAGCTATAGTGAATAACATCAACTATTACAATAGTCTCGCTAATAAAAACTTCAACAAATTATCAATATTCCAAATATCGACAAACAATTATGTAATTCGCGATCTTCAATCAAACCTGTGTCTTCAAATGGCATATATTGTCGCAACTTCGGCATACCATCCATGGTTTGCTCCTTGTGATTTGAACAACTACTGGCAACGGTGGATCATCTCAAACGTTTAAACTTCAATTAAAATAGAAAAAATAAATTTTGTTTGAATAATTTTCTTAATAAAAAAAACCTTTGTAATTCATTTTAATTATTATATTTGATTTGTGACAAACTATTTGCTTGAGGATTAAAAATTCTTTCAAAACTACAATAATTGTTAACTAGTCTAAAGTTATATTTTGATTTATCGAACTTTTAAATTTGTTTTTTTTTTTTCTATAAATTTAAAACAGGAAAATGGAAATTTAAAGATACTAAACTTTCAATATTATACATCATCATAGGTTATGACCAGTATTAATTGAAAGTAGACAATCATAAATAAAAATAGAATTTATGTCTATCGATTTATTCATTGTCTTTTAAAATCTATACTGCTGATACTGTTGTTTGATAAAACTTGATTTCTTTCAAGCCATTTTTCGTTATACTCTTTCTGTGATTGTAGGTCTTCTTCTTTTGACTTGTTGAATCTGCCCAGAGATGGTGAAGACTTTGATGCAGACGATAAACTAGATTTCTTATTGATCTGCTCACCTTCACCAGCAGCGTCCAAAATCTCGTCGGAACTTGTCAGATCTCTATTGGCATTGGCGGCATTTGCTTTTGCTTGTCGTTCTGCTTTCTTTGTTTCGATAGCATCGATGATGGTTTGCGGTGTATTTGCCAGACCTTCGATTGGCTTGCTTACAAACTCCATTGCACCGGAAATCGGCTTCAAAACGACACCCATCAAACCCTTGCCAAGTCCAACAAAGAAACCCTTACCACCCTGCTCCTGAACACCTCTGACCGGCTCGGCAATAATACCTGTGACACCCTCGAAAATACCTTTGCCAAGACCCAATGTTCCTTGATAGAGTCCATCCAGCAGATGCGATGCTTCCTTCTCCTTGACAATGTCGATATGCTGATTCTTTGGTGTGAAGATAGTCTCTGGTGTGTTTCTCAAACCTTCGGCAGTTTTGAGAATGAATCCCGATGCACCCTTGACTGGTTTCAAAGCGACTCCACTCAAACCTTTGCCTACACCCTTAAAGAATCCTTTGGCTCCACCCTCCTTGGCACCAGCCATCGGGTCGGCAATGATTCCTGTGACACCATCACCAATTCCACTTCCAAGCTCGATGAGACCTTCGAATACACCTTGCACTACATGGGCTGCTTCGAGCTGGTCCTCTTGCGATGCTTCCTCCGGTGCATCTACTTCGTCCTCCTCCAATGCACATGAATTAGTTCCTTTGACTTGATTGAAAATCATTTCGTTTGTGGTGGTACCATTTACATTCTCGATGTCCTCTTCGAAAATGGTTCCTTCAGTCTCCAACTTTACCGGTGATTGACCATTCTGTGAACTATCCAACTTTTCCTTTATCTTTTCACTCTTTTCCTTCTCTTTATCCTTCTTTCCTTTCTCTTTATCTTTCTTTTCTTTTTCTTTTTCTTTCTTTTCCTTCTCTTTTTCTAATTCTTTTTCACGTTTCTCTTTTTCTTTCTTTTCATTCTCCAACTCTTTGAGAATATCTGCTTTCTTTTCAATATTTTTTGCCTTTTCCTGTTCTTCATGTAATTTCTTTTTATCATTATCATCTTTAACTATATGTTCTTCATCATCATCACCTATTACTTGATCTATAAATATAGATATAATAAATCGAAAAGATCGATCGATCAATCAAATATATATTAATTAGTCAACCACAAATTCATTTTTCATTGACAATTGTAAAAAAACAAATTAAAATGTTTAAAAATCCATCATGTCAACCCATTTAAACAAATTGATTTGTTTTTTTTCTTTTTCATTATACATACCAACTGGAATACGGATATGCATTTCCTGTTCATTTATATTTAAAGTATATGTTGTTTGGTCTTCTTCACTCTGTTTATGTTTCTCTGCATCACATTTATCACAATAGTAAACCTCGCAACTGCAACAAAATACTTTGGCTTTAACGTATTCATCACCATGATCCACTGAGCACCAAGCATTCTCTACTTTACTTAATATTCTATCCATATCCTCTAAATTTTTTAACTTTTTTTTTTAATACAACAGTGTTATTACAAAATATATATAAATTATCTAAATTTCTTGTTTTTAAATCTAAAAATGAAAAAAAAAACAAGAGAATGATTAATAAATCTTCTGTATCCAAAAAACAACATTGCACAAAAAACTTCTATTTTTCCCAGGATTTTGAAAAAAAAATAATTCATCAAAATTTTTAAGCAGTTAAACAAAAATAGAATATGTAAAAAAAAAAAAAGAATAAAAAGTTTTTTGACACGCTCGTCTTAAGCAAACACACATCATTAATAATCATCATAATAATAATTATTCATTATTATTTTTTGCAAATTTATAAATTTAAATTGTTGAAATATTTTGTTGTTATTTAATATGTAATTTTAACTCTTCTTCTAGATCTATGAGTTGTAAAAGATTCTTGAATAGCGGATATTGATAGGGTGAAACATAGAGGAAATCGAATGACATTCCATAGCTATCGGGTTTTACAACGGAGCTACCTATGTTATTGAGACACTTGGTTTTCTGACTGAAATGCGTGCAAATCGAGGTCTTTGCTTGCATCTTTTGTCCAACTGTAAGTGCTTCACCAATGGTAGAGTGTTTCTTATCGATCGCATCACCCTGTAAGTCATCTTCAAAGGTTGCTTCGTGAATCATCAAATCGGAACCATGACCGGAGGTAATGAAATTTTCACATGGTCTTGTGTCACCGGAATATGACAGCTTGAAACCATCATCTACAAATTCAACGACTGCACCTCTTGCATTCTCACAATGATCAACGTGTGCATTGACCCACGATTTTATACCTAATCTAACAAAACATTCACTAAAATGGATGGTTGTTAATATACATATATTTTGTTATTAACCTGTATAATGAATGTAATTGAAGTTATTCAATTTCCAACAAAACACTTACTCTACAAGTCGATCTTGTTTGTCAAATTCAAAACCATTATGAGTTGCATGAAGAACTTGTGTCAATCCCTGTAACCAATCTACGATTTCAGAGGGTGCGATCAATACAACTGCCGGCAGATTCAATCCTTTACGAACTTGATTGATACGCTCGATCATGAGAGGTGTTCCAAGATGATGATCGGCATGGTTATGTGATATCCAAATTAGATCGAGATTTTTCAGAATCTCTGTGACTTTCTCCTTTCCAAAGAATCTCATAAGCTGACCGTATGTACCTTCACCGCAATCCAACAACATGTATTTACCCTGAATCGTTTCCACCAGGTGTCCAGTTACATTTCTCTCTTTCGATGGCTTGCTAGCACCAGTACCAGTGAACAGTACTTTTGGATAGAGTTTCTTGTTCTCCAGTGATTCGAGCTGTGCGTTGGTATCGACAATCAACTGACGAAGTGAAGCTGCTTTTTCAGATTTCATCAATTCTTCGTAGAGTTTTGCTTCTTTCTTGTCTTCGGAAACCTCGTCCTCCATCTTGACAAAAGAGATCTCACCGGCACATGCTGGCGGTGCCAAACCAACTCTAGTCATCTTCTGACAGCAAGTCAGGTGTTGAACGCTCTCTACGATACTCAACTGCTTTACCTGTCGCTCTGGACATCTCTTTCCAAAGATACTCGGGAGGAAATGTCTCATCTTCTCGATCTCCTTATCCGAAGACAACAACTGATCGTAGTTCTCACAGTTTTCATTGTTGACAATAATATGTTTGGTTGTATCACATTTGAATTGTTTAATGAATTGCTGATATCGCTCTGACTCCAACACATCGGACGGTGTCAAATGAACCACGATTTGTATATCATCGATATTGTCTTGTTTGCCAAAATATGAGCTAGTCGTCAAAGAATCTAAATACTCTATGGATGGACAACGAATAATTGCAAACTTGGTACCCGGCTGCTGTGGATCCATGACTTGTTCAGAGGTCACTGTGTTACCATCTTTGGTAACCACCGACTTCCCACTTGTTAAAGCTTGAAACATTGGTCCTTTTGTAACACCGAGTGCCAGTGCACGATCCGGATAGAAACGACCAGGCAGTTTATTGGTTTCTCCAACATAACACATCACCAGATCCTTGTCAACAACCAGTCTATCCTCTTGAATCTCCTTCACATTTACATACATTGTTTTTCTCTGCTGACAAGTGGCAGCCATCAGAGCTTCCCATTCCTCCAACTGTAAATAATTATGATAACTAATCATTCTAAATGGTTGTTGATCTTGATCATCCATACTTTCATACTTTTTATTGGTAATTGGAATAGTTGTAACAGTTAACTGTTCCAATTTCAGAACCTGTGGAATTCTACTATTCATCTCATAGATATTAACTTTAAGTTCACTGTTTTTTTTGTGGAATGGAAATGTAAGAGATTAAACTAATTGAAAATACAAAAAGAGTAATAAGATATTTACATATTTAAGAATTCTCTTGAATGATAGAATACATTGTAGAGACCTGGTGGACCGTAGATATCTACCTCTTTGCAATCTTCGATACCGGCCAACAGGTAAAAGACACCAATGAGACCACCAATCGAGTCCCACGATAGTGTTGTCAAAAAGATAGTCTTGATCTTACCTATCTTTATGCTCGATCTCTCTTTATAGACACGCTGAGCAGCCTCTCCACATTCGAAAAAGTATCTATCCTTATCAAAGAATGCATAGATCGATGCAGACAAATCGTTTTGTTCACCTGATATATCTAAATATGATTTTACCATTTTATTACTCTAGAGTTTATGTTTTTACAAATTAAAATATATTTATAAAATAAGATATTATCGCTACATTAAACATATAACTATATAAAAATACAACTATGTGATTCAATTTGAATCGAACTATCAACTACTTATAAAGTGATTAAATTTCCTTTCTGAAAATCAAAACTTAGGAATTTTAAAAGAATCTAGATTCCGAAAATACCACATATTTATTTTAGATCATCATCAGATTCAACAACACAACTATTGAGAAGCAAAACAAGAAATAAAAATAAATATAAAACTTAAGAATTCTTTTGTAATCTTTTAATAATTATTTACAACTTTGTATTTCTTATAAAAAAAAAAAAAAAAGTTTTCTTAATTAAAAATAAATAATTTAATTTAATTTAATCACTTTAATTGATATTTTTATTTTTTAAAATAAAATTTATTTATTTCTCACGGTTATAAAAGGGCCAAATCCACTTGATTCGATGCAAAGAAGGATGCAGTGTATAACGACAACAGCATGACTACACGATCTAACCCAGATTCACTGTTTTGCACATTTTTTGGTTTTTTTTTTTAAATTAATTTTTTAAAAATTAAATATTTTCACTAATGCGTTACAATGAACTGAAGACAAACATTATATTTTATATTAAAAATTAATTTTAATTTTTTTACTTATTAAAACTTAATTGCGTCAGTTAACTTTGTAACATACACATACATACATATTTACATTTTATTTTTTTATCATCTATATAAATATCATTACAAATATTTTTTAATTAAATAGTTATTTTAATTATTTTTTTAGTTTGTCTAATTTTCATATATATTATATATAATAAATTAAAAAAGAATGGATAGTTTCAAGACATCATTTGCACGTACCAAACAAAAATTAATGACAAAGACAGGTCATTCCGATGAAACCATAGATGTTCAGTATCACTATGAGAAGGAGAAGATTCTTGCGGTGGAGGAACGTCTCATTAGAATTCAAAAGAACGCAAAGAAGATCAATGATCTCATGAAAGATCTCAATAAGACGATGACCGATATCTCATCGGACACATGCGATCTCTACGAGGCAACCGATAAGCTCTTTGTACCAGGTACACAGATCAAAGAGGTAGCATCCGGTTACGAGACTCACAGAAAGGCATACGAAGATCGTACAAGCGAATCATTCAACAAACCACTCGCCGAATATATAGCACAATACAAAGAAGTCAAGAAGCGTATGGAAGAACTCACCACTCGTAAAGTAGATATGGATCGTTACAAGAATGAACTTGGAAAGTTAAGAGAGAAAGCAACAAGCAGTAACTCAAAGAATAGATTAGGTCCAGTAAGTTTAATCAAATAATCATCATAATCATCATAATCATCTCAATATCTAATTTATTGTTTCTTTTATATATGAATAGACTGAAGAGAAGTTTAAGATCTGTAAAGAAGGATATGAATCACTACACGCTGAATTGGTTAGAGATTTACCAATATTATATGAGGATAAGAATCCATACTTTAGATTTTTATTGGCTGCTGTAAGTTCTAAAAGTTTTTGTTAATAACAAACAGTTTACTAATAATTGATTGTGTTATTTAAAATAAAATAAAAGTTGATTAAATCACAAGAAGATCTATATAGAGCAATGGCATCGGAATGGGCACACTTACCAGCGATGGTTTCACATATTAATGATACAGCAGGTAAGGATCATCCAAATGTGATTACACCGGTGAATCATTCATCGGCATCGATCAATATCAGAGATGATCCCGCTTTCAAATCGAATGCATCCATTAAAACCAAGACAACACCAGAATATACTACAACCAGTGGTCCGCTGGCAAAGGATATAAAGGATGTGCGTAAGCCTGGTGAGCAACCACAGATACAAACGGTGACATCACCCAATCCCGCCTATCAATATGCGAGCGCCGGTCAAAAGAAGGCGACCGCAGTCTATGATTTCACAGCTTTAGATTCCACCGAATTGTCATTCAAGGCGGGTGATCAAATTACTGTTTTCAGTTGTGAAGGTGAATGGTGGGAAGGTGAAGTACATGGAGTTCGTGGATTGGTGCCGGCCAACTATGTAACCTTAGACTAATTAAAAATTTTATAAAACTTGATAAATAAATAAAAATAAAATGTACAATTATCATCAATTTATATATCTACAAACAAAACAAAACAAAACTAAACAAATTCCAGTTTTTAGTTTTTTAGTTTTTTATAATTTTAACTTTTTAGTTTTTAATAATTTTAACAAGATTTTTTGTTTATTTATTATTGGTATATTCTTTCTTTCTTGAATTTAATAATCTCTTTCTTTCCAAATTTAATTCCTTCTCCAAACGTAAGATCTTCATTTGTTGTTCTAATTCCTTGATCTTGGAACCAGTGAAATTGAAGGTTTCCGATTCTTGTTCTTCTTCCTCCTCTTGAAGAGCGGTGGCAGTCTTGGCGGCGTCCAAAAGTTTGCTGATTGCTTGAGTGACTGCTTTGGCAGCCAGTGTCAATTGATGATGTGCGTTTTGTGATTGTTGGTCATCTCCACTCTTGGCACGCGATGCACTCACAAGACGTGCAGTACTGGCGGCAACCTCACGAGCGGTAGCGATCAACTCTTCTTCTTCGGCCTTGCCTTGAGCGGCCTTCATAGCGGCTTGGATCATCATTTGGACTGCTCCACCAACCGATTTCGCTGCGGAGATCAAACCGTTCGACCAGGTTGGATCTTGTTTGTAGTAGGTACCTTGTGATTTCTGTTCTTCACGACGACGCGATTGCGAAACCGCTGCATTTTGAACGAGTTTGGCGACAGCCTGAGCAATGGAGCCACTTGCATCAACAATGATTCCAGCGATATCGCTCGAATCCATTGGAGAGCCAGCCGATTTCTTGGTGGTCTTTGGACGGGCGGCCAACAGCGATTGGGTGGCAGCTTCAATGGTCTTGGCGAGTGAATTCAACTCGTTTTCTGCGGTCAACTCGAGATCCTCTTGTTGATCCTCTTCCAAAACCAAGTCTTTTCCACCTGGAATCAATTTCGATGCTTGTACAAGACTGTGAAGTTTCTCGGAAAGTTTACGACTTGCCTCTGATACCAATGGCGAGGAAACACCCTCCTCTTGCTCCTTGACTTGTCCAATCAAAGCGACGATCGATTGATTGGCTTCTTTTACCAGCGATTGAAGTTTGATTGCATCTGGATTCTTTTCTTGTTGGTCAAACAATAGGACTGCACCCTTGGTTTGTCCAACCATTGCTTGAACAGAGGAAACCAGTTGTTGCGAGGATTTGACAAGATCTTCTTGACTGGCTTGGAATGAAGTGACAATATCGATCGATGCTTTAGATACATCACGAATCGATTGTACATAGGTAGCTGGTGTGGCTTTGTGGTTGGTCAAGACAGTGTCCGGCTTGTCGATGTACGAGTTGATCACTACCGATGCCTTCTCGAGCTCCTTGATACCCTTTCCAGCTTCATTGATGGCAATGTATACCGAAGAAATCAATTGTCCTACAGCTTCAGCAACACCCTCAGCTGCCTTTCCAAGTGAACGGAAAGCAGTTGAATCCTTTTGGAATCTCTGTGCATCTTTACCAGCAAGTACCAACTGTTGACAGGAAATACTTAGTGCCTTTGATGCTGACAATACATCTTGTTGTGATTGAGTGTCACGAAGTGAACTGGCAACCTCTTTGGAGCTTCCAACAAGTTTGGTGACTTGTTCGGCAAACTTGGTTGTAGCAGCACCGAGATTCTCTTGAGTACCTTTGGACGATCCGACCAACTGCGATCCAGAGACAATCAACAGTTTGGCTTGGGTGACAACATCCTTTTGAACTTGGTTTCTTAGGTAGTGTTGACGATTGGCAACTGAGGTGGTAGACTCTAATTGACCAGCAGCGGCAAACAATGAGTAAGCATCGATATCACAGATCATCTTCTTGATGCTTTCAACAGCAGCGTCGCATTGAATCTCACCAATGGCACCTTGTTTGATCGATTGAAGGAATCTGGTGATACCGTCACTTGCAACCTTGAAGGCATCGTTGTGAGCAACTGAGGAACTGGTTCCTTGTGATGCTTGTTTGGAGATATCGATAATCTGGGCAGTGGAGGTGATAACCTGTTTGACATTGGAAAGAATTGAATCCATCACCTTTTGATCACCACCGGTTTGAGTTACCAAAGCAACATTGTCTGCAATTTGAGTGGTAAAGGTTGCAATATCCTTGGCAATAGTTGAAACTTGAACCAAATTGTTTGGATCGGTTGCAATGACACTCTTGAGTGCAATAGCAAGATCTTTGGTGAGAGTGGTAATCTTTTCTTTGTAATCTTGGTAGGATTTGGTATCATCCTTGTTGGCAGCACCTTCAGAGAGACGACCAATCGATTGACGAACAGTATCGATCGATTCATCCAAATCACGATACAAATTGACACCCGATGAGATTTGAGATACCAAACGATTCATTGCCTCTGATGCATCATGACATCTTGAGACAATAGTTTGATAAGTTTCCTTTGATGGATTGGAACTGGCTGCAAGTGATGCTTGACATAGACGAAGGATTGAATCACCGAGATTCTTTGACTCTGAAACAATACGAGATTGTGCTTCTTGGTCAGTGGTGGTTGACAAAGAGGATTTGGTTGAGTTGGCAAGTTGTGGTGCGGTGAAACCGAGTGCACGAGTTGATTGACCAATTGCCTCTGGCGATTGACGGGATGCTTTCAAGAGATCGTTGATTCCCTTACCAATGGACTTGGTAATTTCAACCATATTCTCTTGACATTCAAGATGTGACATACCGTTGGCTGATCCAGCTTCGAATGAGGATCCAACAGCAACTGACAAAGACATGGTGGAGAGATCACCAATCGATTTCTGAACCATATCGATTGCTTCCTCACATAACATGACACCTGGCATCATTAATGAGCTGACCTTTAACACGTCTTTAATGGCGCTTGACATGTTGAGAGCAGACTCATTCAAACGAGTTTGAAGTTCACTGTCCTTTGGTTTCATGGATGAGCTGGCAGCGGCTTGGATGACTTGGGCGGTGGTTGAGGATGCCGAACGACACACTCCAACAAGTCGCTCGAACTCCTTCATATGGTCACTGGCATCACTTGAAGCAATCAAAAGGCTGACAGTTGAACTTTCCAACTCACGAATGGATGAATCCAATTGTTGAATGGCACCAGCTTCTTTTGCGGTGACAGCCTTGACTGCTTTGGCGAGGTTGGAAGTTGCAGTGGCGACTTGTTGAGTTGTCTTGACGAGTTGTGCTTTGAGAATTTCATCTTCTTCATTGGCCACCTTCTCCTTTGATACATTAAACAATTGAGTGGTGGAAGAAGCAATGGTACGAGCAGCACCAATAATTGCTTGAACATCTTGACCGGCGGATGCACTCATGATGGCAGTGGCATCGAGAATAGTCTTTGCGGGAATGGAGATATCGGGTGGAGCAGATGATACAGCTGCACGGATAACGGAGCGTGCAGAATCAATCATCTCAACAACAGACTTGGCAGCAGACATTGAACATTCTCCTAGGTGATCTGGGTTCGCACGACGACTTGATGTGACAATATCTGAGGTGTATTTACCAAGTGTCTTGGCAGCGTTGGTCAATGACAACAACGATTGTTGTTGTGACATAGCAAGTTGACCACCACCAATGACAATAATACCATCTCCAATCTCTGGTTGAATGGTTTCATCCAATTTCGAAGTGGCATGTACAATCATATCGATCGATTCATCACAAATACCACTGCTTCCACTTCCAATCGAACGGAGAATCTTGTTGGAGATGTCTTCAATCGACTTTGAACAATGGACCAAGTTTTGATCGTAAATTGGATCTTTAGCGTTGGCAACACGTGCTTTACTGTAGTCCAAGAGTGTTATGGCAGTGGCGCATAGAGTAGCAGTGTTGGAGAGGATAGCTGATTGCATTTGTTCCGATTGGCAACTTACAGATGCCATGTTGGCAACTGCAACCAAAGAGTTGACAGTGCTAGCAAGAATCTTGGCACTTGCACCCAAACCTTTGATATTCTTGGCACGTGCCATAGAAACAGTCTGAGCAATGGCAGCATTGATTGCTTTGATTGAAGACTGAATCTCCTCAGAGTGGGATTGGAATGTTTCGTTGGGGTTGGCAGTTCCAAGTTGTCCGAGTTTAGCTTGGTGATTGTTGATATCGACCGATGCTTCATCCAATTCCTTACAATCGATATGAGTCGAGGCAGCTACCAAACTGGCAATGGTTGAGGAAACGTCAGATTCAGCACCGTCCAACAACAAGTCGGAGCTGGCATCACCTGGATTGGTGGCAACGGCACGACTTGCACGAACCAACTGTTGCATATCGATTGTCATTTGTTTGACAGTTGCAAGCAACTTCTTTTGAGCTACTTTACCTGGAGTGGTGGAAACTACTGCTTTGGCAGCGAAAGCAACTTGATTGGCAGCGCTAGTTGCCGACTTTACAAGTTCACCTAGACGAGCTGGTTGAGTACGAACATCCGATACCAACTCAGAGTTGACTTGATTCAATGACTTGACTGCAACTAACAACATTTCAGTGGTTGAATCACGAGTTTGACCTGGAACAGTATCAACAAATCCACCTTGTACAGCAATCTCGAGAGTTTCAAGCTCACTCATTGTAGAGTCAAAAGCTTCGAGTGACTCTTCAATTTCTGCGTGACCACAGATACGCTTGTATGCTTCACAGGTACGCATTAAACGTTGAACAGCAGAGGAAGCAGCATCTGAATCGTAAATCAAACGTTGTTTGTGGTTTGGATCGGCAATCTTTGGTGCTAAACGCTTGGAAGCGGAAACTAAATTCATTGGTGGCATCGATTGTTTCTGTGAGAGCTCCAAGAGTTCCATTTGAGCTTGTTCAGACTTGGCATCGGATTGGTTGACACGCTTCAATCCAACCATCAGTTTGGCAATGGCTTCTGTTACATCTTTTGATGCTTTTATCAAGGTGGCACTCGATGCATCTGGAAGATGGTCACTTGAAATACGGGCAGTCGAGACGAGGTGAGCAACATGTGAAATCATATCCTTAGAACAATCACGGAGTGCAACGATAGAAGCAAGCTTACCGGCATCGACAGACATGTTTTGGGTGAGAGTGTTCAAGTGTCCAGCGGCATCAATGACGGCGGTGGCTGACTCGGCATCACCAATGTTGGCAACAAGTCTACGACATGTATTGGAAAGATGTGAAACCGATTCGAATACTGCATTTGTTGAGGTAAAGAGACGTTGTTGAGTAGGGAGATCGGCACGACTTGCAACGGCCTTGGTGCAGGAAATCAGACGATTGGCATTCGAAGCAATCACCTTGAAAGATTCGAGAATAGATTCCGGACTATTGTTGAGATTGTTTCGAAGCAATGAAATCGAATTGGTGAGATCATTTGAGAGATTAGAGAATTCCTCAGTCAACAAGTCACTGGAGAGATTCAATCCGTCTTCCGATACCAATGCGTTGGTTGGACGTTGCTCCACACAATCCAAAGCGTATGACACCATGTTCAATGTGTCCATTACATCTTGGACACGTACTTGTAGACCGTCCATGTCAGATGATGGAATATCACTGGATTTGAAACTGGTGAGGATCGACGATGCTTTCAACTTGGAGGCAGCACATAGATTGTCGAGAACCTTACGTGTCTCTGGGTGACATGCAGTCGTTGAGATATTCTCAGTGACAGTTAGGAGTTGATCCGATGCAAACGACATCTCTGTGAGTGAATTCTCGATTTGTGAGTGGAGAATATCATCGTCTACCAATGAACATTTGTCGTTACCGAGATTAACCAAGAGATTGGCGGCAGATGCTACACTTTTGACACATTCAACGAGGAGTTGTGAACTGGATTCTGTGACATATTGATTATCAACAGCTGCCATCATCATAGTTGCAAGAGCACTGGTTGCAAATACATGCTGTTGAGCAATGGCACGACCAGCATCATCCAAAGGACGATCACTAATTGTCACGGCATTCGACAACAACTTGGACATTGCCTCAGACAACTTGGTGGCAACACCAATAATTTCATCGGAGAACGATGCCAACTCTGGTACGTACGCAGCATTCTTTGCGCATGAACCAACAGTGCTCATTTCAGCCATCATAATTTGGGCACGTTTAATAATGGCTTGGTGAGTCATCGACATTCCACCTGGTTGTGGGGTAGACATCTCTGACAACAAAGTGTTGGCAGCAGTGGAGATCGCATTGGAATGTGAAATCAATTGATGCTTGTACTGTTGTGGTGTGAGAGTGGTGAATGAACGAGTGAAGTTTTGTGGGACTGAACCACCTGCTACACCTTTCATCGAGTTCAACTCGCTGATCAATAAATCGGTGGCACGCAAAGCACTCTTCAAATCGGTGATTGGAATCTGTTGTGATGGAGCAATGTAAGCACCACCCGAGCCTGGACCAGCATAGTTGAAAGTGCTAGTGGTGGCAGCTGTACCACGTTTAATGGCAATCGATTCCTCAGTGGCGATTCCACCCTCCTCCTTGTCTGAGAATTTCGAAGTGTCTCTTCTGGATTTCAAGATGATATCGATGTAACCTGCAATCAAATTGGAAATCTCCTCTGGTTTGTCAGTCAACAATACAAGATACTCTTCATCGTGATCACCGAAATCCAAAGTAAATGTCTTTTCAGTTGCTGCCCATCTTCTAATGTGTTTCAAAGGATGAGACTTGATGACCTCCTTGGTTTCATCGACCATCAAAATCATTGACTCTCTAGTGATACCGAGTGTCATCTCTACTGCTTTCTTTTTATTTCCATCCTTTGGTTTCATCTGACAAAAAGAAATAAAGATAATAATTAATATTTAACAGAAGATCTATCTTTTGCAAATATTATAATGTTTTTTACTAACCTTTACTGGGAATGAAGTCATACCATATGTCTTAAGTGAACGACAAAGTTGTACATATCTGTACTTTGCATTAACTTCTGACATATTTACCACTTTTCTATACTCCTTATAGATATCTTTCTCAGCATTCTTTGACTTTGCCCATTGTAATGGTAAATATTCTTTCAAACTATAATGATAAAATATATTGTTAGTAAGAGTATAATTGTTAAGAAATATCTTTTTGTTTGATAACTTACGCTAAATAACCATTGACATGTTTGGCTGGGTTGAAATCATTCATTGCAACCTGACATTGGAGAGCTGCCAATTGAACAGCTTCTTCACGTTGAGTTGGGTATTTGGCTTCGATGATAGCATCTCTACATTGAACATAGAGCAAATGCAATTGAACTGGATCGTTTCTATCGATATTGGCATCGTTGAAGAAGAACTTCTTTTTGAGTACGAGGATATCGCTGTCTTGAATACCTTGCTCCGAGAGAATCTGATTGTTCTTGAGCCAATCACCACCTTCCTTTAGAAGTGAATATTCCTCTGGATTCTTGATACCCATCTTCTTACCGATGTTGGCAACGATATCACTGACTGTGGTGGACTCGTCAATGAGTTGTGTCTTGATGGTCTCGTCGAGCAGTTTAATCTTCTGAGGACGATGCTTCTTTTTGTAGTCCAACACTGAATCGGCGTTGATATCGTAGAATTGAAGTGACTTTTCGTTGGACAACCAACGGCTTACCGACTTTCCATCGATACCCTGCTGGAAGAGTCCGTGGTCTTCACCACCCTCACCGGTTTTCTCACGGATCTGACTGCACACCTCTGCCACAGTCATCTCTGGTGAGAATCTGAATGTTTTGGTGGTATTTGTACCCACCAAATTGATTTTCAATGACATTGACATTTTTCACCCTTCTTTTTATTTATAAATCTTAATTTTTTTGATGATTGTCTAAAAAAATGAGATATCTGTTGTTTTGATTTATATTTTAGTTGGGTTGTTTATATATTGAAACTACTATATTACAAAATTAAAAATAAAACTATATAATTATCTAGAATATTAATTTATTGTATATGTGTTAATAAATAGATAATTATATGTTTGAATATTATTACAAAAAAAAAATAATTACAAAAACAAACTTTATTCTTTTGATATTTAATCAACACTTGTCAGAATTAAAAACAGTTTTTTAAAATGTAATTTATTTTAACCCACTATTTTGATCTAGATTTAGTGTTAAGGATCATGAGATTTGGTTTTTTTTGATTGCACGATTCCAAAAAAAAAAACGACTTTTTAACGAAAAGTGGGTGTGAAAAAATTTAAATTTTGCGATGAAAAAAAAAATGGTCATTTTTTTGCAAAAAGATTGTGGTAATAAAACAATTAAATTTTATTATTAACATAACTTTGTAAACTAAAGATGTTGATGAATCCACCACTCACACGTTTATGATCCATCAGAAAGTGATTGGCATCTATTCTTCTTAGGTAATAGGTTTTGTATTGCAATCCTGTTATTTCAATCATAGAGACCGTCGAAGGAATGGAATCGATGCTATTTTGTTTGAAAAATTCAGAGTGAATCGACAACTTGCGTACCGAGTTTGGAATGGTACCTGGTACGATGGTGGGATGTGCAATGTCACAGAAACATAGGTTCTCAACAGAGTTGGGAATCGATCCAACTTCCAGTTCCATCTTTGAATTCGAGCTGCTGAGTCGTAGTTCTTTGACGGTCGACGGGATGATTCCTGGTGTCAGGCGTTCTATCTGAAGAGTAAGTGATTCCACACCTTTCGGTATTGATCCTACCTCCAGAGCTAGCTGGTTAGCTGAAGAAAGCACCAACTTCTTGATGTTGTTTGGAAGTGAACCTGGTTTGATATCAGTCCGACTGCCTTCACCAAGATACAAATCCAGATGACTACAGCTATCGGGAATCAAACCGGGTTGCAATGTCAGATTACAGCAATTTAGATTTAAATGTTGAATCGATTGTGGAATGACACCAAGCGTAAGTTTATAGTTACAATTGAATCCAAAGTGAAGATCGGTAATTGTATTTGGTATATCGCCAACATTGATCATGTTTGGATTATCATTTGGATTTTGTAGTTGGTTGATGACAAGTGGTTCAAAAAATTTGATTTTCTTTAGCAGTGGAAGATCCTTAAGATTGGCCAGCCAAGAACATGGTATATTGGAAATCGATTCTAAAGACTTAGGGAGAGAACCACTGACCAGTAGATTATTGTGTAAAACATTGTTGAAATTCAACTCTTTTAGGCCGGCAGGAAGCAAACCTGGCTTGAGAATGTATTGTGGCCGGTTATGGAAGTTCAAGATCTCCAGAGAAGCAGGAAGACTACCTACCTCCAGATCTTGATCAAACTCGTATCCAAAAGTCAGATATTTAAGCGATGGCGGTAGAAAACCTGGTCTAAGTGGTTGGTTAAATTTATAGCCAAACGTTAGGTATTCCAAACACTGAGGCAGCAGTCCGTAGTTCAAAGGTTGGTTAAAGCACTCGCCAAACACCAAGGTTTTCAGTTTCATAGGTAGGTGACTTTGTTCTAACGACTTATTGAAAGAATAACCAAATGTTAGACTAACAAGAGAAGAAGGAAGCGATCCTATCTCCAATGCATGGTCAAAGAAGTAAGACAATCGGATCGATTGAATTTTATGTGAAAGAAAGTTGGCATTTAGAGAATGGTTGAATTCATGACCGAAATCAATATAGTGAATATTGGATTCATCTATTCTATCTTTTAGAGATTCCAACTGATTCTTTTCAATTGATCCTGATAATATTAATTTATTTACAGAATATGATATATTTAATTTATCTAGATTATCTTTTTTAATAATAATAAAAAATAATTAATAATTATTTCAAAAATAAATTATATTATTAATAATATAATAAAATAAATACCTTCTAATAAATTATGATTATAATCGAATATCTTTGGACAATATGAAATCCTATCATTACTATTATAAATATATAGATCACAGTTTGATTTGACTAATTTTGAGTGTTCCAATTGGTTGCAATACGAATTTAAATGAAAGTTTTCGAAATCATTGTTATCTATAGAGAGTGATTTGAAAATCATTTTATCTGCATTGAACAAAAGATATTTATCTCTTTGTTGAAACCATCTTTTACAGACCAAACTGAAACAGATCCTATCCAAATTAACTTCTAGTTCATTGACTATCGCTGATAATAAAAGATGTGATAAATTAACAAAAACATTATTATTATTGGTATTGTTATTTATAGAAAATTTATTATTATTATTATGATGATTCATTTTATTTTTTTAATTTATCTAAAATCATTTTACTTTAGATGAATATATATTAATTAATGATTTATTATTTTGGTTGGGTTTCAACTATATACAATGATTGAAATAAATTAATAAATTAAATGTCAAAATAGGATCATGATAAAATAAGATTTATTATAATTGATAATAATAAAAAATAAATTTAATCACTTTTGATATATTATTTTTCATTTTTTTTCTGTAGATACATTTACTAAAAAAGGTTATTAGTTATCTGAATTTCATTGTTTTTCAGGAGAATGAAAAAAAAATATTATCATAATTGAGATCTGGGGTTAGTACGAATAAATAATAATATTTTGTACTATTTAATAAATAATAGTTTGATATATATATCCTATATTTTATTATTGTTTATTATTGTTTTCTTTTTTTATTTTTATTTTTTTTTAAAAAAAAAATAAATTAAAAATTAAAATTAAATCTTTACTTTAAAATTATTAATTAAAATAAATTATTTCTTGATTATATAATAAATTTTTACTTTTATATTAATAGACATTAATTAAAAGAGATAAATATTTAAGAATTTTAGTCAAATTATTTCATCCCACTTTGCATCTATGACAATGAATAATTTGGTTACAATTTTTGTGTGTTTAAAATGATAAATAAAATATGATTTAAAAAAAGTAAATGTTAATAATATTAATTCTAGCTAAATATTAAAATGATATCTCTTTCACAATTTGTCGCTATTTTATTTTTAATTTCTATTGTAGTAACTTTTTATTTAGAAGTAATAATACCAGAACTAAATCAGAGGAAATGGAAGAAGTTAAAATTGAATAAAGGTATTGACAATCAAACAAAAACAAAAAAAAAAAAAGTGATTACTTGTTATGATTAAGTTATGATTAACAATCTTTTCTTTTAATAAAAATAAAAAAATAAAATAGATGAAAATGAAATGAAAGAAGAAAGAGAAAAAGTGGCAGTTTCAAAACAAGATGTTCAAGAGGTATACACTTCACAACAGAATATTCTAAACTATCGAAAGAAGCTAGAGAAGAGACTAGAAGATTTGAAATATAATTTAGAACTACATGAATCTCCTGCCTACAGATTATCCAGTATCACTACTGATGAAGGTAATAATGACCCCAATGTTGGAAGAATAGTAGGTGAGGTAGACGATGCTTCTTCTTCTTCCTCTTCGACTACAGTTCACAAAGATGAAAGAATACAAGAGATCGTAGAGGAGATGGAATCCACCAGAGATTCCATTGCCAGGTTGATAAGAGAACAGGATCTTGAGTATGAAGAGTTTCTCAAGATGGATGTGCAGCGTGAGAAGGAGAGACAGTTGAAGAAGCAAGCGGAACTCGATCGTATCGCCCAGAAGAAACAGAGAGCACAATGGCTGAGAGACAATCTGAAAGCAGAGCCATCTACAGATGAGAAAAACAACAACAACTTTGCAATAACCAACATCTTGATACGTTTGCCAAGTGGCGCTGCATTGAAGCGAAGATTTAGAACGTCGGACGTCATTCAAGATATCTTGGATTTCATTGATTCACAGCAGCTCATAGACAAAGACTATTACATTGTTACCAATCATCCTAAGCAATCTTATAATCAACCAACAATGACTTTGAATGATGCTCAACTCTATCCATCAATTACATTATATGTAATGGAGCAATAACAATAACAACAAAAACAAATAAAATCAAATGAATATAACAAAGTATCTTTTTATATATTATATATATTTACATTATTATTATTATTATTGTTATTGTTAATTTATTATTTATGATGTATAATAATATTTGATTTCTGTCGATTCTCATAGAGTTGTTTAAAGAATATCGGATCTTTACTCTCTATATCCATTATCTTGTCTTCTATTACTTTTACTCTTTGATATATTTCTTTAGAAATAGGTGGTACTGTTGTTGTTTGTTATTTATTATAATTGCAAGCGTTGATTAATATCTATTATTAATTTGATTGATTAGTGCGTTTAATATTAACTTACCAATACCAATGTGATTCTCTAGAATATTTAAACGTTCATCGATGAACGGTTTGTATTTCATTTGTTCACGTTCTTGCTCGCTTATTACAAGTGGACCTTCTTCGTTGGTTGTCCTGGTTTCTTTGATCTTTGACGGTGGAAAGGGGTAGGTTCTTGCAGAGTCATTAATGTCGGCATGATCATCACTTCTAAATTCACACGTATTAAAATCGGAATTCTCTAGTCTCTTCTTACTGACAAATGTATCGATACGTTTCTTCAGTGCATCTCTATTGGCTGTGATCTGCACCGCATTAGAAGATTCCAACTGTTGGTCGACTACAGTGCTATGTGTATAGGTATAGCTTTCTTTCTTTGCTTTCAAAAATCGTTTTCTTCCTTTAAATCTCGATTGTGAATATTCACTATAGATACTCTATAATTTAACTCTAAAATGTTAATAACAAACATATTGCAATAATAATAATAATGTTATACCTTTAGTTTTGCAAGTAATTCTAATGTAGATCCATCAAACTTTTCATCATTTTTAGTGTTATTATTGATACTTGATTCCGAGGCAGTAGCAGTAGCAGTTGCTGTATTAGTAGTTGTTGCTGTCGTAGTATTAACAATATTACTATTAGTATTAGTAGTAGTTGTCGAGTTGTTGTTTGTTGTTGTTGTTGTTGCTGATTGACTAGTTTTCGTATCGAATTGTTGATCTACTAAAGAGGTTAGTTCAACATTTAAACTATTCAAAGTTGTTACTGATACACCAATCTGTATATCATGTACCATTACAAAACATGTTAATAATCAAATGATTGATGTGTGTGTGTCACATGATAAGTAAGTTACATACATTAGTAAGGTAAGACAATAGAATTGACTTTATATCGATTGCAGTACTATAAGATATCTGTTCTGCTCTATTTAATGGATCTCTCTGAAGACTTTCACCAATACCACCATTATTCAATGATGAAATGTGAACATCGTCATCACCTACATCGACATCACTTGATAATTCATCTCCAGTCATATCATATCATATCATATCAAAGAACAAAAATGTTAAAAATATTTTTATTGATTTTATTTTAAAGGAATGAATTTTGAGTTGAGATATCATTTTTTTTTTAATTAATCAACTTAATAATTGAATGTAAATTCAAGACTGTTAAGTCCACCGTATCCTCTTTCTATTTCAAAATCAAATCTAGTACCTGAAAGTTGAATTGGAACAGAAAAGATCCATTTATCACCGGAGGTTTGTCCATATTGAACGATCGATTCGTTGTAGTAATAACAAGATCTTGTTCCTTTCCTATGTTCATTTGTTGCAATGACATCATATTTGGTACCATTAACGTAAAGATTAATACCATCTCCATTGTACATTGCAAATGACATCACGAAATTTCCAAAAGTTCCTGTTGGACTGTTTCTAACGACTGAGAACTTATGTTTCCATGCTTTAAATAGATTGATTAGCTAAAGAATGTTAAAAACAAATAGATAAAGAAATACTTACGAGATGATGAAATCAGTAGAGGATTGTATCAAGATACTGTATCATAATGACTGTCTAGAATATATCCAGCAATACCAGACGGATCACATTTGAATATTTTGAATGCTGTATTTGGGTCAGAACAATCGAATACACCATTGTTGATTGTGACTCTTTTGACTGGTTGTGGGTATTCAAAGAAATCAAGCTCATTAATAGATCCAGACAAAGTCCATCCATTATCTGGTAAATCTTTGTGATTAGATAATATTATTTAATTAGTTAGTTTTGAAAGAAATATTAATATATATATATCAAAATATAACATACTTATAGCTGGGTGAATGGTTATAGCAGGTTTAATGATCTCTTGCATGTATCTTAGGTTACATCTTGTCAGATCCATATGATATTGTTGGACCTTATCATGAAGAATTGCTTTCAATCCTTTAACTTTACCAGAACTTTATTAAAATATACATAAAAATTATAATGTTAGTTTAATTAATTTTAAAGAAATATTTTGATAATTTAATATAATTTAGATATAAACTCACCCATTGACATAGTCATAGGGAAATCCCCATCCGATTCCTTGAAGTGCAGCATCTCTCATCATATTGGCATAGATGAACATGGTCATCGATAAAAGATTACCAAGGATATGTGCGTACATTGGTTGTGAGAAGTTGATGATTGCACCTTCGAGGAAATCACGATAGCTTAAAAACTCTGATCTGATCATCTCTTTAAGATTGTCATCCGCTAAATTTGCCAAGTGAGCAGCTGGTTTAACCCAATGTTCATGTTTAGTGTCGACTATGAAACCGGCTTTGGCTGCTTGTCTCTGGGTTAGCAAGGTGAGAAGATCATTGAAATTGTTTCCTCTATTTTGACAATCGGCAAACATTGCATTACATCTATTGATTTCATTTTGATCCAATTTCTCATTGACCATATTCTCGACCTTTGTATATAATTCGGTCATCTCCTTATTAAACTGATCTTTAGTAATGTATTGAGAGTCTTTTGAGAATAGTTTTCCCCAAATAATCTAAATTAAGAAATAAAATTAAAAAATATATAAATATAATTAAAAAAAAATTAGTAAAAGTAAACTTTTAAAGTATGTATAATATTAATTACATTGAAACCAGCTTTAATCAATGGACCGACATAGGGTGTATAACCGATTACTGCTCCAATAATCTGTCCCCAATCATTGGCAGTGATAATACTACCACCATTGTCATCTCTAACGGCATGAATATGGTCTAATCTTTGTTGGATGGCCTTTCTATCAGCTTCACTAATATCACCAATTAGAATTGGTCTACCTTCTTTGATAAACTTATCAGTTGCCTCTTTAATTTGATGTACAGAGAGAACTGTTAATGGAATAGGTGAAACTTGTTTTTCAACATTCTGATGATGTTCATGATGATGATGATGATGTTCAGCTGACATTTTGTTATATTTTATATTATAAATTATATTTTGCTGTTTATTATAATAACGTCCGTCCTCTGCTATTTATACTTTTATTTTGTAAACCAAAATATCTTTAAAAGTAGCTACGATAAACTCCGTGTACGCGTTAGCGAAACGAGCATTTCTTTTCCTCTAAATTAAACTACACCACTATCATATTAAGTTAATTATTTTTTAATTTAATAATTAACACATGATACGATATTTTCGCTTTTAAAAGTTCTGTTGATTTTTTTTGTGATCGCAAAACACTCCACAGGATTGAACCTCGATGTCGCATCTTGGTTTAAAAAAAAAAAAAAAATTAGATGAATTTGAGGTTTGCTGGTATTGAGATTTACAGTTTTGATTAAAAAACAAAATCTATAATTTCTTATTTACTATTGACCAACATACTAACTAATTCAATTGGGTAACCATTAAATTTCTCTGAAAATAATGATTTTGGGCGAGTTATTTGATCAACACCACAGCTTTAACACTTTACATCGAAAATCGTACGAATAAAAAGAGTGTGTCAAGATCTCTGAATTCAGCAACTGAAGTTTATCAAAGATATCCGAAGAAAGTAAAGGATTTAAGATCACAATTTAAAAGGAACTTCGAAAAGAACTTAAAGGCATTTAAGAATGGTGGTTTTTCTAGATAACAAATTTTTGTCATTAAATATTCTTATTTTAGGTTATGTAAGAGATACAGTAATGCGTCAAGATACAAAGAGGAGAGTAGCAACCGGAATGTCATTGGTGGTTTATCTAATTTAAAACAAAATGAGTATATAATATATAGAATAGTCTTCAAAAATGGAAAAGTTGACACAAATAGCTATAACAATATTCCATTAGATAGTTAGTTTTATTTTTATTGTTTTATTTTAAAAGGGAATGAATTTTGAGTTGAGATATCATTTTTTTTTAATTAATCAACTTAATAATTGAATGTAAATTCAAGACTGTTAAGTTCACCGGATCCACTTTCTATTTCAAAATCAAATCTAGTACCTGAAAGTTGAATTGGAATTGAGAAGATAGAGTTATCACTGTAGGATTGTCCATATTTAACTATCCATTCGTTGTAGTAATAACAAGATCTTGTTCCATTCTTATGTCCATCTGTTGCAATGACATCATATTTGGTACCATTAACGTAAAGATTAATACCATATCCATTGTACATTGCAAATGACATCACGAAATTTCCAAATTGAGTTCCTGGACTTGGATTGTTTCTAACGACTGAGAACTTATGTTTCCATGCTTTAAATAGATTGATTAGCTAAAGAATGTTAAAAACAAATAGATAAAGAAATACTTACGAGATGATGAAATCAGTGGAGGATTGTATCCAGATACTGTATCATAATGACTGTCTAGACTATATCCAGCAATACCAGATGGATCACATTTGAATACTTTGAATGCTGTATTTGGGTCTGAGCAATCGAATACACCATTGTTGATTGTGACTCTTTTGACTGGTTGTGGGTATTCAAAGAAATCAAGCTCATTAATAGATCCAGACAAAGTCCATCCATTATCTGGTAAATCTTTAAGTGATTAGATAATATTATTTAATTAGTTAGTTTTGAAAGAAATATTAATATTTATATCAAAATATAACATATTCATAGCTGGATTCATGGATACAGCAGGCTTAAGATTTTCTTGCATGTATCTTAGGTTACATCTGGTCAGATCCATATGATATTGTTGAATCTTATCATGAAGAATTGCTTTCAATCCTTTAACTTTACCAGAACTTTATTAATATTTTATAAAATTATAATGTTAGTTTAATTAATATTAAAAATAATTTAGCTATAAACTCACCCATTGACATAATCATCGGGAAATCCCCATCCGATTCCTTGAAGTGCAGCATCTCTCATCATATTGGCATAGATGAACATGGTCATTGATAAAAGATTACCAAGGATATGTGCGTACATTGGTTGTGAGAAGTTGATGATTGCACCTTCGAGGAAATCACGATAGCTTAAAAACTCTGATCTGATCATCTCTTTAAGATTGTCATCCGCTAAATTTGCCAAGTGAGCAGCTGGTTTAACCCAATGTCCATGTTTAGTGTCGACAATGAAACCGGCTTTGGCTGCTTGTCTCTGGGTTAGCAAGGTGAGAAGATCATTGAAATTGTTTCCTCTATTTTGACAATCGGCAAACATTGCACTGCATCTATTGATTTCATTTTGATCCAATTTCTCATTGACCATATTCTCGACCTTTGTATATAATTCGGTCATCTCTTGATTAAACTGATCTTTAGTAATGTATTGAGATTCTTTTGAGAATAGTTTTCCCCAAATAATCTAAATTAAGAAATAAAATTAAAAAATATTAATAAATGTAAACATTAATGGTTTGTTAAAGTATGTATAATATTAATTACATTGAAACCAGCTTTAAGCAATGGACCGACATATGGGGTGAAACCTATTACAACGCCAATAAGCTGTCCCCAATCATTGGCAGTGATAATACTACCACTGTCATCTTTAACGGCATGAATATGGTCTAATCTTTGTTGGATGCCTTTTCTATCAGCTTCACTAATATCACCAATTAGAATTGGTCTACCTTCTTTGATAAACTTATCAGTTGCCTCTTTAATTTGATGTACAGAGAGAACTGTTAATGGAATAGGTGAAACTGTTTTTCAACATGCTGATGATGTTCATGATGATGATGATGATGATGATGTTCAGTTGACATTTTGTTGTTGTATATAAAATATAATATATAATAGAGTTTTTAATATTTACATTTTGTGTAACGGCTGTCCTCTATTTATACTTTTATTTGGTAAACCAAAATATCTTTAAAAGTAGCTACGATAAACTTCGTGCACGCATAGCGAAACTAGCACGTACCTTCACTCTAAACTAAAGAAATACACCACTATCATATTAAGTTAATTATTTTTTAATTTAATAATTAATTAATACACGAACCGATATTTTCGCTTTTAAAAGTTCTGTTGATTTTTTTTGTGATCGCAAAACACTCCACAGGGTTGAACCTCAATTCCACTTCTTGGTTCAAAAAAAAGTAAAATTAGATGAATTTGAGGTTTCGCTGTTATTGAGATCTTTTAAACTATTTGACCAACATTCTGATTCAATTAATTGGGTAACATTAAATTTCTCTGAAGCTGAAAATCATGATATTGGGTGTGTTGGTTGATCAATCAACTAAAAGGCATCAACCTTTATATGATGATTACCTAAATGTTTTGTTTTTTCGTTTAAGTTTCCTTGCAAATAAAAAACTTTGGTTGTCTAAATACAAAGGAGTTATAAGACAAATATTAGAATTGGTGCATTGTAACAATGATTTAAAGTTAATAACAAGTACAATATAATATAGTCATGCACGTGGTATAACTACACTGATTGTAATAGTCAATAGCTATTATCAGATAAACATTAGTTAGGCCTGCTATGGTACAAGATAAGTCGGTTTTAAATGGATCTTAAGATCTCCTCTAACCATAACAACGTTTTGGTGGTAACTCTGGATTAGATGGTATGTTAAAAAAAAAAGATGATGATAGCTTCATGAACTAAGATTAGTCTAGGCAGACTTTATCTTTAATGTATCTAGATGTCTATCAACTACTTAAAACTATAATATACATCATCATCTTCATCTTCATCAAGATGTATGTGCAATAACAATAATAACATTGTATATGTGATGATAATAATAGTATTAAGTATTATCAAGTTAAAATATCATTGTCATCAACAAATCACACTTTTTTTTTAAGAAGTTGGTTTAACATATGTTGATCGTGTTTATTCTATTATTAGAGGGGTGCTAAACTTGTATTGTTAATTTTATATTTTTGTTTTTGAGAATCAAAAGCAGTGTAAGTTAAGTGATTGTTAGATTTAAATTTCAAACCCAAACTATTATTATTAATATTATCATCAAAATTGTGGTTTCTTCTCACTACCCACCTCAGTTGATCAAACAACATTATTCACACATTTACAAAATTAATACTATTAACCCCACCACCACTAACACTACACTAACTACCACCTTAAACACATTGTTGAATACTTATCAACATGATGTGATTGATGCATTCCGCCAAGATTTGTGATCAAAGTATTTATATTTGATTAACACACACACTTTGTGTGTTATTTTATAGATTTAAAAAAAAAGTGTGGGTGTTTGTTTAATTTTGAATGAACATTGTTAGTGATTGATTGAAAGTGAGAGAAAGTATATGGTTGATGTGGTATTAGTAGAAAGTACAACAAGCATTTTTAATCAATGATTTGTTTGTCATTCATTCTTAATTTATTTCTCTTTTTTCTCTAGAGATATACCATCCATCCACCAAATTCAAAACCATTTAATTTGAATTGATTTGATTGTGTGTAAGGATTATTTCTTTTGCTTTTTTTTTTTAATTTATGTAAGTTATTGTGTCTTTTATAATCATTGTAATTGTTTTTTAAAAAAAAAAACAATAGAAACAAAAAGGGTTGGTTACCACCAATAATCAAATTCCATTTACATTTTTTTTTAATTGGATTGATTGGTTAGTACCAGAGAGAAGTATTGTTGACCCCTTTCAAAAAAAAAAAAAAAAAAAAAAAAAAAAAAAACAATCACAAAACAAAAAAATCATAATTCTATATATTGTTTTGATCAATCAATAAATCAATTATATACTCTACCACATTATATATCATATATATCCCATTGTTTATTCAAAAAAACAATAAAAAACAAATCCAAAAATATTATTTTTTAGTTTCTTTTATAAAACTTTGTTTTTGTTGTGTATTAATTTCCAAGTTTTATAATACAATCAATCAAAAACAAAACAACACAGACAATTCATTTTATTACATCGATCACACTTCCAATCCCACTTGACACTGTAACAAAAATTTCACCATTATTGTTTTTTTTTTGATATAATAACAATCCAAACCAAGATTTGTTTGATTAAAACAATTTAATAATTAATTATTACATAAATATTTATTATTTTTTAACTTATTAAAATTAAATAAAATCGTTTTTATTTATTTATTAGTTCGTGAATCACTAAAAAAATATGATAAATTGGGTGTTGTAATAACTAACAAGTAGTCTCATATTAATTATTCACTGTAAGAATTTTGAATCATAATTGAAACACAATAAAATAATCTTAATTAAGAAAAAAACAAATAACATAAAGCAAAATAAATAATTATTTAAAACAATAATCAAACATATCTAAAAAAAGTCATATGTTTTGACTTTATTATGTCTCCATCTTTTATATAGACACCAAGATAAATACGATCTTTCCAAAAAAGGCCATATATTTATAAACTAAATAAATTTTATTTTATTTGGTATTTGTATTTTATTTATTTTAATATTTAATAAGCACCAGTAGATAAGATATTTATTTTAGTATTTGGCCAATTAGGTTTTTTATTCTCAACATTATTTCAGTTATATCTATTAAATTTATTATAACCATTTAATTTTTATATATTATAATATATATACATTTTATAGAATATTTTATTGATTTACTATTAATAAAAATAATTAAAAATATATACTATGTTTATTTTTTTATTTTTAGAAAGTTAGAATTTTTTTTATTAATACTTAAATTATTATATAGATATTAATAAGTATTAGTAGTAGAAGTAGAAGTAGTAGAATAAATAAAAAAGAATGAGTGGAACAGGCTCAAGTTTGAACCTAACGGGTTCATGCTATGGTGCCAGTTTCACCTCAAATAGTCACAATTCACCCATAACACCTCGAACTATGCTTCATCAGGATTCCAATGGTGGATTGAATTATAGTTCTTTGACGATGCCGACAAACGCAAAAGGACAAAGATTAAGTGGGAATTTCTTGAAAGGTGTTAGATCACCCTCAACAGAATTTGGTATAGAAATGGACAAATATTCACCAAATCCCCACAATTTTTTAAATAACAATACTAGTCATGGTGTATCAAGTAATAGTATATGTCATTCCAACACCAACAATACCGACGTCGAAAGTGGAATAGGAATGGAATCACTAGTAAAAGAATCATATAAATTTCCCCTACCATTTCTAAATTCCAATGAATCTGAATTATATAAGATTGATATTGAAAATCCATTAGTTTGGAATAATCTACCGATTGGTAAATATTAAAATTATCTTATTCAATCAGATGATAGATCTATTATTAATATTAAAATTCTATTTAGATGAAAATATTGAAATGACATCAAGTAAAGATAATCGACCAAAGAAACCAACATTTATTCAAAAATATAGGTCTGGAATACCAAAACATTTAGAACTGGAATATTTATCACATCATTTTTATAGTTCAATTAATTTATTACGAGTAAATATTTAATATTGAAAATTTCACAAAATATATTTTTCTAAGAGTAGTTATTTTTTATCTATTTTAGGCAGCCAATATTATGGGAATGGCTGCAATTATATACGATGGATTCCAAGCAGGAATGAAGACTAATATAGAATTAATTATTATTAGAGTGATCTGTTTGGTCATGTTGGCTACATCGATTACTCTATCGTTTTTAAAGAATAAGATCTACTATCGACGATCATATGTACCATTGTTTATTATATCATATACAGCTTTTTATTTAACATTTATGCTCGAGTACACAGGTTCTCTGACAACACTTGTATTGTTTTTGTATGCAGTTTTATTCTGTAGTTTATATGCACTGGGATGTCTCATGACACGTTGGATCATCTGTTTAAATCTAATCGTAGGAATCATGTTTATCATCTTTCTACTTTCCTACCAGGTTCTCGATACCAATAATTTGATATCATATATTATTTACATTGTATTAATATTCCTTTTGGGTGGAATGAATTTATTTGTATTGGAGCAGTCTAGAAAAGATGTATGTATAATTCTAGCTTTTAAGTAAAATAGATAAAGTTATTAACTTGAAGTTATTAATTTGAAATTAATAGGCATTTTTAGATAGTAAGAATTTACAAAAGAAAACAGAATCTTTGAGAATGGAAAAAGCGAGATCAGATCAACTCTTAAATAGTATACTACCTGATTTCGTGATAAAGTTGATGAATGATATGCCAAAGGGTGTCAGTCAATCCGATCAAATGATATCAAGGGATTTTCCAAATTGTTCTCTGCTGTATTGCGATATTGTAGATTTCACCAATTTGGCATCCAAGGTGGAACCTAGTGCATTGGTTCGTCTGCTCAACGAGGTATTCTCAGAGTTTGATAGAGTCGTAGAAGAACACAACTGTGAGAAAATCAAAACCGATGGTGATGCCTATCTATGTGCTGGTGGACTGACCATCGAAAACGAGAATCATTTCAACTCTATCATTGAAAGTGCTCTAACAATTTTAAATCTTCGAATTTTAAAAGAAAATTGTTTAAAAGTTCAAGTATGTAGCAATAATATTATATAATATTGATGTAAATAGATTGGTTACTTACTAGTTAGTTGTTAATAATAATAGGTTAAATTAAGAGTTGGTGTTGCGAGTGGATCTGTTATTGGTGGTGTTATTGGATGTGAGAAATTCCAATTTGATGTTTGGGGTGAAGCGATTGCCAAAGCTCATGTTTTAGAGGAGACAGGACAGGCTGGAAAGATTCATTTATCAAAGAGCGATTTGGATAAATTGATCAAGAATGCCTACCATATCGAGGAGAATAATGAAACACAACTTGGCGAAAAGACATTCTTTATCATTCCGGAAACAGTCGACTTTTCAACGTATCAACAAACTCCAGAGTCACAACAGGTAACCTTGAAACAAAGCTGTGGTGTTAGCAATGAAAACAACAACAACAACAGCACTACTGAACCAAGTGGGAATAATAATAACAATGACTATAATATCTACAATTGTAATACGAACAACGATGGAAATATTGTATCGATTGAATCGAATACCGGTGGCGGTGGTGTTGATTCGGAACTCTCTCTACCGGTGGACTCTCTCGATGCCAGCGAATCTCAGAACAACCCCTGCGAGAAACGACAGAGATTCGCCATCATTGCCAACGATCTGCTGACCAAGATTGGAATCAAGTGGAATGGAACCGATCTCTATTCTTTGAGTACTACGATGCGCAAGGATCTGTCGGATGTCGAAAAGATATTCAAAGACTACACGAAATTCAATCGATGGATTGTCCAATTTCGAAATTGGAGCGTGGAGAAAGCCTACCACGAATATGTGATCGAAAATACTCTGATAGAGACAAGGATATTTTTGTTTTTCGGTGTTTTCATACATTTTATCTTTTTTATCGACGATCGACTGATGTCCTCCAAGTCAGTGTATCACTCTGAGATCATCTATCTGGTGATGCTCATCATATTTGGTATCTACATTATTATTTCTTTCACCAGGGCATTCAGTAAGCCTGTCATCTACCAAGCATCATTCCTCCTGCTCCTCATCATCTTTTGTATTTCTACTATTATCGAATTTATACGCTATGGAAATCCATTGGCTAGATCATCTCTTACCCGAGTACTGCTAACTCTTTTATATGCAAACTTGTTCTATTCTTTAAATTTTGTATTTGTAACTCTTTTAAATATATTAGTATTTTGTAAGTTAACTTTATTACTATTTAAATTGGAAAGCACAAACTAATTATTATTTAATAGCTACCTTTTTACTAGTTGCATTTTATTTGGATCCAAAGAGACTACCTAATCATATCTATCCAACTGACTATATAGGTGGATTTGTTGTTTTGACTATTCAAATATATTCTTCGTACATCATGAAATTGGGAATGCGAAGAATTTGGATATTGAAATCAAAGATTAAATTCAAAGGTTTAAACTTAAAGATGGAAAGAATGAAATCATCAAGACTTTTAGAGAATATTATGGTAAATATAAAAATTAATGATTCTAATGTTAAGCATATTAACAAACCTTTAATAAATTTCCAGCCAGATGTCATTTCTAAACAGCTATTGAAACAGACAAACAATAGAGGAAGTCGGTTGTTAATTGCTCAAAACTACAGTAAGGTTGCGGTTATGTTTATCAATATCACTGGATTCGACCAGTTGAAACTACCCAGTGGAACATCGATTCTAAAGTATATGAACTACATCTTTACAGAGTTTGACAAGCTACTTGGAAAATATGATCTGGAGAAGATCAAGACGATTGGAACAACCTATATGGTTGTGGCGGGATTGACCAAGAACCAGGGACAGCTGCCAAAGCACTACGTTGGTAATCTAGCCGATATGGCGCTGACAGCCAAGGCACTGGTTCACCACAGCAACTCGTCGTTGAGCGTTCAAATCGGAATCAACTATGGCTGTTGTGTGGCCGGTTGCATCGGAATCCGAAGAGCCAAGTTCGACGTCTGGGGTGACACTGCCAATATTGCCTCGCGTATGCAGACCTCAACACCACCCGGAAAGATTCAAATCACATCGGCAGTGACCAATTTGCTGCACGACGAGTTCTTCATTGAGGAGCGAGGTATCATACCGATAAAAGGTCGTGGTGAGATGAGTACCTACTACCTGTCTGGACGTAGACAACAGCCGCTCACCTACAACGCCAATAGCAACGGCAGTAACAACAATGAGATCAACGAACATCTTCCACTCCATTGGTATAAAAAGACAGTCTATCAGCCATCACCTCCACCACCTCCATCTTACAGTTTACCAAATGATAAAGAATAGTAGAACAATAAAAAACATAACATTGAAATTTTGATCTATTTAAAAACGACTTGCTAAGATGATCAAATCTTTGATGTTGATCGTTGTTTTTGTAATGGGAAATGTGTACTTTTTTTTTTTGTTTTTCGATGATGTTATTTGCAGTAAAGTGACTCATAACATTAAAAAAAAGAGCAAAAAACATTGAACAAACAATAATTTCAGAATAAAATAAGTAGATATTTTTGAATTTGTGATATTTTTCATGCTAAAAAGTAAAAAAACTTTTCGAAAATTGCTTTTAAATCCCGGAACAATCACCACAATCATCCACGAATGTTAAAAACACTTTAATATTGATCTATGCACTATGGTTTTCACCCACTAAACTTTGTGATATTTTTTGATGATCCTTGCCAAATTTTATAAAATTCTATAAAATAAAAAAAAAAAAAAAAAAAAAAAACCAAGAAGCATTTACAAAAATACAAATCTAATGTTATTGTTTTGTCTTGAATAATAATATAAACAGTTTATAGTTTATCTCTCTTCTTCTATTTTTGTTTCATTCATTATAACAATATAGATATATATAATAAGTGTAATATATTCTTTTGGTATGTAATATAAAAGCAAAATACTTTTATTCAAATAAAACATTTGTAACTTTTACAAAAAAAAAAAACACAACATACACAAATCTATTATTATCTTGCTTGTTAACTTAAAGGTCTTGTGTGTTTTTATCAAAATAAGAATAACGCAATAGTTATATAAAATCGGTCAACTTTATTTTGTGTTGGTTTTTTTTTTTTTTTTGCAAAAATTTCTTCTTTTGAACTTTTTTGGATATGGTTGTTGAATTTTTTTTGACAGGTGCACACACCGTTTATTGACTAGGAACCATATTTATTTATTTGTTGTTCTCTCTTTCAACGGAAATCACTAAACAACATCAATACGACGGATCTCTCCTCTCAATTGTTATTGTTGACCTTTGACCCGAACTGTCAGTATCATCCAAATATTAAAATTTAAATTTCTTTTATTTTTTATTTTTCTTTTCTTTTATTTTTATTTTTTTTGATTGTTGTTTAGTAAAGTAAACCTACTGTTTGTTTTAATTAACCAAATCTATTTTAATAGATTATTTATTAATACCTTCACTTAACACTTAAATTCTTCACACACACACACACATACACACAACACATTGCTAACAATAAAAAAGAAAATTTAAGGTTTAGTTTTAAAAAAAAATAAAAAACAATTCGAATCACAGTCAATCACACAAACTATTTAAACTTCACACTCAAACAACAATAATATTGATATCACTTTTAATTGTGATTTGATTTATAGAGATCATTACTATAGATGTACTAATACTATTATTTTGTTACTATTATTGCTGTTATTATTATTATTAGGTTGAATAATATTACTTATAAAATATCATTAGTTATATAAAATTACATTCATATTATATATATATATATATATATTATAATATAAATTAAAAGATAGACAATAATATAGATAATGGCCGGTAAACAATACTCATGGTCAGAGCTTGCCAAGCACTGTACCGAAGACGATTGCTGGGTTGCAATCGAAGGAAAGGTTTATGATATTACAAAGTAGGTTTAGAAATATTATATATATATATCGCGGGACAAGAAAAAGATATTAATAAACATCATTTTAAAAAAGGTGGTTACCACAACACCCAGGTGGAAAGCAAATTTTGATGTTGTCAGCTGGTAGAGATGTTACCAATCTTTTCGAAAGCTATCATCCAATGTCTGACAAACCACAATCACTCATTGGAAAGTACCAGATCGGTGTTCTCTCATCACTCGAACATCCAAAATACGTAGAGAAGAGCAAGTTCTATTCGACATTGCGTGATCGTGTTAGAAACCATTTCGTCAGCACCTCGCAAGACCCACAGATGTCCGTCTCGATGTTGACTCGTGTCGCATTCGTCATCCTCTTACAAGTCACACTATATTATCTCTCACATTTCATGACCACCAACTTTTTGCTCAACTGTATTCTCGCCGTTTGTTACGGTATCGCCGAGTCTTGGTTAGCCATGCATTTGATGCATGACGCTTGCCACGCCGCTCTCACTCACTCGCCAGCCGCCTGGATGTGGTTGGGTGCCGTCTTTGATTTCCTCACCGGTGGATCGTTCTACGCTTGGAACCATCAACATGTCATCGGTCACCATCTCTACACCAACGTTCGTGGTGCCGATCCAGATGTCGGTGAAGGTGAAATCGATTTCCGTATTGTCACTCCATACCAAACTCGTGAGTGGTACCACAAATACCAACACATCTACGCACCAATCCTCTACGGATTGTACGCTTTCAAGACCCGTATCCAAGATTCCGAGTCGTTCATCAAGCGTACCAACGGTGCCATCCGTGTCGGTACTCCATCGAACTGGGACCTCTACACCTACCTCCTCGGAAAGGCTTCATTCATTTTCTTCCGTGTCATCCTCCCACTCCAATACCACAGTGTTTCCAGCTTGGCCTGTTACATTATTATCGCTGAGCTCGTTTTCGGATACTATTTGACCATCAACTTCCAGGTCAGCCACATCGCCACCGACTTGAAGTTCTACGCCACCCCATCTAAGCCAGAGGATCCAACTCAATTGGACGAGGACTGGGCCATCGCTCAAGTCAAGACCACTCAAGACTACGGTCACAACTCGGTTGCCTGTACATTCCTTTCCGGTGGTTTGAATCACCAAGTCGTTCACCATCTTTTCCCATCGATCGCCCAAGATTTCTATCCACAGATCGTACCAATCTTGAAGGACGTCTGCAAGGAGTACGGTGTCAAATACCACTTCAAAGAAACCTTTACTGAGGCCATCAAGTCGCACATCGATTATCTTTACAAGATGGGTAATGACCCAGATTACGTCAAATTGCCAACCAGCAACAAGAAATCAAAGTAAAAATATAATATATAATAATAATAATAATAATAAACCAACTTAGAACAATAAATATAAATTTTATACTTTTTTTTTCTTATTTAATTAAGATTTCTTTATTACTGCTGCTTTGCCAAATTATTAGATTATTGTTCAACAAAACAAAAATTATAAATTGTATTATTTTCAAACAACTGAAAAATTTTATTGTAGATATCAAATCTAAATATTTCATTTATTTATTTTGTTTAAAATATAATCATTACTTTATTTCTTAGTAGCAGCTGGCTTCTTATCTGGTTTACCATCACCGTTGGCATCCTTATCCTTTATGTCAGGGATACCGTCACCATCTTTATCATTTGGTTTGGCATCAGGTTTCTTGTCGATTTTACCATCACCATTAGCATCCTTATCCTTTATGTCAGGGATACCGTCACCATCTTTATCATTTGGTTTGGCAGCTGGCTTCTTATCTGGTTTACCATCACCATTAGCATCCTTATCCTTTATGTCAGGGATACCGTCACCATCTTTATCCTTTGGCTTGGCATCAGGTTTCTTGTCGATTTTACCATCACCATTGGCATCCTTATCCTTTTTGTCAGGGATACCGTCACCATCTTTATCATTTGGTTTGGCAGCTGGCTTCTTATCTGGTTTACCATCACCGTTGGCATCCTTATCCTTTATGTCAGGGATACCGTCACCATCTTTATCATTTGGTTTGGCAGCTGGCTTCTTATCTGGTTTACCATCACCATTAGCATCCTTATCCTTTTTGTCAGGGATACCGTCACCATCTTTATCATTTGGTTTGGCATCAGGTTTCTTGTCGATTTTACCATCACCATTGGCATCCTTATCCTTTTTGTCAGGGATACCATCACCATCTTTGTCGTTTGGCTTGGCTGGTGTTTTCTTGGTTCCTCTGAGAATACCTGGTCTACCGGCAACCAAGTTCTTGGGTGGTGCTTTAACAGGTACCGATCTTCTTGATCTCGCCATGCTGGCATCATTGGAGTTTGCCTTTGGAACGAAAACAATGTAGTTCAATTGCATTGTTGAGAGTAGTGCAGTTACGGAGAACTTGGTGTCAGTTCTCAAGTCAATGTCGAATGAGCAGTTACGATCGTACTCCTTTCTGACACTTCTTGTGATCTTTATATTTGATGGAAGGAGAACAATGTCTACAGCACCCGACATGTGATGTTCGAAACGAAGAGTGACAGTAAAGGTTGAGGTAGATGCTCCATCTGCCAATCTGAACTCATATGTTGGTGATTGATATTGTGGAATTGTAATTGGTGGCATTGATGGTGGCCATTTGTTTTCTTCAACCTTGCAAGTGTCTAAACAATATTGTTGAATTAAAGCTATTTGTTAGGTATATTGATATTTTTTTATCTGATATGTTTATAAAGATATACATACAAATTGTATCTTTGGTAACTTTATTGGCACAGAAAGCTGTACCCACTTGGTCTGACACAATATTTGCAACCTGACAGTAGTCGGGGATGAAACCAAATGTAACTCCAGCAATACCAAAGGTAATATTGGAATCACTGATACCAATTACTTGATGTAATTTGTGATTCTCAAGAGTAACTGTTGTCGATTCAAAGTCAGTATACTTTGGTCCGTATTTGTTTCCTTCTATCATAATGTAATATGGACAGTAGGCATCCATAACAGGACCTCCTTGAGTGACTGAGGTTACACCGACATTCTTTACTGTACCAACAGCTGTGGTGGTAATAACTCTCGCAACTGGAGTTCCACCAGTACCACCATCGATTCCACCCAAGTTAGCTTTGCTTCCAGCGAAATTGGTTTGAATTCCGTAGATGTAGTCGGTACCGACAAAGAGATTTGCTGTTGAGAATTCATCATTATAGAACTTGTAGGTTGACAAGTCCATGTTGCTTACCAACTTGTTGTAGTTAGCGAAAGCTCTATTTTCAGAGTAGTACTTTGGACCTCTGAAAACAGTTCCGGCATACAACATACGACTGTTCTCAACGACGACACCCTGTGGTGCGTACAATGGATCGGAGAGCATCAAAGTGTTGTACATGTCCAATGCACGAATGACCATATCATTTCTATAGGCATGGATGGCCTTTAAAAGATTGAAAGCGACATCTCCAGTCTCATCTAAGTTCTTACCGGCCATGAGACTCTTTAGACCACAATCATAAAGGAACTTTACTGAGAGTTCAAGGTTGGTCTTTCTCTTCATATATGCAAGCTTGAAACTACGAATGGCACCGTCATCAAAGAAGTAATCACGCTTACCATTGATAATCAACTCATAAAGCAAGGAAAAGTCGGCCATAGCAAACTTTAACAAAGTTGGAATATTTTCTATGAAAAAATAGATTATTAATAAATGTTTAGAAATACATTGAAAGCATGTACTATAATAACTTACTCCAATTTTTGTCACTTGTGAAAAGAGGGTAAATACCAGCAAAGGTAGTAAGAACAGAGCTTATAGATGACTTTAGGAGGAGTTTTTGATCTTCGGTTGGAGTTGGGGACATATTTCTCTTCCAATCGTTGATGTATTGAATTTGACCTTTCAATGAGGCATAGCTTCTCTCAAGAGTACGGGTATCATAGGCATCAATCTTGGCATCCATCATGTTCTCATAGAGAGTTCTAAGCTCACTTTTCTCATCCTCTGGATTGTCATTAAGGATAATAGCAAAAATACATTCAGAGAGGTTAGCCAAGACACCGCCAACTACTGGAACGAATACCAAAGATGCAGAGAAGACATTTGCAAACAAATGACCCAACTATAAAACATAGTATGTTAGTCTCAAAGTATTAAAATAAATAATCAATCATTGATCTTTTCTACATACTTTTTTAGTTTCATACTTTTGGAATAAAGCTACCATATTATCTTTTCCTTTAGCAGGGATCTCCTTAAGGAACTCATTGATAGATTCATCTTTGAAAAAGTTTTTAATTAGATTTGTTTTACTAGTTACATCTGCCATGATTGATGTAGTGAATATATATTTGTTGAGTAGTAGTTTAAATCAACTTTGAATTAGCTTGAAGTACCTTTAAAGTTGAAAAGTTAAATAGTTTACTAATTAATATTAATAAAAAGAAAAAAACTATCAATTAAAATATCTTATTTACCGTCTCTTGATCTTCTTGGAATCGTACGTATAAAGGTTGTACAAACACAACCAATCATATCTTTAGAAGGTTGTTCCTCTGTGACTAGCCCATTGTTAAAGATACAAACTTGGGTATAGATGATCACTATCTTTATTGTGGAGATATAAATTCTATCTAATTGTGGATTAAATCCAAGTTGATAGACCCAATATAAAGTTTGATTGTTAATGAATCGTAAGCAGATTTTAAAAGGTTACTGGTTTCGGGCTGTTAAAGTAAATGAATTAATAGTTCGATATTTCGTTGAATACGTATCGACCCCAGAGGTGACTAGTCACCCCACATCCACAAAACTGATGGATCATCAGATCACACAGATTTTGACATGTCTTACCTAGCAATTATTTTGCAAAATAAAAAAATATTAAATAAAATTTTAAGGTTCTAAATTTTGTGCCAGGCTTGATATCGATTCGTTTTCTGCGAACTCAATAGTGTTGTCAATCAAAATAAAAATGTTGCAAAGATTTGATATTTAATTTGAAAAGATATGTTTTTTGATAAGGGAAGAAAAAGTTGATGGATCTTCCTCTTTATAAAAGAAAGATGTTATTGTTCTCCATTTACTAATAACAAATACAAATAATTTTAAAAATGACTACTAGTGATAATGGAAATTCAATGCCCTCAGAGGTTATCGAAAAGTTATTTGACTTTGAACCACAGGAGGAAAATACGTAAGTCCATATTGCATTAACTCAAAAATATAATTGCTAATATAAATAATTAAAGTTTAAGAATTTGGTTATTTGTACCGAATAATGAATGGGAAAAAGCTATTCGTAAGTACAACAACAACAAATTTTAAACTTTTATTTTTTATTCATATTATTTTATTTTTTTAGGTATTTACAAGAATGATACTTATCTAGGAGAAGTAAGGTGTGGTGATGCTAGTGGAAATAAGCATTCATGTGATGGAAATACAAAGTGGTCAGTTTTTACAGTTTCGGACTACTCTAAAGATGACAATTTCCAATTTGGATTTTGGTCTGGTGGACCTTGGGTAGGAAAAGGAGACAGATACATTTACTCAGGAGATGAATGGTTCGAAACTTTTAGTGGTCAATCCGCTTGTTACTATTGGAGTACCAAGGGATACTATAGTGAAAATTTCTTGCCACCCCCAATGTATGACTTAGTAAATGAACCATTAGGAATTTAAAATACAATAAAAAAACTTTAATATTTACAGCAATTACTACTTATTGATACTAAATTTTTTTGTTATTATATAAGTAATCAAGATAAATTTAAATAATTTCTCCTATGTTTGAAGTAATCTTTATTATCATTCTAAGAAATGATTTAATTCCTGTCAACTTTTCCGAGATTATAAAGAAAAACAATCTATTATTTTATGATAGCGTGAGAAAAACAAGACAACTTTGTTGGTATTTAAAAGAAAAGTAATGCGAATAGATAGAAAAAGATATCGAGAGTTAGTGCTATTACATTAATCTATATTACCAATATTTAAATTTTACAATTAGCTACCCAGGAATAAACTTTTGATGATTCCTAGCACATAGCACGCTTTAGGGTTAAAAAAGAAATCAGTTGTTTTACTGTTTGTCTTTGATGAGTATATTTCATTGCTATATCTATATAAATCAATGATCAAATTTCATAGTATCAAAGGGTTTGTTCGGTTATGAATTAATATAATATTGTTGGTAACATAATAAGATGTGTGTGTGTGTGTGTGTGTCAGTCTGATGTGTTTATTTGTTTGGTAGAGTGAAATGAGGGAACCAAATAGAGAGTTTACTAGTAAGTTTGTATCAGTGTATCGATCTTCAAATAGAATACATTACATTTGTGGTTATTATAATAAATTAATTTGATGAGGAATAGAATAAACTACCACACTTAATGGTGAACTATATTTATATATTTATAGATTGAAGTTGAGCAGCAAACCAATGAACCCCGATATTTATCACACAAAACAAAGAAAGAAATATCATTGATCATAGGCTATACTCACTCAGATTGTTTTATATCCATATAAAAGTGATAGTCGAATGAAAAAAAGATACAAAGGTAACAACACTTTGTTAAATTTAAATAGTAATAATCTATGGTATGTTTGTTAAAGTGTGAGTTGGTTGTGGAATGAAGATGTTGTGTATGTGTGTTTGCTATTTTTGTATGTTGTTTCAATTTTTGTCGGAGCAAATAGTCTAATTAATTTTATTTTAGAGGATCTGTCACTTCATAAAGAGGTAGGTATAATAGCAAAACAACAAAACAAATAATAATAATAATAACAATTTTTCGTTGTTATAATTATTGTTTTTAATTACTTCAGCTAATGGGTATACATTGATTTAAATTCACCTTAAGGTTATTTTTATTTTTATTTTTTTGTTTTATTTTTTTGATATAAGTGATTTCGAGAGATTGATTGTGTGTGTTTGTGGTGTGTGGGTTAAAGAGGGTGGGAGCAAAGCACATTGATCAGATTGAGGTGTGTAAATGTAATGCATTTGATTTATTTATATAATGCCATTTATATCTATGAAGGTATAGGTACAGGTTTTGGGCTGTTTATTTTTTTTGTTTATTGTTTGGTGTTTTCAAAAAAACTATTGATCATATGATGAATGAGATATATATTTTAAAGCTTAATTTCTTTATTTCAAAGGATGTGGGTAGGTAGGGTATATTGAAAATTATTTCTATTATAAATGAAATTGAGTTCAACAACTGTTTTGTTGTTGTTGCAAAGTTGAAGTATTATTCATAATTTTATTAGATGGAATATTATACAAATATAGAAATATAGAGGATATAAAGATAATATTCCAATTCAGTTTTTATTTATTAATTAATTTAATTGTACTTTGAGAAAAAAGAGAACGAAATTGTAAGTGTTATTAGCAGTGGTAATAGTAGTTGAATTCATTTTCAAATCCTAAATTCTTGTTGCTGTTAAAATATTGTAACATCAAATTTACAGTCCATCACAAATTCTTTTTTTTATATTTTTGTCTGGTCCATCAAAATTTATTTTTTCCTCTTAATTATTTAAGTTATTGATGTTTCGTTGGTTAATAATAATATCATAACAAAAAGTAAATAATATACAAATAAAAACTTCAATTGTTTAAAATATTGTTTTTAGAAATTATACAAATCTTGGAATTTTTAATAATAAGTTTGTTAACTTTACTATTGATATTTAGATAGTTTAGTTATATTATATAATTTTGTTCTTTTTTTAAATTATATCATCTATTAGCAATAGAAACAATAGCAATAGTTGATCATCCAATAAAAATAAAAATAATATTTTTATAAAGATATAGTGGTAATAGGATAAAAAACACAAATAAAATAATTTATCTACAATAAATTTGGATGTAAGTGATGAAGATATATTTTTATTTAATTAATAGAAAAACAAATCTATAATTCCCTTTGCACAAATTTTTTTTATTTGTATACAATAAAATCCACACTAATAATAATACTTAATGCTATCAATAAACGAAAGTCTTAATTTCAAAAACAATAGTAATAAAACAAAGTTGATTTTCGATAATGGTCAAATACAGTATTTACCCAACAAAAAATACAAAACATCAAAAACAAAAATAGTTTTTTTGTGATGAAAATTAAAGGGGTATATGTGGTCTAGCATGACACACATAAACTTAAATCAATTAACATCTTACAAGTTTAACTATCAATCTCTTTCAAATTATTATTTGAATATAATATAAATTATTATTTGTGATGTGATTTATGATTGTACAAAAATAATTATTAGTTTTATTTATTTGTTAGTTTTTTATAATTCTAAATTTTTGATATATTTTATTTAAAAATATTCTTTTAGATTAATTGGTTTAATATCATATTAACAAAAAAAGAGAATAATAATAATAATAAGAAAATATAAGAAAATTATAAATAATAATATATATAATTAAAAAAATGAATGAAGGTATAGATAACCCTTTTTCTAATACAGAATATCCTTTAAATCGATCATTTAGTAGTAACGATACTATAGAAGTGCAAGACCCAATGTCTCAAGCAGAAGTGGATGCACTCTATGCAATTCTATTGATTGCAGATGTCACATCGATTATAGGAGCTTTTATTGTACTTATAGGTTTTTGGCGACTGAAACTACTGAGAAATCATGTAACCAGAGTAATTTCATGTTTTTGTATAACATCATTTTGTAAAGATCTCACAGCAATGACTTTGACCATAACAAACTCTGCACAATACGGAGGTTTTCCATGCTATCTATATTCCATTGTCATTACCTATGGAAGTTTAAGTTGTTGGCTATGGACACTTTGTTTAGGTAACTTTTCAAAATACTAATTTTTTTTTATAATTTGAAAAACTCTAGAAAAACTAATTTTTTTCTTAATTATTTATATATATTTAGCTGTCAGTATTTATTTATTAATTGTAAAAAGATATCCAGAACCTGAAAGATTGGAAAGATATTATTTCTTTATATGTTGGGGATTACCATTGATCAGCACCATTACAATGTTGGCGAAGGATACAGTTCACTTCCTTGGCAATTGGTGTTGGATTGGCGAACAATATACTGGATATCGATTCGGATTGTTCTATGTGCCGTTTTTCATTATTTTCGGAGTGTCTGCGATCCTGGTTGGTCTCACTTGCCACTACACCTACCAGGTGATACACAAAGGTGTCTCTGATAACAAAGACAAGCATATAACCTACCAATTCAAGCTGGTCAACTACATCATTGTTTTCTTGGTGTGTTGGATATTCGCGGTCATCAATCGTATCCTGAATGCATTCGGAGTGTTCCCCTATATCTGCAATGTTCTACATACGTACCTGAGTGTGTCACACGGTTTCTTTGCATCGGCGGTATTCATCTACAACAATCCATTGATGTGGCGTTACATTGGTTCAAAGTTCATACGCATGTTCACCATGTTTGGCCTGTGTATAGACACAGCGAAGCGTCTCGAGCGCAACAAAAACAACAACAATCCATCGCCTTACAGCTCCAGTCGTGGCGCTCCCTCCACGAAATCGAACAATCAATCCAACAACGGAATGGAAACATCATCGTACGACGACGACTGCACTCGAGATAGTCCATCCGGAGCCGACAACATTCAAACTTCGCCACCTCTGCCACCACCCGTATCACTGTCGACCGACGAGCTTCCACCACAAGAAAATATCGACGAAGAATCTCCTCAGCCACAACCTATAGTCGGTCCTGGCAATGTATAATTTTTTTAAAAAAAACAGAATATATAGCGTTTTATTATTATTATTATTACTATTTTTATTTAAATTAACCTGTAATTAAATATTATTATTATTATTACTATTTTTATTCCACTTTTTTTTTTAATGATCATTTTTCTTTGGCGCCTTTTTCAACTATTTTTTCAGTTTTCAACTTTTGATTGCAAGTAATTCTTTCATTCATTTTAAATCTTTTTTTTTTTTTTTTATAATAAGTTTGATTTGTGTGTTTGATCATATATATATATATATTTATATAATGTTGATAAAATAATATAGTGTGCTAAATTTTTTAAACATTATTAAGAGAGAAAGAAAAATAGTTAAATAATTATTATTTCAATCAAAATTCAATTCAGCAGATCACACAACATAAAGTAATAAAAATAAAAGATGTCAAATCATAATAGTTCAAGTTTATTCTCAGGATTTCATCCACCATCACCTCTGAGAACACAGAATGCATTTCTAGATCGTGTCAATCAAGATATGTCTGGAGAGTTTCGTGATCTAGACCGATACAATATTATGAATGAAGAGTCGACCGCTGTCGATTCCACCCAGGTCGATCTCAACAGTACACGTGACTTTTTCAGTCCACTCAACGAAACGACATCGGCAACTATCGATAGTAGTCGACGTACTAATCCCAACAACAACATTAGTAGTGCATACTATGAAAGTGTCAATGGTAGAAGACAGCAACAAGCATCAGCAACAACATCATCATCATCGTCCAACTATAATAACACCACTGTCAACGGTGGAATTGCAGACTATATTGAAAATAGCAATTACTACGATGAACTCTCGGGATTCCAACATCTCCCATTGAATCAGAGTGTTCTAAACGATACCTATCGAAATTACTATGACGAATCGACAGTCATCGATGAACGTGACAATCACTACGATAACAACCAACACCACCAGCATAATACGACGGCAGTGCGATTCGGACAGGACACTATCATAGCCGGCGGTTCAAGAGTGGCACCATCGCCCGTACCCCATAATCTACACGAAACAACCAACACCACCTACTACCAATCGAATGCTAGCAGCATCAATCATAATCCACTCGATTTCACACCTTCAATCACACCAAATTCACTTGATCAATCTCATTTACATGCACAACCAAGTAAGTTATATATATATTTAAATACATACATATACATACATACTTATAGTTTATTTTATATATTTACTAATATTCACACTTTATTTTTATTTTTATAAAACAACAACAACATTTTTATATTTTATCTCTTTTCATTTTTTTTTTAGATTTACAAATGGATGATTCTACATTTTATGGAAGTAATATAAATCATTCAGCTTTACAAAACAGTGTTATTCATAACCCTTCTAATAATACTTCGAGGATGAATACAACTACTACAGTTGCAAACAACAACAACACATCGGTGGTCAACCCAAAGTTGTCGTTCTCATATAGCAGTTCTCGACACAATCGTAATAATAATACAACCGATGACACTCTAGTACTGACACCAGAGAAATCAACAGATTACCTTAATGGTTCGACTTTTAATACTACTCCTTCAAGAATGAATATAAATAGAACACCCTATACTACAACAACAGCAGCAGCAAATAACACTACTAATATGAATAATCTTAATAATAATGTACAACAAACAACACAACAACATTATAATCATCATCATCAACAAACAGCTACTACTGTTGGTTTATCCACTGTAAATTCAACACCGTCGACTGCACCGCTTTCAACGAATAGCGCCTCCGGTCAGCCAATGAAGCTAGACAACCTGACACCGGGAACATTCTTTGGTGAGCGTGTACCGACACTTGGAACACTGAGCGGCAACGGCACACCCATATCCTTTGGTATGAGAACACCGAACCAGCACTCTATGAACTCCACCACCTACATTGCACCGACATCAATGAACGATTCACAGCATCAACCAACCAATTTGAGCACAATGATGGACTCTACTGCCACTGCCACCTCTGTCATGGACGACGGCCACGATATTTACGGACGTCCAACCATTCTAAACTACACACCAAAACAAACCGATCTCGAACCAGAAGAATACCAACGACTTCTCACCAAATTCAATGCGAAAAACAACCAGAGTACAACGTTTTCTGTATCAACTCTGGATGACATTGATATCGATGGTGTTAACAATGGTGATGATGATGATAATGACAACAGACAAAAACAATTGCAACAACAACAACAGCTGCAACAACAAGGTCAAACAGAACAAGTATATCCATCGTTGGAATGTACCAGTCAAATCGACTTTGGAAGTGTGGAGAAAGATTGGTTGGTGGAGCGTGAGTTGAATCTTGTCAACCCCAATTCCACTCCGATGGTGGTCGCCTCACATTCATTCCAGGGTCCGGCTAGCAGTTCATTCCGTCTGGTCGACGACAACAGCTACTATGTGGTGGAGGTGCCAGCATTTGGACAACGTAGCTTGCGAATTGAATACTCACCGACCGTTCCCAAGGATCATACTGCCACTCTCACATTGATTGTCATGCCAATCACTGCGACATCGAACGCCACTCAACGTATCGTTGGCACGCTGTCATCGATCATCTACGTCATGCTCGTCGGCAAGTGCACAAGCAGCATGCGACTCAGTAAGGATCTGCTGTACAGTCATAATATCTACGACTTTGGAGAGTATCAGCCAGGCTCAAAGTTGGAATACTACTTCTACGACGAGATAGAAGGACAACAAGTCGATATTCGTGGTGATGGATACAGGATCGCTCGTTTGGACGATGGTAAAGTTGCCATCAAATTTGAATCGCCATCCAATCTGTCGGCCAAAGGTGAAGCAATCATTTTCAACAACAAAAACAATTCAAAAAAGATTGTAAAGTTAAATACCAATGTTAAGACAATTAATATAGTTCAACAACAACAATCTCAGCAATCTCAACAATCTCAACAACAACAATATAATCAACACACTCCACAACAAATTAGACAACAACTACCACCACAACCTGACAATTCTATAAACAAAAGAGCTGCAACTATTCAACCAATTATAAATAATCAACAATCACAACAAACTCTATCACAATCTCAAAGAGGTCAACAACAAATTTACGATCCAACTCCAGAGTTGGAGTTGATGATACCAAATAATGCATTGTCTAAGGGAATTAATGCTATTGGCATGGATGAATACCTGTTGCCAATTCAATACTCTGGAAGAAGTTCGTTGGAGATCAAGTGTAAATCTACCAATCCAAACTATAGTGTTTCACCAGATCGTTTCACATTGAGCACTCAATATTCATCGGTTGTACTCTCCATTAAACATCGTGATATGGTTACTCTACCAAACGTCCAGAAATCCTATCTAAAGATTACAAGTCCATCGATCAAAGGAGAATCTATCAAAGTACCACTTATAGATAGACAACATCAACAACAACAACAACAACAACCAAAGCAGCAAGAGAGACAACAACAGCCACAACAACAATATAATCCACAATTTTCAAAATCAGCACAACCAAGCTATCAATATCAATATGATAATCACCTTGAAAATGCATTCTCTGAAATGAATATTCAATCTAACCAACAACAACAATCAACAAATAGATCATTTGTAAATCAATATCAATCTTCTTCTTCATCTGCTGGAGATGTACATTCATCATCAACTACACCATCACCTCAATCCACTCCTCAACAATCTCCTGAACGCGACCAACAACAAGACAACGGTAACAAACTAAATGTCATCTATGAAGATGATACTGGAAGTAAACATTTCAACCCTAAATCAGTGTCCGAAGGTATCAGATTGTATTGTCAACGTCAATTGGTTACTTTTGGTGGTGTTCCACTGGGTGAATCTAGATCAACGAGAATCAAGATGTCAGCCGAAGGCCTGACAAGTACACTCCACCTCGAAGCCGACTTTATCAATGACGACGAGTTTGAATTCCAACTGAGTTCAACCGCTATTGTCATTGCACCTGGTAGCGATGCATTCCTCGATATCGTTTACTCACCCATGCATGCAACCACTCACTCCAATGCCATTCGCATCAAGATGAAAGACAGCACACACTACTTTACCATACCAGTGCGTGGCTACGGTGGCTCTGCACAAATGAAGATTCTCTCGCCTTACTTTACAGATCCCAAGACCGAAAACAACCTCATCTACATCAACTCACCAATCAACGCATCGAAAGCTGGTGTTCACTGTTACCTAACAATCAAGAATCAAGGTCACAGACCAGGTTTCATTCGTGCAATTGCTAAAATGGATAATGGTAAGTTTCATCAAAATTATAATGCTAACATAAAATCATTAACTAACCAACTGCTATTATAATTGCAACAATAACAAATGTAGCTAAAATTGAAATATTCCCATCTAGTGCCGTCATTGGTATTGGAAAGAGAATCGAACTTGAAGTTGTAGTACGCCCGTTGAATTTGAATGATAAAGATTGGATGAGTGGTGAAGCAAAGATAAAGATTTACTATGGTGATGAAATTGCCAGACGCAGAAGAATGAATGCCAAGCGATTGGTTCATCTACCCGACCAGACTCCAGTCAAGAGCCGTCTTAACAACACCGGTTCAAGTCAAGCCATTTCATTCTCCATATTCGACCAAGGCTTTACCTATGAAGATCAATTTGCCGATGAGGATATCGATGACAACGACTTGCTTGGTGACATCCGACAAGACAAGATATTCAATCTCCACGAAATGGAATTGTTTGACGAGAATGTTCGTTCTATTATTATTCAACCTATCATTGGAAATCCTCCACAACCACAACCTCAACCACAACCACAGCCACAAGTACAGCCACAACCTCAACCAAAATCACAATCTGTTTCATCAAAACAATCGATCTCCAATCAATCTACACAACATAAATCAACCATTGGCAATCAGTCAACACTCGACCAAACTGAAACTATAGATCTTAACTCTATATCTTTACTCTCACCACAATACAACTTGGCAAATAGTAAATTCTACCAGTCTGATGTTCAGCAAAACCAGCTTTTCAATCAATCGACTGCCACTCAAAAATCACAACAGCAAAGACAGCAACAACAACAACAACAACAATTCATAAATACATCACAAGCATCTTCCAACACTAACAACAAATCACAAGTACAACAATCAAATAATTTTGGATCTCTAAATAATTCGACAAGAGGATCCCAAGCTAGATCACAACCATTGCAAACTCCAACTGCAACCAACTTCTCTTCAACCATTTCAAAGCCACCCAATACAAATACCACTACAACCACAACTACACAGCAAACATCGACAATACCAATGTCATCCACTTACTTGTCTACGTTCAATCCTGATTTTGCCCAAACCATGCTGGCAACACCATCGCACTATCCCTATAAATATCAGAGACCAGAAGCTAACAACACCGACGCGACTATTCCAAACACTCCCGATATGAGTATGAGAGACTTCCAAGATTCACCAGTAGATCAGTATCAGGAGCAAGAACAAGAGCAAGAACAAGAACAAGACCAGCAAGAACAACAGTCATATAAACAAACATTCCAGACACCAAAGATGAGTTCCAGTATATTTTCAAATCCTCCACCATCGTCGATCGCCAAAAACAATGGCGGTTCTCAAGATACATCTTTTTCACAATCAACTTACTTTGGTCGTGGATTGATGTTCCAAACACCCGAGCAACCAAGTAGATCATATAATAATCAGCAACCAAACTCTACACAAACATCATCTCGACAACAACCAACAACACAACAAAGAGATAATCTCTTGAATCATTCAAACTCTTCTTTATTTGACATTTCATCGGACATCGAAGATGAACAACCACAACATCAACAATCGATCGATTTCAATCCGTATGCAACCAACATCTATCGTAACAATCGTACCAGTTCCAACAGCAATGGTGGCTCGCAGCTCAACGATGAGAGTCTGAGATTCGACTCACGACTAGCATCGGTATTTTATCCGAGTGACTCTGACATCAACAACAACAACGATCCAGAGATAATGTATGCACCCGAAGAAATCGTTGAATTTGGTGACATCAGTGTCGGTGACATCACAAACAGTAAGATTGGAATTGCAAATGCATCCAATGGCGATATTCAAGTGGTCATTTCCGATCCTGGCGAACCATTCCACCACACCCATTTCGAACCGATCAGACTCCAATCAAAGAAAACCACTCGAGTTCCTGTATATTTTAAACCGAGCACTCAAGGTGAATTTGTAAACTATATTCGTGTTACCAGTGTACCATCGTACGAAGGTGAACCCGTTTACACTTGTGATTATGAACTCCGAGGTAAATCAACATAATCCAAAAACAAAAACAAAACAAAAACAAAACAATAAAAAATAGATAAATAGCAAAAAAAAAAAATTTTAATTAGTTGATAATTCATTTATTTGAACTTCAATTTAATTATAATGAGAAAAATCCGAATAAAAATTAAGTTTAATTTTATTGTTTTTTGGGTTGTGAGAAAGATGTTTGTATAAAATCACAACTCATTATTTACATTTTGGAAAATTCTTGATCAAAGTAAATTAATGGGTTCGCAAAAATCACATGCTAATAGATTTTCCAAAGTTTAATTCGATCAATTCCACTTGTACCTATTTAGCCCTATGCAAATTTGCATAACAGATTTTGTTGACTCATCAGGCTTAAAAGAACTTTCCAAAAATCAAAAAAACTCGGAGCTACTAAAAAAAAAGAATCTACAATTTTCAAAACAACTTTTTTGCTTTTTTCTGTGTGATTAATTTTTTTTTAATTTTGATTTTTTTTTTAATTGTTTTTTGTAGTGTGTTGAGATTTTAGATATTTTCGAAAAAAAAAAAGTGGTGGTAGAAGATTTGGGGCAGGTGTGTATTCGCCAACCTGATCGCACACTAAAAAGTTGAAAGAAATTTAGAAAAGCTCATTAAAACAACTATTGAGCACCAAGAAGTTCCCGCTTATCAATTTTCGAAAAAGTTTTTCACAACACCTGATCATTTTAAACCATCATTATCAATACAAAGTTTTTTTATTATTATTAATTATTTATTCAAGTAAGTTTATATAAATAAAATATATACATACAAAAAAATTACCACTACTCTACTTTCATAATTAGTTTGTTTTTCACACACTTTCATTTCAACTTCACACAATAAATGCCCTCTCAGCAGAGAAGCAAACATATAAATTAAAATAAACAGTCATAAACCACCCATTTTTAATTGAGAATACTTAAAAATTTCGATCATTGCAAAGTTTTAAAACAAAAAAAATAAATTCCATTTTTTTTTCTTTATCTCTTCCCACTAAAGAAAAAGCAAAAACAAAAACCATTGCACACATTCCATTTTACAATTTCATCAGCATCAGCATCATCATTGTTAAGAATTATTTTTAAATAATTTTTAGATATATTATTTATTTATTTGTATTTTTAGAGAGAAATAATTATTAATTTATTTTAATATAAATTTAGATTTTGAAAATTCCATCTCGATCGATCCTACCTTGGAATTTCATCAAAATATATATTATCTTTTATTTAGGTTTCTTGTAATATTATAGATTACTTTTTTATATCGAATTCAACTACCGAAATAGTTTGAAACCAAAAAAGTTGATTGAAACAAAAACAAACTAAACAATGTTGTCATCAAAACAATCAGTGTTGGCAATGTTTGGACTTTGCTTCACTTTGATGATCATCGTATCACACGCTGCTCTCGTTCCAAAGAATCAAGCAGGTCCAGCAAGCGAGTTTTCAAACTTTGCAATTCCAGATCCAAAAATGGTCGCTCAAACCTCAAATTCAGCTCTCACACAAATCGTCTTCACCCAAAGCAAGACCTCAAATAACATTGAATGGATCACCACCATTCCAGTCGACACAGTTCAAGATTTCACTTTGAGCATCATCTCCAACTTCACCAGTGAATTGACTCTCACTGCCATCCCACCAAAATCCTCTTCCTTCCACAGTGAACACACCAAGAAGCCAATCGTTTCCAACGGAATGTTTGGTCTCGATGGTAACATGATTCCATCTACCTCCTACTTGTGGAGTCGTGCTGTCGTTGGTGAGTGGACTGTCAAGGTCTCTGCTCCAGCTTCACTTTTGGCCAACGAACACTTTGCCCGTCAAGTTTCAGGTGCCACACCATCTGCATTCCTCTTGGCTTTGAACCCAAGCGAATTCCAAATCTACACCTACTTGCAATCCTACAATAACCTCTTTGTTGGACAACAAGTACCAGTTTTGGCTATGCTCACTTCCACCCAAGAAACCCTCCCAGTTGGTCAACGTCCAGCCGGATACACACCATCCGCAGTCAAGGCCACCAACGTTGCCGCCTCCATCAACGTCATCGCCCCAGACGGAAAATCAAGCACCATCCAAATGCACGACGATGGTTTGCACTCTGATGGTGAAGCTAATGATGGTGTATACGGTGCCATCCTCAATGCCGACGAGGAAGGTAACTACATGACCAGTGTTGTCTTTGTTGGTACCTCACCAAACGGTGATGATTTGTTCCGTACCACCCAACATATGATCCCAGTAACCTCCCAATACGTCACCCTCAGTGGAAACGTCCAAGCCACCCAATCCTCAGATGAATTGACTTTGAACTTTGAGGTCGCCACAATTGCCGCCAACGCTCCAGCTGTCCGTCTCTTTGCCGAAGTCTATGGTGTCGACTCTGCCGGTGAGCAAGTCGCCATTGCCTGGGTCCAAACCGTCGCCACTGCTCAAAAACTCAACAACCAAATGGTTCTCCAAACCACTTTGAACACCCGTTGGATTGCCGCTGCCAACGCCACCGCTCCATTCTCTGTTGCCAACGTTTTGCTCTCCGATATGGATACCTTTGTTCCAATCAACCAAGTTGCCGAACTCACTGCTGTCAAGATCCAAAAGTACACCGATGTCCGTGGTCTTCGTTACGATCCACCATTGAATGTCATCACCAAGGACATGCGTGACGGTAAGATGCCAGCCAAGCTCGCCGCCAAATACGGAAAGGTCAACACCGAAACTGGAAACGGTAAATTGATGCTCGTCCACGGTTACTGTGCCAACGGAAACCCATTCTCCACTGAGGACTACACCAACTGGGTTGCCTTTGAAGATCCACAAGAAAACCGTCCAACCAACACATTTGCCCAAATGGTCGGTGAATTTGGTGAAGCCATCACCGATGGTTTCTCAATTGTCGGTCACTCCCAAGGTGGTTTGGTTGCCTTGCATTTAGCCACCTACTACCACTCGAACCTCGATCTTTCCACCACCTTGCCGGGTCGTATCATCCAATCGATCGGTTCGCCATACCAAGGTACCGGTTTGGCTGGTTCACTCGCCTCGATCGGTAGTGCAATCGGAATTGGTTGCTCTGCTAACAACGATCTTACCCTCGACGGTGCTGCCCTCTGGTTGAGCTCCATCCCAACCGACAAGCGTGAGCTCGTCTACTTCACCACCACCCAATACAAGACTGGTGGATTGGTCAACTACTGTAACTTGGCAGCCAACTCTGTCTTGAAGTGGCCAAACGACGGTGTCACCGACACTGATCACTCCTCATTGGCTGGTGCTACCTATGCCAACCATCTCAAGGGATGGTGTCACACCATTGACATGAAGAGTCCACCACAATGTACCAACAAACAAAACAATATCGAATTCAACCAAAACTCTGTATGGTAAAACCAACAACATGTTATCCTGACTATATTAAATACATTTTTTTTTCCACATCTTTCCCATCCATCTTTCACTCATTATCTTTTTTTTTTCAATAAATTCCGATCAACTTTTATTTCCGAGTCAGTCTCTCAGAAATAGAACTTTACAATGAAAATCCCCATATCCTTTGTTCTCCCAATGATTTGAATGACACCATCAAACAAAAAAAAAAAAAAACAAAAAAAAAAATAGATCCAGTTACAACACAACCTATAATTCAATAAATTACTCCATGAAATTGAATTATCACTTTCAAATCGAATCATATATTTAATTTATTATTTTTGTACACAAACTGTAAAATAAATACCTAAAGAAATAATGCTATCCAAAAAATGAATCTTGTTCTGTCATTTTTAAACTTCATAAGTATAATTGTCAATTTATAAAGTTATAATATACAATTTTATTTAATTTAAATTACAATAGAGTTATTTACGATTGTAGTGAAAAGTTGATTGATGGATCGAGTTCCTCTTTGATAGCGACAAGATTGACGAGTTTCAAACCAATACATCTTATATTATCGAATGGCACTGACTTTCCAACTTTTACAAAGAGTTCCCAGATCAAATTGAAATTATCTTTTAGAGTAAGGGTTTTATCTTTAGTTCTAATGGGTGACCTTGATCCTTTAACCTTTGGACTGGAACCAGGAGAAGACATCGGCGATGCTGTTAGTGAATCATTCAAAACCTGTCCATCTTCATCCAACACTGGTTCCTTAGCAGACTTTGTCAGTGAAAATGTATGATTTGTAACTTTGAATTTGAAATCAACCATTTTAATTATCAATCCTGTTGGCTAAAATATATATATTTATATTAGTCAATCTAATTACTTTGGTTATACAACTAAATGATATTGAGAAAAATAATAATAATAATAATAACATACAAAAACATTCTCTTTTAAAACAGTGGAAATTGCACTCATATATAAATCTTTCATTAAATCGTCCATCTCTTTTTCATCGTAGATCTCTTTACAGTTCTTCTCTTTCGATATCATGTTTCGTTTCTTCAGTCTAAAGAATGATGATGGCTCTGGAAAGATAGGTACGCTCTGTGCATGCTTAAAAAGGATATCCATATAGGTTGTAGGCAGCAAGTGATACAACTCATATCTGTTATCATAGATATCTTCGATGGTATCGAGTCCCAGTGATTCTAACAACTGTTGTCTTAGCTTACCGATTCCCGGTACTTTCTTGATAGAGGTACGCGCCAGGAATTCTTTCATCTTTGTTTCATCCTTATCCAACACAAAATATCCATTCGGTTTATTTACTTCACTACACAACTTTGCCAAAAGCGGTGATGGTGCCACACCTACACCACAAGTCAGTGTTGTTCTCCTAAATAATATATAAACAGGCAAACAAACAAACATCATCATTATTATTAATATTAATCTTTTGAGAGAGAGAGAGAGAGAGTGATTAAACTACATACTCAAATATCTTTGATTGACAAAGCCGAGCCATTTCAAGCGGGGAGACATGTGGATTGTTCTGTAAGACTTTGGTGATGTCCATGCAACCTTCGTCGAGCGATTTCGAAACAAAGTCAGGGTCGAATTCGCTGTAGATTTCACGTAGAGTGTCAGCTACTTCACGGTATCGATCCATTCTCGACGGTTTGATTACGAGTGTTGGGCATAGTGAGAGAGCAAACATTCCAGGCATACGAGATCGCACTCCATATTTTCTAGAGAGATAGTTTGATGTCACTAGCATATCCATGCTACCGACAGCCACCGGTAGCCCACGAATCGAAGGGTCATCCATCTCTTCGACCAGCGCATAGTAGGCATCCATATCGATGTAGAGGAATGTACGTGTCAGATCCTTTGATTCAACGAGTTGCTCGAGATACTTGTCAACTTTCTCTCGATACTCATCGGTGTCTGGTACTTCCTTTAGCTTCTCCAATGATTCACTGATGATCTGTTGTGTTTTCAATTCATCTCTAATGATTTTCTCTTGAAAATGTGTACCCTCTGTGAATTGCTCCAACAACATATTGATCTCATTGAGATCAACTGATTCCATACCTGCTTTAAACTCCATCTTCTTCTTTTCCTTTTTCTTCTAAACTCTATATCTTTACACAATTTAATTTTATGAAATAAACAATTTATTTTTTGTCTTCATTTCATTTTCAAAACTTAAAAAGAAGTCTAAAAATTTTATGAAAAAACCATTTCTGAGAAAAAATATTTTAAGATTTTTTCTTTTATTAAAATCTAGATTGACCAATTGACTAACGACCAAAATATTATTGCTAGTATTTATTCAAATGTACATATCAAAAAAACAACAACCAATATTTTAAAAAAGTAAAATAGAATATTTTTAAAATAAAGTAAAATATAAACCTAAATATTATGTGACCACAAAGTTAATATCTTTAAATATTCCCTAGATACAACCCCTTCTTTGATCAAATTTATATATTAGACGTAATTAATATCTAATTTTGTAAATAAATAATTGCAAAGGAAAAATGAGAAAACCATGAGAATAATATTATTATAAAAACAAATTTCAAAAGTCCGACAATTGGATATAAATAGATGGTATTTCAAAGTTGAAATTTAAAGGTCAACCTAAAAAAAAAAAAGAATAACTCTCTAATATGATATCAAATCAAATCCCAACATTACATTATGTATGACTATTGATTAACTTTATTTTATTAATAAAAACTAATTTGTTAAACTTTTGTTTTTTTTTTTTTTCTTTTTTGAATAAATAAATCCAACTTTTTAAATTTAGCTGAATGGACGTGGAAGAGCTGAAGCAAGCAGAATCCTATTGACTTTGGCAGGTGTTGAATTCAATGATGTTAGACATCCATATCCTCTCTCACCAGATGGAATCAAAGAGAAAACAACCTATAAGCAATTACCCTATTTCATAGATGGTGATTTCGAAATTGCACAATCCCTGGCAATAGAACACTACATTGCAAGCAAATACGATTTGGCAGGAGATAACATTTCGGATAGAGCGAGAGTACTCTCAATAGCACAATCAACGATCGATATCATTTCACCACTGTTCTCCAACAACACCGACGAGAAGAAAGCTTTGTACAAGAATGAAACACTTCCTCGGTTCCTCTCGGCATGGGAGAAGATCTTGGTTGGCAATGGTGGAAAGTATTTCGTTGGCTCTAAGCTGAGTGCAGCCGATGCCAGTGCATACTATACTCTAGAGAATCTCTATTTCAAGAACTACAAAGAAGTAATCGATCAATATCCAAATTTAACACAATTCAAGTCAATGTTTGAATCAATTCCATCTATTTCAACTTATATTTCAAATAGACCAATCGACCAATCATTTTAAAATAAAAAATTCAAAGGAAATTTCCTCCACAAAATTGGAAATTCCGACCACACCCCTATCAATCAAGGAATTTAATATAAGTTTTATCAACAGTCAAATTTAATAAAGATATTAAATAAGTTGTACATATATTTATATATTATATAACAATGATTAGATTATTAAATTTAACATTGCTATTAAGTTTAACAATTATTATATCAACAGTCACAAATGGTGTAGATGCATATAAAAGTAATCAACAACAACAACAACAACAATCGATTGTTACCAATTCACTAAGATCATCAGACTCTTTGTATATATATGCATTCGGACTATCAGGTAATAACAATTATAATATATCGATTATTGACGTTGAGAATGGTGAAACATTGAAATATTTCATTATTCCAGCTTATGATATCCTAGGAATTGCAAATGATGATGAAAATAATGTAAGTCATAATAATATCAAAAGATGATATCTTAATATACGATCTTTAGGCTAACTATTTTGATATTTAGTTAATTATATTGGGACAACAAGATAATGGTACCTATATACTTTCCAAACTGGATCAAGGTAGTGATGTACTCACTACCCTCTCTAGTATGACCGCTCTACCAAGATCATTCACATACGTGACTTCCTCATATGCCTACTATCCGAATCTTGGTAACACCGCTGCACTCCTAGGTCTGTTCGGTAAAGAGAAGGTTGCATTGGTTCAATTCAATTTCACCGATAGTACATTGTATGTTAGTTAATCTTTTGTTTAAACAAACAATGATATCAAAACACTAACTAACTAACACGGTTTAAAACAACTATTAACATAAACGACGATAGAAAATTGGTGTACTTTAATATTACACAAGCTGGTAATCCAATTGCTTCTGGATCAGGCGATAACTATTATGTACAGTATCAGAGTGCCGATAGTGACCAGCAAATGCTATTGGTCTATAGCATCTCTCAACACCAGGTAGTATCGAATTACATAATTGAGCAGATGCCATCTTTTTTTGTTCAGCTGTTTTGCTTAGATGTCAATAATGTGTATGGTCTCATTGCTCAACCCGGTTCATTATCTATCTATCATATGAATCTGACAAACAAAGCCAGTGGCAGTTCAATCACCGCAACAATGCTAATCGGTCTACAAGACATCCATTGGAACGTGTACATGAGCTTCCTACTGAACAACGAGCAATACCTAACAATCTTTACCTATCCAACCAAAAAACAGCTCGTACTCACCACCTTTGATCTCTCAACCCAAACCACCATAGCAACACTCAACTCCACCAATGTCGATTGGAACAACAGCCCACTTTCCTATCTCATAGTAGAGAAACAATAATAAACAACTAAAAAAAAAAATACAAAAATCAAAAGTTAACAAATAATTAAAAAAAAAAAAAAAACAATGTATCTCTTTTTTTTTTTTTTTTTTTACCAAAACACAGGTGCAAAGTTTGTTTATGATCAACCATTTTTTAAATTTGTTTTTCAATTAAGTGTGATTTAAATATAAAAGAATAGAATAGATTAATTCTTAATAGATTATAAGAAGTATCATATTCATGGCTAAAAGTGACACTGCTTCTGGTGTTGGTGGTGGTGGCGGTGGTGGTGGTAGTGGAAGTAGTGGCAGCAATGTAGTGTTACCAACTATAAACAATATATCTATGGAACGTATCGATCTTGTTCCACTGAAAAAACAACTCAATACACTTTTAGCAGATAAGACAGATCAGTATTGGGATTACATTAAGAGATTCCTACAAGGTAAACTCTCTAAACGAGAGTTAGATTACTTTGTATTGGACTATCTAACTGAATCAAATAGTAAGTTAGTTATAACATGTTTGACATATATACATGTATTAATATTAGCTTTGTTATCTTTTTTTCTTTGGATATCAAAAGTACATGTACATAATCAATTCTTTAAAGCATTGATATTCAATTCATTCTATGCAAAGACTTCTCCACCCGTTTTGGAACCACCAAGACCGGTGCCAAAGAAGAAGTTACTGTCGTTCTCTACGGCGGTGAGCAATGTACCTATCAACTCGGATGTCGGATCGCCTATCTCTGTCATCGGAGAGAGTGGCTCGCAAGGTGCCGCTGCTGCCGCTGCATCGCTTGGCAATGGCGCGTCGGCAAAAGAGAAAGATTCGAAATCACAACTTGTATCATCGTCATCCAAGTCAAAAGACAGAGATAAAGAGAGAAGCGATAAGAAGAAAGATAAAACACACTCTGAGAAATCAAAGAAAGACAAACTGTCATCTAGCAGCAGCAGCACAACCAATACACCAAAGAAGAAGTCAACCTCTTCTTCTTCCTCTTCTTCTTCCTCTTCAAACAGCAAGCGACTTAGATCTTCAACATCATCTACAACACAATTACAAAAGAGAGAAAAGAGAATACATCCAAAGTGTAAGTTTATTATTATACATATATACATTGCAGCTGCAATGTTGGTTACTAACTAGTTTTATTATTATTATTATTATTATTATTATAGATTCATTGCTATATTGTCCAGAGATACAGGCACTTAAAGATAGAATGGAAACGATTGCATGCGAGTCGGGATTGAATGGTGTCTCAAGACAGAGTGTGATTTATATGATGATGGCATTGGAACAGCATATTAGAGAGATACTTCACAATACGATGCCTGTATTTCAACAGCATGCCAACCATGATCTTCCACAGAGTCAACAACCACCACCTTTCTATCTGGCGTATCAGTATGATCCCAATATTGACAACCCAACTGTGTCGTCGACCTCCAACAGACAGCCATCGACGTCACAACTAACATTGAAAAACAACAGTCACTATAACCAACAAACATCAACAGATACATCACAGTCACTATCAGATGATAATGAAGATTCTCAAATTGAAGATAACAACAACAATAATAATAATAATCAACAAGAATCAAAAATAACAGATACAAGTAATAATAATAACAACAACAACAACAATAATAATAATAATAATAATAATAATAGTGATCAACAACAAGTTGATGATCCAATGGATATAACTCCATCTGTAAATCTTAGTATAAATAATAATAATAATAATAATCAACAAACTACATCAACAACAATAACTACAACATCTAGTTCTACACCAACAACTACAACTACACCTACAACAACAACAACAACGTCAGCGCCAACAGTAAATAACAATAAGAAATCGTTAGAGCAGAACCCTAACTATTATCAATCAAAGAATCCATTGTTATCCTTTAGTATACCAGTTTATAAAATACCAGATAATATTTTCACAATTAAAAATAACAATGATGATGAAGAGATGACACTAACCACAGAGGATCTCTATTCGACCATTGAATGTAACCCTTATATACTTGGCGAAGATACACTTAATATGGAGAGAATCAACACCAATAGATTTAAATAAACAAAACAAAAACATTGTTATAATAAGTCTATTTCAAGTACTTCTTAATTTAATTATATGCTTGCTTGGTTGGTTGGTTTTCTTTGATTACAATTCTCACTCTAATAAGTGATTGACTTGAAGTTCTGTTGAATCATAAATTGGTTCAAACACTTTTGTTACACACACACAATCGCCAATTTACAATTTAAATTTATAAAACCAATGAATGAGATATATACCAATATTAATTAACTCTTTTATTAATTGGATTAAATTATAATTGAGGTAATGTATTGAATATAACCCCCTTTAACATTTCTATTTCAATGGGATTTATGAATACCTCTTGCAAATTTTAATGTTATATTATTTGATTTATCTCATTGACTAATAACAACAAACAACCAAACAAAGACAGCATTTCTAAAAAGAAACCCACTACAATGATTCATTCACTTCACACAACTTTAGGTGACAAATACCACCACAAAAAAAAACAACAACAACAGCAACAAGTTATTCTCCAGTTATTTGTCAGTTTAATATTGATCACTCAACTGTTGTTTCGTTGTGTGGTGGCCGCTGATGATAAAAATAATAATTTATAAATAATAATAAGTATCAAAAAAATTTTTTTTTAAAAAATAGCTATTTTTGGGAATCAAAAGCAGGCATTCATTTATCTTTGATTTGATGTGTTTGGTGAACTGTGTGTTTTTTGATAAAAAAATTGCAAAAAAAAAAATTTCATTTTTGCATATCTACATCATTATAATAACAAAAATAAATAAAAAATACTTTAAATTAAACAAACACACAATTCCAAATTTATTAGTACAAGTTTCAGCAAACCACAACAAATAAAGATAAAACGAAGTGTGTCTTTTTATTTAATGCGCATATTTTTTTTTAATTTTTTTTTAATTTATAAATTAACCCAAAAAAATTTTAATATCAAAATAGAAAGAAAGAAAGTAAGTTGTGTGAATTAATTAATATTAGCAGCAGAGTAGAGTAGTAGTATAATAATTCTACTAGTAGTATTTAAAATAATAATAATTAATTTGATAATTAGCAGTGGTGGTAGCCATTTTTCACATTCATCTATCTCATCACAAACATTCACCATTCCAATCAATCACTTCACAATCCAAAAGTAAACAATCATATATTCACTCACTCACTCACCTCACTTATCTTATTTGTTTAATATAAATCTAAAGTAGTTTTATTTGTTCACAAATCTTATAAGTATTTATTTTATTTTTTTGTTTCTATTAATTTTTATTTTTATCAATCGTTAGTCAAATTGATTTCCCATTATGTTGGTTTTCAGATAAGCTTTAAAATTAAAAAATCATTAAGAAAAACCTTTCTTTTTTGTAATTAATTTAATGACCCACAACCAAAATCTACGCACCACACACCAAAAACATAGTCATAATTGTATGGTCACCATTCATCAAAACCATCATCAAATTTCCAATTTTTTTTCACACAACCAATATTTGAAAAAATCAAAAAATTTAAAATAAATCACAAAAACAAAAAAAAAAATAAACACAAAAAAAATAAGAAAAAATCTTATTTTTATAAAATATTTTAATCAAATAGATTGAGCAACAACCAACAACAAACAATCAATTCACCAAAAAAAAAAACTAAATCCTAAAAAAAAAGATATATTTAATTGGTATATCCTTTTTTATTTTATTTATTTATAATTTTTTTTTTCTTCTTTTAACCTTTTTACTATTTTTTTTATTATTTCGTATATATTTATATCTCTTTTTCTTAAAACCAAAAAGAACTATATTCAAATCTAACTACATCTTTATAAATAATATTATTAAAGAATCTTATTTTTTTATATTTTGCAACTAATTAACAACCTTCTTTTAATAGTAAGAATAATAATAAGAGAAAGAGATTATTAGTATCATCAAAAATAGAATATATAATACCAAAGAAAGAAAGGAAGATAGACAGACAGAAGGAAGTTAGTTGGTTTGATCAAAGGTGGTCTGATAGCAGGCGGAATTCCACTGTTAGTTTAGTTAGTTTTGTACATAGAAACAAACAAAGACTTTGTTTTTTTTTTTTGTTTTTTGTTTTTTATATATTAATCATTCAAAAGAGAAATAGACGAAATTCGATTTCATGAACAGTACTCAAAACGATATTCATTCCTCAAAAGATGAACTGATAGCACAACAATCACAAGCAAATACACATACACAATCACAACAAAAACAACAACAACAACAACAACAACCATCAACACCACTGATACTTGAAGTAGATACAAGAATGACATCATCAACAACATCATCATTGTCTACTTCATCATCATCATCATCATCAACAACATCAACATCAACTACAACCACTGCATCAACATCGGCAATGGCATCAAACTCAAACCCTTCCTCTGCAGTTTCAACACCTCAGTCATCACCGAGTTCACCCTCTCCATCTATGGCCTACTATGATTCTGAATCACTCACAACTCCATCTATTTTGGAGAATATTAATCGTAATGAACAACACTCTGTAGATCAATACATGGTCTGTATGTATCATAATCATAATCATCATCATCATTTTAAAAACAAATTATTATTATTTTTCAAAATATTAATCATCTTGCTATTATCATATATATTTTATTAGATTCTGAAAAGAATGATAGAAAGAAAGATGGAGATAAAAGAAATATCTTTATTGGTAATATTCCACATCATATTACAACTGTATGTTTACAATTTGATTATACATTTCATAAACTTTAGTAAACTAACAATTGTTATCATCATCATCATATTATTATTATCATTAGGAACAATTTTCAACTACATTGGAACAATATAATCCGACATCTTTTAGGATCAAGATCAATGACAAAGGTCAATCACTTGGCTATGGATTTGCACAATTTAGAAATGAAGAAGATGCACTCAATGCAAAAACCAAGTTACATCTATCAAGTATGTGTTTTTATTTTGTTTATTATTAAATTAAAACAGTTCATAGTTACTTATATTATTATGTTGTTATTATTATTATTTTTTAGAATGTTTTCATCATGAACTTAAAGTGTATTGGGCAATACCAATCACTACACTTTATGTTACAAATGTAGATACTAAAATGAACCAAGACGAATTTCTAGATATCTTTTCATCATATGGTTCATTAGATTACAAAGATTGTGTGTTCATCAACAACTATGCATTCATTCGGTTCAACTGTAGAAACGAAGCAGAGAACGCACTTGCCAACCTCCATGGTGCATTTATCGGCGAGAAACCTATAAAGATCAAATGGAGCGATTCCTGTGACCAACGAACAAGTATTCATATTACTTTTAATCCTAGTCAAGTAATAATAATAATAATTCTTTCAAACTAAAACTAAATTAATATTAATCAATCATATTTACATTAAAATTGTAGGCAAAAGTAGGACTTCACAAATATATATTTAATAAGTGTAGAGAGTTTGGAAAGATAAATCACTACAATATTCCAAAGAATGAAAATGGTGAATACGAAGGATTTGGATTCATTCACTTTAAGGACAGCCAAAAGGGCGAGGTTGCCAGCGAGAATGCCATTCGTTTCTTCAATGACGGTGAATTTATGGGTGTAAAAATTAATTGTTCATTCTCAAAGAAGAAGGTTGTTACCTCAAAGAAGGCACCAAAGGGTCGCTCTACACCTCTGTCCAACTCTACTACCTCTACAACCACGACAACCACTACAACCACTACAACTAATAGCAATCATCACCATCATCACAACCATCACTCGAAAGGACAACAACATGTTATCGATGCATCAGATTTGCTCGTGTCACCACCTGCTCTTACTCCTGTTGACCATTCAACCATCTCTGCTAGCAACAATAACAGTGGATTGCGTAAGCCAACAGCAGCATCAACAACCACTGTTGCAGCTACTACTCCATTGTCACCGGCAGTTTCGACAACATTATCGTCATCGTCGTCATCAACTAATTCCTCTCACATGTTGAAATACCAACAAGCACAACCTGTTATTACAGCAACTACCACTCCCACAACAACAACAACCACTGTTGTTCCATCTAATAACACCAACTCTAACAGTCATAGAGTTGGTAAATCGAATTCTTCGACCTCTCATCATGTGCATCATCAACAACAACAACAACTGCAACAATCACACCATTCACCACCTCAGAAATGGAAACAGACACAACAACAACAACCGCCTGCTCAGTTGCAACATAATGCTGGTGGTAAGTCTAACAAGTCAAAGCATCATCATCATCAACAACAACAACAACAACAACAGCAGCAGCAGCAGCAACAACAGCAACAACAACAACATCACCACAATAACCATCACCATCACCATCATCAATCCCAACAACAACAACAGCAGCAACATCAACCAATGATGTCACCTACCTACCACCACCCTCAGATGCTTCACCATCCACAACTCAATACAAACTATCATTCACAACATCCAACATCGCCACCAACAACAACCTCCATTATTGCATCGTCACTTTCACCTCCAGAGAGTCCATTTGCAAGTGGTTTCAATGGCATGTTTTCACCACCTCAATTTGACCATGGACATCCATTGGCCAAGTCAGAGCAACAGTGGGCACAACAAGTTCCACCTAATCTTGTTATCAATCCACCTCTAAAGTCGAGTTTCAATCAAATTCAACAACAACCACCACAACAACAACAAACCTATCAACCACAACCATCACAGCAAGTCCCAATTGGCTCAGAGTATTCTAACAGCAAGTCAACTACCAGTATAAATACTCAACATGTAATTAATAACCCAGTCGGTGTTGGTAGTATCAATAACCATAAACATTCCCAACGATCAAATCAACAAACACCCCAACAACAACAACAACAATCACCTCCACCACTCCAACAACAACAACAACAACCGATGGTTTCTTCTTTTTTACCAACAAGATTCCGTTCCTCATTGAATGGACAAGATTATTCACATCTAAATACATCCAATAACAATCATCATGTATTTAATAATACCATCGTCAACAACAACCCCACTACAACAACCAAACCTCTCATTCATCAATCACCTCAACAACAATCACAATCAAACCAACAACAACAACAACAACAACAACAATCACCTCATTTACCATCCAAATATCCAAACTACGTCACATCTTCACGTGAACAACAACAACAGCAACAACAGCAACAACAGCAACAACAACAACGTAGTAATTCTTTATCACCAACTAGTTCTTTGTTTGCTCTGGGCTCTCCATGGTATTCACCAACTCTTGGCAGTGGTAGTTTAACTAATTCACCTACTACCCCTTCGTCCAACACATTTTTAGATCAATGGTCAACAACTTCTGATTCATTCAGCACATCTCCATCTATGAGATTGATGATGAATCAAAATGACCATAGCGCTCAGCATAGTCAATTCCAACAACACTCTGCATATTATCCACAACAACCAATCTCACCGCTACTCATGAAATCACCATCATCTTTTTCGAATGATAGTGAATGGCAAGACCTTCAAAGCCAGATGCAACAACTAGATTTGGTGCGTGAACGTGATCATATGGTCCAGCCACCACCATTAAACAATCAGTATAATAATCATCATCATCATCATCACCACCATCAAAAACAACAACATTGGTCTCAACAAACACAACAGTACCAACAACCATCGTCTGTTGTATCGCCCTTAAAGCAATATCGCAACACTCAGGCTTCTTCATTGTCACGTAATACCGAGCAACAACAACAACAACAGCAATCTCAAGTCCAACATCAACATTCCGATGCAGTATTTTCTTCACCACCAATGCTCATCAATAAGTCATCATCAGTAATGCAGTCACCACAGAATGGCAAGTCGAGTGCACTTGTCAGTGGTCTGCCACCTGCTTTGACATTGTCGTCTAACAACGGCAACAATCACCAGGCTGTAGCAAATTCACCAATGAAATTGACAACAGCCAACAGCAGCAGCGGTAACAACAACCATCATCATCATCACCATCCACATAGGCTTCACAATACTAGTAGAAATTCTAGCCTCGATCAGGACACTCAGATTATGCACCAACACCCATTGCTTGTCGGTGTGATCAATCCTGTTCATTCAACAACTCTGCAACCTTAGATAATTATATATATATATGTTAATAACCACACTCACAAAATCATTTGGTTGTTCATACTTCATCTTCCTCTTCTTTTTCCAATATATGTATTATCTATACATTCATTCATTCATTCATTATATATATATTATAACTACAAACTTATACATCTAATTATTATCATTTTTTTATTAACATATGTTTCATATCAATTCACTAATAATTTATTCACACATTATTGTTATATATTTTTTATATTCCACAATCAACATCACACTTTTTCGCAATAATAATCTTTTAAGAAAGATATGATCTATCTTTTGAAAATTTTATTATCATTTTAAAATGCATAACTTTTCGAAAATTAAATAAATAATTATTTGTTGACACTCTAAATGATTTATGAGTATCTTAGATATATAATTTAGTTCTCTTTTTTTTTATTTATTTATTATTAATTGAAAAAAAATATCTTGATAGATATTTATTTTTTTTTGATCAAAAAATCCAAATTTTTTAGAACCTTTAATTTTAATTTATTCTTTTGTTAAAGATGACAAGTGTTATAGTTAGTTTTTCACATTTATTATTAAGTAAAATTACAGGTTATTTAGATGATAACGTTGATAGAATTTGTTTCTCACTTGTTTGTAAACGATGGTTTCATGACAGAGATAGTTATTTGATGTTCAACACTGATGAATTAAAACTAAAATATAGTTTTTGTAAAAGATTTTATTTGCGTTCATATCAGTCAATCTATGAAAAGTCTCTCAAACAAGTTAAAATAAAATCTCTTTTTATCACGCAGTATGGTGCTACGATGGCTGGTTATGACTACTCTTTTTCATATAGTAATTATCAAGTTCTATAACAACAACAACAACAACAACTCATCAATCAATAAATATCTAAAGTACTTACAATTATCTTTATCGATTAATTGATTATTAGGGAATGTTTTCATTCAAGAAGTTATACCAACAGTAACAAAGGTAAGAATAGAAGGCTTGTATATGGCTGACCAAAAACAATTGTATCAGCTATTGATAAAAGCACCGAACATCAGAAAGCTGAAAGGATGCAACATATTGGAACATGGTCTTCCTCCAAATCTGACACACCTCTCATTCGGTCAGCTTTCCAATCAACCGTTGTATCCAGGCTGTTTTCCTTTGAGTCTCAAGAAAATAAAGTTTGAATGTGCATTCAATCAGAGCATTCCACACGATATACTTCCCAATCGATTGGAGAAACTTGTCATTATGAGTGTCGATGGGTTTTTCGAGAATGGAGCACTTCCATCGTCACTGAAAAATTTAAAACTACCACTCACCGGACATGGTTTACAAATTGGATCGATTCCGCCGAATCTTGAATATCTTGAGTACTCTGGTCATGTTTTCTCACCATTCCCGATAGGTACCTTACCAAACACTCTGCATTCGATCAGTGGTGTGCCATCGACATGGGTTGCATCGCTAGGAAACCTCACAAATCTAACCACACTAATCTTCTCTGGTGACATGGCTGATGTAGTTCGAGATGTTGATCTTGGTCAACTACCTCCAACTCTTACCACTCTGAGTTTCAACGCTGCGTACAATTTGACATCTGCAGTGCATCCATCGATAAAGCAGCTCGATATTTCATCGTCGTGTAGCTACGATGTCAATGAAATATTTCCGACGAAGAACAAGTATCATTTCCATCGGTTGTCAATAGCATTGCCCTATTCAAACAGTAAATCATTCACCAAATTGAAAATCGATAAACTCATAGTTTATAGTTTGTCATCGCAGAAGCCAAGCCTCTCTATTCCTAAAGACATTCAAACTCTCGATATTAGAGAAAAGCTCCATCTAAAAAAAACAGATCTACCAAAAACAATCAAGAAACTGAAAGTGACCGACCCTAGCTACATGACTGAGGCATCGAGATGCTCAGTTCCAAATTCTGTGGAAGTAATGAAAATAGAGGATTTCCTACCAAATAAACCACCCCTTACCATACCGAAATCGGTCAGGACCATTTATCTCAGTACGATGTCAAATGCAATTCACTTGCCAAAGACAGTGATCAATATCATAAAGAAGAGCGATCGAGGCTGGATTGGTTGCAAAATCAGAAAGTTGGATCAATCTCATTACATTATCTTTGGCGAAACTAAAGACGATAAATTTGTTGCTTCAATCTACAAAGAATCAATGGATCTAAATTTGATATTTAAAACAAATAAATAAATAAATAATTTTATTTAGTCTCTTGAGAGGTTGCATTTTCCTTTCTAATAAATTTCTGAAAACTCTGTTTTGGTTCTGTAACCATCTATACTAAATATATAACACACATTTCCTCTGTTTTAAATTTTTTTTACACCAAAAAAACAAATCGAAAATGTCAGAAATCAACAGTGATAATAGATTAGTAAATATATCTCATGTTATTTTGAGTAAAATAATAGGTTATCTTGATGATAATCTCGATAGAATTTGTTTAACACTCGTTTGTAAACGATTGTTCAACGATAAAGATAAATACCTATTGTTTAATTTCTCAAAGTTCAAACAAGAAAACTACACAACCAAAAAGTTTGCTTTAAATTCGTATCAATCAATCTATGATAGATCACTCTATCTTTACAGTAAAAACAAAATACAAATATTTTTATCTGATGACAGACCAGGTGTTAAACCACAACATAATTATGAAATAAATAACAGTAAAGTATCATATCAACAGCTTCTTACTATTTGGTTGTGATTCAAATTAATCATTGTTTATTTTAAACAAACAGGAGATATCGATGAAATTAAAAGAGTACTACCAAATGTTTATAAAATAGTGATTGCCAATTCGATTAAAAGCGACGATGAGCTCTATCAATTGATCGGTGATTCCAATGTGACAAAGATAGAAGGTTGGAATTCAGCAACACACAGACTTCCTCAGAGTCTGGTGTCTCTGTCTTTTAGTTTCTATTTCAATGAGCCATTAGCAAGAGGCTATTTGCCAGCGGGCTTAAAGAAGATCGATTTCAACGATTCATTCAATCAGCGATTGTCACCTGATATTCTTCCTCCAGGTTTGAAATCAGTACGTTTCGGAGATGATTTCCAAGAGGACATGGATCCTGGTTTGTTTCCAGAGAGTGTAGAAAAACTTAACCTATCTTTTTATAAGAAACAATTGAAACCAGGAGTACTCCCGCCAAATCTCAAGGTACTTGACACATCCAGTTACTTTACCGTCGATGGACAACCGATCGCCATTGAGAGAGAAACTCTACCGAATTCATTACACACCATAAAGTATCTATCGTCTACGTGGATACCGGTGATTAGATCGCTTCCCAATATTCAAACTCTGATTTTCGTTGATGTCACCAATGAAAATGTCAACTTCGAACTTGACCAACTGCCACCAACTGTGACCAATATCAGTATCGATTCAGTCTACACAGTCTCTGGAGCATTGCCCACCTCTGTTAAGCATCTCTTTATTAAAGACTGTGAATATTCATTCGATGATATATTCCCAGTGTCCACCAGACATCTTTATGACCTCGAAAGGCTGGGAATCTCTCAACAGGAATCACAATTGCTCCCAGTCAATCTAAAAGTTAGGATATTAAAGATATTCAATGTCTTTGATTTAACTAAAGATGCCATTCCATTTGGAGTGGAAACAGTGGATTTCAGAAATAGTGTAATCACCGATGACACTACCACACCACTCCCAAGCTCAATCAAGACATTGAAAGCAACGCATCAGTCAATTCTAGGACAGATTAAAACCATACCCGATTCAGTTGAAACTTTAAAGATTAGATTTATGGATGGAAATCCGTTTCCTGATGTTATCAAAGACAATGTCAGATCTCTTGCAACATTCAAAATCACAACTTGTATTGCCTTACCAAAATCGATAACCAACATCTTTTCAATACAGAGTAAACTAGCTTTTGGATGTCAGATCAGAAAGTTGGACAAAGATATGTACATAATTTTTGGTGAAGCATATCAAAAAAGATTTGTGGCCAGCTTTTTCCATGAGGAAGACTTTCTTGGTGAAATGTTTTTACGTTTGGGCGTACCAACTAATTATAAATCCAAAAAACCAAAAAAAAAAAACAACAAAAAAAATCAAAATAGATAAATATAATAATTAAATTAATTAATATTTAATTTAATCAAAATCAGATTTTTAATTCGTGATTACAAAAAAACTTTTCTCTATTAGATTGGTGTTACTTTTTGAATTAAAATCGCCCAATAGCAGGGTAGTCTTCTTTGTGACATGCACAAGTTTTGAATGGGAATCAAAGAATTTTGAAATTAAATTTTTAATTGGTTTTGAGGGATTTGAAGTTGCACCATTTTAAATAATTTCTCACTTAAAAACCTATATAAAGCAAATAAATGATTCTGAGCTCAGAATCATTTATTTTATTATTTTTTAATATTATTTTTATTATTATTATTATTACTATTAGTTATAACAAATGCAAAGCGATATTATCAATACCATTGTATTTATCGGACCTACTGGTGTAGGTAAATCCAGACTTATTAACTATTTGGCTGAAAAAGATGTTGCCAAAACAGCCAACACTCTACAAAGTGTAACCAAGGGTCTTCAGTGCTATTGTGTCAATCCTCAAGATAGTACTCATGGATTTCTCTTTGTAGATACTCAAGGTGTTTGTGATACCACTATGTCCAATGCTGATGTAGTGTCACTTATTTCCGATGCTTTAAAAAATAAAGTAAAAAAGGTCAACTATTTTATCTTGATGATAAAATCAGGAAGAATGACAGACGAGAATAGAAAAGCTATTGAACAACTTATTACAGAGTTTGATTTAGTAGAGAGAAAGAACCACGTATATGTTCTCGTAACAAACTGCGAAATATTGAATGGCCAAGCTTTAACTCGTCTGGAGAACGAAGTATGTGCTGACAGAACCCTGAAGAAGTTGCTTAAGATGGAAAAAAGTTCTACAAGCAGCTGCCACGAAGTAGTCAATTTGTCATTCACCGGTCTGCCAGATCCAAAAGATGTAAATGTATTGATGATGGATGGTGTAAGAAAATGGATGGAGGTTCAAAGAAAACCATTGATGAAATATATTTCTAAACCCATCAGTGCTATTGAACCAGTAAATCCAAAAGAATGGCATTGGCACTGCAACATCTTGTAAACAAATATAAAATTTTAAAAATTCGATTTTTGTCTAAAATTGTACAAATAAAAATAAATAAATAAAATCCAAAGGAATCCCACATCATATATATTTTTTTTTCTTTTTTTTTTACAAGAATTTGCGTTGTCAAACAAAACACATCGATTTATTTCAGATATTACATTGCAGTTGACCACGCACTACAAATCTATGTGGTACCAAATAATATATATTTAGACACTACTGAATTCACATATTCATTTTTAAAATGACAAGTGTTATAGTTGGTTTTTCACATTTATTATTAAGTAAAATTACAGGTTATTTAGATGATAACGTTGATAGAATTTGTTTCTCACTTGTTTGTAAACGATGGTTTCATGACAGAGATAGTTATTTGATGTTCAACACTGATGAATTAAAACTAAAATATAGTTATTGTAAAAGATTCTATTTGCGTTCATATCAGTCAATCTATGAAAAATCACTCAAACAAGTTAAAGAATCATCTCTCTATATCAATGAACATGACTCTATTTCAGCAATTCACGACTATTCTTTTACAATCGGTATTTATCAAGGTTGGTTGATATATTCATTATTACTTTCTTATTAATAATTTATTATTAGAAAATTTATATGAAATAGAAAAGGTTTTACCGAGCTTAACAAAAGTTAGTTTATCACTATTGAGTGGCAGTGTATTTTTAGAACATCTGGACACAGCTAAACAAAAGCCACTCTATCAACTTTTAATAAAAGCAACCAACATCAGAAAGATGATCGGATGTACCACATTAGAATATGGTCTTCCTCCAAATCTTACACACCTCTCATTCAGTCAAAATTTCAATGAGCCGCTGTTCCAAGGGTGTTTTCCTTCGAGTCTCAAGAAAATAAAGTTTAATCTTGGTTTCTCTCAGAGTATTCCACCCGATGTACTTCCCAGTCAATTAGAGAAGCTTGTCATTGACAATGATCAAGTGACTATTGAACCGGGATTGTTTCCATCGTCCCTGACAATCTTAAAGTTACCATCCACAGAACACACTCTCCAACCTGGATCGATTCCGCCGAATCTTGAATATCTTGAGATGTATCTTCATTGGAGCCAGGCATCCTACCAAACACTTTAAGTACCATCAAAACTGTACCAACAACCTGGATTCCAGCAATAAGATACCTTTCAAATCTAACTACACTTCTCTTCTTCAATGCTAGAAGCAGTGCAGTTGGAAATGTTGATCTTAGCCAACTACCTCCAACTCTTACCACTTTGAGATTTCACTCTGTTTACAATTTGACATCTGCAGTTCATCCATCAATAAAACAGCTCGATATTTCATTCTGTAACTACGATATCAACGAAATATTTCCAACGAGTAACAAGTACCATTTCCACCAGTTGTCAACAACGTTGCCACACGATAACAGCAAAGCATGGAAGAGACTGAAAATCGATAAACTCGTAGTCTGTAGTTTGTCACCTCAGAAGCCAATTCACAGTATTCCTAAAGGCATTCTAACACTAGACGTTAGACATAGGCTCAATTTAAAGGATCCAAAGTTGCCGAATAGCATTCAAAAATTGAAACTAACATACCCTAGTTATATAACAGAGACATCCAACTGTTCAGTCCCAAACAATGTACGAATCATGAAAATAGTCGATATCCTCAGTAAGAAACCAACTCTTGCCATACCGAAATCGGTCAGAACGATCTATCTCAGTACGATGTCAAATGCAATTCACTTACCAAAGACAGTGATCAATATCATAAAGAAGAGTCGAAGCTGGATTGGTTGCAAAATCAGAAAGTTGGATCAATCTCATTATATTATATTTGGTGAAACTACAGACAACCAATTTGTTGCTTCAATCTACAAAGAATCAATGGATCTAAATTTAATATTTAATACAAATAAATAATTTATTTACACTTGAGAGGTTTGACTATTGTTGTCGTGTATTCCCTTTAGTATTTTCATTAGACCGAGTGAGGTGATCATTCCAATCCTACTATGATGATCGCTGTCCTTTAAAACAATGATATAGCTACTATTATCTATCCTTCTTAATAAAATCGAATATCTTAGTGAACCAACAATCTTTATGTTTTTAACTGATTTAGGTATTATGTTGATGCCTTTGTCTAAAATATGTTGGTAACCAGTTACAACATCCACTGTTTTAATGTCATTTGGAAAAACACCTATAGTCATATCTTTTAGTACAACATGTTCCACTGACTTTGGGATAGCATCAGGATTTATAGGCTTGGAAAGACTTAGTTTCTTAATGGTAGCAGGTAGTACTCCTGGAGGTTCCACTGACCAGCGATATTGTCGTAAGTCCAACTCAATGATATTCGGCGGGAAATGACTGAAGAATGTTTGATCCATTCGTGCTCCAGGATTGAAATAATCATAGTGTGTCTCTCTTGAGAATATTGGCGTGTTTACACTGGGATCTTCAACCATGGAATAGGATGATCCTCCCATATCAAGATGTTTGACAGATGGTGGAATAACCGGACCTAGTTTATTATTAACTCTCATCACAGGTCGAGGATGGAAATAAAGCTTGGTGACAGTCGAAGGAATATCACCTGGTTTGAGAGTAAGCAAAGGAATATCATCAGAGAACGAGAGATTATCGATCAATGGCAGTGTCTTTAAGTATTTTAGCCACTCCAATTGACAATAGACGATTGTTTTCAATGATTTCGGGAGAGTACCGTCTTTCAAAGGATAGCTATACATTTGACAATCAAAGTGTAACTCTTCGAGATTGGGTGGTAACGATCCAGGCTCCAGTTGCATATTAAAGTTGCTTCCGCATCGATAACGATAGCCTTCATCGCCGAGCTTTAGATACTTTAGAGAGATTGGTAACACTCCGGGATCCAACGGTTGGTTGAAATACTCTCCCAATTCCAATCTTTCCAATCCCTCAGGAAAACATCCAACCTCTAAAGTTGAATTATAGTCTCTACCTAAACTAATCGATTTAATACCATTCGGTAAGCTAACACCAGCCCTAAATGGTTGATTATAACTCTGACCAAATACGATCGAACAAATATTGGATGATTCAATCGTTGACTTTAACACTGATATGTCTTTATTCATGCTATTTGAAAATCGAATTTCATTTATATGCTTTGGAATACCTTTAGATTGTACATCATCTATTTAAAGATAACAATTCTATTAATATCAATTATAATAACTATCTTTTTTTTTTTGTAACATACCAAAATAATAATATGCAACATCTTTATATTGATATAGATCAACTTGTTCAATAACATATAGAGTATGTTTGCTAAAATATGTGTTTCTAATAATGGAATCATATGATTTCAATCTATTTGAATTTAAATATTGGGTATTAACTGCTAATGATTTGATGAAATCATCATTTTTAAAAAATAGATAAGAGTGTCTCGTTTGAAACCACCGTTTACACACTAAACTAAATATGATTCTATCTATATTGTCATCTATAAAACCGACGATATATTTTAATAAAAGGTTTGATAATGATAAAAATTTATTTATTTCTGTCATTGTAAATGATGAAAATATTTTTAAAAAAATGATAAAAGTTTGCCAAAGATGTTTGACTGATTTTTAAACAAGACAAAAGACAGTAATCCTCTTTTTCTGTTCGATTATATATTCTTTTTGTAGTATGTTTTTTGTTGTTGTTGTTGTTGTTGTTGTTGATGTTGTTGAATTGATACTTTTGGGAATCTTATTTTTATCTAAATAAAATAAAGAATCAATAAAAATTGATTTACTAAAATTAAAGTATAAAACTTACATAATGACAATAGTCTTCTTCATGTATTTTTGGATATATTTAAAAGAAATACCATATTTATCTTCTGCATCTCCTATTGCCTTGTTAATTCTTGCTTTATCTACAGAATTCGGTCTTACTAAAACCAAAAACCATATCAAGACTAGTACAAATGAGGACGGATAAATCTTCAAGCCGAGAGAAGCAATAGGAAACCAAAAACAAAAGGGCTAAAAGAATTAATTGTATGGTTGGACCTTCCACAGTTATCTGTGAATTGATTTCATAGATCAGATCCGAAAACTCTTCGGGACTGATAGTTGACTTGTAAAGTTTCTTTGGATACTTTCTTCTAAAACCTGAGTTCCAATTGATTGAAGAACTGTCACCATTATTTCTTTGTCAATCTGATGGCGTCCTCGGGAAAAAGAGGTAACTATGATTTCTTCTTAATAATCTCATTAGAGATTCCGTGCTTACAATTCCGACTTGCCACCAATTTTTTCTAACGATTTTGTACAGAAATAAGAAGTGATCTGGACCAACTCGCTTTAGTTCGTATTGATATTGATAGGGACTAGCCACTGTGATTGATAAAACAGTTTTCGGTAAGTATTTAATATCACATTTGCTTAATGCCTCAACGTTTGATATAAGAGTTCTAACATTTTCAGTGATAGGGTGAAACATCTTATTATTACTATTATTTTTGTTGTTGTTGTTGTTGTTGTTGTTGTTGGAAACACAATTACTTCCAATGGTTAGAATCTCAACAGAAGAAGGTATGCTATCTACTTCAATATTGCTGATATCGCACATCGTTATGTCAAGCTTGACAATTCCATGTGGTAGTGATCCAACACTTAGTCGTTGATTGTATGAGCACATCGAGAGTTCCTTGATGTTGGGTGGCAGTTGATTAGGTAAAATCGGAATGTTATAGTATAATCCAAGATTAAGATAGTCGTAGTGCGCATCTTTTGGTAACACATTGCTACCAAGTGAAATTTCGAATCCACCCAAATCCAAGTGGCGAACTGACGATGGAATCACACCAACCGATAGTTTGTTATAAGGGTTTCCCCTGAATATTAGTTTGGTAATGGTTGGTGGTAGATCTCCTGGTGTGAGAAACCCGCTAGGTACGTTGTCAGAAATCACCACCGATTCTATCAATGGCAGTTCTTTTAGGTAATATTTGATCCAGTTGATTGGACAGTTATCAATAGATTTCAGTGATTTAGGAAGAACATTGACGTTCTCTATTTGGTAGGGAGTGATCACGTTGAGGCGTAGTTCCTCTAGGTTCGGTGGCAATGAACCGACTTGAAGTCGTACTTTCACAGGTAATGAATTGGTTGGTATTAATCTTGTATATCCGAGGTTTAGTTGTTTCAAACTGTTTGGAAGTACGCCGGGCTGTATTGGTTTATCATAGGTTGTCGGTAATTCTAAAGATTCCAGACCGTCTGGAAGACATCCAAGTTCCAATGGACTGACAAATAAAGAGGAACAGAAACGAATCGATTTTACATTGGAAGGAAGAGTGCCTGGCTCTATTTTTTGAACAAAAGTCGAATCAAATATAATTGACCTCACATTCGATTGTTTAATCATATATTTCCAATCTTCTATTTTTGTGATTGTACGATCTATTATTATTTCGGTTATATTCTCTGGTATTTCTTTAAATTAATAATAGTAATAATAAATTAGTTAGTATTAATGAATGATATAATAATGTAAATCTATAAACAAACTTTACTTAATAATTTAAGATTATCTTTTATTTCCAAGATGTTTGATTGTATAGAGTTTGTTTGTTTTAATAGTTGATTAAATGATGATAAATTTGTTTTCTTATTTTGATCTACATATATATGTTTAATGAAATCATCATATTTGAAATGTAGAAAATTATTTCTTTTTTCAAACCATCTTTTACAAACTAAGCTAAACACAATCCTGTCGACATTATCATCAATATAACTAACAATATATTTTAATAGTAAATCTGAAAATGATACAATTGACATATTTATATCTATGCGCCCACCTATTTAACAATTTTCTAAATTAAGAAATTGATTTGATTGGTAAAAAAAAATAAATAAATAAAAACAAATTAAAATAAAGTAAATCTTGATCGTGATTAGATTCTTTTTTTTTTTTTTTGTTACAATTCATTTCAGATAATTTTTTTATTGGGTTTTAGTTCCTCTAAAGTTTTTAAACAATTTAGAAAGTGAAGAGGAGTGTTGTGGTGACGTAGGATGTGAGGTTCCACCGATGTTGTCTACGGGTGGCGGGGTTACTGCTGATTGCTGTGGTGACTGGTGTTGCTGTTGGTCTGCTAGGTTTGGCGATGACAAGTTGTTGTTGTTGTTGATTGCGTTGATCGTGTTTGGACTTGGTGGTGTAGCAGTAGAGAATATCGAGATTCTGCTGCTCTTTGGTCCACGTGCCGGTAGTGTAAGAGAGATTGCCTTTGACTTGCTACCACTGTTGTGCAGCACCACTGTGATGTCGGGAGTAAGTTTCTCGACTTTCTCTTTCTTTTCTTGACGTTTCTTCTCTTTGCGAGCTTTCTTCTCGGCCTTCTCCTTCTCGCGTTGCTCCTTCTTTGCCCTTCTCTGCTCCTTCAGTTGCTCTCGATCCTTTTCAGCTTTTGGCGATGTCACCAAATAGCTTGGAACAGAATTGTTAGCCTCTAGTTTCTCAGTGTCAGTATTATTGCTACCACCGTCCAACTGTTGTTTTGGTGATGTTGGAATGAGATCTACTCTTGGCGACATTGTCTCTTTGAAGCTATCGACCAATGGATTGTGTTTGCCGGGACTGGAGTTGGATGTGCTGTGTCTACGTTGTCTGGTTTCTCCTAGTTCGTTGCTGCTATCGTCCTCGTTTGGTGGCGATCTAACAGAGGTTGGAGTTGCACTCTCGTTTGGATTGGAATCTACAAGTTGCTCAGGAGTTTGGCTATTTGTCACAGCAGTGGTTGTAGTGGTGGTAGTTGTTATGGTAACTTCTGGAAGATCAGGCTCTACAATAACGGAATCATGTAGATTATCGAATGCAATCTTTGGTATTTCTACTCGTTTGGCGGCTTGAACCTCTATTTCCTCAACGGATTTGGTTAGTTCCTCTGCGACATTGCTGTTACTCTTTCTGGATTTCTTGGTCTTTTCTTTATCTTTATGTTGGTGATGAGCGGATCCATCCTTTTCTTTCTGATTCTTATTGAAGGATTCCGATGAAGTAAGAGAGTTGCTCTTGTTACTGGAGCGACGGTGAGAGCGTCTCGATCCTTTCTTCTTCTTTTGGACAGCGAGCAAATCACCATTGAATCCGTGAACGCAGAGAGCACGATCAACCAATGCCATTGATTTTCTACTAGATTTCAGTGGGTCACGCCATTTTAAGTAGAAATCAGTCCACAATTGAACACCCTGGACATTTGGGAACAATACGTTGGCATTGTCATAGTTCTTTTTAATAACAAATTCACCACTACCCATACTTGGTTCATTGTCAGTGGTTTCAACATATAAAGGATTTCTAAAATTACCTTCCTTTATACAACCATGAAGGAATGTCCATAGTGATACTGTTTCAGCTGGTATCATTTGTGTTACTCTCTCTGAAAAAAAAAATGAAAAGTAAGATTAATAATAAATAATCATTTTTTAATCATAAATATTAATTTACCTTTATCACTATCATACAGGAATGTACCAAATAGATTTGAATTCAAATGATGAATAATGGTCATTAGGAATTGATCTGTGAATTCAAAGGAAGTTGGGAACTGTCTTGTTAACTGCCACATACAATCCATAAACTGAAGGAATACTGGTGATGTTTGTTTATTAGATTGTGAGGTAAGAGTACTTTTTTTTTAAAAGCTATAATATTAATAAGTTTGTAATTAATAATTAGAGTTATTTAGTTAGTATTTACCCATTTCTTGTCATGAATTTATGTCCAAAAGAAATCCATTCTTTTGAAATAAGTGTAATGAAACCCTTCATGGTTCTATAGTATGGATCGGCCAAGACCTGTACAATGCTCATTAGTTGTGGTGTACGATCCCATCCATCGGTACAGTGTATCACAACCGACAGTCCTTCTACATGGAGAATATGGAGGATTCTTCTCGATGCCTGAAGGAGTTTGGAAATTTGGTTGAGCCAACATGTAGAATTAACTTCTGACCAACTCTTCTTGTCATCCCAATTGCGAATGACTTTATAGAGCTTGGTGGAACATTCTCTTAATTCATGGATGTTTGACAATCCTCCAAACTCTAGTATGCAGTTGGAGTAGTTGACCATGTCCTCAGTGGAAGTTCCAGAGAAAGTCGAGCTGGCAGTCGATTTCGGACGCACATCGAATATATACAGTGGCTGTTGCGGTTGAGTTGTTTGGAGTGATTGGATCGATTGGTGGTGGTTGGTACTGCTGGCTGGAACTGAGAGCTGTGCAGGTGGTTGGGGTACAGCTTGTTGATTGGCTGATTGTGCCATAATAACAGGTGCCGATGCCGGTGTGCTTTTCCTGATGGCTTGGATGAGCAGCTCGTCCTCCTCACACCGGTTGTTCTTTCCAAGACCATTGAGTGGCTGGGCACAACGAGACAGCGAGGCATGCGTGTATCTGTGTCGCCAGGTGCACACAGGGAATCGGTTCTTACTTCGGAATTGTGAACTCTTTTGAATTAAATAGTCTGATATTGTACAGGGAATAATTAAATATTGTGGGTATGTATTACAAATGTCGAATTTCATATTGATTTTTGTAAGGCGCCATTCACTACCGGTTGCCAATAGACCCTGGCGATTGTACTCCTCGATGGCATCGTACATGGTCCATCCATTGAAAGACAGTGTACTCTTGAATGGATTGTAAACATGAGCAAAGAATGTGGTGGTCTGTTCGTTGGGGAAAGAAAATTTCATCAGATTTTGGTGTGCTTCTTGACCACGTTCACTCGATGGCAAACAGATCCTCACGATGTTGAAGTCCTTACAACGAATCTCGAGAATCAATGCTTTCTCAGAGACTCCGTTAGAATACCAAGTGGAATCGGATACATTCGAAACATTTGAGGAGTTTGATACTGATCTTGGTATTCTATCTTTATCCTTTGAGTTTTCCTTTTCCTTTTTATTCGAAGAAGTGGCTATTGCTGTAGTTGTTGTTGTAGTTGTTGTCGTTGTCGTCGTTGTAGTCGGTGATGTTGTCTGAGATGAAGATTGTCCATTTGATTCATCTTTTTCCAAAGCCATATCTTCTAAAGCACCATCTTTATATTTCACAATTACATGTCCTTTCAATTTTTTAATTTCCATAACCAAACCATATGGTATACTCATTGTTAATTCCTTTTTTATTAAACATTAGTAAACTAATAATAATTATTAATTATAACTCTAAGATCTTACCTTTTTTGTATCTTCAACCAAAAAGAATTGGTAATTCGTTTGGTATAGAATACCAATACGATGAGTATTATCAATTTGCGAAAGATGTACTACATTCGATGTTTGGAGTAATACTACTTCGCCTGGTAACAAATTGAAATTCTCAACCATCTGAGATTGAATTCTACTACTAGATTCCTCAACCTTTAAATTATATTTAAGGTAAATTAATATATTTTTACAAATACTAATGAAATTTCTAGAACAATTGTTCCACTTACTATAGTTTGTGTTTCTTCCATTTTTTTAATCCAAACTTTGTTATTCAAATCTAATTTAAAATCTACTTCCAATGGATTTAAATTATTATTTAATTTCTATTATTATTGCTATTATTTACTTGTTTTGTTTTTTTTTAAAAAAAATTCTATAAATCTTATGTTGCAAATATAATTGTTTTTTATGTGTATTGTTATTTTTAATTAATTGTTTTTTGATTGATTGTTTTGATAGATTAGTAATATTAAATAGGAGGATGAGATATATTTTAGTTAGTGTAAATTTATAAATAATAATAAAAATAAATAATAAAAAAAACATTTGAACTAATAAATTGTAATAAGTTGAAATATTTGTATCCATTAGAAATATATATATAAATTCCTTTGGATATAGGTATCTGTCTGATATCAACATCATCATTTATAGAGGTAAATTGATCAATTTTACCAACTCAAGTTTTGTTCACCCATATCATTTATATATATATATATGAACTCAACCCCCCTTTAAACACTATTACCACTAAAATAAATCAAACACCACTACCTTCACCACCAACACCGACCCACCAAAACACCTATAGTTGATCATCATCTACACGTACAACATTAAAATGATCAAAAGGTAGATATAATTATATTTTATTTTTTCTATTTTTCAAGAGAATAAATCATTATAAATGTTACCTGTACATATAATATCATTAAACAACAATGTTGTAAAATAATATTTTTAAAAAATATATCATTCATTAACCCTAAATAATATTGAAAAAAAAAAAAAAAAATTTCTCATTATTTGAAAAGTAAAACACCCACTACCTCTTAAAAAATTACAATACACCAATATATAATATACAACATAAATTTGAGGCAATTGGATAGTGATAACAATTAATTTACTATTAAATCTATACCAAAATTTTGTATTGATATACTCTTTTTTTTTTTTATCAATTAGAACATACTAATACAATGACTGACCGTTGTAAATTATTAAAATCAAAAATTAATCCTCAAACCTTTTTTAAATTCTAGTAGATAAAGATTGTTTTGTCTCTAATGGTCTGTGAAAATAATTCTACACAATGTTTACAAAGTGTCTAATTCATTGATTGGTTTAGATCTACTATGTTAGATAATCTTGTCTCTTTCTAAATATCAAGATCAACAATTGAGTTGTTTTACACAAAAACCATATTATTATAACCAAATAAAGAAAAATTTAAATTAATTAACAGTAAATTATAATTAACTATTATGTTTCTTTAAGATCAGTTAAATATATGACTTTTAAAAGAACTTTGAGGTATTTGTCAATAAAATTATTAAATTCTTTTAAAAAATTTTATATTAATTTAATTTTTAAACAAAAATTTGTTTTTTATTATTTAATTAAAATAATTTTTTAAACAGAACTTCATAAGTTGACATCAGTAGATAGATGTAAAGACAAAGGAAACCAATTTATTGTTAACCACAATGATATATTAAAAATAAATTAATAGATAAATAAAAAAATTAATTAAAATAAAAATCTAATGGCATCATATTTAGTAATGTGTAAAAACCTAAACAAACTCACCAAATTTATTTTGGTATTGCAAATACTATAGATAATCCAACATCATACAAAACCAAAATGTAAAAATAAGGTTTACAGATATGACATCAACACACTCTCTTTGGTTTTTTTTATGTTTTTTATTATGGTTTTTTAATATTCAACACAAATTAAATTGCTACATTAAATTTTACCCCAATTTATTAAAAAAGATTTTTATCTTATCTATTATAGTATCCAGAAAAACTACTTATAACAATCAAATTAATTAAATTAAGAAATAATAATAATCTAAAATATTTAATTATTTTTTTTTTCCAATTTTTTATTTATTTATTAGTAATATCAAGAATAATTAATAATTTTCCAAAAAATAATAATTTTTATTTAAAAAAAAATGAATCCAAATAATGAAACAAATGAAATATTAAGTTTATACAGTCCCACTCCGAATATTCAATGGATCGAAGAGAATTTCGACAATAATTGCCAATTTGATGGACCAGCATATAGCTTAAGTGGTAAAGAGAATATCATTGAAATCTTCAGAGCCATCTCAGTTTACACCAAATCGATGAAAGTTGAAAAATCAGTTTCATCTGTCTCGAACCGCGATATCCATATTGACGCCAACTTTTTAATTACATTCAAATATATTTCATGGTATCCATTAAAGATGAGATTACTATTGGTTGTTCACAAGAATTTTGAAAACAAAATTACCAGAGTATGTAAACATTTTTTTAAAATAAGAATTTTATTTCTAATAATATTAATTAAAAACAATTATTTTATTTAAATTTAGTTTGAAGAGAATATATTTATGGAAAGTTTAATCCAGAATATTCCATTGGTGAACTATATGTATTTTCAATTGGTCAAACCATCTTTTGGATATTTAATGGTCAAAATGGGAATGCTTTCAAAGATAAAGGTGGAAAATCACATGATGTTGAAGCAATCATCACATAAATTAAATGACTCGCATGAACAAAAGAATAAAAATAATCAACATCATGAACCAACAATGAGTGAAATGATCAAAGAGAAGATGAAAGAGGCTGCCATTAACAGTGAAGAGGATCACCACCATGATGAGGATTCACACAAAAACCATTCAACTACCAACAACAAGAAATCAAAAGAAAATGAAAAGAAATCAACTCACAGAAAACAAGCAATGTCAGCACAACCAATCACAAATTAAATTAATAATACTCATTATTATTTAAATTTTAATATTAATAAATCTAACTAAAGTATTTATTGTGAATTTTATTTTTAATTTTATGCTATTATTATTTCTTTCATGGTTTATAAATATATTCTAACTCCAACCATCGTCATAGTCACCGGTAGCATTTTCACTAGCACCACCACTTGTACCACCATTGGCGCCATTGGTAGAGTCATCGTCATCAAAGAATACATCATTAAATTCCTCATCATCTTTTGTTTGATTCATTGTTGATATTGTATTATTACTATTTTCATTATTATTATTATTAGTGGTATTGGTATTGGTAGTATTATTTGCTATACTACTATTATTAATGGTGCTACTGTTACTATCTTCATCAAAACTGAATACCTCTGATATCTCTGTATCGTTTGTTCTACTATTATACAGTGTACTCTTGTTAGTTGTAGTACTGTCGTCATAAGTATAAGTTGATGTATTATCAGATATACTAATATCTGAATGTTCTTGTTGTTGTTGTTGTTGTTGTTTATCTATTGATTCCTCTTGTTGTTCGACAATGTCATCGATGACCTCTTCATATTCATCATTATGAAAACTATATCTAGATTCATCTTGACATTCTATTCTACTAACATCTTGATCTACTTCTTCATCTTCATCCACAGGGAATTGAAAATCTTCATCGTCTTCTTCTTTTATTATACTATTATTACTCTTATTATTATTGTTATTATTATTATTATTATTAATTGGTTTAGATATATTATAAACTTTAGATTGTATATGATTTAATTCTAACTTCCATAGATCTTTGTGCATCTGAGCGTTACTGGAGAGGTCAGCCATCTTCTCGATGAGAATGAATCGAATGTCTTCGTCGATGTCATGCACTAGAGTGCCAGCCACTAGGATATACTGGTTAGCTACGATATCGATGGTGAGAATCGATGCCGGTTTGACAACCATGATATAGGAGAGATCGTTGTTCTCCTCGTCGGTCAGCATGAATCTGGTCAGATCTGAATTGGTGGTTGTCGACGATGTACTCTTGAGTAGCTGGTCATTAGAGCCATTGGCATCGAGTGACGACACTTCTTCATCGGTATCGAATAGCTGTACGTTTCCCTGAATCCAAACATTCTTAAAACTCAATGTTTCATAACGAAACAAACTGTTACTGGAGATATCGTCATCAAAGAGACCAGTTGCTTCACCGGCTCCACCGTCACTACCACTCTCTAAACTCGCAGAAACTAACTGACTTATAAATAACTTATAATACAAAAGTGATTGATCACCCATTTAAGTCATTTCATAAATCGATTATAATAATTATTTGAAAAAAATATAATGAATGAATAATAGAAAAAATAAAAATAAAAACTAAACCCAAATCTCAAAATTAAGTGTTTTTTTTTTTTTACTAGAATTTATTTAAACTAAGTAGATAATAAACATTGTTTGTTATCTAGTAATAGGATACATCTTTTGTTTTAATCAATTTCACTGTTATCTGTTTGAAATGTCGAATCATAATGATGTAAAATTAATTTCAAAAATCATAAAACCTTAGATATATTTATTTTTTACTCAAATTTGTGTAAAGTTGAGAAAAAGATAGGATTATATACGATAACCTCATACTATTGGTTCGTTTTCTGATGATTAATCTCTGTTTGTCAGCAAATTAAAGTATAAATTTAGGGTTAGATAGAAGATATCACCCCAGCAGTCACTTCACAAAATTTTTTTTGACACTTTGGTTTGTCCCACACAGTCATTAATATTATTTGTTTTTTTAGAATTCATTTTTTTTTTTTTTAAACGAGCATTTAAAATGTTCATTTTTAATTTTGACTAATAATAACATCGTTTGATTATTTCTTTGTTTTTTATCTTGTTTAGTTTCTTTAGTATTAGAGAACAGGAAAGCTTTTTTTAAATAGATAGTAGAACATTTGTAAATTATAAAACAACAACCGATATCTAAACAATCTTAATAGATATTTAAACATCGATCGAACAAAAACCTTCTATTCTCTAATTCTGGTTCAATTTAGAATTTGAATATGAAATTTTAGAATAGACAAACTTTGCAAAAAAAACAAAAAAAAACATAATTTCGGTTGATTTCATTCTTATCATTTTCCCTTAAAATTTTCAATTTGTTTGTAAATTTCACCTCCGAAATGTTTACAAAACTCGCTCATCACCATCATCATTTTTAAAATAATAGTCGTTTGACAGTTCTAAAAGAAAATCTCATAAAATATATTTTAGTAAAACCAATCTTTTAAAATACTACTATATAATAATAATAATAAAATAAATAAAATTAAAATAAAATAAAAATCAAAAAATCATGGTAAAAGAATACCAAGATTCTCCTTCAGGCTCATTAGATAATCTTGTAGATTTAAATAATGAACCTACTCATATTAACAGAATACATAAATCGATTGTAACTATTTTAATCCATTCGATTAATAATATTAATATTACCAAATCCAGTTAAATTAATCATTCTTAAAAAAAAAAAAAAGTTTAAAAAAAATCCAGAAGAAAATGCAAATTTTCTATCTATTTTAACATATAGATTTATGAATCCTCTCATGCAGATTGGTGTTAAAAAGCCATTGGAATTTGAGGATATCTACCCGATTGCAAAGAGATGTAGTTCTGGTCATCTGCTAGAGAAATTTGAATCAATTTGGAAAGTTGGAAAAGATTTTCATCCTTCCAAAACTGAGAATAATAATAATAATAATAGTAATCTTAATAATAGTCAAAATAATAATAATAATAAAAGTGATAAAAAAAAGAAAAGTAAGAAAACTAAATCTTTAATTGGAACTTTAAATTCACAATTTGGATGGAGTTATCATTTGGCTTTCATTTTCAAATTCATTGGAGATGCCTGTGAATTTGTTTATCCATTCATGATTTATAAACTTGTAAGTATTAAATTAATTCTTAAATATGTCCTAATAAACAATAAGCAATGGTTTTTTAATTCTAAACAATTACACATTTCAAAGACAAACTTTGTACAAGATACATCAGAGCCTTATTGGCATGGTCTGATATATTCCGGAATATTATTGGCTGCATATTTAGTACATACAGTTTGTATATGTCATTGGGAGTATAGAGCCTATACCGTTGCTTTTAATGTTAGATCAACATTGGTAGCTGCTATTTATAAGAAATCTGTAAGTAGTAGTATTGTTTGAAATTAATTAAATAACATTTATTTTATTCTAATATTATTCTAAATTAAATAAAAATTAGTTATTAATTTCCAATTCTGTAAGGGAAAAGGAAAATAAAGGAAAAGGAAATACATTGAATTTGGTTTCAATGGATGTCGATATGGTGGAGTCAATGTTTCAGAATTTCCAATATATCCAATCGGTGCCACTGCAGATCATCGCTTCGATTATACTTTTGTATAGACTACTGTCTTGGAGTGCATTGATTGGATTTGGTTCACTACTTGTATTCCTACCTTTGAATTTCTACTCTGCCATGAAACAAGCTCAAATCGGTGAGGAAGTAATGAAGAGAAAAGATAAAAGAACATCCCAAGTAACAGAAGCAATCAATGTAAATATTTAATCATTACTTTTCTTTCATAATTATAGAGTTACTAATCATTTCAATCGTCATATAAATAGAGTGTAAGAGTATTGAAATTCTATGGTTGGATCAATTTGATGTTTGATAAAATCATGGCACTTAGAAACAGCGAAGTCAAGGAAATGAAGAAACTGAATGTATTCACATCTTTTCTATATCTATTTTGGTTCCTCCTGCCCGATTTTGTGACGGTTACAACTTATTGTGCATTTGCCTTGTTTGGTAACCAATTGGAGATGGCCACCATCTTGTCTTCACTTACTATTTTCTTTATAGTACGATTCCCATTAAGGTAATGTAAATAATTGAAACAACAATTTTAAACATGTTAACTAATAGCAGTTTCAAAACATTACAGTTTACTACCACATTTAGTCGCTGGAATGTCATTGTCCGTTGTTTCAATGAATAGAATTCAAGCATTTTTAATGAATGAAGAACTTGAAGAGCCAAAGACAACATTGGCTGGATCTACATTCTATGGTGAAGTCGATCCAGATTTCGAATCTAAGGGTTTGGCAGTTTCAATCAAGGATGCTACCTTCCAATGGAGCTTTGTTAATCTTAGTGGTGATGACGGAAAAGAAGGCGCTGAGAATGCTAAAGAATCTACCGACAAAAATGAAAAGAAAGAAGAAAAGAAAGAAGAGAAAAAACCATTGCTGATCAATGATGACGGAGAGCAAAATGGTATTCCAATCGATGAGAAGGTTGAAGATGAAGTTAAATTTTTGTTGAAGGATATCAATCTGGAAGTTAACAATGGAGAGTTGGCAGTGGTGATTGGGCCAGTTGGAAGTGGAAAGAGCAGTTTACTTTCATCTCTGCTTGGTGATTTGAAATTGATCAGTGGTGGTTGTGCACTCCAAGGAAACATTGCATATGTCAGTCAGTTGCCATGGATCATGAATGGTACACTTCGTGACAATATCTTGTTTGGAAAAGAATACGATCAACAAAAGTATCAGAACATCTTGGAAGTCTGTGAATTAACCCAGGATCTTGAGTTACTGCCAAAAAGTGACTTGACTGTGATTGGAGAGAAAGGAATCAATCTTTCAGGTGGTCAGAAACAAAGAGTGTGTATTGCTCGTGCCATCTACCACGACTCTGACCTCTATTTGTTGGACGACCCATTGGCAGCACTGGATATTCATGTTGCACAAAAGATATTCAAGAATGCAATTCTCCCAATGATCCCAAAGAAGACAGTAATCTTGGTTTCTCATCAAATGTATCCATTGGAATTCTCAGACAAGATTGTCACAATGAACAATGGTGTCATTGAAAACATTTGCAAATATGAAGAGATGTCAAGAGAAACATGGGAAGTTTATCAATTCCAAAACCAAAATGCCAAGAAAGAGAAAGATGAAGAAGAGATTAAAAAGAAAGAAGGAGAGTCTGCTGATGAAGAAAAGGAGGAGGGAGACGACGATTTGATTCTCGAAGAAGATAGAAACATTGGAAAGGTATCATACAAACAATACTTTGCTTATTTCAAGCATATCGGTGTTATCTATATGACAATCTCCACACTTCTTGGTTTAATGGGTCCAGGACTTTCAACGTTCGGTAATTACTGGCTCACCAGATGGGCTCAGGAATGGCAACTTCAAAACCATCCATCACTTTGGTTCTACCTTGGAATCTATTTCCTCTCCTCGATTCTCATGTCTTTCTGTGTTTTCGGTGTTACTCTTGCCAATACATTTGGTGGTTTGGCAGCAAGTCAACAGATACACAAACGAGCACTTACCAAAGTTTTAAATTCACCAGTTCAGTTCTTTGACCAAAATCTCTCTGGTCGTATCATCAATCGTTTCAGTAAGGACATTTCCAACTTGGATTCATCATTACCACTTTGTCTAGGAGATGCCAGAGATTCTCTATTGAATTCACTCTCTGTCATTATTATGATTGGTATTGCCTCTCCCGTTGTGTTGATTCTCTTGATCCCTATATTTATTGCATTCTATTTCCTTCAGAAATGGTATCTCAATAATGCAAGAGAACTTCAACGTTTGGCATCGCTATCACTCTCACCGGTATTGACTCATTTCTCAGAGACACTAACCGGTCAGAATGTCATTAGAGCATTCCATGCCAGAGAAAGATTCTTAAATATTATGACAGAGCGAATCGATTTAAATTTATGTTGTAATCTATACCAAGAGTTTGTTGCCCAATGGACATTCTTTAGACTTGGAGTGTTATGTACATTGTTTGTAGTTGGTGCATCACTCTCGGCAACATTCCTCAGAGGTCATATCTCTGAAGCATTGATTGGATTGGCACTCAGTTATTCAATTACACTGTCTGGTGAATTGAATTGGACATTCATCCAACTAAGTATCGTGGAAACACAAATGAATAGTGTTGAAAGATTACATCACTATTGCAATTTGGAGACAGAAAAGTTGGAAGGTAAAGAGACACCAAGCTGGCCACAGAACGGAAGAATCAGATTCAAGAACTTCTCAATGAGATACAGACCAGAGCTGCCACCATCATTGAACGATATCAATCTTGAAATTGAAGCAGGTTCAAAAGTTGGAATCTGTGGAAGAACTGGTGCTGGAAAGAGTTCACTTCTCTTGGCATTGTTCAGATTGGTCGAAGCTGATTCTGGTCATATCGAAATTGACAATGAGAATATCGATCAAGTTGCACTTCAAGACCTGAGAAGCAAGATGTCAATCATTCCACAAGATCCTGTTCTTTTTGCTGGAACTCTCAGATATAATTTAGATCCGTTCAGCACTGCCACCGATGCCCAATTGTGGGAAGTCATTGAACGTGTTCACCTCAAAGAGAAGATCAAATCACTTGATTGTCTGGTTTCTGAAGATGGTGGAAACTATTCAGTTGGTCAAAGACAACTGATGTGTTTGGCAAGAGCATTGATCAGAAAATCAAAGATCATTGCATTGGATGAAGCAACAGCAGCGGTCGATCTTGAAACCGATGCAGTCATTCAAAAGACAATCAGAGAGGAATTCAAAGATTCAACAGTGATCACGATTGCACATCGTCTCAACACAATCATTGATTATGACAAGATCGTCTTGATGAGTGAAGGAAGAGTCAAACAAGTTGGTAAACCATCTGAACTCATTGAATTGGTCGAAGAAAACTCTGCAAATGCCAACAACAACCCTGATAATCAAAATCTTTCACCCACTTTACAATCTCAATCGTCAACAATAACCAACAATGAAACTTCATTAATTTAGAATAAAAAAAATAAAAATAAATATCTTTTGATAATTTCAGATCTGATGTTTTAAAAATTAATTAATTTTTTTTATTTTAATTTAGTGAAGTCCAAAAAAAATAAATAAAAATTAATAAAAACAATCATATTTGGGTGGTTTTTCTTTGGCACCAACGAACGACGAAACAACTGGGTTAAATTTAACATGATTAATTAGAAGGTTATTTGTTTAAAAAGTAATTCATTCGTGTAGAAAAGGGAATGAGAAACCAGTAAGTATCAATATTAATAAGTTATTTTTGAACCTTATTTTTAACAAATTAATCAGACAGAGCAAATTCGCAATCATTTAAATAAGGAAGGGGGTCATTTTTTCATTCTTAACAATTTCCCTTAATTTCTAAAAACTGCCCAATAATAAGTAAATTTAAACAACATATTTAAAGATGGGTGTTTTGGTTTTAATTTCAAATTTTAAACTAAAAAATCAATAGTTTACAATTTTTTTTTTTGCAAAATGAATTCAGAACCTTCCAGTATTAACATCAATAATGATATAAATAATCTAAATAAAACAATTCATAAATCAAGGGTAATTATATAATTAATTAAATAAAAATAATCATTCTTATAAATTAACACTTTAATAAAAAAAAGTTTAATGAAAATCCAGAAGAAAATGCCAGTTTCTTATCGATATTTACATATAGGTTTATGAATCCTCTAATGAAGATCGGTGTGAATAAACCTTTGGAATTTGAGGACCTCTACCCTATTAGAAATAAAAGTAGCGCCAATTATCTGATAGACAAATTCGAGGCTCTATGGAAAGCTGGAAAAGATTTTCATGGTGGTCCAAACAATACAAATTCCAAATCTTTGGTGGGAACTCTAAATTCCCAGTTTGGTCGACAATATCATTTTTCTTTTCTATTTAAATTTATAGCTGATGCAAGTGAATATATTTATCCATTCATGATATATAAAATTGTAAGTAGTTAACAAATATAATTTAATCTGAAATATTAATAATTTATTTAAAACATCAAAGTCAAATTATATTCAAGATCCAACTGAACCAACTTGGCACGGTCTGATATATTCAGGATTATTTATGTCGGCTTATTTAATAAATACATTTTTTATTAATCATTGGGAGTATAGAGTATATACGGTTGGATTTAATGTAAAATCAACATTGGTAGCTGCTATTTATAAGAAATCTGTATGTATTTTGTTGATTGTTAAATGATAGTTTACTAATATTAATATAAATTTTCAAATGATAGCTTTTGATTTCGAATTCAGTAAGAGAAAAAGAAAATAAAGGAAAAGGAAATACATTGAATTTGGTTTCAATGGACGTCGACAAAGTTGAGGCACTAATTCAAGATTTCCAATATATTCAATCAGCTCCACTTCAAATCATTGCTTCCTTTATATTGCTATTTAGGTTGCTATCTTGGAGTGCACTGATAGGATTCGGTTCACTTCTTGTGGTTTTGCCACTTAACTACTATCTATCAAAGAAGGAATTTGAAATTGAAGATGAAGTTATGGAGAGAAAAGATATAAGAACATCTAAAGTAACAGAGGCAATCAATGTAAATATTATTTTATATATACCTTTATTTTATTACCTTTATACTAAGACGACTTTCTTTCCGATCATCATTTTAGAGTATTAGAGTATTGAAATTCTATGGTTGGATCAATTTAATGTTTAATAAAATAATGGGGTTGAGAGATTCCGAAGTCAAAGAAATGAAGAGATTGAATATTTATACTTCTTCTCTATATTTATTTTGGTCATTAATACCCGACTTGGTTACAGTCACCACCTTTTGCGCCTATACTTTATTAGGAAATCGATTGGAATTGTCGACTATTCTATCATCTCTTACATTATTCTTCATTTTAAGACTTCCATTAAGGTAAATTAATTTAATATTTAATGGTTATCATTTTAAATACTAACAAGAATTATTTCATAACAGTTTACTACCTCATTTATTCTCAAATATATCAGTAGGATTTGTTTCGATTAAAAGAATTCAAGAGTTTCTCTTGAATGAAGAGTTACAAGAACCAAAAAAAACATTGGCTGGATCTACATTCTATGGTGAAATTGATTCAGAATTCGAATCAAATAATATTGCAGTTTCAATCAATAATGCAACATTCCAATGGAATTTTGTTAATCTTAGTGGTGATGATGACGACGATGACGGTGAAGAAAGTGATGGAACCACTGATAAGAATATTGGAAAGATAGAGTTGAAGAATAAAAAGAAGAAAGAAGAAAAGAAACTATTGCTAATCAATGATGATGAAGAGGGTGACCAAAGTGAAGAAGACGAAGAAATCGATGAAACCAGTGGTATGGAAGATACATTCGTGTTGAAGGATATCAATTTGGATGTCAGCATCGGAGAGTTGGCAGTGGTGATTGGACCAGTTGGAAGTGGAAAGAGCAGTTTACTTTCATCTCTGCTTGGTGATTTGAAATTGATCAGTGGTGGTTGTGCACTCCAAGGAAACATTGCATATGTCAGTCAGTTGCCATGGATCATGAATGGTACACTTCGTGACAATATCTTGTTTGGAAAAGAATACGATCAACAAAAGTATCAGAACATATTGGAAATCTGTGAATTATTGGATGATCTGGAGTTATTACCAAAAGGAGATATGAGTGTGATTGGAGAGAAAGGAATCAATCTTTCAGGTGGTCAAAAACAAAGAGTGTGTATTGCTCGTGCATTGTATCATGATGCAGATATCTACCTTCTCGATGATCCATTGGCAGCACTGGATATTCATGTTGCACAAAAGATATTCAAGAATGCAATTCTCCCAATGATCCCAAAGAAGACAGTAATCTTGGTTTCTCATCAAATGTATCCATTGGAATTCTCAGACAAGATTGTCACAATGAACAATGGTGTCATTGAAAACATTTGCAAATATGAAGAGATGTCAAGAGAAACATGGGAAGTTTATCAATTCCAAAATCAAAATGCCAAGAAAGAGAAAGATGAAGAAGAGAAAGATGTGGAAGAAGAAGATGACGACGAGGAAGACGATGATGATGAAGATGATTTGATTCTCGAAGAAGATAGAAATATTGGAAAAATATCATACAAACAATATTTTGCTTATTTCAAGCAAATTGGTGCATTCTATTTGACAATATCAATAGTATTGGGATTTACGGAACCTATTGCCTCTACCTTCGGAAACTACTGGCTGACCAGATGGTCTGATGAATGGCAGAAAAATATTCACAAATCGCTTTGGTACTATCTTGGAATCTACTTTGTATCTGCAGTTATTAGATCGGCATGTGTATTTGGCTCTACGCTTGCAAATACATTTGGTGGTTTGGCAGCAAGTCAACAGTTCCACAAACGAGCACTTACCAAAGTTTTAAATTCACCAGTTCAGTTCTTTGACCAAAATCTCTCTGGTCGTATTATCAACCGTTTCAGTAAGGATATCTACAGTCTCGATGCCAATATCGCTATTTACATTGGTGATGCCAGAGATTCTCTATTGAATTCAATCTCAGTCATTGTGATGATTGCAATTGCTAGTCCAGCGGTGTTGATCCTTCTCCTTCCGATTGGAATTGCATTCTATTTCATTCAGAAATGGTATTTAAATAATGCTCGTGAAATTCAACGTTTGGCATCGCTATCACTCTCACCTGTATTGACCCACTTCTCAGAGACACTAACCGGTCAGAATGTTATTCGTTCTTTTGGTGCCAGACAACGATTCATCAACACAATGAACGAAAGAATCGACTTGAATGTCAATTGTAACCTCTACGAAGAATTCATTGCACAATGGGCAAATCTTAGACTTGGTCTGCTCTGCATTTTGTTTGTAGTTGGTGCATCACTCTCGGCAACATTCCTCAGAGGTCATATCTCAGAAGCATTGATTGGATTGGCACTCAGTTATTCAATTACACTGTCTGGTGAATTGAATTGGACATTCATGCAAATGAGCTATGTCGAAACACAAATGAATAGTGTTGAAAGATTACAACATTATTGTGATCTAGAGACAGAAAAGTTGGAAGGTAAAGAGACACCCAGCTGGCCACAGAACGGAAGAATCAGATTCAAGAACTTCTCAATGAGATACAGACCAGAGCTGCCACCATCATTGAACGATATCAATCTTGAAATTGAAGCAGGTTCAAAAGTTGGAATCTGTGGAAGAACTGGTGCTGGAAAGAGTTCACTTCTCTTGGCATTGTTCAGATTGGTCGAAGCTGATTCTGGTCATATCGAAATTGACAATGAGAATATCGATCAAGTTGCACTTCAAGACCTGAGAAGCAAGATGTCAATCATTCCACAAGATCCTGTTCTTTTTGCTGGAACTCTCAGATATAATTTAGATCCGTTCAGCACTGCCACCGATGCCCAATTGTGGGAAGTCATTGAACGTGTTCACCTCAAAGAGAAGATCAAATCACTTGATTGTCTGGTTTCTGAAGATGGTGGAAACTATTCAGTTGGTCAAAGACAACTGAATGTGTTTGGCAAAGAGCATTGATCAGAAAATCAAAGATCATTGCATTGGATGAAAGCACAGCAGCGGTCGATCTTGAAACCGATGCAGTCATTCAAAAGAACATCAGAGAGGAATTCAAAGATTCAACAGTGATCACGATTGCACATCGTCTCAACACAATTATTGATTATGACAAGATCGTTTTGATGAGTGAAGGAAGAGTCAAACAAGTGGGTAAACCATCTGAACTCATCGAATTGGTCGAGAATTCTTCAGTTAAGCTAAATACAGATCAACAAGATCTGCTATAATTCTCTAAATAAATATAAAAATCTATGATTTGAATATTATCTTTTATAAATTAAATTCCTAAAATATTATCTTTATTAATATTAAATAAATATAAATTAAATGATTTCTTAATACTAAATTAAATTCCTAAAAGAAACAAACGCAATTTAAGATTTTTTTTAAACAAATCAAAAAAGTCGAAAACTAAAAGCTTCTATTTTACTTTTTTTTTCTCATTCTCTGAAATTCAAAAACGTTATCTTATCTTTTTATCATATGATTACAAAGATGATTTCATGTTATATTCTCTTTCTAAATTGATCTGGTATTCAAAAAAGGTTTAAATAGGAAACGAAGATCTTTCAAACCAAAATCAAATTCATTCTAATCAAAATGAGTGATACTCATAAAAAAATAAAAGATGAGAGTACCATTTCAAAAAATAAATACAAATCTAAAGTATGTCTATAGTTTCCAAGATATAATTATTCACAATATTAATTTCTATTTATTTTAGTTTTTAGTGAACCCTGAAGAGAATGCAAGTAATTTTTCAATACTTACTTATAGTTTTATGACACCATTATTGGCTATTGGTGTTAAGAAACCATTAGACTTTGAAGATATCTATCCACTCAAGGATAAGAGCAAGTCGGACTACTTGTTGGAGAATTTTGAAAACGTTTGGAATTCCAGAAAGAATGTCGGTTTCTTTCAAACAAAATTTTTGTTAAATACTTTAATAGCTTTGTTTGGAAGATCATTCTTTTGGGCCTTACTTTTTAAACTCTTTGGTGACCTGACATCATTTGTTTATCCATTAATGATTTACAAAATGGTAATTATAAAAAGTTAAATGAAAAAGATAAAATTTCTAAATAGATTTTTTTTAGACAAACTATGTAATGGATCCTTCTGAATCGATATGGAATGGTCTATTTTATTCTACTATAATGATGATTTCTTACATTTTCAATACAATTTGTAAAACTCATTGTGAATACCTTACTTTTATTGCCGGTAAAAGGATTGAATCTACTTTAACAAATGCAGTATATAAGAAATCTGTAAGTAATATATTTTTATTTCTTTATTAATATATTAATGTTTTTTATCTAGCTTTTAATTTCTCATACTGGTCAAAAAGATAAGGGAAGAGGAAATACTTTAAATCTGATATCAATGGATGTTGATTCCGCTGAAGGTGTATTCCAAAGCTTCCAGAATATCATATCAATGCCAATACAAACAATTATTTCACTCGTACTTTTATTCAATTTGTTATCATGGAGCGCTTTTGTTGGATTTGGTTCCCTACTGGTGTTTGTTCCACTAAATTTCTACACAACCAAGAAACAATATGCGATCGATGATGAAGTAATGAACAAGAACGATAAAAGAATATCAAAGGTCTCTGAAGCTATCAATAGTATTAGAGTTTTAAAATTCTATGGTTGGATCAATATGATGTATGATAACATCATGCAACTCCGAATGGAAGAAGTGAAAGAGAAGAAAAAACAGAGTGCACTTTCAGCAGTTTTGTTTCTTTTTTGGAATTTGATTCCAGATTTCGTTACTGTCTCAACTTTTTGTGCATATGCATTATTAGGAAATTCTTTAGATATGCCAACAATTTTAGCTGCCTTGTCTATATTTTTTAATTTAAGATATCCTTTATCGTAAGTATCTAGTATATATCCTATTTGAAAACTATATATTAATCAAATCAAATTATAGAATGTTACCTCATTTATTTTCAAACATGTCAATGACAATGGTTTCAATAAAAAGATTAGAAACATTCTTAATGAACGAAGAGCTTGAAAAACCAAAGACAAATCTTTCTGGATCAACTGTTTATGGAGATTCTGACCCTGATTTCGAATCAAAGAATCTAGCTGTTTCTATCCAAGAAGCAACTTTCCAATGGAGTTGTGTTAAAGTTGAAGATGAAGAAAATGAGAAACAAGAAAAGAGTTCCTTTAAAAACTCAGAAGAAGATACTGAATCAACTCAGGAATCTACTGAAGAAGATCTTTTCGTGTTGAAGGATATCAATTTGGATGTCAGCATCGGAGAGTTGGCAGTGGTGATCGGACCAGTTGGAAGTGGAAAGAGCAGTTTACTTTCATCTCTGCTTGGTGATTTGAAATTGATCAGTGGGTGGTTGTGCACTCCAAGGAAACATTGCATATGTCAGTCAGTTGCCATGGATCATGAATGGTACACTTCGTGACAATATCTTGTTTGGAAAAGAATACGATCAACAAAAGTATCAGAACATATTGGAAATATGTGAGTTAGTTCCTGATCTTAACACTCTCCCCAAAGGTGATCTTAGTGGCATTGGAGAGAAAGGAATCAATCTTTCAGGTGGTCAAAAACAAAGAGTGTGTATTGCTCGTGCATTGTATCATGATGCAGATATCTACCTTCTCGATGATCCATTGGCAGCACTGGATATTCATGTGTGCACAAAAGATATTCAAGAATGCAATTCTCCCAATGATCCCAAAGAAGACAGTAATCTTGGTTTCTCATCAAATGTATCCATTGGAATTCTCAGACAAGATTGTCACAATGAACAATGGTGTCATTGAAAACATTTGCAAATATGAAGAGATGTCAAGAGAAACATGGGAAGTTTATCAATTCCAAAACCAAAATGCCAAGAATGATGAGGAAGAGGCTGAAGAGGACGACGAAGAAGATGAAGATGAAAGTGATGATGAAAGTGAAGAAGTATTTTTCCAAGATGAGAGAAACATTGGAAAAGTATCATATAAACTCTATCTAGACTACTTTAAGCAAGTTGGTTTTGGATATTTAGCTCTCTCAACATTATTGGGAATACTATCTCCTTTTATGTCAACCTATGGAAACTACTGGCTAACAAAATGGTCTGAAGAATGGCAACAAGAAGACCATTCTTCTCTCTTTTACTATTTGGGAATATATTTTCTTTTGTGCATCCTAATGTCAGCTTGTGTATTTGGTGTTTCTCTGGTCAACTCATTCTGTGGTTTAAATGCAAGTGAGAAATACCATACCAGAGCTTTGACAAAAGTATTGAATTCACCTATTCAATTCTTTGACCAAAATCTCTCTGGTCGTATTATCAACCGTTTCAGTAAGGATGTATCCAGCATGGACTCTTCCATTGCTAGCAATCTTGGAGATGCCAGGGATTCTCTCTTTAATTCATTATCTGTGATTATAGTGATAGCTATTGCATCACCGATTGTATTAGTTTTACTTATACCAATTGGAATTGCATTCCGTTATCTCTATAAATGGTTCTTAAACAATGCTCGTGAAATAGAAAGATTAAGATCTTTGGCACTCTCACCAGTATTGACACATTATTCAGAAACACTTACAGGTCAGAATATTATCAGAGCTTTCGGAGCACAGAAAAGATTCTTGGGAATGATGCAACAAAGAAAGGATCTTCATTCCTCATGTAGTCTGGCAGATGTTTTCATCTCTAATTGGGCATACTTTAGACTGGAAATGATATGTGTTCTTTTCATTGTTGGGGCAACACTCTCAGCAACATTCCTCAGAGGTCATGTCTCAGATGTGTTGATTGGACTGGCACTCAGCTACTCTATTTCATTGTCAAGCGATTTGAATTGGGCTTTCCTTCAACTAAGCTTTGTGGAGACTGAGATGAACAGTGTCGAAAGATTACAACATTATTGCAACTTGAAAACTGAAAAAATTGAAGGTAAAAAGATGTCACCAAGTTGGCCAGAGAATGGAAGAATCAGATTCAAGAACTTCTCAATGAGATACAGACCAGAGCTGCCACCATCATTGAACGATATCAATCTTGAAATTGAAGCAGGTTCAAAAGTTGGAATCTGTGGAAGAACTGGTGCTGGAAAGAGTTCACTTCTCTTGGCATTGTTCAGATTGGTCGAAGCTGATTCTGGTCATATCGAAATTGACAATGAGAATATCGATCAAGTTGCACTTCAAGATTTGAGAAGTAAGATGTCAATCATTCCACAAGATCCTGTTCTTTTTGCTGGAACTCTCAGATACAATTTGGATCCATTCGATACCGCCACCGATGAAGAGCTGTGGGAAGTCATTGAACGTGTACATTTAAGTGATAAGATCAAATCACTTGATTGTCACGTCTCTGAAGATGGTGTAAATTTCTCAGTTGGTCAAAGACAACTGATGTGTTTGGCAAGAGCATTGATCAGAAAATCAAAGATCATTGCATTGGATGAAGCAACAGCAGCGGTCGATCTTGAAACCGATGCAGTCATTCAAAAGACAATCAGAGAGGAATTCAAAGATTCAACAGTGATCACGATTGCACATCGTCTCAACACAATCATTGATTATGACAAGATCGTCTTGATGAGTGAAGGAAGAGTCAAACAAGTTGGTAAACCATCTGAACTCATCGAATTGGTAGAAGAAAAGTCTGAAATCTAATAAATAATAAAAAGATAATTTTTAATTAATAATGAATTTTATTATAAATACATGTTAGGATGATAAATAATATTAAATATACTTATATAAGTTGAATTAAATATCTTTACAAACTTATATAAGTTGGAAAAATGTATAAGTAAAATGAATGCCAAGTTGAATTAGACAGTCTATTCATTTACTTTTGACTGGTGTTGTAAAGTTGTTTTAGAGATTTAGATACAGGAAAGAATATGCATTGGATCTATCGTCATAGATCTATGATGATTGTAGACTAATGTTGTTGTTGTGTTGGTGTTTAGTTTAGAGGTAACCACTTTCTTCGGCAGCGAGTTTAAGATCACCTTCTTGGATATCGATGAGTTTCTGATACTTGTGAATTGCTTCGGTGAGCACTTCAAACAGTTGTTTACCTTCGCCATCTCTACAAATGATTTTTCTCTTGTGTGGCTCAGACTTGTATTTCATCCAGACGATATCTTGATTCTCGAAATCCAAAGCTACTTCTTCGATACCAGCAAAACTGTTTTCACTCTTGATCCTCTGTTGATCGAGATTGAGTAGTGAATCGATTGTCAACTTAAATATACGTTCTTGATGCTTGCCAGCGTTGTTCACTTTGATCACGCGATACTCTGTTGGAAGTGGTCCGCTGTGTCCAAACGACGACGGTTGGCTATTTGGGTATTTGGCCAAACCAACTTTGAATCCAGCCTCGAAAATATCCTGAATGATATGGTCACGCTCCAACTCGTGGTTACAAACATAACGTCTGACACCGTCCGACGAATTTCCTCCGGATTTTAGTGATAGGAATCCAATTGGTCCACGTGGCTTGTGGCTTTGTTGGGCAGGCGATGCAACTGAGCTGGTGCTGCTGGCGTTGTTAGTGGCGCCAGTGGTCATTCCACTTCCACCTCCACTTTTGAATTTCATGGAAATCTCAATGGAACCGAGTGCAGAAGCAATCTCTTCAATCTCATCGATACGCTTCTCATTCTGCACTCGCTTTGTCTTTGGATCGATGTTCAACAACGAATTGCTGGTGAACTTGATCAGTCGCTCCTGTCGTTTTCCCTTTGAGTTGACTTTGACAACACGATAACTCTTTGTAATGTAATCTTTACTTGTCTCTGGCAATGCTATATTCTCAGTGTCTATATAAGTGGTCAGCTGTTTCCAATTGTAAACTTCATGAATCTTTCTCTTTAGCTTTCTACTGGTGAATGCTCTCATAAAGTAAATTACAGCACGAGTATATGCAGATGGATGTACAATAAATAATTTATCAATATTCTTTTTATATCTAGAAGTAATTACAAATAAGTATATGAATCGAGATATAAAACTATAAAACCACATGTTTGTTGTTACTTACTTTCTTGAGAAAACTTCAGCTAATTTTGGAAGATGAGTAAAAATGGCACGTTTCATTTCCGAGGAGATGTGACACCATGACATATCGACGATGAGGGTATACGATGATAGATTGACACATGAATCCATAACCTTGAAGATGTGTGCTATCAATGGATTAATGTTGTCAAACACCTCTGGCTTGACACGATTGACAATGAGGTAGAATACAGGTTTATCGTGCTTGTCGTTCGGTCCTTGGAAGAGGAATCTAGCACGTTCCAACATGAATGTAAAGTCATCGAAACCGGAATTCAAATTGCCGCTTGGCTGTTGATCGTATTCCTCTGTTTCTTTTTTCTTCTTTTCGATTTTCGTCTTTGGCGAAGGACCGAGATCCTTTAGGAGTTCGAGAATCCTCAGAGTGGCACGACACGAAACCGCCATCTTGATAGCAACCTTCTCACGGTAGAGATCCAATATACGGTGGAGATCAAAGAGATCGTGTATCTCGACGTGTCTGATGTATCCATCCCATGGAGTGGGTGCCTGTTGTAGCTGTGTAGCTGCGCCGCTTCCGTTGCTATTTGTCAGTTTTACAGTGGCTGCGGATTTATTGTTACCGCCATTTTGAATCGGTGAGAATGTAGAGGGTGTTGTAACCATCCACTTGGAGGTGGCAGCCGGTTGCTTTCCACCGGCACCAGTTGGTTTACACACAACAAATCCTTGTTGCATCGAGATTCCTTCGAGATCTGCCCATTTCTGAGTTGGACTGGTCGGATCCTTACAAATCATCTGGAAATACTTTGACATTTTCGGTTTATTATCTGTAACAATACTATTCATACATGTCATAAACTCTTCTTTTCCACCAAATTCAACTCCATTCGATACATTCTATAAATAAATAATAACAAATAATTTATGAACCAATTAATATACTTGGGTGTTTAAACATAAATAAATTGTTAACAACTAACTTACTTGTAAAACCTTTGCCAATAAAACTAAATTTCTCTTTGCTCTTCTTGATGGTACAATATCGGATGCAATCAATTTCGAATATTCGGGTGTTACGATTGCAGGTGAGAAGAAACGGAGCATGATAAAACCACCGACGAGCGGTGCAAGTGACTCTGGTGCATACTTGAGTGCCGACTCGGCGGTGTAGTCGGCGACTGCACGAATTTCACGTGGCATCTCCTCTACGACCTGAGGATCTGTGATACGGTCGATAAACATCTGTGACATCTCCAACAATGCCTGTCGGTTCTGCTGTAACTGTAGCTCAGGGTTGGTGATGGCCTGCTCGTAGCCGCTGTCTTCTTCGTTGTAGGTGGCCAGCTTTCTCGGGTCGATCTCCAATCGCAAATCCTTATCCTGAACGACACGAGTCACCAAATCGGAGAGCACATAACGCAGATAGTTGGCACCGATCAATCTTACGTATGCACCCTCGATCTTATTGACGATGTTGTTTCCACGCAGAATCGAGCCTTCGCCCTCCGCCATCACCTTCGAAGTGAATTCATTGTAGATCAAATATTTTATCAATGGCAATGTCTTGTTGGCTGCACTGAACAGATTGACTATTGTTTTTGCAAATGCATCGACCTCTGAAGAATCCAAAAGATTCGCCAAACCACATGTAAATCTAAAAAACAACAAAAACACACCACGAATCAGTATCATCTATACTATTCATAGATTCGGTTTCGTGATGAATTCGAATCGATTTCAACTACTACTACTACTTACTGTGTATCTTTTACCATTAGATCTACCAATTCACCATAGAGTGCCGTTGAATTGTTCCATGCAGTTCTTCTCCATACCAAAACTCTACCTTCACTGTTTCCACTATCCATTATGTAATATATGTAACTTGTGAAATCAGATGTCTGATTGGATTTATATATAAACTATTTAAAAATAATTTTATTGAAAAACAATCTTTTATGATCTTATCTTATCTTATCTTATTTGATTGTTCCTAAATCAAGTAAGTTGATTGAAATTTCAAATGTTGAAGTTTTTTTTTTTTTTTGAATATAAACAAATAAAGAGGATTTATAAACAATTAAATATGTAAAGCATATCTCTTTATTTATAAAACAACACTAAATTTGAAATCTTTATAATAAAAAGAGAGATGGAGCTGCCCTTTCCTTTCATCCAAAAAATGATCATTTTTTTGACAAAAAAATTTTTTGAAAAAAAAAAAAAATGATGATGTATACAATTTTGTCCCAATTTTTGGATTTTTTTAGATCTAGATTATTCATTATTTTTAATTGAAAAGATGATGGTTCCTACAAAAAAATTAAAAAAAATTGTGATATTTATTTATCAATTGAAACGGGTTTTTTGATGTTATTGCCTTTGCGTCAATTGCAAACATGTATTTTTTAAAATGTGTTATCTAAATTTTATTTGTTCTTTAAAGAAAGAGTACTATTTTCATTTTCATTCTTTCACTTGTGGTTGTACATGTTTTACTTTTGGCTTTTTCTACATACTTTTATATTTGCTATTTTATTTGAAGTGTGAGAAAACTGCTTGTTGTTGTCATTGTTTTGTTTTTTTTTATGTACATCCCGATTTTATCCCAAAATGCAAACATTATTTTTTTACACTTTATAATAATCAATGTTTAAAGTTCCGACTCTTATTATTATTACATTTTTTAATATTTTAGTTTATTGGTTTTTTTTTATTTTAGTTTCAAAAAAATAAATAGATCGTCAACGTTGGTTTTTACAACTTAGCTACCACAACATGGTTTTCTTTGTTGTCCCTCACCACCGAGATTATCTATAGTGTTTTGGGTTGGTGTACTATTTATAATTCTAAATATATAAAAAGAGTTTTTAATTGGTTAATTATATAATTTTATTGATTCTTTTTTTTTTTTTTTTTTTTGTTTTTACATACATATTTTGAATATCTTGAACGATTGTATCAAATACAGCATTAACACCAACATTATCTTTTGCACTTGTCTCTAAAAATTTAATTCCCAATTCATCAGCCAAAGCCTATATTAAATTTAGTAGGTTTAATATAAAGTTATAAAAAGGTATTAATATCACGGAATATATTTAAAAGATGATTGATTCGTTCGTTCGTTCGTTCGTTCATACCTTTCCTTGTTCGTATGTAACTTTTCTTGATGGTAAATCAGATTTATTACCAACGAGAATCATGATCATTCCACCCATGGAGTAGTTATTGATGTCTTCGATCCAGTTTCTGCAACGATCGAATGATTTCGAATCGGTGATGTCGTAGACCACGATGACACCATGTGATCCACGATAGAATGTCTGTGTGATCGACTTGAATCTCTCTTGACCTGCAGTGTCCCAGAGTTGCAGTTTGACAGTTTGTCCTGTCTCTTTGTTTCTGATTGTCTTTACATTGAAATCTACACCAAGAGTTGGTGCAAAGTGTGGTGTAAATGTATTATCTGTAAAACGAACTAAAATCGAACTCTTTCCTACAGCTGTCTCACCAACCAAAATAATTTTATATAATGTTTCTTCTCTAAATTTTATAATAATATCATTAACAAATAGTTAATAACCTTTTTTTTCTTTATTAATAAATAATAATAATATAATATAATACTTACTCTGACATATTTTAGTTATATATATATATATATATATTTATAATATTTATATATTTAGCTAGCTTTTGTTTAGACTAATAATGATTAAAATAGTACAATGAAATAATATTGTATTGTAAAAAGTAAGCAAATAATATAATAAATAGATTGTATTGTATTAATTTGTTTTGTTTTTTAATCTATTATATAAAAAAATTCAAAAAAAAAAAAAATGTTTTGAGATTGATTTTAAAAATTTAAATTTAAATTTAAATAAAATATTATTATAAATAGATAAATAATAATGAGTGAATAAATTGTATAAATATGTGTTTTGTTTTGTTTTTAATTAATTATTGATAAATTTTTCGATTATATAAATAAATAGTGTGTTTTTAGTGTGTAAACAATTTTTTTCTTTTTTTTTTTTTTTGAACAAGAATCATTGATTTTGAATTGATAAGAAAAATTCAAATTTTCACCCCATATCCCCACATTCCAAGAGGTGCAAAATCAACCAGAGAAAATCAACCCTTTGTCGACCTGGGTTTAATATTCAACTAAATGTATTCGTTGACATCTTTATTGATTTCTTTTGAGCGGAAAATAAGAAAGAATTTAAATTTTTAAATTTAAAATGATCATTTTTTTGTTAAATTACTTGTAAACGAAAGCAAGATAGAGAAATTGATTATCACGAGCTGATCTGTTTGTCTGATCTATCCTTTTTTAACAATTGCTGAAGGTCTCTTCCAAATAAAGAATATCAAGAACATACCAACAGATAAAACTACAGTAACAATCTAAATAGATAAATAGATAGATTAAAACAAAACATAATGATTAGTACTAATCATAGAGTGGTGGTATGAACAAATATAACAATCTAAAAGTAAACTTACTAAAGCAATTGGCCCGATTGGATCATAGAAAGGACCTCTTGTTTTTGTTAAGATGGCATGTCTTCTTCTTCGGAACATAAGGTATGAGTATATGAGGAATCCGAGGGCAATCACCCACAGTGAGACACCGGTGAACAGTGTAATGTTTTCAGTGCCAAAGAAAGTGATGATCGATGTACCGATCGCACCGAGTGAGAAAGTAAGTCCGACCCAACTCATCCATGTACGCTCGTTTGAGAAGAGTTTCGAATCGTCTTTCAACACCTTTCTCCATACTGGAACTTTGTTTCCATTTTTGCCGGCACCGCCACCATTCTTAAAGCCAATGGAGTGTTGCAGCTGTTGCAGTATCGGTTGTGTGCTATTGGGACTTTCCATCTCGAGAAACTCCTTTGGTATCTTGCCAATGCCATCTACACCACCGCCAGCAGCACTCGATCGTATGACACCACCGGGTGGCAGTTGTCTCTTTTTAACATTTCCTTCTTTATCTTTATTTTTATTCTTCTTTGATAATTGAATGACAGAAGGTGGTTTTGGTAATAACAAATTATTATTATTGTTATTGTTGTTATTATTATTATTATCTAAATCACTTAAACCACCACCACCACCGGAATCACTTCCGGTAGTTTGTTGTTGTTCCTTTCTCTCTTCTTTTAGTTGTCTTTTCAATTCTTTCTTTAACTTTTTCTTTTCCTTCTTTTTCTTTTTCTTCTTCTTTTTCTCAGGATCATCAGCATTATCGTCATTATCATTGTCATCGTCATCATCACCATCACTTTGATTGTTATCTGAATCTTCAAGATCGCCTTTTGTATTGTTGTCGGTATCTGCATCCCTTTCCTTTTCCTTTTTTTTCTTTTTCTTCTTTTCTTTTTCTTTTTCTTTTTCTATTTCACCTCCACTTCCACCCACTACCAAATCATTGTCCGATTCATCCATTATTCTGGCTTTAGGCGGAGAGATAACTTTATCAAGTGGAGGACTCGGTGATGTATAGTTGCTTGGTGTGAAGAGATTTGGTGAAGTCGGCTTCGATAGTTCCATGTTTGGATTGGTCACAGCAGGCGCAGATATAGAAGGAGAAGGTGTTTTATTGGGATTGACTGTTGGTGATGTGTCAATTGGCGACAGAGTCTTTTGAGGAGTTACACCAGTTACCGGTGAGACATACTGAGAGCTACCAGGTGATCGATATACACCACTTGTCAAAGGAGGTGGTGAAATATTATAATGACCAACTGTTGGGGAATTACTACTACTACCTAAATTCTGAGGTGAATAGGTAGTTGGTGGTAATGGTGGTGTTTGTCTAAATTGTTGTTGTTGTTGTTGTTGTTGTGGTTGCTGCTGCTTATCATTATTATTGTTATTATTATTATTATTGTTATTATTATTATCCATAATTTTTGTTTTTTTTGTTTTTTTTAAAATAAAATAAAATAATAATATAAACAATCTATAGTCCTATAAATAAATATATCATAGATAAATAGTTTTAGATTTTCTATTATATATAATAAATTAATAATTGAAGTAAGTAAATATGAGTAAAAGATAGTTATTTGTTTAGTTTAATTAAAAAAAAATTAATGAAAAGTAAACAAATGACATTAATAATGAAAGCAACAACAACAACACTAAAAGTAAATTGATTCAAACAATTTCACACAATTACACATAATTTAAATAATTGTTACCATAAATGTGGTATGAGTGGTTTAATTTAATTTAAATTCAAGAAAAAGTTGTGTGTGTATTTTGTTTTTTTTTTTTTGTTTTTGAGATTACACTATAACCAGATTCTAACTCTCATTGAAGAGCTCTTCATTCGTATTCACATGTCGAAAATTGTAAACAGAAACACTTTTGTTTGATTATTTAATGAAAAAAATAATAAATAAATAAAATAAATAAAATATGAATAAATTATTATCTAATAACCAATGATTGTAAAAAATAAATATCTTTGAATTTGAATACAGTCAATTCAATTAAATTTTATCGCATGTCTAAAAGCAGCCGAACTTCGAAAAAGCTCAAAAACATGTTTTTTAATAAAAAAAATACATAAACGAACGACTAATTTTTTAACACTAAATCATTATCACTTTTCTTATTTATTTATCTATTAATTAAGAATGGATATTAAAAAGAAGACTCCTACAAAGAATAACACTCCAAAGAAGGAGAACAATACTCCAAAGAAAGAGAATAATACTACTCCAAAGAAGGATAAAGTAGTCAACTCTGCAAAGAAACCAAATAAGAACTATGGTGCTGCCAAATCTGTTGACAAAGACAATAAACTAGTAACTACACCAACAACAACAACAAATACTTCTACTACACCACCACCAGCTACTAAAGAAACAACACCAAATAAAAAAACAACAAAGAGAAAAGATATGGAGAAAGAGTCAACTACTGAAGCACCAAAAAACAAACAAACAGAAACAACAAAAGCAACTACAACTACTACCACAACATCAACTTCTACAAAACCAACAAACAAAAAACAAAAAGTAAATAATAATAAAAAAGAAGAGAAGAAAGAAAAAGTTAGTAGAGAAAAAGAAACAAAGATTGTTGAAAATAGTAATAATAATAATAATGATAATAGTGAAAATGTAAATGTTGTTAGTAGTATTTTTGGAGGTAGTAATGTTAGTGGATTATCTATTTTTGAAGCATTGAAGAAGCAATCAGAGTCAAAGGATGATGCTGTTAATCAAGAGGTTATGGATTCGTTTGCCACTTCCAACGCATTCGAGGCACCAAAGGAAGAACAAGAACCAGAGGTCAAAGAGCAAATCGATTCACTCTTACAAGCAAAACCACAATTGAATTCCGTCGGTAAACCAATGATCTCTGAGGAGGAAAGAGAAATCAGAAAGAAGAAAGATCTCGAAATCAGAGAGTCAGAGGATCCAATGACTATCTTTATTTCAAATATAGATTTAAAGACAACTAAAAATGTAATTATTATAAATTTATTATTAGTTAATTATTTTTATAATCAATTAAATAGAGACTAATCAATTTAAATTTGATAATAGGAATTGAAAGCATTCTTTGGTAGATTTGGAACAATAAAGACAGCTAGATTTAGATCATTACCAGTGTCAAAGGAAGGTGCAAACAGAAAAGCAACATACATTAACAAGGAATTCCATGAGAAGAGAGAGACATGCAATGCTTACGTTGTCTATTCAAAGGAGGAAGAAGCTCAGAAAGCTGCTGACGAAACAAACGGTACTTTGTTCAAGGAAAGACATATTCGTGTTGATTTGGCCTCGAATAAACATGTAAGAATAACAATTCATTGACAGATAGATATTAAATACAGTTTATATTAACTAAAATAATAATTTAATTATTTTCTATTTATAAAAATAGAATAAGGGAAAAGATGAGAATACGGTATTTGTTGGTGGAATTCCATATGAATTGGAAAATGAAGATCTCTTCAAGTTGTTCGAAGACAATATCGGTGATGTTATGAGTGTTCGTATAGTAAGAGATAAGTTGACTGGTCTCGGTAAAGGATTTGCTTACGTGGAGTTCAAGAAGCTGATCAACGCAAGAAGAGCCATCCAAGCTAAGCAACTTAGCATTGGTGAACGTACAATCAGAGTTTTCCCAAATAAACAGAATCCAAAAGGAAAGAACGTTAAATCAGCAAAGGAGAAGAAAAAGATTGGTGACAGAGTACCAAGAAACAGAAAAGGAAACAAGAAAAACAAAAAGTCAGAAGAAACTTCAACATCTGATTAAAATAAAATCTGATTTTATTTTTTTTTTTGCTTTAATTTAAATCAATTGCGAGTTTTTTTTGCTGAGGCAAAAAATCAGAGGCTATGATTTCACGCAAACTTTGAAAATGATTGATTTTGATTTGTTGTGCGGTTAACATCATCTAAAAATGCAGATTTAGTTTGTTCAAAAGAGGTTTAAAAAGTTTCAGGGTATAAGTTCACTGAGCGACAATTAACCTTTCGCAAACATGTTTTTTGATTTTATTTATTTTTTTTTACTCAGTGACACTTTTAACTTGATCAATCATATGAGTGTTTATCAAATGATTTCATTAAGTTTAAATCTCCTCTTTCATTAACAAATAACAATGGAACCAATCTCTGGAAATTCTAGTCAAGTATATATTGTCACTGGTATTGTATTAAACAAATTCAATAATAGTTACACCTTGATCAAATACTAATAAAAATATTTTAAAACAGGTGCAACATCAGGTTTTGGATGGATTTTAGTATACAAGTTGTTGACTGCTGGACACTCTGTTGTAGCAACTACCAGAAACAAGGTCAAGTTGGATCAAAAGGTAGCTGATTATTTCAAGAATGATGAGAATGTCTTAAAGCGTTATTTGGGTTGCCAGGTTGATCTTGCTGATCGTCAATCAATTGAATTGTGTGTCAAACAGACCGTACAAAAGTTTGGAAGAATTGACATTCTGATCAACAATGCCGGATACTACCTCTATGGTCACGTCGAAGATATGTCCGACAAGGAGTTGAGAGATAATTTTGATGGTAATATATATTAGATTTGATTATTTGAAAAAAGAGATACTAATATAAAAATTAAAGTCAACTATTTCGGTCCAGTAAACTTTGTCAAGTTAGCTTTACCATTCCTCAGAGAGTCAGCCAAGACCAACACTACTGGTTCTCGTGTTCTCAACATTGCTTCTATGGCTGGAGTTTCTGGTAATGAATTCATGGGGTAACTATTAAATATATATTTTCTTATCAATTTCAATCAACAAAAATATATTATAAATCGATTCAATGTTAACATTTTTATCTATTTATATCAAATAATTTTAGAATGTCAAGTTATGTATCTACCAAGTTTGCTCTTGAAGGATTTTCCGATGTTCTCTATTCAGAGTTGAAGCCACTTAACATTCATGTTACTAGTGTAAAGCCTGGTGGATTTAAGACTGAGATCTTGACTGAGCCATCACCATGCTCTGCTCACTACCCATCTGCCAACTACCCACATGTCAGTGTTGCCAATTGGGATCAACAAAAGGTTGGTTTGCTTAACGGTGATCCAGTCAAGTTGGTCGATTTATTGATCAAGGTATGCACCAATCCAAACCCACCACAACATTTAGTTATTGGTCCAGATGCCTATGGACTTGTCAATGGTAAATACAAGAGAGTTCAAGACGACATGGCTCTACTCCAAGCTGAGTGCACCGCCACAAACTTTGATGGTATCCCAGCCGCCGCCACCACCAACTAAATAAAAAAAACTAATTCGTTCAATTTAAATTCTAAATAAAAACTTCTATGCGAGAGATTTATTTAATGGGTGTTTTTGTAGTGAATCGGTACTAGCATTCATTGGTTGAAAGCGCATATTATTATTGAGGTAATCTATATTCAAAGTATCTGATGATCCATTCATTGCCTTTTGATAACATAATTTCATATTAGACCTAAAATTTAGTTTTAATTTAAATAATAGGTTAAATATCTAATTAGTTTTGATCAATTCTGAATAACAATTGAATTTCTCTTTAAATTCATACTTTGTTGGGTTAAACTGTGGGTGAAGCATAATATTTTGGTAACCTGAAATGGTAGAGTTGAGTATTGTACACTTTTCATCTTGCAGAACTTTGAGTGTATTAGGGGCATAAGAGATTTCACCTGGGAAGACCATTGCACATCCAACATGAATACAAGATATAACTGAACATATATTTCCAGAGATGTTAAACAGAGGAACATCCACGCAAAAGATATCGCTTCTACTCATAGATTTCTCTTTGGCAAAAGAGATTCCTTTGTTTACTATCATCTCTTGAGATAGTTGAGCACCTGTCTTTCTCTCTTCATCCGATCCTTTGAATACAATTGAAACGGTGTCTTTCATCGATACAGCCTTTTCCAGAGCTTGAATGTCCAGTCCTTTCTTGAGAGCCATGATTCCCATTGAAAGAACACTGATGAATCTTATCATACCAGGACAATCTTTAGGAGTTAGAGATACTACCACTCTGAGATTTGGTAGATATCTGGAGCGTAGGTGTCCCAGTTTAGATGTCTCTAACTCTGGGATTATACTATTGAGATATTGAAAGTAGTATGGTGAATGTGTTGGTTGAATGAATAATGCTTTACAAGAATATATATTTAACACCATTTCAAACTCCACTAGACTTAGATGATCATTCAGGAAAACCAAAATGATACCCAATCTAGTAGATGCCAACTGAGTTAACAACATCTCTACTCTATTTCTACTCCAAATAGCAACTCTATCTCCTTTTGATAAACCTAAATTGAACATTCCAGCTGCCAAATGATCTACTTGTTCAACCATCTGTTTCCAAGTTAAACTGATATTCTGTTCTTTAAATAAAACAGCAACATCATTTGGATATTGTTTTGAATTTTCTACCAACATTTCAAAAATAGTTGGGATATCATTATTATTTTTACTTGTCATTATTATTCTTTATTATTTATTTACAAAAAAATGAAATTAAATTAAAAATTTGTTTTAAAACAAATATTTATCTTTTATTAATATTATTATTATTAAAAATTTCTAAATAAATATTAAAATTATTATATATATAGTAAAATAAATATTTTTTTTTATTTTTTATTTTATTACAAATAGAGAACAATTGGTAAACTTTTAGAACCAACCAAAATCTAGAATACAATAAAAAGAATTATTTAATCCTGGGTACACACTTCTTTAAAGAACCAAATATTTATAATGTGTCACCTTTCCAAAAAGGAATAAAGTTGAAGATGAAATCTATTGGTTTGATTTTGATTTTTCATATTAAATTAAAAAAAATTTTGTTTTTCCTTAAAAAAATAAAATAAAAAGGGTGTTGCAATATTAAACCCAATAAATTAATTGGTTTTTAAAAATGAGGTGCGGAAGGGTTAATATGAACAAAAATGTATGTTTCGTCCAAACATGTTTAAATATTACGCGTTTTAATTTGAAGTGAAAAAAATCCAAATATATATAAAATCTATGATTATCAGAGTATGAATAAAACCGATGTTTTTTTTACACTTGAATTTTTTAATTTTATTAAAATAAATTAATTGGAAAGGTTAGATCGATGAAACGATCTAATTTTAACACGATGCGATGAAGTTATACATAATGAGTCCTGGATTATTAAAACAACTTCCAACGTTGTATTTAATTGGACATTTACCATTGCCAATGTTACAGTTGTTCTCGATGACTGGGCCGGATTGTAGGCAATAGAAAGAGTAACCCAAGTAGATATCGAAATAATTATTTTGAATGAATAGGTATGACAATGGGGTACCTGAACAATCGGAATCGTAGTAGTAGGTGATGGTCATACTATCGCTGATAGAGTTCAAATAGTTTCCTTGGCTAACCTTGAAATTGAAAGCAATACCACTCTTGGCCAAGTGGAAATCTTCACCATTTGTAATCTTGGTTTCGTTGATGATATTGGTCATGCAAGAGGTGGCGTATTGATGAGTGAAGATTAAAAATTCGTCTTCGGAAGCACCTTGGTTGAAACTATATGAGACACCGTTGTCAAAGTCCTTAATACATCCTCCAATGGCTGGTGCAGCATATCCATAAAGTTGGTAATATGGAACCAAATTTACAAAACTATCAGTATATTGTCCATATGCCAAAGCTGAAAATGCGAAAATTGTGAAAAGAATAATAATATTTTTCATTTTTTTATCGGATATATATATATTTATATTTGTTTAATGTTTTTTTAAATAAATATTGTTTTTCGTTGTTTTACAACTTTTTCAGCAATGACATTTATAAAAATTAATCAAAAAAAATCTGATAAAAATGTCGCTAATTTTCCATTTTTGAAATCAAAAAAAGTAGAAAAAAAAGTTAGAAACTGTTTTTTTTGCAACCAAAGATTCGGAGAAAAGATATTTGTGCGAAGAATCTTGATAATCTTGAATCTTTATTATTGTTTGGTAAAAAGGTCATTAAATGGAATCACTGGAATACCATTCCACTTAATAATTTCTTTAAATATTGCTATGGTTGTTGTCGTCATTTAAATCTATATTTTCCATTACACTTTGAATTTCATTTGTATTATTATTATTGTAGTGTGTCTCATTATTATTATTATCTGATGTTTCTATATTACTATCAACATTATTATTGTTATTGTTATTGATTTCTTCTTCTTTTTGATTTTCTTTGTAACTTTCTTTACTGTCGTGATTTGAAACTAAAACTATGGGTTCAATATTATCTGTAGTTTCTTGTGTGATATTATTATTAATGGAAGGTGATTGCTGACCTTCACTTTCTGTACAAACTATATTACCACTTTGCTGAGGAATATCCGATTGAACAATCTCTTCTTCATTCAATTTGCTCTCAGCATCCTCTCCTTCTAAACTATTATTATTATTATTTTGATTATTATTTTCTTCTAAACTTTCATCTGGTATACTTTGATTTTCATTTTCATTCGTAGTATTTACACTGTCACCTGAACTATTTATATTTAAACTGTTGTTGTTATTTTCGTTGTTTGGTTGCTCTTGTTGTTGATCATCTGTTTTCTTTGAATCTTGTGATTGTTGTGGTTTACTCTTGGGTTTGAAAGCTGAAAATAAACTTGAAGTATCTTCTAGAGTAGTCGTCGTGCTTTTGGTGGCGGCTTCTGAAAGTAAATTTGACTCCTTGTAGTTTTGTAGAAAATTGTCGTCTGTATCATTTAAAAACGAGGAAAATATGCTCTCCTTTCCAATCGATAGTCTCTTGTTGCCGGTGCTATCGTCTTTGAGAAGGCTGTGTATGTTTCCTGTGGAGACTGATAGGTTACTATTTGCCAGCTGTTTATTTTTCGATGATACTTTCTGAGCTGGTTTGACCTCTTCACCGCTGAACGCCAAAGGATGTGAATTCGAGGCATCGATAGGTACGATAACACTTCGAAGTGGCGGCGTTGAAGATGATGAAATATTTGATGGATCATCGTCATCGGGATCACGCTCACCCAGCAACGAATAGATCTGACGCATCTTGCTGGAACGCACATCGTCTCTGGCTCTCTCGAGCAGTTGCTTTGCCTGTTGACACTTTGATTCCTCGTCGAATCCCATGTCGACATTCCAGGTGGTTGGATGACTGAAAACACGTAGAATACTTGAGTCGAGATGTGACTGTTCGATCTCGAGACGCTGCAGTGGTGCAATGTGAGTGATAGTACCATAGATACCGCCGGCACTCTTATTGGTACCTTGTTGAGTTGTTGGAACTGTGTTGGGATCGACATTCAACAACAGATTGTGGAACAAAACACCACAGTGTCTTGTTTTCTTTTTGGTCTGTGGCTGTCCAGCTTGTTGAGGAGTGACCTGGTAGTAGTAGATAATATCATAGTTGTCGGTGTCGAGATTGAACAAATCCTTCTCGCGAACCAAAGGAATGTTTGGCTGCTTCAGAGGCAACATTGTATCCTTTCGACGCAACAATGTGAATTTGAGTTCTCGCAGTACGAAAAACTGTTGAATTGCTTTCTGTACCTTTTCAACTTCACCCGATGGCAAACGACGGGACAACGCCAAACGCGATATCGGTGTCTCTGGCACCGGAAGAATTAAAGCGACATCCTTAACCAGTGACTCAAAGTTGATTTGTTTGTATGAACGCAATTCCTCTTCAAACAACTCCAAAAAGAATGGCGCAATATTGCCATTGATACACTCGCGCAGGTTGGCAGTTACCACCGAATATGCCTCCTCCAACAACGATAGCTGTGTCTCTGTCATTTTCGATGGCGACTCTGGTGTGTAGATCAACTCTTTCAGTACGAGCAGTGTCATCTGTAGCGTGACCAAACGGAACTGGTTACTGTTAACCATAATCAAAAACAATCTGTCAATCAAAGTCCTCGTGAATAGCGTTTGACTGGAGTCTGGAACTGGAACAAACTCTTGTTCATCATCCTCTTTGAATCCTCCAGGTTTTATAATCCTCAAGATTGGTGTTGGATCGATAGCTGATGACTGTTGCTCTTGTTGCTGTTGTTTTTTGAAAGCTTTTGAGAGTGCAGATGTTGATGGATCGGGTTTACCAGAGAAAAGCTCAAACTGGTCGTCGACGACCTCACTGAAGAGATCGCGCTTACCCACCGAGTTGGAGAGGTTTGGTGACAAACGTGCATGTGACTCTGACTTGGAGCGATAGTGCGAAGAGATATTTGGCATTGACGAAGACATCACTGGCGATCTTGTCTCAGGTGAGAGCAGACCTTCCAGCAACTTTTTGGCCTTCGCCAGCCGGTATGGTAACATTCCACCGTTCTCCAAGATCTTCTTATCGATAATAGTATTCTTCAAAAATGAATAGAGCATGCAGACAACACCGAATGTCTCACGATCGCTACGAATCAACTGGATCAACGCTTCTTTGAAATCGTTTTTACTGTACTTTTTGGCGGAACGACTGCCACCACTCTTTTCCAAAACAAAATTAGAGTCACCCGACATGTTGGTCGATCCACTATCGATAGAACTGGAGAGCTCTGATTTCTGTACTCGATGATGTATCTCATGACCCTTTCCAAGTAAAATATCACCACTTGGCGATGACATATTAGAAGTAGATTCAACCTCTGCCATATCTTCACCATCACTAAAAGTTTGATTATTATTATTATTGTTATTGTTGGAAGTTGACAAAGTAGATGATACAGCAACATCCTTATTTTCTTTATCTTTTTCTTTTTCTTTTGTTTGTTGACTTGGTGTTGGTGAATTGTTTGTACTTGTCCTCAGTGAACCCTTCTTCTTTCTAGGTGATATGGGTGATCCGTTGCTGCTACCACCGTTGCTGCTGTTTTCGAGTTGTTCCAAGTTGGGGAACGATGAGAATCTTCTGAAACTGTTGTAGTGTTTGCGCTGGCTGCTTAGGGTAGTGAGAGGTGGCGGTGCCGACACCGACGTCGAAAGCATCAGACTCTGCGATGGCGTGGTCGATGCAATGGCAGACGCCACCGTGTCAAGCAGTGGCTTAAAAGTGAAAATATGAAATACCTGTGAAAGCAAGAAGAGCGCCAGCGTAGGTGACAGTCGATCTTCGAGAGTGTCGCCTGCGGTGCCATTCCTGTTGTTATCCAGTAGACTGCCGATGAGCAGCGGGAATATCAGATACTGAATAAACTGTTCGGCCAACACCAAATTCATTGAATCGAAGCCCAGATTGAATATATCGTGTAGGTAATAGAATTGATCGGTCAACTCCTCCACATAGTAATTCAACTGACTGATATTATCGTGATTCGACTTCTCCAGAATCTTATGGAGTTGCGCACACTCCTGTCTGATAAACCAAACGATATTCGAAAAATATGGAACTGCTGTTGAATTTATAATATAAGCACGCATTGCTTCGTCTTCGACTATAAGGCAGAGCAAAGTAAATAGTAGTAGTAGTAGTAGTAAGTAAGTAAGTAAGTAAATGATAATCTATCTATCTATCCAACTTATTGACATAAGCTTTGCTTGTCAGTTTAAAAAAGTTACCTACCTTTGAATACATTTAAAGTAAGAGTTCGAACGGCAATCCTAACCATGGTCTCTTTGTGATTGATAAACTTGATGGCTTCTGTATACAATGGAAAATCCTTCTCCTGCCCATTGAAGAAGAAGTTTACGGTGCTCTTGTCGAGCTTAAGCGATAACGCTTTTAGAAATGATATATAATAGTCGAGTACCTCTTCATTGGAAAAGTCATACTTGTGTATAATAATTTCATTAATGAAATTATTTGATAAAAGATAATCTATTATTTGATTTGTTGATTTGATTGATTAATTATTATTATAACCATATGACATAACTACTAACTAACTAACTATTACTTACAAATTGATAATTCTTTCCTCAGATTCTCAACTAGAATACTAAGTGTCTGAAGAAGTTGAATGATGACGTCGGACGATGTCTTTTGCTCGAGAATAGATACAAAGAAACCCAGTAGATTCTTCTCGAGAAAGAATTCAAAGAGTGTCGGATTGTTTTGATCACCCCAAATCAGTACCTCTGCCATCTGTCTCAGTGTCTCTACCATGACACTCGAGTTTTGCGGTGTAATCACTGGATTCTTTAATAGTATACTATATAGATACCTTTTTGTTTGTATTATTAAAAGATAGGATAGTTGTGGTAGTAGGTAGTAAATTCATTGTTAATATAAACGAAATTAAATGAATCTATCCGATAATAATAAATATTAAAAAACAACATACTTTAAATTATCCAATGAATATTTATTCTTTGGTTTCATCAAAGACGAAAAGATATTCATTGTTGTTGTTGTTGCTGTTGCTGATGTTATATATAAAATTTAAAATATTAAAGTATTGGTACTGTGTGGGTCGTAATAGTAGTGGTGGTTGTTGATCAACCTATCTTCTTCTTCTTCTCCTTAACAACTAAATTTCCTTTATAGAATCAATATCAATGACAACATCTATAGAATTTCCTAATCTTATATTTTATTATATATAAATATACTATATATTTGCTGGTGTGTGTGTTGATATTACTCTACTTAAAGCTGTAGTTGTTGTTGATTTTTAAACAAAAAAAAACCAATAAATCTATCAAACTATCAAAAAAATACCTTATAAATTGTATGTTTGCTTATGAAAATGAACACACAAACAAAAAATAAATCTAAAAATTAAAATAAAAAAAACAACAACAACACAAACAAATTAAATGATTATTATCGGATATATATATTGAATAAAAATTTTTGGTTGTATCAATTATTGATGTTTTTATTGTTTTTGATTATTATTTGTTGGATTTGATATTCTATCTATGATTTGATTGATTATTATTTATTTAAATTTGATTGATCTACTACTGCTCTATCAAAATCTAAAAAACTATTTAAAATAAAAATATATGTGTATATTCTATTCTATTCTTATAAGATGTAGTGAAAGCAGATGATGATGAACAAAAAAAAATAATAAACAGATGAATGTTAATTATTAATTTTTTTATTTTGGAATAATAGTAGAGCAGAAAGTGCAAAAGGTATGAAGGAGAAAATGAAGGGGATTGTTTTGTCAAACATCTGTTTGATGAGCAACTCCTGACATACCACCACCATAAGAGAGGTGCGGGTGGTGGGACTTGAACAAAAAAAAATCGTACTCTAAATTTCAATTTTATTAGTTTTAAATGAAGTTGCAACCTATAATAAAAACACGGTGCTGTTGACTCATATGGTGTCAAAATTATAAAAAAAATAAAAAAAGTTTAAAAAAATTAAAATAGATATTTTTGACCATATCAAGAAAAAACGAGTATTGTTAACTGATCAAAGAATATCATGAAAAAGCAAAACATGGCTCCAATTAAAGTTGACAAATAAAAAAAAATATACAAAAAAAAAAATCATTTTTATATTATTTGTTTGCTTAGGTCTATTGAGAAATAACAATTAAATCAATGATTATATCATACAAACTATTCCTTTTCTTCAATCAAATACTTTGTTCAAAATTATTAGTATATTATTAAGTGATTTTTATTTTCATATTTTTCTTGTTCTGTTTCTTAATTGGTTTTAAATTTGATAGATAATATTCCTAGTCATACTTTATATGTTAGTCAATCAAAAAAAAAAAAATGATATCGTTCTTAATAAAATAATAACTTTGGGAATGATATTCTTATTCTTTTTATTCTTTTTTTTATTCAACTTTATTTTATAAAGTTAGAAATAAACGTTTATTATAAACTATATGTTGTTTATTATATTTATTGTTTATATTATATTATATCCGATTTTAATTAAATGTGATGAATATAATTATGTTTTTTTCCTTTGGCTCTGATCAATTATTTTGCTCACTATCAAAAAATTCTGTAGTTCAGGTGATTTCAATAATTTCACATTTTTTCATTTTATTTTTATTTTATTTTAATTTTTTTGAGTGGGTGTCTGGAGTGAGACTCTGTGGTGTGTGGGTCTCGCACGATTCCTGCTCTGATTCCCTCTCGCTCATAAGATAACAAAGTGGATTTTTGAACCTCCTTTTAGCTTTATCTCTCTGTGTAAACCATGTCCAGAAACTGTGAGTTTATATTATATATTACTCTATCCCTTTCTATCATCTATCTATCACAGGTTTAGGATTGGATTGATGAATTGTAGAGGTGCAGAAATGATGTTAAGAAGCATTTGGTTGACTAGAAGATGATGATAGATGATAGTTGATAAGAGGTGAAACAGGAACACGAAACTAACATTGGTTATTATATATTACGATATAATTAGACAGTAGAACAAACTCTACCCCACGTCGTCCATTCGAGAAGGAGCGTCTCGACAACGAACTTAAGATTGTTGGTGAGTACGGTTTGAAGAACAAGAGTGAGGTATGGAGAGTACAACTCGCCCTTGCCAAGATCCGTAAGTCTGCTAGAGAGCTTCTCGTTCTTGACGAAAAGGATTCAAGACGTATGTTCGAGGGTGCTTCACTCCTCCGTCGTCTCCACAAATTGGGTGTCTTGGAAGAGTCAAAGAACAAGCTCGATTATATTCTCAATCTTAAGGTCCAAGATTTCATGGAACGTCGTCTCCAAACTATGGTTTTCAAGCAAGGTTTGGCCAAGTCCATCCATCATGCTCGTTGTCTCATCAAGGGTAGACACATCCGGTATGTAGTAACAACCAACAATAGAGCATTGCATTAAATATAATAGTACTAACAATAGCACCTCATCTATCATCAAAATAATATAGTGTTGGTAAGCAATTAGTCAACGTTGCCTCATTTTTGGTCCGTGTTGATTCCCAAAAGCACATCGGTTACCATCCAAACTCACCATTCGCTGGAGGTAAGCCAGGTCGTCGTGCCAGAAAGGTTGCCAAGTCAAAGAATGCTTCCAACGAAGAGGAAGAGAACTAAACGATCTTCTGTTGTCCTAAATAATAAAGAAGCAATGGTTTACACTTATTAAAACAAAACTAAAATCACATACAATCAACAACCTTTCTCTATCTCGATCTTCTCTTTGTTGACAGTTAATATTAATTTAGTTTTTTTTTTTTTTTCAAATGACAACAAACATATATATATATCTTAAGTTTAGTTTTATAATAATAATATTATTGTTGTTTATTTAGTTTTAAAGATTTGTATCATTATTTGAATATAACAATAGAGTACACCTACTGAACAATAGATGGAAGTCAACATCAACGATAGGAAAGGTAGTCTTGCCGCTAGATAAACGGGATGAATGAAAATATTAAAGATCTCGAGTGGAATGATACCGATGACATATAACAATTCCAATCGTGTTAAACTGAATCTCTTTGATTGATCGTTGTTGTCTAACTTTGATTGCAATGCCAAATACAATGCAAGTGTATATGTAAGCAATATTGCGATTCTAATTGGTATTTCCGTACTTTGGAATAGTAGTGGGAATAATGAGTAATGACCAATAGTAGATAATACAAAGTAGATTCTAGCCAATTCAATTGAATCTAATGCTAATAATCTATAGGGAGTTATAATATAATAATGTTAGTGATCTAAATGTATTAATAGCTTAGTCGTAATCAATTTGTCAAAAGTTAAACAACATACCCAAGTGGAATGGTTACCATGATGATTGCTTTCTCATGAACATGCCATCCAAACATAAAGAATGAGAAACAGCATTGTGTAACACCCAATATGAATACTCTAAGTTTATTAGACTTTATAATACCATAAAGTGATGGCTATATATATATATATAAAAAACATAAGTTAGTTATGTTGTTTATCAAAATATTATTATAACAATTTAAGAATGATTAATAATAACTTACCAATAATGAAATGATAGTGATTAATAATGTTATTAATGGTGTGATTGCAGGTAGAATTACATGTGCTTGTGTATCACTGTCTACTAAACCAGAGGTGAGCATACCCGCCTCGGCAGACATATCGATTCCAAAGTATTTAGATTTCACCATGATTGCAACTCTGTCAACGAAATTGTAGAATGCCCAAAAGTTTGGTGCCCAGTAGGCATGTGTTAGACCTCTGCCAAATGGGAACAGTCTAGATAGAAGCTGTGGAATCTGTCCGTAGTAAATGAATGGTCCCAATGAAACACTAAAAACGACCAACACAGTTACACCCAATCCAATAAACTTCATAAAATTGATACCTTTAAAGTTTAATTTATCATCTAGTGGCCAGTGAACAAAAATAAAGAATGTTAACATTTAGTTTAAGATTTAAGAACAGTTATGATTGCAATATAGTCTAAACATACCTCTTGCAATACAATAGTATAGCAGTAAGTAGGTGAAATAAGCGGGTGCCAAATACATATAGATATGTTTAAAGTTCAAGAGAATTGCAAATACCAATCCACCTAGCAATGGTCTATTGGTTGACATAAAGTAGATCGATAATAACATTATACCCTTTAGGAATCCATTATATTGGAAGTGAATATCTAGTTTATAAATATTAGCATCAAATTTGATATATAAACCAAAAAAATAAAATAAAATAAATTTACTTACGATCTACCATTAACAATCCTGGATTACAAATTAAAATTGCAAATACAATAAACTTGGAATCTTTATAGAATGATGTTGATTCTTGTTGATTGTTGTTATTACTGTTATTGTTGGTGTTGTTATTAGATGAGAATAATGATTGAGATAATAGATATGATGAAATGTAGAATAGTAGATCTGTAATGATAACAGAGAGTCTCTGGAATATTAAAGTTCTCTCTGATATATAGTTTAGATTGCTAACTACTAGCATTTTCTCATCGAACAATCTAGCAAACAATGATAATGTATATTCGAACCACGCAAAGAAAGGTGGATAATCCAATGTCCATATTGATGTCGCTTCAATATACCATTTCGAAACTGGTAATGATGATGTTATTGCTAACCAATTACGATGAACTTCAAAATCTGTACTTGTACTATATTTATACAAAAAATATCATATCATATTATTTATTGTTAATAATAATGATCTTTATTTAATAAAATGTTAATTAAAATGTATATAATTATTACATACTATGTTGGAATAAGCAATAGTTTCAATGCTGTACATAAAACAGCTAGATTCAAATATCTAAAGTAATGATCATAGTTTGTTGTTGTTGTTGTTGATGACTTTGTTTGTTTTACACCTTTATTTGGTGATTTAGATGTCATATTCAATATATATTAATGAATAGCTGACACAATAATAAATTAATCAATCATTTAATCAGTCAATGAGTCATTGCTGCCAACAAGTTGAAAAAGTTTTTTTTCACTTGAAGTTCAAACCTTTGGTATTAATTAATAAATCTTTATAAAAAAAAATGATCATCTAGAATTAAATTCATTTATTTATTTATTTATTTATTTATTGTTCAAACTGTACAGATGCTTTAATGAGATCATTCACTGATTTCACTTTAGAATTAAGATTGTTAATAGTACTTGACTTTTCATTCTCTAACTGATTGGATTGTTTCGAAAGTTTTTCATTATCTTCTAATAACTATTATTAATTAAAATGATATCATTAATAAGTTTGTAATTAAGATTGTTGTTATTGTTCGAGCAGCTTACATTCTGATAAATAGCATTAAGTCGATCGTATTCATTCTGTTTCAATTGTGATACGTTTGTTAAAATCAAATCGGATGGATCATCTAAACTAAAGAGTGGACATCTCTTGCCATTGTCCAACAAAGGTTGTTCTCTGATGAGTTGATCTATCTGTGAAAGTATTGCCGCAATCTGTCTTTCTTTACATATCTCTAGAAACTCTTTCTATATATATAATATGGTAATAATTAGTTAGTTCGTAAGTAAACTACTGTCTTTTTTAATTAAATAAAAGACAATCACATCATACATTTATATTATCTGTTAAAGTCTGACAAACGGTTCTATGTATAATTACAAGTATTGATTTAATTGATTTGGTATCGAGATCACTGAAACACTCTTCGAATCTCTGTATTGTGAATTCATTGATCGAGTTCTCTATCAACAATTCAAAGAACATTCTAAGTTTTGTCATTCTGATACCGTCATCTTCACCCAATATCCTCAGGACATGATCATGATCATCTTTACTGAAATTAAAAGATCTATCCATATTAATCTAACTCTCACTTCTTTCTTTCTCTTTCTTTATCTATCTAATTGATTGATCAGTTTCTAAAAAATATTAATAAGTTTTAAATTTGAATTTAAATTTCATCAAAAATGTTTCCCGCCTTTTTTTTTTCATCATAATCAACACTAATAATATTCATATGAATGTTTGTTGTTTTAAACAATATAGTTTGATTGTTTTTATTCTGAAATAGTTGCTAATTGAGGTGGTAATGTTTTCTTTACTTTGACTGATTCCGTTTTCAATTGACCACATGCAGCGAGAATATCTTGACCTCTGCTCTGTCTTATGGTCACTTTAAGTCCGGCGTTGGCAATGATCGATGCAAATTCCTTGATCTTCTCTGGTTTGCTACATTGATAGGGTGCACCCGGCCACTTGTTGAATGGGATCAGGTTTACGAGTGATGGAAACTGCTTGATGAGTCGCACCAATTCCAGTGCATCTTCGGCACTGTCGTTGACACCATCCAACATCACATACTCAATGGTGATCTTATTGGTGTTGAGCTTTGAGAATTCTATGCATGTCTTGATCAGCTCTTCGATTGGCCACTGTTGATTGATCGGCACGATCTCTGAACGTGTCTTGTTGTTCGATGCGTGCAGACTGATTGCCAATCCGATGCCAGGGAACTCCTTGCCGAGTCTTTCAATGAGAGGCACCACACCCGATGTCGAAACTGTAATTCTGCTCTTGCTCAGACTCAGACCGTTCGGATCTGTCATAATCCTCAGTGCCGCACTCGCCGCTCTATAATTCATCAATGGTTCACCCATACCCATAAATACTACATTGGAAATCAATCTCTTCTCTGTTGTATGTCCGAAATCATTCATCAAAGATCTTGCCATCATGAATTGTCCCAACTATATAAATAAAATATTAATAAATAACATTATAACACAATATATATATGTATATATATATAATTGATATTCTTACAATTTCAGAAACATTTAAATTACGAACTAATCTTTGTGTACCGGTGAAACAGAATTTACATCCAAAAGTGCAACCGACTTGCGACGAAACACAGAGAGTACCACGTCTTGCTTCGGGAATGAAAACAGTCTCTACTTGATCACCAGAGAATCCGACCAGTATCTTACGAGTACCATCTTTCGAGAGTTGATCAGAGTCTAGTGTTCCATAGTCTATATGATAGTATTCTTTCAACAATGATTTCTGTACATTTGAAAGATTCGAAAAGTTATCGATATTCTTCTGACCCTTATTGTAAATCCACGACCAAATCTGATCGATTCTATAACTTTGAAAATCACCCAACTCTGTCAATTGTTTAGTAAGATCTTCCTTTGATATACCAATCAGATTTTTGGTTTTCTTTGGTGTAGCGACCACTGGTGAAGCAACACCAATATTTATATTATTTAATGTATTTATAGTGTTACTTGAACATCCACCACCACATCCACTACCTGTTAATAATTTATAACATCTTCTAAACATTATGAGAGATTCATATAAAATAAATATATAAAACTATTAATTAATTTTGTAATTCATTATTCGTTTATTTGTTTTTTTTAAAAAAAAAAAACCGAATGATCTAGTTTTTTTTTTTTTCGCTGTCAAAAGTATAGTATTTAATTGAAATAACTTAAATAAATTGAGGAGTATCTTTATTAACTATTCAATATGATATCATCATTGTCTCTGAGTAGTTTAATTATGATTATTATCTAACTAAAAAAAAAGAAAAGAAATTGATGTTTGTTAAAAAGATATATTCATCTTGGAAGTTGAAAAAATCTGATTGAAAGATATTTTATTTTTCGAATATCAGATTCTTATTTAAAAAATATAATGATCAATGGCTGTTTACAAAATATCTTTGACATTTCTTAATAATTTTTTTTTAATACTTAGAAAGTAATAATAATAATAGTTAACTAAAATGAATAAGAAATCATTGTATATTGGTGTTATGTCAGGAACATCATTGGATGGAGTAGATACAGTCTTGGTTGATTTCAAAAATGGAATAACAAGTGATATAGAAGTGTTATGTAGTTACTCAGTTGAGATGCCATTAGATATAAAACAAATGATTCTATCAATGTGTCAAGGACAATCAATAACATTACAGACTTTAGGAACATTGGATCATAGACTGGGTTTATTATATTCTGATGCTATCAATGCATTGATTGCAAAGTCAGGTGTCGCTAGAGAAGATGTTATAGCAGTTGGTTGTCACGGTCAAACGGTTTGGCATCAACCAAGTGGAGAGCACAGATTTTCAATGCAAATCGGTGATTGCAATCTGATTGCAGAAAGGACCAATATCACTGTGGTTGGAGACTTTCGAAGAAGAGATATGGCGTGTGGAGGTCAGGGTGCACCACTTGTCCCAATATTTCATCAGTATCTATTTGCAAGTAAATCATCTCTAGAGAATATCGCAGTTTTGAACGTTGGTGGAATATCAAATATAACAGTTCTTCCAGCTGGTTGCAACGATGGTGAAGCCGGTTCACTTTTAATCAGAGGATACGATACCGGACCAGGAAATATCTTGATGGATTCATGGATTTCAAAATGTAAAGGTGAAGCTTATGATAAAGATGGCCGATTTGCAGAGAGTGGTACAACTTCAACGGAACTGTTGGATACCTTTTTGTCAAATGAATTCTTTAGTAGACAACCACCCAAGAGTACAGGAAGAGAGTTATTCAATATCGAATGGTTAAATAACCAATTGGACTGTTTGACTAAACAGAGAAATGGCAATAAAATTAGCAACCAAGATGTACAGGCAACACTTTTAGATTTAACAGTTGAATCAATTTCAAGAGAGATTGAAAAGATAGGCTGTCAAAAACTGATAGTTTGTGGTGGTGGAGCAAAGAATTTGTATTTCATGAAAAAACTATCTGGTAGACTTCCACAAGTTAAAGTAGCTAAATCCATTGAATATGGAGTGGATGGTGATTTAATTGAATGTTTAGCATTTGCTTACCTTGCAGAGTGTACGATCAATGGTAAACCATCTAATGTTCCAAGTGTAAGTGGTGCTTCTAAACCATCTATCCTAGGTGCAATTTACATGAAACAAAAATAATAAATCTTAAATAAATAATGTATAAAAGAATCAACTTACAAATATATTTTTAAAAAAAAAAGATTTATTTAATGTTGTTGGGGATTTAGTATAAATTTCTTAACAAAATGTGTTGTGAAACCATATTGTCCAATAATGGGTACATCTTGTTCTATAAAGAAATATAGTTGATTATAATCAATTACCAAGTTTTGTGGTATTATTACATCTTGACGTGGTAGGCTGTCATTGTTGACAAAATGTTCTTTTTCTTCTTTTTCAGGATTGAATAGTTTGAGAATATTTTTAGATCTATATTGATTGGGTGTTGAAATTGGTACAATCCTATACAATAGTTTGGTATCTATTGGAGTTGATATAGGAACAACAATGTTTGGGTTGGAAGTATATTGAAGATGTACAGCTTGATTTTCTAAAGTACCTGGAGGAATTACTATAACTTCTTGTTCTTGTGTTGGAAGTCTTATAAGTTGAATTGCCATTGGTAGTTTCATTGTTCTTAGTAAATACAAATCTCTAATTAAATTTAACATAAAATTGAAGAAAGATAAACCTGTAGCAACTAGACATGCATTAAAGCCAACTAATAATTTAACAGATTAATAAATAAAAAGATAAAAAAAGTAAAAAATATTTTATATCTTACGTTCTGTTCCCCATTCTCCACTTAAATTTTTTCCGGAAAATCCATTACAATTCAATAAAATACATAGATTATAACCCTGAACTCTATCTTTAATATTGATGAATGTGAATAATGACACCAAATGGAAAGCATAAAGTAGGAGAGAAGATATTAAATTTTGTTGAACCCAATATCTAGATCGTTTTTGAATAATTGTTCCAAAGAGGCAGACAACACTGAAAATAAATGATATTAAAGCTAAATATTGTAAAATAGCAATTACAACCATTAAACGTGAAGAACTATCGGGTCCAAAATCATCTTTATAATATAAAATGAATGATTTATCTTCCTATAAATACATATAAATTAATAATTATTTTTTTGGTTTTGATATTTTAATATTTATTTACATTATAAAGTTTATAAAGATCAAAGTTTAAAGATTGACCATTATAAGATATTTGATACCATTTAAAAAAAAGACAACAAAAGGTAATAGAGCATATTGCGATATTGAATGTTAAAATTAACGACAACATACAATTTCTCTTTACTTCATTATTCATAAAGCTATTAAGAATATTTAGTTTTCTTTTATTCATTTTATTTCCATATATTAATATAATATAAATGAGAGAATAGAATTAAAGTTTATTACCAATGTCAAGTAACATTTTTTATATGTTCAAAAAAAAAAGTAGATTGGTATTAACCTAGTGGTAACACTTGATTCAAGATGATTTTATGACACTTTCACTCAATATGTGTATGATCAAATATCAATATCGGAATATTAATTTTTACTATTTTTGGGGGGAGGTAAACAAATAACAAATAATAAATAGCAAATAAAAAATAAATATATTTATTATTTACATGATACAATTTATTGAGATGTATTACAATGATTTGTTGTTAAAAATATTTTTGTAAGAGAATTGAGGCAGATGGTCGACCAAGTTTTGGAGCAATCATTCTATTGATTATTTCACATTGATTTGGGAATAGGTTCAAGAGAATTGGATCGTCGATTTCGTGGTCCTTTAAAGCTAGTAGTTTAGGATTGAGTGTATTGGCGGAATCTCCGTATACCATTCTCCAAAGCATTTCATAGAAGATGACACCAACACTAAAGACATCGGTAAGCTCGTCTACACCATAGCGACCCTCGTTTTGCTCAGGACTGCAGTAGATTTCGGTACCAAACTTTTTGCAACTCTTTACCAATAGATTTGAATGGCTGGATATTCCGAAATCACAGAGCTTTACAATTGGATTGCTGCTTCCATCTCCGTCGAATTTAATGAGCGTATTCGAGGGTTTAATATCGCAGTGGACGGTATGTTTGGAATGTAGGTACTCTAGAGCCTTTAACAATTGCATAATGATCTTTGTGGCCACGGAAACATCGATCAAACGAATGTTGGACTCCATCCATTTTTGGAGAGTCGTTTGACACCACTCCATCTGGATATACAAAACAAATTGATTTTCATAATCTAAATCCAAATTATTATTTTGTGATTCTTGTTTTTCCGAATAGCAATTAAAACTATTATTATTACAATTATTATTATCAATATTATTGTTATTACTAATACTATTATTGCTATAGTTGGAACAATTACTATCACTATCATCGCACACACTTAATGTTCCATCGGTTTCAAAATTGTATTTAGGTTCGGTGTTGGACTTCTCTCCGGAGGCAACAGCATCCGGACAATGTGATTGCATTTCTACCCAGGAGCTATAAAGTCTGACAATGTTAGGATGGTCGAACAATGCATGTAGCTGTAATTCATTGATGGAATCCTTGGTGAAGGCAACACGCTTAACGGCATAGAAAGCGTTCTCCAATTGCTTATAGCACTTGAAGACCTTTCCATAGGCACCTCTTCCAATCGGTTCCTCTGTTGTAGTGAAATCGGATTGGAAACGAGAGAAAGTTGAAGTTTGTGATTGCTTAATAGTAGTGGCAAGTGTACTTAATCTCTCTCTATTCTCATCGTCCTCCTTATTAACTACATCTTTGTTGAATTCGATGGCATCGATTAGTGTGATGGTCGGTAACGACGATTTGTTGGATCTTGAGACTTCATGACTTCCCGATGATGAGTTGCTCTCAGAGGAGATATCTTCTGTGGTGAATGGTAGTTGGAGAGCTCTACAGTTTGGTGTAGTTCTAAAAAATGGTTTTATATAGAATCTATTTGTTGTAGTATTTTTAGAAAGTAAAAAATACAATGAAATTCCTTCTACCTTAAAATTTAGATAGGAAGGAGTCTTTTCACTACGTCTTGTCAAAGACCTGAAATAGGTTTTATGTGCACCCAACATCTCTTTTTCATAATATGATGTTGGGTGTAAACATAAAAAAAATATTTTATAAATACAACTAACTATTTATATTTATATATTATTTTCTTAATAAGGGTTTTTTAATGTAAGTGCACTAAATTTGATCATCAACTTTGCTAAATTTTTTGAAATTAAATTTTTTCATTTTATTTTTATTTTAATTTATTTTATTTTTTATTTTTTATGCAATTTGCATATAATTATCTTCATTATTCTGATGAATTTCTTTTGTTGGGTATAAAATTGACCATGCTACCAAAATGATGATGATAAGCAAAGTGTCGAAAATATAGAATGTCAAATGATGAAATCTCTTGAAATAATGTATGATTCTGTAGATTGATCTGATGGTCAGAAGTGTGATAGCTAGGAAGAGACCAAAGAATATCAATCGCCAAATGGTTGGTAAGTTTTCCATTTTCATTTTATATTCTTGTCTCAAAAGCGAATATACTCGACAGCAACAAATAAAACAAATGATATAGACGATTGTTGTCATGAAAAGACCCACAATAACAATGGCTCTTCCTGCTATCCGAGTGTCTGCCTTTGAATACATATAGGAACCGATGATCTGTACTATTGAAGATGATATCAATCCAAGTCTAACCTTTCCTTTTGATAGATTTACATTGTAATAATGTTCTTTTACACTTTTATATATATAAGATGTTAATATATCATATAGTTTCTTTTTTTTTTTAAACTTACACTTTAGCAACAATATTATACCAACCAAATGTTATTAGATTTGGTGGTATTAATATTAATACTTGTTGTACTACATATAGTACAAAGGAGTCAGTATGATATACTGCAGCGAATCTAACGAAATATCCTATAGATTCAGCTATTTGTTTTATTTAGTTTCAGAAATCTATTGATTAATAAAATTTTTAAATCTTACAAACAGAACCAATTAAAACATAATTAATTGAAGATTTTGGGTATTTGTATTTTTCTATTAAAATGACAATGGTAATTACTGTATAAACTACTGCCGATGCCAAAGTAAGAATTCTATTTAAATCTCCACTAAAATATTCATGATTATTTCCATTATGATATGATCTATCAACAGTATTATTAAGTATATTATACATTTATTCAATTTTATAGTTTGTAAAAGAATAAATAAAGAATCATCTTTTAATATATGTAATATTATTATTTTTATTAAACTCATTCATTATTGATGACACTTATTTTTATTATTTTATCATGTACTAGGATTGGTCATTTAATAAAAAAAGAAAAACACAGGTGTCAATAAAAGGTAATCAATTATATATATTATAGTATCAGTTTTATTTTATTTTTTATTATTATAATGTTTCAAGAGAATTTATTCAAAACCCATTGTTTACATTGTTCTTCATTTGAATTTGGATTCTCCAATTGCCATTCGAATACCTCTTGCAAAACTGGTGCTAACCAAGCACCTGGTTTTTTCTTTAATAATTCCATTACTTGTTTACCCTGTTGTTTGTAAATTTATAATTATTATTAACATTTTTAACATCAGTATTAGTTATTTTAATTACAAAATACATACATCTAATAATTTCTTTGTATTCCAAATTCCAACTAAATTATGTGATGCAACACTTGCACAAAAGTTGTCATATTTCGATACTATCTTCTTTGCATCTTCACATACTAAATATGATTGTTGTTGTTGTTGTTGTTGTTGTTAGTTGATATAAATACAGTGATTAGTTAAAATCCTATGTTTTGTTTCGTTTTAAGAATAACTTACAAGGTGGATGGTGTACATGTGGATTGTGTGAGTGAAGATGGAAGTCGTGCATTGGTGATCTTGGTACTGGTGAACCATCTGGATTCTCAAGTCTTTGGAATGGATAGACAATAGATCTGTTGTATTTGGGTAGTTCTGAAATCAAAGCATTGGCAAGTGCAACTCTCCAGAGAGGTCCTGCTTTGTATACGATCAAACCAACATCCTTTCTCGAAAAACTACCATTATCATTTAATTTCTGAACCTCTGGCTTGAATCTATCTGCACATTCCAATACATTCAACACATCATCATAATCTTTATTAGAAAACTAAATATAAATGTTATCATCATTATTAATATTTAATAAATATTGTTTTTAATTATTTATCATATTGTTTTAGTGTTAATAAATATTACCTTTAAGAATTCAACGATTGTATATTGAATAGCTGGAATAGTTCTATTCTTTTTTGTTGTAAAAGTATAGTTGTGGAATACCTGTAGCAAAGAAGAGAGTAATCTAATCTTTCTGGTTGGTAGTTCCTCGGTGGTCGAACCCCAACTGATAAATCTCATCATATTCAATATATTCTCTGCAGCAATGTATTGATAATTCTTTTCTTTAATTGCTATTAATTATTAATATTCTAATTAGTATTACTTATATTATATATAAATATATTTATATTGTTATTATTAATATGATACATTACTAACACCTTCAGGTAAACTAAAGATATGATCGAATAGACCGAAATGATTGATCAAGTGAATAGCGAGATCAGGTCTTGGACCGGATAGCATTCCGTCGAGTTCGATTCCGACACGTTCGTGTGATACCTTTGAAGCGAGTGCATCTTTTACGGTGGAAGATGATGCTGCCTCTACTAACTTGTGGTCGATAGCATAGTACAATCTAGTAGCAAATCTAATAGATCGCAATACACGCAATGGATCATCGAGAAAAGTGGTCTGTGGTGGCAGTGGTGTTCTTACGATTCCACATTTCAAATCATCGACACCATTACCTGTGAAATCTTCAATCTTATTCTCATTGATATTGTAAAACAATGAATTAATAGTTAGATCTCTTCTGTATGCATCTTGTTCAGGTGTTCCAATTGTCTATTATTATTATTATTATTATTAAAAAAATTTCAATTATTAGTTTATCTAAAAACTCTTCTCTCCTGTTTGTTTAATGATTAATTTAGATAATATATATAGATATATATTCTTACAATTTCAGGTATACGTGAATGATCTGAATAAGTCTCTGATCTAAGATTTACGAAATCGATCCACATATCATAGATTCTAACGGTGGCAGTCTCCAAGTGTTTCGATTGTGCAGGATTCGATTGAATGACACCGATTCTGTGTGTTTCTTGTTTGTGATCTTTCAAGTATTGATTTACCAACGATGCAAATGCTTCTCCCATCATATTATCCAATGCAATATCAATGTCACTTGAATGATCACCTCTTAACTATTAAGTATGTAATTAAATTGAAAAACAATTGGTTAGCATTATATTTCTTTCTTTTTCATTCTTTTTTATCTAAAATCATATATTCTTGTAAACATACTTTATCTCTAACCCAACCACCAGCAACTCTTAAAACAGTACCACATTTAGTTTGTTCAACGACTTGCAGTAATGTTTGAAACAATTGTTGTTCTACTTTAGTTATATTCAATGGAACTGTCTCTCCAGATTCACCAATTGCAGTATATACAATATTGTTTTCATCTAAATTGTCATCTGAAGTTGTAGTTGTAGTAGTAATAGTAGTAGAAGTAGTGTTATTGGTAGTTGCATCAGATTGATGTGGTTTCTTATGAAAGAATTGATTGTCATGTTTGTTTGAACTTGAAATCAATGTTATTGGAATATGTTTAGTTTTCATTCTTTTTTCATTATGTTGTTGATCTTCTTCACTCATCTCTCTATATATATATATATATATATAAATATATAAATCTATTCTCTAAAGTAATCAAATCTAAATTATAATGCAAATGATCGAAGGTGTGTGTTAATTATTCTGTTTTGAAGTTAAGAAAAAAATAGGAATTTCCAAATTAAGATCTTATAATTTTCTTTTAAAAAAATAAATATAAAAAGTTGTTGTTGTTGTTTTTTTTTTTTAATTAAAGATTTTATTTCATTTCGATAATCTACTTTCTTTCTCAAACCCATGTGAATTTCTCAATGTTTACCATTTGAGATTGATTGGTTGTGTCTGAGGTGGTAACTCCACCGGTGGTGTGGTCTGGATTGATGAATGATACAACCATTGGAACGGAACCATTTCTCGATTGAAGTGGTTGGTTGATGTACTCGACGTACTCTTTGGTCAAAACACTGGATTCACTCCACCAGATCTTGACCTTCTTGAGGTTGAATCTCTGAGCTTCTTCGTAGGCCAAGTCGACCAACAACTTGAACTTCTCCTTGGTCTCGGCGGCCAAACAGAGAATATTCAGTTCGAGATCTCTCAGATCCTGTGACCATAGAATCACCGACTGATCTACGAAAGCACCGTACACCGAGGGCTTAACCTCCAACTTTAAAAACGAAGAGTAAACATGGATCTGCTTGATGTGCCATGCGATTCTCTCATCGGTAATCACCTTTCCCATGATATACTTTGGAACGTTGCTAGCGTTTTTCTTATATAGCTGATGATATTGGTTGTACTTTTCGAGGTAGTGGGTATCGGTGTGTTTCAGTTGGATTTGGTGGGCAACGCGGAAGTTTGATTCCGTTACCATTTGGACGGAGGAACGCTCGCTCTCTGTCAGCGATGTGCTATAGGAGTTGTCGGTGGTGTCAATGATGATAGAGGTATCCGGCTGTTTGTGCCATCCACACTTCTCATAGACAATCGGGTCGATATCACTGTAGAGATCGACAAAGATAGCACCTTCCTTGTGACAACGCTCTCTCAGCATTCTCATCATCTTTGTCGCATATCCTTTGTTTCTGTACTTGATGGCAACGAAAACACTAGCCACCGATTCAGATCTACCTCTCAACAACTTGTATTCATCATTCTCAACGTAGCAATAGGCAGAGTTTTCACCATAAGTTTCACAAGATGCTACAGTAACACCTACAAATATAAAAATAAAAATGAAAAATCAGTATTAATCATTTTTTTGTTTTTCATATGCAAATATTTCTTGATTCTTTTTCCACTTCCTAAAAGTTGAATGAAACGTACCGTTATATAAAAAACACCATGGTCTATGATTGGAAACTACATCTTTGGAATCAACTTCTCTTTGCCAGTAGGCATCGATATTAAGAGGATGTCCCCACTCTACAAAGTTATCGATCGTATTTTGATGAAATTCTTCCCATGTAGCTTCACGTAGTTCATAAGTATCGGAATCCATATTTTTTTAATCTATTTATATATTTGCAATCTTAATGTTTAAAAAAATAAGATGAAACGAAAATGATTACTAAATTGATTTAAAAAAAACTCAAATTTTTAAACCAAAATTTTTTTTTAATTTAAAATTAAAATTTTTTTCGCATTAGTTTAAACCACCTTATAACCTCCACTTTCTGATTCATCTTGATATTTTTGAAAATAATCTACTAATATATCTGATACTTTTAACAGATTCATTTTAAAATATCATATTTAAAATAAAATAAATTAATTAATAAAAATATCTTTTGATCAAGACAATTGGTATAGTACACAATAGTAGGTATAGTACATAATCACACACCAGTCCTTTAATTAATTAAAAAGGTAGATTTCTTTGCATATAAAAACATTTGATTTGCATAGTTTGATTCAAAATGAAGTGCACTTTGATTATTGAAATCTTTGATGTTGTAGAATTTCTTGGCATATCTAGTGTCGGTAAAGGTGTTTGCGTTTCGTTTAATTTTGACTAATACATATCCTGTAGGTTTCTTGTCGGTAGCTTCATAATCTTTGTCGTTGCTAAATGGGTCTCTTTTATAGAGAAGTTTCTTGATGGTAGAGCAATATTTTGAAATCCTATAGGTACTAGAGAATATCGATTTCAAGTCTAGAGTTTCAATCGATTCATTATTTGACAGTAGCTTTTTCACCCATTTCGAAGCTTTGTCAACAGTTAGATGTTGAATCCTACAGTCTTGAGAGCACAATAGACACTCATAGAGTTCAGCGATTTCAATTTCATCTATACGTGGGTGTAAAAATGAAATACTTGTTAGGTTATTGAACTTGCCAATGATTAACTCTAACACTCTTTTATCAAACGATCCAAGACCGATCGATGTCAAGTGATTCAACTGCAACAGCTCTTTGGAGTAATTAAAGTAAGAATCGGATTGAGGTAGCTTCAACTTTCGGATGGAAATCGAAATGAGATGAGCATTGAATTCAAACTTTGCGAATTTGGAATATCTAAAGTTCAGAGATGTCAGGCTTTTCATTTCATTCAATGTTTCCAGCACTTTGGAGTTGTCAATCACAATCGATTCCAGTGAAAGTGATTCAAGATTCACCATGTATTGAACTATAGCTTGAGAGTACTGAAGTTGGAAATGCTGGTTATGTTTGTTTAGTATCTTTAGCTTTAGAAGTTCGTTAAAAATCAATGACAGCTCCACTGCGCTACAATTTGCTATGTTTATGAATTCCTTAAAGATCTTCAAGTCTATTGTGAAATGGTTGATTGTCTTTAGTACAGAGTGAGGTGAAATCACAACGTTCTTGAATTGTTTTACACTTTGAATCACTTTTTTTGTCTCTGTACATATGATTCTATTGAATAGAGAACTAGTCAGTTTGAAAAACTCTTTTGAAATCAAAGAGAGTGAGAGTAGCCATCGATAGTTTAACAATTGTTTCTTAGCTTCCAAGTGGTGAATACTTTCATAGTACCACAGATTTTCGATGACTCTGAAGATAATCAAAGTTGGTAAAGCATACTGAAAATCAGTTCCAACATGATAATTATAGATGGTGGTAAACTCCTCTAAATCTTTTTCTCGATTTATAAATAAACTTGTCATTTTTATAATAATATTTGTACTTAAATGATTTTAAAATAAAAATAAGAAAAGCTCAGAGTAAAAAAAATGTTTTGAATAGCTTTAAAAAAAAATTGTAAAAAAGAAGTTTGTTTTCTCATCAGTAGGAAAACACTTATGTTTTCTTTTAGACTAGTTTTTATTTGATGACTTTTATTTCAAATTTAGTTGAATATCTATAATTATATAGATATATATTCTATTGGGGGACAATATAGAAATCTTGATAGTTTGATACGATAGCATTATTGTGAAGTTTGCAATTGTTGTTAATGCAAAAAAAAAAAAAGATCTGAATGTTTTTTTCACCAGGTGTCTCAAAAAAGTGAGGCAAATATTTAGAAAAATAGTGGGGTTGAAGTGGGTGAAAAAAAAAATATTTTTTTAATTTTTTTTTATTTATTTGCTTTTTTTTTGTATTTGTTTCAAAGCTTTGTTAGTTGTATATCGATTAGTACACTACTCCTTTTTTAAGCATTGTGAACAATGAACGAATATAGATGTCCTAGCAGAGAAGACTGGGTTACACTTGCAAATATATTTAGTTTAGAGTATGAGAGTTGTAGTATTAATGAAAACAAGGATTATAAAAAGTTAATGCATAAGTTTTCAGAAGATTCTCCTGCTATTAGATATTCAAAACAGTTTAGTATCGATCCAAACAATATTATTAAATGTCTTAAACTACCTAAAACTCGATCATTATTAATGCTAGTTGTAAGTATGCCTTTTAATCTATATCTATTATATTTTTATTAAAATTTTTTTTTTTAAAAAAAAAGAAAAAGCCTAATGATCAAATCAACATATTACAACTAAACAATCTTTATGAAGAGTTAAACACCAGTCTTTCAAATCCACATCCAAAAAGAAAAAGCAAGCAGGAACTAATAAATGCTAAAAGGAAACATAGGCATACAATAACAGAACTACAACAACAACAACTAAATAATAAAGATCATACAATAACGGAACTACAACAACAACTAAACAATAAAGATCATGCAATGGCAGAGCTAAAGCAACAATTAAATAATAAAGATCAACAAATAGAATCATTAAATAATAAAGTGCATACAGTAACCGAACAACAACAACAATTAAATATTAAAGATCAACAAATAGAATCATTAAATATAGAATTAAACAATTTAAGACAAAAGTATCAAGAGTTGAGTCAGCATTTTGAAGATTTCCGAGATTCTGTTGAAGGGTATATCGCTCGAGATATCGATATGAAATTCAGCAACAACCCAGGCAAAGTTAAAGCAGTTGTAGTTGGTAAGTAAACTATATAGTTATATTTTATTTGAATAAAACTAATCATATTTTTTTAGAACCAACAAAGGAGAGAGATGAACTCGTTGTAAAGATTGAAACCCTTCTAAAGAAAAGCCCTGGTCTCAAGGATACTATTTTCTATTCTCTGCTGTCTGATCAGATTGATACCTTAATCAGTAAAAGAGGTACGTGGTCTGTCAACACTTCTATTTGCACAGACGCTGAAGCATCATGGAAAGAAGCTAATTAAGCTGTTGAGTGGTGAAAAGAAATCCAACTATAATTATGGAGGCATTCCATTCCTTCTCTTTCGACAATCCTTCGTTTCTCTGACGCAAGAAACAAAAAGTGCAAGATGATTCATTGGATAACCATATCAAGAAGTACAGTTCCAGTTCTGACTGAACTGTGTGCGAAACTTAATATTTGTATTCCAAAGAAAACTTTGAAACAAGATGTCATCTTTTTGGTGCTGGATTACATCAACTCCCAACCTGAAGACCAGCTAGGATCAACTTTACATACTGTTTTTTCTCAACTCGATAACATTAAAGAACTCAGCAAAAAATAAAAAAAAATAATATCAAATATTTATTTAAATTTTATTAAATTATGTCTTTAGCTTTGATTATTATTAGTTGTTGTATACACAAAAGGCAACCAGCATATGATCAACAACAAATCCTTTTTTCCATCACCACTTACTTGTTTTATCTGATCCAATTACACCTGGCTATATATTAAGTAGTAACAAATATTATTATTGACAACTGTCATACAAACATTGTCGATACCTTCACAGCAGACAAGAGAAGTGATAGCGGTGAGTTAAAAGCAAGAATCTCTGTTATTCTGGCGTTATGTGGTCGGATTATTATAGTAACAACAGTAACGGCAATGCTGCTGATGGCAGTGACCACAGAGATGACAACAACCACCATATCAATATTCATTGTTCATATTGTCAGAGAGTGGGAGCCAGTTTTGTTTTGATTTTAAAAAAATGTGAAAAAATAAAAATATTAATATGAACGCAGTGTTTTTTTTATTTTATTTAATTTAGAGTTACAGGTAAGAGATAGTTTTGTGGATTTCCTCCACAAAAAATTTTATTTTTTCTATTTTCTTTTTATTTCTATTTTTGATTTGAAATATCTATATTAATTATTATATAAGTTAAATGATGTATTGCAGGACAATATAAAAATCTAAGATTTGGATAATGAGACTCGAAAGACAATGCTCTCTCATTGCCCAACTCGTCTATATTGTAGAATTTCTTGGCATAGCTTCTCGAACCCTCCTTTATCACTAAACGTTTGGATTTGACTAATATATAACCAGTATGCTGATTCTTAGAATCACAGAGAATGTTAGGAAGGGAATTTACCACTGTGGTAAAGAGAAATTTCTTGATGGTCGAAGAAGATTTAGAGATATAATAGGTTTGTGAGAATGCTTCATGCAGGTCGAGGGTTTCAATCGATTGGTTCATAGAGAGTGCTTTCTCTATCCATTTATTTGGTTTGATAACGGTCAAGTGTCGAATCTTACAGTCTTTGGAAGACAACAATCTCTCATAGATTTCAGCTGTTTCGTTATCGCTTTTAACTGGACATTCAAATGATAGTTTGGTGATGTTGTTGAACTGACCAATAATTGAAGCAAGCATGACACGGTCTAGCGATCCAAAACCAATCGAAGTAAATTGGTCGAATGAAAAATTTTTGGAATTCAATACAAAACGGTAATGAGGTAGCTTCAGTTTTCGAATGGAAGCTTGAATAAGATTGGAGTTGAGTGCAAACCCACAGAAATAAGAATGTGAAAAGTCGAGTGAAGTCAAACTATTCATTTGCTTAAAAACTTTCATCATCTTGACGCTATAAATAAAAATTGAATAAAGATAGAGCGATTCGAGATTGACCATATATCGTGCAATTGTTTTACAGTCCATTTTGTGTAAAGGAGCCTTATTGCTATTGAACAACTCTAATTTCCGCAGATTTCTAAAGATCAATGATAATTCCACTGAATTACATTCATATTTGTAAATGATATCTCGAAAAATCGACAATTCCATTGAGAGATGATTAATTGTCTTTAGTACAGAGTGAGGTGAGATCACACTGTGCTTGGCTTGGTTTTCGGGAAAAGAATAACGTTTATAGTTGTCAGAGATACTATAACGTATCCTACTGAATAGAGAACTGATAAGTTTGAAAAACTCTTTTGAAATCAAAGAGAGTGAAAGTAGCCATTGATAGTTTTTCCTCAAGTAATGATTCTCCAAAAAGTTCACAGTGTCTCGATCCCATCGAATTTTGATGATTCTGTAGATGATCAATGTTGGCAATGCATATGAAACTGTTCCACGATGATATTTTTCCATTGAATTATCAGTGACCAACTTTGACTTGATTTCTTGATATTTCAATATTGTATCGATCATATCATTCTTTTTCAAACTAGAATGTACTTTTAATTGATACTTTTTCAGAACTTCAGCTAAATCATTCTTTTTCATTTTAATGAGTTCAGCATTAATGTATTGTTTATTATCAAATATATTTGTCATGATTGGTTATTGATTGATAATTAAATAATGTTTTATTTATGATTATTATATTATTATATTAACTGATAAGTTTGAAAAATTATTAAATAGAGTTAAAAAAAAAAAAAAAGAAAATTATGCAAATTTTTTTTAATAAACGAATTAAATTGAAAATCCAATTGGAATTATTATTATTGTTTTTAAAAAAGTGGATTGGCTGGTCTCTTTGATTGATAAGTTGATATGGATGGAATTGATTCAAACTTTGACTTAAAGAGAGTCAGATTAGGATATCTATCGACAACATTTTTGTAGTTGAATGCATAAAGCATCTCCAGTGTACAGTAAGCACTGACATCAGCAGCACTCAGCTTAGAGCCAACGAAATACTTTCCACCATTGTCAACTAATATCTTATCCCATGCCGAGAGGAAACGAGGAAGTGTTTCATTCTTGTATTTGAGCTTCTTCTCGTCGGTATCGTTTGTAAAGAGTGGTGTTCTGATATCGAGCACTGAACTGGCGATAGATAGTACTCTTGCTTTTTCAAAGATATTGTCACCTGCCAAATTGTATTTGCTAGCAATGTAGTTTTCTATTGCCTGTGCTTGTGCAATTTCGAAATCACCATCGACATAATATGGTAGCTGTTTATAGGTTGCCTTTTGTTTGATTTCATTATCATCTGTGAATGGAAGTGGATGTCTAATATCATTGAATTCTACACCTGCCAAAGTCAACAATAATCTTGTTGCTTCACCTCTTCCACGTCCATTAAACTATTAAAAAATAATGTTAATTCAAATACTTTAACTTTTTTAGGTATTTTTTAAACTTACATAATGCAAAGTTGGAATATTATTTGAAATTGATGACATTTTAAGTTAACTAGTTTGGTTTAATTAATATTTTATTTTATATCTTTTTTAGTATGATTTTTAAAATGATAATAAAAACAACTACAACACTTTTTTATTTATCGTGTTATTATTAAAATATATATTATTTATACTATCCATTTTTATTTATTCTTTTTAGAATTCTATAGAAATAGAATACCACTCATTATATTCTAATATCTTCGATCCATTTTATTTATTCTATTTTGAATTCTTTAGCACCACCCAATTTTGTGAATAACATACAAATAATATGATTGGATATTAATTATGTGGTGGGTAAAAAAAAATCTAATCTTATTTGGAAATTAATATGAACTGAAATTTTTGGCTTCAAACTTGCTAACACTTGTGAACAAACTTAAGTTTTGATGTAAATTTCAAATAGATTATTATACACTTTACTATGAATTATACTTATTTAATAAGGTCTATTGAAGATATCGATAGAATCGATAGTATTAATAATTTATCGATAGAAGAGATTGAAAGACGTTCGAAAAAGATCGATGATAATACCACCGATGCACAGACATGGCGTGTTCGATCGTTTGAAGGCTATCTCGGTGTGAATGAATCATTCAAAGATCGATTAAGAAAGGATTGGCAACTTGTTGAGCAGTGGAATCAACTGTTCAGTTCACATCCAATCACACACACAAAGATTGCTAGCATACTCAAAGATATCATTGCGATATGTGAGTTAAATAGACAACACTCTGGTCTGGGACCGATGACACCGATTGAAATCGACTACTGCACACCTCACGAACTACTCTTACTTCCTCATCAACAAGTTATACAACAAAAACTTAGAATTACCAAACAATTATATAATGGTTTTCAATATTCTTTATTTTACAATGATAAGAAGAATAACGATAATAATAATAATGGTTTTTTTAAGAGATTGTTTTCATTATTTGGAAACCATAATAATAGTAGTAATGATCATTATAGTTACGATATAGATTGGAATAAAAAATGGAATTATGAATATATTATTGAGAATCTATCGATTAGAGATGATCAGGATAAGAGATTTAAAGATTTAAAGATAAAGATTGCTGGTGGTGTCAATGAAGGAATCATACAGTTTATAGAGGTTATGGGATTCTATGAAGGTGATGAAACCAATGAATATAGAGTCGATCCAATTCTATTGCTTTCATTCCTTAATGCATTCTATTTCTACAATGTAAACGACAATGATAATAGACGTCAAGATCAAATACAACAAACTCTAAAAGAATATCAAGAACGTCAAAGACAATATATCTATTCAATACCAACTTTTAATAAAGAACAACAATTACAATATAATCAATTAGTTGATAATCAATTTAATTTAAAATATAACAATAACAATAATAATAATAATAATAACTAATAATAAATAATAACTACTATTTTTTTTAGCTAATAAATAAAAATTTATACTTTTGTATTCATTACTTTTATTTTTAACTTATTATATATTATTATTATATGTTAAAGAATTCTTTTGTTGTATTTAAAGTATGTTGAGCAGCTTCTTCAAGTGAGATACCATAGCAGGTGGCAATGGTTGCTAATACGTAGGTGAGATAGGCTGGCTCGTTACGTTGATGATGTTGCTTACCACCGTGTGTGCTGTGTTGTGGTTGTTTCTGACGATCCTCTTCATTCATATCGTGTGGAGTCATGTAGGGTGCGTCGGTTTCAATCATCAATCGATTCAGCGGGATGATCTTGGCAGAGAGAATGTCCCTCAGAGTTTGTCCACGTTTCTGTTGGGTGATGACACCGGTCAAACCAATGTAGAATCCCATCTTCAAGTAGAGTTCAACCTCGTCTCTTGTTCCTGTGAAGCAATGAACCACTGACTTTGGCATCGTTCCGGCATTGCAATACTTTGAGACGATCTCTACAAACTTTCGGTGTGCTGCACGCTCGTGGATGAACAACGGCATCTTCAATTCGATGGCCAGCTGTATCTGCTTCTCAAACATGTCGCACTGTGACTGTGGTGTCGAGAAGTTACGGTCAAAGTCGAGACCGCACTCACCTAGCGACACTACAACACCTGGATTCTTCAATGCCATCGATCTGAGGTCGTCAATCGAATTGGGATGAGCTCTCTCTGCTTCGTGTGGATGTACTCCAGCAGTGCAATAGAGTTTGACACCACCTGGAACATTGTCCTTATACTTTCCAATGATTTCCAATGCTTTTTGAGTAGATCTAATTGATGTACCTGTTATTATAACATGATTGACACCTCTCTAAAAAAATTGATATAATTTAAAAAGTTTGATTAATAAGATATATATACTATTTTAATATTATATACAATTACATACATTTCCACTTTTAATTAAAACAGCATTTAAATCACGCTCAAAAGAACGATCTGCTAGATTTGCACCTATATCTGCAATTGAAACGATTGCTTTATTTTGTTGTAGTGGTGCTACTACTGGTGGTTGTGGCTGTTGTTGTTGTTGTTGGACAAATGGTTGCTTTGGTTGTTGTTGTGGTTTCTGATTGTTTCCAACGATAACAGGTTTATTATTTTTATTTGGTGCTCTCTTTGATTCCTTAGAACCTAATACTGGAAAGTCATCACTCATTTTTATTTGAATACTTTTATAATTGGTATTATTATTTGTAAATCTGTTTTAAATGATTGTCGATTCATTCTTATAGTTAATATTAATTCCTTTATTTTTCCTCTTTTTAATCAAAAAAATTCAGTCCAAAATTAAAATTTTTGTGAACCACTGCGATAGTGACTGATAGGTAAGTCGTTAGTATTTTAATATACAAAAATTTTTTAAATTTGGACTGAATTTTTGGAGAGAGGGTGACAGATAGATGTTAAGTGTTACAATAAATAATAGAAATCAAGATATCTCCTTTTACTCAGCAGGTAATTTGTAACATTAAGTGTAGAAATTTTTTACTGTTGAACAGTGTTTTTAAATGAGTTTGTTGAAAAGGAAGCAAATCAATATCGTGTCTTTGCCCGAGTGGTTTAAGGGGCTAGTTTTAGGTAAAATAAAAGAAGATCAATATCGTGTCTTTGCCCGAGTGGTTTAAGGGGCTAGTTTTAGGTAAAATAAAAGAAGATCAATATCGTGTCTTTGCCCGAGCGGTTTAAGGGGCTAGTTTTAGGTAAAATAAAAGAAGATCAATATCGTGTCTTTGCCCGAGCGGTTTAAGGGGCTAGTTTTAGGTAAAATAAAAGAAGATCAATATCGTGTCTTTGCCCGAGCGGTTTAAGGGGCTAGTTTTAGGCACTAGTGTAGTAATACGCGTGGGTTCGAACCCCACAAGACACAATAACATTCAAAAAATGTTGGACCGCATGCGGCAGAGGATGTCAACAAGATCAAATCTGCTAGCACTGATGGTCAGTTCCAATTAAACCAATTCTGATTGATGGTCTACCACCCACTCTAAAGCAAATCTACGACCACCTATTGTTCGTCAAACATGGCATTCCACCACTAACTGATGGTCAGTTCCAACTATCGCTACCACCAACCAAATTCGACTACACATCTTACGACTGTATCTTCACCTATATTTCGCTCATCAAACACCAACGTGGACGAAACACTGTCTTCCGGTTCTTCTCTCGTTCACTTCCTGGATTAGCTTACAACAAAAACAAAGAATGTGAACTGTGCTTCACATACTGCTCTGACCCATATTTCCATACATTCTTTAATTGTCGAGCAGTTATGCACAGATTCAACCTTAACACCATTTTTGACTCCTTACAGCTTTCAGGTGGTCAACGATTCGATTGGACTATGGAAGACGCGTATCAGTTGGTTAGAAGAAAGGACAACATCACTACTCTCGCTTCACTTGTCTTTCATCAAATCTGGAAATTCTATTGTAAATCCTATTTTGGAGGTACTCCTCTCCACGATAACAACCTACTATCTAATGAATCTATCATTAACGAATATATACAGCACTTATCAGTAATGAAATTAATTATAAATAACAGTATCAGTAACTTACAATCCAAACTTAAATAACCAATAACCAATCAAATGTCAGCCAACTATTATTTCCTCTTCTTCATTTCTTCATTTTCAAATTAACCAATTCAATCATCAGTATTCTCATCAGCTTAACAATCTATTAATATCAATAACTTAAATAATTATAATAATAATCAAAATAGCAATCAATTGCAGAATTATGAAAAAGTAAAAACTGTAAAAAGCAAAAAAAAAAAAAAAAAAAAGAAAAATTCGATGGTTTACACCATCCCAATATATTACTTAATAAATCAATTTTTACTTCTTAAAAAAACAAAAAAAAAATAAACAAAAAAAAAAAATAATAAACATAATCAAAAAAAAAAAAAAAAATTGTTTAATTATGTTCATGTGTATTAATTAACCAGTCACTAGCTAGAAATATATTTTTCAAATAAATTGTTAATAGACACTGTAGTATTACTTGGTTTTATTCTTTTTTATTTTATTAATACAAACAAGTACCACCAATTAATTTTTTTAATCAAATTGTGCTATGAACTCTCGAAACAAATCCACAGTCAATCTTTGGTGGAGAAGCATATACATTGCTATCATTGTCAATGGTTAATAACACTTACCACTATCTTGTTTTTTGCTTTTCTGGGTAATACACATCATTGATCATCGATTTCACATGTTCAATGTATTCTGCTGAACATGATTTGATCAAATCTTCACAAGAGATGATAGGGTAATACCAAGAACGTGTAAATAAAATAGATAAACCATGGATTAATACTTTTGCTACATCATCATATGGCAGATCGCATACAGAGACTGGTCCATTTTGGTAGCATTCCACATGGTTATCAAAGAAATTCTTTGTTACATATGTACAATTGAATTGTCCGGGTTGTCGTTGATCGACCAACAAGAGATCTCTAGCCAATGTTTGCTGTAGACATTTGCGAACGTAGCCAGACCAAACTTGTCCCTTTGGTGAAAACGTGGGTTCTACTCTGAGATACTCTTGACATTTGTCATACATGATGTCTTTAACGACACTACATGAAGGCTGTACATATTTTTGCAAGCAAGAAGTATACCAATCGCAAGTGAAACCAGTTGGATTCGCACATCTATGAGAAATGCAATTACCAAGCATTCCTTCCAATTGGCACTGACCAGTAACTCTGTCACATCCATCGATACACCCAATTGGACAACTATGTTGGCAATCTGTTCCCCACCAACCATATATACACCTATTACAGTATTCTGATGTATAGTTACATTGAGAAATCATACAATTTAAACAGTCTGCTCCAAAGGTGAAATCTGATAACAATATTAAAATAAAACAATGAATTATATATCTTTTATACATTATTATTATTTAATTGTATTATTAATAAATATTATTAGAACTAAAATATCAAAAGAAAATAGCATTTAATAATACTTTTTTATTATTGTCGACGATACAGATAAAAATAGTTTTGGTGGTGAGATTTTAAACATTTAATTAAAAGAATAGTAAAGTAATGTAACAAGCAACAACAACAATATCAACAATAAAATAAATACCAACGTGCAAAATTCTATCTTTAAAGATTAACATTTTTTTAAATTTTTACTGATATTTATCATGAAGTGCGCAGTGTGTAAAGTGATAATTATTAATTAATTAATTGTTGTCATAATCACTGTTGTAGTATGTCACTAAAACTTATTTGAGATTAAAAAATAAAAAGAAGAGATAATATAATTTCGAACCTGAACTGTTATTTTTTAATTAAACACTTTTTTTTAAAAATTGATCACATGTGACCAAATAAAAAAATAGAATTATAATTTATTTATTTTCCTTCAATAACACCATTAAAAGTGACTTGATATGTTGGATTCTCTTTTATCCAACTACTTATGGTTGAATCAATTAGTTTTTGTGCTAAATCAGGCTGTATCGGTTCCATGGTTGTAGTATTGGATAAAACCAAGAGTGATGTAGCGTTGTTTACTGTATTACTAGAATATGGTAAAAAGGTCAACATCATTTGATATTCTAGTAGTGTTTTATTCAATGCTGTTCCAATTGATGTTTCTGGATCATCGGTAATTGAATATCGACCGTCTTCTAATTTCAACATTTCTAATTCCGCAAATTCTACAAAACATGCTCTGCTTAATTCTAATAAAGTCTTGAAAGGTTCATAATAGTACTTGCTAAATAGAATAGAGGCACCATCCTTCACAATAGATCCCATATCAAGATAGGGCAGGTTACAGAACGAGACTGGTCCAGATAGGTAGCAATCTACATGATTATCAAAGAATACATCGGTTGCAAATGAGCAGTTGACTTGTCCAGATGGTGCAGGTACTAGAACCTGTTGCGCCAGTATATTCTGAATACATCTACGTACGTGCTGTGACCACCTTTGTCCTTGTAGAGAGAGCGATGGTTCTAGATTTAGATACTCTTGACACTTGTCATACATTACGTCATCTATAACGGGACACGAAGATGTTGTATACTTTTGCAAGCAGGAATTATACCAATCACAAGTGAAACCATCAGGCGATGCACAGGATAAAGGAATTGAACAAGTACAGTTTCCAACCATTCCGAATTGACATTTATCACAACAACCAGTTACTTTATCACATCCATTGGCGCAACCACTTGGACATAGTTTCTGACAGTCTGGTCCATACCAACCTTGGTTACATTGAGCACAACTTCCATTGATCCTCTCACAAAAAGTGAAACAATTCCTACTACATTGGTTTTCACAATTTGGACCCCACCAACCATATACACACTTGTTACAGTAACCTGTTGTATAATTACATTGGAAAATCATACAATTTTCACAATCTGTACTTAAAATACAATTTGAAATAAATATTAAAAAGAAACAAATAACTATATATCTTATATTCATTATTTAAATGTCTTGTAGTAAATGATTAATCTTTAAACATCGATAAAATTGGTTTTTTAAATCCTTTTTTTTGAGTGAGTCCAAACTTAAATATTCAAGTAAAAATAAAAAATGTGACATATGTATAAATTTATTCTTATTTAAACTTAAACATTGTAGAAAGAAGCTCTTGTCTCTTCTCTGGTGTAATAGATTCTTTTACTTTTTCACCGTTTGGTTTTGTAATTGTAAGTGTATCGCCTGTCATTGTTGCTTGACCTTGACTTGGCTCTAATAGAATGGCAGTTAGTGGTATAGCGTTGAATGTCTTTAGTTCATCTATATGAATGATTTCTTGGGCTTTGTTTATTGATTCAACACCGACTTGATCCAGTGTAAAGGTATATGCCAGATGGAAATCTTCGTCGGGATTCGGTCGTAATTCTAGACTGTGAGTACCATACTCTGTTGGTTTGGCAAGCCATCTGTATTCACCGGTACGTGATGATATGATCGATTGGAAAGGAATCGGTGCCAATGCCAAAAACAATCCGAATCCAACATCAATTAGATATTCTGAATTGTTGTGTGTGAGTAGGGTGATGCAATGTCCAAACGGTGCTGCCCAACGATCTTTGGTAATTTGATTCCAAACTGTACCGATCATCTGCTTCACTTGGAATCCACAATCGGTCAGGAAGAAGTACATCAGTGTATTCAAATGATAACACAAACCACCTTGACTCTTAACCAACACCTTTTCGATGAGATAGTCTTTGGTGATACCTGAAGGTTCCAGACCGATAACATCAGAGTTTTCAAATGGAATGTTACTGGCAAACATTCTCATTACCTGAGGCAAGTCATAAAACTCAATCTTTTTGTTCTCATCAATGTTTATTCTTCGAAGAAATTGTTTTTGAAAATCTGTATTATTATTATTTGAAACGGAAGCGGCAGCAGCGTCTATTTGTGTCATGATTGAAAATTGTTTGAATTGATGTAGAAATATATATTTATAAATCTAATAAATAAAATGTTTACATATAACTAGGATATTGTTAAATTAAGTAATTATATAAATAAATGATGGTAGTAGTAATACAAAAGTGATAAATATATGTATTTATAAAAAAATGATCAAGTGTTAAAAAAAAAAATAGATATGTTTATTTTTAAAGTAATCTAGAATGTTCTTTGACAACCTATGCATTATGTTTCTACTAAAATATCATTTTGTTGACATTTTTAAAACGAATATTCTATACTTTAAAGATAATGTTGTCAAAATGAATTAACACAGATTTGTGCGTCGTTTGACAAAAACACCAGGAAAAAAAAATTAAATCACACAGGTGGTTACATCAAAAAAAATTATAAAAGGGTTTTTTATTAAAAAATTTTGTTTACAATTAAATATTGCCTCAAAAAAAAAAATATCTGATAAAATTATAAACATATTTGTTACTCTAAAATAAATGATAATCAGATTGATTATGAATTATTTATTTTTTCTTAAATTTAAATATTGTTTCAAGTAGTTCTTGTCTTTTCTCGTTTGAGATCAATTCCTTTACTTTTTCACCATTTGGTTTTGTGATTGTAAAGGAGTTGCCAGAGATGGTTGCTTGACCCTGACTTGGCTCTAATAAGATTGTTGACAAGGGAATGGAATTGAATTCTTTATGAGTGTCACCATGAATAAGTCTTTGGATGTTATCGATTGATTTTCCATCGATTGGATCCATTGTAAAGCTATAGCCAAGTCGAAAATCTTCATCTGGTGACGGTCTCCATTCAAGACTGTGTGTTCCATACTCTGTTGGTCTAGGAATCCATCGATATTCACCTGTTCTCGAAAAGACCACCGTTTTGAAAGGTATGGGTGCCAGTGCCAGAAACAATCCGAATCCAACATCCACAAGATAGTCGTTGCCGTCGTAGGTGATCATAGCAATGCAATGTCCATTGGGTGTAGCCCAACTTTTATTAGTAACAGGATTCCAAACAGTTGCTACCAATTGTCTAACATGGAATCCACACTCCACCAGGAAGAAATACATTAATCTGTTTAAATGATAACACAGCCCACCTTGATTCTTCACCAATACCTTTTCTATTAAATACTGTTTGGTAATACCACAAGGCTCTTGGCCTATAACATCAGAGTTTTCAAAAGGAATGTTCAAACCAAACTGTCTCATGACCTCTGGCAAATCTTCAAACTCTATCCTTTTATTCTCATCGATATTTATTCTTCTTAGGAATAGTTTTTGAAACTCTGTATTACTATTGTTGTTATTATTGTTATTGTCGTTTTTTGAAATACTAAGGATTGCCATGATGATAATAATCTCTATAGATATAATTATTAAATATATACATTTAAAGAAAAAGAAATTTCTAAATGATGAATAGATTCACAAACATTGCAATATTTATAAGTTAATAATCAGAATTTTTAACCAATATTTTCATTTGAGAGTCTTCATGGTGGTTACTTTAATTACCAAAAAAGGAAGATCCTTGTAAAAACAATTTATTAAAATTTTTATTTTTTTGCCCAGGACAACAATTATTAATATTATTATTTTTTATTTTTGCTAAAACTAAAAGTTTATTTTATATTTAAGTTATGAACGTCTAAATATTTAAATATCTAACAAAGTTAACAAATATGTGTCAATATATATTAAAATAAATTAATAAAATAAAAGAATAGAATATTCTTTTTTGATTTAGAATACTGAATGATATCACAATGAAAAAAAACGACGTTTAATATTTTTTTAAATTTTAAAGTTAAATTTCTGAGAGGGTGCGGGTCTGTGCAAAAAACCAATAAATCATTTTATTAATTCAAATAAATTCAAGATATTAGGTGTCGTATTCGATATTTGTTTTTTAATAAAACCCCTATTTTTTTACTATTCAACATCACATATTATTCGTAAAGTAATACAACTTTATGACCAATCACTATAGTTATCATTGAATTTAAATTGTAGTGTTTTCTATTTCTATTTAAAATCAATCATATTAGATAATTTATACCAACCACAAAACAAAAACACCAAGAATCAATCAATCAAAAAATAAACAGTGTGGTAATAATCGCAAGATAGTTGATTGATTTGACTATTTATACATTATTCATTATATAATAATAATAATTTCACAATATCAAAAAATAGCGATTACAACATTGTTGTTGTTTAATATTACTTTATTTAATACATTTATTTTAATTTATTTATTTTTATAATAATAAATTAAAAAAAAGAAATAATCAAATAATTTCTATTGCAATATCTCTATATTTTTATCTAATCTAAAACAAATCAATCATCATTGTTATTATAATTATAATTATTATCATTATCAATATTATCACAAATCAGATTTATTTTTACATAATTAAAATTTAATATTATTTTTATATGTTTGCATGCATTCTCCATTTTCATTAATAAATAAATATATATAACCTAAACAATTAGTATTATATAGATATATATATATATATATAAACATCAAACTATAACTAAATAGATAGGATAGGATAGGATAGGATGATGACAATTCTCACCAATATTGAGGAGGATAGAGGTGGAGGTGTTACTCCTCCGAACGATTATGCTCTGGATGACATTATCGATGACAATGACAATGACAACTCTCAACTACTGCTATTGAACAAGTCGAATGACAACTATGACACCAACATAATCAATAATAGTAAATTTGTAAATAATAGTAGCAGTAATAACAATATTAAATATATAAAATTAGAACAAGATAACGTTTATATAGATCTAAATGAAAACGATAATAATAATAGTAATAATAAAGATGTTGAAGTAATAAATGAAAATCATAATCATTCTCAAGATATAAAAATTGAAGTAAGAGAAGCAAAAGAAGATGAAAAAGAGAAAGTTGAAGAAGTTGAAGAAGAAGATCAATTCTATCATAGACCTTTCAACTCTGAGCTGTTAATCAATGATCAATCTATAACCAACAGAATAAAGAGTGTCGAAAGAGGAATGAATCATATCTCTTCATATAGAGACATTGGAAGTCTGAACAATCTCTCAAGATCAATGGAGTTGCAGCAGAATATTGTACTGGCATCTTGTTCACCGGCAGCAGCAACAACAACAACAACACTACCTGGTATTATCAATCACGACAACAGTATCGATAGTTGCAGGGACAACATTCAATTGCTAAACAGCAGCTTCAACAGTGAGAATGGTGGCAATGAACAAGAGGAAGATGAGGAATTCGAGGATATCCTACTGGAGCGTGACAACACCGACGATCTCTCCGCCGAGAAATCCAAAAAGCTACCACCAGTGTCGCCATTCAAACAACTCCTGGCAATGAAGTTAAAGTCGATCTCCTCACACATCGAAACCATTTCCTCAGGAGTTGACGTTGTGCCAGTGCACAGAGAGAAATACCTCACCTATCCATCCTCCTCAGCATCATCTTCATCGTTATCGAGCCAACTCATGTCGACAATGGCCGCTAATGGAAAGATGCTACCCAATAACAACAATAACAACAACTTTAGTAACTTTCAAACATTATCGACATCACCATCGTCATCCTCGTCAGTTTCAACGTTCACTCCTCCTACTTTATCAACCTCACCCAACTCACTATCATCTTCACCATTCAAAATTGTAAAGCCAAAATATCCATCCTCATCAACATCATCGTCATCATCAGCAACAACAACAACTTCAGATAACCTAACAAACCTAAATCAAAATTTCACCTCGATGCCAAACCTACTGTATAATCAAAATAATAATCATCGAACTTCTTCACATACCACAGCAGACTCTTTTGTTGGGTCATCACAAACACAATTGGCATCTTCCAACACTTCTACTTCGACTTCTTCATCGGTCACCTCCACCTCATCGACATCATCCATATCGACATCATCCATTTCACCAAATATTCATTCCAATAGCATTATCAATATCAATAATAATAACAATATATCTAGTTTAAATTATAATTTTATACAATCGAATATACAACATCAACAACCGTCATATATAATCAATTCACAACCACCACCAACCAGAAAGATTACTCCTTTCATTTCACTGTCACATTCAGAGTCGGGACATTCAACATCAAATATCACCAGGCCGGTGCTCTCATCGGAAACCAACAAGATCGGATCGAAGCTTATATTTCTACTGGCATGCTCTGTGTTTTTCAGTGTTTCCAATCTCTACTATATACAACCACTTCTCAATCTAATTGGCGAGGAATTCAGTCAGGGACCGACAGTGATGTCACTCGTCACCATGGCGGTGCAAGCCGGCTATGCTGTGGGACTGCTCTTCATCTCGACACTCGGCGATATCATCTCAAAGAAGAAGCTGATCCTCATTCTCTCGGCACTGACATGCATCAGTCTGATAGGTGTTGCGCTCTCCTATCACATTGCCCAGATGATCGTATTCCAATTCATTGTGGGTTGCTCCACGATCATCCCTCACATCGCCATACCACTGGCAATCGAACTGTCCACCCCAACCGAACGACGTTCCATCATCGGAATTCTCATGTCCTCTCTGTTCGTCGGACTACTCGGTGCCAGAGTCCTAAGTGGAATTGCAGCTGAATTTATTGGCTGGCGTAGTGTCTACTATTTCGCATCTGCAATTATGTTTATCATTTCATTCTTTCTTTTCTTATCCTTACCATATACACCAAGTAAGTGTTTTCTCAAGTTAGAACTAAAACTACTCAATCAATCTTTATTCTGACAATTTATATCATTTCTAAACTATCTATCTATCTATCAATCAATTAGGGAGTCAAAATCCAATTCCATATAATCAATTATTAAGATCGATATTCAATCTATTCAAGTTGGAACCACATTTGAAACAAACTTGCTTTGTTGGAAGTATGGTGTTTGCCACGTTTAGTATACTGTGGACAACACTGTCGTTCCAACTAAATGAGGAACCTTTTGATTTTAGTAGTGGATTCATTGGTTTGTTTGGTTTGATTGGTATGGCCGGTGCCATTGCTTCGCCAATCGCCAGTAAACTGCACGGTCGACTCTCAATCAATATTCTAATGATTGCTTCGTTGAGCATCTGTTGCATCGGCTATATAATACTGTTCTTCTCTGAAATACATCTACCGGGTATCATTGCCGGTATCTTTATTTTGGATCTTGGTGTGCAGGCCTGTCATATCACCAATCAATCGAGAAACCACATCATCACACAGATACGCGAGGAACTCGATGGATTCGCATCCAACGCCAGCTCCTATATCAACGCTGCCTACATGGCATCGTACTTTGTCGGTGGTGCATTCGGCAGTGGAATCAGTGGAGTCGTATTCGATTTGTTCGGCTGGCAAGGTTCGTCCATCGTTGCACTGGTGCTACTTGGCGTGGCACTATCTGCACATCTCACACTCTACAAAACACCAAGAGAATCTGAAGAGAACAACAACAACTATTATCATCAACAACAAAATGACGATAACAACAACAACAACAACAACAATCAATACGGCGATAATGATAATCAACACCACCAAAATGATGTTGTTCAAAATCAAGACTATCACGAACTTCAAGAGATGGATGTATCGTGATAAATAAAAAATGAAAACAAAAATTTTGAAGAAAAAAAAATGGTTGCAAAAATCTTAGGTTCTTTGAACCGACGTGTGTGATACACATAAAACTGATCTCAATGATTTACCAAATTTTAATGAGTGTGTAACGTTCACTAGTTGCGAAATTTTTTTGAAAAAAAAAAAAAAAAAACTAAAGTTTTTTAATTGATATTATCAGCGTCGAATTCACTCATTTTCAATTCATTTTAATTCAAATAATTAATATTATTGTATTTATTCGTAACAAAAAAAAAATAATATATTTTAAATTCTTTGTCTATTAATTCACTACACTTCTTTTCACTATTGAATTAATTAACTTAAAATTTCCTCTATATTTATTTATTTTAATAAATTCACGAAAATCATTTACACAACACAAATCATAAGAAATAATTATAAAATCAAAAAATACATAACAAACATAAACAATTATTTTTTAATTTTCAATTGTTTATAAAGATAGGATTTCAAATAAAAATAACAAATTCACCTAATTTATTTCATCAACCACAGCTTAATGACATAAACACCACCAAATTGAATAAATTAAAAAATTAAAAAAAAAAATAAGAATAAATTGAATTATTTAAGAAAAAATAAAAAAAATAAATAAAAAACCAAAAAACAAACAACAAAGACAAAACATAAATATTGAATTGCAAACAAAACAATTTACATCAAAACTAAACAGCCAAAAAAAATAGTTTTAAATAATTTAGAAACATTTAAAATTCAATTACTTTATTTAAGATCTTAAATTTAATTAGATAGATAGAAGAATAATAATAATAAAAACAAAAACAAAACAAACAACAAAGAAAACATTTTCTTTTAAATTACATTCTAATAATTATATATTAGTTGGAGTTTAATTAAACCTCACATCAACCAAACAATCATTAATGTTGTTGTCAAGCAGAAACGGAATCTCAAGACCAAAAATAAAACCGTTTAATTCCTATATTGCTATATCTATTATGTCGTCTTTCACTTTAACAACTTAATTATATATGTATATTGTGTGTTCTAATGTTATTCAACAACCATAATCATATTAATAATCGAAACATCAGTCTTCATCCTTCAACCATAATTTGTGCCTTCATTCTTTCTTCTCATTGTCACGTTGCTTCTTTCTCTTTATAACAAACAAAACAAAACAAAATACTTTAAAGTAATCACCAAAAATTAACGCAATCTTTATTTTCTTTCTTTCTTCCTTTATTACTTTTTAATATTTAATATATTCTTCATAAAAAAATAAAATAAAAAATAAAATAAAAATACAGGTCAACAACAATCATACTTACAACAACAACAAAAACAAACAACAACAACAACATTCAATTAATAATACAGTAATCAGTTAAAACAATACAATTACAAATATTATTAGTTTTTATTAGATTATTATAACAATTAAGGAAGATCATCTACCATATATTGTTATCCAATAATCAATAGGAGTATTACACCCAATCATTTTAGTAGAAACTATCAACAAAAGAGTTCTTTTCCTTCAAAGTTTTATGCTCACGAGGAACCACATCAATTCCAACCAACCAGTTTTGTATATAAAGAAACCAACAAAACATCAACCACCAATCGTTACAAACATACATAGTAATCATGGCGCAAGTTAATATCCCACGTACTGTTACCGATCCATTCTATCGCTACAAAATGCAAGTACTTCAAACCAAAGTTGAAGGAAAAGGCAATGGTATTAAAACTGTTATATTGAATCTCACAACTATCGCAAGAGATCTCGATAGAACTCCAGAATGTAAGTAATGATGCTAATTATAATATTTATTATTCTTTATTAATATATCATTAACAAAATATTCTATAGATATCTTGAAGTTCTTTGAGATTGAACTTGGATCACAAACAAATATTGAATCGGAAAGATACAGTGTCAACGGTTCGCATACTGTCGATGCTTTGGCAAAGGTTTTGGATTCTTTCATTGCAAGATATGTTCTATGTGGAAGCTGCAAGAATCCAGAGACCAAGTTCATTATTAAATCAAAGACCATGGATCTCAAGTGTGCCGCTTGTGGAAACAAGACCCCATTGGATATCAAGCCAAAGATGGCTGCTTACATCATGAAGAATCCACCCAAGGCAACCTCTGGTTCAAAGTCAAGAACCACAGCCGACGAAGCTCCAAGCAAACCATCGTCAAAGGATCTCAAGAAGAAGAAGGACAGCGACGAAGAAGAGGATGACGACGTCGTCTGGTACACCGATACCTCTGAGAAATCCGTTGAGGAGAGAAAGAAGAAGGCCATCGGTGGTTCTACCGCTGTTGTCATGGCAATGATGGATCTCGGTATCAACGAGATCACCGACCCAGTCGAGTATTTGGTCATGGCTTTGGTGCGTTCCGACGACGATTTCTACAAGGAACTCGATAATGTCAAAGAGAAGTTTGCACTCGCCCGTAGCTACGATGTTGCTCGTGTTGCCGTCGAAGCACTCGCCAACAAGTCTGCTCAAAACATGTTGGATGCCGCCACCAAGAAGAAGTCACTGCTCGTCAAGATCTCAAAGAAGAAGGATGGTCAATACGGTATCCTCATGGGTTTGGAGAACGTCTGTGCTGCCGATCCAGAGTTGTTGAAATCGGTCGTCAGAATTTTCAAGAGTCTCTATGATGATGACATTGTTACCGAGGAAGTCTTTATCAAGTGGGCTACCAAGTCAAAGGCTAAAGAAGTAAAGAAGGTTGTTGCTCCATTCATCGAATGGTTGGAAACTGCTGAAGAAGATGAAGAAGATGAAGATGAAGAAGAAGAGGATGAAGAGGAAGAAGATGAGTAAACAAGTAGTTGATCTCCATCATAATACATCAACACTTCTATCCTTGATAATCATCAACCAACACCACCCATTTAAATAATTTTTTTTTTTTAACCGGTAGTTCAATATTGAATTGAACTAATCTTATTATTATTTTAAAATAAACTTAATATATTTTTTTGTTTTACAAAAAAGATTCAGTAATTTTTCATTTTAAACTATTTGCATTCGACAATGATAAACTTTAATAAATTATTACAAGAAGAGAAAAGAAGAGCATTAGCTGAAGCAAACAAAAAGAATGCTGCTTCTAATAATAATAATAATGTAAATAAGGATAACAATAAAGACAATCTAATTGAAGAGAAACATGAAGAAAAAGTAGAGTTGTATATAGATTTGAATAGTTATGTATTTGATATAAATGGTTGCGATATTGCATCAAAGAACAGAGTTACACAATCATCTATCAAAGGTATTTACTATATTGATGATTTCATAGATGAGCAAATGGAATCAACGATCTTGAAGAATGTTTATTCAGATGAGAATCAATCAAAGTGGACACAACTAAAAAGAAGAAGATTACAGAATTGGGGTGGAAATCCATCATCTGATGGTATGTTGTTAGAAACATTACCCTCATGGTTGGATAGAATATGTATGTACTATGTATCTTTGATGATTTGTTATCAAGTTAATTAATGTTGACTGAATTACATTCTTACTTTTGTTTTAAATTAAAGGTGAATCAATATTTAAACAATCGATATTACCAAAGAAACCAAATCATGTACTACTTAATGAATATCAATATGATCAAGGTATAATGCCACATAAAGATGGTCCATTATTCTATCCATGTGTAACAATATTGAGTCTAGGAAGCACATGTAAGTAACTAGTTAATATTAAATGAAATAACTACTCACTGAATGTTAATATAAAATAATAATAAGGTTTAATTGATTTCTATAAATCTATTGGTGAGGATCCAGTCGAATCACTACTCTTGAAACCAAGATCACTGTTAATCTTTACAGATGAGGCATATAAGAATTATTATCATGGTATAAAGGAATGTTTCACAGATGTATGTATTTTTTGCGATTGCAATAGGTTATTTTTGTTGTTGTCAAATACACTAACAATGATATGTGAACCGAATAGGTGATTACCGAAAGAGTTGCCAATCGAGGAGATCTACCCATTGGTAGTGAACTGGAGAGAGAAATACGTGTATCATTAACAATTAGAATCGTACCAAAGATTATAAAAAGCCAATAATAATAAATCAACATTAATAACTATTTTTTTTTTTTTGATCTTGTTTGTACATAGGTTTCTTTAATATTAAATATATTTATATTTCGATCTTCACGAGAAGGAATTTAATGTTCTGGTTACCATGATCAACATATCGTAAAATGAATTCAATGATCTTCTCAGATCGTCGGCACTGTTTGATGCATATAATCTAAAAGAAAATAGAAATCATTTTATATTAGGATTATTACTGTTATCAAGCTTCTTTCTCATTATTAATCGATATTTACATCTTAAACTTTGTATCTTCAACTTTATATTCTCTAAATGTGTTCAAATTAATTTCTTTATCGACTTCCAGTGAATTCATGATAAATGTTGCATATTGATTTGTTTTGAAATCAAATTCTGTAGAGCTTTTAAATATATTATAAATTTAAAAAAGTTAATAACAAACAACAAGCAATGTGTTATAATATGTTGTAACTACTCACTATTTAAATTTTAAATTTTGGTAATCCACCAATCTTTTCTTTCTTGTTTCTTCATCGCTATAGTCATCGTCTTCATCTAAAATAATATCATCATCTTCATTCATCTTTTATTGTGTTTGTTATATATAATATTTATCTTTCAGATTAATTAATAATGCTTGACCGAAATTTAAAAAAATAAAATCTTGGAAAAAAAATATGATTTAAATTATTTTTAATTTTTTGATGATCAACAATTTTTGAAGGTTATTAATGCTTTATTTGATTCATTCACAAATTCAATTTGGATATCAATCAATATATTAATTAATATGCAAAGAACACCGATATGGCAATTTAGAGCATTTCAAAATTGGGTTAAAACTGTACTGATATCAGAGCTTGTAGAGAAGGATGGTAGTGTTGCAGAGCTGTTTTGTGGTCACGGTCTTGACACTGGTAAATGGGAGAGAGCAAAGATCGGTAGTTATATAGGTATAGGTATGATAAATATATAATACTATAATCATAATAGAGTTGACGTTCACTAACACTATTCACATTTTCTTTTACATTAAACACAATCTATAGATACTGATAGAATAGCATTGACTGAGGCAGAGTCTAAATGGCAACAAAAGAATTGTCCTTATACTGCTCAATTTTTAAATATAGATTTGTTAGAGGTAAAATATTTAGATAACAATCACTGAATCAATGCTTGTGGTATGTTCGTATATACTAATATGTTCAAATAATAATCTATAGAGATCGGTTGATAAAGAACTAGCACCAGATATACAGTTTGATATTGTGACTTGTTTCGATGGAATGCAAAAAGCATTCTCTGATTTGAGTCATGCGAATACTTTCTTACACAATGTCAGCTCACGATTGAAAGATGGAGGTTACTTCTTTGGCATCATTCCAGATTCCTCGGCGATCTGGTACAAGTCACAGAAAGTAATCTCTGGTCTACCCTGTATAAAATCATCACTTTTCAATATCGACTTTGATTCCGATATATTTACATTCTTTGGAAGTAGATATCAACTTTCAATGAAGGATGGATCGAATGTAACCGATAATCTAATTCATTTCCCAACTTTTATAAAGTATGTTATCATTATTAATATTGTTGTGTTGTTGTATTCAATGATTAAAGTCACTCACTATATTGTATCAAGTTTATGTAAACAACATGGATTGCTCTTCATTGAAGCATCTAATCTTGGAGAGTTCTATGAAGACAACAAAAAAAACTATGAGGTCAAACTTAAACAACTGGGTGTCTACGCCAACAAGAATAAAATTGAACCTGCACAAATGGAAATCATAAGTAAGTTATTATTCATTTCAATTTATAAGCCTAGTTACTCTTATTAATAATTTCATAAAAGGTTTATACACAACATTTATTTTCTACAAAGAAGTAGAACAACCTCTAATCATTCAAGGATAAACCAAAAAAAAAATTCGATGGACTTCCAGAAACAATTATAATCAAACAGATCAATCAAACATCAATAAATATTGTTTGGAGAATGTATAATAATTATTTTAATATAAATGAAGATAATATTATAGCTTTGATTTAATTTAATTTGGTTTAGTTTATTATATCGGATTTTAAATGTAACACAGAAAAATATAAAGAGTGAAAGTGCTTTGTTATTATTATTATTATTTTGGAACTGATTATTGGTTGTAGTAATCAAAAATATAGGCTGGTACAAAACCATAGACCATCTTTCTTTCGGTGTGACTGTATTTACAGAAATCTTCCAAGAATCTTAAGAGTCCAATAACTTCTTCTGGATAATCGTCATCCTTATTATCTTTTGGACTATTATTTTTGAATGATATGATATGGATTAGTATTAAGATAAAATTAGAAAATTCTTTTTGTTACATACTTTGCAAGAGCAACATTAATTTGACATCTGATATATTGTCCCAAGAATGAAAGGAACTTTTGAGTGTGGAGTGAGTGGAATTGTTTCAAAATGGTGATAGTACCAACGATGAATGGAGTCCAATCGTAGCTGTTCTTGGGTTTCTTTGATTGCATTACACATAGTTTACTGTTCCATTGGAACTTGGTAACTTGTGACAAAACAAATAAGAACAATAGGCATGGGAAGGCATCGAGAGGCATAGTGGTAATATAGATCTTTGTGTATGGATCATTAATACCAGCAGTATCTAAATACTCTGCCAAATCAAATAATAATGTATTATCTTCACCTGGATATGGTGCTACTTCTGGTCTAAAATTATTTATTTATTTAATAATACAATGTTAGTATAAATATATTTTTAATATTGACTAGTATTCTTTACTTACCTTTGGAAATGAGCTTGAATATCATTAATTAAAGAAGTATTCATTGCATCCAATGCACAGAATAACATATTACTATCTATTTTACAGTGGAAATTCAATTGATTCGAGATTTGTCTTCTAATTAATTGTATTTGACCAATCTTTGTCAAAACATCTATAATCAGTAATATTATTATTCAATTAGTTTTTAGATAATTAAAATAATTTAACAAATATTAAATATTACATACCAATAAATATTGGAGATAATCCTTTTGTCTTTTCAAGTGCAGTTTGATAACGTTGAAGATTATCTGGAATGGATGAAGTTGGTCTAAGGGAATCTTCAAATTCAGAGATGAATCCTTTAAGACTCTTCTCAACGAGCTGACGAATTTGACCAACGAATACTTGTAGTTCTTTGACCATCATGAAGCAATAGAGTCTGTCAAGACCAGTCAAACCGAAAATTCCAACACTCTGTTGGAGCAAAGACCAAGTGTTAATACCGACCAACTCCTTTCCGGTGGTTGGTTCGAACCAACCTATTTGATTGAGATAGAGAGTGGTACGACAGGATGTCTGTCCAAGAAGTTCACGTGCCAGACGACCGATCATATTGACAGAGGAATCGATTGGTTGGAACTTTGGAATTGGGATAGCAACCGATTGGAACGACGATTGCCAATCGTAGACCTTCTTCTTGAGGAACTGATTGCACTCTTGTTCGACATAGTAGTTTACGATACGTGAGAATTCCTCTTGCCAGATTCTCAGACCCTGAATATTCACATAGTCTTGGATGTATTGGAAGGAACGTCTGAAACCATCGAGAATATTGGAGAGATCTCTAAGACGTGGTTGCAGCTCATCGACTCCTTTCTTTTCGTTTCTGAATTGGAGTGTTCTGTCCATTGCCAGTGAGATTTGAAGTACCAATTCCTTACGAATACCGTCCTCCAACAGTTGTTTCGGATCGACTTGGATGACACCGACCAGGGTGGTCTCCATTGCCAAGATACCCTCGGTAAATACAGACACGGCATTGGTAGCCATTGCCAACTCATAACGTTGATCCAACTGTGCGAAATCACGAAGACGTTCCTTCTCGATCTTGGTTGGCAACTCCTTAATAGAGTTGGTCTGCATATCGATGATCTGCTTCAAAATGATAAACATTGATTTTGGAACGATTTCCAATACCTTTCTGACGTAGCCAACCAGTTCACCAGAGTAATACTCTGACACAGAGATGAGATCGGGCGATGCACACTGCGCAATTCTTACCAATGGAAGATCGAGAATAGACACCAACTTTAAGAAGGTGGCACGAAGTTTCAATACACAGGTTGGGTCTGATTTGATACCACGTTGCATTTGCTCGACATAGTTGTTAATGATATCCCAGGCATAGGAGATATCTGCACAGACAGCGAGATTCACAAGAACGTCTTCCTTGATATTGACAATCTTGATCATCTTTGTAAGGAACTGTCTAGTCTCGATGAGGAACTGCTTAACCTGGATCGACGAGTCGATCTGCTGGAACTGTTCAACCTCTTCGAGTGCCTGACTCAACTGTTGAATTCTACGACCGGTCGATGTATTATCGACATAGTCGAGTGCGTTGATCTTGACAGAGATATCGGCGAACCACTTTTGGAGGTTTTCGTCCTTCTTGACACGAGTCAATGCTTTCTCACCACTGAAATACTCTGCAAGCTCATTCATTGAATCGGTGGCTAACTTTTTGTTCTCCTCCCATCTAGTCTCCTTTGTATCCAACAATGACTGGAATATATTCTTGAAAACAAATTCCAACTGTGCGGTATTCAACAACAACTGTAGCACATCATCTTGTGAGCCTGTATTAACTAAATCTCTAAATTTCTTTGTTGATGCATTTGTATCTATATTAGATTAAAAAAACGGATTACAAAAAAGAGTTTGATTAACATCCATAAAAGATAATGATATTAACTGTGTATCTATATTAATTATACTTACGTAACATAATCCAACGAATTGTAGCATTACAAGATCTAAGAGTACCAATAATCTTGGAAGCATTGTCCATAATATATTCCTCTACGAGAAGACCTTCAACCAACAAAGATTCTACTTGTCTGTTTAATACTTCTACATCCTTCCAATATTTTTGTTGTTGATAAACTATGTTTTGTGGAGTGGTAGTGTTTGCAAGTGCAGTTCTGGCAGCTTTGTACGGTTCCCATGCAACTGAAAGATCAATTGTAAATCCAAGGAAGAATGCAATCACCCAATTATCAGGGAAGTATTTATCTACGATTTCTCTCATTGTTGACTATTTGTTTTGTTTTGTTTAGATAGTTTAATTAGTTTGTTTGTTTTGTTTGTATTTTAATATTCTATTTATATATATATATTGTGTTAACAGATGCATGTTTGTTTTACTTACGAATTTATTATGCAAGATATCTGGAATAAAGTAGAGGATCATGTAGAGCATCGTTGCTTGAGTGGAAAGAGCAATACTACGATGATCTGGATGTGGGAATGATTGAGCACCGTTGTAGATGTCATCGGAAGTTAGACGACCGACCACCATCGATAAGACATTCTGAGAGATTGGTACACGTGCAAAGAATTCCTCTGGATAGTTGTTTGGTCGCTTTGGTGCACCCGGAATGTAACCGGTTGATTTACAGAGCTTACAAACATCGTCGATAAATGGTAAATCGACTGGACCCTTGTTTCTCATGTAAGAGATCAACATTCTCTCTCTAACAGGTCCCTCTATCAAGTTGTCCATGAGAATCAACATAACACCATACAAATAGATTGCTTCTGATACCAATTGTTTACCATCACCATTCATTAGAATTGCCTAATAATAACAATAACAATAATAATAATAATAATAATGATATAAAGGTTATTAGTTAAAGAAAAAAGAAGTTGTTGCTATTATTATATTTCATGGATACTTACTTCAATTGTTAAATGAATATAGAAACCTTTCTCGACATCTATCAAATAATGTTCGAGATCTTTGATGTATTTATAGATACTTTCAAAGAGATGATAGAAACGAACCAATATTTCAAGATGATTCTCTCTAAACTCTGCTTCTAAATCTACCAATTCCTTTGTTTGTTTGTTAATAAATTTGTTAAACATATGATCATAGTATAAAATAAACATACTCTATTATCTTCAATTTTAGCTTCAAAATAATCTGGATTCGAGAGATATCGGAAATCCATGAGGATATCAGAGTATTTAAGTCGATCGTTTCTGTCCTCAAGTTTGAATGTCGGTGGAATGTGTGCACTAAGACGCAACATCTCTGCAATGATTGCATTTCCACGGGAGACAAGTCTGAGCAATGTTTGTCCTGCTTGACTTCCTTCTCCTAAAAAGTCTTTCATTTTTATTGATCTATTATTATTTGCAAACTAACTATTATTATTATTATTACTCAGAAAGCAACTCTACTGCTCTGTTCTGAAACTAAAATTTATAAATGTCTATTTGTTGAATGATTTTATGTTTCTGATCAAAGATATATATAAAAGATAGTAGATATAATAACTATTGTTATACACCTGTATAAATTTATCTAATGCAATTTGCTATTCTTTGTGATTGTTTTTAATCACTTTAAAAAATGTTTTGAATTTTTTAAAAAAATTCATGCATAATCTGAAGGCTGAAAATTAAAACCTAAGAAATAGATATTTTGAAAAAGGAAAGAAGTTTTCATTCTGTTTTTTAACATTTTTCAAATTTAATACAAAACTAAAATTGTATTAAAAATTAAAGAAAAGTTCTTTTATTGATATGGTTGATTCAATAGTGATAAAAGTTTTTTATCATAATGACACAAAACAAAAAACATAACATTGAACACAATATTCACCAAAGGCTCCATAGTTGAATGGTACAATACTACCTTTGGGTGGTAGTGGTCTGGGTTCGATTCCCGGTGGAGCCCCATCTTTTATTCACTAAAGAAATATTCCTTTACCGCTTGCGGTAAGTAGTGAATCAATTTCACGGAAATAATAAACAATTCGAATTTTTTATATAGCTGGAAATAATAAATTCGAATTTATTATTTTGGATTTAAAATTATCAATTTCAGATAAAAAAATTTTTTATTGAAAAACATATTTCTAGATAAATTCTAAATCATCTAGCTATTTTGAGGAGTTGTCTTCTTGACATTTGCTCACCATTATGAAGTGTAATTGTTTGTCTATTGTTCACAAGAGTTAGTCCAATTAATTTGTAAAAAGATATCTGTGAACTATCCAATTTGAGTGCTTCCAAAAATAATTGTTGTTTTGTCATAGATACATCATTGTGGAGAGTAATAGTTTCTTTTGTTGTCATTTCTATTGCTAGACCATGATACGCAAAGTAAAGATTAGGATCAATCTGGATGGCCCTGATGTATATTTGTTTCTTTGTCAATGATTCACCAGATGGGAAAATGACTGATTCATTTCTTTTGAGTCTATTTGCGAGATTTTGGTGCGCTCTATAATGTGAAGGATCAAGTGATATTGTTTTTAAATAGAGTTGTTTGTTATTTAAAGATTGGCCATTATGTAGAGTGATAGTTTTTTCTCCAACTAGTGTCCTTGCAAGGTGAGAATACGGAGATGCATAATCTGGTTTACATTCTATTGCTTTCAATAATAGTTGTTGTTTTGTCATCGATTGTCCATCTTTCATAATGATTTGTCTAGTAGATGAGAGTGAACTTGCAAGGTTATTATATGAAATCGAGTTGGTTGGATCCAACTCAATTGACTTGATGTATAGTTGTTGCTTGGTCATTGATTGTCCATTGTGAAGGGTGACTGATTCACCACTTGAAAGAGTCACTGCAAGGTTAATATATGAATTGGAATTATTTGGATCCAACTCTATTGCTTTCAAAACTAATTGTTGTTTAGTCATTGATTGACCGTTATGAAGTGTGATTGATTCGCCTGAAAGTGTTAATGCAAGATTATAGTATGATATCGAATTGTTTGGGATACATTCTATTGCTTTTAAGTATAATTGTTGTTTTGTCATTGACTCTCCGTTATTAAGTGTGATTGACTCACCACTTGTTAATATATTTGCAAGCTTATTATAAGAATCTGAATTTATTGGATTACACTCTATTGCTTTCAAGAGTAGTTGTTGTTTTGTCATTGATTGACCGTTATTGAGTGTAATTGATTCGCTAATTTTAAATGCAAGGCTATAATATGAACTAGGATTCGATGGATCATACTCTATTGCTTTCAAGTATAATTGTTGTTCTGTCAATGACTGACCAGATGGTAGAATGATCGATGACCGATTGTTCTTTCCTAAAATAACTGCCAATGTGTAATATGAAATGGAATGGTTTGGGTCAAGATCGATAATCTTCAATAAGAGTTGTTCTTTCGTCTTTGATTCACCAGACGGAAACACCATTGTTTGTTGATCATCAAGAGTCTTTGTAAGTTGAAAGAGTTCATCTATATCAATTGATTTGTTACTGATGGTCAAACATTTTTGTTGTATACCTTCCATAAAGAAGAATAATCTTTAGAAAGAGATAATAATATCTCAAATACTTTTAATAATAAAAATGAAATTGATCTAAAAAAAAAAAAAGTTTTTTTTCTAATAAATCAAATTTAAATCGAATAAATAAATATTTACTTTTATTAAGCTTGGTTTCGAATCATCAATGAATATTGTTGAGCGCTTAAATCTCTTAGAGAAAATCAAATAGTTGTGGATTTCTATCTTTCTCTTCAACTATGAAAGCTTAAGTGATATTAGTTTAAATAATCATTACACACTTTACTATCAACATAAATAAATTTAAATAAAAGCTAGATATGTATGTTGTTATTATTTAATAAGTATTTTAATTAAAATTTAACCTGTAAATGAGTTTAGTTGTTGAATTTGATGATCTCTAGCAATCTTTGATGCCTCAACAGCTTTGTAAAATTCGATACCAGTGCATGCCTTTTTCAAGAATGGGTGAAGTAACAATTCAGCAGCAGTTGGTCTTTTGTCTGTTTCCTTTTCAAGTGTCAGCGACAAGAAATCATTGAATTCCTTCGACCATTTGTATGCATCTTTAATTGGTGGTAATCCTTGTGTTGTTAATAAAAAGAGTGCCTAATAATAATAATAATGATGATGATAAAATAATAAAAATATTAGAACTTAAGTGTTATAATAAATTAAACAAAATCAACTTACTCTAAGTGGTGGATATTCGAGGTAGGGGGGCTCACCTTCAGCCATCTCTCTTGTCAAAATACCTAAACTCCATACGTCTACCTTGAAGTCATAGTTGTTTCCTTTGATGAGTTCAGGTGCCATCCAGTAGGGTGTTCCTACAACTGAATTTCTCTGTTGTCTGGTTTGTGTGAGTTGTGCGGCATAACCGAAATCGGCCAATTTGATCTCACCATGACAACCGATGAGGATGTTGTCAGACTTGATGTCACGATGAATACGGTTGAACTTGTGAATGTAAGCCAATCCCTTCAATACCTCGTGGCAAACAAAGGCAATCTGTGGTTCGGTCAGTTGGATATCACGATACTGATCCAACACTTCGGTGAGACATCCACCACCCATCAACTCCATGGCCACCCAGAGCTCGTCGGCCACGATATAACTATCTATATATTGTACAATGTTTTCGTGATTCGAGTTCTTCATCATGCCAATCTCATTGATGACGGTCTTGAGAATCTGTGCCTTCAACTTCATCTTCTTGATGGCGATGGTAATGTTGGTCTTGGAGTTGACAGCTTCAAATACTTCACCGGCACCACCCTCACCGATCTTGTTGATGTTAAAGTAGATTTTCTTGGGATCGTCCAAACTGATGAGATCGTTCAAGGTGACTGGTGCTTCCTCGAGGGCGAGTGGAGCTTGTGGTTGTTGCTGTACAGGTGGAGCGGACTCCAAGTTGTTGTATTGGGCGTGGAACTTGACGACGTCCAACACAGCCTCGGGTTGTGCCATGACTTCAGTGTCTTGGAAATTGGATTTGATGAGAACCTCCCATTCCTTTGGCAAACCTTCGAATCCAGTGTCCGCATTGAAGTTTACGTGTACGTCGTGCTTGACATTGAATGGAATTCCGACTTTGGGTGAGAGACGCTTCTTTGTCTTTTTGTTACCGCTCTGGAACAACTTGTTGAAGAACGACTCCTTGACTTGACCATCAACCTTTGGTTTATCGGCAGGTGATGGTTGTCCATTGCCATTGGTGGTGGTGGAAGTAGTTGTAGTGCTTGTCGATGTGGCGTTACTCTTCTTCTTGTTGTTGTCGGCGGCCTGTTTGGCATTGTCAGGTGCACTGACACTCTCTTTGCGTTTTGGAGAGGAATTGGTGAGATTTGGTGATGATACACTGGAGCTGGAGGTGATACTGGTGGCGAGATTGTTGGTGGAGGTGTTCAGTGACGATGGTGTAGGGGTGGTAGTTCCACTGTTTCCGAGACTGTTGACGGTGGCTGTCGAGGTGACAGCTGCTGGCTTTGGTGGTGGCGATGGCAGAGTCAAACCAAACAACGATCCACCAGAGTGCGATCTCGACATCTTGGTCTCTGGGTGTTGTGCTGGCGAGAGTGTCGATTCCTGTGGCGAAGAAGCCATTGTCTGACTGCGATTTCTCTCTGGTGTGGCAGCCGATGTTGGAATGGGTGGCAACTGTTTGGTTGGTGTATTTCCAGCAGAGGTGTGCGATACCATCAGTGACGATCCCGACTTCTTCTCGGTGCTGACACGCGAAGACGACGATGTCGACAGCGAAGAGAGTGTGGATGCTCTCGAGATCGAAGAGGAATGTGGATTGCTGCTGTTACGCTTGCTCGACTCCTCCTCGGCTTCCTCCTCTTCCATCTGTTTCAAACGCTCAATCTCACGCATTCTCTTGAGATAGTTACGCTGCTCCTCTTCCTCCTCTTCCTCCTCACGCTTGATACGCTCCTCCTCCTCTTGTCTGCGTAGGGCAAGCTCCTTCAACATACGCTCTTCATTCTCCTCTTCCTCCTCCTTCAATCTCTGAATCTCACGCTGTCTTCGCAACTGCTCCATTCTCTCGAGTTCCTCTTCGTCGTCCTCTTCCAACTCACCGACATTCTCACCGCTAGCATTGTCAGCTTGAGCGAGTTGAACGACTTCATCTGGCAATGGAACAACCACTTCATTTGTAGTGTTGGCGGTGGTCAAAGGAGTGGTATTCACCGACTGACCTTCGTCATGAACCACCTGTAACAAATTAATCTCTTTCTGTTGAGTTGATTGTGGTGAACAATCTTGTTGTTGTTGATCTCTCACAACGGTTATCTCCTTTTCCTCTTTCAGTCTTTGCTGTTGTTTCTCCATTGTGGTGTTTAGTTGTTCGAGCATATCACGGATCATCTCCTCAGTCAAGTTGTATCTCAAACTGAATATACGCTTGACAACGAGATCACGATTGACTTGCCACGATCCATCGTCCTTTAACTCCAATCGATCGAATTCATCTTCGTCGTCGTCGATGGTGAACTCCTTGGTTCCACGATAGTATTGCTCACGATCGCGCTTCAAATCAGCTGCGGTAATAGTTGCTGCCATTGGTGGACCAGTTGGTATCAACTCGATATCACTATTCAATTCGCTGCTACTGCTTTGCTGATTGTTGTTGTTGTTGTTGTTGTTCTGATGATTCTTCTCTGCACCAACACTGTTATTACTGTTGCTATTGTCTTGGTGATTTCCGTTTGTTTGCAATCCTTCTTCTTTAACACTTATATTTGTTGATTTATCTTTAAAGAATTTCTTCTTTTCTTTAATTCCAAAGCACTTCATTAGTATATATTTATTTTTATTTAAATTAAAAAAAAACTACAAATTATTATTCTACTTTATTATTATTATTATTATTATATACAATTATTATTAACAAAACATAACTAATTATACAAATTTTATTATTATTATTATTTTTATCTTTTTTCTATCTATATATTGTGTTTGTTATTTTTATTTATTTTATTTATTTTTTTTACTATTTTTGTTACTACACTATATATATAAAACAAAGTGTAACTATATTTATTGTTTTGTTTTGTAGTAGGTGTAGAAAGTAGATAGTCAAATGGAAATAATATAAAAATATATATATTATCTAATGTGGGTTTGGTTGGATTGGATGTCACAATGATGAAAAAATGGGTTTGGTAGTTTGGGTATGAAATGATTTATTTAAAAATTAAATATAGATAGGTTATTTTTGATAAAGTAGATAGGTATGCTATGATATTATTAATTAATTGATAGCAATTGAATCGTTGATCAAATATCAATCAAACAAAATGAATTAATAACCAAACAATCAAACACACTGTCCACTTCAACAAGTTCGTGTTCAAACAAACAAACTAAAAAAAACACTAACAATTGAATGGTTCGACAAAAATCAAATAAAAAAAACGTGTATATGTGTGGTGTTGTTGTGAGCTATTATTATTTATTTTATTTGTTTTGATCGTGTGTGTGTGTGTGTTATTGAATTATCACTATTGATTGCTGTGAACCACACAATTTTAATAACAGACTAATTAATTTGATTGATTGATTATCTGAATGAATGAATTGTATGGTGGTGATGTGAAAAAATATATGTTTATATTTATATATAATTAAGATACAGAGAAAAAAAAAGAATAGTAGTAGTGATAGGAATGTGAAAGGATGAGATTTGAAAAGTCAAGTAAAGTTATGAATTGTATTTAATATGGATTTGGAATTGGCATTGAATTGAAGATTGATTCATAAAAGAGCAAGCTTGTAATGCCAGAATGAAAGGTAATGAATGGTAAGAAAATGTTATTTCCAAACCAGATTGTTAACATTTGGATTGGCGACGTTTTTTTTTTTAACAACCCAACAAACAATTTTTTTTTTGAAAAATTAAAAAAAAAAACTAAACTTTAGTTTTTTTTTTTAATTGGGTGGAGGGCATGATCTATGATCGTGTTTTTTGAGAGAGACTACAGATTGTTTTTTTTGAAAAACAAAAAAAAAAAAAAAAAGTAAGGAGTTTTGTGGGTGATGGAATGGATGGTGTTTGTTTTGACGTCAAAATGGGATTACAACAATAACCAAAGTGTGATTTGAAAAAATGGTTGGAGCGCGAGATGTCGATTTGTTTAATTGAATCGTGCATTTTAACATTTCAAAAATAGCGCTGATCGATGAGCATCAAAGTGATTGAATAATAATAATTTGATCATCACAATTAAACTTCATAACTGATAGGTGTGTTATAACTATTTTCCATCAACTAGTTAATTGATTATCGCTGTATTTGTTATTAGTTGTCATATATTATTGACTATAATTGGAATATCCAATGAAATTGATACGCTCTGAAATCATAAACCTGTCATCTATCTATTTTATCTTAACTAGTTCTTGAATTGAAATTGTAGCAATAACATAAAATATATAATATAATAAAGTAGTTTTTATAAATAAATACATACTTTTATCGCCTGTAAGGTTTGGAGAGGATTCTGCTGTTTGTAATTCCTTTCCTTGCTTCTTATGTAATGTCAGAAACTGCTCAAACTTTTGTCTCAGAGTTGAGACATTATTCGCTTAAATAAATAGATGTTAGGTATTGATTTTATAAACTTTGAGATATATAGTTATTTGTTATAAATAAATTGATTGACAAAAGATGGATTTTAAAATTAATTTAATTGATTGATTGACTGACTGATTGATTGATTGATTGATTTATAATTATATTTGATTTTAATTCTCTTTTGTAATCAAAAAGGTATTGATTATTAATGTTTAAACTGAAACTGTTTTGAAAGTATCAATATTTATTTATTTATTTATTAACAAACTTTTGTTGTTAATACTACTATTATGATTAAAAATAAATTATATTTAAAATAATAATATTATTAAAGAATGATGATGATGTTTAATGGATGGATAGGCTTTTGTTATTATCTTTTTTTTTTGATAGATATTTGTATTATTGTATACTCTTATTATGTACGTATATTATTAATTAATTAAAAAAAAAGAATAAAAAAAATTATTTATTTGTGTTGAATTGATGATGATGAATGTAGATTTGATGAGTGTGTGGAATTGCTTGGTGATGGTTTGGGTGGGTAGGTGTTGTATATTTTATAATATGTATATTGACTTGGTTATTTGTTAATGTCTTTTGTGCAAAAATGTAGCTTGTTATCAGTGAAACTGAATGGAAGGAAAACAAAGGAATGTATGTAAAAACAAAGGTAAAGCTAAATAATAAATAAAAGATACCAGAGGGATCGAATTGAATTGAGATGAGAATTCCAGTAGTATTTGAAAAAAATGGATTGAAAATTGTTTTTACATATTCAAGTATTTTATCCTAAAGTAAGATTGGTGGGTTTTTGGAAGGGATGAGGGGGCAAATGCTGTGATGGAGCGTGTGTGGGCGTGATTTTTGCAAATGATGATAATGATGTTGTTGATGATGAGTTTTTTAATTATTTATTGTTGTTTTTTTTTTGTTTATTTAATTTATTTTTATTGTTGTTGTTAAAGTTAGATCAATAGATTGACACACACGACCGTTTGCCCAGACGCCGACGCGTCTTTATTAACAATATATAAGAGGAAGAAGGAGTGTTGTGTTGGGAGGGGGCGTGGTGAGAATGAAGGTGTGAGAATTCGATAATTTATTCTCAATTAAAAAAATAATAATAATAAACGAATTTCAAGCAATTTAAAGATTGATCGTGTTTGAAAAACGAGTGAGATAAAAATGAGATCGATGAATATTAATAGTTTTGATTGATTGTTTTTTTTTCATTCCGAAATCTAGCAAATGATCAACCAATCAATCAATTTAATTACAATAATAAAAATGATAGTTGATTTAAATGAAAAAATTACTAAAATAACTTACGTGCCATGTAAATTTAAACTTAATAAAACAATCCTGCTACTTTTGTTCTGTATCTATCTATCTATCTATCTATCTATTTCTACTACTATATCTACAAATACCCAATATAATTATGATTATTATTATTATTAAGGGTATTGAATTAAGGCTTGTTGATAATCACTTTTTCTTCTTTTTTTATAAATAAATGGTGTTGATGTTGTTGCTACTATTACAATTTGTATTTAAATAACTATAGTCAATAAAGCATATATTAGTATAAAATAAAGAGGAGGGTAAAATAAAGAGTGTTTAGATGATATGATAATCTTACCTATTCTAAGATACAATAATATTTATAAATAAATAAACTCTAATTTAAATGGGTTGACCTAACAATTGAACATTATATAATAAATTGATTAATACTTTTATAATTTTCAATGAACAAAGCATTTCCAAAAGAGGATAGTCCACAAAAATTTAAAATTAATAAAATTCTAAAATTAATCACAGTGAAAGAAAATGATGACAAAGGTATTGAAATTTTATTATTATTTATTTTTTAAAGCAAAACATACTTTTAACTAAAATGTGACAAACTATAAATATATTGTAATTATGATATTTTGTTTAAAAAATATATGTTTGATTTGATGTGATTTGATATTATTATTATTATAATTCAATTGCTCTTTTCTTCTTTTTTTTTCTTTTGCGCTTTTTTATTTTGTTTGTGGTATTCAAAATATTGTTGTTGTTATAGCTGTTGTTGAAGAATTCATACCTCTTCCCTCCAAAGTCATGCTATTTAATTTGATAGGTTGGCTATATTTACTAAATAATCAAATATATATCAATAAACAACAACACCTGGTGAAAAAATTAAAAAAAAAGAAAAACAGAATTAAATAAAATTTTATAAAATAGGTAATATCAAAAATAATTGATGTTTTCCACTCACAAGACAAGCAGTGAAAAAGTTGGTGATAATCAAATCACTGTTTGTGCAGCTGTCATCCATTGTTCATAACCATGCTTCCTATTTTATCGGATTTTTTTTTTTTTAAATCAAACAATGAAATCTGAATAACAGTAGCAAAAATGAGATAAAATAAATACAAAAAAACAACACATATCAACAGAACAAATACAATTAACACAACTATTCTATCTCACATAGCACACAACACACTTGATTACCAACAATTGTTGATGTGTTTTTAAAAATAAACAAAAAATTTTAAAAACAAAAAATAAAAACTTATTACTGTTATTTGTTGATTGATATTATTATTGTTGTTGATATTGTTATTAGATGATTGTATATAATATGAAGAGTGTGTTGTTAGATAAGGTGATAAAATATTACAGAGTATTAATAACTAAATCATCGATCTCTCTATCTGCTTAGTGTGAGTTTTTTTATAAATAAACAAGCTTTAGAAGTTTTGATTTATAAAATTCAACAATATTAGCAACGTTATTGAAAATTGGTGATGATTGGTTACCTTTTTTAGATGATCTTGATCTTCCTTCCTTATTACTTTTCTTTTCCTCTTCTCAAACTTTTTATTATTAAAATTACAAAACTCCTAATTGATCAATTTTACTGTCAAAGTGAAATTATATATTTATAGATAAAGATATTATTGTACAATGAAAGAGAAGAACAAAAAAGAAATAGAATGGGATAATGTGTGTTTTGTGTTGAAAATTTTTTATAAAAAAACCGTTTTGTTTTTGGATCTTTTATAAAATGGTCTATTATTTTTTGGAATCAATCACATTCATTCAAAGAAAATAACCAAAAATAAAAAAAGACATTTTTTTTTGCATAAAATTTGTTTTTTTTTTTTTTACAGATCGTCCACTCGATTTACCTCTTCGTTATTAATGAATTTGATTATCATAAATTAACAACAAACAACTTCTTTTTTTTTTTTTTTTTGATGAATATCATAATATATGTATTAGGAATTAATTTAGATCGGGATATATTGTTTATAAAATTGATTGGATGTGTAGATAAAAAGCAAAACGGATGTGATCCAAAATACGAGATTGATAAAGTAGTTTGAAGCTTTGAAGGGCATCGCTCGGATCTGTCCAGGGAAGTAACCTTTCTCCTTGAAGTGTGTCAGGAGTTCATCTTTCTCTTGGTAACGCTTATATAGCCACGCTCCAATTTCCTCTTCGGACTTTGGAAGTGAGTTCATGTCGAAGCGACGAAGATGGACATGCGCCTCGGTGGGATTGCTGCCGTAGAACAGCGCCAAGAATCCAGCCGGTCGTTTCTTGTAGGCTGCGGTCATGTCGTAGACTGCGTCGGTACAGTCGCGCAGTGCAATCACAGACGAAACGAATCCTTTGAGACGCGGTAACAAGAGGTTGTTGAGAACTGGAACTTTTCCGGCGCCACGCTCCTTTGCAAAGCGCTGTGAATCCTCAAGATTCTTGGTGCTCATCCTCGAGCCCTCCGGATGTGTTACGAACCAGAATGGCTCGCCGTCTGCACGCAAATGACTATAGGCTTTATTGATTTTGTGTTGATCGTCTTGCCACTTTCTCGAGAGGAAGATGAATCCCATCGCCCAAATACCTACACCAACAAACGGAATGTATTTAATCACATCTTTCATTGCTATTTTGATATTTCCTATTTTTCCAACTCTCTCACCAAGACTGAAGGCAAGTAGCCAATCGCAATAGTAAGTGTGATTCAGTGTGACCAATGCACTTCTATCGGTTTTCTGTGCAGCAAGTATATCATCACCTGTGAAAACTATTTTATTTTTACCTAATGTCTCAAAAGCCAATGTAATTAATGGCCATCCTAGAAAATAAAATAAAATAACAATTCTAAATTAATATGATGGATAATATGCGAAAGCATTAAATGAAAATCAGATATTAGCTTACCTATGAAAGAAATGTAGTTTGTAAGCTTTCTGAAATAATTTCTCGAAATGAAGAGAATTGGTATTGAGAGTGTCATTACTACATCACTGAGTGCAATGGCAGAGAATATAAATATTACATATATTACAAAAAAGATGGGATACCAGATCAACACTAATATCACAGCTATTGCCAAGAGTATCATTGTTGATAACCTATCGTATGCCATTCTTATACTATTGTTTGTTAACCAAAAACTAAAAATATCTTTGTGTAAATTCTAAATAATAATCGAAAAAAAAAAGTCAATGATCTTATATTTCTAAAGTTGACTAAGTAAATTGTTAAAAATAAGATCTATAGTAAAAACATAATCTACACTATTCTATTGGCAATAAAAAAAAAAGTAAAAAAAGAATAAAAAATTAATTAAAAATACAATTATTTTATTATCCGTTTGAACAAACAACATCATAAACGGATAAATATCTTATCTCATATTGGTTTCTCTCACAACCAATGAAATGTGTGAGATTTTGATGGTGATTATTGTGGGAATGGGTGACCACTAATTTCACTCAAAAAAAAAAAGTAAAAAGGAAAAAAAATAAAAAAAAATTAGAACAATTCATGACTTTTATAGATATGAGATAAATAATGTTAAGGAAATAATAGTAAAAATTCTATTTATAACAAGCAATAATAATATTATAATCTTTTCCTAATCTACAATGTTGTCTTAACGAATCTAAATAGTAGTATAGATTATAATCTATTGGTTTAAAAATATTTGAAAAATCTAAAAAAAAAAAATTAAAATTAAAAATAAATAAAAAATAAAGATTTTCGAAAATTTAGAATGAAAGAAAATGGGGTTTTCATAAAAAAAAAAAATTAAGGTCCAATTTAGTGTCTCTTTTTAGGTTGTTGTAATAAAAAAACGACAATTTATATTTAGATGTATGTGGTTAAGTTAAATCTCAATGATCATCTGATATGATTACCAATATGTATATTAATATTTTTCTCTCAACGAAAATTACATTTATTTATTTTTTAGATGGGTATTAGACATCTCTTTAGTTTTGTCGATTTTCTCGAGTTTAAGCAACCAGATGGAAGCTGGATTCGTTTATCAAAGGACATCAAGGAGTTGGTTGTTGAGAAGGGATCGATGATCATTTGCAACGGTGACTCTTTGTTGACTACCCATATCGATGAGAAAGAAGGCAGAGGTACCAACAGTGCCTTCGATCGTGTCATCAAGGCATTCGACGAGCGTGTCGATGCATTGGCACCCTATTTTTCAGAGATTAAATTCATTATCAGTGGACAACCAACTCCAACCAAAATGATTGGTCGTTTGAATAACAAACAAGAGGAGGAGGCAAATGCTACCACCTCTGAGGAGAAGAAGGAAGAGTCCAGCGCTGGAAACACTACACCTCCAGTCGCTCAACAACAACAGCAAACTTCAGGACATCAAACTAATCATGGATCGGAAAAGGCGAAATTCATGCTTGGAAAAGTCGATACTATTCACACCTATCGTTTCCGTTGCATTGAGCCATTCTTGATCAAGAGAGCAGCAGAGAGAAGCGATGTTAAGGTACACTTTGAACAATCGGCAGTCGAAGCCGACGAGGAAATCATTTTCCAATCTCAACAATTGAAAGGATCGGTCAAGTATGTATTTGGAGATGTCGACTTCCTCTTCCACTACGACACAGCTGACAACGTTGAGCATCCAGAGGATACTGTCGTCGTCTATTACATCAAGAGACTCAATCGTTACAAATGGTTCAAGCGTTCCGATCTCTTAAAGTTGTTCATGGGTGAGAATTTCAAGGCTGTCAGCGCACCTTTGGTCGCCGCACAAATGATGAGCGAATTCACACCGGAATATCATCTTCCAAAGCAGGCAGACAGCGAAACCAAGTGTCAAACATGTGGAAGCGATGCTGCCGGATACACTGAGTTCAAGCGTGGCACTTCACACGAGTTCCGTGCAAAGGATCACAGCTTTTTGATCTGTCCAAATAAATATGTCGAGTTGGCCAATAAGCAATTGGACGAGTTGAACGACCACCAGAAGAAGGCATTCCACTTCTTCTCATTGTCAAACTACCATGAGCGTATGGCAATGTTGGCAGCAGGACAACGTGAAGCCATCGCCAAATTCTCGCTTCCCGACACCAAGTTCTCGCCAACTCCAGAGAATGAGTTTGTCACCAAAGAGTTGCTCGACAGTCTCGTTGCCGAGAAAATCACTCTCAGACAGGCAGCATTGAAGTGCACAATCGCCGAAGAGCGATTCCAAGATTTCGCAGAGATCGGTGCAACCATCATCGATCCACGTTTCGAAAAGCGTAGAAAGGCACTCAAGAAGGATTTCGATTTTATCACATGCTATCGTTATCATCTCTACAATATCTGGACACACTTGAACGAACTTGGAAACACCAAGGTCAACATTGCACGTGAGGATCTTCTCAATTTCATTTTCAGTGACTCTAGAAACACCATTCCATCCACTGCCACTCAAAGCAACAACAAGAAGGATGACAAGAAATCAAATGCAAAGGCAGCCAACGCTCAATCTAAATTCAAATTCTTATCAATGGAAGATGAAGATGATGATTAAACAAATCTTTGAAGAAGAGCAAAAACAAAACAATTTTTAGTTGGATAATGGGAAAGAAATAATAAAATAGATTGATTTAATCTTTTATTTTGTATTGGCTTTCTAATTTACTATATTATTTACAAATGAGAAATATATAACTATATAAATAGGGATTAGAATATTATAGTTGATAAAGTTTTGTTTCACCAATTTTCATAACGGTGAATTCATCTTCAGCTAAACCAGCTTGTTTGGCATGTTTCTTCATTTCTTCGGGTGGCTCCAAGATTGGTTCGTCCGTTAGAATGAATGTACCCCAATGCATTCCAACACTCTTTTTCGAGCGAATCTCTTGGTGAAGCATTACAGCTTCTTCTGGATTGATGTGGAAGTTTGAAATAAAGAATCTTGGTTCGTATGCACCGATTGCGATACAACTCAAATCGATTGGTCCCATAAAGTGTCCCACCTCTTTAAATGCCGAGCAATATGCAGTGTCACCAGAATGATAGTACTTCTTTTGAGTCTGTCTGTCGACGACGATCCACGAACACCATAGACTCTTGTTTCTATCAAAGAGATGACGCTGACTGTGATGATTGCAAGGCACCGAAACCAACTGAAGACGACTGTTAAAGTCGATTTCCTCCCACCACGCCAACTCCTCGCAGTTGGTCACACCGATGCTGGCGAACCATTCTTTCATGCCTTTTGGCACGAACCACTGTGCTTTGTTACCGATCTCCTTGGCAGCGTCAATGTCGAGATGGTCATAGTGATTGTGACTGAGAATGACAAAGTCGATGGGTGGCAAATCTGATATCTTACATGGTGTTGGTCTGACACGCTTTGGACCAGCGAAACTCAACGGTGAGCTACGTTCGCACCAAACTGGATCCGTGAGGAAATTGACACCTGCAAACTGTACGAAAAATGTAGAGTGTCCGATCCATGTCATTCTAATGGTGTTATCCTCGACTGGTTGTCCAATCAAATCGAAATCTACATTCAAAACTGGATGTATATTCTCACACTCATAGGGAGTTAGAGGTGCAACTGGTGTTCTATTAATATTCCATTTGACCAAACTAGTAGTATTTTTTGATAAGAATTATAAATCTATTAATATTTTTGTTTGGTTTTTCAAACTCTTTAAAATTATAAAAATAAAACATTACTCTAAGAAATGTAAATTACCATCATGATAAGGATTTATGAATCTACCATTTTTAAACTCAGCAACTGTCTTTTGAAACTTTTGATCTGCTTCTGCAGAATCTACAGATGAATTATCCGAAATCATTTATTATTATTTAAAGTTATAAAAAATATATTTTTTAAAATGTTAAACTATTTTTATTATTACTGTTGTTATAATTTTCTTATTAACTGTTATTAATAAATAATGAATTTGGTTCCAAAAATTTGTAAGATTATAGTTTTTTCAAACAGAGATTGGAATTAAGAACTTAATTAAAATTAAATTAAAAAATTCAAAAAAATCAAAAAAAATTCTAAAAACAATGAATACAGTAGTGGGGTTGAGGATCTGAAAGAATATCAATATAATAATCCATTCTAATTATCGACCTTTTCTTTTTTTACTTGAGCAAAAGATTGTATTGTTGTAGTGTTGTCATTTGTTTTTATAATAAATATAGATAGATAGTTGTCAGATACCATAGATTCGTTACCACCACTTTCAATTCGAATCTTTATAAAATCAATAACGTCATACATATATTTTATAACGATTACATTACCACCTATATATAAGTTTGATATAGCTTCATTGATTGCAACAACAAATAGTTACAATAGCAACAACAACTACAACAGTAACAAAAGTAACAATAACAAACATAACCATATATATAAATTATAAAAATAGAATAGTAGTGTTCGAAAAATGAATGCACCAGATAGATTTGAGTTATTCGTATTACCAGAGGGTGCCAAAAAGTAAATATTATCTTCAAATTGCAAATTCAAATGAACTATCTATCAATTAGTTTATTGTATAGTTTGTTTTTTTTATTATGTTATGTTTACTAACATTTAAGTAATAACTAGGGTATCTATGACCAAAGATACTAGAATTCCCAATGCTTGTTTATTTACTATATTAAAAGAAGATCATACCGTTGGTAACTTAATTAGAATGTAAGTATCTGTTATTTTTTAGTCTCTCTTCCATTCATTTGTTCATTTATTCATTAACTTAATAATAATAATAATAATTTAAAGGCAATTGGTTGGTGATCCAGATATCAAGTTTGCAGGTTACAGAATGCCACATCCTTTAGAGCACAACATTGCTATCAAAATACAAACATATCCACACTCAACACCGATTCAAGCATTAGAAGGTTCAATTCATTGTCTCATCGATGAATTTCAAAAGATTGAATTACAGTTTATGGTATGTAACTAGTTAGTTGTTCAATCTTTATTATATATTCTGACATTTATCAATCAATTCTATAGAATCAAGTCAACAAAAAGAAGAACAATAACGATACTTACTTGTAAATTAACCGATTTTATTTAAATAAAAACCAAAACTACAGCATAAACACACATATATATTTAAAAAAAAAACAAATAGAAAATTCTAAAAATTTATTCTTAGAATATCAAAGTCAAATCAAATATCGACCATAGGAGGTCGGTCTATCAATCATCTATTATAGCAAGGCATTCAGTCAATCAATAAATCAATCATCAACAAATCGATATTTTAGCTCGGTACAAGAAAGAATATTAAAAATAAACGAATAGTTACCTACCAATAAATAATATATTTGTTTGATTTTTTTTTTTTTTATATTTTTTTTTGATTTTTTTTATTTGATTTTTAATTAACTTTATTAATTCATTATTAATCAAGATAACTAAAGATTTATAATCATAATAATAATAAATGAAGGATCCGAATGATATACCAACTCTGGCTAGAACACAGTCAATTGGTGAGGGTTTCTATCATTCAATACCAAAAGTAACTCTGTTTGGTAGTCATTTGAAAGATCATGAGAAAACAAATCATCATGGAATAGTAAAGAGATGCTGTCATATTAGAATATCGAGATTAGGTAAAGAACATCTTTAATATTATCTGTTGATTTTGTAAATAATATATATACTTACTAATATCAATTCTAAAGAATTTATATCAGAAACAAGAGATAGAATACCATCTACAATTAGAATCGCTGTTGGTTTAAATAAGATAAGAAGATCATTGATTACAGCACCCATAGATTTAACTTCTTGTGTCGAGGAGATTGTGTTTCCAAATCAATTGACAACTGCTTCTACCACAACAAACAATGCATCAACAGTCACAAACAACTCAAATAATCAATCCAACATTGTTACAATCAATTCAATACCACCTGTATCATTAACAACTAATAATAATAACAATACAACAACATCCAATGTCAATAATACAAATACAACAAGTGAATTTAAACTATTAAATAATAATAATAATAATAATAATAATAATAATGATAAATTACAACAACTGAATAACATTAATAATAATAATGAAAAGATGAATGTTGTAGGTGGAATAGGTCCGACTGGTATCAATATGCAAACATTGATATTGGATAGCGATACAAAAGGTAGTAGTATAGTGAATACTGCACCGATTAATATATCTCCATCTTCAATGGCAGCGGTGGTATCTAATAGTAATGCCACTGGTGGAAGTTATGGTGCTGTTGGTGTTTCTGCGCAGCTGAGTAATGGACCGTCGCCATCTGGATACAACCAATATATCAACCCTAGTTTGTCACCTCGTGCAGTCAGAGAGGTGCCACCACCATTCCTCGTACCAAAGAAAGTCTATTGCTACCCGGTGGATATTAGAATCAGCTTCCACTATGACCATTCACTAAAGGAGCATGATGACTACCTAAAGATCACACTCTTTAGGAATCTACCATCGAAAAGACAACGTGAACAATTCATACCATTTGCATTTACAGAAACTAATCTATCTCAAATTGTAAGTAAAACTCTTAATAATCAACTCATTATTGTGTTATTAATATCATTATTTATATAATATAGTTACAACAAGGTGATTTCATTGCTGATCTTGATATGTCAACGTTTATACAACAAAAATCAACTATAATGGATAATCTGGTAACTCCAACCTCTATCAATGTAACTATATGTAGTGTGCCGAAAGAGATTGAGAATATCGGTGATGCACAAGAATATCAACTCAATGATATTGCTCTATCTGATGATGAAAAGTAAGTCTATAAACTCACTTCAATTCAAACCAGTTAACTTTGTTGATTATTAATATTGTTTTTTATTTTATTTTAAAGCTTATTCTTTGATTCAGATTCATATGATGAGGATGAAGAAGAAGTAATATCATATGATATACCTATTAAAACTTTACAACAACAACATCAACATCAACAAAAAGAAAAACAATCACATATTAACAATAGTAACAACAACAGTAATAATAATAATAATATTAATAACAATAATAATACATTACAAGTACCTTCTTCTTCTTCTTCATCGTCCAATGTAAATAGTAATCAATCAAATTCAACTACACCACCAATAACATCGTTATCACAAAAATTAATGGAACAATACGAAGAGTCAAAGAAGAAATCAATAGAGAAGAAGTCAAAGCTTCAAAAACTGTCTTCTCTGATCAAGCCAACCAGTAGTAGTGCAAGTAAACACTCTGATTCCATTACATTGGCCGATGATGAGGATGATCGTGATGACAATTCCGTTGATTCTTCAAGTAGTGAGAGTGATCACTATGACATTGAGTTTAATCCTCCTCAACTCTTGGTACCAACAACACATCAATCTAATCATAATATTCAACAGCAACAGCAACAACAGGCATCACTTCCAACATCGGCATCAAAGAAACAACCGTTTCCACCATTCATTCAACAACAACGTGATTCTCCGCCTGGCTCACCATTTGGCATTAGAACATCGGGTTCGGAATTCGTAAAGCAATCACAGATCGATAGCTATATCGCGACCATATCCAATCCCGACAGTCCAATGAACCTTTTCCTCGTCAACTCACTTCGCAAAGGTGGAAAGAAACTGGAGCAATATCTAGAGAACAAGAGTCAATGTGCTTTGATTCGCTCCAAGTTCAACATTGTTCCAACTCGCTCCAACATGGATTTGAATTCGATTTTCAAAGCTCTCCTGACCAGACACCAGAATCGTAGTGAGAATATCCGTGTTGTCATTGCCGGTTCCGACAGCTATATCAACTCTGTTTTGAAATCCTATGTTACACTGCTCTCCACCAAGCCTCGTGGTTGGGATCCATTCCAATTCTACCTCCTCCCAATTGGAAAGAGCAATGAGATTGCAAGTACTATTGCAAACCAGGATCCAAACTATCATGCACTCTTCATTCAACCACAATCCGAGTGGAAGCGATTCCTAGAGTCAGAGGCGGAGCCAGATGCCACCCTCAAACGTGATCTCGAAACCAAGATACTCTCTTACATCGACAAGTCCAACACTCGATTCGCACACAAATTCCCAATTGGTGAAGCACTCCTCACATTCCCAAGTACCACAAGTACAGCCATTCCATTTTTGAAAGGAATTCAAATACCGAAATCCGATGACGTTGACTCCTCAGAGCCTGACCTCAAGATTGACTATTGGGTACCAAAAAAGAAGGGTGAAGATCATCTTGAAATCAAGATACCATTCCAATATGTAAAGTTAACTAGACTATCACAGATTATTACTTTGAATTCAGTGACAAGTGGACTCTCCTCATTGAGCGCACAGGCTAGTTCAATTGCCGGTGGCGGCGGTGGTGGTAGCGGCGGTGGTAGTGGTAGCAGCAGTAAATCGACAGGCACATCGACATCAACAAGTTCCAACAGTGGTAGTGAATACAACAACCCACCCAATCCCTCGAATTCATTCAGTCTCTATGTATTGTATAAAGATAAACGTTCCAAGAAGAATCCTGCACTCTATCTACCGAAATTTGGAAAACAAAAAAAGTCTGACAAAGTTTCCTACAAGAAGGAAGACAAGTCCAGTGTATCGTTGGTTATCACCAAGCTGATGTGTGGACCAATGCTTTCTTCTTCATCTTCATCTTCATCCACTGTCAACTCTGACAATACGATGTTCCAAGTGAATATTGACGGTGTTGAGATACCAGGTGTGAAATATCTATCAGTGTCTCCTCAATGGGCAACTCATGTAAAACAATTTTCAATTCAGACTTTTGTAGATACCACTATGAGTGAAAAAAGCAACTCACCAATTTCCGACTAGTAACTGAGAAATAAATAAATGAATAAACTCAAACAATCTTAGTGAGGAATACAAGTATAACATTTTGTTTCATACATAAACACATGGAATTTATATAATTCCATTGTTTTGTTTTTTTTTTTTTTGTTTTTTTCTTTATTTTTGTAAATTGGAGATAATTAATTGGGAGTCGATATGATTGTTTTGTGTATTGTTGTTTGATTGCTGTTGTTGTTGATGGTTATTGTTCAAGTTGTTGCCATTTGGATTATTATTGTTGTTGTTGTTGTTGGCTGCATTGTTACCAACACATAGCAAATCATTGACTTTAACTACGCTCTGTGGTTTCCAAGCAAGTGAAGCTTCTCTCCTCACCAACTTGGCGAAATAAAGTCCACATGCGTTACACAAAGATTGATTACCTGCTGGACCCTTTCTCCATTCAGGCGATGATGTTGTTCCACAAGAGGTACAGTGTTTGAGCTCAGTTGATTTTCTCTTTTGTTTAGAGGGATCCAGTAGGTCGAGGGAATCAGAAGAGTTTTCCTTGTTCTTAACCTTGGATTTTCTGAATCTACGTGGTCTGGTGAGTACTGGAACACGTCCTTCATCGTTGTTTCCAAAGATACGAGAATCTCCACCATTCTGGATGAAATTTTGCATCGATCCATCGAGACTGTCCACTTTGTTGATGAGAGTGGAAAGCGTTTGTTTGATTCGTTCCAATCCATTATAAAAATCACCGTTTACCATCGACTCTTTGGATTGTTTGGAAATGGAGGATCCAAGATCTCGGAGCTCAATAAAACACTCTAGGATAGCACCAGAATCAATGATCGATGGTGGTGTAGGAGATGAAGAGGTATCTTCATTTTGCTTATGATCATGTTGGTGATGGCCAACAAGGACAGAAGGCGCACTCGAGTTTAGTGGTGTGTGATGGTGGTTACCGTTGGTAGCGGATCCATTATGTGAATTTAAACCAAAAGGTGGGGAAACTGGACAGAGTTGTCCACTGGAGTAGTATGGGATCGGAGAGCTGGATGGCGAATAATTGAAAAGATGGACTTGTGGTGGAACTTGTCCATGGTGCATTGGTGATGATGAAATGTGGAGAGCTGGTGGCATTACCGGTGTCGAATGAAGGGAGTTACCGATGAGGATATCAGAGTCAATTGAATTGGATCTTGATTTGCTTAGGCAAGGCACGAGAGAGCTTGATGAGGTTGTCGGCGAAAAGTGGCTTGAAGAAGAATTGGCTATGGTAGCAAGAGATTTGAAGGAGCTCTGGGGTGATCCACAGGGGCTCAAAGAAGGTACTTGATTTGGATGTGGCTGGTTGACCTGACCATTGCAATTTGGTACAGTTGGAATAATGGTACTGGAGTATGGATTAGCAATATGACCTCCACTTGAAGATTTAGTTAAAAGATAGTGATCATTGTTATTTGAGATACTGTAAAGTAAATTTGGACTCTTGGATAGATTGTTGTTTTGTGGATTTGATTGTGGCTGTTGTTGGTGATGATGTTGCTGATGGTGAGGTTGTTGTTGTTGATGTTGTTGTTGTTGATAGATGGTGTTACTTGAGTAATTTAAATTGTTATTGTTGGAAATCATTGGATTGAAATTGTTATTTGAATTTGGATTAGACAAATATTTATAATTAAGATTATTATTACTTAGGTTAACAGCGGAATCAGCCAAATAATTCAAAGAATATGGCTTGTGTCCTACCAAACCATTATTGGAAGGTGATATAGGTGAAAAAGATAGCGATGCAGATGATTGTGGTTGTGGGGATGCAATCATATATTTTTCCATTTTTATAATTTTCTATAGTTATAGAAATACGAGAAAAAGGAGCATAATTTTTAATTAATTGAGAATAAAAATTGAATCTATTAATTGACAATTTAAATAAAACATTTAAACAGTTGTCAGCTGATGTTGTTGTTGCACGATATCTTGATGTTAAATATATAAATAAAAAATGATATTTTTAATAATTTTAATTTGGACAACAATATTTGTTTTGTTTTGCTTGATGTGATGAAGGGGAAGAGTTGGTTGATCATGGCTAGGTGGGGATTTTGATTTTCAGGTGGTTTTTCACCATCTTTGTTTAATTAAACAACAACTTCTACTAATTCACCACTACATATAAATACTCCTCAGTCATCCAACTTGTCTAGAAGAAGAAATTAACAATCGCAACCACACACAGATATTATTTATGAAACATGGTATTTTATTATTATATCACCACCACCACTCACACACTATGTAAAATATATATTATAATCGTAGTAGCAGTTACTCGAGAAGCAGACATCTTCAATAACAACAAACAAAAACAGCTAATAATAAAATTAATAATACTACAGTTTAGGGGATTTCTCAATATATGTGTATTGATCAATCATGATGTGTGTGTGTGTGTTTGTCTGTAAAATAAAATATGTTTTTTATGATCACAAGTGACAGTTCAGTTGCGAGTGGTATATCATGATTTTAATTTTAGGTGATCAAACTTTGATATTTTCACTTGTTTGTTGTTAAATACGAAAATTCATTTCTCATCCTTGAGCACCCAAGAGACAACAATAACAATAACAACAGTAATAATAATAATATCAACAACAACAACTTATTGATTCAAATTATTTAAGATTAAATTTAATATGATATGTGTGTTTGATTGATGCATAAAAGAACAATGAGTGTGTTTTTATTTATTTTATTTTTTTTCGAAATATTATTTATATCACAACAACACAATGTATACAACAACAAAAGAGAGAGATTCGAAACAACCAATATATAATTATATCTTAAATCTGAATATAGACCAATCAAGATTTATTAAATACAACAACAACATCAACAACAATTTTTATATTATTAAAACAAACAAGCGCCAACACAAAAAAACACTTCATCAACTTTATCATCTTTTTATATAAAATCGAGAATGACTATAGACATATCTATTCGATTAATATGATATTATTATAACAACTATACATATTACACTTCTCAAAATTAAATCTCACACTATTCGATTCGATACGCGCATATTGTTGTTGGTTTGATCGTGTTACTTGTGATGCTGAATGATAAACAAACAATAAAACAGTAGCACATACACCCACACACCACACACCCGCTTTCAATCTCTCCATTAATAACCCTCCCACTCTCCAACCAACCCTCCTACTACCCAGCAATCAATTAATTAGAATTCTAATGTTTCATTATATTTATGTATATATACATATATGTATAAATACATATCATCGATTACCATTAATGATATTCATTCCACCACCCACCACCATTTTCTTGTTTAGTAAATTTCTTGAAATGATCAAGCACATCTATGTGGTTTTATTTTTGGAAGTTATAATTGGTTGGTTTTGATGATGATCGTTATTAATTTGGGTGATAATTAAGTGGTTGATAGTGATTCTATTTAAACGAAAACACCGAGTAAACAGTAAGCAGGAATATTGAAACACTAACAACAACATATATACTCATTGATTTTAGATATAGCTTAATATTAGAGTCGCCGACTCCAACAAATCAAGTGTAATAATAAAAAAATGATACCCCAACACCCTTTGAGTAGTGGAAAAGGACTGGATCGTGGTGAACCAAGTGAAATATCTGAAGATGTTACTACTCTTGTTTTATTTTGTTTCTACTAATAAATATATATCATCATTCCACTCATCAACTGATGTATCAGATTTATATATTCTGAATGTGTCTATCACAAACTTTGAATTTAGTGATTTTTATTTGAGTGAGTAGCTAATATTAATTGTTTTTGTTGTTATTTCTTTCTATACAATTGTTTTTGTTGTTATTGTTGTTGTTGATTTTTGATGATGTTTTTGATGATGATGTTGTTGTTGATGATGATTGTTGATAATTGTACCACTAACACTACCAAATTAAATTAAATTAAACCAAAAACCCAATTTAAAATTTTAGGACACTCTATAATAAATAAGAATGTAGTGTTCAAGGACAACCAACCACTCTCAAGTTGGTTAGTCAGCTTTCCTTTTGGCTATCCATTTATGATGGCATTACCAGTAACACATTTTGATATTGTAACTGCTGCACAACTTACAGTTAGCACACGTAAATTAATCTATCAACAAAACAAAACAAACAAAACATCTGCAAAATTAACAACAGTTTGTATTGGATTGCCATTAGAGAGAATTGATTTGTCCTATCCTCTATAAATTACTGAATAAAGGCAAAATATAAATTTAGATTTTAAATTTTTATATTTCGATACCCATTTAAATTGGAATCAATCAAAAAGTATATGTATTAGTGTAGCTCGTTTTGTGGAGGGATTGACAATATTTCCATCTATATCTACACCTCCTCTACCAAGTTTATTGATTAAATTAACTATACAACGATATTTTCTAATTACAATTCATCATCATTAACATCATCAAACAGATTATCATATACGTATGGTAATTGTTTATTATATTTCCACGTAGATAAATTTATTTGATCTACCTCAAATTTCAACTTCCACTAGAGATATTGATTTGTGAATCAAAAACACTTTCCACTAATGACCACTACAATTAATTAAACCCTTTGTATTTATAGTAAAACAAGTTTGATTATTTTATTATTTCCAAATTAAAAGTTGTATAAAATTGGATAAGATAAAGTTTTATCCACATTTTCACTCATGTCTATCATAATAATTAAATCCTTCCTTATTCAGAAAATCACCCAATAACAACTCTGTTTAAATTTAAATCAAGATTTTTGGTTTGATTAGCCACTACAATATGTAATCCTCTACTTCCAGATTATCATTGAATCAAAAGTATGAAATCAATATATTGATTGATTAACACTGTACTGTGTTATCATTGTTAAAAAGTTGAACCTATTTTTAGTAACATCTTTGAGGTAAAACGTTCGTACCAACTAACGCACAATGAGTATTTCTTAACAATAAATTAATAATTTAATTACCGTATTTATCTGAAATCAATAATTGCTATTGACATTGCGAATAAAGACAAGACAACGAAATATTTAAGAAGATCAAACAAAGATTGATTGTTTCTAAGCTTAGATTGATTGTTAAACAGTAGTACTACTCTGAAAAGTGTGGTGAATTGGTTGAATGCAATTTTACTGAACACATGCGGATGAAATAGATTTATTTATCCAGGTATAAGAAATAAATTCCTCAAGTATAGATCCACAATAATTGCCATACCAATCAGGCGGTAACAAATTTTTAAAGCGCCAATTTTACATCAATCAATCTTTTTTTGTTTTATTCTAACATGGTTGAAAAACTTTTTAATTCTTGAATATCTGGTAAGTTATATTAATCAAATAAAATTAAAGAATCTTTAATATTATAATTGAATTATTATTCATGAAAAGATAGTTTTTTTTTTCCTATTTTCTTCTCTCTTGTTTTTTTTTTTTAAATGGAGATATGATATACAATAAAAATAAAATTTCTATAGAAAGCTTGATACTAAATACATTAAATATTATTTATTCATTCTACTCTTCTTCAAGTGTACCAAAATAAAACAATTATCTAAAAACAAAAAAGTTTTCTTTTGCAAAAAGAAAAAATAAAATAAAATAAAAACTAGATTTTATCACAAAATGCCTTCCTTGTGAGTGGGTCACCAAGGTTTTTAGTAATTTTTTTCAACATCAAAAAAATAAAGAAATAATTTAATTTTAAAAAAAAAACAAAACACAAAATAAAATCCTCTCAAATGGATTTTTTCATTTTTTGAACTCAGAGAGTGAAAAACAAGTAAAAGTTTTTTTTATCAAATTTATTTATTTATATTTTTTTTTCAATTTGTTGGGTCGACAATATAAATACTGCCATTCATAAAACAACAAACAAGTCCAAAACAAATAAAACTATAAAATAATAATAATATTATTATTTATACAAATAAAAAAATAATAATAAACACAAATAATAATAATCTATATCTAATAAATCTTTTATAACAAACAATAACAATAAACAAATATTTATACCAACATTTTTTTTTGTTTTTTCTGACAATAACCACATTCCAATAACAATTGTCAAGAACAAAAAAAAAAAATAATTTGTTTTTCAATTTTTTAAATAATTTGTCATTTCTCTAAATAACTTAACTTTTCAACTGCTTGAAAAACACACAAAATCAATCAAATTACTCTTTGTTTATTTATTTTTGGTTTTGAAAATTATAATTTAGTTTATAGTTTTGTTTGTTTTTGGGTCAAAATCCATTATATATTTAATTTTTGACCTAAAAACCCCCTCAAAACTTATTTTTAAACATATATTTATAAAGATTAATCATTAATAAGAATGAAACGTAAAGATAATGAAGATGATGATGATGATGAAGAGGATGATGAAGAAGATTTTAAGGTTGGTATCAGAAAAGTCATAACTTTTTTTTACGTTTAATTTGATCAAAACTTAAAATCTGGTTTGGTCAGTGGAAAATTGCATTTCCAATGTCGTTTTTCCAAATTTTTTTCATCTGATCTTTTTTTTTCAAGATATTTTCAATCTTAATTATAAACACTAATTTTTATTAACTTTTTTCTTTTCTTTTTCTTTCCTCTTTCCTCTTTTCTCTTTTCTCTTTTTCTTGTTCTTTTTTAATTATATTCCCATTATTATTATTTACTAAAAATATAAAATAATAAATTTTTAATCAAAAACATTTCAAAATTGAAAATAAAATAAAAAAATGTAAATGTTAATGGAATGTTGTTGTTGATCTGAAAAATAAACACTTTTCAATTCCAACCAACTTTTACATTTTTTATTTCATTTCAAAATTATTTTTTGATTATTTCTTTATTCTTTTGTAAACATGGATGTGGTGGATTGTTGTTGTTGATGATCGCCAATAGACATGCGCACAATGTGATAAAGATGAGAATGACTTTCAGATGGTAAAGTGTAAGCGGTGCAGCTTCTATTATCATATTTATTGTCTGCCTCAGCCGTTGAGTAGAGTACCGCGAGGTGAGTGGAATTGTCCTGATTGTCTTGAAAAGATTGCCAGAATCTCTAAATCCCTGAAACGACAGAGAACAGGCAACAGCGATGACACATCAAGTAGCAACAACAATGGTGTCGGTAGCAGCAGCAGTAGTAGCAGTAGTAGCAGTAGCAACATCAATAGCAGTGGTTCCGAACGAAGAGAAAGAGACAGAGATAGAGACAGTACAAAGAATAGAAAAAGTGGACAGAACGAAAGAAGACACCGCCGACTTCATAAGAAATCGAGGAATAGCAGTGGCGCTAATCATATAGATGAAGACAGTGACGACGGTGAAATCGAACAGGATGAATCTGACTTTGAGGAGGACCGCGACTCTGATGACGATTCCGGCGACAGTGACGACTCAATGCATAGTGATGACGATCATCTCAATAATCTGACTTGCAGTAACTGTAACCAGGGAAAAGACGAAGACAAGATCCTGTTGTGTGACTCTGATGGTTGCGATCGTGGTTATCATATGTATTGTCTTAGATTCCAGCTGACATCAGTTCCCAAAGGCAAATGGATTTGCGATCACTGCAGATTCGGCGATCTCACAGATATCGATCTTAACAACGAGGAGGAAGACGATGAGGATTTAGATGCATTGATCAAGCGAAAGAAAATGAGCAGTTCATCAACATCCTCACCAAATTTATTATCTTCATCGACATCATCGACATCCAGAGACAATTTAAGTGGCAATGAACATACAAATGCTGTTGGATCGTTGTCAAAATCAACAGCAACAACAACATCGTCACCGTCACTAACTAATACCAAATCACCTAAATCACCAAAGTCACCGAAATCATCACCACCCATAAGCTCTACAAAACCAACAAATCATTCGAATGTTGTTCCACCAACGATGAACACTACCTACAACGATGACAAGCTAACTAAACAACAGGAATCATCGAAATCGACAGCAGCTCCAGCAAACAAAACATCATCACCACCTCAACAACATCAACATTCAAATAGCATACCATCGAAACCATCATCGATGGTACTAAAGAAACCATCGATTTCGAAACCAACACAAGTAGTTGCATCTAAACCACCTGCTCCTTCAATACCCACTAACAATCCAAATACCAACAGTGTAAATCAACTACCAACAACATCGCCCGCCAACAACAACAACATTTCCACTTCACAGACCAATATAAGTAGTAATAATGGTAATGCGACAGTACCTCTTCCGACAGTTGCCAATCTAAAGAAGCCAAGCATCATCAATGACAAAAAGATTCTAAAAAGCCCAGCAATGAACAATGGTATTGGATCGCAACTACTGAGATCAGGTTCCAAAGATGAAGTCGACGCTTCCTTCTCGATCCTAGATATGGTACCAAACAGTAAAGCATCGGCTACCATCAATCCACTTAATATATCTTGGGATTTGGGTGGTGGATACTCTGCTTCAAGTAAACCAACAACGCCAACATCACAAAGCAAACCAACAGTTACATCATCACCTATTAAGCAATCACTACAATCATCTGCCTCACAATCACCATCACTACCTCCCAACAACCATATCAAGAAGGAACAGAACAACAACCATCTAGAAGACACTCACAATAGTCAGACCAATGGAAGCAGTGAGTTGGTCAATGATTTGCTGGCAAAGAGCAGATTGTTGTTCGAAGAGATGTTTATATCGATGGTTAATATTATAAAGTTGAATTCTATTGAGTTCAACTTTAAGTTTGCCAATAGTCTTTCTTTCCAAAAGAGCCAGTTGGGTGTTTTGCCAGTGGAGATTAAACAGTCGATTCTTGCACCGATCCTCAACATTCATATGATTCCACATCCATTGCTTCTAATTCAACCGACAGTCGAGCAAGATATGATCAATGGAAATGGTGTTGCCACTGGACAAAAACAAGCTTCGTCATCCTACTACAGTTTCCTTCTCAAGATGAAGCGAAATGAATATGTTGGATCACTTCAGGTATCCGATAGAAAGAATTTGTATATATTTTCACGTCAAATAACAAGCCATGAAAGCAAACTCTACGGATGGAGTTGCGACAGCACCATGTTGTTTGGAATTGTTTTTGGTTCAACTACTCTGTCATCACCACCAACACCCCAATCACTCAAATCATCAACACAACCACCACCTTTAAAGTCATCAAACACACACGTACAACAACAATCATCAACATCACCAACATCACCTCCATCAGCTAATCAACAATCAACACTCAAAGGAAAGAATATATGTTTCTTGGGATATGGAGATGAGTATCCATCGCTTCAACTAGTCAAGTCTTTACTTGAAGGGGGTGCTCAAGCTTCAAACACTCTGGAGACCGACTCTAATCTACTGGTTATCGAACCGAGTGCTGTCAAACAAATATTCCTACAACTACCACAACTCGCCAAATATAAATCCAATGAACAAGTACAGTTTATTAAGGGTACCGAATATCTGGTGGAGATGGTTTCGAGGCTGAACAAGCTACAACCCAACAATATTACTAGCAACAACAATTCGATACTGTTCCCTCAAAACGGAATAGTTATAGTTGACTATAATATGTTAATCGAAAACGAATTACTTTTCAAACGTTTGATACCATTGCTGTCGAATCTGAGGAAGGTTGGGAAACAATGGTCTATTCAAATATTTAAAGGTGCCTATGATGAATTAAAATCTATATCACAACAATCAAAGTATGTATATCACAAAAAATAATAATAATAATAATTTTACACTCGTATTAATTCATATTTTAATTAATTAATTTATTAGTATACAACAAAGAATAGAAGAAATACAATCACATTTAAATAATAAGATGCTAAATATATCTCAAGATACACCAAAGAGTCCAATGGAAACACTTTCGAAAACAATTTCAGTAGCGATGCAATTCATCCATAGACACACCATTTTGCTGACTTCGAATCGATTGTTAGGCGATATGTCAAAGAAGTTCCCAATAGTGAATTGCTTTGATCTCGCCGAGTGTATAAGATATATAGAATCTGTACAGTTACAAAAATAGTTAAACAAATAATAAATCGAAAATGCGCATGATATAGTGCCACTATAGTTTTTATTCATCAACATCATCTTGTTTGGTAGTTCTCTTTCTTGATTTCGGAGCGATTTCCACAACTTCTTTTTCTCGTTTGTAGGAAGCGTCTTTCAATAGCGCATCTCGTAGTTGCAAAAGATCTGTTTTCCAAAGATTGTCTGCGGTCTGTGCTTGAATAGCATTAAATTCCTCGGTCTTCTTTGTGTAAAGATTGGTTAGAGTTGTTATCTTTTCTTGAGTCATCTCTAGAATTGGCAGATTAAACAAATAGGTGAAAGTCTCTTCTGGTTGTTGATTTCCTTCCAAGTGGAATCCCTTTGCCTCGAGATCCTTGATAACATTATCCTTTGAAACACCACCAATCTTGACCTTTCCACTGGCAATCAACTGGATAAAGTTAATGGTGACTTTGTGCTTATCGATTTGTTGTTGAAGTTTCTTCATGATGTTTTCTCTTCTTTTTACGTAGGCATCCAGTCTCACACCGTAGAATTCATCAACGATCTCCTCCACTGACTCGTACTTCTTTACGGTGCCGTCTGGCGCAAACAGTGTGAGATTCGGGTGAACCAAAGAAGTCAACTTGAAGAGAGAGAGTAGTTCATTCTCTGTGCTCTCCTCCAGCCTCTCCATTTGTTCATAGGTAGTGCTAACGGTAAAGTTTACTGTATTCTCTGTATTCTCCTCTGTGAATGACTTGATAATGTCTTGTTCAATCAAATCATTTAGAACCTGCTTGTAATCGGATGTCCATTTTCCAATTGGAATCTCTCGGATCGAGAGTGAATTTCTTCCGGTGATCTTGATGAGACCGCTGGTCTTGAATGATTTTCCAGAAATCACAATATTTCCTTTGAATCCACGATACCATGGGATCAATTTCTTCATTTGTCTCTGATTCGACAACTTCAACAATAGATACTCGATCAAATCAATTGGTGAGTACAATGGCACAGAGTTGGACATACCAACACCGATTCCACTGCTTCCATTCACCAAAATCATTGGAATGATAGGAATATAATAACTTGGTTGAATTGATTCTCCTTCTTCCTCCAAGAAATTCAATGATTCTAAATATTAACAATTTTAATTGATCAATTAGTACTCTTTTTCGACATATTGTTTAGTTTTGAATCGATTAATTTGTTCTTCTTACCTTCATCTAAATCATTATAGATTAATCTTGTAATTTGGTTCAACTTTGTAAAGATGTATCTAGGACTTGCGCTATCGTCACCACCCATCAATCTTGTACCAAACTGACCACCTTGTGAAATCAATGGAATGTTGTTACTTCCAACGAAATCCTGTGCCATTTTTACTATGGTAGAGGACAGTGATTGCTCACCATGGTGATAGGCAGTGTGTTCAGCAACATAACCAGAGAGTTGCGCAACCTTGATTTCATGAGTCAAATTTCTCTTGAAACAGGCAAAGAGGATCTTTCGCTGACCTGGTTTCAATCCGTCCATCACTGATGGAATGGAACGGTGATTAGCAGCCCAACTGTAATGTACCAACTCCTTGTTGATAAAATCGGAATACGATAGCTCCTTAATGGAGTGGTCAACCGATTGTGTCATATCGGCTGCCATCAACCATTGTTGACGTTTGTCTGCTGCATCTTTGTTGAAAGCCATACCAATCAAATGGTCAGACTCATCGTTCCACTTGAATTTGATGACATGCTTCTTTAGATTCGAAAAATATTCTTTGGCTTCTGCTGAGGTGTTGGTACCCAGACCTTTATAGTACTTGATATTCCATCCCTTCAATGATTGATCGGGAAGTGAACGTTGCCATTTGAGATAGTCGTTGATAGTGAAGAATGACTTTCTATCGGCACCTTTCGATACCTTGATAATGGGTGTGACAAACTCCTCAAGGAAATCGGCCTTTAACAACTCTGGCCAAAAGTAATGAATAAAGTTGATAAACAATCCTTTGATGTGTGAACCATCGTTGTCTTGATCAGTCATAATCAACACCTTTCCGTATCTCAACTCAGAGAGACTCTGTTCATCGTGGTAGCGCCGCTTGTGAGAAAGACCAAGAATGTTTGTGAGATTGTTGATCTCCTCATTGGAAAGCAGCTGTTTGGGTGCGACATCTCTTACATTGAGTAGCTTTCCACGGAGTGGGAACACACCGAATCTATCTCTACCGAGCACGCTCATACCTGCAACGGCAAGCGATTTGGCAGAGTCACCCTCTGTGATAATGAGTGTACACTGTCTGCTCTTTGGACCACCAGCCCAGTTGGCATCGTCCAACTTTGGAATGCTTTTGGCCAGTGTAGATTTCGAGGTACGAGTTGACGACTGATATACCAACTCTGCCTGTTGTCTCATCAACACCCAACCAGCAATCTTATCAATGATTTTCGATTGCTTGACAAACTGTTCCAACATCTTCTCTGGAACCTCCGGAGTGGATCCGAAATTGATTGGTTTGGTTGTGAGTGTCTCTTTGGTCTGAGAATCAAACGATGGATTCTCAATCAAACAATTGACAAACAGCGAGAGATGATGTTTGATATTCATTGGACGCACCTCCAAATCCGGATGTTTCTTCTTGATTCGCTCTGCAATGTAGCGAATGACTTGGTCCGCAATGAAATTGACATGTGATCCACCCTTCAACGTGTTGATACTATTGACGAAACTGACCTGAGTGAATTGACCGGTGTCACTCGTTCCAATACCGATATTCCAACGATCTCCAATCTGTCCAAATGTGAGATTATCCTGTGGATTCGATAGATTCTTCTCTTGTGATCTGCTGAGATGATGTTCGTACAGCTTTGCATACGATTGGAAGTCGTACTTGATCGGTGTACCATTTAACGACACTTTGATATCTGGATTGCAACCTGCAATATCATAGACACGACGCTCCATCAAATAAATAATATCTTCACCAACCAAACTCTTCAAATGGAATTTCTCGAGATCCGGTTTGAACTCTATTCTCGTAAATTCACTCGATAATCTAACTTTTTCTATTATAGGATCATGTCTAACACTCATATTATCACTCCAACTCTGTGAATATCTCAATCCATTACTGAACGATTGATTGATTGATTGAAAAATAAGTATTGTTAATAATAATATCCAACTAATCTAACCAATAATAATTATAATAACTACCTTTTATCATAGGTTTCAACTTTGAAATGTTTTGAAAAGATGTTTGTAAGTTTGGCACCGAAACCATTTCTACCACCAACTACTTTCAGCTCGGAATCGTTAAAGTTTGATCCACTCATTAGATTTCCCATGACCATCTCTGGTACGTATACATTCTCTGTTTTGTGCATTGCCACCGGTATTCCTTTACCATCATTCTCCACTGACAATACCCCAGACACCGGGTCGAGTTCCACCTTGATATAGGACATCGTGTTGTCTCTTTGTTTATTATCGGCTGCATTGACTAGAATCTCATCGAATATCTTTAATAGTCCAGGAATATATTTAGCCTTTACGGAATGAATATACAAAGGATCCACTGTTGCTACTGTTGCTGTAGAATCTGTTGACTTTAACTTCTTTGACGATGTAGATTGACTATCATTCTTTGTACTACCAAAAATTGATTTAGAAAGCATCCACATATCATCTTCAATGGTTTGAATGGTTCCGATGTAACTGTCGGGTCTTAACAATACATGCTCAGTGGGTGTCTTCTTCTGATATACATCTTCAATCGATTTGGATTTTGCAACTTTGGTGTTGCTCGCTGTAGTTCCCCCACCACCTGATTTTTGTGATGTAGTTGATGAATAATGTCGAATCTGATTACTATTATTATTGTCATTGTTCAATATGGTTGTAGTAGATAATATAATTGAATTGTTGTTGATATTAAGATTTAATAGTTTACATAGTTGATTTGAAGGTGATGATATTATTGTGGTTGAACTACCACCTCTTGTACAACCACTGACAATTGTTGACTTGTGAATGAATCTTGAAACCATATCTATCTATCTATTTATATATATTTATTGTAATGATATACTAACTATATAATAACAATATATTTATAAATAGTAAATTTAAAGTATGGTGTTACAATAATCAGATTTAATTAGTTCGTTTTGCACAAAAAAGCATTTCAAATGAAAAACCATAAAAACACAACACATCCATCATAAAGATAATTATTAGTTGTCAAATTTAAGGATCTATAAATTCCAGGAAATTAGAGTTGATACCAAATCAATAAACAATTCAGAATATAAAACAAAAAGATGTTAAAGATGCTATCTATTTTTATAACATCAAACTAACAAAAATAAAACATTAAACAAATAATATTATTCGACCACAAAACAAAGATAATTGATAATAGTATCAATTAATAGCTCTACAATCATATACTCTCCTTGATAAATTGTATACAAATATGAATGATATCACAACAATGATTAAATTCTCAATTATTTCATAGATCATTTGATCATTGATTTTTTTTATTTATGAATTTTTTTTTATTTTTAATTTTTAATTTTGAGCAAGTTCCAATTAAGTTTTTTTGGGTCTTTGAAGTTTGTTATTTGTTTTTTTAATAATTGTTGTTGTAGAGTAATTGTGTTGTTGTAATTTGAATTGAAAATATACTTGTAGATAGTTTTTTGAATAGTAAAATATAATAGTAGTAGATTAATTAATTAAAGATATAAAAAAAAAAGATGTCACAGTCATCACAATCATCACAATCAACAGCACCAACAACAGTTACAACAGCAAATGAATTGGTGTTGGAAAAGAGTTCGAATAGCGCAGCCTCTGGACTTCAAATAGATCTTCATCCATTGGTTATCATCAATATAAGTGATCACTTTACACGTTCCAAAGTCGAACAAACCAACACAGATCATGCCACACGTGTCATTGGTGTACTCACCGGTCAACAAAACGGTAGAAACATCGAAATATTCAATTCCTTCGAATTGGTACTCACCGCTACCAAACTATTGGATCTAGAGTATTTAAGAAAGAAACATGAACAATGTATGTTAGTTAGTTTAGTTAATGTGTTTACACCTGCTTATTAATTGATTCAATTCATTAAAATATACTTACTCACTTACTTGCCTTACTGGCTTATATATTTATTAAACAGTTAAAAAGGTATTCCCAACTTATGAGATTTTGGGATGGTATGCAACCGGATCAAAGGTTACCCAAGAGGATCTTGCCATTCACAAGCAAATCATGGAGTTGAATGAGTCACCAATCTTCTTGATGTTGGACACCACCGCTGCCACTCTCAATGCCAAGGATCTACCGATTGCCGTATACGAATCGGAAGTACACATCGTTAACGAACAACCTGCCATCCTCTTTGTAAAGACAACCTATAAGATCCAAACTGGTGAAGCTGAACGTATCGGTGTTAATCATATTGCTAAAGTAACTCCATCAGGTGCTGAAGGTTCATCACGTATGTTATTATATATATAATTGCAAATTTATATCTATATATTAACAACTATCATTATTATTATTATTATCTAACTTTTATTTATTCAAAACTTTATATATATATAAATATACAGTTACAACACATTTATTCACAATGCAAAATGCTTTCTCTATGATGAATATTCGTGTCAAGATTTTGCGTAAGTATCTCCAGGGTGTAAAGGATAAGACTATTCCATACGATCACGGTATCATGAGACAAGTTGCTAGTCTTTGTAATACTCTTCCAACTATCAACAACGAAGATTTCAATAGATCATTTTTACAAGTAACTATTAGATATTATTTTCATATATACCATTCAAATCTAACAAATTAATCTACTTTAATTAGGAATTCAATGATGTATTACTTGTTACATATTTGGCTGGTATTACCAAGAGTTCATCTATCTTGAATGAATCAATCGATAAATACCTCGTTTCACATGAGAAACAAGGAAAGAGAAGATTATTTATGTAATTAATATGAAACAATAATAGTAATAAGTTAAAGAAAATAAAGAAAAACCTTTGAATAAACAATAAAAGATTAATATTCTCTACCAATAGAAAGTAGTATTTGTGATTAACTTAAATTTACATAAAAACATATATACATATTATTCATATATATATTATGTTTTTAACTCTCTTTACACTTTATTAATAATCATTTGTTGATTAGTTAGTTAGTTAGTTAGTTAGTTAGTTAGTTAGTTAGTTAGTTGGTTGGTTAGTTTGTTAGTTAGTTGGTGTTGTCTTGTGTTGTTTTTTTTAACGATCGAAACTATCACTTCTATCTCTTGCCAGACTCATTATCGATTGATAGTAGTTACTGTCGGTGATGGAATCGTCTTTGTTGATACTGTATTCGATTTGATAACGCTGACTACCTTCGCCATAGTCGATGATTAAATGTGAATTTTCATCTTGTTTCTCGTTGGCGTTTGACGACGATGATCGGATGTTGACACCGGTCTTCTTTCCCTTGATAATGTTACGACAGCAAAACACCTCGGAATAGACACCCCAGAAGTACTCGTCGATCAGCCCGTAGATCAGTGCATTGATGAATCCTTGAATCGGTTGGAATATCGTTTGCACAAGGTAGAGCGTGAAGATTGGGTTCGTAGGATCCAAGTAGTTTTGAATACGATTGCCAAGCGACGGTGCCTGACAGACGAGCGACGCGAAAATGAAGCCAAAGAAACGCTTGGTGATGACATCGTAGCCCTCGCGATCCTTGAGTTGCACACGCAACACCACGTAGACACTGACATTGAAGAGAACGATAACACCGCCCGCCGCATAGATGATAAGCCGCAGGCCTGGATCCATAATCCAACACCACGGACCCGGTGTAGGACCGTACAAATGCAACATCAGACATGGAAGCACCGACGCCAGAGGAATACCCCAACTGAAAATATGGAAATACAACGTTCTACTAAAAAATAAATTATCCTGAGGTTTTTGTAATAATATATGATCTCTTTTCCTATCATCTTTTTGTAATTTTGTTTAAAATAGTTATGAAATAAGAATTAATTATATGGTGTTTTTTTTGGAAAGTATAATAATAATAACAAATTGTTTCGTCGACTAAACATATAGGATCAGATATGAGACATACAAATTACTTTTAAAAAAACAATAACTATACAAGATGACCAAACCAATGAAGATAGTTCAAAAAATTGAATTCCTGTGGCTTGTATCAGACAAAAAGATTCATTGGTTTTCGGTTGCCATGGAAACCAAAAGAAAGCACCTAGAAAACCGGGCAGTGTTATCAGACAGATCATTTTGGCACCTTCCTCTTTGAATTGTGGTTTTTTGAAATACTGAACTAAATATGCTAGAAGAACCGATCCAGTACCGAGTAGCGTCAGAATTGAACCTGCCAACAATACAAAATGTAATATCAATCTCTGATGCTCTGTGAATGCAGGATGATGGTGCCGATCCGTATTCGTCCCTTCCAATGAATATCCATTCATACTACTATTACTATAACCACTTTCTGTACTAGAATATTTTCCATCCATTTTGTTTTGTACTTTATAAATAAAATAATAATAATAAACTAAAACATGTAATCTAATGTTATAAATATTTGATAATATACAAATGATTGATTGAGCAAGTATATAATATATTGATAATTAAATAAATATAATAATTTGATTGAGTGAGTGAGTGAATGAGTGAATTGATATATGTCGATTATAAAATTAATATCTAACCAAAAGATGGTTAATATTTATAAGGTAACAACGAAAAAACAATGAACTGCTAATGAAATCAACAATATTGATGATAATAATAAAACAACAACAATATATACTTAATAAATATTTGAAAAGAAAAAAAAATCTAAATAAATTATATTAGTTTATAACTCTATTGTTTGAAACATATATAAATGAGAAAGAGGGTGTATTATATTATGTTTATAAAAAGTAAATGTAGTGGGTGGGATTATAAACTACTAGTTTGGTTTGGATTTTGATTGATGCGAAATAGGAGGGTGGTAACTACACACTATGATAAAGTTGTTCGAAAATTTATTGGAAGACAATTTATAGTTAGACTGTAGTGGTAGCAGTGGGTTGATTACAAATTTTGAAAAATTGAAATTGAATTGTGTAAACAAGGTAGTTGTATGTGTGCTTTGCTATTATATCAAAAAAAATAAATAAGTAATTCGAAATTCTAATACTAATACTAATGTTATTATTAACTTTCTTTCTTTGCCACACTTTGATTCAATACAATTGTTGAATTATATTGTATTGGTCAAATAAAAATAGAAAATGAAAAAAAAAAAAAAATGCGATTTTTTTTAAAAACAACAGATATTTAGAATTTTAATATCTTTTTGTGTTGACAACGATTCAATCGTAAAATTTAATTAGATTGAAAAATTGAAATTTAATTATAGATTGGTTGAATGATTGAATTAATAAACATACATTGAAATAAAAATAAATAAATAAATATATAAATAATTAATAGTTTTTTTGTGGAGTTTTTAATTTGTGGAATAAGTAAAAGTTTGATTTTATACAGTTTTTTTATACTTTAGGCTTTTTTTTTGTATTTTTGTAAATTTGCTCATTTTTTTGGATTTTTTATTTTACGACTTTGTTGGATGATATTAAATAGTAATGGTATCAACCACCGTCTCCTATGAAATTTGTGGTCATTTAACAATCTGATGAACATGTTTTTTTTGCACAAAAGATTTACTACGAGATTTTCTTGACTTTCTATGTCAAAACCTCTAAAGAAAATTCGAACCTTTATTTTATAAAATTATTTTAAAATAAATTTGTTTCAATATTGAATATCTATTAAAATTTATTAAAGTTGTTACTGTATTTATCATCAATTGAAACCCCAATAATTGATAAAAATAAAGAAAAGTCAATGGTAATATCTTGTTTTATATATTCATTTTTTTGTTAAATCCAATTTTATAGTTTATATTTGCGGATATATATCTAATCTTTAAAATAAAATAAAGGATGGTTTTGGTTGCCAACGTACTCTGCAATCCTTATGTAAAACTTTGACATTCAAGTTTCATTGGAATTTATGTTTGCAAAGTGAATAGAAAAGTTGAAATCAACGTTGTTTGTTATACAATAATTGCTTAACTTCTCATTGATTCTTTCGTTCGTTCGTTTCATTTCATTGCACTATGAATCTCGCAGTGAAAAAAAAACAAAAGCACTCTCTTTCTTTCGATAATCGATTTTCTATTATTATTTATTTTATTTTAAAAATGATGATGTTGTTGTGACTCTTTTATTTTCTGGTTAATGGTTCGACTTGTTTTGGATCTACAGTGATGATGATCTTCTTGTAATCGCTTTGTTTGTATGCGTGTTTGGTAGCACCACGCTTGATTCTACCTTGAACATTGATAGTGTTAACCTTATGTACTTCTACATCGTATACTGCTTTCAAATAGTTCTTTACATCGATCTTTCCAACTGAGCAATCCGATTTGAACATGAGTTTTCTATCTTGTTGGAAGGTCTTTTGTGTTTGTCTGGTGACAGCCAACTTCATATTTGGGAAGTAGACATTGTTCCAATATTTGCTTGATGCATTAGCTACTGATTTAATTCCTGATGACATTCTATATCTATATATCTAAATATCTATATTATCTTATATAATTTGATCCTATTGCTACAATATATTCGATCTAAAAAACAATAATAATAAATCTATTTACAAAAATATAAAGCTCTATAATTATGTAACAAAAAGTTTTAATAAGTATTCGTTTTTTTCTTTTCTATTTATAAATATATAATCAAATCTACCTTTTATATTAATGTTTTATTGATTCTTAAAAAGATAAAGTAAATATATTAAATCACTTATAATGTAATGTGATCGTATAATCAAAAAGATTCATTGTGATTAGACGACATTTTTCAAAATTTTTTTGAAAAAGAAAAAAATCGAACTTCCTTATTTTTTTTTTTAGCAGTTCTTATAAGATATTTAAAAGATAGTATCTATTTTTATTTAAATTAATTTAAATCTATAAATAAATAAAAACATAAAGTACTACTTTTTTTCTTTCATTCGATCTAAATATAAATCTAAACTTTAAAAAAAAAAAACCTTACAAATCTGATAAATTTTAATTTCAAAAAATAAAAATAAAAATAACTATTTAAACTATCACCACACTTCTCTTTCAACACACAAACAAACAAACACACATCTCATAACATTTCATTGTAATTTGATAATATAAAATTTTACAAAAAAAAAAACAAAACAAATATTACAATAGATCTTAATTTTAAAAGTGGTAAAGAGTGAAAGGATGAGTAGTGGTAGTATTAGACCAAGAAAGAAAGGTGGTAATACTGTTGGAAGACACATCACTACAGGTGGTAATACAGCAAGTAATGCTGCCAATGTAAGTGGGAATGCCGCCAATGATAAATCATTGGTCAACTACGATTGGGCCAAAGAAATGTTGAATTGGAGTGACGGTTCTTACTCTACCAATGGTCCAACCGATATTAAAGTCAACATAATCATATCGCTATTCATTTTCTCCGTCACTTTAGTATTGTATGCTTTGACTCAATATCCATCTGTCTCAGGAGGTATGTCTATTATTGTTATTTCAAACATTCTGGTGAATCTTTATACTTCTAAATCTAATGATATATTAATAACAATAAAATAATTATATGTGTATAGGTGATGCTGGAGAGTTAATTATAAATGCACATCAACTTGGAATAGCACATCCACCCGGTTACCCTTTGTTTACCATGTTAGGACGTTTCTTTGATAAGTTTGTTCCGTATGGAACGGTTGGATGGCGTGTCGCTTTGATGTCGTCGTTCTTTGGTGCCGTTGGCTCGGTTGCCATTTTCCTCACCGTCAAACTGTGGGTCAATGACAATTGGTGTGCCGTCGTTTCATCGTTGATGTTTACATTCTCACCACTGATCTGGTGCTACCATATCCAGGGTGAGGTTTTCTCAATCAATAACATGTTTGTTGCCATTATCATGTTGTTGTCAGTGTGGTTCGTGCGCACGCGAATCTACGAGAACGAACGATTCAACGCATCGTTTTGGACCAGTGAAAAGATTGCCTATCTCTCTGCATTCGCATGTGCTCTGGGATTGACCAATCAACATACTCTCGTGCTGATTGTCGTACCTTTTGCATTCTGGTTGATGTTTATCGGTGGAAGAGATCAACTCTGGAGCATTCGTACCATTACCAATCTTACAATGTCGGCACTCGCTGGTCTAAGTCCATATCTCTACTTGATATTGGCACCAAGAATTCGTATAAGAGAATATTCATGGGGTAATACTGGTGAAATAAGGTAAGAAAACTCGTAATCCTCATCGTACGAAATAGTTAATAGCTTACTAATTAACTGTTTGTTTAATATTATTTTTAGTGGATTTATAACACATTTCCTTAGAAAGGAATATGGTACATTACAATTGTATAGTGGTGACTCTGGAAATTCAACATTGATTTCTAGAATTCTTTTGTATTTCAATAATCTTTTCGATCAATTTGGATACTTTGGTGCAATTTTATCATTTATTGGAATCATCAGTTTATTACTTGGATCAAATTTAAAGTAAATAGATAAGATTCGAATGAATAATATGTTTGAATTATCTACTAATCATAAACTTTTATTTATTTACCTTTTTTATTCTAGGAATTTCCAATGGAGATCAATTGGCACAATGATTATCTTTACATTTTTATTCTATATAACATTCTTCTTTAATCTATGTAATCTACCAATCGAAAAGCCATTATACAAAGGTGTATTCCTTAGATTCTTTATGCAACCAAATGTAATTGTATCGATTGCCATTGGTCTTGGATTAAAATATTTATTCAACTTTATCAACTCTAAATCACCAACATTAAAAAAGTAAGTTTTTACTATTCTTTTCAAAAAAAATAAATATAACTTTACTAACTACTTTATCATTTAGAATATTATTACCAGCTGTAGCTATTTTATTGATTTCATATCAAATTGGATCGAATTATCAGTTACAAGATCAAAGTGAAAACTACTCATTTATCAACTATGGACATGCTATTTTAGATAACTTGCCAAAGAATACATTGTTGTTGGTTGGAGGAGATCTTGTTACCAACGTTCCACAGTACTTGAAATTGTGTGAAGGTGTAAGACCCGATGTTGATATATTGAGTCTCGAAGAGATGAGTTGGGATTGGTTCACAATCACACAGGGACCACTCCTTAAGAACGTAAATTTCCCAGGTTCAGTCTATCATCCCCATCGTCCCGAAGGATTCTCACTCAAGACCTTCTTGGACCGTAATCAGCACCGTCCCATCTATCTGGCCGGTGACTTTAAATATGGAGACTACACTCATCAGGCTCACTACTTTACTCTGCCACGTGGTTTCGCATCACAGATTCTTCCGATCGAAAAATCAAGACTCAACTACAAGACCATCCTAAAGGAATACCAGAAGTTCCCATTCTTCCCACTGCCAAACGATACCGTGAAGTATCCAAACGATTCATGGGAATTCTTCATGGTCAACGACGTTGCCTCTTCACTGGAGAGGTCTGTCGAGAATTTGTTGTCATCCTATCTGCAAGAGTTTACACAAGAAGGAGAGGACGCTCTTCGTCTATCAGTTGAGATTCTTCAAAAGGTACTGACCATTCGTGACACCAAATGTTGGACACTCAAACATCTAGGTGTGGCAAGTGACCATCTCCGTTATCGTATCCGAACCAAAGATGGTTCCTATGAGAAATACTCAGAGATCCTATTCAAGTCATGGACACGTTATCTCGAAATTTGTGCCAACGAAAAAGATCAAGATTGGGATACCATTTCCAAAGTTATTAATTCTCAACAACAATAAAAATAAAATTAGTATATTATAGTAGTAGTAAACAAAATAGAATAATAATAACCAGAAGTAGTCTAATAGTTTTGAGAATATATATATATCAAAAGAGAAGAGTAAATCTCTTTTATTATTTTATTTTGTAATTTTGTATTTCTGTTTTTCTATTTTGCTGAAAAATATTGCCAATTGGAAAGTTATATATGGTACTACTGGTTTGATGATTGACTGGTTTCCGATGAAAGCGATGTTATTATATTCAAAAGATTGGAAACACCAAATAGATATCCACCATCGATTGGGAAGAAACCATTGCAACTATCATTATTATTACAATTCTCTGTGTTGTCTTTGTCCTCACACGATGCCTCTGGTGTATAAACAGAGAGTTCCGAGGAAAATGCTTGCAAGTGTGGTGGGAATGTAGTGGCATGTGCAAAGTCAATCAATCTAATATCGCATTTCGATTGTTGTGCAGAATCATCTCCTTCATATATCAAAAGTAGTGATGTTGATCTAAATTTAAATTCAGGCTGAATATACAAAGAAAAGAAAATTAATATAACAATATTCATTAAAATCCGGATTTAGTAACATTTTTCTTACATTATTTTCGAAATAATCTTTAAATGAGGTAAGCTTTTGAGATAGACATTCAATTGCATCAGATCGGAGATTGGAACCAGTGTGAAAGAATTCCAGTAGTTTCTCTCTGATGGTTGTCAAATTTAAATATCTACCCTGTTCCTTTGTCACCTTTTCAAATTCCTTTTTATTATTATTATATTTCTAGAAGAAAGAAATTATTGTTGTTAATATAATAAATTTATGTAATTACATTCTAAAATGAAATAGTTTGTTAGTTACCTGGTATCCACATAAACAGAAACCTAAAAGTGGAGTAGTTATATATTTTGAGACCAACCACGATTTATTTCTTTTGGTGATGTGTGTTTGTGCTTTCAGTCGAGCGATGAGCTGTTGTTCCTCGAGGGACTCGTGATTTTCAATTGGCTTTGGGTAGAGGATGTCGAGATCGAGATCGTGATGCGTCAGACCGAGCTTGATATCCATGATGCAAGGTTTGCTGTAACCACTGGTAAGGTCTTCCAGTATGATATAGCTATTGTAGACACCATAGTAGCGCGGTATCAACTGGTAGATCGGTAGTGAACTTCGACTGCTCTGAACCATCTCGTAGAAATCACGTTCACGCTTCGTCGCCTCTTTGTACACCTTACCATGTTCTTTTGCACGTACGAAAGGTGTTGAACCTGCAACAACATGGAATCTATCTGAGCTGTTGTTGTTGTTGTTGATTGAAACACTGCTATTACTATTACTACTTCCACCACTACCAATCTTATTGTTATTCACTGTAGATGCGGTGGTAGAAGATGATACAATGTCATTCGATTGTTGATAGTCACTCATATTATTATTATTATTATTATTTTCAACTTGGGTTTTATGTATCGGAGATTCCGGTGCTGTAAAATTGATGAGCGATGCCATTAAACAAAAAAAAAAAACAACCTAAATTAAATTAAAAATGATTAATTAAACCAAAAAAATGATAAAATTAAAAAAAGTGAAAAAAATGAAATAATAATGAAATTCAAACATATCATATGATATAATTATATAATTACCTATTTAAATTTCTTTATCTCTATTGCTAGATATCTTTTATGATATTTCTCTTATTGTATTATTAATGATATTGTAATAATTTAATGTAAATCTAATAAACTATAGAATAAATATATATATAATAATAATATGTATTGACAATTCATCTACTACTATTATTAAATAAAAGTTATTACAATACTGTTGTTATCTATAGGTATAGACAAAACTCTTACTCTTACTTTTATAATAAAAGTATAAAGTTTGTTAAAGAATTCTTTTTTTTTTGTTGATATAAAAAAAGAAAAAGAAAAAAAATTTATATATTTATCAAAACTTAATAGAAATGAATGAGTGAATGAAAAAGAGTGAATATCTATTCTTTGTAAGATTTGAAGAATGAATAATAATAGTCAGATGAAGTTTGAAAAAAAAAAAAAAAAAACTTTTAAAATAATGGGGGTATGTTATTAAAATTTCCAATGAAAACAAGAATTGTTGAAAAATAATAATCTAGATTAAGAATTAGATAAAAATATGTTTTTTTTAATTATACTATATATATTATGATTAAATATATAAAATATTAATTATTTGATTAGATTATGACATCAAAGAGCTGGACAAGAAAAACAGTATGATGTTCAACCTTTTCAAGTTTATTTTTGTTTTTTTTTTTATTTTTTATTTTTTGCAATTGTATACCAACAAAATCCCACTTTCGATTTTTTTAATTTAATTTTTTTATAATTAACATCGCGGTCCACAAAATGGTGTAATTCAGATTAATTGGAATGTGTGATTGAAAATGATTCCTCTCCAAAAACGAAAATTCTAAACAACAACATTGTTTCTCAAAAATGGTATGTCCGACATAAATATAATCAAAAAAAAAACCGAGGTCATATGATCTTTTATGATATTTTCTTGTATAGATAGTTTTAACCTATTGATATTTTAAAATGGATGTTTGAAAAAAAAAACAATACAAAAAAGAAAACAATTTGTAGAATTCATTTTGTACAAATTTAATTTTATTGGTATAATGATAATTTTGTTTGTTGTTTATATTTCTTGTAATATTTCATTGAGTGATCCACCGGTTGAAAGTATTTGATAGGCACGATAAAATTCTTTGACTACCAATGAGAGATGGTGTCGCTTTCGGATGGAACGCGCCATGTTGAATCCAGTGTCGAACGGATCTTCGATTCTAAAGAAATACTCTCTTGTTTGGTCTTCCCAGACCTTGTTGGTGAGAACACCACCGGTTCTGATGCTTATGGTGTGCTCAAAGTTGAACTCGATCGAGTAGTACTTAAAGAATGCGAATATCAGCTCGCCAATACTCATTGTGTTGTGCGCAGAGAATCTACTCAGATGCTCGATGCTATTGTAGTACTTGACGTTCTTGCCATCTACAAATTTGTCGGGCATCACTTTGCCATCGAATTTCTTTCCCTTGATGAAATGCGGCACTCCATTGGCCAACTGTTGTAGTGACGGTAGTATTTGAATGCTTTCTGACTGTAAGAAGTGTATAATCATATTGGCATAACTATAGGAATGTAGAGAGTTTTGTGATGCATCGTTTATACCTCTATTCTTTGACTATTTCACATATAAGTATAAATATTGTCAGTTAATGTCAAATCCATTCATATTTCATCTATTTCCTTACCCATTTCTTTATTACCAATGCAAGTGGTCTGACTCTATTATCAATAGAACAATAGTCATAGATCATCTTTGAATTGTAAATAGCCAATGGATTGTTGATGGACAAATCACATGAAAGTTTACTATCTTCATCTCTAAATTTTACAATTGGTACTCTAGTTCTTGTAATTGGTTGAATATCCTTAAAGTTATCTATATATGTATGTTGAGCAATGGTGAGTTTGATTATAACTTTAGTTATATATATTATGAGTACATACTTCTTTTTAGTAAATCAGCAATTCTGAATGTTCCTCTTGTTTGGTCGAGTGGCTTTGATGTTACCAATGAGATATCGAGGTCACTCGATTGGAATGCCAGTCCGTTGGAAGATGATCCAAATAGGAAGAGTTCAGGATTGTAGCCTTTGAATGATTTGACTAGAATATCACTGATTTGAGCTAGTAATTGTTGTCCACGTTTAGTATCCTTGCAGCGTATCGACTCGTACAGTTCCAGAGAGTCACGCGAGAGCTGAGACATGCGATCCGAAGAGGGAATGACCAGCGGTGTGACAGATCGCTCAAAAAAGAAGGCCAGCAACTGCTCTTTCTCCGAGGCATTCGATATCTTGCGCTCCAACATCTTTTTCTTCTTTTGAAGTTTTCCAAATTGTTTGGCCAACTTCATCTGCTCGGTGACATCTTTGTTTTCACGTTCCTTCAGTTGCTTCAGTTGCTGCACGGTTGGAATATAGTTACCATTATTCAATTCCTTCATCGAATGGTTGATTTCCACTAGTTTCTTGGTGGTTTCAATGATTCGCTTTCTCTGTTGAGCAAGTGGATGATTTGGATCGAGATGAGAGTACTTATCAGCTTCACCGGCTGCAGGTTCCCCATTCTCATTGATTCTGAACATTCCAAAGTCATTGACCAATTTCTCCATCTTTCTTACTAGCCTCTTATCTGAATTTGCAACAATATTATTATTATTAACAGGTGTTGATTCCTCATTCTTGTTTTCTACTTTGGTTTCTACTTTTTCTACATTCTTTACAACTGTTTGATTTACATTTTTATTAACTGATTTATCTACAACAATATCATTATTTAGTTTACTATTAATCTTATTATCTTTATTATTATTATTGTTATTATTATTATCTATTTTATTATTCTCTTTATCTTTATTATTATTATTAGCAACTTTGATTTCTTTACCTTTTTCTTTTGTTATATTATCTTTGTTTGATTTGCTTGCTACTTCTTTATCTTTTGTTACTGGTTTATTTTCAACTTTTGTCTTATTATTGTTATTCTTTTCATTATTATTGTTATTAGCTATTATATTCTTTGGAGGATTATTAATTGGCGTTGAGGTAGTGGTTGAATTTGATGTTGAAATTGGCGTTGTATTTGTATTTGAATTCGTAGTTGTAGTTGTAGTAGTGTTTGAATTTAAATTTGTGTTTGGTGTTACTGAAATTACATTTATGGTAGTTGTTGGTGTTATTACAATTGGAGATTGAGTGGATTTATCATAGGTTTGTGGTTTGACAATGGTTGGTACTATAGGTGTCTCTGCTGGTGGACTATATATCGCTGGTATTCTTTTCAAATGGTTTGCCAGTTCTTCTTGCTGTAAACTTGCATTCATCTTGACTCGATCCATTTGTTTTCTATCGTCGCGTGCCTTTTGGTTGGCCAAATTTACGGTTCGCTCATACTCCCTATTGATATTCTCAAACTCTAGCTCCTTGTGTTTCAAGAGAACTTTCTCACGCTTTCTAAATTCTGCCAACTCTCTGTTCTGTCTCGACGATAACTGGTTGAATGTCGTCTGCCAGTAGTCTTTCCATTCGATCTCAAAGTCTTGGAGTTCCGCTTCACTATCGTAGGCGTCGTCGATGATCGAGCGCACCGACTCGTTGTACTCATCGGTTAGATTCGCCTTTACCATTTCTCTCTCTTCCTGGTGTTGTGCTCGCAACTCCTGTTCACTCTCGGCACCGAGCTGGCTGTGCATCATCTGTGAGATGTGCGACTTTTTCTTTTGTTGCGTTTTGTTTGCCTGCAAGAGTGTCTGCGATCGATCGTTCTCAATGTCGTCGGCTATCGCTGAGATTTCATCGACCATCGAATCGAGTTGCTGTTCGTACGACTCTTTGACCAGGTCCGAGTGGAGTGTGGCGGGATTGCGTTGGTTCCGCAAGCGGAGTTCGCGCAACTCTGTCAAGTTGGAGACGGTCAACGCCAGAGCATCGAGCCTATATTGTTTCTTTGTCGGTAGCTTCTCGGTAGCGAAACCCAACAGTGTATCTGCAACGAGCTGCCAACGATTCTCCATCATGGTCAACAATACATCGACATAGTGTTGTACGTCGTTCTTCAAGAGATGACGGTCAGCGACCTCTGCCAAACGCAATTCATCGGCCAACGAAAATCTTGACTCCACCATCGGTACCACACTCAATTTCTCTCTATCATCGTCGTTCAATATCTTTTTCTTCAGATACTCCTCACGGAAACCTGAAGTAACCCAAACAACATCTTTTTGTTGTTGTTGTTGTTGATGTTGATGCTGTTGTTGTTTATCTTGATAATCCATTATTAAATAGATCTATATATGATCTATAAATATATAGATATTTCTTATTTATATATGAATATGTAATATTTATCTTTCTTTTTTTTTCTTTTGCTTTTAAAACCAAACTTTTTTTTTAATAAATTAAAAAAAATTCATTTTTAGGAAAAAACAAGTAATTTTTTTTTTTTTTTAAGATTGTTTAATTTGCAAAAAACTGTAAAAGTTAAATTAAATTGTTTTTGTTGTGTATTATATATTAAAAGTAGTAGATAAAGTAGTAGTAGTAGTAGTAGTTTTAGATATATTTATTTATTTTCTTAATATTGTGTATATTTTGTTATTTTCTTAAAGTTTTCATTACACTTTTTAATTTAATAATAAATATGTGGATACATCCAAGACCACAATATTCAATTACACCTTTGTGGTCGGTGTTATTGGAGAATCGATACTTTGCAATATTGAAATCAAAGTCTGGTAGTAGTTTGTTGGGTAGAATCGCTGGTTTGGCTGTGCAAGCTAGTGATGCTAATCCTCTGACCTATAGGATAGTCTATCTGACAAAGTCTACACAGGTCATTGCAGTCAGTGAATCACTCGATTTGATAAAAGAACATTGGGTACTGTTGGAGCGTGATATAGTGCCGCGACTCGACGAGCACGAATGGGATGTTCGCGATCAATTCGTAATCTCAAAGATCATCGGAATGGTACAATCAACAGACGAACACGAAGCAGATCAAAACGATGAACGTTCACTCATTGAATTCAAACAACAATTCGTTCAACTCGAAGAAAGATTACTTACATGTAAGTAGTTAATCATAAATATATAAAAATATATATAAAGAAAGTATTATTAATAACAACATAATAATACGTATCTCTAAAGATTTCAATTGTTCATTATGGTGGGAAGGATTAACCTATGGAAAGATCTTTATAACACAACAATCGGTGTGTTATTACTCTTCCAATCCAGTGCAACATATCATTTTACCATTCGATAAGATAACAGCTATCACAAAAGAGTCAGCACTTGGATTCCTACCTAATACAATTAAAATACAAGCATGTGTTGGTCCAGATATTAAAACTGAAAAAAAGGTATATTTGTATAATGATATGAAGATCATAATCATTATAAATGTAGTTTTATTTAACATAATTGTTGTAATTTATAGTTTTTATTTTATATTGTACTTAGAGATCATGCTTATGATCTAATGGAACAACTTTGGCGATTGTGTATAGATGAACTCTATCAGAAACAACAAGATAGTATTGAACTTAGTCATAATAGCAATAATTATAATAATAATAATCAAAGTGAATCTAGTAACGCTGCTATGACATTGGAGGATCAATCAAGTCCAACACTAAGAGCAACCAAACAGAAATTAGACATTGAAAAGAACAATAGAAATTTTCAAAGATTCTTCAAGTTACCTGAAAATGAAGATTTATTACAAGGTTTGTTGTTTGTTTTTACTTTTTTTTTTTTTTTTTTGGAAACAATCATATCAAATCTAACATACAAATTACTACTACTACTATCAAGTTCATGCATGTTGGATTGTAAGGAAAAAGAATGCATTGTTGGGTGATTTATATTTGAGTGCCAATTTCTTTTGTATAAAATATAAGGAGTCATTCTCCTCAAAGAAATACACTACGGTTTTGCCTATTGCAAAAATAGCATCGATACAGAAAACTAAACCATTCCTGGGATTCTCTTTCATCTCGGATACACTGGAGATCACAACTACATGTGGACGTGTCATAAGTGTTCGTTTGTTCCATTGTGACGAAGCATTACAAACCATGTTGAAATACTCTCAGCATCATATCAGTAATAATAACAACTTTAATAACAATAATATCAATAACAGTCCTTCTCATCAGAGACAAGCTTTACAAATTGAATCGATTGGCGTTGGATGGTTCGCTCAGGAACCCGGTTTGAAACATGAAGATCCAGAGATTCTAAAGGATAAGGTCTATGCATGGAATAAATACTTTACAAAGCACGGTGAAGATACCACCATGTCGGTAACGAATCGACTTACCAAGTTGATTCGTCGTGGAATCCCCGATCCACTGCGTGGACATATCTGGGCGTTTTGCAGTGGTGCCTGCTTCATGTGGGAAAAGGAGCGTGGTTACTACCACCAGATTCTCCACGAGAACAAAGACAACACCAGTACAGCGACAGAGGAAATCGAAAAAGATATTAGACGAACGTTCTCCTATCATCCCTACTTCAAGTCTGAAGATGGTATCAATTCACTGAGGCGTGTTCTCACCGCGTACAGCTGGCGAAATCCAACTATTGGCTACTGTCAGAGTATGAATGTTGTCGCCGGTATTATGCTGATGTACATGCAGGAGGAAGCTGCATTCTGGGTGCTCTGTCGTGTCTGTGAGGTATTCCTCAAGGACTACTATGTTACTGCGATGATTGGATCGATCATCGATCAAAAGATCTTTGCTCACCTGGTCAAGCTGCACCTGCCCGACGTCAACGCACACCTTGATAAGATAGGACTTCCCATCAACATTGTCTCACTGCCTTGGTTCATGTGTTTATTTGTATCATACATTCCATTCCCCGTTGCAACAAGAGTGGTCGATTGTTTCCTTCTTGAAGGTACAACTGTTTTATTCCAAACTGGACTTGCAATTCTAAAGGTATAATATATATATATAAATTATAAATAATAATAATAATCTATCTTATAATTACTAACCAACTAATAACAAAAATATAAATCAAGATAAACAAGAAAAAGATTTTGGCAGAGAAAGATTCAGAAGTGGTTGTACATTTATTGAAAAACAATGATTACGATGTAGATGAGTTGGATAGAGTGGCTTTTGAGGATTTTAATATTTTAGACGATGAAATCAATGAACTAAGAAATGCACATAAATTCAAAGAGATCAAACGTAAATAAATTTTATCTTTTTTTTTTCTTTTATATATCTATAATATCTTTTGTTATTACATTTACATTGTAAACTCTGGATTACCTGACTGAGTGAATCATTATTATTATCTAATTACATAAAATTTTTTAAAATAGAAAAAAAAAAAAAAAAAAAGTTACTTTTATAAATTGTATTTCCATCCTAAAATGAGAACATTCCTTACTTATTTTAAAGGAAGACTAGTTAATTAATCAATTATTCCAACATAATTATCTGATACTATCTAAAAATTGGAGACCGACGAATTATCATATTTAATATTCAAAGATAATAAATTCGTTTGTCAAAATCCCAATTTTTTTTAAAGTATTTTTTTGAAAAAAAACAAAAAAGAAATTTCAATAAGTGATGTGTAATAAAAAAACTCACAGTTCTAAACTATCTAGTTTTTTCATTATTCTTTTTTTTCATTTTTACATTTATTCTGCCTTTGGTTGTTTTTTTTTTTAATCACATACATTGTAATATTATAGTGTCTTTATATTATATTAGTTATAATCCAATAAAAGAAGTAACAATATCAATATTTAGTAGTAAGAATGTTGGCAACCAAACAAATTAGTAAATCATTATTAAATAATAGTGCTGTAGGTATATCAATTATAATATTGTATTACAATTGTATAGTTTAATAATAATAATAATAATAATAATAACAATAACAATAACAATCAATAAAATACAGAGATATTTTCATTCTAGTGCAATAAGACTTGGTGGTGGACATGGTGGAGCACCAATTCCATATCCATCGGCAGTTATTGAGAATGCAGGTGAAACACAAAAGATGAATCTTTTCCAAGCTATCAACAATGCTATGGATATCTCATTGAGAACAGACGAAAAAGCATGTATCTTTGGTGAGGACGTTGGATTCGGTGGTGTCTTCCGTTGTACCGTCGATCTTCGTGATAAATATGGTGCAAAGCGTGTATTCAACACTCCACTCTGTGAACAAGGTATCGCTGGTTTTGCCATCGGTATGGCTGCACAAGGTGCAACTGCCATCGCTGAGATTCAATTTGCAGATTGTAAGTGGTTGTTTATAAATAACATGCATGCAAACCAACAGCAAATTTAACTAATTTAATCGATTGATCGATCAATCAATCAATTTTAGATATCTTCCCTGCTTTCGATCAAGTAAGAAAAAGCAAATCGATAGATAGACGACAGATAGATAGATTAACCGATTCAATTGAGAATGGACTAACTAAATTTGTTTTTGTTTTTGTTTTGTTTATTTATTGTAGATTGTTAATGAAGCAGCTAAATATAGATATAGATCAGGTGGACAATTCGATTGTGGAAGTGTAACATTTAGAGCACCTTACGGTGCAGTCGGACATGGTGGACATTATCACTCGCAATCGCCAGAGTCATACTTTGCTCATACACCAGGTTTGAAGGTAGTCATGCCAAACACACCGGTCGAAGCAAAGGGACTGCTGTTGGCATCGATTCGTGACAAGAATCCAGTTGTATTTTTCGAACCAAAATTATTGTACAGATCGGCAGTCGAAGAGGTGCCAATCGGTGACTACGAGATTCCACTTGGAAAGGCACGTGTCGTCCAAGAGGGTTCCGACATCACCATCGTCGGTTGGGGTTCACAAATGAGAGTGTTGAATCAAGCCGTACACATGGCAAAGGAGAAACTTGGTATTTCATGCGAACTGATCGATCTTCGTACCATTTTGCCATGGGATGTCGAAGCGGTCGAGGCAAGCGTCAAGAAGACCGGAAGACTGATTATCAGTCACGAAGCACCAAAGACTGGTGGTTGGGCTGCTGAAATCTCATCGACCATTCAAGAGCGTTGTTTCCTCCACTTGGAAGCACCAATTCAGAGAATCTGTGGTTACGACACTCCATTCCCATTGATCTTTGAGAGATTCTACGTACCAGATCATTTGAAGAATTTCGAAGCAATCAAGAAATCTGTTAAATATTAAACATTAGAAAAACTAACAGAAACAACAAAAAAAAAAACAAAACATAATAATAACCAACTGGAAATAATTAATTTAATTAAAACTTATTTTAAAAACTTTTTTGATAATTATTTTGTTATTTATTTTATTATTGTTGGATATTTGATGGTATTAAATGAGGTGGTGTTGGTAATTGTTGGTTCATCATATGGTTTTGATGTTGTAACATATATTGTTGATATTGTTGGTGATGATGTTGTTGTTGTAATAATAATTGTTGATTGTGTTGAAGAATTGATTGTTGAGTTGGGTATGTATGATATTGATATGTAGGTTGTTGTTGTTGTTGTTGTTGTTGTTGTTGTTGTTGTTGAAATTGATTGGACATTGATTGGATATATCTATTTGAAGATAGTTCAATGGTATTTGGTATGTCAATGGTACTGTTGTTATCTGGGGAGCCATAGTTTAAGTCTTTGGATGGATCTGATATATTATTTATAGGTAGACCATATGACAGTTTTGGAAGTGGATTAAACTCTTTTGATTTATAGATAGGAAATTGAATATGAAAATTTGAGTTCATCTCCATTTCCGGTGTTTCGATGATGGATTCGGAGCTACTCATACTCAATTGTATGGTTGATTGTGAATTGTTTGTCATCTTTTCTAGAAAATTGGAAAATATTTGTCTCCTATCAGGGGTAATATTATTACTATTGATAATACTGTTTTTCTGATCTTTACTATTGGTATAAAGGTTTTTAATACTAAAATTATTTACAATTGTGTTTGTGTTTGTGTTTATATTTGTTGTTATTTTTGAAGATGGTGTTTGTGTTTGAGTTGGACTTGGTGGTAATGAATTAGGAGAAGACATTGGTGACTATTTTATTTTTTATGTTAAATAAATATTTTAAAAGAATTAATAATTTAATTTAAAATGATTTAAATATATAAATAATTATTACCGAATAGTTATCTATTTCTTCATCATCTTCATCATCTAGAGAGAATTTCTTCTTTTTCTTTAATAGTCCTCCTTTGTGCTTCTTATATAAACCATTCATGTTTGGAGAAACCCCATTTTCTCTTTTCACAGAATGATGTTTATATTCTATATTTGATAGATTTACCTTCTATTTTAAAATAGAAATAATTAAAATTAAGTAGTTTATATTTAAAATATATATATTAATATATTTACTTTGTTTACTTGTATAAATGTTGTTGATTTAGAAGTGTTGTCATTGTTATTATTATGTTTGTTGGTATTGTTGGATTGAAAACTAGGAGGTGACTCATTATGAAATTTAAGAGGTTGTGGTTTAGAAACTGGATTTTGGGTAACGATATCCTTATGGTCATTGAATGTTTTAATAAATTCTTTTTGTTTTTTGTTTGTCTCATTGATTTGTTTAAGATAAGCTACTTCATTTCTAGTCTCTTTATTTGAATTGCAAACAAACTTTGGTGAAAACACTTCCCACCATTGAAGTAGGTTCATCGATGGATCTACACCTCCATAAAAGTTGGCTGATATTTTGAAAAATTGTCCTACCACTGGATAATATGTCATAAGATAATGAAGTATATATATATTTAATCTTAAACATTCAATTAAATCAATATATAAATAAAATAACTTAAAGGAAAAATGAAATCTTACGAATATTGAGATTTATCATTGTTGTTCAATGATATATAAGGATATACTATTGGATCGGCCAATTGATATTGATATAAATATGGAATGTTCCAGTTCTGAGGTGTTGGTGGTTTATCATAAGGATTTGACTGATTGTTGTTGTTTGGTGTATGATATTGGTTTGAGAACTGATCTTGATTGGATGTAATTTTTTGATTCTGAGTCATTGTCATATCATACTAATAAAATGAAAAAAAAACCAACACAAAAGACATATATAAAAAAAGAAAATTTTATATGATATAAATCTAGAATAACTTATTATTATTATTAAATTATTCCGTAGTAATAAATATTGAATGGTTTTTAAAATCAAGAGTACATCACAACAGCGTATTTGATCAATATCTATTAGTTTTATTTATTTTTCAATGTGGTGGGTATCCAAGAGCCAATTTCAATATGAACAATATTGTTTTTTTTTTTTTTTCGAAATATATATTTTAGTGATTCTATTAATGATTAATAGAACTAAAAAGGGTTTTACCATATAAAGTAAAAAAAAATAAAAATCCCAAACAACCTGCCAAAAAAAAAATGAGGTTTATCCAAACCACACATCAAAAATGATGTTAGAGTCCATTTTTTTTACTTTTTTTGGTAAAAAAATGTTTTATAGTAAAATCTCTCTTGATCAGAATTAACAAACTTCTTTTTTGATCAAACTATTTGGTGTTCTATTTTAGAGACCTAATAAGACGAAAAATAAAAATAAAAAAGATTTTTAATTTTGATTTGCGTAATAATATAGAATAAAATTATTTGTTTGTTTTTGGTGAACTGTTTTTTATTACAATATTAATTGGTACCTCAAAATAGTTCTCCTTTATCGTTTTCTTTGTTTTGTTAGAGGAATGATAAAGATTTTTTTTTTCTATCATTTGGTATATTAATTACTTTTTGAAAAACTATCAAAATTTTTTATTAAATGGTATTTTGTTAAAAATTTAATATAAATCAAATAAGATAAGTGATGTTAATTTTAGAGAATTGTTTCTCACCTAAAATTCTCACTTGTAAAACTGGAATTTCAATGCTGCTTGAATTGAACAACAAATGTTTCAACTGAATAGCGCTCAAATTGAAACCATTTTCTAAATTGTATTTTTAAGGTTTGATCCGTTTAAAACATTAGAAATCCCGTTAAAAAAAATTATAAATGAATCAAATACATCCACAAGAAACAGTTAATACCGCCAAAAACATGGTTATAAATGTAATGTATGAATGAGATAGGAGCTGAAACTAGACCGTTAGTGGAATAATAGTATGGATTGAATAAAACTAAAATTAATTTGATACAAAATAACCAATTTACATAGATGAAAAATGTCTTTTCGTAAAGAGGTAAAAACAATGATGTTTATGGGCGTTTTATGGGTATTTGATTATGAGAATTAAATTGTTTGTAAGCAACAAACACAATGGATGTTTAGTGGTGTTTGTAAATGAATTGTTTTATTGAGTTTAGCCCAAACTTTGTATTTGTTTAAGACAATCAAAGCAAAAACAAGATATTGGTTCATTGCAGCAAAAAAGAGAAAAAACACTCCTAATGGTCAGTGTCACATCGATCTAAAGTTTAAGATTCATAGGCGGCTGTGGTTTATGAATTGTAGGTTGTTGGGAGGGCACCTGAGGTGCTTTTCGAGAGCGAATTTTAAGTAGAATGCAAAGATTGAGTGCTATAGGGGATGGTAATGATATTTAATAGAACACTGGAGTGTGGGGATGTCAATCAAAATAAAATTACATTAGAGAGAGTGTGAGTGTGTTTTTGAATGTGTGTGGGTGTGGGGTTTGTTTCAAATGATTGTGTGTGAGTGATCGACTGAACACCACAAAATCAGCTGATGAAACAAAATAAAAAAATTTGAAAAAGAATTTAAAATTTTTTTACCTCTTTTGATTAAAAAAAACTATGTTTACTGATCACCAAATGAATCCACCGATTTATAGAGAAAAATCATAATTCATTGATGATAATCTCATGATATGAGATCACAAGTTGGGTGGGAGCAATCAATTTACAAATGATTTTGAGGACAACAGCCCAATATTTGGAATCTAACCAACAATTGATGGCAGTTTAACTCAAATTTAAATAACTATTTAACCGTTGTTTTTGTCGTGTTTCCTGAAAGTAGTATTTCGCTTGCTATTGTTTGTTTATTTATTTATTGACCAACATCATCAATCACATTATAATTCCTAACAAATTATTTCCAAACTTATTTCTATTAAAATACAACAAATAATAGTTAACTAACTATCATATACATCTGTTAAAATATAAATAAATTTTATATACAAAAAACTTTTAAAGTTTTCAAATTATTTAAACAAATAAAAAAAGTAATCAAATCTAAATAGATTTATTTCAAAAATGTTTTAATATTAACATATCTCATTTCTTCTGCTTCTTCTTCTTCTTCTTCTTATTTCATGTTATTTTCTTTAAAGATGAATAAATTAACCATTAGTTTTATGGTAAATGAAGATAACATATCACCCTCGCTTTCAAACTCAACATTTGTCTCCAAGAGCAAAAAGTCTGTTGATTCACATCAATCATCATATAAAAGATCTCCCACTATGGTGAGTTCTTTATATACTGGTAATGCACCTCCACCAATCAAACTTACAACCAACGACAAACAAACAACTATACACTCCAACTCTTCTACTTCTTCTTCCAGTGGAAGCAGTAGTTCATCAGCATCAGCATCATATAAAACAAACACCAACAAATATTATGAATACCAGAGATATAGCCAATACCAGAGAATGTACCAGCAACCTGCACAACAACAACAACCTTTATCACCTAAATCTCAATCACCACGTTCACCACGCTCACCACCATCACAAATTTCAACACAACAACAACTTAATCATCACCCATCTTCCTATCATCCTTATTCCAAATTCAATAGTCAATACCCTGTATACAGTTCAATGGAACAACACTATCAACACCAACAACAACTTTATAATCAATATTCTGGTATTGTGCCACCAACCTCACACCCATATCAACATCAATATGATAATTATTATGGTTACATTTATTAATTAAAAATCAAATATTATAAAAAACTTTTAAACTTTGTTTAAAAGAATGTAAATAAAAAACCTTTATAAAATCAAATATAACAAAAAATAACTATTCTTTTTTTTTTTTATTATTTACTTTTTTTTTTTTTATAAACTTTTCTTTTTTTTTTTTTTTTTTTTTGATCATTTTTTTTTCAATCCTGATTTGGTTTTTTTTTTTTTAATTTTGGTGAAGGTCACGACTTTTCATTCTTTGATCCACTGGTTTCACCAAATTTTGCAAACAACCCGATCAAAAAAAAAAATTACATTTTTGGAGGATGTTTTATGGACAGTCCATCAAAATTTAGAATAAAAATAAACAAATAAATTAATTTTATATCAAATTAATGAATTGGAGCAAAATAAACCTCACCCACACACAAAAAAAAAAAAAACCACACAATCATTTTAAATCGTTGTTGAGCCACATTGGGTTTTTTTATGAAATGATATCATTGTGGTATTTTTTATCGGTAGAATGTGTGGGGTGGTGCCAAGGGGTGTGGGGTTAGAGTGTGATTGATCTATGAGTGGTGTGGTTGGTTTTTTGCTTTTTGTATATTATTGGTAATGTTTCAAATGCAGCTGTCTCTTAGCAACCCGTTAATTGTCTAGATTCTAAGTATGATTCAAAGAGTTATCGCACACCACACTCAAAAACCCAATCATTAGGTTGGTGTCAACCAAAAACCAAATAATCATTTTGAATTTACTTTCTGATCAAACAACAACAAAACAACAACACAACAAAGACAGATTTCACTCTCTCTAGCTATGTAGTAGATCTATACAGCTACAGCTCCTCTCACTCACTACAATTTAACTATCTAGCCTCCACTATTCAACTTGAAAAGACTAAAACCTACACCACCAACCAAAACATCAACAAAATAAATTCAGCCAAACAATATTCTCTATCTTTAATTGTTTTTCTTATATCATTTGTTAGCTAAAACACCTATTTAATTTAAATTCACTAAAATCAATCAATCAATCAATAATCAAACTATCCACCAACCATTTTAAACCAAACTTTATAAAACTGTTTTAGATCAAAATATTCTAATCATAAATCAACTATCTATTATTATATCTCTATTCCATTTATTTCTATCTTTTATTTATTTATTTATATACACTCTTGTTATAATCTTTAAATTTATTTTTTTAATTATATAATTAAAAAAATAAAATGTTAAAATGTTATCAATAGAATCTGACCGTATGAAGATTCGTGAATTGCTTTGCAGTCAAAGCAAAGATGATGATATAGAAGTTTCTAAATATTCCAACAACAACAACAACAACAATGTTTCACATTTTAATACCATAAAAATACCACTTAACAAATCAACATCATCAATGAGTGATCTTATCGATGTATCTCTAAACCATTCCATTGCATATAAATCAAATTCTTCACCAATCCAACATACAAACTCTAGTTCACCACAACATTCACATCCAAATTCACCAACACAATCAAGAAAATTCTATCACCATGATGACTCTGATTTCACTATTTTGGCAAATAACTTTTTTAATAATCCAACATTAAATAAGAGTAGTAGCAGTCTGGAGCTATTACCCATCCCGCCACCATCTTCAACAACATCTTCTTCTTTTTCTTCTTCTAACAATAAACCACATTCACCATTAATAGCTCAACAGCCAAACAACAATTCCATATCTTTACCTTCTACTCCACTAAAACAACAACCAATATCCTTAACATCTTCTGGAAATAGTATCAATAACAATAACAACAACAACAACAATAATAATAATAAATTAAATAAGCATCAAATGATAATGAGACTTACCTCTACATCATCTCCAATTGAAACCTTGGTACATAGCATCAGGGAATCCAGTTCCAGTGAATACGATCAAGACTCTGATGACGAGCAAACCCTCCACTACAAATCCATTTCCAACCAAGCACTCTTGAAATACAATGAAATCCCAGTGACTTCTCGTAAGCTTTGGTCTCAGGAGGAATGTTGTCATCTTCTAGAGCTTGTACTTCAGCTGGATCCACAATCTTTTAAATCAAAAGAATCTGAAAATCGATGGCGAATCATTGCTAACGAGCTAGGACGTACTGTCACATCTACAAGAAAGAAATACATGAGACTCATGAATAAATGGACATCTAGTTCCTCCACTTCTTCTTCGTCTTCTTCGTCTTCGTCGTCCAGTTCCTCGTCAAACGCCAACGCCAACCATTCATCGCCAAACACTCACTCTATCAATCAGAGTCCAGAGAAAACAATTTTAACGTCTTCACCAACCATGGATGAAAAAAAAATGCGAAGAGACTACGATTCCTATTCTCATCAACTTCAACACCAACCATACCCATCTCATTCACCAATGAGGAGAGAATCGAAAATCGAGATCATCAGAGGTAACCCATCGCCAGTTGTTTCGAACAACCAGTATGACCCTTCCTCGAGATCACCACTTGCAACATTTACTCCAATTTCACCTTCAACCACAGTAACATCACCTTCGTACCAATCATCCCTTTCCATGGTACCATCAACACCCATATCCAACAGAATTGATTCCACATTTTTAAACCACTCATTTTCCAGACAACAACAAATACATTCACTAAATTCCAATGCTTACAATTTTGGATATAGATCTTCATCCAACGAAACAAACAATTCCGATGATTTCATATATAAACAACCAAAAAAAGAAATAATCCCTAGATAATCCATAGAATCAAACTCTCAAAACTCCAAATTGAGTCTAAACAATTAAAAACACCAAAACAAAATAAATTGATTTATATAAAATCAAAAAATACTTTTAAATTATTATAACTTTATCTGAATGAATAAATTATTACTTTTTTTTGTTTTATTTATTATAATTATCTAAATATAATGATAAAATAAGAATTTACATTAAAATAAAATATTAATAACAAAATTTCTTTATTTTTGGATTTCAAATTTCTAATAATCCCAATTTATCTAACGGGATTATCGTAACCCATGGAATCCCAGAAATCACACTTTTGGCTGAGCAAACCACTTTCGACGTATGGAGTTGGAGCTTGGAAAATCAAAGTTTGGTCACCTGTTTCGTTGAATGTTGGCCATTGAGTTGGAACTGGTAAACCAATATTTGGATTTCCATTGACTACAAAGTTCATCCAATAGTTGTTCATAGCATAGGCAAGTGTTTGTTCATCTGGAGTAAAAGTGTATCCACCGAGACTGGCGCTATTAAAGACAAATGGAAGTTCAGATCCATGACATACATGACCAACACAGTTAGGATATAATGGACCCCATGCATCAAATGACAATACATGTTGGAATTGATAGGTGTAAATTGTTTCAGATCTACTCAAGTATCTTGTCATATTTCTGTTTGGACAAACAAAGATATAATCAGTTCCAATAACTGATAAAACTGGACGATTATCTCCACTATTAATAAAAAATAATTAATATTTCATCGATACTAATAATTTTATAGTATTATAATTACCTAATTGGTGGATATTGAGCAATTACTTGTTTGGCATCATCGAGATTCAAGAATAATCCATCCATACCTATTTCATATTCAAACTTGGAGATACTCTTGTTGGCAGCTTGGTAAATGAAGAGAAGTGCTTCTTCCATACATGTTCCTACTATCATTGGGATTTCATAGAATTTACCTTGTTTGATGAGATTGATTGGTTGGTCGAAAATCTCGGTACCATCAACGGTTGGTGTCCATGGCAAGAACAAGGCCAATGGGATCAATATATCGATTTCGTTTTGTGCTTTGATTTGACCTTGAATGATTTCCTCTGGTGTCAATTGGTAGAGACAACTGGCATCGGCAGTTGGACAACCTACTGCTTTGGCAAAGTTCATACTGTTCTTGGTCTCAATTTCTCTGGTCTTCAAATCAAGAAGGTATGGATTGGATTCAGAGATGGCTTGGTGGAACAATCCGAAAGACAATGGCGAAGTAATATGGGCAGCAATACTGGTGGCACCAGCAGATTGACCACAGAGAGTGACACGAGTACGGTCACCACCAAAGTAGGCAATGTTGTTTTGAATCCACATGAGAGCTTGACGTTGGTCGAGGAATCCATAGTTTCCACTGAATTCATCGGTAATGAGGAAACCTAAAACACCGAGACGATAGTTGATTGTGACAACAATAGCATCGGAGCTATTTACCATTGTTCTTGCATTGTACAAAACAGTGGCAGCAGCACCTTGTTCGAAACGACCACCTGGTAAGAAAGCCATAACTGGACGAGTGGCATCGTTTGGACCCAATGGCAAAGCACTAATTGGTACAAAGACATTTAAATATAAACAATTTTCACTGGTATTGGTTGGACAAGTACCTGGTGGTAATTCACAGTTTTGTGGACATCCAAACTTTATATAAAAAAAAAATTAGAACATTTAATAAATAAAAAAGTGTTTTGTCAATTCTTACTTGTGGGTATCTAGCATCTAAAACTTTTGGTTGCCATGATTCGGGATCGGTTGGTGGTTGCCAACGGGCTGGACCTACTGGTGGAGCAGCAAATGGAATCTGAAAAAAAAAAAAAAACAAAGATTAGAAATATTTCTTAAAGATTTAATTTTTTTCGATTTAAACTTACACCATAGAATACAGCATAGTCATCATATCTAAGACCTTGAATTAAACCTCCTGTAGTCTGTGCTTGTACAGTATCATCAAGATCTGAAACACTCATAAAATCGAATGCATTGGTGTATTGTAGCAAACCTACAATGATAAATAATATACAAATAGAATTATTCATTTTGTGGTTCTACTAAAAAAAATTCTAAAATGATGAAATTTTGGATCAATTAGCACAATTAATAAAGGATCACTCAAAATGAACAAGATATTTTAGGATGAAAAAGTAAATCAAAAAAAACAAAAAAATTGCAATTGAGCCGAAATTTTGATTACTTTTTTTTTCTGTTCTTTGATGTATCAAAATTTACAAAAATATCTAGATATTTGGAATAAAATTGAGCACTTTTATAAAATCAATCTTTAATTTAAAAAAAATAAAATATTTTTTATTAAATTTTCAAAGGAGAATCAATGTATCATGATATACATAAAAAAAATCCTTTCGGGAAGATTCTTCTTATGAAAAATATCAAACTACTTTTATTCGCAATAAAAAAAAAAAAACTTTGGACCAAAGTATCATAAGATTGCATCTTTCAATTTATTCTATTTAATTTGTGAATACAAAATACAATTAACAAGATGAATAATCATAACGGTGAACATATTTTAGAGTTTATTAAATCAATTGATAAATATGTAGTAAATCATTCAAGAACAAGATTAGTTGAACATATAGTTGTGTTGATTGCACTGGGATACTCTTTGAAACAGATCTCCAAGTATGAATTGAAAGATATAAAGTCATTGGTTTGGAAATGGTCAAAGTGGTTGGCACCTTCTTTCCACCAAAAGATTAAAGACGACATTGAAAATCAAGTGAACCAAGTAATTACAGAATCGTTTCCACCCATCGAAGGTCTACCACTCCAATTGGAACTTCCCAACGAAGGATTATCAGATGATGAAATCCTTAGAAGACTTGGATTATTACAAAAATCAGATGTTGATACAAGTAAATATAATCTATTAGCGTACGCTAATTTGGAGAATTCAAAATAGCTTGTTAACAACTATTTATTTTATTTTTTTTAGAACAAGGAAAACTATTTGCATATGTTTATCCAACATTGGAAAGACAAGAGAAAATCATTGTCGAAGCACAGAATATGTTTGTCCATTTGAATGCTTTGAATCCAACTGCTTTTCAAAGTTTGAGAAGAATGGAGGTTGAAGTGGTGCAGATGATTATCAATTTGTTGAATGGTGGTGAATCGGCAAGAGGAACTATGACCAGCGGTGGAACGGAGAGTTTGTTGATGGCTATTAAGACCTATCGTGATAGAGCGTTCGATCTCTACAATATAACGGAGCCAGAGGTTGTCTTGCCTATTACTGCACATCCTGCTCTGGAAAAAGCAGGTCGATACTTCCAAGTCAAGTTGAGATATGTTCCGTTGGTGGGCGACTGCCAAGTCGATATGCGTGCATTTGAAAAGACTATCAATAGAAATACTATTTTGTTGGTTGGATCGGCACCGCAATACCCACATGGTTTGATGGATCCCATTCAGGAAATGGGTCGACTCGCATTGAAATACAAACTTCCATTGCATGTCGACAGTTGTTTCGGTGGATTGTTCTTGCCTTTCATGGAGAAGCTAGGATTTGAAGTTCCGCCTTTCGACTTTAGAGTGCCAGGTGTCACTTCAATCTCTGCTGACATTCACAAATTTGGCTACTGCACCAAAGGATCGTCGGTATTGTCATTCATTAATGACAGCTATCGAATGTATCAATTCATGCCGTATGTTGGATGGCCAGGTGGATTGTTTGTATCGCCATCGATGCTCGGTACCCGTGGTGGCGGTCCGATTGCCGCCGCTTGGACATCGCTGGTGGCACACGGTGAAAACAACTACAAAGAGATCACCGCTAGAATTATGGTGACAGCCAGAGCAATCAGGGAGGGAATCAACTCGATCGATGGATTACGCGTGATTGGTAATCCAGTGATGTGCGCACTCGCTTTCGTCAGTGAGAATCCAGAGGTGAACGTACATTGCATTGCCGATCTCATGCAATCCAATACCAAACTCGGTTGGAAGTTGGAGCGTACTCACAAGCCGAATGCCGTGCATCTCACTCTCATGCAGAGCCACGTCGGTAAGCAAGACGAGCTTATCGCAGATCTCCGTCAGTGCTATGAGACCGTCGCTAAAGATCCAAAACAATATATAAACAAAGGATCGGCTGCCATGTACAGTGGAATTGCAAATATTCCACTCGATAACATTGCCGATGACTTTTTAAAGTGTTTCTTGGCTAAAACCTATTCAGCGCCATCAAGAACCGCAGAACAACAACCCAATTTTGCAAAACAAAATTAACAAGAATCCAATAAAACGCTAATCAAAAAACGAGATGCACTTTAAAGACAAAAAAAATTGTTGTTGTTGTTTAGATCTGATCGGATCTCCACTTCAAGTATAACATGGTTTTTTTGCAAAAAAAAAACCAAAAAAAAAAATTATTGTTCAAAAAAAATTTAAATTTGTTCAATTAATTTTATCATAATTATAAATAATAGAGAGTTTGATTTCTTTGTAGATAGTTTTTTTTGTTTATATAAGATATATAAGATATAAGATATAAGTTAGATATATTAAATTAGTAATAGTTTTTTTATTATTATTATTATTAAAAGTTTAGACAAGTTTAGTTTTTTTTTTTTTTTAATTCGATAAATTCACTATAGAAGTAACATAGTTAGACAGTAAATAGTTAAAATTAGAATAGATAGTATAGTATATTAGTTAGTTTAGTTAGTTTGTATATAAATAGTTTTTATTATTATTATTTTTATTATTTTTGTTAGTTTGTTAAATAATAATAGATAGATTTAGAGAATTGTAAAGTTTAATACTAAGTTTAGTAGATATATAGATAGATAGTAGATAGAAAGATAGAGAATAGTATTATTAGTAGAATAATTTGATAAAAAAAAATGGCACCTCGACCTGAGAGTATAAAGAAGGTTATGGATGTTTTGGGTGACTTTAACCCATCGGAAGATAAAGTTAAAAAGACATTGGGTATCGGCGATGAAGAATTAAAACAAGTTCAAGAAGCAAACAGTCAACAGATAGTTAAAGATAGAATACCAATCAACAGAAGAGATACTAGAAAGGCACAGTCGACACTAGGTTTAAATTTATCTAAAGAAAAGGTAATGAAAGAGTTTATTGCAACTGTAACAGATGATTATATAATAGCTTAATATACTAATTTATTATTATCTATTTAAATAAATAGTTAATGGATATATTGGGTGTAGACGAAGATACTATAACAGAGGCAGAACAGGAAGAATCGGAATTGAGAGAGAAAAAGATCAAGAGATTCAGAGAGAGTATCGTCATTTCAAACAAGAGAGCATTGAAGAAAGCGTTGACTATGATGGGTTGCGATCCATCTTCGTCAAAGATCATGAGAACGCTCGGTGTCTCTGAGGACGAACTATCAAAAGATGTCTCCACCATTCAGAATCAACAAGTACAACAACAACAACTCAACAATCTCATCATATCTGCTGAAATCACTTTGTTCTTTGTTGTCATTTATTGCATTTTATACTTTGCAAATCTTGTATAATATAAAAAAAAAACAATCAACTCTAATTATTTGTTGCAACAAAAAAAAAAAAAAAAAAACCAACCATTTGTAAATCAACCAATCGTTTAAATTATCATTATATAGATTCAGTTTTATTATCTTTGTTCTATCTTTTTGTTCAAGAAAATCTTCATTTTATAAAAAATAACAATAACAAAGAATCATTTATTAAGTGTAATAAAAACACAACATTTATTTTTTTTGCATTAAATTAATTTTAATATAGTACTGTGTATTTATTTGAGAGTTTATTTTCAATGTCCGGAAAATACAATTAAAAATATATTTTAAGTTGGAATGATCGAGACAGTGGTATTTTAACATTAATGGTTAGGTAAAGAGGAAAAAATATTTACTGTTTACTAGACTAGTTATAACATGTATTTTTATTGTAATTCTAAATAGGTTGGTAGTTTGTATTAAAGTATGATAAAAATAGCCATTTACAAGTATTTCAATTGAAATTGATTCTAACAATTAACTTACATATGTAATTTTTTTGTTTTTTTTTTATATAAAATAAATGATTTGTTGACCATGATCAGGCAACAAATTGAAGGTCTTGATATTAACATACAAGTCATAAGGTTAGCTGAAGATATACTTTTGGAAATGAAGAAGGTCAGAGTTGTGGAATACCATGTTTGATCGATCTAAATTAGCTTTTTTTTTCCTACTATACCGCAAGCGGTAAAAAGTTTTCCGGAAAAAGATTTTTTGTGGAGAAGCCGGGTATCGATCCCGGTTTTCAAGCATGCAAAGCTAGCGTTCTACCATGTATACCACTTCCCCTTTCATGTTTTTTAAATAAAATTATAATATTTTGAGTCAAAATTCAATATGAAAATGTAAAACATTTAAAAATACAAGTGGTATAGATAGAACGTTTGTTTTGAGAAGTTAGATTTGTCTATGTGTTTCACTTCTTCTCTATCACAATTTGTATTTTTCAACGACAATAATAAAATCAAAGAGTTGAATTTATTTAACTCATAAACTGAATGCTTTTGTGTGCTTTTTCAAAAATAATGCCAGTCTACAAAAAAAACCCAACCTATAAATGAAATAACACGTATGCACACAGGTTATACCAATAATGGGCAATTCATTGATTTAAAAAAAATCCAACCGATAAAATGAAATAACACAGATATTTTGTGGATGTGAGGTGACTAGTATTCTTTTGAATAATTATTCAAATGAGGGAAGTAACAAAATCTGATAATAAATTGAAGGCTATTTACAAAATGCATTTTATTTCATTCAATATCAGTGTAAAAAAAGTACCACAAATCAACTCATCACTATCATAACACAATGATAAAATTATCTATTCTATTTGTAGTACTACTATTATTATCACTTTCATCATTATCATTAGCAATCAGAATTACCGATTATAATGTTGTTGTTGAGATCTCTCAACCTGACCCAACAATCTATTTAATTGGAGGTTTTGGTTCAATGGGACTAAATGTTTCAATTTATAACCCATTGACTCGTCATGCCAGTATTGTTGTTATTGATGAATCATACTCACAACTTTCTTTATTTAGTACTTTGTTATTCACACCACCAAAGATTGTTTTCATTTCTGGATATTTTTGGCCAGATAATTCTCTTCATAATTGTACATTGAATCACTATGATTTAGAAACAAAATCGACCATATCAACATTCACTTTGCCAGTCGTATCATGGCCAGCATTCTATATATGGCAGACCGCTCAATTATCATCGAATCAGAGTCAATTCTTTGTTGTACTATCAAAAGGAAATGGTATTACAGAATTACAGACATTTAATTTGGCAGACGGATCACCAACAGGTTTCAGCGTAACACTACCTCAATTTGGTATCCATGACCCAAGTTTGGTATTTTCTCAAATATTAATTGATCCCCACTTTACAAGTTGCCTATGTATGGGTTGGATCATATGGGGAAGTACCAGATTTATTATCAACTGCCGAAAGCAACAACAACTACGAAAAAGATAAAAACAATCACAATTAAAGATGACGATTCAACAGTATTATATTGTGGTGAATGGTCTGGTTGTAATTACTTATTTACAGTGGATTTAAATAGTGAAACAATGACAAAGACACTCGATCTTTCATCAACATTCCCTGATGCAGCAGGATTTTCATTATCGGATGGTATCATACAGCCAGATGGTACGATAGTTACATATGGTATACCAGCTGACAAGTCAGTTTACTGTTTACCTGCAGTTATGACGTTTGACCCAACAACAGGTTCAATAAGTATTGGTACCATATTGGAAAAATATGAATCTGGTTTTTATACTGGAGCAACTCATGATAATGCAATCTATATGTTGGTTGTTGATCTCCAAGGTCATCTTCCAGCTGGTTTAACATTGATTGGGTATAATATAACTAGTAGTCAATTCGTTTTAAATGTGCCCGATTCAGCTATTCCATCATTTTATGATTTAATCATGGTTTAAACAACAATAAACTTTGTAGTTTGCTCGATCTTACTACTTTATTCATATTACCATGGTAATATCATTTCCATTAATTGTGTATAGTTTGTTGCTGTAATCACATTCTTGCTGCAACAATTATGAAAATAAAGATATATCCACAAGTCTAAATTATTCTTAGTCCGTACTTATTAATCTTATATACAAAAGATATGCTAAAATCAGTTAATGATCAATTGATAAATTTTTTTACTGTTTCTCTGATAAATTTGCTAATCATAATTTTTGATTTTTTTTTTTTTTACACAGATGATTCGTTTTTTTCAATTCATTTTCAAAACAATCAACTTTAGTTTTTTAAAAGATTTTATTTAACGATCAACCTATAATTAGATCAAAGTCAAGAATATATATATATATATATTTATTATTATGAGTGATAAGTTTACACTAGAAAGACTGAGAAAGAATGTTTTCACACCAGACAATACATACTATCAGATGTTTGAATTGTTTGAACATTGTGAACAAAAAGACATCAGTAAACGTTTTCGCGAACTCTCAAAACTAGTACATCCAGACAAGAATCAAGATCAAGATGACAGTCATCTATTTCATATAATCAAAAAGATCAGAGTAAGAAGAATATTAATAATAGATATCAATCGATCATTCATTTCATATCATTGATCAATCAATCAAACAATCAAGAGCATTCGACAATCAAACAAAACTCAATCTTATTTCGCATAATGCAATATTAATAGTTTGCAAATCTTTGTATATTTGTATAATTGTATTATTCCTAACGGTTCAATCCATAGCTTATTTGTTGGCGCTTAAATTTGAACAGGCGAAACTTTGTGTTTTTTTCAAAAGCTTTTTTTTATTTTTTATTTTTATTTTTCATTGCCTAGCAACTTGATGAAAAGAATGACAGTCTTCAATTGCTTCTTCTTAAAAATTTAAATATATGTTAACACACAGACAGACATATATTGATTATTTATTTATTTTATTTGTATATTAATTTCTATAGGACGTTTTAATTGATCCTATTCAAAGACGAAGATACGACCAATCTCTATTTCAAGCCAAGATGTCAAAGAGTATTAAAAAGTCGGTTCCTCTATTTCCAACAACAACCACAACAACTACAACCACTACTACTTCAACATCGGCATCATCAGCATCTACAACACCATCAGCATTCAATAAGAAAACGACAACAAGTAACAGTAGTAGCACAATGTCTTCATCTAGTCTAAAGACACCTGTCAGTGTAAATGGTAAAAATAGTGGTGGTAATAGTAGCAGTAGTAGTAGTGATCATAGTGGTGGTGACGCTACCACTTCGACATCATCAGTTTTTGCCAGAAGAAAATCAGGTTTGTCAGCAACAACAATAAGCTCAATGGCAAAGAAAGTGGATATTCCTCCAACTGCCAAGAAGCCTCCTGCCAGATTGTCAGTACCAAGCAAATTCGTTACACCAATGAAAAGCAAACCAATACCTGCCACTGCAGTAAAGATTGCCACCTCTAAACCAGCACCATCCCTCAAACCAACACCTAAAAAGACACCGATCAAAAAGACTAAATCTGATGATGATGACGATTTCAAAGCAGAAGAAAAATCAGAAGAATCAGAGGATGAGGAAGAGGAAGAGGATATGATGAACCATAAAAAGAACAACAATAAAGAGAAGGAAAAGAAAGAAGAAAAGAAAGAAGAGTCTGATGATGAGGAGGAAGAAGAAGAAGAAGAAGAGGAAGAGGAGCAAGAAAAAGAAAAGAACAAAGAAGAAGAATCAGACAAGTCAGATAAATCAAATAAAGAAAAGAAACAAGAGTCAGAGTCAGAGTCGGATGAAGAGGAAGAGGAAGAAGAAGAAGAAGAAGAGGAGGAAGAGGAAGAGGAAGAGGAAGAAGAGGAAATAGTTTCAAAGAAAGAGATACCAACTCCAAAGTCATCATCTCCAAAGATACCAATACCAAAATCACCAAAGCAGAATAAACAGAAAGAAAAAGAAGAGGAGAGTGAGGATTCAGATGACGACTTTAGGAAAGTACCGAGCAGTAGTAAGAAATCACCCAAGAAAATAGTAGTGGTTGAAGAATCAGAATCAGAGTCAGAAAAAGAAAAAGAAGAGGAAGAGGAAGATAAAGAAGAAGAGGAAGAGGACATATTTGAAGAAAAAAATAAACCGATAAAGAAAAGAGGTCCACCAAAGAAAGTGACAGAAACACCCAGCAAAAAAGAGAAAAAAGTTACAAAAACAAGCGCAAAGAATAAGAAGATTATAGAGGAAGATGAAGAGGAAGAGGAAGAGGAAGAGCAAGATAAAATGGAAGAAGAGGATAGTCCTCCACAGAACACCTATCAATCAAAACCAAAAAGAGCCGCTGCAGTAGAGTCACTGAAACGACCAATGTCGTTCGGTACTCCAAAGCGATTGACACCAGAGGAGAAGAAAGCAGAACGACAAAAGAGAAAGGCAGAGAAAGAACTAGAGAAACAACAAAAGAAATCAAAATCAAAACAAACAACTGTAGATAAGAAAAGAAAAAGAAAAAAGAAGAAGATGATGATGATTTCCATAGTAATAATAATAATAATAATAATAATGAGAGTGAAAATGAAGATGAAGTAACAGAGGAGTTTTATGAGGTACAGGATGTATTGGCAGAGAGAACATTTAGAGGAAAGCAACAGTATCTGATACTATGGAAGGGTTACTCACAGGAGGAATCGACATGGGAATACGAAGATCACTGTGACTGCCCCAAGATCATACAGGAATTTATCGATCGTGCTCAAAAAGAGAAACAAAACAATTCAAAACAACAACAATCGCCACCACCAAAATCAAAATCGACAACCTCAACAACAACAACAACGACTACGTCAAAGACCAAACGACAAAAAACAACTAAGAAATAATATAAAGATTTCAAATAAATATAACATATACACAAAAATTTGTTAATACATTCTTTACCTACTGTAATCCTTACTTATCTAAACTGTCTTATTATTATTATTATTTAATAATAGTAGTGTTTAACATTATGATATTTAAATTAGAAATACTACTCTGTCTGTGAATAAGGTTTTAGTTTTGTTTTTAGTTGCTTTTATTTATTGTTGTTTGGTTGTTGATAAATGTGAAATGATGAAAATTGTTATTACAAATACAATTGTGCAAGTGATAATGAATGATGATGATGATGATGATGCAGTTCTATATTACTTTATGGGTGTTTTGTTTTGCTTATTTCTTTTGTTGTTGCTTCATGATGAAACCTAGAGTAGCAATAACGAGGAGAATTGCCAAGAGTAAACCAAAACCAAGAATGCTACCTTTGACGACACCACCTGGATACTTATCGAAAGTAATGACTGGACCAACCCATTTCCATTCTTTGCCATTATCAGTTGGTAGTGTAATTGCACCCTGAGCAAAGAGTGTACCATTTGAAGCGACCTCCGGTGAGCTCTCGCACTCTTTCAAAGTGAATGGGAATGGTTGGAACACAACGTCGTCTCCACCTGTATTCGATACGGTCAATGTCATATTCTGTGGACAGATATAGTTTTGTGTTTTTGAATCAATGGCATACAAAGATGAACATGATTGGTTATAAAATGGTTGTGCATTTGGGTAGTTATCTATATTTAGATAAGATAATTATATATTTAATCAATATGTTGTTATTACACTAGATAGAAATGAAAAGAAAGTAAAAAAAGATACTTACATCTAAACATGGATGAACATAAATAGGTACCAATTACAGATGGACATTTTTGTGGGACTTCCTCTGGATAGTATTGCAAAGCAATGATCGCTTCAACGACAAAGTCGTCGAAACTAACGTTTCCAGCGACTTGATAACAGTTGTTTTCAAAGGGTGCATTCTTGATAGCTTCGACAGCTGCTCCTGAAAGTGGACCTATCTTTTGTAGTTTTACAAGATCCAATTGAATGTAGTTGTATGCTGCATTTTGATTACGACAGTATTTGAAATTTGTAATGACACTAACGTTCGCACATAGATAATCGGGTGCTGCTGTCGATACACCTAAACAATTCACCAGTATTGTAACAAATACAATACAACTAAATAATTTATACATGTTATTATTTATCTATATTTTATTTATTATTATATATTATATTATATTTTATGATTATTAGATCTTAACTAAACACAACAAATACAATTGAAAGGTAGCAAAAAAAAAAAATCTAAAAAAATTTGAATTTTTTTTCTTTATTTTTTTTATTTTTTTAAAAAAAATAAAACAAGCTTGAGGTCTAAAAAAAATAAAATTTAACGACTAAATAGTAAAGATATTAATAAATAAATAAATATATATAAATAAATAAACATTTAGATAAATAATTAATATTTTAAAAAAAGAAATGAAAAGTGGTAATAAAAAAGTTATTTATACTTTTTTTATTTTTGAATGATGGTTTGATTAAATATTTATATCTGTCCACAATCAAACAGGTTTTTTTTGATTTTTTTTGACACATTTCATATTAATTTTAATTTAAATATAATTAATAATCATTTATTTACAGATAGTTTATTGTTTTGGAATGTCATTGCAACTGATAATGATAAAATAAAGAGTATCAAAATTATTAGAATTCCAAATCCAAGCGAATAACCTCTAACTACTCCGCCTGGATACTTGATTCGATATACCATTTGAGGAGCAATTCCATCTTGGAGATAAATGTTGCGACAATCAGTATTATTTAAACCTGCACTCTTTGAGTAACATTCATCCCTGGTTCTTGGTAGTATATGTAGTGAATCGTTAAAATTTAGATATCTGAATTTATCGAAATATTGCGCACATTCTCCAGTATAGAATATATCACATAAATCAGAACAATATTTTTTAGGATCTGGATAATTATCTATTATGATAATAATATATTTATATAAATTTAATTAGTCAAAATACTTTTCATCGTTTACAACACTACTAAACTTACATGAATAATAATAAGAACATAAATACTCGCCAATATGTATTAAACAACTTTTTGGTGGACCTTCTTCTTTGTTAAAATAAACATTATATAACCTTGATATAGTTGCGTCAAATTTAAATTCCGAGCTTGGTCTACTGCAATTGTGTGGATCTGTAGGATCTGTGGTGTTTATTTCATTATATCCAAGAATTGATGACTCAGGTACATAAAATACCAAATTGGTTTCTTTCATGTTTGATATGTTAAATGTTATATTCCGATCATTGATTTGGCATATATTAAAATTCTCTGGACTTGCATTAATACATTTTGGAATAAAATTAATTGGGAAATCTATAATTAGTTAATAATTTCAATCATTATATAATAATAATAATAATAATTTTTGATTGAATATCTACCATTTCCCAATCCAATTCGAAATAACAAACTTTTTATTAAAAATAAATAAATAAATAGTTTTGATTTATACATTATTATTATCTTTATTTATATTCGTAAAATATAATTGTTCAATAATAATAAGATTTGGTAATTATTATTTCTTTTTTTATAAAACAAAACTATAAGTTTTTGATATTAAAAATTTACTGATTGAAATCATCAAGCTTGATGATCTTAAAGGTTATGTTTAATTTTACTTTAAATAGATGTAAAGTTTTTATTTGTAAATCTAAATTTATCATTGAAAACATCAAAGTTGATCTAACTTTCTTTTTTGTAGTTGACTGTTTTAAAATTAACATTCTTACCTCCTTCTTACCCGCTACTTTGATCTCTTTGCAAGTGTTTTTGTTCTGATCAATACATGGTTGACATTAAACCACCATTGATTATGTTTTTACAACATAGTGTGAGTGTTAGGGCGTGGGGTTTGTAGCTAACTGTAAGTAATTAAATTATTGATTTAAATACTAATATTGGTGGTTAAATCCAATCAAACAACAAATAAAGTAAATCTAAGAAATTTATTTTTTTTAGAGATACCGTTATTTAGTAATACAACTATTTTAGGAATCAATGAAAAAAAAAATAAAACAAAAAAATATTAATAAAATTTATATTACCCAATTGTATTATTAATCTAAATTACTTTTAAAAGATTGATTTATTAATAAAAATCTTCTTCATATTTACTTATAAACATTATTTTGATTAATTAAACAATTGCCTTAATTGGCTTAGGTGATGATCAAAGATGAACACACAAAATTTTGCAAACAAATTTTTATTTTTAATAAATTCAACTTTATGTAGATTGATTAGATTGTTTGATTGTTATTAATTTAAAAAAAATAAAAAGAGTTAACAAAGTGATAGTAAAGACGATAGTAAATGATGGATAGAGTACCTTCGTTGTCATCGTCATCATTATTGTCTAGTACACTACCACCTAATTCGTTGTTTTCTCTGTTCAGTTCATTGTCTGCAAGTAAGGAACAACATGGAGCAGTTGGATCACTTACAGGTGGAAATGTAGCTAGTAGTAACACTGCTGCTGGTGGTGTTGCATCCTCTGGTACAACAAGCAGCGGCAGCAGCAGCAGTGGAGGTGGTGCACCGGGAGTTACCGCTAGTTCACAATCATCGAGTACAACTACCACCACCATCAATCTGAATGTGTCACTCGATAGCAAAGAGGAAGAGAAAGAGTGTTCCTATATCATCATGGAGATAGACAAAGGCATTAGATCGAGCAATCTCGGTGACCAAGTGGAATCGATCATGTTTTACAGTCAGTTGATTCGCTATCATCCAACGACGATGGTGGTGACATCGATTATCATCAAGCTTGCCGACATCTTTAGGAACTGTAGTAACATCGTTCGCTATCGTATCTTGAAGGTGTTTCAAGAGTGCTCTACAGAGGTACATCGTTTGTCAAACATCGATGAGGTGTTGAAGCGAATTCACTCAGTGACACTGTCGAACGATCCTCTGGCAAGAGCACTCGCTCTCCGAGTTCTAGGTTCGGTTCCACATCTGATTGCCGACAAGCTGTATGTGCATCATACGATACGTACATCGATGCAGACACACGACGAAGTAGAGGCAGATGCCAACTATTTCGTGATGGATCGACTCTGTGAAGTGTCGCCAGTCTTCTCTGACAGTATCATCGAGAAGATCAACACGATAATTCAAACCATAGAGACACCACCAATTACCAAACTTAAATATACAAGATTATTTAGACATATGCATCATAATCATTTAATATCAAATCAAGTAAAGTATAAAAATTATATATAAATTATTATTATTATAACTAGTTAGTGGTCAATTACTAATTTTATTGTTATTATTATGTTAACATAGTCAAGATCAATGTTAATAGAGTTATTAGATTTATATCCATCTGTAGTACAAGTAACATTGATATTAGATACTTTGAATACATTGGCATTAAAACATAGATTATATGTTAATGAGCATGTATGTAATCTTTAAATTGACAAAATAAGATAGTTAACTAACTTTACTTTTTATACATCTTTTATGATAATTATTTACAGATTACATTTTTAATTAATTATATTTCTAAAGATCCAAGAATCAAAGTTAAACTTACAGGATTGAAATGTTTACAACGATTAGCTAAATCATCACCTCATTCCATATACCCATTCAAAGTAAGTAGTAGTTAACTATTATCTAATTTTAATCATTAGATTTTTAAATATATAGATTTATTAATAATTTGTTTATAACTCATAATAAATAGAATCTATTTGAAATGTTAAAAGAACCAAACCAAAACTATAATAATTTATTAAGATATCATTGTCTAAGTTTGATTTCATTATTATCAACGGTTCAGTACGATTCAGTATTGGCAGATCAACAGTACATAGATCTACTCTTTGAGTATTGTATGCATTCCTCTCAGCGATTATCAGAACAATCCGTTGAAATCATAACAAATTTACTATTGGAGCAAAACAATGACCAAAATCAAACATTATGTATGTTTATATATAATTATTATTCTTTAATATGATATTTAACACTTTTTATTTAACTATTAATATAAATCATTTATCATTATTGTTATTAGTTAATAGATATATTGATACAATCTGTAATATTCTGTCAAATATAAATCAACTACAACAACAACAATATAATAATCAATCATTTAAAGAATCAAAGTTATTGACATCGATAATCAACTTTTTAAAGAGATATCCACAGTATAGCCAAGAGATAACAGGTACAATGATATCACTATTTGGCAAGCTATCGAATGACTCTATGAGATGTCTGTTACACTGTATATCTATTTATATTCCATATTGTAAAGCATCGGTTCATTCTCATCTCGATACACTTTTAACACAGCTTACAACTCTCATTCACCCAACAACATCTATAAATGATTCAAAATTGATAGTAAGTATAATCATAAATCAAATCAAATTAACTTGAATTCATACTAATAATAATAATAATAATAATAATAATAATAATAATATATTATATCTTTTTAGATGTCCATATTTATAACTATATTTAGAGCATATGATGAATACTTTGATTTGATACCAAAGATTACAGATAGTTTGTTACCACCTATAGAACAACTCGTGTTGGTACCCGGTTATCAATGGTGTTGCTATCAACTTGCAAAGCAATCGCAACGGCATGGTTTCCACTTGATAGCAAAGTCAATCTACAGTGTACTCATCAACAGAGTTGATACTGAATCAAACTATTTCTGGTTACAATCACTTCTCTCCATTGCAAATATTGAGTACTCAATCGCATCCGGTCAAAGTATTACTCCACTCTTGGCAGAATGCAACACAACTTTATTATCATTCAAAGTATGTTACTACTAAATCATTAACATGATATCATTTTAATGATTACTATTTCATTAACAGCTATAAATTAACTCTTATTATTCGTTTCTTATCATTATATTTTTAGGCAAGTTGTAGTCATAGTGAGAAATCAATTATATTTCAAGAACAATACATTCAACAAAGAGAACAGTATCTATATAACCTATTGAATCTCAAATTGTTTTTGGTTCAAAATAGTGGAGAGCTTGGTTCTGCTGTATCGACTCGTGTTAGTGCAACACTCTCAAAGAAACTACTGCAATTCCAAACTCTGGCAAAGCAATTCTCCCAATTCATATCAAAGTTGTTCCCGTCATCTTTCCGTCACTTGGAATGCAAAGAGTTGCAAGAAGCCAAGTCCATTCTGGAGACCTATAGTATCTCTTGTAATTTGATTGTCTATTTTTTGAATAACGCCTACTTCAATGGACAAGATCTCTCTACCAACCATAATAGCAATCAGAGTGATAACAATAACATATTTGGGTCTGCAAGTATTGACAGTTTAGTCGAAAGATTCCCACTCTATAAAATTTGTAAATATCTATTCCAACAGTTCCAACAACAACTTTCAGCAAACGGTGTAATACCATTCCTTTGTGATTCAATAGATATTCTATTATCAATTCCTGCCAACTATCCTTCACAATTCTTTACTCAAATATATTAAATAAATAATAAACAAAAATATATAAGTAATAATGTATTCCTCTTATGGTTGTCTTGTAAGTCGGTGGTTATGGTTTATGGAGATTAAAATCTAATCAAAGCCAGTAATTTATCTTAAGGTTATTTACGAACAAAAATATAAAACAAAATTGTTTCTTTTCAATTGGAATAAACCATAAAATTAAATTATTCTTTATTAAATTATTCTTTTTTCAATTGGTTTTGGCTATTAATATAATTTGAAAGGAGAGAATTTACACTTAAATGAATTGGTAAACCTGGGTAGTTTAATTTAAATACATATGAAAATCCATTATTTAGAAAAATTGTCCAAATTGTCCAATTCGGATCTAAATATAGATCTGTAATATCTTTAAAGGGAATTATAATATTTTTGTTTTTTTTTGATTTGTTTTTAAAATTCTTTTCAACAACTACTAAACTGTGAGCAAAGATTCTAATTTCCCTAGTAAAATTTTGGCTCTCACATTTTAACTGTAGAAAAATAATAATTAATAAATGAATAATATTTTAATTTTTTTTGAACATACTTCAGCATTAAATCTAATGTAATCAATTACTATTTCTGGAGTCCAAATTAGAGCCATTAATGGTTGTAAAACTTGATTACTCTTTTTTTTCTTTCGATTTTTGCATCACTTAATCTTCTTGATAAACCCATTGGTAATTGTGAACTATTATTTGGGAATTCAAAATTCTCTTCAAAACAATTTGGGACATCTTGATTATTGGTATATGTATATGATTGGATATCTTGCAAATCTATTACATAGTGTATAGATTTAATTTTTTTCATTTTCTTTATTAAAGAATTTTTAAAAGTCATATTAGAATACTATATAAATATATAATTAATTTTATTTGAATGGTCTAAATTAATTGCAGTGATTATTAGGTTGTTTTTATATCATTGGTTTGTTTTTAAGTTGATATATAAGTTTTTTTAAGTTGGAACTTTTAAACCAATCTTAACCTCAGATCTCTTCTTCTTCGATCATCATAATCTTCTGAACATGTTCAAAATATTCAACTTTGATCATTTTTAAAGAGTTTGTGAATAATGTGTTTAATAAAAGAAGTTAAAAATTACACTACACAACCAACTTGAATTATCAATGGGATAAAGTTACACCCACAGTGTTATATTGTTTTTTAATTAACACCATTTTTTGATTGGATCATATTGGTTTATTATTGGTGTTTGAAATTAAAATATATTAATTATATTAGGGGTTGATTTTTTAAATTAAAATGTCCATTATAATTTACTAATTAATAAGAAATTGTTTATTTACGAGAATTATTAATTAGTTTTATTAATATATAGAATGCCAAACTTTTATATAAATAAAAAAAAAACAAAAAGCTTAAATTATATCTTTTCTACTTATCAAGATATAAAAATTCCAAACAGTTCATTACCTGATCTTATTTTGGAAAGTTATCAAAATGATAAAGAGAGAATATTTCATGTTAATGGAGTTACTCATAAAGAGTATACCGGTGAAATGATGCACAATTTAATAATAAAAGTAAGTAAATTATATTTCTACCAAAACAAAAAAAAAAAAACTAATTATTTTAAAATAGTTTGCAAAATGTTTAAATGATCTTGGTTTCAGAAAAGGAGATGTAATTGGAATCATTTTACCTTCTGTAATTGAGTATCATTACATAATAAATGCAATTTTGTTAATAGGTTGTATTGCTTCACCTATTTCACCTGATTCAAAACCAGAAGATATTAAAAACACCATTGCAAATTTACATCCTAAATGTTTGATCACTTACTCCAATGTTGCACAAGGTAAAATAAAACAACTCAAGAATTTATTACCAACTTTAAATGATATCATTGTCATTGACGAGGAAGAAGAAGGTGTTTCTCTAAATCTACAAAAATTAATACACCAATCCAACGGAAAGGTAAGGTTATAAAATTTAATTTTTATTTAGAAATATTATTTTAATTTTTTTTATAAAAGTATATCAAAGTAGAGTTTGACCAAAAGAAAGATATAGCAATAGTTCCTTTTTCTTCTGGAACCTCTGGACTACACAAAGGTGTTCTCCTCTCACATTTCAATTTGGTTGCGAATGTACTCCAAGGTATAGAATGTGAAAAAAGATTCTATGAAAAGGATTCAGTTTTTCTTGGATGTACTCCTTTTTTCCATATTTATGGCTTGACAATGTTGGTTTTATTACCTGTCATTTCCAAAGTGAAAACCATTGTCATTCCAAGATTTAATCTTCAAATCTTTTTAGAGTTAATACAGAGATATAAGGCTACGATGGCATATGTCGTTCCTCCTGTAATTGTTATGCTTGGAAAGAGCAAGATTGTCAATGATTATGATCTCAGTAGTTTGAAAGTTTTATTCAGCGGTTCTGCTCCATTATCAAATCTCGTAGAACAAAGTATAAATGAACGGTTCCAAGGAAAGATTAAAATCAAACAAGCCTATGGATTGACTGAAACAAGTCCTATCGCAATGGTCAATCCATCAGATAACATTAAAGTTGGTTCAGCTGGTAAATTGGTTTCAAACATGATTGCAAAGGTGATATCGATTGAAGATAAATCGATTTTAGGAGTGAGAGAAGTTGGTGAAATATGCTTGGCTGGTCCAAATATAATGATTGGTTATCACAATAACCAAGAAGCAACAAAGAACACAATAGATTCAGAAGGATTCCTACATACTGGAGATATAGGATATGTTGATGAAGATGGTTACTTCTATATAACAGATAGAATCAAAGAGTTGATCAAGGTGAAAGGATATCAAGTTCCACCAGCAGAGTTGGAAGGTGTTCTAATGAAGAATTCAGAGATCTTGGATTGTTGTGTCATTGGAATCGATGATTTTGAACATGGTGAACTACCAAGAGCCTATGTAGTCAAGAAAGAAAACTCAACCCTAACTGAAAAAGATATTCATTCCTATGTAGATAATCATGTTATCCACTACAAGAGATTGAAAGGTGGAATTGAATTTGTAGAATCAATTCCAAGAAATGCAGCTGGTAAGCTACTTCGAAGAGAATTGAGAATTAGATACAAAGAATCAAAGAAATCAAAATTATAAAAAAAAATGCTATTGTTAAAATATTATTAAATTATTTATTTCTTTGGATTTGGTTTCTTTGCAGCAAATTTAACATATCTATTCTTTCCTTTCGATTTCTTATTACTGTTGTTGTTGGCGTTTGCCTTATTATTATTATTGTTTTTGTTTTTCTTTGAATTTTGTTGATTCTTATTGTTGTTGTTGTTGTTGTTGTTGCTGTTGTTATTCTTTTTATTTTCTGATCCACTTGAACTAGATGATTCTTCTTCATCATCGGATTCAACTTTTTGTCTCTTATTTTTCTCATCTCCTGGAATTTCGTTGGAGAGTTTCTTGAATTTGGCAACATAGAAACCATCCATGTTGTGTGTATGTGGGTAGAAACGCTTGGTAAGGATAAGATTTGGATTGAAACGTTGTTCTCTGTAGTTGGTGAAACCTTGTACACCAAATTCAATGGAGGTATCTACGAGTTGGACATGACGCTTCTTGAGAGCATAGTCGACGACGGCTTCGTTCTCTTCGACGGTGAGCGAACAAGTAGAATAGACAATGATACCACCGGTCTTGGAGTTGGCATCGACGGAATCGATGGCATGCAAGATCAGTTCCTTTTGGATATGTGTACACTTGGTGACGTCACGCTCACTCTTTGTCATCTTGATCTGTTGGTCTTTAGCAATGACACCGAGACCTACACATGGAGCATCGACCAACACACGGTCGAATCCACCCATACGCGAAGGATATTCACGACCGTCCAAATTGGAAACAACGGTATTACGCACACCCAAACGATGGATATTGGCAACTAGTGATCTCATACGCTCTTTGTTGATATCGTTGGCAACCAAGACACCGGTGTTCTTCATGAGCGATGCGATATAAGTGGTTTTACCACCGGGAGATGCGCACATATCGAGAACACGTTCTCCAGGTTGTGGCTCCAAAGCCAACACTGGCAAGAATGAAGATGCCGACTGTTGGATGTAGTGACCGGCCAAGTACTCGGGGGTGGCACCAATAGCGACTTGAGAATCGTAGATTGTCAAACCGACTTGTGACCACTTGATTGGCTCGAGATGGACACCTCTGGTAGAGAGAACGTCAGCCAAATCCTTTCTCTTGGTCTTCAGGGTGTTGGTACGGATGGTGAGTGGACGTTGAGTTTCGTTGGCTTCGAGGAACTCCAAAGTCTCCGAGACATTGAAGATCTTCAAAAAGACATCGACCAACCACGAAGAATATCCAAAGTAGGTAGCCATATCCTCACGAAGTCTGTGCATATATTGCTCACGGGTGATACCTTCTTTACGCTCCGCCTTGAAGTTCTCCAAAATCTTGATATTGTCTTTGATTCTCTGGTAGACGGTTTGAAGATCTACACCCAACAGTTCCTTTCTAATCTCTTGACCCGATGGGAAGAATCAGTGGATCCTCTTCGTCCAAGTGCTCAGAGTGAATGGCACTCTCTTGAATTTCTCTAAGATTCTCTCTTTCCATCTCTTCTTTTTTCTGTGTTGTTCTTCTGCTCTCCTCTTCGAATTCATTCAACTCATCTTCATCGGAATCTTCGTCATCGTCTTCACGAGTTCTCTTTGATCCAGCTTGTACCAACCATGATTTATTTTGATCGGAAATTGTCTTTGCTTTTGAATTGAAATCTTCATCTTCTTCTTCTTCATCATCATCATCATCACTATCGTCATCTTCTTCTTCTTCATCACTATCTATTAACCTAAAGTTAATGTTTAAAATTAATATAAACTAATTTGATTTTATATAATATAATAATAATTTACTTTTTCTTTAAATTTGGATGATTTTCAATATCGTTATCTTCTTGATCGTCTTCAGAATCCAATTCCAACTCTTCGTCATCTTCGGACTCTTCTGATTCTTCGACTACTGGTTGTTTCTTCTTTGAGGCAACTGGTTTCTTTGATACTGGTGTAGTTGGTTTTTGTGGAACCTTCTTTGTAGTAGCAGCAGCAGTAGTCTTTGTAGCAGTTGGTTTAGCAACTGGTTTCTCTTCTGGTTTTCTACTTCCAACTACCTTTCTAGTTGGAGTTCTCTTTCCTGTTAATTTATTATCTACCATTTTTTTTTTGTAAATATGTATATTGATATAAATAGATAATAAATAAAAAAAGAAAATAAATATAAATATATAAGAAAATATAAAATAACAATCGACTTTTTTTTTGAGTATTTTGATTCGAATGATTTAAATAAAAATTGAAAAAAATTAAATAAAAATTTAAAAAAAAACGACGAACGACAAAATTTCAAATGCAATTAATTTTTGGTAAAAAAATAAAAAGATTGTGTTGAGATCATCAAAATGGAATAAGATTCCTTTCCAATGATCATTCTATCATTTTATTTATTTATTAATGACTAATAAAAGAGTCAAAAAAATATTTTATTTATACAAATACATTAAATTTATACAGTTTGGTTTGAAAGAATGGTGCAAAAAAACTATGTACATAAAAAGGAAAACTAAATTCCAACTAAAAGTGATGCCTTATCTTATTTGATTAACCAAAGTTAATTTTGGTTCAATTACAAAAAAATATATAGGAAAAAGAGCGCTGAGATGTATATAAATATATATAGTTGTATACGCTATTGTGAATATGCTGATATTGCGTTTTGTTTTGTGTGTTGTTGCTAAACATTAAATAAAAATGTAGGAGATGTTGTTTTCTGTTGTTTCTATTTGGAGGTATCGTTATAACATGGTAATCCATCAATTGGACAGTTGGTAGAGGACTTTGACAGCCAATTGGTAATACATGGTGTATGGAATAGATGTTTACATTTCGGTAGTATTGTAATGGGTTCGTTCTCTTCGAAATCCAGTAGACAGACCACGCACGATGGACACAGTTGTTTGTGAGTGTCGTTGAATTTGTCGGTGGGAAGTGAACGCACTATATGTTGTGGCACCGTTTTGGGTTTGACAGTGCTATCGAGGAGCAATAGAATATCATAGTCCTCCGAAGTTATCTCACGCGTCTGTATATCATTGATTTGCGACTGTGTCAGTGGCGAAAATGAGTTGGTGGCGGTGGTGGCCACTGTGGAGTGCGAAGACGACACATTCCTATGAAATGTGGAGAATCTGCCGTAGTGCGATGAGTTCATGTGCAGCGGATGTCTCTCGAATCTAAGGGTGTCAATATCAGACAGTTCGTCCTCGTCAGAGTCTTCGTCTTCAAAGTTATCGTCGTCGTCGTCGTCCTCTTCTTCGTCTTCGTAGTCGTGGAGTTCGAGGTCGGTCTTTGTTTTTTCAGGTTCTTCTTCTAGTACTCCCTCGTCAGAGTCACTAAACGTTTCAATGTCGATTGCTTGATAGTCCTGTCCTTCTTCTTCTTCCTCCTCCTCCTGGTATTCCTCTTGATGTTGGAATTCTTCCTCTTCTATCTCTTGATTATGTGGAAGGGTATGATCTTCCTCCTCTTCCTCTTCAATATCGATGTTGTCAGTTGGGATCACAATTCCTAGATCCTCTTCCTCCTCCAACTCTAAATGTGAATGTTGTTGATATCCAAATTGATACGATTCTTCTTCTTCTTCTTCTTCTTCTTGGTGTTGTTGATACTGTTGTTCTTCTTGATGATTCAATGATGTCTCTAGTTGATTATTATATCGTTGTTGTTGTTGATGATGATGCTTATTGTTTTCGAAAAGTGGACTTTTAAAGAATCTACTTCTCCTAAGTTTTCTTCGATTGTTATGAAATTTCTTAAAGCAATTATTACTATTATTATTGAATGAATTTACTGACAATGATGAATTCCAATTTGATTTATAATAATGATTATTATTACCTGTGAAATTATTATTATTATATTGATTGTTATTATTATTATGTGTATTATTATGTACAAAAGAATATGAATTTGTAGTAGTTGTTGTAGTGGTGGTCGTAGTTGTATTACTGATTTCTGAATTGTTATTATTATTATTTTCACTATTGTAAAGAATATTATTTATAATGTTACGTCTTCTTAATAATCTTCTAGCTCTAACTCTGGCTTTTTTATTATAAGTATGGCTATTGTAATTGTGGTTATTCAATTTGGTATTTTTATTATTATTAAATTTATTATTTTTTTTAACCTGGTGTTGTTGTAGATAGAAATTATTATTATTATTGTTGTTGTTGTTGGTACCATTATTATTGTTATTATTATTATTATTATAGTGGTGGCAACCATGGTGGTTATAACCATAAGTATTTACATTATTATTATTGCTATTGTATGGTTGGTATCGATGAATATTATTGAGGTGATTTGCACCTCTTGTAGCAGTGAACATTTCCAAAAACAAAAAAGTAATAAAATATAATTCCAACACAAAATTAACACAATAGATTTTTAAATATTGTGTTATAGATTGTTTATATTTGGTATGGATATTGGTTAGTTTTATCAATATGAACAAAATTAAAATAGAAATAAGAATATTAAATAGATAGTATTATATACAAAGAAATTATATAAAATGTAAATCAATTGATTGATATTGTTGACAATGATTTTGTTAGTTCAAAAGAAAAAAAAAAAACGGTGATTGGTGAAAGTAAAATAAGATATGCTATTATAATATATATACAAGTTTTGCTCACAATTATTAATAACCAAAGTGAAATAGTCTGACTTGTCTCTTCTGTCGGCAATTGCAAGAAATCAATTGGATTGATTGGGTGCCAAACAAGTGTCAAACAAAAAAGAACCAAGAAGTGACAGGAAAATAAAATATAAATTAAATAAATATAAAGAATCAAAATCAGTTAAGCTTAGAGGTGAATATGATAAGTGATAGAGATAATATTTTATAAAAAGTGGTATAGTGATAGATTGATATTTGTACAAAATATAATAAAATTAAAATGATAATGATAATGCTAATAACATCCTATTTTTAAATTTTTAATAAAATTAATTAGTTTGTTGTTGTTCAAATTCAAGTAATTTCATCAATATCGATAACTTTAGAAGAACTAGTAGTAATGATTGATTGATTGATTGATTGATTGTAGTAATTTACTTACAAATTAACTACTAGGGATCAAAGTGTTTGAAGAGTTCAATCTATTTAATGATTACTACTACTTTTTAATAAAGTTATATATAAAGTGAGTATAGATATAAATAAATTCTTATTCTTTTATTTTAAATTAGTTATATACAATTTTTATTTTATTTTTTATTTTAAACAAGTCTTGTCTTTAATTTAAAACTAAACTTATTATTATTATTATTATTTTATTTTGAAAAAAAACAACAATTAAAAATAACAATAGTGAGAATATATATACAATTAAGATAAAAATCTTAAATAAATATTATTTTTATATGAGAAATCTATATTTATATACATTGGTGTTTACATAATCATTTTTTAAATTGTAAAAAATTGTATTATTACACTTTTGATAATTAAATTGTTTTTTTAATTTATTTTTTTTTTTTTTTGATCAAAGTGTGTTTGGGTGGGTTCAAGCAATTGCAAATTAAAATTTTTTATAATAAGTTAATTTAATATTCTCTTTTTAAAAAAATAAAAATAATTTTAAATCTTTAGTTGTTGTTATTATTATATATATTAGAAAAATCTATTGATATGTTTTTATTTTATTTTTTTAATTAATTTTTAATGGTAGATAGAGAGATTTTTTTTTTTTTTTTTTTTTTTTGAGTTTCAATGTGTTGTTTAATAACAAACGTCGTCTACGACAATCCATTTGAATAGTCACAACACGAATCAAACATATTTTTATACTTATAATAGGTATAAAATAGCGACTTATTGACACTCACTCTATTATATTTATAATTTTAAATGACTAGTATTAATATTAATAGTAGCTGTAACAATATCATTAATAACATTCACATTAACATTGACATTGATAACCAAACTATTTGTAAAAGAATCAAATTTAATGATATACACAGAGATACATCTTATTCCAAGAATATTAATATTCAAACTAAACAATCTATAACTAATAATAATAATCATAATAATGTAGTTTTTAATAATGATGAAAATTTGAGTACTGCTGAAAGTAGTGATAATGAATGTTGTAGTAGTAGTAGTAATAGTAGTGGAAGTAGTGAGAGTGAGAGTGAGAGAAGTTGTTATGAATATAGTGGTGCCAGTGATAGTGAAAATACAGAAGATGAAGAAGAGAATGACAAAGTAGAGGAAGAAGAAGAAGAAAAAGATAATATTGATAATCATATGCAATGGCTCATTGGATCATCAAGTGAAATATTGGTTTGGTCAAAAGAAAGAATCAGAGAGAGTTTCAGACATATTCATACTTTCGAGAGGATGAAACTGACTACTAATAAACGTACCAGTGTAATGCTTGTAGAAGATCTCAGAGAAAAGTTAAACAAACTATCGTCGTCGTCGTCATCATCACAGTCAGCGCAATCACCACCTTTATCACAACCATCATCACCTGTATCTATACCTTTAGCTCTACCCATTCCAACATCGACAATCACTTCAACTTCTACATCTACAACAGTTGCCGTTATAACACCAACCACTACAACCACTACAACCACATCGACAACATGCAGTAGTACTTCCACTACGAGCACTCCAACATCTTCACCAAGTAAACTGACGAATACCAGCGGGAATAGCAACTTTAAGAGTATTATGGATAGTGGCAATCGCTATGTGGTGTTGAAGTCTCAGAAACTGAGGAAGAACTACTACAAGCCAAGCAAGATGTCGCCAACTCGAGCAAAGCCCCATTCAAATCTGTTGGTTGACCTGGACAAGGCATTCCGAGAGTATATCATACTGATGCACCTGAATATTCTGAGTGAAACTCAACGATGTGGTAACTTTATAAAGCTCTACGATTGCTATAAGAGTATATTGTCCACCAACGACTATGAGCAATACTCTATCAACCCACTACTAGGTTTGCAACGCCACAACTCTTCACTCTCTGAGAAGAACACAATCATCAACAACATCAATATCAACAACAGTCTAAATGATATCTGTAACAGTAACATCTACTGCAACACTGATCTAGCAATCATCAACGGTGTCGGTGAAGAGTTTGAAAGTACACAACCATTAGCAAATGAACAACAACAAGAAGAAGAAGAAGAGGAAGAGGAAGAAGATGAAACAGCAGCAGCAGAAGAAGAAGAACGAAACATTTTAGATGATGAAGATAAAGAAAAGCTGGAAGATATCACTGTGGAAATAGAATGTTTCGATGAATCAACGATTGTAAATAACTATCGACAACTTACGAGTTCCACTGAGAGTGACAGTAGGCTGATCGATGACAACAACGAATATCACTTTCTCAACTTTATTTTGGAATATGCAGATTTGAATTCGCTGCCCAAAGAGCTAAAGATGGATCAACTAAAGTCGATACTCTTCCAGATTATCTATGCACTCTCTGTTGCACAAACAGAGTTTGAATTTGTACACAATGACCTTCACGAGAAGAACATCCTGTTGGCATCACTCCCAGTAGACAAGCGATACGTAGTCTTTCACAAACCCGACGTGAATCGGGCAACCACCACCACCACCACCAACAACAACAACAACAACAACAACAACAACAACAAAAACAAAAACAAAAACACCACTTGGATTGTCAGTGACTTTATTGTGAAGCTGACAGACTTTGGACTGAGTAGACTGGTGTCGCTCTACGGAGACATCATCTACAACGAACGCAACAATAGCACTCGCGCCTTTAGTAACAACGACCTCAATGGACTGGCCCAAGTCATATTCTACATGAGAGTGACAGATAGGGCCGATCCCAAACACACCGAAGACAACAAGCACATCAAAGATTTTAAAAGACGAATTACCAGCTGGAGGACAGAGGATCTACTTTACCACCCACTGTTCAACTCACTCAAATCCACTCCATCCGACATCACCAAAGACAACTGTATACAATATTCATTCAACGGTGAAATTCCACCAAAGTTTTTAAACCCTGATATTACCAAAGCGGATCCACCAAAGCTAAAGTATAAATCATCTTCACCTGAAATATCATCATCATCATCAACAAAGTCATCACATTCACCAAATGGCAAACATTTAGATGATGAAAATATATCACATAAAAGAAAGAAATAAATATTTCTTTTTTTATTTTATTACATCAATTGACAAACATCAACCACAAAAAATGGGCGTGTCATTTTTTTTTTTGCAAAAATGATCATCGGTTTTGAAATTTTGTTTTTTTTTTTTTTTTTTTTAATTTTACCACTTATTGTTTTTTCACACACACACAAAAAAAAAGACGAAAGTTTTTTTTACTTTTGATTTGTAAACTTATATCTCTGATCAAAGATATAAATATATAGTTGTATATATATGGCATCTTTATTATTTAGTAGATCATTGGTTTCCAGATCATCTACATCAGCTTCAGCAAATGTTGGTAGTGTAACTAATTTCATGGCTGTTGGTGGTGGTAGCAAGTTGCCAACCAACTACCTGTTCTCAAATGGAATCAGATCGGGTATGGTCAATTCGATTCGTCCATATTCTACCAACGACATTCAAAAGATGAGAAACATCGGTATCTCTGCACACATCGATTCCGGAAAGACAACGCTGACAGAGCGTATTCTCTACTATACCGGTCGTATCAAGGAGATGCACGACGTTCGTGGTAAGGACGGTGTCGGTGCAAAGATGGACTCTATGGATTTGGAGCGTGAGAAGGGTATTACCATTCAATCGGCCGCCACCTACGCCAAGTGGGGAGACCAACACATCAATATCATCGATACTCCGGGTCACGTCGATTTCACCATCGAAGTAGAGCGTGCCCTTCGTGTTTTGGACGGTGCTGTCTTGGTTATGTGTGGTGTCTCTGGTGTCCAATCTCAGACTATCACTGTCGATCGTCAGATGCGTCGTTACAACGTTCCACGTGTCACTTTTATCAACAAGTTGGATCGTGTCGGTGCCGACCCATGGAAGGTTATCGACCAACTGCGTTCCAAGTTGAGTTTGAATGCCGCTGCCGTTCAGATCCCAATTGGTGGAGAGATTAACTTGGAGGGTGTCTGCGATCTTTTGACCGAGAAAGCTTATATCTTTGGAGAGAAGGGTTCCAAGGTACAAGAGACTGAAGTTCCATCTTCGCTCGTAGAGTTGTTGCGTGAAAAGAAGATCGAGTTGATCGAACGTGTTGCCAACGTCGATGACAAACTTGGTGAATGGATCATTGAAAATGACTTCCCAGCCAACATGCCAGATGAACAAACTCTTGGTGATGCTATTCGTCGTTGCACTGTCAATCGTACATTCGTTCCAGTTTTCATGGGTTCTGCTTTCAAGAACATTGGTGTACAGAAATTGTTGGACGGTGTCGTTAGATTCCTTCCAAATCCATCCGAAAAGAAATCGATTGCACTAGATTTGACAAATAATGAAGCTGAAGTTGAATTATCTGCTGATCCAAAGAAACCATTCGTAGGGTAAGGTTAAATTTAAATTTAGTTATTAAGAACAAAAAATAATTTAAAAACATTTTTATTTATTTATTTAGTTTGGCATTTAAATTGGAAGAAGGTAGATTTGGTCAATTAACATATATGAGAGTATATCAAGGTACTTTGAAGAGAGGTGATATGATTAAGAATGTCAATTTAAATAAGGTTATCAAGGTACCAAGATTGGTTAGAATGCATGCCAATGAAATGGAGGAAGTTCAAGAGGTTGGTGCAGGAGAAATTTGTGCCATGTTTGGTGTCGATTGTTACTCTGGAAATACATTCACTCAACAACAACTCAACTATACAATGACATCGATGCACGTTCCAGAACCAGTCATGTCACTCTCCATCGCACCAAAGGGTAAGGATGGACAAACCAATTTCACAAAGGCACTCAACAAGTTCCAAAAGGAAGATCCAACCTTCCGTGTACAGACCGACCAGGAATCAGGACAAATCGTCATCTCTGGTATGGGTGAGTTGCATTTGGACATCTATGTTGAGCGTATGCGTCGTGAGTACAATGTAGAGACAGTCGTCGGTAAGCCATTGGTAGCTTATCGTGAGACCATCCAAAGTCGTGGAGATTACAACTACACTCACAAGAAGCAATCTGGTGGTCAAGGTCAATACGCCAAGATGATCGGTTACATTGAACCAACCGGTCCAGAAGGTCCCGATTTAGAGTTTGTCAACGACGTCATCGGTACTGCCATTACACCAAACTTTATTGAAGCAATTAAGAAAGGTTTCAATGAGGCAGTTCACAACGGTCCATTGATTGGACATCCAATTAGTGGTGTTCGTTTCGTAGTGAACGACGGTGCCACTCACAGTGTAGATTCCAGTGAGTTGGCTTTCAGAATTTGTGCGGTCAATGCATTCAAGGAGGGATTCAAGGTTGCCGATCCAATGATTCTCGAACCAATTATGAAGGTTGAGATTTTGACACCAATCGAATTCCAAGGTACTGTTATCGGTGGTATCAATCGTCGTAAGGGTGCCATCTTCAACACCGGAGCACAAGGTGAGAACATCACAATCGAGTGTGAAGTTCCATTGAACAATATGTTTGGTTATTCCACCGAGTTGAGATCCTCCACTCAAGGAAAGGGTGAATTCACAATGGAATACTCCAAGCACAGTCCAGTCACAAGAGAACAATTCGATCAATTAATTGAAGAATATCAAAAGAAGAGAGCTGAAGAAAAGAAATAAATCAATTGTTTGTTTTTATTGTTATTTTTTATTGAAAAAAAAAAAAAGAATTTTATTAAATACATTTGAGTTAAAAAATAAATAGAAAGAAAGATAAATATGGAATATCCAGGATTTTTTGGATAATTTTACTATTATTATTATTATAACTAATTCTCTTGAATTTAGTTTGCTGCTTATTGTTGTTGTTTTCATATTTAAATATTTTGATTATTCATTATTCTCTTGAATTTCGTTAACTGCATTTGTAATCTTTAAAGCTAGTTTAATTGTCTTTACAATGGCTTTACCAATGGTCTTTAAATCTTTTTTATTAATCTTCTTGTCCTTGTCCTTATTCTTTTTACTTGAATCATGGCCGGAAGTATTATGGCTGGCGCAAAAAGAATGGTTGGGAAGGGCTTGTTGGTAGCATCCACTGACTGAACATTGTCCATTTGGTGTATGAGTATACGACATCTTTAAATTTTTATTTAATATTTATAATATAAAATGAATGTAGGGTTTAAATAGTATAAGTTATTTAGTTTATTTTTTTTTTTTGATATTAGTCAGTTAAAAAGTCCATTCTTATTTATAGTTTTCTAGGTGTCTATTGGATTTTAAATTTAAATTAATGGGCCACTTGTAACCAAGAACAAAAATTGAGATATTGATTTAAATCGTTTCCAAAATTCGAAGTGTGATGTCAGCAGTATGTAATTGAGTTTGGATTTAAGGATATTGTTTGTGTTTTACAAATTATCATTGTACATTTTTGTGTACACCAGGTGCCTTTACTTTTTTTTTGGATCTATTAATTAGATATTACCAATAGATTATAATTCTAAAAAAATTAACAACTTGCCTTACTTTGAAATTTTTTAACAAAATTTTGGCACAATCATCATTATCGGGATATTTTTTGTAGAATCCCAAAAAATTAAAAAAAATTAAAAAAAAATTAAAAAATTGTTTCGAATTACAGCGAACCTTCCCATTAAAATGATCATTCCATTTGCTCATGTAGTTTTCTTTTTTGTGTGTTCATACAATCTGTTATTAAATTTCCACAACACGTTTTTTTTTCATTATATTTTTTGTTTGATTAATGAAAAGCTGTTGCAGAATATTCTGTCAAGTTGATCCAAGTATTTTTGTTGTAAATTGCCAATACAAAAAAATATTTTGTAGTTCTATCTTTGAGATTAAGATTTTGATCTACCTCATTAATTACTCTAAAGATATGATTTTTAGAACACAATAAGCTATTGGCAAGTCAGATCTTGGAACAAATGGCATTGTTTTTACTCTGTTCCGAATATAGGAGGTTTATTATTATTAATAGAATCCAAATCCAATTTTTAATTAAAAATAGAGTGAATTTAAATTTTTAATACAAACAAATTCCTTTTCTGTTGGATCTAATTTTATTATAGATAATATTGATAATATTTTGGAACCTATATATTACTTTAAATTATCACCTACAGCAAGGTAAATGTCGTCTTTTTTTTATTTATCGAAATCTTATATACATAGTTGATTATTTCCTATAGTGCTAATTATTATTACATTAATCCAAATAAGATTGTGAAACAAAGAATCATAGCCATAATGAATATTGATGACTTTGTTGATGATGCTTCATTTGGATCTATATTTTTGTTTTAATATTAGAATATTGTTGTCAATTAAAGATGTTATTTTAAAATAAATAAAGATTATTTACCATTTAATATACCATATGAATATGTATTTTGATAACCTCCTGGTCTTGTTACGATGATGGAGATACCGGTTGGTACGCTTGGATCCAATCCAGTGATGGAAGCAATCAATTGATTGCTTCCAACCTCTTGGAGTGTTGCATCGATTGGACTGGCGTACTGTTGAACACCACAGGCACTGAATGGGAATGCACCATCTGGAAGTGATCCAACAAACTTATAGATTTGATATGTATCATTTGAATTATCTGTCTTGGTGAATTTAACAGTTGCACCCTTTCCTTTGTCTGTCATTGCCAACTCTAATTTACCACCGTTTCCTGGCATTGGGAATTTTGGATTTACAACTTGAAACAATTAAAATATTAATATATTAATAAAACAACTATAAAGAGCTCTAAAACCATTAAGTTTACTTACTTGTATTGAAATCTGGTGTGACAATGAATTGGAATACAATTGGCTTTGACGAAGTTGCATTGGCAACAACAAGAGTAGAACTATATTATTATGAATATATGATTAATTAAACTAAATAAATAGATAGGATAATGATAATATTATTATTATTATTATATTGTAAATACATACACATTAGTTGGTTGACCAATGGTTGGCAAGTTGAATGACAATGATTGTTGTTCTGGGTCCCAATATTGTTGATAAACGTTGTCTTGTGGCGAAGCTTTTCCATTGAAACCAACAAAAAAGTTAACTTTTCCGTAACATGGGATTAACATTCCATCTAACTTTGCTGGTGAATCTTGTAGGTTCAACGTGATATTAGATCCCGATGTAAAGTTATAAGTTCCCAATATATTCAATTGAATATCTGTCAATTGTTGTTGTGCATTTACTACTATACACACCAACAGTGTTAAAGCAATTATATTTCTAAACATTCTTCTTATATTTTATTATTTATTTATTATTTGTTTGTTTAAAAAAAATTATATAAATGGTTACTGCAAGGATAGAAAAAAAAAAATCACCTCTATCTAAAATTTCAAAATAATTATTATAATGGTGAACGTGAACCCACCACACCTTTTTTTTTGTTCAAAAAACCAATCATGTGAAACCCACCAGTTTTTTGATCGAGATTTCAAAATCCAAAAAAAGTCAATTCATCATAATTTGTTTTTAATATATGGTTATGAATATCGATATAGATAATATATTTATGTGTTAGTTATTAACAGTCAATATTATCTGTTTCAATAAATTTTTAGATTTTTTTTATAAAAATATAGATTTTTTTTGAAATAATTAAATATAATAATTTATTGAAAATAACAATATTTATATTTAGAAATTATAAGAAATTGGAATCGTGGATTAGTTTATGACTTTTTGGTTTATATACTTTAGTTATTTTTATATCAATTTTGGAAGGATGTGTCGTTCATTTCCGATTTACTTGTTGAATGTCAAAACCTCTTGAATCACCATTATAACCCCTAACCAACCAATCAACAAAACTATTCCAAAAAAAGATTGGATTTTAATAACTTACTAAAAAGTGATTGTTTTTTTAGTTTTCAATATCGATTACTTTAATATAGACTTGAGTACTTTTAGTAAACTTTTTTTAAAATAAACAATTTAATCAAAATGGAAAAAGATTTACCCAACTTTAAAAAGTCAGATATTCGTTTTAGGACTATAAATTGAATCATTGTTTTGGACCATGTACTCTTTAAATCAATCATTTTATTTATTATAGTAGTTATAAAGAATGGTAAATAATATCTTTAATGATAATAAAAAAAATAATAAAAAATATTTAAAATATTAACTAATATTATTTTTTTTTTGTAGCATAAATATTTTATTTCAACAATTTTCTTAATTATTGGATTTTGTTTTAGTTTTGGAAATGGAGGTATGTTGGTACAGAGTTTTAATGGACCAATTACAAACGATGAAATTCAATCGTTTTTAAACCATGTTGTATCATTGACACCTGCCTCTGATAATATCGGAAACAATTGGGCTCAATCCGGTGATAGAAGTGGAGAAGTAACCAAATCCATGGGTATCATGTATGAACTGACACAGAAAATTAACATACTCAATGAGATGTTGGTGTTCTGCGATGCTGTCTATATTCAGAGAAACGACTTGGCACCTGCACCTGTCGGTCAGAATACCATTTGGACGGGTAGAATCGATCCATGTTGGCCGAATACCAATACTCCTCAGACCAGTGGAAGTGGAGGTGAACAAGGAGATCCTGCCGGTCATCTAGGATACTGTGCTCGTTTAATCCTTCAAACTCCAGCCATTTGGAACACCGTTATTCCATCACCGGGAGATCCAAACAACTTGGGTTCCACATATTTGCTTCGTGCAAAGAAATATATAAGTGGTGCCGACTACTCAATGTCCAACCACACCCTGAGATCAGCTCTCAACATCGCGAACGGAGGTAAACTATACTTTAGCCAAGCGAATCCTTACAAATCCGGACAAATCGTTCCTTGGAATCAAGTAATGATGTTCCTCTATGCATTCCAAAACTTGGCTGTTGCACACGATATTCTCCAAGACAATCCGGATCTCGCCAGCCAATATCACAATCTTGTACAAGTCAATCTGAACTGGATGTTCAACGAAGGAATGGTCAAGGTAAACAACGGTCCTAAAGGAAGACCTATCTACAGATGGGGATATGTTTTACCAAATACCAATGGTGAAGATACCAACCATGGAAACCTCGATGTTTCCGGACTCTACCGTGCATACCAGTCCGGATACTATGGAGTTACTTCGTCCATGTTGTTGCCAGTCGCCAACACCTATTGGGATATAGTCTATCGTGGACCGGCCGACTACTCTGGTATTCTCGACGGAACCGACGGAACTGGTAATGCATCTCCCACCAACTATGTCCGTGCAGGCTATTTCTCACTCACTGAATTCCGTCCCGATACGTTCAGCCAGCTAACAACCGATTGCACACTCCGAGTTGGAAGTAGTTCCAACACTGCAACAGACCGTGTCTCCCGAATGTTTTGGCTCAAGAATCAACGCTACCAATCGTTCTCAATGAATGTAGTGCCGACTTTGGGTGCCGCCTATACCAGCAACTACATAGTAAGCATCCGTCCCAACGGTGCATGGAATAGCGATGTCTCCTTGAATGTCCGCGGACTACCAGTCGGCGCTACAGTAACTTTCAACGGCAGCAGCAATGTCATAGCCAAAGGTAGTGGATCGCTTATTATCACAGTATCGACAAGCTATCCAACACCACCAGGTAACTCAACGCTAAACATTGTCAGCAGTGGCTGGGGAGCAGTAAGTCAATCTAGTAGCGTAACAATGACCGCACTTCAACAGATACCCAAACCAAAGTTTTCTCTCGATGGTGGTAACTATGTTGGAAAACAAACACTTACTATTACATCCCAACTTTCAAGTACCATCAGATACACCACCGATTCAAGTACACCGGCATACAACAAGGGTATCATATACAGTCAACCAATTGCAATCACAAAGAATACAACCATAAAAGCTGTTGCTTATCGCACCAATTATAAAGATAGCTCTACAACCACTGAAATTTACTATATTAAATAAAATAAGTTTAGTAATATTTTCATACTGCGGTCTCCTTCTTCCACGGAAACTAAATTTTTTTTTTTGTTTTTGTAATTTTTTTTTTTTTTTAATTTTTCTTTTTTTTTCTCTCAAGCTTGAAACTCACTGTGTGCACACATTTTGTTCAAAGTAAAGATAGTTTTTATCGATAAAGACATCATCATTTTTCATTCATTTTATATTGTAATATCAATAATAATAATAAAACAATGCCTACCGTTCAAGTATTAAGAGATCCATTGTTGAAAGCTTTGGGAAAACAATATAGTATGTTATTGACTGATATAAATAGATAGAGATTTTTTTTAGTCATAATATATATTTACTAACATTTTACTACTTTTTTTATTATTATTTTTAGCTGATGACGAGTTTGATGATCTCTGTTTCAGATATGGTATTGAATTGGATGAAGTTGTAAGTTGTTTTCTAGAAAATGATAAATTATAATTTGAATAAGAATTAGAATAAGAATACTTATGTTATGTACAATATAAAGACTTCAGAAAGAAAGATCATTGAAAAGGAAACAGGTGTAGTCGATAAGAATGCTTCGGATGAAGTACTTTATAAGATCGATGTTCCAGCTAACAGATACGATTTGTTGTGTATGGAGGGATTGGCACGTGCACTCAAGGTCTACGGTCAACAAACACCGATTCCAAAGTATTCGATCACCGCCAAGCCAGCTGTCTACCAAAAGATGATCGTCACACCAGAGGTCAAGGCAATCAGACCAATCGTAGTCTGTGGTATCTTGAGAGACATCACCTTTGACCAACAAACCTACAAGAATTTCATTGATCTCCAAGAGAAACTTCATCAAAACATTTGCAAGTAAATATCAATCAAATAGTACTACTATCTATTTATATTTCAATCGACATGTTGGCCAACTAATAATAATTTAATATTAAAACAGAAAGAGATCACTTGTTTCAATTGGTACACATGATTTGGATACTGTTAAAGGACCATTCTACTACAAGGCATTGAAGCCAGAGGACATCAAGTTTGTACCATTGTCACAAACCAAAGAGTTCAACGCTGTTGAATTATTCAAATTCTATGATGTTTGTAATCAGTTATAGTTAATTAGTTAGAGAATATTAATATTGAAACATAAAAAACAACAAACAAATACATACTACTACTATAAATATAGGAAACTAGCTCACATCTAAAGAAATACTTGCATATTATTAAAGATTCACCAGTATATCCAGTGATCTACGATTCAAACAACACTTTACTCTCACTTCCACCAATCATCAACGGTGATCACAGCAAGATCACTCTCAACACCAAGAATGTATTCATTGAAGTCACCGCCACCGACTACACCAAAGCCAACATCGTATTGAACATCATGTTGACTATGTTCTCTGAATATTGCAAACTTCCATTCACGTAAGTAATAAGATGATAACTATGAGATTAATGGCAAATTACTCATTATTATTACCTATTAATACAATATAGTATGGAACAAGTAGAGGTTGTAGATGTAGATGGTACTACTAAACTCTTCCCACAAATCGATGAAGTCGAAATCAAAGCATCTACCTCCTATATCAATAAATGTATTGGTGTACAATTGGAGCCAACCAACATGATTGAGATGTTGAAGCGTATGTCTCTCGATTCACAATTGAGTCAAGACAAACAAACCATCACTGTTTCCGTTCCATCCACAAGAAGTGGTATGCATCAAATATTAAATAACCAATAATAATCGATTGATCAAATATATTAATCTATTTTTTTTTTTTTTCTCTATAGATATTATTCACGAATGTGATATTATGGAAGATGTTGCTATTGGTTATGGTTTCAATAATATTCCACGTGTTGTACCAAATACCCCAACCACCGGTAGAATCCAACCAATCAACAAACTCTCAGAGTTACTCGCTGCTGAAGTTGCTCAAGCCGGTTTCACTGAGATTATGACTTTTGTATTGTGCTCCAACAAGGACAATTACTCTTTGATCAACAGAGACGACGACAACAACAGTGTAAAGATTGCCAATTATCTTCACGAAGATTTCTCTGTATGTAATATTATAAAAGAAACAAACAAACCAACAAACAAATACGATAAACTAACTTTTTATATCAAAAATAATTAGGAAATTCGTACAAGTTTAACAAACACTTTGTTAAAGAGTGTTGTCTCAAACAAGGCATTGCCATTGCCATTAAAGTTATTCGAAGTTGGAGATATCTCTATCAAGGGATCTACCGGTAACAAGAACTTGGCCGATCCAAACAACAATAACAGTGACACTGGATCCTATAACAAGCGTATGTTGGGTGCCATCTACTGTAATCACTCTGCCAGAATCGAGGTTGTTCACGGTATCCTCGACAAGTTGATGTTGTCACTCAACATCAAGCACATCTCTGATAAGACTGCATCTGCCTATGGAAAGAAATACCAACTCAAGCCAAACAACGACAAGCTCTTCATGACCGGTATGGGTGCCGATATTTTAGTTGACGACAAGAAGATTGGTGTTTTGGGTGTTGTTCATCCAACCGTATTGAAGAACTACGGTATCTCATACCCATGTTCATTACTAGAGTTTGAAGTCAACATGGAACTCGCTTCATGTATTCAATACCCAATTCAAAAGAAATAAATTAAAATAAAATGAAAAGTTAAAATAAAAATATCATTTTTAAAATAAAATCAAAGGCTTAATATAACAGATAATAAGAATTCTATTCATATTCATTTATAAATTAATTTATAATTAAAGAAATTATTTAAATGTGGTCATCGGATATTGGGTTAATTTATTAACGTCGAAAAATAAATATATAAGAATGACACGTTTCTGGTGGGATTCTCTACTTCAATTAATAATGGGAAGGAGATCGTTATTTACAAAAAAAAAAATCTGAAATCTAACAAAGAAAAAATGATCATCGTTTCATAGAACAAAAAATAAATAAAAATTAAAAATAAAAACCAATCAAATAGTTTGGTCCATGAAAAAAATCTTTAAACAGCAGTTTATTAATAGACAACACTATGTTGGGGGTGAATTTTTGTTTTGATTAATGTGTGTGGCAAAAAAAAAAATCTTGTAAATTTTTTGATTAACTTTTTTCTCAAGAAAAGTGATAGTTTAATTAAAAATAAATAAATAAAAATAAATTTTCGCTTTATTAATTTCAAATCTATTTTAATACACCAGCCCAACAAATGTCATTAGCTCCCAGACACAAACATCAATCAAAATAAAACAAAACAAAAAGTTTACTTCATTCCCTCAACACTACTTAATCCATCAACCAAACAAACAAACAAACAAACCAACAAAGATGTATCACAATTAAATATTTCAAATATAAAATTTATCTAATTAAAAAATTTCTAGAGAAAATCATTGTATATATAATATAATAACAATCATAAATAGTTACTCTTTCTTAATCATACTCAAATAGTTTAAAATTAGAAAACTTACTTATTTTTAAACAATCAAAATTCTAAATAACCTACTGCTCAGAGTTGGTAAAAAAATAAAAAAGAGGTAATGTTCTAACAACAGAGTTATTTAAGTACTTTATATATGGTTACAAATTTTCTCACTTTTTCAGAAATAATTAAAAATAAAACAACTGAAAATATGAAATTCATTTTTTTTATTCCAAGTTTATAACCCCCAGTCACTGTTTTAGTGAAAAATATTCACCCCTTTTTTCACTTTTATACCTCACATTCATTGGATGTTACTTGAAATGAATAGAATTCATATCAGATTTCAAAGCACACTTCAATCATATCAATCGATCAATAGACAACGTAGTTGATCATGTTGTTTTGATTAAAAATAAAATCAAAAAATAAACAAAAACAATACCAAAATTTATATTTATAGAAAAACATAAAAACTTTCACATATACAAAGCATTGGTGTAGAATAGAACAGTAACATCAGATGTAAAAAAAAAGTGGTAATTTATATTATTTGCATAAACAGTGATTAATACCTATATTAAAAATTCATGTACAGTCATTGTCATCCATCATTTATCAATCACATCCTGTTCCACCAGATGAAAATTTCCTTTTTTGTAATGAAATTTAATACATTCAGAAAAAAAAAAATGTATATTCTATAAAACTGGGATCATGACAATATTAATTTATAGATTAAGGTTAATATTAGCTTTCTTTAGTTTTTTGTTAACTTCATTAATGGATTTAAAATATCATGGCAACTCACAACTCTTTTATCCACATCAAACATCGCATACAAATATTTAAACTCTTAATTTTAAAAATGTTAACCACATTCAATTAATTGAAAATTACACAATTTTCTATTAAATATATTTTCATTTTTCTTTATTTTGTCATAAAATTAATTGTTGTTTTAATATGATAAAATTAAAAAAAAAAAAAGTGTGGAGTATGTTTGATTTATATATGTAAATGTGGTGGTTGTGGTGTGGTGGAAATAGTGAATTAAAAAGTAGTGTGGTTGGTGTGTTAATGATAGTGGTTTCAATCAATCAATTCAACTCTCACTCACACACACACTTTCTCTCACTTGAAATATGCTTTTTCATGCTTATAAGGATATAATAAACAAATTATAATTAGTTTTGGATTTCACCTCTCTCTCTCTCTCACTACCTCGTAGTGTAGGAGATACTAAATGAGTGAGGATATAGGTATAGATTAATTCATTCAATCTAACCAATCACTGTGTCAGTCATATGTGGTATTGGGATGATATTGTATAATAATAGTATTGTTTTGTTTCTGATTCAACAATTTATATATGATCATTCTCTCTATACAATGCAACACCATACCACAAACAGCATCTATTCAACCTAGTTTTATTTATAAATAATTATTGTTTATATTAATTTTTATTTTTGTTTTTGTATTGGATTTAACCTTTTTTTGTTTTGTCTGGTTCTGTCTCCCAACAATCTGGAATATGATAATCATTTTCTTTAAAAACGATTCAGAATTGTATGTACATTTTATTATTTGTTTGTTATTATTAATTTTATTTATTGTATAAGTTGTTTTTCAAAAAGGTAATCAATCTCAATCTTATTCAATAGGTAATTCCTATTTATTTATAAATTGTTTGTGGTAGCACTGTGTCGTTTTGGTCTCACTTTGCCTGTCAGGTCAAACAAACAAATTTTATTTAAATCAAAGACAAATAGTAAACAGTAATCATTTTAAAAAAAAACAAACACATTGGAATAGTTTAGATCTAAAAGTTGAGTTGTTGTCAACAATATCGAAATCATATTGGCCAAATCACCATTGAAAGAAACCAAGTGATTCATCATATTATAGTTATACTTTATATTTCCAATATTATTTAAACTTTTTCAAGAAATTAATATACTTTTTTATATCATCATTGTTTCCACATTGTTTTTTTTTAACTTTACATTACATTTAATCTTTATCTCTCACAATATTAATATTATCGACAACCTTATCCATAATAAACAGTTTCACTCTTGTTACAAATCAAAATCAAATCTAAATTAAAGTAGGAAATTTCAATATTAATATTAACATTAATTATTTTAAATCAAAACTTTAGTATTTGTATATAATAATAATATAATAATAGTAATTCGATAATTTAATTAAGTTTAATCATCGAAAATATAAATAAAATAATAAAATAATAGTAGCAGACATAAATAAATATAAATAAAACAATGACAATCATTAATAATAGTAATGATGGTACAATATCACAAATAACCAAGCGATTTAAAAGAAAAAAAGAATCATCACAAAGAAAGATTGAAATAGATTGTAATAAAAATAGTAGTATCGATTGTAATAATAATAATATAGAACATCAACAGCAACAACAACAACAACCAACAAAATATATATCAAACTGGATATCAACAACCAAATATACAATTTTAACTTTTATTCCAAAGAATTTGTTCGAACAAGTAAATATTAGAATCAATCTTGAACTCCTCAAGAGGAACCTTTTTTTAACATGAACATTATTTTTTTTTCTATCATTTAGTTCAGAAGAGTAGCCAATTTATATTTTCTATTTATTTTAATAATTTCATATACACCGGTATCACCAGTTGCACCTGGACCAAGTACGATCAATCTCGGTATTGTTTTGCTGATCAATGCAGTCAAAGAGGCTTATGAGGATTTCCGTAGATATCAATCGGATAAACGTATAAATTATCAGAGTACGAAAGTGATAAGGAATTCAAAGTTGATCGATATCTTTTGGAAGGATCTAGAGGTTGGTGATGTAGTGCGAGTGGACAGCGATGAACAATTCCCAGCGGATTTGGTTCTGCTGTCTTCCTCATCGGAATCACCAGGAATGTGTTATGTTGAAACATCGAATCTCGACGGAGAGTCAAATCTAAAGAGTAAACAGTCACTAGTGGAAACAAACAATTTGAAATCGGTAGAAGATTTCATTGGTGCGAAATTATTGATTGAATACGAAACACCATCGCATCTTTTAAACAAATTCGATGGTAGAATTACCATTAACAATGAAGATACATTACCATTAAATGTTGAACAATTATTAGTAAGAGTAAGTTGTTATAAATACATATATTTTTAATCATCAAAAGTTAATAACATTATTTTTATTTTTTTCAGGGTACACAATTAAAGAATACAAAATGGATATATGGTGTTGTTGTTTATACTGGACATGAAACTAAGTATATGTTGAATACAATGGCAACACCTTCCAAGAAGAGTAAGCTTGAAAAAGAGATGAATAGAATCTTGTTGATGGTTTTGTTTGCAGAGGGATTGTTGTGTTTGGCAAGTGCGTTGGTTGGAATGGGCTATGAGAAGCGTATTGGACAACATTCATTCTATCTGCACATTGGTAAACACTTTCTTTTGCAAACCATACAAAAGATCTTTACATTTGTTGTATTGTATTCCACGATCGTTCCAATATCACTGTATGTCACGATGGAGATTGTCAGAGTTTTCCAGGTGATTTCAATCAATCGCGATAAAAAGATGTATCACCACGAAACAAATAACTTTGCCAAAGCAAGAACTTCCAATCTCAATGAGGAGTTGGGACAAGTCGAATATGTATTCAGTGATAAAACTGGTACTCTCACGAGAAACGAGATGGAATTTAGGGTGTGCAGCATCAATGGAAAAAACAATTGGAAATGAACTGATCGATTCAATTACAACCGATCAAAACAACGAGAACGGCGAAGACAAACCACCACAGAATCTCAAGCATTCACCAAGCGAGGTGGAGCTCAAGGATTTTAATAGATCATTTGGCAATCTTACTGAGAAACTTCAAATTGATTTTACAGTACCAGAGAATTTGGAATTCTTTATTGCCATGGCTTTATGTCATTCAGTTATTCCAGAAATAGATTCAAATGGTTCAAGTAAGTAAAATTTTAACAAACATAATTATATTATCTATTTATTAATTTTATTTATTTCTTTTATTAGTTTCATATTCTTCATCGTCACCAGATGAAATTGCTTTAGTTAATGCAGCTTCAATATATGGTATTAAATTCCATTCTAGAACACCACATTCAATGAGTATCATTGTGAATGGAGAAGAAAGGTCCTATCATTTATTGAATGTATTGGAGTTTTCGAGTGATCGTAAGAGAATGTCGGTGATTGTCAAGGAGTTTAACTCTCAGGATATCATTTTATATTGTAAGGGAGCTGATACTGCAATTCTACCATTATTGTCAGATACACACGATAAAGAGATTCTCAAATTGGATGAAGATGCTCTAAGAAGATTCTCATGTAGTGGTCTTCGAACTCTCTGTATTGCCAAAAAGATAATTCCCACTGTTGAATATGAACAATGGAATTTGCTATTCAAGAAAGCATCGATTGCAATCGAAGATCGTGTTGAAAAAGTTGGAGAAGTATCGACTTTGATTGAAAAGGATTGGACTTTGATGGGTGTCACTGGAATTGAAGATAAACTTCAATACAATGTGGCGTCAACAATCACTACAATCTCGAGAGCTCATATCAAGATTTGGATGTTGACCGGTGACAAACAAGAGACAGCTATCAATATTGGAATTTCCTGTAAGTTGTTGGAAGGATTAGATATTCTTTTGCTGAATGAATCCAGCAGTAAGGATGCTCTGCAAGAGTTGATCAATACACACATCCAAAGAATTGAATACGAGCGAAGTTTGGAGTCGACTGGTGCCGGTGCAGGAAAGAGAGGTTACGCAATTGTTGTCGATGGAAGCACTCTTTCCATTGCTATTACCAAGGAGTTGGAAGACAGTTTCTACAAGCTGACAAGTCTATGTACATCTGTGGTATGCTGTCGTGTTACACCGTTCCAAAAATCAGAGGTTGTTCGTATCGTAAAGGATCGTACCAAGTCTATTACTCTGGCGATTGGTGATGGTGCCAACGATGTTAGCATGATTCAAAAAGCACACATTGGTGTCGGTATCTCTGGAAAGGAAGGTCGTCAAGCAGTTTTAGCAAGTGATTTTGCGATTTCACAATTCAGATTCTTGGAACGTCTTGTTCTCGTGCATGGAAGATACAATTATAAGAGATTGTGTCTCCTCATTTGTTACTTCTTCTTCAAGAATCTCGTTTGTTCATTACTTCAATTCTGGTTCTCGACAAACACCCAATTCTCAGGCCAAACATTCTATGATGCTGCCAACATCCTCGGTTACAATCTAATATTTACATCACTGCCAATCATTGTGATTGGTGTATTCGAGAAAGATATTGACTCTTCCTATCTGAGAAAATATCCAACATTATATAGAGAGTGTCAACTTGGTAAATCTGTAAGTAGTAAAAGTAGCAAAGATGTTTCTGAGTGGAAAACAAATATATTAATTTCAAATTACTTTTTAAATATATAGTTTAATCATAAAATATTTTGGGCTTGGATTGCATTGGGTATCTATTGTTCCTCTGTAATTTATTTCTTTTCTTCTAGAATCTTTGGAAATGCGCCAACTGATACCAGTGGAAAGATAGGAGGACTCTACCAGACTAGCGCAGCTGGCTTCACCTATCTTGTGTTTGTTGTCAATCTTTTGTTGTGTCTGGTGATTAGCTCTTGGACTTGGCTACACCACTTGACCATCTGGGGAACACTGGCAGTCTATTGGATATTGGAGTGTCTCTACAGTTATATCTATGTCTCCTATACCAACTACTTCTACCTTGTATTCCTTCAGCTAGTGGAACAACCATTATTCTACTTTACATTCATCATCACCGTTGTCATTGCTTTATTACCAGCCTACGTAACATCTTTTGTATATAGAAACTTTTTCACTCAACCAATTCATGTTGCTCAAGAAATTCAAAGAGAAGATAAAAAAGCAATTAGTCAAAAGTTAAAGATGTTACACAACATTTAAAAAAAAAAAAGAAACAACAAACAACCCACTTATATAATAAAACGACTTTAATTATATATATAACAAATTTAAAATATGTTTTTGATTTCATAATATTAGAGGTTTAATATTTACTAACTACCCATTTATATTTATTGTCTGATTATTAAAAAAGGAGAATAAATATAAAATTTATTGATAATTTGTATCTTTTTTTTTTTAATTTAAAAGCGTGTTAAAATATTATTATCCTTAAAAGGATACTTTTAAAAGACAATTGTATTTATTTCTTATCTTTTTAATAAATTATCTGATTTACATATATATATCTGAAGTATATTTACTATTTCAATTTTTTTTTTTTTCATCAAATAAAATAAGGCTTTTTTAAATTATTAATTAAATACATTATTTTTTATTTTTTAATCTGAAATCATGGTAGGAACATAACTTCTGCGTCGTAAGTTTGTTTCTTGATCAGAGTCGTTGAGTGATGATGGACTTGATTGATCAGCTTCACTCAATAGATGTACCTCATCTGGACTACCATGAAGTGCGATAGACTTTAGCGCAGCTATACCATTGCCCATCGTACGAGGACTTAACACTTCAACGGTGTTTTCTGATTTCGCTGATGACGAAGAGCTATTGGTCTCTCGCTCGCATTGAACCAAGAAGTCGTCGATGGTCAAGAGAAGCTGTGATGGATCGTCACGGTGAATGATGAACCATCCTTGGAGCTGTGCAGTCGATACTCTATGATTTCTCAGTCTCTCCAGTAGTTTCTCTACGACCGGCTTGGTCAGTGAGTTGTCTTTGGTAAAGAATCGCTTGAGCATCTGAGTGATCTGATACTCTGAGGCGTAGTCGAATTTCACTTTGATATCGATTCTACCCGGACGAATCAGAGATGGCGACAATCGCTCGATGTGATTAGTTGTCATGATGAGAATACGTCCGTCGGAGCTGGCCAGTCCATCGAGTGCATTGAGCAAGCCCGAGAACGTGAGAACGTCATTTTTGCCCTTTCGCTCGATAAACGCAGCATCGATATCCTCGAGCACCAAAATCGTTTCTTTCGGTGTTTTCTGAATGATCGAATGAATGTTTCCATCGTGGATGCCCTTGCTCATATTCATGATGCTAATGGACATACCGAATTTGCCTGCCACCGAGAGAATGTACGATGTCTTACCGGTACCCGGTGGACCAAACAACAAATAACCACGTCTATAAGGTACACCAGTATTGATATACCATTGTTTTCCATTAATAAAGTTATCGACGTCTTCGATCACCTTTTGTCCGATGTTGGAATCCAAAATAACAGATTCTATTGATCTCTTTGGTTGAATAGAAATACATTCCCAGAATTGCGAATGAGGTTCCAATGAATATATTTTAGTCTAAAATTATTAAAAAAAAAAGAAAAGGTTAGTGTTATTACAATACTATTCATTATTATTATTATTATTATTTTTACTTACTTTATCTTTATTTAAATTAATGGAATATTCCATTGCTGTGTTTATAAGATCTTTGACGATTTCTAGATCACCACGTAAGATTGTTACATCAATGAAATCCTCTCGCATTCCATCGATGCTTCGCTTCTCGGATGACTCTCTAACGATGTATACTAGATAGCCTTTGTAACGAATCCAGACAGTGCCTGTTGGCAACAGTTTGAACTCTGGCTTACCACTCTTTACTTCGGCCTGCTCGTGATAACGCGTATACACAGTGACTGCTCTCGTTCCGAATATCTCCTGTACGGAGAGCCATTCCAACATCCAGATGAACGCTTGATCCGGATATGATATACGAGCGGTATAGTAGAACCGACTCTTTATCCACTCGCCCGATGACATCAACATTCCACGCAAACTATTCAGTATCCATGTTATCACCAGCAGTGCTATACCTGCACCTACCATTGATCCACTTTGTGTCATACCAGCCATTCCCAACATACCACCCAACATACCAATGCCAGCAGTACCAGGATCACCTGTAGGATTTAATACATTATCCATACTTTATATATTATATATACAAATAAAATGTAATTTATATATATTACTAAACTTTAAAGTAATGTAAAAGTAAAGTAAATGATAATAATAACAATAATATACAAATAATGATAAATAATATACAAATGTGGTAATATTATAAAAATAGAATGCAATATATATTTTAACAAAAAAAAAAAAAAAAAAAAAAAAAAAAAAACAGAACCTTTGAAAGTCAACTCTACCAAATTGAGAGTGTCAAAAGATATAATAGTAAGGATAAACTAACCTTCACAGAAATGAGTAGGTTATCTATCTTTTTATTATGTACTAATTATTAATAATCTATTCTATTGTAAGTGTAGAAAAGAAGAATTTAATAAATAGTAATATGGCTAGAAAAATTGTAAAAGTTTAATTAATATTTAAAAGAAAAAGAGATATAATGATTGTGAATTTAAATTATCATTTTTTTGTTTTGTAACAATAACAAATAATAAAAAAATGATATTTGTTATTTTATTTTTTTACTTGTATGTTTTTTTTTTGTTTTTATAGTGGTCAGATAATTAGAATCGTGTTTATTTTTATTCAAATACAGTCAGATTAAATAGATAAATGGTGAGTAGTAAATATTTTGTATATATTGATAAGATGGGTCTTTGTAAATAACAGATATTGACTTTTAAAATAACAATATCTATAAATAATAATAATAATAATTTGATTTGTTATTATCACTCCTCAATTTACCTTGTATAATCATTGAAATAGATTATTTAAATTATTTAATTATTTTTTTTCCAAATTTAAAATTTTACATATATTTAGGCTTTACAAAAAAGTTTGTTGATATTATATTAAAATGTGGAGTTCCTTTTATCGAAAAATGGCAAAGGTTTCGAGAATGATTCCCGAATCATCATTTTCTTCAATAATTCTTCTGATATTTCCTGAAACTTCATTTTCTCCAATAATTCCTCTGCTGAATCTCTAAACTCGGAGGGATCAATCATGGACTCTATTATCTATTCATTAGATACTATTAAAAAAGTTTATTATATAAGGTGATAGTTTATATTATAATGTAAATGTTTATAAAACCAATTTTTATTTCTGATTATTCAGGAAGCATACTAATAGCATTACCCTTATCTAGAGTTAGTCTGAGATTTCTTGTTACAATGGCATTTTCTGGATGCTTTACATTATAAGCATCAAGTGCAGCATACATGTAATCTAGATATTCTCTGGATGTCATTATATATGTAGGATTATCTTTATAGTAGTTCTCTACTGGATCTCCAGTAAAAAAATGTGTGATTGTGTCCCAGAAAATCTTGGCTACTGCAATTACGATGAGAACAAAAGTCAAGACCAAACATGCTGGACCAGACCAGGAAGTGCTGACAAAGAATGTTAAAACAAAAAGGGCAAACGTCAGAGAAAGCTCGGTTAGGGAAAGGGCAGCCTCTCCCCACTGTTTGTTTGCAATTGCTGTCACCAACTCGTATCCTGAGACCAACATACTAGCTACAAGTAATACACCAGTGACGATCTTCAAGTACTTGGTCATTTTAATAAGAGTAGCAAACTTGGCGACATTTTTAGTTGCTACGGCCTGCGCTATTGGTGAAACTACATTCGGCTTAATTAGGTCTGCAATTTTCGCGCCAATCCATTTGTATGCTTTATAACCAAATTGAATTGCATCCACAATCGAAGTAATGCCATCGACACCAGTTTGTGCAGAGGTTATCCAGAGTGAGACCTTTTCTGGATCGGTAAGCTTGTCATAGCTATAGAGTCCTTTATAGATGACACCAGCATTAACCAAAACAAACAATCCAGATACTAATTTAAACGTTGTCGATTCCTCCCATTTAGCCACAAGTTCAGGTTTTCCAACTGGGATTGCACCTTTAATCTTCTTGAGTTTCTCAATGAACTTATCCTTGTTGATAACATAAGCATCACTAGCACTTACTGCCTTTGTCTTTGCAGCGTTGACCATTAACTTGCTCATGTGGAAAAGAGCATCTCCTAAAATTTTACCAAATGTTCCTTTACTTGTGTAAATAGCCTCCCAATCGGTAACTAGATTTGTCCATGGATGACTTGTTGATTTAGCAATCGCCACAAGGACATCGGTTGTTATCTTTCTAAACATTCTTTTGATTTTTGGAGTGTTTTTCAAACTGAATGGTGCTGCTATCGCATAGAGGTGAGAGTAGTATTCACTGAGCACGGTACTTGAGAGTCCAAATGAAGGGTCCAAAATATCCAACTTTGCCTTGAGCTCTGAGAATGCATAAGAATGATCGGCGACATCGGCTTCATTTAGAAGCACCTTGTTGGAATTAAAAGCCTTTTCCACCCATGTTTCTTTGTAGACATCTTCCAAAAGGTACGACTTGACTTTATCCTTCAGAGTGTCTGCATTGTACATGTAAGGAATGAACGCAGGAACTTTCTTTACTGTGGCGAGATAGGAAAATTTCATGTTGACGTCGGTCATAATTTTACTACCTTGAGAAGCCTGGAAATCAGTGGTAGCCTTAGACTTGACTCTGGAATAGGATTTGGAATTTTCAGTACGCTCCTTCAAAAACTGGAGCAACCAGAGGTTAGAGTATTTGGTGATCTCCGCTGCATATCCCTCACCGACGATGGCACCGGTAATCTCGGTAGAGAGAGTTGGCTTGGAAACATTGAGTACTGATCTACCATTGTCAGTAAGATTAGCCTTAATAAGGTCGTACATATAGGAGTCTGCTTCTGTTTTTACAAAATCTGTTTCGGGCAATGTAGTGTCCGTTCCTTTTTGATAGGTTGTGAGTGCCATGAACTTTTCGGGGGTCAAAGTGGAGACATCCACAGTTGATTCGGTCTTATAGTTGGTTGTGAGATGATTTTTTCTCCATGTTAGAAAAGTCTCAATGAAAGTTTTTGTTTCAACTGTTGTCATGATAAATATTTAAATTTAATAAATAAAATAAAAATAAAATAGATAAACAATAATTAATATAGAAACTTAAAAACTAATATAAAAAAATAATAAAAAACTTTAGATTAAACTTTATAATAATCAATCGAAAGTTTTAAAACTAATTATTAATTTAAATAAATTTTGTTAGTAAATATTTTAAAAGAAAGAAGCCACATTTTGGGTTACCTTTTCCCACCAGAACGAATAAATAAACTGTTTCTTTTTAGCATCTCTGTTCTGGAGATATCGATATTTAGGTGATCACAAAATCTCATGTATCAAAATATCTGAACTGATGGTTAATAAACAAATTTAAATATCGATATCTCCAGAACAGAGATGCTAAAATGGGATCTTTGGTTAGAGACTTTATGTTATAATCGAAAAATGAAACCCCAATTTGTTTGGGAGATTTTTTTGTGATAAAAGTGTTTGTGATTTCAATGCAAAGATCACAAAAAAATTAAAGTGTTTTGGTCTACCAAAAAACTTTCAACGAAAAAATCTTTTTTGCACAAAAAATACAGAACTTTTTTTTTTTATTTTTTTTATTCAATAAACAAATTGGAACTTTAATAAATTAATAATAAGACGAGATTATATATTATATTTATTTATTTCATTTGAATATAAAAAAAAATGACAGAATCATATTCAATTATATCTACTTTTCAAAGTTGGAGACTTGCAAAAACAAAACAAGAACACCCAGAGTTTGATAGTATTGATATCAATACTTTGACCGCTGAAAATTTTTTGGCATTGTCAACATTCGATCGAGATACACAAGTCGATATCGTTCAAGACAAAGCCGAGCAGTTCTTTATAGATCTTGTTCTTTACCATCTTTCCAGTGAAGGATTGAATGCCCTCGGATCAAGCAAACCTTCTCTTAATGCCGATCTATTAGAGTTGGTTCAAGACCCTGCAGTCGTCACTTATTTTCAAAACTATGCTCCACTCTGGCTTCTCCAAACGATCTATCATCACGACCAAGCTTCATACCAATCCGATATTAAAGGTGGAGTAGTCGAGAATAGCATGTTTAGTCTCAATAAAAGCAATATTTTCATTCTTATCACCATGAAGTTGTATTACTTTGCACTCAAGCAATTGGTTCCAGCATTCCTACCATTTATTTATTGGAGCGATTTGAATCAATTCCAAATCAAAGTTAGAGTATACTTTAAAGACACCAATGTTATCAAAAACTGGATGACCACTGCCATTCAATGCCAGAATGCGGATATTGGTAACCGACTATCATTCGATGCCGTTCGTTTCAATGAATTAAAGACCAAACTAGATCTCCTTCAACCGAACAACAGACTTTCAAATGACATTGTTGGTTCTCTCTGGTATTCACTGCTTTCCTACTACTCCACCAAGAATCTCATCAACAATCCAGTTAACAGAAATATAGTTATCGCAACCAACCAAAGTATTCTCAACAGAATCATTGCCAATCCAGATAACCAGTTCAATACCCAAATCAATGATGCAACCACTGCTCTTGCTTGTGATAAGCCAACTTTGATCAATCTACTATCAGATTTGATGATCAAAGCAGCTTTAGAGACTCCATTCGATAACGTTGTTCCAGGAGCTGATTTCCAATCTACGGCCAAACCATATACCAAAGAATTCATTGCCAAAACCCCGTTTACACCGCTCCAGGATAATTCAGATTTTCTCAGATTCGCCAATGCTATATACTGTGCTTGTCATGTCGGAGTTTTAGCCTATGGAATCCTCAATGGTCATGATTACACTCTATTGGTTTTCTTTAACCCAGGTCTAATGTATATTGGAGAAGGACTCTTTATTTATAAATATGCTGATGGTATTGATCAAGGAAATATCTTTAGTGTGATGGGTGATTTCCTCAGATCTCTCACAAACGATATGGCAAAGGATGCAACAAATATTTTCACGGCTTTCCAAACATTGGTTCCAAGACTAATTCATCCAAACACTAGTGAGCATATAACTCGGTTAATTCCATCATTTTACATTCTCACGAAAGATCAACAAGCATTCCAACTGTTCAAGTCCCAGAGCTCAATGATATTGGACTGGGGAAAACTAGCGGTCAACTTGCACAAGATGGATGAAAATGAAGTAGATAACTGCATTCCTGGTCTTTTCACTGTTTTTAAAAAGGCTGGATGTGCTGCAACCTCCACTGCTCTCTTGCTTGGAAACAACCTCTATGGTCTATCATTGTGTGCAAGAGTTTACCCACAACTCGAAATGACCTTGAAACGATATGAACTGACCATTAAAGGTCAGTTTGATATTTCAAACATTCCAGACCCCATAGAAGTCTTTATCAACTCTGTTGAAGAGAAGTTTCGAATTGACTATGATGGTGCACAGTTTGATGACGATGGATGGGAGAGCTATTACGAATCATTGGATCCAAGAATCCAACGTGGTATTGACATTTTGAAGGAAGTTCATAAAGATAATCTCAATGATATGTTTGTACTTCTCGCCGAAATGGAACAAAGAGTCAGAGAGCAAGAGTATAATAGATTTACCACTCAAATTGTTAAACTTGAAAACAATATCAATACAGTGCAAGGAGGAGATTGGAAAGCCATTCCCGGATCCCAAGCAACAGTAACCATTACCCGTCCAAGTCGATTAATTGCCACTCTTCAATTCTATTCCAATGTTTTAAATAATGGATATGGTTCAGATTCAATTGATGTGACCTCTGCAATCAATAACCAACTTATGACTTTAGGAGGATGTATGTATTAAACATTAAATAATCAGATAAAAATCGAGAATAAAATACTAATATGAATCAACACAACAATTTTAGATAACCAATACCCCTGGCCTGTAGGTACATCAATCAGTCATAGTAGAGATTGGTCAACTGGTTTTTCAATCACAGAGCAAATTCTTCAAGTAGGTGTCTATCAATATGATATTAGAGCCAGAATTAGAGGTTCTCTTCCAAGTGCTCAAGTGGATGCTCCTGCTGCTGTCCTTTTCATTGCTCCATTGTAAAAATGAATTCAAACGACTATTTAAATAAAAAAAATCAAGTTATAAATTTATCAATTTCATTTATTTTATTTTGTTGGTTATTTACAATGAAAAAGTTAAAAAGAATTAAAACTCCTTCATGAAATGTAACCCCTCAAGATATTAATTAATTTAGTCAAAATCAATATCCCAATTTTTTTCACAAACACAAAACTGTGATTAAACTCGTGATTGAGGATGTAAATGCGAGCGTTCGAGGATTGTTTTTTTCATTTTTTTCACAACTCGTTTTTTGTGATCAAAACCAAGTTCGAAAGAGGTTTGAACTTTTGGACCAACACACGTTTGCAAAATACAAATTTTGCAAAGATAATCTATTAAAGGATCATGATCTCTGAAGTGTTGCAACCCATTTTTTGGATATCTTTTCTTTTAATTTGGAATATGGTGACAACAAAATACAAACTATATTTTTTTCAAAATAAAATGTATATATTTATTAAAACAGATCAATCTTTTTAAAAGTTAATATATTTCTAAAATAATAATAAATAAAATTGAATAAAATAATGGCTTCAACATTAATCTTTAATGGTAGAGTTGATGGATATGAATTAAATTATAAAAGTGATGGTTCCGCCACTTATACTTTAAATGGTGCTCTATTATGGAAGGTAAATTTTTATTTATTAGTTAAAAAACCAAACTAATGAGTGACTAATGTGTACTATTTAAATCTACTAGCAACAATGGATGACAGCTTGGTCAGATTATATTATGTTTAAAACAAGTGATAATAGAATTTGTTTATTATCATATATGGATATAAATGGTTTTTTATCGGGCGATATCTTGACAAACACAGGCTTCACACCATTACTCCGAACAAGCATGGATCAAAATTTGGATTTCAAATATTTATCAGAGTTTTCAGATAAAAAAGATGTTGTTATTGCTTTGAATAAAACTGGAGGTCGTAAATTCTATACTATCAATCTCACAGGCTCCACAATCACCGAATTCACACCAAGTTTCAGTGTAACATCAGAACTTTTCAAGAAATCCATGGACCTAGAAAAAAGATTGTCCAGACTAGAGAATTCCAGGGTCACTACTCAAATTGTCAAAGTTGCTACTCATGGAAATGTGGTAAACTCTACGGATTGGGTAACAATCGCAGGTTCACAAGCTTCAGTTGTCATTAACGTACCAAGTAAAGTTGTTGCCATTGTCCAATACCACTCATTGGTTACGGGTAATCTGAGTGGTACCTATAGTATTGATGTTACATCTGCTCTTAACGGTAATCTAATGACTAATGGAGGTATGAACAATGCATGGCCTGTTGGTTCTTCAATAAGTCAATGTAGCGCCTGGAACAATGGAGTTTCAGTGACTTCAGATATTCTTCAACCAGGAATTTACAATTATGAGATGAAAGCAAAATTAAGATTCACTCCTCCCGGTGGAGTAGGATCAGTAAATGGACCAGGTGCTGTTATCTTTATCATGCCTCTGTAAAAATCGATTAAATAAATAAGAACAAGTTGAATACACGTTGGTAATCGCGATTTCTTTATTGAATTGTAATTTCATTGTTGCTTTTGAGATAGTGATGAAAACTATGTTGACTTTGACAACTCAATTGAGAAGTGCCACTTCTTATACTGTAAGTATCTCCTCTTCCATAATTATACTGGTTAGTTAATTTAGTTCGGATATTATCGGTTTATACATTTATTAACTGTTGAACTACTACTATTCCTATTCCCTTTCTCCAAATTCGAAAGAAATTCAAGGATTGATTGGTGTCTATGATAAAGAGGCACTTGTAGCTTGCCATCTCTATTGGCATCATGGAAAATGAACTTTTAGGATTCTTTAAAAAATGTTAGACTTTGTGTTGAACGAGATGAAGAGATCCTTGTGTAGATGGACAATTGAGTTGTCAAAGTTGCTCTTGCTCAAGTTTTCAAAGATCTTGCATTAAACTATAAAGTTTAAAGAAAAAGAGATGTGATGATTGAAATAAATTAAAAACAATCTTTTAACATAAATATGAAATTCTACATAATTAATTTTATTATAATACAAATTTAAACTTTTACATCGACAGAGAATACTTAAGATAATAATGTAGAGTACTAAGAAGTCTGAAAAAAGGAAGAAAGCTTTGATATTTCCTGAATCTTCATTTTCTCCAATAATTCCTCTGCTGAATCTCTACCCTCGAAAGGAGCAATCATGCACTCTATTATCTTTGATTCTCTTGGGTAGAACTCTTTGAACTGCTTATTGAGGATTCGGTGTTTCATCAAAGTTTCGAGTTGTGAGTTGGCACGGTCAGGGGGATTCCAAGGAACATCTTTGGAATATCTGAGCAGTATTTCAAAATAGATTACACCAACACTGTAACAATCGGTCTTTTCATTGTAGAATCCACCCTTGTACTGCTCAGGACTGCAGTAATACGTCGATCCGGCTTTCTCATTGTTGGTGCCTTCCAACACTTTTTTCAACCTGGAAATACCAAAATCACAGATCTTGACAACCAGATCATCATTGCCGACGTGCTTGATAAGAATGTTGGATGGCTTGAGATCTCTGTGGACTATACCCACCGAGTGTAAGTAATGAACACCTTCCAGTATTTGAACAATGATATTATTGATCTTGGCGACATCCAAGTACTTATTAGATTTTAAAAAGCTATCTAGAGACTCCCCACAATATTCCATCTCCATGCACAATACCAAACCTAGTTGTTGTTGTTTTAGATGTAGCAAATGTACTTCATCTTTTTCAACAGTGACCGTACTACTTACTTTTTTACTATCAGCTTCATCTTCAATATTATAAACTGATTCTTTTGATGGATTACTAATACTATTACTACTATTTATACTATTATTACTATTATTATTACTACAACCTATATCTTTACCATCAACTTTACTAACTCCATATTTAATGGGGGAAATGGAGTCTTCTGTTGTTTGGTTTACTTGATTATTACTACCACCTTCAGCGCCGCCATCGACTTTACTAGCTCCATTTTTAACGGCGAAAATGGAGTCTTCTGTTGTTTGGTTTACTTGATTATTATTACTATTACCACTTTCAGCACTGCCATCGACTTTACTAGCTCCATTTTTAACGGCGAAAATGGAGTCTTCTGTTGTTTGGTTTACTTGATAATTATTACTACTACCACCTTCAGCGCCGCCATCTAACTGACTAGTTTCATCTTTATTGCTTATGGAGTGTTCACTTGATTGACTACTACTTCCAATTGGATGGAAATCACTGGTTTTTGACATTTTCGAATTGGAAGCCTCTGATTGGAGGGCAGGAGTAATTCTGGAGAGTTCAACCCATGATGTATTGATTTGGACAATGTTTTTGTGGTTACACCTGGAGTGAATTTGAACCTCATTTAATGATTTTATGGTAAAATCCGCTTTCTTTATGGCACAAACTTTGTTTTCGCTGAACTTAGAGCACAAGTATACCTCTCCAAATGACCCTTTGCCAATAGGTTCCATTGGTGTATACTGATGATCTCTATCGGTGATAGGATATTTTGTTTCTTTTTCAAAGATCGACGACAATCTTTCCCAATGCATTTTCTGTGCAAGTTGTTTGTCGTTAATATGGGTAACAATAATAGAAGGTTGTTGTGATGTTGGAAGTAGTTGTTCGAGCTGTTGTTGCTTTTGTTGTAGTTTTAGTTGTCTAGTTGTTTCCATTGTTGTTGTTGTCGTCATTATAGTTGTAGTTGTGGTTTTAGTCGTCGTCGTTGTTGTTGTTGTTGTTGTTGATACATTATTATGGCTATGAATGTGACTATCTTGTGGTTCATCACTATCGATAACCTTTTCTCCACCTAGTACACCAGAAGTTGATGGATGGTCTGTTGTTGACTCCATACTTATCGATATAGTAACAAAGTAGATTCTTATGATTTAGGAGTGGTATTATTCTGGTTGGCATCGGAGTTTTCATCAGTTTTTTTCTATCATATAAAAGAATTGGATAAAAAGAGAATTAAATTTTAAAACGCTAGTAACGTAACAAAATATAAATATATATATATATATAATTGTTTAAAAAATTATACCAATAATAAATAAAAAATAAATTTATGAACATACATCCCTGTGACTTCACACACTTTACTTTTTTTTTTTCAATTATTCTATTTTTTATTTTTAATTATTGTTTGTTATTAAAATTTTATTCTTTTTTTTTGTTTTTTTTTTTTATAATAATAATTTTTTTTTTATTTTTTTTGTGTTGGTGTTGAAACGACACAATTGTGTTATGTTAAAACTACGATAGTGATGAACAACATCAACAGCAATGATACTATAGAAGAAATACCACCCCCACCAGACCCTCCCGAGCCAGATGAATGTTGTGGTAGTGGCTGTACAAGATGTGTATATGATCTATATGAAATACAATTAGAGCGTTACAATCAGATGAAAGAAAAAATAATAGAAAAGAATAAATCAATATTAAAACAACAACAACAACAAAACCAAAAAGTAAAGACTGATAATGAAAATCATATAGTTGAATCATTAAATAGTATTAATATTAAAGATAATAATATAAAAAAAGAAGAAGAAGAAGATAATGATGAAGATAATGATGATATTAAAATAGAATATTTAGGAGATGATAATATTGCAGCTAGGGAATATAAAGGTTTTATATGTGAGAAGCTAAGATATGGTAGAATAACATCGAGTAGTAGACGATTGACAAGTAGCGATTCACCAGAGCAAGTCTATCACATGGAAATAGAAACGAATGAACCTATCGAATATGAACCAGGTGACTACATCAATATACTATGTCCACAGGATTCAACAACAGTAGATAAGCTCATAAAGAAATTGAAACTAAAAGATAATCAAATCATTACAATTAAACAACAACAACAACAACAACAACATCAACATCAACAACAAAATAATATTAATAATAATAAATCATTATCATCAACACTTTCACTACCATCAATTATATCTATTAAAGATCTATTTACATGGGTTCTAAATATATCATTCGTTCCACCACAATTCTTTTTAAATCAAATGTCAAATTTTTGTAATGGTAAGTTGTTGAATATATATATATATATATATTAGTTGATATCATATTGTATTCATTTATAAATTCTAATAAACCTGATTGAATAACTTTTAAAATAATTAAAGACAAGAATGATAAAGAGAAACTATTATATCTATCTAGCAGAGCTGGTACACCACTTTATAATGAAACGGTAGTTCAACACCATATTGGATTCCCTACACTCTGGAATAAGTTTAAATCGTTTCAACCAACAATGGAATTCTTAATTCTCAACATACCTTCACAAAGCATGAGACAATATTCTCTTGCAAACTCACCTCTTAATCAATCTCAAGACAACATTGCACATATAACTTTTAAATTAGTTGTAAAAAATAAGAGTAATAATAATAATAATAACAATAGTAATATAAACTATGGACAATGTACATATTGGATGTATCGTTTAATAGATTCATTAGATAATAATAATAATAATAATAATAATAATAATAATAATCATAATAATTTAATTATACCATTCGAAATCAATCATTCACAACATTTCAAATTACCAGATGATTTGAGTGTACCTTTAATATTGATATCAACGGGTACAGGTTTGGCTCCGTTCCGTGCGTTTCTTCAACATCGGTGTCATTTGATAAAGGTGAACGGTGACAAGCATATTGACCATCAGAAACTTGGACAGTGTTTGTTGTTCTTTGGATGTAGACGTAAGGATTGGGATCTTCTCTATCATGATGAACTACTAGAGTTTGAAAAGGACCGAACCATTACCAAGCTGTTCATTTCCTATTCGAAACCGGTGGAACCCGCGCTCACCGAGTCGAGTAAAGGTCGACGCTACATCAACTACCACATCGAAGAGAATGGCGAGCTCATTTACAATCTGGTAACAAAGAAACGTGGTGTCATCTATATATGTGGTTCATCCGAAGGCATTGGTAAATCATCAATACAATCGATACTCAATATAATTAAAAGATATAATAAATTGCAAAACAACAACAACAACAACAACAACAACAACAACAACAACAACAACAACAATAACACGAGTAGTAGCAATAGCAACAACATAAATGTTGAAGATGAAAAGACAATTTTAAATCAGTGGAAAGAAAATGGTCAACTTAAAATGGATATTTACAACTAGCAAAAGATTTGCGAATATCATGATTACCAGACTCTGTATCGTTAATAATATGGATGAAAAAAAATAAAAATATTGATGATATATTTTTTTAGAAATTTAAGTTTGCAAAACAAAAAATTAAACTTGCAAGTTTCGAAAACTTTAACAACAACAAAACTACACCCAATTATTATTATTATTAGAGCAAATAACCTCACCCCATCATTTGAAAGTGAACAATCAAGTTTAACCCACAAAATTTAAATTATTTATTGTCACAATTTCCATCAATTTTCAATTTTTTTTATTTTTTTTTATTCAATAACCAACAAACAATCACTTCAATTTTTTAAACAAACATTATTCATTTCTTCTACATCGCAAAATCAATTGAATTAATACATCCATTATCTCAATTGTTCTTTTTTCTTCCAAGCAATACTTTGTTGACAATAAACACATAATTTCTTTCTTTTCTTTTTTTATTTTTTGTTAATATTTAATTTATTTTGTTAAACTTTTTATCAAATATATATTTTAATAAAATCAAACTTTTTTATTTATTAACAAAACATAAAAAAAAAAAAAAAAAAAACCTATCTATCTATTTTTCTATTGCCAATTTATTTTTTTATTTGTATTTTGTCTAATCATTTAAAATATAATTATTTATATTAATACAAAAGATATATATATAAATAATTTTATTAATTAATCATTAGATTCTGTATAAATATATAAATAAATAACATTTTAATAAAAAATAATTGATAGATCTTTAATCATCTTCATCAGTCATCATTATCTTAGATTAGTTATAAAAACATTTATTATTTTTAAACCAAAATAAACATCCTTCAAGAAATTTCAAAATTTAATTAAACAAAGTCCGATCAAAAAAGGTCAGTTTCAAATGAGGAAAACTTTTTATTTTTTCAAAACATAATTTTTTAAATTTTTTTATTATTTTCATTACAAGCTTCAATCAAGAATATTAAATTAACTTTTTTTCATTTCTAATGTTTGTTTAATATGTTACTTGTTTGTCATTCAATTTCAAATGTATTTTGAAATTTATTTGTGTTTAGATTAGTACTATAGATTAGATTATATATTCGAACCAATTCTGCATCATAGTTTTATAGTAGTATTACAATCAAATAGCAAACAATGGGTCCAAAACATAATCGTGGAGGCAAATCACCACAAGGTGGTCAATCTCACCAACAACAACAACAACAACAGCAGCAGCAACAACAAGCACCTCCACCAGTCCAACAACAAGCACCTCCACAGCAATCGGCATGGGGTAAACCACCTGGTTTTGATCAACAGTCGTCGCCTGCTGGTGGTGGCGGACAACGTGGTGGAAGAGGTGGAGGAAGAGGTGGCAGAGGTGGACAACGTGGTGGTGCTCCTGCTGTCCGTGAACAACATCAACAACCTGAGCATGAAGAAGAGGTGAAATGGACACCGACACCAACTACAACCACTACCACAACAACCACAACAACCACTCCCTCTACTCCGACACCATCTCCACAACCAGTGGCTGCTACTGGTGGCTGGGGACAAGGTGGTGCCGCTGCTGTCATCAAATCTGCATGGGGACAGCCACCACCCATCCAAGCAGCTGTCTCTGCACCACCAACTACAACCTCTGTCCAACAACCAGCTTCCACATCAACAACCACCACAACTACAACAACAACTACTTCCTCATCATCATCTTCTTCTTCTTCTTCTGCTGCTGCTGGTGGCAGACAAGGTAGAAGTAGAGGAGTTAGAATTGAGGATATTGATGTTCAAGGTTTGGCTATCAAAAAGTCTGGTGTTGAACCATCAGCTCAACAAGCAATACAATTGATTGTCAACCAATTCCCATTGACTTTTAAAAGTCAAAAGTTATTCCAATATGCTGTTGATTTTACTGTAAGTTTATTTATAATTCATTTTTAACTCTGGATAATCCTCTAATTTTCATTGTTTTATTTTCAATTAAAATAATTTTAGCCAGCTGTTGACAATCGTACAACTAAATACGATATGTTGCAATCGATCGTTGATCAAATTGGTTTGTTCCAATATGATGGTGTAGGTGTTTTGTATTCAACCAAAAACAATCCAACCCAATCATATAAACTTGCCGGTAGTCAAACAATTCAAATCCAATACGTAAAGGAAATCACCAAGAATGATCCTGCATCCATCCATTTCTATAATATTTTATTTAAAAGAGTAAGTTTGGAAAATAATTTATAATTATAAGTATGTGTACTAACAGTTCTTTTGATAATAGTTTATGAGAGAGATGGGATTCTCTATTATTGGTAGACAATACTTTAGTAGTCAGAAAATTCATAGTATCCCACAGCACAACCTTGAAATTTGGTCTGGTTTCTTCACATCGATCAACTCTATTCAAGTTGGCACTTCGCTTTTGGCTGATGTCGCTCACAAGGTGGTTAGAACTCAACCAATCAATCAATTGATTCAGGATAAACTTGCCAATCGTGCTACCAATGCCGATATTGAAAATCTTTTGATTGGAAGTATTGTCATCACCAAGTACAACAACAAGACCTATCGTGTAAGTGGTATCGCCTGGAACAAGACACCAAAAGATAAGTTTGAATCTAGCAGTGGTCCAATCTCATTCATTGACTACTACAAAAACAACTATCCAAAACACAAGGTCACCAATATGAACCAACCATTGTTGGTCTCTGATGTCAAACATAAAGGAGCAGTCGAAAGGATCTATTTGATTCCGGAGCTCACTTTCCTCACTGGTATGTCCGATGAGATTACAAGCAACCGTCACATTATGATGGATCTATCGAAACACACCAACACAGAGCCAAGATCGCGTATGGAAGAGCTTACCAATTTCATTTCGACCATGAGAACACACCCCAAGATTAAAGACACCATTGAAAAGTGGGGATTCAATCTCGGTGAACCACTAAAGGTCGATGGTTTGAAACTTCAAGATCCTGCTATTGTACAATCGTTGAACCAACTCAAGGGACAACGTTGGTTGGTGATATCTGGCGATCGTGATCTAGATGTCGCCAGAGAGTTCTCTGACAAGTTGTGCAAACTGTCGTCACTTGCCAAACCCGATATCATCCAAGTTGAAGGAAAGGTATTCGATGCCAAAGCTTGGTCTGAAACCATCAAGAAAAACCTTGGTAAAGGCTACATCTTCTTCTTTTGCCTTATTCCATTTGGAAAAGCAGACGTTTATGCTGCCATCAAAAAGAGTACACTCACTCAGTTCAAAGCAATCACTCAATGTGCTTATGCAAAGACACTTGGAATCACCGGAATGGCAGTGGCCAAGAAGATCCTCCACCAATTGATTGCCAAGCTCGGTCGTAGTCCATGGAGTATCTCCAATCCAGTCTACAAGATGCCAAAGCATACTATGATCGTAGGAATCGATGTCGGTCACAATTCCGATCAGAGAGGCAAGTCGGTCGTCGGTTTCTGTGCATCGATCGACTCGGAATACTCGCTCTATCACACCACAGCCATTGTCCAGTCCACTCCGGGCAAGGAGATTGTCGAGTCGTTGAGACCATCGATGAAAGGTGCACTTCAAGCATACCTCAAGAAGAATCAAAGACTGCCAGACGTCGTCATTGTCTATCGTGACGGTGTTGGTGATGGTATGCTCGACCTCGTCAAAAAGTATGAGATCTCAGCGATCAAAGAGGCATTCAATGACATTCCATCGATTCACGGTCTTCATCCAAAGCTGATCTACACCGTCGTCAAGAAGAATACCAACTCGAGATTCTTTGACATCAGAAATAACTATGGCAATCCAGTTGCCGGTACCCTCGTGGAAAAAGGTTGCACTCATGCCAATTGGTACGATTTCTACTTGGTGTCACAAAAGGCGCCAAAAGGTTGTGTCAATCCAACGCACTACCACGTCATCCATGACGAGTCTGATATACCTGCCAGTACATTCCATCTATTCACCTACCATATGTGTTATATGTATTACAACTTTGATCAATCCGTACGTGTACCAGCTCCATGTCAATACGCTCATAAATTGGCATTCCTCATTGGTCGTACTGTTCACGCGCAAGTCGCCGAGGAACTCAGTCTCAACTTGTATTTCCTTTAAGAAATAAATAAATACAAAACAATCTCTAAAATCAAATATGCTAAATTTTTTTCAATGATAGTGAATATAAGATAAATTTATGTTATTAATTTATTTTTTTTTAATTATTTTTTTTTAAATTTAAAAAGTGCGCCTTTTTTTGAATTTTTTTTTAAAATGCATTTGATTGCTTGGCTCAATAGTCAGTTAGTTTTCTAGAATTTATTTATATTATTATTATTGTTTATTTTATATAATTGATAGTTTGTTTTACAGGTTTATTTATATTTATAAATATAGGAGAATCTTTATTAATTTAATTAATAATAAAGTGAGAGAATATAGTATAAATAAAATAAAATAAACAATGACAACTACAAGATCGAGTAGAAAGAAAACATCAGCAGTATCGAAATCGCTGGAATCTCTAAAGAGAGCTAAAGCCGGTGAGGAAAAGAGAACTGATCAAATCTCTGAAGATGAAGAAGAAGATGATCAACAAATAGAGAGCGAGGATGATCTTCAAGATAAGATTGAAGAAGTAGACAAGAAAAGAAAAGATAGAGATTTCGTTGTTGATGATGGTATGTATTATCATTCTGTTAATATCATTTAACAACTTGTTTTGATTAACTTTTTGCAAATTGAAATTTAGATGGATTTGGATATGGAGAGAGAAGTGATGCCGAAGAGGAAGAAGACGATTACTCTGGTGAAGAGGCAGAGGTTGCCAATTCCAGACGTTCATTGAAGAAGAAGAAGACCGATGCCAATTCAAAGTCAAAGAAGAAGAATGCTGCAAAGTCAAAGGACGATAAGAAGGATGATAAGCAAGCTGCTGCCACTGCTGCTGCCACCAAGAAGAAAGATATTCCAGAAGCCAATAGAATGGATCAATTCTTAAATAGAGCATCGGCAAAGACTGGATCTTCAACATCCACAACATCCACTACTTCGTCGTCCAACTCTAAAGCATCAACAACTACAACAACAACATCAAGTTCAACATCAACAACATTGGTAAGTAACTTACAATCAAGTTCAGAAAAACAGACACTCTTTCTAACTAAAACAATTGATTAAACTTATAAAAGGGTGAAAGATTACAAAAGGCAAATGCAGCAAAATCAAATAATGAAGATGAGTTGGAATTGTATCTAAATGATTTACAAGCCAATCCAAATGCTGATATGGATATCGATTCAATCGAAGAACAAAAGCATCAGTTGGAGATGGCAAAACAAAAGGAACAAGAAGAGGCTGCAGAGAAGCAAAGATTGGAGGAAGAAGCTGCTGCTACTGCTGCAAGAGAAGAGGAGGAGGAGGAGCAACAGAAAGCAAAAGTAAAGGAAGAAAAACAAGAAGATCTTGATAATAATAATAATAACGAAGACTCTGAACCAGTAACAGATTCAACAACAACTACAACAATTGACGATATCAAGAATGAAGATAATGGTGATGTAGATTTCGAGTTTGATTTCGAAGAAGAACAACAACAACAACCACAACAAAAATCACAACCAAAGAAATCAGCAACATCCAAGAAGAATGCAGCAATTGCCAAGCCTCTAGCATCAAACAAACCCATTAAGCTCTCTTTAATTTCACCAAAGACATCCACTAATGATTGGTGGGGCAAAGCTGGATCAATCGAACCAAAGTTGATTGAAAATCTCATAGTTAAAGATAGTAAGTCTTAACAAGATAAAACACAACACTCTATTCAATTATTAATATATATATATTAATCTAATTTATTTGTATAGTGTCAAAAATAACAACAACAACAAAGAATGAATTACAATTCTATTATTTAACTGCATCGGAAGAGAACAATGGAAATATCTATTTGTTTGGAAAGGTTCGTTCGGTGGAGAACAACGTTGAGACTTTCAAATCTTGTTGTGCAATCATTGAGGGCATGAAGAGAAATGTGTTCCTGCTACCAAGAGACTATATCTTGGATGATAATGGAGAGCCAACTACAAAGGAACCGAATGAACAGTTGATTCGTGCCGATGTCACAAAGTTGATGAACTCACAGAAAATCACTGGTTGGACACTGAAACCTGTCGAGAGATCAATCTGTTTCGACTACAAAGTGGAGGGCAAGAACCAACCACCCGGTAAATACAAACTCTGGAAACTCTGCTATCCAGCCGCTTTCTCTGCACTGAAGAACGAGTTGACCGGATCCACCTTCCAGGCTGTCTATGGCGTCACCTCCAGTCCACTAGAGCTGTTCTTGCTAAAGAAGAAGATCATGGGACCAAGCTGGCTGTCGTTGGCTGACTTTAAACCTGCTCTGTCTATGAGTGAAAAGACTTCGTGGTGTCGACTGGAGGGTAAGGTCGACAGCTACAAAAAGGTGAAGCCTGTTGCCGCCAGTGAGCAAATGCCGTCGCCACCCGTTGTAGTAATGTCGCTCAGCACCAAGTCGTTGAATAGTGCATCGAATCCAGAGATATTGATGGTCAGTATGGTTGTCAACGAGTCGATATCGATAGACGGTGCGACCACCGGTGCTAACCAGTCACGCGTTAAATACCACACTGCACTGCGTCATCTTAACAAAGAAGTACTGCCACACGATTTCAACCAGAACAAACAGAATCTCAAGGTTTTCGTTAAGGAACATGAATTGCTCAGTCACGTTGCCAACATGATCATGACAGTCGATCCAGATGTCTTGGCTGGACACAACATCACCGGATTCGACTTGGATATCCTACTGCATCGTATGAAAGATCTAAAGGTGATGGACTGGTCATACATTGGTAGATTAAGAAGAAGAGAATTCCCAAGACTCAGTTCCAATATTGGATCATCCGAGAATCAATACCAGGAGCGACAGGCCGTCACTGGACGTCTCATATGCGACAGTTACCTACTCTGCAAAGAGTTTCTCCAAAAAGAGAAATCATTTAAACTCGTTGAAATCTGTAAGACACAACTCAACATTGATAAAGAGGAAATCAATTATTTAAGAATTGAATTATATTATCAAAGTTCAACAAAGTAAGTAAATTATATGAAAAAAAAAAATCTTATTTTTATTAATTAATTCTTTTTTTTTTAGGTTAAATACATTAATTGATTTAAATGAAAATGATTGTCATGTTATCTTTTTACTCATGTTTAAATTGTCATTCTTGCCATTGACCAAACAATTGACAAACTTGGCCGGTAATCTTTGGAATAGATCACTTGCTGGAAATAGAGCAGAGAGAATCGAGTATTTATTGTTGCACAATTTCCACGCCGAAAAGTTTGTCTTGCCCGATAAGATCTTTAGCAAAGACAAAGATTTCGGAAAGAAGAAGGCAGCGTACAGTGGAGGTTTGGTACTTGATCCAAAGGCCGGATTCTATGACCGTTATGTTGTGTTGCTGGATTTCAATTCGCTGTATCCATCGATTATCCAGGAATACAATGTTTGCTTTACAACAATTGAAAGAAAGCTACGTGAAGATGGCAATCGCTCTATTAATGGTGGCTATGAATCGGCGCAACCTCCTGCTTCTTCGGTATCGCGTGGTATTCTCCCAACGGTTCTCCAACGACTGGTAGCCAAGAGAAGAGAGGTAAAGCGTTCGCTTGCCAGCGAGAGCAATGAAGAGTTGAAACAGCAACTCGATATCAAACAACAAGCCATCAAGTTGGTTGCCAATTCGATGTATGGTTGTCTTGGTTTCAAGAGTAGCAGATTCTATGCGTTGCCACTGGCAGAGTTGGTCACCCGTAAAGGTAGAGAGAATCTACAAAAGTCATCGGAAATCGCTGGTAGAATGAACTATGACGTGGTGTATGGTGATACCGATTCGTTGATGATCAACACTGGTGTATCCACCTATAACGAAGCAGAGGCAATCGGTTTCGAAATTAAGAAAAAGGTGAATGAACAATACCGTGGAAGTGTCATGGAGATTGAGTTGGATGGAATCTTTAAGAGACTGTTGTTGTTGAAGAAGAAGAAATACGCTGCCCTCATTGAAACAAAGAAAGCCGGTGTTTGTTCGACCTTCATTCAAAACAAAGGTATCGATATCGTCAGAAGAGATTGGTGTGGTGTAACCAAAGAGATTGGAAATCATCTACTCTCCTTGATCATGTCGCCAGACGACAACGTTTCCAATAACCTCCAATTTGAAATCAAGGAATACGTTGAATCAATGGCGCAAAAGATGAGATCGTTCGAGGTGCCAGTGGAGAACTTTGTCATTACAAAGACCTTGAGCTCTGCACCTGAGGATTACAACGATGGAGACTCTCAACCACATGTACAGGTTGCTCTCCAGTTGAAGGCCAAGGGTGAGGTCGTCCAACAAGGTGACCAAATCCCATATGTCATTGTCAAGGGCGAAGACGATTGGGCAAAGCGAGCACGTCATCCAAAGGAACTTGAGAATGACGCATCACTCATCGATTTGGATTGGTATCTCTCTCAACAGATTCTACCTCCACTCTATCGTATGGTAAGCCTCCTCGATGTTGAGGAAGAGAAGCTGGCAACCTTTTTGGGTATGAGTACGAGAAAGTACAGAGCCAACAAACCAAAACATCAAGAAGATGAGGAGTTCACTATCGACAATGAGATCTATCGTTCATTGGACTCTGACGCTCGTTTCTCCAGCTGCACCAGACCGGAATTCAGATGTGCATTTTGTAAATCACTTACGCAATTCAAGGGTATTACCGTAGTCAGTGACAAGCCAATCTGTTTGGCAATCGAAGGACTGACATGTTCCAATCAGGCTTGCAAACAACCACTCTCACCAAGCATTATCAAGAATCAACTGAGCCTGATCCTAAGAGCCAACGTCAAGCAACACCAAGACTACGCAATGAGATGCACAGAGTGTCGATCGGTATCCAAAGACTATCGTAGAAGTGATAATATCAAATGCATAGATCCATATTGCAATGGTAAGATGGAGCAATTGGTAAAATCCGAACAGATTCTCAAACAACTAGAATATTTCCAACGTCTTTTCTCTGTCAAGCATATCAAAGAGCGCTTTGACAATATTGAAGAACACTTGGATGTTCAACAGATCAAACTGCTTAATGAATTGGAAGCACAAGTAAGCAATCTACTCAACAGACATAAAGGAAGTACCTATGAAATCAAATCCATTTTCCCTAATACTCAAATTGGTCAACGCTATTTCGAAAGAAAACCATGGTTAAAGAATAATATCTAAATAACAAACAAATAATTAAATATAATAATAATAAATTTGTCTGATCTGTAAGATTAACATTTTATCGAGAGACAAATTATTTTAAAAACAAATGTAATAAATAAATTATCAATAAAAATCAACCAATTATTTTAATGTAATTACATATTTATTTTACGTATGTTTTCAACTTGAGCTGATTGCGAAGGAGCACAATGAATACGAAGACGACTAACACCACCATCTGGATAAATATTTAATCGGATGTGAGTCAATGTTTTATCGGTGTCTTTGAGCTCTCTTTGGAAGAGATGTCTGTGATGACCGGTGAGAGCTGTGTTTGGTAAGATCTCTGACCATTGACCGGTTGGTACATCGTTTTCGGAATCAGAGTAGATACCATCGATGGAGCATGAAGTTGGGAAATTACCCTTGAACCAATTGGTATCGACTTCTACACGCTTGACACTTCCAGAGGCACCGAGCTTGACAACCAACCAATCGTAACCTTCACCACGTCTACGCTTGGTCTCCCAACCGTCACCCATATTGACAGATCTACCTGGCATAATAATGTTGTTCTTGTTACCGAAATACATGTCACTGCAACCCACTACGATTCCACCGTTTTCAATTGCAGCTAAATCGACCAACTCTCCTGGGATAACCAATGACCAGTCCTTGGAGACCTGACCATAGACTCTGAGTCTGGCAACACCACCGTCTGGGTAGATCTTGAAACGCAAATGAGTCCAACGCTTTGAAGAATCAATGGCAAAGTATTGCTTGCATCCAGGTCCCAAATTTGACTTTGCCAAGACTTCGAACCATTCATTGCTGGCCTCTAATTTCTTGGCGGTTGGCTCACTGTCATCACAGATTGCCTCGATCGATGCAAATGGGGGATAGTTACCGGTGAAGAAAGCGGTATCAATCTCGAAACCTTTGATAACACCAGACATTCCTAACCTAAGAATACACCAATCATAAGTTGGATTATGTCTTCTTGTCTCCCAACCGTCCTTTAATGATTTGTTAGATAAACTAATAACCAATAACTTTTTCAGCTTAAAGTAGTTACTTACCATCCATTTGCCAGTATCTACATATTTACCTTCAGCCCAAATAGGAGCAACATTACTGATTAAGTTTACACATGGAGCAAACCATTGGTCACTGCAACTCAAAACTTGTCCACCGACTTTGTCTGAAAGTAACTCTGCGTAGTTCTTTACAAAGTCTGGAAGTGAATCTAAATTGACTTGGGTATGTACCATATTTATATTACAATTTGATATAAAATTAAATTAAGATTTAGATAGAAATAAAAAAAAGATATTATTATTATTAAGATTGTATTTTTCAAAAAAAAATTTGACAAATTAAAATGAATTGAAGATTGATTGTTTTTAGAATTGCAAATTTTAATTAAAAATTAATTAAATTTAATACAATATTTTTTAGATCTGATATTATTGTAATCTACCAGAGACCAAAAAAAAATAAAAAATTTCCCATTCCGGGTTAAATATGAATCTGGTCATATTCAATATTTTTTGAACTGATCATTCTTTGTTTTACAAAGTCTCTTCTCTTTTATTGAATAAAACTCAAACTTAATCTTTTCAGGTATATTCTTATTCAGTTAATCAAAAATATACAATAACACTTTTATTAGAAACTTTCAAATCTTAAATAGTCAATAATATATTATAACATATATATTTTAAATTATTTTGTTTGATCTTTAAGTTAACTGATAAAAAAATTTTTAAGGAAAATATACTCTTATCTTTTATTTTTTATTCATATAAATCAAAACTCTTTTTATTATCTTTATTTTATGTATTCTAGGATTTTAAAAATATTTTGACCGTCAGTGATTCGACGGATCTATTCCGTAGTTCAGCTTAGGAATAAGTATTCCTAATAATTAATTTCATTGTGACAGGTGCATATCATAACTGATGGATTGACCTATATCGTTGAAAACATTTTCAAACTCATCTTTTAAAAATATTAATAAATATCATGAATATTGAAAATTGTAAATAACTTACCTCACTAGTTGATTATCGCAATCAATAGATTTGATTAACTTGTTTTGGTCAATATTGTTTAAACAATCCAAAATATAGTTAAAGTTGCTTCACCATCTCAGTTACATTGAGTACTTCTGAATAAACTCTGAATATTTGCATCTGGAAGAATTCCTCGGTAGAGTTTTATTTATCTTCCATTTATTGAAGACTTTTATAGCATCTTTAATTTTCTTTCTAAAAAAAAAAACAGTTGTTAGATAGCCAATGATTCAAGTCCAAATAAAGATGTTAGAGACAGAATGAAATTTTATAGTATGTTGTATCAATATTTAATTAATGTTGTAATGAATGACGATAACTGTGAACGGACTAATAAAACATTTATAATTTGAATATTTTCAATTCTCCAAAATATTTATATATTTCTTGAAACAAATACAGAAGAAACAGATATATGAATATCTTGTAAAAATAAAAGGCTTTTAAAGTGAAACTATTCAAAAAAGCTCAAAATTGTTGAAAAAATATTTTGATTGTGGGGTATTTGAAAAAAATGGGGTTTTTTCAGGTGATGGAAAACAAAAGATACAGATAAATCTGGATATTTGATTATCTTTTACAAATAAAAGAGTTTATTATAATAAAAGTATCAACCAGGTTTACTCTCCGATGATATTTCTTTCACTTACATAGATACCGTCTAAGAACTTTCTTACGTCCTTATACTTAATGACGGATCTGAGTTGAATATTGGCGCAAGATTGTGAAAGTTTCTCGAGATCGTTACCAACGAGGACGATTTCGTCCTTGACTTTCTCAGTACGGGTACAGGTGACACCCTCAAGCAAAGGAATACGACGGACGATCTTCTCACCGAAGAAATTACGAATTTCGACGACCTTTCCAGCGTCAGTAATAGCAACATTGATTGGGAAATGTGCATATACGAATCTCATCTTGTATTCGAATCCCTATAAATTTTATAAATAGGTTGTTTGATGAGTATGGTGTTGTCTAAAGAGTTGATGATTGTAACCTTACCTTGGTAACACCAGTGATCATATTTTCGATGTGACTGGCAACGGTTGAGATGGCAGCGATTTGATCACGAGTACCGAACCAAAGATCGATGAGGACAGTCTTCTTGTGAAGGTTGATGTCGACTGACATGTGGTTGAAGTCACGCTTCAAGGTACCACGTGGACCAGTGACCTTGACAGAACGTCCTTTAACAGCAACGGTGACTATATAGATAATAATAAATAGAATTAGTTTCCAATTTAATGTCGAGCTAGAGGTGAAATGATGGTGAAAGTGAGTTTCTGAATCTGTCTTCGCTAATCTGTATCGCTTCGCTGTATCTGCTGTTGAGTGTGTAGAATAGTGGTGTGTGTAGTGTAGATGCCATACCTCCTGCTGGAATATCAACAGTCTTTGAGGATTTGATAACTTTCATGAGGGGCTTGTCTGTAGGAAAAGAGTGAAAAGAAGATTATAGTATATCTTGAATACTGCTGACAAACACAGGCGCAAGGCAAGACGATGCGACCACTCAAACCAAAAGTGAATTTTTATTTTTTTCAATTTTTATTCATTTTTTGCAATATCAAAATCCGAACTTTCAAAAAATTTTAGATTTAACATGAAAAAAATTATTTTTGCTCACAAAATTTACTTACACTTTCTATAATAATAATTATTGAAATGTTCAAATGTATAAACATCTTATTAAAATGGGAATATCAAGTAAATTGAATCATTAAGTATTAATTTAAAGTTAAGTTGTTTGTAAATTCACCTAATTTACTTTTATACTAAGACACATAGATATATGTTTGATATTCAAAGTCAAGTAAAGTAGCAAAAGTATTATTAAAGAGTCAACTAAATTAAACAGACAACTTAACTTTAAATTAAATACTTCAACTTTGCCAGACATAAAAAAGTTGTATATACAACTTTTTTTAGTTGAATTTTTATTTTTTTTAATCGATTAACCTAATTAGTCATAAGTTGTTGCTGAGCGAAATTTCTTTTTATAATTTTTATTTTGATTTTTTTATTTTGTTTTGTTTTATTTTATTATATTTTTTGAACAAACTGCATATTTTATCATTTTTTGAGATTTCTTACTTTCTTACTAGATATTGAACTGACGACTACAACTATTAAGTTTTCAATCATTCATTTTTGTAGTTGTATTGTGTGTTTTAAAACTTTTTATACATATTTTTTATAAAAAAAAAAAAAGTACAAAATTAGTAACACTATCATTAATATCAGTTCATTTTTTTGTTTTCTCATTCTCATTTTTATTTTTAATATATATATCTGTCTTGTATTATAATTTTTATACTATATATATCATACTTTTTTTTTTTTTCATTCCTATCTTATTTATTTGAACAACATAATAAACAATCAATCACCGAATTCGAACAATATTTATAGATACACATTACATACTTTCGAAATAGTATCAATAAAAGATGATGATGATGAACAGATTCCGTATTTCTACAATAAGTAATTCAATCTTTCATAACAATAGATTTACGCAAACAACTACAACATTGCAATTCCGTTCTTATTCCACATTAAAGGTTCCATTAAGAGTTGCTATCGTTGGTGCTCCTGTATGTCTTTTTTTTTTTTTTTAATGAATCAATGAATCAGCTTTTTTTTTAAGCTAACTCACTCTACCAATTGTTAATAATATAGGGTTCAGGTAAAGGTACACAATCTGCAAAGTTAGAAAGAGACTATGGATTGAAACCAATTTCAACCGGTCAGATTCTAAGACAAGCTTCACAAGAAGATTCAGAATTGGGTAAAGATATCAAATCGAAATTGGATGCAGGTCGTATGTATCAGTTAATAAACTCTATTACAACTTATCATATAATCTATCTTATTTTAACATATCATCTTATTTCATTTTTTTTATAGAATTACTCTCTGATGAATTTATGTTTAAAGTTGTAAAAGAATATCTATCAAAGATTAATGTATGTATTTTATCTTGATAAATCAAACATATATAGTTATTAATGTTAAATTTATTATTAGACATATTTATTAGATGGATATCCAAGAACAACTCAACAAGCAGAGGATTTAGACAAGTGGTTAGCTGACAAACAGACACCCTTGGATTTTGTGTTATATTTAGATGTTCCAGAGGAGGTATTAATCGAGCGTATTCAAGACCGTTGGATCCATCCTTCGAGTGGACGTGTCTATAATTCGACTTATGCCAAACCAAAGGTACAAGGCAAGGACGATGTAACCGGCGAGCCATTGGTGCGTCGTTCCGATGACAACGAAGAAAAGAAGATCAAGGATCGTATCGAAACATACCACCGTGAGACCATGCCAATTCTCAAACACTACCAAAACAAAGGTAAATTGGTATCAATCTACTCACCAACCTCTGACGTAGGCTATCAATCGATCACCTCACTACTGAATCAATATTGTAGCAATGGTAAACAATTCATTACAAACAACAATAGTACAGCGGCCAACACTTCATCTTCTTCATCCTCCTCATCATCATCATCATCAACAACATTCCAAACTTCGACCAGCTCCACATCATCAGTAGGCGTAAAAACTTCACCATTTTAAAATTTAAAAAGAAAAAAAAATAATAAAATTAAAATTAATTACAATTAAAGAAATATATTATTATTATTTTTTTATTTTTATTTTTTAAATTTTAAAATCAAATAAAAAGATAATAGAGATTATATTTGGTGAATTGGTGTAATGTGGTCAAAAAGTTCACCTTTTTTTCTATTAAAATAAAACAATATGATTCCCAACTTTCACCAGGTCATAAATAAAAAAACATCAAGATATCTTTGAGTTTTTGAAAATGGAAAGTAACTTTCAGCCCACAATTCACCAATTGCACCAATTTTTTTTAAACCACTTTCACCAAAATCACAAAATTCGTATTTTCAACTATTTTATTTTAATTTTTTCAGTTTTTTTATTAAAAAAAAAAACGATAGATATCTGAAAGAATCAAAATTGATTTGCAAATTTTGTGAATTCACCACTGATCAACCTCCCTATTTCACCATAACAAAAAAAAAGAAAAAAAAAACAAAAAAACCCACCATTTGGTGGTGGGATTTTAACAAAAATAATAAAATCTAACACAGTTTGTGGGTATTTTTTCCAAAGTTTTCAAGTGAATGGGAGGGAGAAAATGAAGGTGATGTGGTAAAACTAGGATGGGGAGTGTGATTGGTGAGAAAGATTTTAAAAATAAACTTTTTTTTTTTTTTTCACAATCAAACCATTAAAATTAATTTTTTTTTTGATTTATTTTTTCACTGTTTGGTGAATAACTGGTGAGAGTGGGGAAAAACAAAAAGACAACTAGACACTCTCAACATTTCTATTCAGTTCACTTGTTCTTCTTCTTTCACACAACACACATACAAATACCTATTACCTGCCTACTAACCAATACACACATTGTTATACTACTATTACTTTTGTTCCTGTTGTTATAAATATATTTTTTATATAATAAATACACACACCATCTACACAAAACATAACAAACACGTTGTTATTCAAAAAAAAAAAACTAACTACTTTTTGTTTTTTTAATTGTTTTATTTATTTTGGTCAATCGATTACCAAATTCACCATTTATCTATAACAAATTTGATATACACTCTTGCTTCACTCCTGTTAACTTAACTGACCTCTTCACTCTAACGATTATATAAACAATTTATATATTCTATTTTTATTCTTTTGAATTAAATATTTTATTTATTTATTATATAAAAAAGTTAAAGCATTTTTATAAAGGTTTATTTGAAATTATAAAACCTTTAGTTATTTATTTATTTAAAAAACTATCTTTATATTCATTTTTTTTTCATTGGTTAAAAATAATCTATTAGATTATGGCAGCTGGTGCATCAAGTATCGTTAATGGATTGAATCCAGTAAACGATCCACTCGCTTTATTTATTATTCAATTATTATTAATTGTAATCATATCAAGATTACTTGGATATATCTTATCATATATTTATCGTAAGTAATCAATCGACCAATTAATCATCAACAAATTAATTAACAAGTAATTTTCTTTTCTTTTTCTTTTTTTTTTTTTTAGAACCACCTGTTATTTCCGAAGTTATTACAGGTATTATTTTAGGTCCATCAGTTTTAGGTTGGTCCGATGCATTTGAAAAAAATGTTTTCAGTCCTGGATCAGTAGCCATTCTCAATGTCATTGCCAATGTTGGTTTGATTTTGTTTATGTTTATGATTGGTTTGGAAGTGGATGCCAAGCTTTTGAAAAACAATGTAAAGATGTCTGTCATCATTTCATTCTCCTCGATTATTTTGCCATTTGCCATGGGTATTGGTCTTGCGGCTGTCCTCTGGAATGTCTTGGTTGAGGATACCACTATTTCCTTTGCATTGTTTGCTGTTTTTGTCGGTGTTGCCATCTCTATTACTGCTTTCCCAGTGCTCGCCCGTATTCTCACTGAGCGTGGTCTCATGAGTACCAAGGTCGGTTCAACCTCGTTGGCTGCTGCCTCTGTAGACGATGTCATTGCCTGGATTCTCCTTGCCTTTGTCGTATCGTTTGCCAAGAATATCGGTACTGGAAACGATGGAGTTGCATTCAAGTATGCCGCTCTCTGGACATTCTTATTGTTGATCGGTTTCCTTGTACTCATGTTCACTGTTGTACGTATTGGTCTCAATTGGACCTACCAACGTTTAGTCCGTACCGAGGCTCACAAGCACAACTATATCGTATTCTTATTAATGTTCATGTTCATCTCTGCCTTTTACACAGAGGTCATTGGTGTCCATGCTATTTTCGGTGCTTTCGTAGTCGGTGTCATGACTCCACGTACCAATGGTCTTCATTTGACCATCGTCGAGCGTATCCAAGATATTGTCACCATTATCTTGCTCCCATTGTACTTTACCAACTCTGGTCTCAAGACTCAGTTGTCATCGATCAACTCTGGTGCTGCTGGAGGTTGCACAATTTTGATTATCGTAGTTGCCTGTGTCGGAAAGATTGGTGGTGCCACTCTTGCTGCCAGATACTGTAAAAACTCATGGCGTGAGTCAATCACCGTTGGTTTCTTGATGAACACCAAGGGTCTTGTCGAGTTGATCGTACTCAACATTGGTTTGGAAATCAAAGTGTTGGACAGCCAAATGTTTACCATGTTTGTAGTGATGGCTTTGGTCACCACCTTTATGACCACTCCGTTTGTCCACTTGTTCTACATTAACCACATCGAGAAAAAGTCACGTCAACCAATGATTCCACGTGCCACCGGTAAATTCGACATCCTCTTGTATCCATCACAAATTCTCTCGGCCAGTTCTTTGGTTATGGTTGCCGGTTCAATCATTTCAGCCACCTCTGGTAACAAGAAGTACAAGGTTCGTTCCATCTATGCTGTCGAGGCATCTGGTGATCGTCCATCTACCATCTTTGGTAACAACGTGAACAACCTTCCACAAAACAAGCGTGAGCTCTATGAAGTCATCAATCGAGAATCGACATTGGCCAGTTTGACCGTCAAGCCATTGATTATCAACTCCACCGCCGATATCTCTAACGATATTTGTACAGTTGCCAGACGTCAATGGCCAGATTTGGTTTTGATGAGTGTCGGAAACAACAATGAACATATCTCTGGTGATAATGTTGGTGTTGACTCTTTGCTCTACGGTAGAACCATTCAAAAGGTTCTCCAAAATGTAAAGTCTGCCGTCGGTATTGTCGTTGACAAGGGTATCGATAAGTTCAACAAGAGTCACACCATCTTGGTCATGTACACCGGTGAGGATTACGAAAGCGATGCAATCACATTGGTCATGAAGATGGCCAGAAGAAAGAACTACACCGTCCACGTTGTAACCAACAAGGTCGATAAAGTACGTCAATTGGTTTCATCAAACGATAAGTTGGATGTCGGTAGATTTGTATTCATCGAGAATTCAAGCCCATACCAAGAGGTATTACAACGTTCAAGAAACGAAGACCACGATTACTGGATGGTTGTTGCCGGTCTTCCAAGAGAAGAGGTTACCATTCCAGAGAAACTCATGCAAACTTCCATATATACTTTATTCTTTGTGCATCCATCCAACACTTTATTAGACTCCCACACCTCACTCCAAAAGAGTTCATCAACTCTCCATTTACCAGATGCCAATCATTATAACGAAACAAAAGATACCATCGAATTAAATTCATATGAACATGGTGCTATTTAAATTAAATAATATATATATATAAAAAATAATAAATTAATGTAGATAATCAATTAATAAGATATATTTTTTGATTAATCTAAAAAATCAATAACAATTTTTTACAAAAAAAATCTCTTTAAAATTTTTGATTAGTCCTTTTTTTCATAAAATTCCAACATGTCAGAAAAAATAGATAATTCAATTAAAAAACAGATAAAAGATTCAGAACATATCATTAAAGTGTTACATAATAATTCAAAAGGTTCTACAATATATTTAGTTGGATGTAGTCATATATCAGATAAATCATCAAAGGCTGTTCAAGATTTATTAGATATAGTAAAACCAGATACTGTGTTTTTAGAGTTATCAGAAGATAGAAAAGATCATCTGACGATAAGTGATGAGCAAGTAAAGGCAGAACTTGAGCGTACTCCTAGGATACGTTGGTTTAGCAGTGATCTTTCAATCTTTTTGTTAAGTACAGTCGCTACATTCTATCATTATTCTTCTAAAATCACAAAATATACAAGTGGAGAAGAGATGAGAACAGCTTTTAAATATGCAAAAGAGAATAAGTGCACTGTTGTTTTAGGTGATAGAGATCAAATTCGTAAGTATTAAAACTTTATAAAAAACATTCAATCTATCCATTATTAACTTTTGATCAAATAATAAAAATATATTTGCAGAAAGTTGGACAAAAGCTGTAAATTCAATTGATGGTAAATCATTGTTGAAAATCTATAAATCATTATGTGGAGTGGCCTATTTAGTCAATAAATCAAGTGAATCAGAGATAAGACAGTTGCTTATAAAATATAAAGAGGATTTAGATGATTTGTCAAAAGGTGCAGATTTTGATTTGGATTTCTTTAAAGACTATCCAACACTCTATAAAATTCTAGTCAATGAAAGAGATAGATACATGGCGAGCACACTTCGAGACTCTCCAGGTAAAACTATTGTTGGTGTGGTCGGTAGAGCTCATTTACCAGGTATAGCAAAACACATCAATGACCCAATAGAAGGATTCAAAGTAAGGACTGAGCTTGAAGAAACTACAAGTCCATCTTTTATTTCAAAATACGGTTTACCATTATCGATTGTAGCTGGATTGACTTTGCCTGCAACTTTGGCACTTAGTTCATTTTATACTATCAGGTAAGCCATAGCAATTGATCATTGATCATCAAAAACTAATTAAATTTCAAAATTTTAGAAAAAGAATGTTTCCAAAATCAAATAGACCATCAGTGGTGGTTGGATTTTTATGTTGTATAGGAACAGAATTGGCAATTACAGACAGTTATATATCTGATATTTTCAAAAAGTTGGAAAGAACATCAAACTTGGAATAAATAATAAACATTCTTTGTTTTTTTTATATATACAATAATAATGAAATAATATTTGTTTCTTTATTTTGTTTTGATTAATTTTTTTTTTATAGGTTTGAGAAAGTGGGGAGAGTTTTAATGATGAATACAAAATAAATTCAACTTTTGAGGTTATTATTGTTTATTGAACAATAATAAATGTGTAAAGAGGAGTTGCAATTGGTTGGAAAAAAAATTGTGTGATATATATATCATAAATAGAGTTAGTGGAAAAGTAGATGTTCGTTTGCATTCATCCCCCACTAAATATAAAGTTAACCCTCTCTAGACTGTCATACCCTCTTGTGTAAAGTGTTTGTTGTTATTTTGTTTTTGGTGTGTATTTCTTTGGTTGTGTGTGTTGGTGTATTTTTAAAGCTATCAAAATCATATGTTTGATTAAAATGTAAAAGACATTTTGGTTGTTTAGTTGAAGTTCGAGTTGAAATAAGAGTTGAATCCTCCAAAGTTGGAGGTGAAATTGTTTGAAAAATGAGAGAAAGAAGAGTTGGTTGGATTATTGACATATACAGGGTCCTGATTGTTAAAGTAGTGATAGTTGGAGGGATTTGAGAGGATGTTTGATGTAAAATTGTTGTATGATTGGGTATCAGGATTGAAATCTTCATTCAAGAATGAATTTGGATAAGAGTTGGTCGAAGAGTGGACGTTTATCGGTACGTTGTAGGGGTTTGGTTTTACCAGGTTGACTTCGTTGGCGCGTAAATCGATATTAGCTATACTGTTTATGGTGGATTGGAGATTGAAATCAAAATTGTTGTTCATATTTGATCCAAAATAAGAGGTGAAGATGTTGTTGGTGTTGTTTTCATTATCATTTACAGAGTTGAGGTGTTGCGAAGGTGAAGTGTTTGGATTGTTAGTTATACTGTTGTTACTATTGTTGTTATTATTATTATTATTGTTGTTGTTGTTATTGCCGTTGCTGTTGTTTGGTTGGTTGTTTGTATTGTTATTATTATTTGAATTGGGTGGATTGGAGGTGGATATGGAATTTCCATTAGTGACGTTTAATGGCGTGTCGTTAAAAGACTTCATTCCAACTGCGCCGTTAATTATGTTGTTGGAAGGAGAGTTGTTCGAATTGAGGTTTCCGCTACCAATGTAGTTGTTCGAGCTGAGATGAGAGTTTGGTATCATTGTACCATTGACAACCAGCTTGCTATCATAGGTTTGACCGCTTACAATTAAATTTACATTCTTTTTGGCAATACCATTGCCATTGTTGTTGCTGTTAATCGTTAGGCTCGGATTAACATGATTGAAGGATGGATTGGGGTTTCCGTTCGAATAATCCAAATCCTTTTTCATGAGAGGCTGAGCAACTGTCGGGTTGAATGGTTTTGGTTTGGATAATAATTGAGAATTATCATATACATTTGGGCTGTTTCCATTATACATGCCTGTCGTTCTTTTGTTGTTGTTGTTGTTGGGGGTTCCCTTTCGTTTATTCTTTGCATATTTGGAATCAAACGAATGATTTCTTTAAAAAAATAGGAAAATTAATAATGACATTAAAGATTAAATCTTGAACTAGTTTAAATATTTACCTTGAAAAGTTACCCATGATCTTTTCTTTTGATTCATTACTTAAACTTTGAATATCCTCTTTATATAATTTGGTAGCTCTTGCCCACTTGATTAATAGGGGAAAAAAAATTAGTTAATTTGATTGATAGGAAAAGATCTGTTGATTGATAATTTACTTCAAGTTTAAGAATTCTACCATCGAGAAGGATTTCTTGTTTTGACAATTCATCAAAGGCGGTGAATGCGTGAGATTTGTTCTCAAACTCGATGAAAGCAAATCCTCTAGTCTTTCCAAATTTATTTTCGGGGATTTCGCACCTTTCAAGAGGACCATATCTAAAAATGAGAGAGGAAAAGAAATTAGAAATTGATTAATTTAATCAATTATAAATTAAACTTACTTTGAAAAGATTGTGGAAATAGAGGAAACGGGTGTAGTGTGTCGTATATTACTGACATAGATAGTGCTAGATGTCCTATCCATGAGGTTCAAAGATAGAGCTGAGACTTCATTCATCATGGTTGCGGCTTTCTATAGATACAATTTCATGATCCACACCGACAAGGTTGAGGATAATGAATTGTTAGTAATGTTGATCAAAATATAAAGTATAGTTGTGATTTGTGTAAAGTGAAATAGTAGTAGTGTAGGCGTTAACTATTTTAATAACAAAAAAAAAAAAGAAAGAACAAAATAAATATAGAAAACAACAAAAAGAATAAGAAAACAACAATAAATTTAAATTATTGTTTTTTTTTTTCAAAATTGGAAATTGAGGACATAAATAAATTAATAATTATATAAGATTAAACCTCTTTGAGGAAGAAAAACAAAAAAAACAAAAAAAATATAATATTTTTAATTAAAATGTGGTGTGAGTGGAAGGAAAAAAAACAATATTATCATATTTGTTTTTTGTTTGTTTTTTTCATGTGGAAATAGTGGTCGGGTGGGGTTGGATTTTGTTTTTTTTTTTTTTTTTTTTCATGAAACATTTGGTGTTGATGGTGGGGTGTGTGAGTGTGGTTTGATGAACAATCTCAGTTTGGCAAAATAAAAAAAAACCTTACCTTTTTGTTTTGTTGTTAAGTTGGGTATTAAAAAAGTTGCTGGTTTTTCAATTGAATCAAAAGTGAATTTCTTTAAAAAATAATTACCTTTTTTGATTGGTGTTTGATTAAAAATGTTGTTTTTTCAGCAGTATTATGTTGTTGTTTTGATTTGATTGCTGATGTAGTGAAGTTTAAGATGAGTTACAAGAACCTGATTAATAAATAAATCGTAGTCGAAACAGGGATAATGATCGAGATCGGTATATGCAGTGCGAAATATGCTAAACTATATTTCTAGGCACAGAGGAGGAGTAGAAAGGAATAATTGTCTTCAAACAGCTGGCTTTGTGCAAGGATCGGACTAATGATTGAAGACAAAGATTTTAAAATCTATAATCTTGTATTCCCTATTATTAAATTTAAAAATTAGATTAAACTAATCTATTTTTCAAAAAGAATCCCTTTGTTAAAAACTATTTAATACTTACAATTATTCGGACAGTCGGACAGTCCTCTTGTGATAGGTGAATATAAATTAAATGAACAAGTATTTCTTCTTTTTTTTTTGTTTCTTTTTAGTATTTATTTTTTTAGTTTTTTGCAAAACAATTAATTCTTTGTTTGGAATGTCAAGATTGATGTTGCTAATAAATTTATATTGATGATTTTAATAGGTCAAAGAACTATCATCCATATAATAATTAAAAAAAAAAATGATTTAAATTTAAATTGAATGTTTGTTTTTTTTTTATGTTTTTTATGTTTTTTAAATTTAAACAAAAACAAAATGTTTGATCAAAATGAATAGATAGAGAGATAAGAAGTAATATATGATGATGTTGATGCAATTATGATTATAATATGTTTATTTATAATGATGATGATGTGGAAGTATGGAGGATGTGGGTGGTTTGTATATTGCGGAGATAGAGGAAATAGTAGATATAAGCAGTTAATGTATATATTTAGCTATATAAACATAGATGCGATTATTATAAATATCTTTTGTATTTATATATAATGAATATATAACACAATATGATTATAATCTATCCTCACTCTCTTCTTTTCTCTTTCTACTTTTTTTTTTGATTATATTATTTATTTTATTTTTATTATTATTATTTTTTTTGACTGTTACAAGCACCTTTAAATCTTGGTTCTTGTGACACTTTAGATCTAAACTTGATAAATAGAAATAATGATAATGAGAAGGATGAGATATAGAGAAATAACAAATACAAAATTAAACAAAACTCTCTAAATTTGTTGTTGTAAATATTTGTTGTCTTGACACAATATATAATGATATGCTATTCTATATTAATACTTGTGTTACTGATTTTCTACTGTTTGGTAGAGTGTTTTGTTATTTGATTGTTATTATTGGCAAGTGTTTTGATAACTTTTGTATTTATTTATTTTTTTTTTTTTGTTTTAGTGTATGGGTTTGTTTATTATATTTTAATTTATTATAGTCAATTTATAAATTTTAATATTATGTTGTTGGTTAACAAACAAACAAAAATAATAAATAAATTTACTAAATACTTTTATATTAAATGATATCTTCTCTCTCTCTCTCACACACTGGAAATAAATTTATAAATAATATTATTTTTATTGTTGTTGTTGTTGTTGTTGCTGCTTTGAAGATTGTAAATATAAATATACATATGTATGTTGTGGTAATGTTGTTGGTTTATGAAAATGTGGTAAATTTACCTTGAGTGGTCAATGTTTATTGTTAGAATGGATTATATATTGGGTTGTATTATTAATGGATAAATAATATTCTTAAAAAGAAAAACAAACAAGAAAAGGATTGTTATGTCATAATAAAGAGCCTAATGGATAGAGAAGTATAATTATAATTAATAAATCATTTATTTAATTCTCTTTATATTATATTTATTTATTTTTTGGTATCAATCTCAATTTTAACTCATTTAAAAAAAAAAAAAAAAGTACATCATGCATTCAACAAACATTCTGTTCTGTTATATATACACATGTGTACTGTTGGTGGTGGTGGTGGGTGAAAGTGTTGATAGGTGGAGTGAGTGGGTGATTTTTATGTCTATTTTTTTGTTTCTAGTTTTGATGCAACTATATAATATATATTTATAGTAGTGTATTTCCACTCATTACATTTTTTAAAGGTGACAAATTGTGGTGTTGAAATGGGGTACAATTAATGCATATTTTTCCTGTTTAAATGACCCCCAAATTCTGAAAAATATGTGGTATCATATTTATTTATTTATTTTTTCCTAAAAACATCAAATATAAATGAAAATTAAAAAGAATAATAATAATAATAACAATAATAGTAAAGTGAAAACAGCAGCAAAGACATCTGTAGCTGATACTACTACTACTACTACTACTATTGAGGAATTGCAAAGAAAAGATAAAAATGATAATGTCGATAATAATACAACAAATGAGAGTGGTGTGAATGAGAGCAGCAGTAGTACTAGTTCTAGTGAGAGTGAAAATGAAAGTGAGAGCGATAATAGTGGTAATGCAAACAGCACCAGCAGCTCTGTTCAATCAGCTGAGAGTAGTAATAGAGTGGTGTCACCCACAACAAAACTAGGTAAAAAGATGTTGGTAGTAATTGGCATTGTAGAATCACTGCTCTGCTTATTGGAATCGATAGTAGTAATGCTTTTCTTGCAAGCGACCGTACTTGCGATGTATCAAGCTGCTATCAAATTTACAAATATCGAAATAAACAATAATAAAAATAATGATAATGAAACGTTAAACAACAACAATAATAATAATAACAACTTCAACACTACCACCAACACCACTACTGATATCAATAATGACAACACCATTGATACATTTAAATTTGTGCCATTGGTTATTACTTTGCATACATTATATCTATTGGTTCGTTTTAAGTATTTGTTTAAATATGTAAATGACTTTCCACAATGGTATGTACTATATTAGTAATAATATTTGATGTGTTGTTTTGTGTACATTTGTTATTTAATGAAACACTTTGTCAAGTGGTGTTCAATTCATATAATATATCTATATCTTTAACTTTTAAGATTGTAACTTTAATAATTAAATATCTGAAAAAATTAAATAGGTTTGGTTTATTTGGTAGAAAGAATAATAATAATAATGGTGCAAACAAAGCAGTAGCGACACTCTCGAAACGACCAATACAATTTATACTTTTGTTATTCTCTGTAGTATTTGGTTCATTTTTAATACAGTTAATCAGTGGTCGATGGATTTACAATTTAAAAAACATTTACCATGAAGGTACCGCCGATTTTAACTATCCAATGATGTTTTTGTTGGCAATTGCTGCCCCAGTTAGTGAGGAAATATTGTTTAGAGGAATCATTTTCTATATCTTTAAAAGAAGGTATGTGTAATTAAGAAAATGATGTAAAAGAGAGAGAGAAGAGAAGAGAAGAGAAGAGAAAAGTAAGAAAAAAAAAACTAACTATTATTACACGATTATGTTTATTTATTTAGATTCGAATCCAATTTAAAGCTATGTATCATCTTACCGAATGTATTATTTGGACTCTATCATCTTGTCAATATCAATAGTTCATTCTCTATATTCTATATATCAATACAGGTAAGTTTGTATTTATACAATGTTTATTTCGATACAAATCTAATGTAATGAATTGAATCGAATCGATTGTAGGTTGTTATGGGAGTTCTATTCGGTATGAATATGAGTATTTTCTTTATCCAATCGAAATCGCTTGCAACACCCATAATTGTTCATATGCTTAATAATACAATGGCAATGTTTTTGCCAACTTCGATGACCGACTTCACAGATCCGATCATTTTATTTGATTGTATGTATAACACTTTAGATAATTGCGAACCAACTATTTTACTAATATAATTAATGATAAAGTGATAATACAATTTTTTATTTTTATAATATTTTATAGATGTGGTATTCAATCGATTAGCAAAACCAATGTCAACAATAATAATAATGTTTACAACAAAAAACCAAAAAAGAAGATTTAATTTAATTTCCGTTTTCAATAACCACACCAACAACTAATTTGTACAAAAAGAATTCTAACCACACTGAAATAAATAGGAAACCAACAACAAATTATGATGTAACCAAAGTTAATCATAAATGATTTAATTTATTTATATCATTCATATAAACCTTTTTGATTAATTATTATTTTGTTAATAAATTAATATGTTTTGTTTTTTTTGTTGTTTGTTTTTGGGTTAGTTCGTTGTTTCACCATAATAGTGATGTAACGTTAAAGTCCGATATACTTCTTTTGCAAAAAATGGTTGTTGATAGTGCGAGACGACCAAAATTTTTTTTTTAAAAAAAATGACCTGGTTAGATATCAAAATAATAGAAAAAAAATCAAAAAAAAAAAAATAATAAATTTGTGATTTTTTTACAACACTCTTTCTGCCAAAAGACCTCTCTTATTAAAAAAATAATTTTTTTTTTTTTTTTTTTTTGTTGTCGACTTCTTCAATCAGAAGATATAATATATCTACTTATTATTTATTTATATATTTATATTGATCAATCACCATATCAATTAAAATGCCAGAACCACAAACTCAATCACCATCACTTTCATTTGGTCTCTTCTTGAAGTATGGTCTTGCCGGTGCTCTCGGTTGCTCCATTACTCACTCTGCCGTCGTACCATTGGACGTCGTCAAGACTCGTTGTCAAACCGACCCAACCAAATACACCGGTATGGTCAGTGGTTTCAGAACCATCATCAAGGAAGAGGGAGCTGGTATGTTGCTCCAAGGTCTTGCCCCAACCGCTATTGGTTACGCCTTGCAAGGTTTCTTCAAGTTTGGTTTCTATGAAGTTTTCAAGAAGAAATACGCTGATGCCGTCGGTCCAGAGGCTGCCGTCACCTACCGTATTCCAATCTGGTTGGCTGCTTCCGCCACTGCTGAGGTAATGTATAAAAAATATTAATCATCAGTTACAACAAATAGATATAGAACAGATCAATAACAACATCATGATTATATTATAATAATTAATTTAATAATTATAATTGATAATTTAATATTTATAATAGTAATCAATAATAATAATAATAATAATAACAAAAATCAATAATAATCAAGATATCTTATAATCACAACATAATATTTAGTGATGATCATCATATAAAAAAATTGGTTTTGAAAAGTTTAACTAACTTTTTGCAAATGCATTTTTTCTTTTATAATTTATAGACTATTGCTGATCTTGCTTTGTGTCCAAATGAAGCTACTAGAATTCGTTTGGTTGCTGATCCATCATACGCCAAGAGCCCAGCTGAAGCCTTCACCAAGATTTTGAAGAATGAAGGTCTCCTTGGTTTGTACAAGGGTCTTCCACCCATTTTGTTGAAGCAAGTTCCATACACCATGGCCAAGTTTGCTGTATTCGAGTTCACTGCTGAATCAATCTACAAGACTTTGGCTGCAAGTGGAAAGCCAAAGGAGTCACTCACCGACTCACAAAAGCTCACCGTCTCACTCGGTTCAGGTATTGTTTCTGGTGTCGTCGCCGCTATCGTCTCACAACCAGCCGATACCATCTTGTCAAAGATCAATCAAGAAAAGACCGACGGAGGTGTTGCTAAAGCAATTGGAAACATCGTTAGACGTCTTGGTTTCTCTGGTTTGTTCTTGGGTGTTGGTACCAGATGTTTTATGGTCGGAACTTTAACTGCTGGTCAATTCTTCATCTACGATGGTATTAAAAATATGTTGGGAATCACAGCAAAGAAGTGAGATCAAAATTGACTGAAAAATAAAGAAAATATGAAATTTTTAACACCACACACTTTTGATGTTACTCTTAAATATTTTTATTTATTATTTAGAGTCCAGTAATTGACAATTAATATTGATTATCTTTTTTTTGAAATAATTAATAATAAAAGTTTATTTGGCTAAAATAATCAATTAATATACTAAAAAACCAATAAAGTTATATCTATATTTCAAACAATATTTATTCAGTTTGCTTTTCTTTTGTTCAATTTGATTATGACACAGATTATCTGACACTTTACCATTCTATCCTAGACATGATCTGTATTCTTGGTATCTCAAAGCTTGTTGAACTGGCTTCGGATAGAATGAGAAAGTGTAAGATAATCCGAGTCATAAGTCGGCAAAAGATTGGTTGGCCTTGAGTTGTCAAGGAGTTTTTCTTCATCCCAACTGTCTGCTGATTCTATCCAAGTAAAGAAACGAATGATTCTTTGGTATTCTTCTTTATCAAAATAGAGATATGATATTGGAACCATCTCTGTTGTCATCGAATGGAATTATTATGAATCAACTAGAGTTTTCATTCAAGTATGTATTTGAAGAGTTACAGACCATCATTATCTTTTATCTTTCGAATCTAACTTCTTTATGAGATATTAACAGTGCTATTATGTACATAAGATTTGATATATTTGTCCATTTGCTTTTTCTTCTATATTTACAACTTCTCTGATGTACTTGATGTCGGTATCAGTATATTGAGCACTTCTCAATTAGCCGGTAACACTCTAAGGTATACGGAGCAGCTTTTGGTAAAATGACCTTGGTTGACATAGGCATTGAAAGTTGACCTTAACCTCGGCACCTTTGGTTACATCAACCCCTTTTTCACTTTGTCGGATGATCTGATCCATCGTTTCTCTGAGAAATATAGAAAGACTCAAGTGTATAAATTAGTCAAATCAATTAAATAAAGATCATCAGTTCAGACTTAGATGATCAGTTCCAAATAATTTATATTGATTCAGCCAAGCTTTAATTATAAAAATTTAGATAACACTTCTTCGAAATCTATTTCAGTAGGATTGCTATTAGATTTGAACCTCAAAGTATGTAAAAAAAAACCTTAATAATATTGTTTCTAACTATGCACATTCATGTCTTGGGTATTTTATATATCAAATCATGATCCCACCAAAAATTTTAACAATTTTTTTTTTTTTTTTAGATCTGTCAAAAAAATCGTTGATCAAAAATCAAGATTCACCTTCGATTTGGGCTCACCCTTTTTTTTTCAGTAAAAAGTATCGATCTTTTTATATTTATTGGGTTTTGAGGCATGATGTTATGTTGTTGGGTATGAAAAATTATCTTAAAAAAGTGTCAAATTTGTGTTTAAAGTGATCAAAAAAAACTAATAAAATTTTAAAGTTTATCAAAAAAACCAACCTTATTTATTGCAAGTTTTGGGCTTTACAAAAGACAAAAACAGAATTGATTACTATTAAAAAAAATTGTTTTATTTCGTTAATATTAACATTATTAATATCTTTAATTTTGTTTTTGTGTGTCAGTTGGAATTAATCTGTTATATATATTTTAATCACTTGAAAAAAAAAAAACAGACCTGTACAATAGTAATAATATATAATAATATATAAGATCAAGTTTAGAAGTTATCAAGTTAACATCTGTCTGATCAATTTTCTATCTATCTTTGAAAATAAAGTGTTAACACTCCTTTTTTTTCATTCCATCACACGAGCGTATTATTATCTCAACACGGTGTTTTCATTTAGCTGCACCACCTTATACTGCACTTCTCATAATCTTTTATTTTTATTTTTATTTTTTATTTTTTATTTTTGATTGTCAAAAATAACACCACACACAACCTCACACCCACTTTCAATCAATCACAAACTTAACTAATTTATTAATAAACAATTGTTTTATTTTTTAATAATAGTTTATTGGGTTTCATACATTTTCCAAAACAAAAAAAGAAAAACAAAGAATAACAATAAATTGTAATACTATAATTATATATATGTAAAATTAGTTTTTTTTTCTATTACTATAAATTAATTTTTTTAGAGAGAATAAGAAAAAAATGGATAAAGATAATAATAATAATAATAATAATGATAATAATACAATAAATAAGAAATTTACTTTTAAAGGAAGCAGCTACATCAATAAGAGATGGAGTTGGAATGTATTTTGGTTTGGTAAATGAATATAATAGAAATCATCATGGAGAACCTGGTCAATCTCCAGCTTCTCCAGCTCCGCCAGGTGGTCATCCACCCAACGATCCATATTGGATGCACGAGGGTTTCTGGGCAAAATCAAAACCAACCAACGACGTAGAGATGGCTTCACTCTCACCACCACCACCAGCATATGCCGATCACCAATTCAATCATAATATTCCAATTGACAACTTGTCTCCACCCAAATCAATGGACTATTATCCACCAGAGATGATTGTAGATTCCGATGGAACCAGAGGACGGGGAAGAGGACGTGGTCGTGGTCGTGGTGGACATCCATCACGTGTCGATGCGCCAGCAGTCACTGCTGGTCATCCCTCTGAAAATCCATATCTTCAAGGAAGTGATAAACCGACAGCTGGAGTTGGAATGGCAGCTGCTCCTCTAATGACAAAACGACCAAGTCCAGTGAGTCGCGGAATTTCAGCACATAATCTAAAGGAAACAGAGCTTACAGCACCACCACCACCTCAACAATACACACCCTATTTCATTATATTAATTAGTTTGATCAACGTTTGCATTTTGATTTGGGAAATCATTTTGAATCGTGGATTCGAGCCTTGGAAGACCAATCCATGGTTTGGACCATCGGCCACCGTTCTCTTGAATGCAGGCGCCAAATATACTCCGGCAATGCTAGCCGGTGAATGGTGGCGTTTCTTCTCGCCCATTTTCTTGCACGTCGGAATTTTTCACTTGTTGATGAACCTCATGACACAGGTTCGTGTTGGAATGCAGTTGGAGCGTGCCTATGGAGCACATCGTATCGTGCCCATCTATCTATTATGTGGAGTCATGGGAAATCTGTGTAGTGCCATCTTCCTACCACAGTCTGTACAAGCCGGTGCTTCCGGAGCAATCTTTGGTTTCCTCGGAGTTCTAGTGACCGATCTCTTTAGAAACTGGAGTCTATTGGCTAGTCCTTTCATGAATTGTTGTTCATTGATGTTTACCATTATCATTTCATTCGCTGTAGGTCTGTTCTTGCCAGGTGTAGATAATTTTGCACATTTCGGTGGATTCGTGATGGGTATCATGTCGAGTTTGATTTTCCTACCATCTTTGACACCAAAGAGAGCCATTGGAAAGCGTGTATGTCTGATACTCATTGCCATACCAATTACAGTTGCCACTTTTATTGCATTGTTTGTTGTATTCTATAGACAAATTGAAACAAGTTCCTGGTGTCCAGGTTGCAAATATATTACTTGTCTTCAATTCCTTAGTTGGTGTAAAGCATCATAAAAATATATTTTTTTAAAACAAACCGATAGATAAATAATTTTAAAATAAAATGTATAGTAATCCATTAACAAATAGATATATTTTTATATTATCTTTAAATTTTATTAAACATTTATTTTTAATGTCTGATTGATTTGTTTTCCTAATAAATAGGTTGCAATCTCTTTATGATTAATAGAGTTGGCCATATATAATGCATCTGTTATTTGAACATCGGATCTATTCTCACAAATGAATACTACAATATCATATCTATACAAGTGAGTTGCAGTTTTGAGGCAATTGGAATTAATGGAATCATTGAATCCTTGGTAGTGAAGGTATTTAAGCATGTTTAATCTACCTTTTTGACAACAAAGATTGCCAATGTACATGAAATTAAATAAATCTGGATATGCTTCTACTAAAAGTTGAAATATATCCAATCTATTTAAATTTATAGCATATTCAAGAGCAGAGGGTGTACATCTTTCAGTTCGATTGTTTATAAGGAATTTTGTAACTTCATAGTTACCATCTTGAACCACTCGGTCCAAGGTGAATTTAGAGAATCGTTTAAAAGCAAGTTGATGAAAAAGTTGAATTTCTCCAAGAGTAATATGTTGATTTGCACTTAGTAGTAGGTTCGATGGAATGTGGTCTAGTATTGAGGGATGTTTCGGGAAAAGATACCTCATAATAGGAAAGCAATTCTTTTGGCAAACATCAATGGCAAGACTACGAATATCTTGAGCAGATAGAGTTGTTGATTCATAGAGATACTTGAATATTTCCAAATGTTTTTGTTTGACTGCATTGAGTAAAGGTTTCAATCCAACATTGGTAGATCCAACAATTGGAAAAAGGAATTTAATTGTTTGTAAATCACCTTTGATAACAGCAGTATCAATTGCGAGTGAAGTGAATCCATTCAAAATATTGTATCTATAAAGGAATCTTATACCTTCAATGTATCCTTTATAGATAAGAATATTTATATCCATACTGCTAGTTGTATAAATTACACCTTTCGATAATAAATATTCTGCAATATCTATATGGTTTCCTTCTAAAGCCCTCTTTACATAGTCATTGGATGGGTCATGAATCATAGGGTTTGGAATATTGTCAAAAAAGAATTTAACAGCTTCGAAATGACCATTGCTAATTGTTTTAGATAAAGTAGTTGGCTTGTATCCTTCGGTTCTATGTTTATGAAGGAATTTAATGATTGGTAAATGGCCAGATCGAAAAGCAAAGTCCAAAGCTTTGGAGCTACAACCCTCACTGCGATTGAAATGCAAGAACTTTACAACTTTGAGTCTGCCATCGTTTGAAGCATTGTCTATTCCAGCAACAGTACAGCCCTCCGTTCTATTGCTATGAAGAAACTCTACAATTTGAATAAATCCATTTTTTGCAGCAGAATCCATGGCTTTACTAGTACAATTTGCTGATCTATTAAAGTGTAGATATTTAACCAAATCTAAATGACCTTTTTCTGCTGCCAAATCCAAAGCATTCGGTGACAGCTTTATCTCTAAAGAAAAATATTTACTATTCTCATACAACCAAACAACTGTATCCAATTGTCCATTTTGTGAAACATGGTCAATCGATAATGTTGTATTCTCTATTCTATTATTTCCAAGATATTCCTTTAATAAATCAATCCTTCCATTCTTGGCAATAAACTCTATTGTTTCACTATTAATATTTGAAAAGTGTGGTAGCAAAAGTTCCAATATTTCTAGATGACCTTTGTAGATAGGATAAAATAGCAATTCATAATCCAAAATAGCTCGCCCAGAATCCAAAACATATTTGACTACATCTATATTGCCACTCGACAAAACAATTGAAAAGGTATTTGTTGACATCTTGTATCCAGGAAAATGCAGAAAAAACAGTTTAATAAATTCAAGATGACCACTGGCAGCAGAGATACGAATGCACTCTTCCAAGTAGAGTTCAGTTTCTTTGAATCCCAGAAAATATTTAACCAATTCCAAATGTCCACTATTGACAGCACATATAATATGTTTAGGTTGTACACACTTTGGAAATGTAGTAAATAAATAAGCAATGGTTGATAGATGGCCATTGGTGACAGCCAACCTTATATTTGGAATAATGGATCTGGTCATGATCATGTCGATTGAATTAGAGGCAATAGATCTATCTTCGCTTTGATAATAATCAAGATAATCTTTCAACTGGTCTACATAACCATAGCCAATTAATTGTTTTGGGAGCTTTATCAATGTGGGCCATCTATATACTTCAGTTGTTAAATCTCCGATTTCATTTATTAATTGGAATATTAATCTAATTAATACTTTATTTCCAATTATTTTTTTAAATAATAAATCTATTTTCATAATTATAATAAGTTAAAAAAAAAAAAAGGTAAATAAATGATTGATTATTAAATCCAATATTTCTATTAATCTTTCTAAATTTAAAAAAAAAAAGTTCAATTAGCCTGGTTGAACATAATCACATAATCACCCAGAACAAAAAGAAATTAAATCAAAATCCTGGTATTTTTTTTTTAAATTAAATGATAACATTTTCTTTATTCTAATTAATTGAATCAGCAAAATTCATTCTAAAGTTAAAAGAGATTTAATTAGATTAGTATTTTTAAAGATGAGTTTATAAATGATCTACTTACGGCATTTCATCTATTTGAGTAGAATAAAATTGTTCAATATCTCTTAGAATTCTTATATCACTGCTCTTTACAAAATTGATAGCAACACCTTTACGACCGAAACGACCAGATCTACCGATTCTGTGAATGTAGTTCTCACGATCATTTGGCAAGTCGTAATTAATAACCAATGATACCTGTTGTACATCTATACCTCTTGCTAAAATATCTGTTGTAATTAATACACGACTATATAGTTATAATTAATAAAATATTTTTTTGTTAGTAAACTCTTTATCAATTTCATTTGATTACTATAGTTACTTTTCACCTGATCTAAATGACTTTATAATTTCTTCACGTTCTTTTTGTTCCATGTCACCATGCATCGATGCTACTGTAAAGTTTGCTTCACGCATCTTGTCTGTCAAAATGTTAACCTTTTGTTTAGTGTTACAAAAGATGACGGCTTGTGTGATGGTGAGTGAGTCGTAGATGTCACAGAGTGTTCCAAACTTCCATTCTTCCTTCTCTACCGATACAAAGAACTGCTTGATTCCTTCGAGTGTCAACTCATCACGCTTCAAGAGAATACGTACTGGATCGGTCATGAATTTCTCGGTCATGTTGATTACGTCCTGTGTAAGAGTGGCTGACACCAACACGATCTGAGTGGCGGGTGGCAAGTAACGATAGACATCGTTGATCTGCTGTTGGAATCCGAGACCGAGCATCTCATCGGCTTCGTCGAGTATGAGCATCTTGATGTGGCGAGTTGCCAGTGCCTTACGACTGATCAAGTCGAGTACACGACCCGGTGTTCCCGAGACGATGTGCACACCGGCCTCCAAACGACGTAGATCCTCGGCAATTGTCTTTTGTCCGACAAATGCATGCACTTGTACACTCATGAATCCACCTAGTGCCATCAGCACCTTTTGAATCTGTTGTGCCAACTCACGAGTCGGTGAGAGAATCAGTACTTGTGGCGACTTTACAGAGACATCGATCGATTGCAATGCACCAATTGAAAAGGTGGCAGTCTTTCCAGTACCTGATTGTGCTTGTGCAATTGTATCGTGACCTTTAATAATTGGTAGAATGGCACGTTGTTGAATAGCAGATGGTTTCTCGAAACCGAATCCAAATATACCTCTTAGCAAGTCATCTTTAAGATGCATCGATTCAAAAGTAGGACAAACCTCTATGATATTCTTTGCACCAGATGTTTCGTATGAATCGGTAGTAGCATCTTTCTTTTTATGATCTGATCTATCTCCACCACGATGATCTCTTTTATCACGTCTATCTGTTGGTCTATTTGCTAAAAGTAAGTAGTTAATTCAATCACATTTATTAATTAAAAATATTCAACCTTTTATTAGAATCAAATAATTAAATACTTACATCTATATGACATTTGATAATATAAATAAAAAGTAAAGAACTAAAGTAACAATATAAAAATAAACTAATTTAAAAATTTAGCTGTTATTAATTTTGTTCGTCAAAAAAAGGTTTTTTTTTTTTTTTTCTGAAAATCAATAAATATTTTATTGTTACCCTGTCAGTACCACGTTTGATCCAGTTAATTCTTTATAAAATATAATTCTTTATTTATTCTTGACAACTTTTATAATATCAATGTTAATAACGTTTATTATTCCAACATCTATAGATGTAGAATAAAATAAAAAAAAAAAGATTTCTTTACAGGTCAATTTTATTTTTATTTAGATTTATTTAAATTTATGTTTGGTTGTGATTTCATAATCTTTGGATGATCCAATAAATAGTTTACAATATGATATTGTTTGGCTTTTAGTGATGAATCTATCACATATCGGGGTATCATTTGTTGTGGAAGAGTGCAAAAGTTGTCGACATAGTACTTGAGTTGCGGGAGTAGACCGGCAGTACAAAGTGAGTTGATATGTGCATCTTGGTTTATGGTTCTACTTCCCATGATCCATTGAACTGTTATAGAAAGAACAGCGGCCACTTCATCAGAGTGATTGTTGCAATCGGCCAAGAGATCTTTGATTCCTTGTAAGTACTGACCCTTTTGGAGAAGTAGCTCTATTACGCTTATTGCCAATTCTGGATTGTGTAGGAGATGTCGAACGGTCAATGAGACGGCAGTGGCGATTCTATTTGGCTGGATGTGATCGACAAGTAACTTAAAGACTTGGAGCTGGCTACCGTTGTTACCACTCAATACCAACTTTAAAAAGTTATCGTCAATATGAGGTTTGATTAGAGCGATAAATGATTCAATGATAACGAGGTTACCACTGGAAGCGACCGATGGCAAAAGTTGTACAATGTTGTCCTCTGTGATTTGCTCGGCCAAATAATATTGGTTCAGTACTTCGTAGATGGATGCTTTGCATGCATAGTTGACTACCTCTACACTTAGTTCAGCCAAGTATTTATATATGGTATCGTTCTCTAGAAGGAAGAGTACCGCCTCTTTGAAACCAAAGTGTATTGCATTCTGGAATGTTTGGAAGCTAAACAACTCTAGATGATGTCGGTAGAGATGATGAACGATTTCCATTCTCTTGGAGACAAGAGTGGGTTGTTGTAGTTGGCTGGGTTCCAACTCCATTGAAGAGTCAATACATTTGGCACTGACACCTGGAACTCTGTGTTTCTCGAGCATCTCTAAAACGTTGATCCAATTGTACTTTACGGCATCGAGCCATATAACTTCATGCCATCTTTCCGGTATGGACTTGGCACCGCCACCAGCAGCGTCCAGAGACTTCAAGAATAACTGTATCCATGTATTGGTGTGTAAAAAGTAGATATTACCAGTGTAGAGCAGGTCGTCAGTCAGTAGCTCTGGATATTTTTGAATGACAAACGAAGAGCATCTCTCCATATCCCTTGCTATGGTATTCTCCAGTAGTCGTTTGGTCCATTCTTTCTTTCTGATTTGATAGAGAAAGTAAAACAACTCTACATCATCAGTCTTTAACGAGTAGAGTGACGATTCATTGTAGTTGTCTGGAAACCTTGAATAGAGATACCTGGCAGCCTCTAGATGACCAGCTGTAACAATAGCATCGATTGTATTTGGCATACATTCTAGCTGGTGAACATCCACCAGATACTTTATTACTTCAACATAACCGTTGACCGCGGCATTAAAGAGAGCCTGTGGTGATGCTCTGGTGATTAGTTTTTGGTCAAACAGATAGCGGATCGCCTGTAGATCGCCTGCACTACACATGTTATTTAGACACTCGATAGTGCACCCTTCGCTTCTGTTCTCGTTGAAATACTTGATGACTTGGTAGTTGGCAGCGTGATCCATCAGTAGTTTGCCTTCGGCCTGGTTGAACTGCGGTTGCTTTCCATTTTTGGCGAGATACTTGATGTATTCGAGTTGTCCGTATTTCGATGCATTGACCATCGCCACTGAGAAATAGGACTTATGAATGGCAATCTTGTGGGCACGTGCAAAGTCCAACACCAATACAAAGTCCATCGTACAACAGACCTTGTTAATGATACAGCTGCTTGGTGAAGATTGAAGCAAGTGACTTCGTACCAATGTAAGTGCAATAGAGTCATCTATCTTCAACAACAGAGACGGTGTCTTTAGTGTCTTGATCAACTTTAGGTACCTGATTAGCATTGGAAATCCGTTTGGTTTCAGTGTGACAACGGGTAGTTCGTTTGGCTTTAGCAACGATTGACCATACTTTTGCAGTACCATTACCTTTTCAACGGAAACTGATAGATCTTCATCATGATTTTGGCAGATCGATTGTATCCAAACAGTCAATCGGTTCTTAAAGATAAAAGAGATGGTTTGCAGTGGATACATTCTCTTTAGCTTGGTAATCATATTCTCCATAAGGTTGGCACCACCATTTTGCGATGACCAATCGATAGTAAGGTCATCATAAGTTAAATATTTAACATTATCATTATTTATAATTCTATTGATTTCATAGATAGAATTGAATAGTATTGGTCTAATATATCGATTATGTAATAATACTTTAAAAGTAATAATATTATTATTATTATTATTATTATTTATATTTTTATATTGATTATTATTATTGTTGTTGTTGTTGTTGAATAAATTGTTGTTATTATTATTACAATACATATTAAACATATGGTGAATAATAAATAAAACCTTACCTTACATTGCCTTGATCAATAAAAAGTATCGGCAACCAAATCCGAACAAATTCTCATGTTTTTGCAAAAAAAAAAAAAAATCAATTGAAAAGAGGAAAAATCTCTTATTTTTTCTAAAAAAAAATGCCAACCAGCTGATCACTTTTTAGAATCCTAATAATAAGCCGAATGGAATGAGTCTATAGATCTTAAAAGTTGTTATCCTAAGTATCGGTTTGAATTAAATAAAAATAGATTGTTAGTTTTTTATTTTTGATTGAATTTTTTTTTTTTTCAGGAGATAATTTTGATATAGAAAAATAAAACTTTTAAAAATTTAAAATAATTATCTCCTTGTTATTTTGTTTTATTATATATACATAGAGTTGAAATTGAATAAAGATAGTTCGTTACCAAACTTAGATTACCAATGGTTCTGAAAAAAGAATATCTAGATAGATTCTTAGAGCATCTTTCTCCACTCTTAGTTTCTTTTTTACTGTTCTCTCATTGGTGCTTAGCAAACGATTTGGCCAGCACATTTTCTGCTTCAAGATTCTTTTCCAACAATTACACATCTTTTTGTTATTCTTTTTGTAGTCTCCAACTCTATTTACCATCGTTTTATATCTATCGAGGGCATATCTACGGAATTTCTTGCTAAGATTGGATGATTCAATACCATACTTTTGGCAAACCTGTGCTTGTGTGTGAAGAAAGTCTGACATATCCAAAGTAATCTGAGGAGCTCCATCTTCTACTACTACTACCTCGGTAGTCTCCAAGATAGCTGGCTCATAACATATTTCCTCTGGTGTTTTTATTTCTTCAACCAGATATTCGTAATGAATATAGTCTGGATTGTATCCTAAATCCATGTTTATTGTTGGATTGGTATTTATATAATTATTATTAAAGTCATTTATTGATTGCCAATCTTGATTTTGACAGATTTGGATAAATGATTCTTGGCTTTCTTGTAATTGTTCTTGTCGTTGTTGAAATTGTTGTTGTTGAAATTGTTGTTGTTGTTGAAATTGTTCTTGTTGTATTTGAGATAATAGATTATTTTCTTAATTTTTTTTTAATTGGTATAAGTATTTTAAATAAAAATTATATTAGATCCAAATACATACCTATTTGATACCAATTTTGACTTATACAGTTCATTATTTTTTTTATTTATTCTTTGTAAATATAAATATAAATATAAATATAATGAAGAAAAAGAGTATTAATTTAAAATGACAATAAATTAATTTTTTCCTTTCTAAAAATAATAATTTTTACAAACAACAAAAAAATTAATATTTCAAACTCTTCAATACTCTCAATATAATTTAATATTAAATTAAATATTGTTTTAATATGAAAAATAAATTGAACACTGTATAAATCTTAATCCAAATCTATATTGGTGTGTTGTTCTTGTTGTTTTATTTTGAAAGCAGTATGAAAAATGGCAATGGAAATAACACTTGTTTATGATGAGTTTTAAATTATGATTTTTTAAAATTAATTAAATTATTTGTGCCTGAATAACATAAAAATGCTTTTAATTACTATAACAGGTAAATTTATTCCATTTCTTCAAAGAGCCATAAAAATTTACAAAATTTTTTTGCCTCTCTAAAGCTTCAATTCTTTTTTATTGGATTAATGATATTTAGGGGGTTATATAAACATTAAACATACAAACCAAACTTGATTTTTCTATAAATTTCTAAAACAAATACTAATTGATAAAAAAAACAAAACAATTACAAAATTGTTTTTTTTTAATTGTTATTATTATGCTAACTGGAATTTCTTCTCAAATTATATTTTTTTTTTATTATTCACTCCATAAGAGGTGAATAAAAATAAATAAATGAATAATTGGAGAAGAAGATCAAAGAAGAAGAAAAAAAATAAAATGTGAAAAAAAAATTGATGTTTGATGAAAAAATTGGAAAAATAATTGGGTAAAAAGAAAAACAACGTAACGAATATTTTGATGTTTATTATTAGATATTTTATGATTTAATAATAATTTTGAATATTTTGATTCATTTTATCTATAATAGATTTAGTACAACTACCAAAATAAAAATGAATTACAAATTGTTTTTAATGGGACTTTTTTTCTAAAATTAAAATAAGTAATAGAAAAGTGATTTTTATAGCTTTTTTATTAAAATGTTGAAGATTTTTTTTGTTAAAATATAAATATATATTTATTTTTGTTTGATTTGATTATTTAAAAAAACAACAAAAATTACAAATTATTGAATCCAAAATTATTTTTTAAAAAAAAAGGAAATAGAATTTGCCTATTGTTATCTTTTCATTTTCCTCTACTTCTATCTTGTTGTAATCCAATCTTTATATATTTTCTTATTAGTATTGTAGATTTTATTATTTAATACTTTTTGAATTCATTTAAAAATGATACTTTAAATATATAACGAAAAACCTATTTCGAAATCATCGTTGATAAAGAAAACAAAAGTAAATTATTTAAATAAAATATTCTATTCTACTTTGATTACTATTTTATTATCTTTTTACCAATCTAATTTAAATTCTCTTTATATAGGTAATAAGTGATTTTAGATGGTATAAAGTACATTGTATCTTGTACTCCTTTTATTTTGGCAACAAAAAAGTATTCACTTATTATCTATTATTTAATATATAAAATACAACTAGATTTATTATTTAAATATAATGTTTTTCTATTAACTTTTTAGTTTAAAAATAAAACAATCTCTTTGTTGAAGCAAAATAGAATAATACATACTAATTGATATTTTAACAGTATATTTTTATTTTAGGTAGATCATAATATTATTTCTTATTTCTTTGGTCAATTAGAAAAGAGGGAACAAATTGTAGATAACGTTTTCCTTTGTAAACTTTAAATATAGGAAAAAGGATAATCATATTCAGTTTTCTAGTATTTGTCCCGAATTGAATAGTCCTACAGACTGGTTGATCATATTCTAAAGACATTTTTTAATACCCATTCAGTCCAAAGATATTTAATAAACTGTTCAATTAAATCTTTATCCCATTGTATTATCTATATAACTTTTATTCTTTTCCTATTATCTTCCCTCAAATATATTACATTCTTAAAAAAACAAAAAATCAATAATATATAAAATAAAAAGTGAATTATTCTTTATTTATTCCTATTAAAAACAAACAATACTATTAAATTTAAATTACTATTGGACCTGAATAAATAATCAACCAATATCTTTGAAGAGATTCTATAGAAACGTTGAGTCTTTTTTTAAGAGTCTTTTCACTTGTCGTTACCAATCTATATGGCCAAACTATTTTAGAATCTAACATTTTCTTTAGACATTTACATAGCTTTTTGGTTTTCTGTTGGTATTTTCGGTCACTACTGGTATTCTTTATCGTTCTATATCTGCCCCAAGTATATCTAAGGAATCTCTTACTTAGTTTCGAAGAATTTGGTAGATTATATTTTAAGCAGACACTCTGTTGAGTCATAAACAAGTCTGAAATCTGCAAAGTGATTTCATCGGACCTCGTATTCTTTTCTTTTGGAATACTATCCGTAGGAGTATTATTATCGAAAGAGTTTTCATTCACATATTGGTTAGTGTCGATACAAATTGTTTTGTTGATAGGAATTGATAATATTATTGCTTGTTGAGAGATTGTATTTTCATTCCTTGTTGATGATGATGATGATGATGGTTGATTCTCATAAAGATTATTGTTTTCTTGTTGAATTTTAAGATCTTTATTTTCCTTCAGCATTTCAAAATAGCCTTCGTAATCTAAAGACATATAAAAGATTATGAATAAATAGTTAATAATTGTTTTTAATTATATTTTTATATACATACCTATTGAGTTTGGATTATTATTATTTTCATACTCTTGAATCATTTTTATTTAATGATTTCGAATATGAAATAAAAAATAGCTATGTGATTTAATAAAAAAAGAAAGATAAATTTTTAAATAATTAAATTAACATTGTTTTTGAGGATTCATGTTGATGAAAAAATTCACAAAAACAATTTCTTGTGCGCAAAAAACAAAAATATTTATTAGTAAAAAAATTAAAAATAACAACTCTCAATTTAATAGTTGTTTATAATCTATTATATAAATAGAATGTTCAAACATTCCTATCCAAGTGTTGCGTTAACATTAACTATTTAAATAATTGATCTAAAAGTAAAAGTTTATGTTAAAAATTATCTAACAACAAAAAAAATTAATATGAGAATAGAATAATAAATTATATGTTCTTTTATTTAAAAGTGTTTTGAACTTTGGTTGGTTGACATTATGAAGTAATGATATTTTCCAATCTATATTTTGTTACAGAATCACAAAGAGGATAAAGAATTGAAAGTTCACAATGACTTTCAACTATATGGAAATATCCACATGAGACTTTCTCAAAAAAAATTAATTTTTTTAAAAATATTTTTTTATCATAAAATTTGTTATTGTTGAAATAAATCAAAAAAAAACAGGGTAGATTTATTTAAATATTAAAATTTAATAAATTTGTAGAAGGATTCTAAATAAAAGTAATGATTTATTAAATTAATTCTTATTTTACTAATAAAAAATAAAAAATAGATATAATTGTATTTGATCAATTAAAAATCATTCTTTTTATAATGTAAAAGTATCAAATATTGAGTAAATATAGAACAGGTATATATTCTCCAAACCGTAAACTAAATTATCTCTATTATCGATATAATTTAAAATCCTGTTATTGCTTCAATTCTTTACTAATTTCTTTTATCTTTTTTAAACTTTTTATCTAATTTAGCTTTAAAGTCTACCTCAAAATTAATAGATCCAATAATGATTATATTTTCATTCATTTATTAATTAGATCTTTAGTCATCCATTATATCTATATATACCTATCTACAAAATCTTTCCTCGACCCATCACTATAATATTTTACTTTGTCTATATCCTTATGTAGCTAGTATACCTTTGATCTTAGGTTGTAGAATAGAATTCAGCATTAGGATACTTTGTATACTCAAATCCAATCTTTTTAAGAATAGTTTGTCTCTTGAATTGGTTCTATTTTAAGCCAAGAGTACCAGAAAATTCCTTCAACCTTTTTCTGTTTTATGTGTCTTGGATTCACTCGGCGGAGTATCTACTCCTTTATCTAAAGGTAACTATATTAATAATTGATAGGTATCAATTAAAACCTAACTGTTATTCTAATAAACTATAGGTGTATAAGATGTTATCTAAATCAATCCTCTACTGTTTAAGTAAGAATTAATGATCCTAGGAATAATAGTGATAATAATTAAAAGAAAAGTTCTAAATAGTACAGTCTATGGATCCTTGTCAATTCTCTCTCTTACAAATAATCAAAATAAATAATAAGTTGTAGATAAAGAATAAACTTATTTATTCTATAAAAATAAATCGTTTAAAGATTATGTTTATATAAAAGAATATACTATTAATGTAGTAATCATCTCAGTGGGATAAAGGGAGGAAGAATTAAAATACATTATTAAATATGATCTTTTTTATTCTAAAACCTATTTATTTTACTTAACCTAAAGTTACTAATCTTTAAATTTGATATTTTTTAAACATTAAATACCTAGCTATTTTATTATTAATTTCAATTTGATCTATTAAAATATCAATAAACTATTTAAATTCTTTTATCAAATTTCTAAAAAAAAAAACAATACAATTCTTATGGATACATATTATTAAATTATACTAAAATAAATGATTCTTTAATTTTTAATTTTTTTTTCTTTATGTATTAAAAAAAATATAAAGATATAAATAAAAAATATATATCATTTTATACTTTTTTAACAAATTAATCCATGAATAGTAAAAAAATTTGGCCAATAAAAAAAAAAAATAACAAAAGAACATCCAAAAAAAAAATGTTTTTCATCAACTTAAATAAAAAGGATTTTTTTATTATCACCAAATAGAGTATTTAATTAATTATTTCTAAAGAATTATAAAATAAATCTATATTAATTTTTATTAAATTGATAACTTCTCTATTCTTGTTCTTTGTTTGTTTTTTTTTGTCAACAAATCAATTAAAGATATAATTAATAATATTAGTTATTAAAGTGATATTTTCTTTAAAGTTTATATAAAGATTTAAAATGATTATGTTATTTTTTTATTTTCTTTTCACAAATTCGACACAATGATTGATTCTTTTGAAAATTTTTCCTTATTTTTTGTTTTTTTCAATATATCCTCGTAATTTAAATCAAATAAATTAAATAATTAAATAATAAGTATTATAGATCTATTTTACCTAGTGTAGGAATTTGTAATTAAACCTTCATATTCTTTTTTTTCATAAATGGTGAATATTTATAAACTTTTCTATATCTTTTTATAAATAGTAAGAGCATCAACTCTTTACTTTTAATAATAATAGAATAATTCTTATTATTATTATTATTAATGATATTCTTAATAATAATAGTCTCTAAATATATAATTATAAACTCTTTTTGAATAGTAAAATCATCAAATCACTTCAACATTTCTTTTAGATACTCTATTTAGTTATTTTTAAACAATTTAAAAGTAATTCATCGTTAATATTATTGGTAAATAGAAATACAAAATATTTAATTCATTTTGAATACTTTATTAATTAACTATTTAAAATTATAGATCTCAATCTAGAGAAGTTCAGGTTAAACCCTATTAATATTATAGCAAGATGAACTAAACAAATTCATATTACTTGATGCCAATAAAAGAAAGAGAGTCTGTAGCCATTTTGTTAACTTCGTTCATCATTGGTAGCTTGGAAGTAGAACCCCCTGCAAGCTTCATTTGGTTTGAAATCATTGGACTTATTCCAGAGATTGGTGATTTACTCAAGACGTTGGAAACCGGATTATTCTTTAGTGGTGCGGCCATACTTGTAATAGAAGCTATATTTTTGATAGTTAGTTATCCATGTAGGTACAAAATTATATTAATAGCTATTATATTACTTACAAAACAATCCCATTTTATAGTTTTTTTATATAGAGTTTAGAACAGATAATTAAAACTACAGATAATTCTAGAATAACAAAATGTATTGATCTAACTATAGGAACATACAATTTTATATAGTTTAAAACAGATCATTGATTTCTAGGTAGAAAGAAAGACATGATTCTATTACTTCAATCGTTTATTATTTATATTTATTTTTTATTATAAGATATTCCTCTATCTATTCACATCATTTCTTCTTCAACTTCTCTCAAATAAAAAGAGTTCTTTTTTTTAACTTTTAAAGATATTGTTTCTATCAAATGTTTAGAATCAAACTTATTACTTTATTATGTTAAACAAGTTGTAACTGTTGCCTTTAATTTGAAAATGGAAATAAATAAATAAATAAATATTTTTTGTAAAATCCATTCTTCTAAACATCTATTAATTTAAAAATTAAACTATTGATAATCATTTATTCAAATACATTTATAAATATTCATTGTCTTCAAAAATCAAATAATTGTTTTTGTTCATTTTTTTTTTTTTTTTTTTGATTCAATATCGATCAAGATAAATTTAATAGAAAATGGAGGAATTATTTAACTTTGTTTTTTATATACATATTTTATTAATTGATTGTTTTATATATCTCATTTTAATGATTAAATAAACAATGGTTCTGAGTAAAGAACATCCAAATAATGTTTGAGATTATCTTTTTCAACTTTAAGATTCTTTCTGAGGGTATTTTCATTGGTGTTGAGCAACCTATTTGGCCAAAACATCTTTTGATTTAATATTCTCTCCCAACACTTGCACATCTTTTTGTTTTTCCTCTTGTAGTCATCACGACCGTTGACCATAGTTTTATATCTATCCCTTGTATATCGATGAAATTTCTTGCTGAGATTCGATGATTCAATTCCATATTTAAGACATACTTTTTCTTGTGTCAACATGAAATCCGACATTCCCAATTTTATTTGAGGGGATTCTCTTTCTTCATCATTTGATTCTTGTTCTTGTTCTTGCTCCTGTTCTTGCTCTTGTTCTTGCTCCTGACCCGATTCTTCTTGTTGTTCTTGCTCTTGTTCTGTTTGTTGTTCTATTTGTACTGTTTGTTGTTCTGTTTGGTTTACTATTGGTTGTTGATCATAATCGCTTAATGTATTATGTTGTCTATTGTAAATTAAATTTAATGGTTGTATATAGTTTGAATTTAACTCAACGTTGAGATTGGAATTGTAAATTGTATCATTATTTGCAGTTGAGTTACTATTTGAATATTCAAATTGGTTGTATTTAAAATTTTCTTGATTTGGGTATAAAGTGTAAAAATATCCAGGATGGACTAACGATTGCTCATTGTGTATCTGTTGACTGGGAATGACAATATTTTGATAGACGACCTCACCCACCGAATCGTTGCCCTGATCTAAATAGCAACCAATTAAGATTAATAATATTAGAGTAAGTAGAGATAACCTAGTATTTACCTATATAGTTTACTTCAAAGCCGTATTGACTCATCGTATGTACATTGAAATTTTTTAGGAGTTTGAAGAGAAAAAAAAAATTGACAAACAAAAAACAAAAAATTATTATTTCAAAAAAAATTTTATCAAAAAATTAAATTTAATTTTTTGGAGGTGAAAAAACAATAATCCAAGTTTGTATGGCGCAGGTGATTAAAAATATTTTGGTGGATAGTGTGGAAAAAAAAAAATATTAAATTTATTCATATATTAGACACATTCTTATCACTATTGGAATAATTTTTTTTTTTTTTTTTTTATCTTCATGGACCTATCTTTAGCATAGGTTGTTTTGAAATGAAAAATATTCACCAAAGTATTTTTAATCACCTGCGCCATTGTTGATTGTTTAACTTGAGAATTAATATATATATATCTCTAAATTTATTGTAATTTGGAAAATATAATAATTTCCTCAATTTTACCAAATCATCTTATAAATAAAATCTATATCTAATGTCAATTCAAAATTTTGAATCCAAAACTTAATCCTTTGAAGTATTCCTAGTCAAAAACCTATTTGATCCAAAATAGAGTGTAGTTAAAGTTTTAAATCTAAACATTGAATAAATGATAAAAGAAAAGTTGATGTTAGTAACATGAGTTTCGAAAATATTAATGATTTCTTTTGGAATAAATAGTTTAATATATAAAACTATCGAATAATCTGATTTGCTCTAGTCTAATCATTAGAAAAATAAACATAAAATATTAAACTGCTGTTGTTGAGAAAATATATATGATTGCAATATTATTTTTGTTACTATTTGATTATTGATTATTATAATGTTTTTTGTTGAAAGAGTGAAGAGAATGGGATAGATTAAGTGAAGGAGATACAGAGCTACAAACCAATACCTACGAATATGAATAGAGTATTGAAAGTGTATATATTTAAACAGCTAGGATAGAATAACATTGATAGTTAAATAGTTGTCATTCTATTATAGTTATTATATCTATTTAAGTAGCCTATTTGAGGATCATAAATCATCAATACAGGTTGGCATTTCAAAGATCTTTTTATATTCTTTAAGAAAATAAAGGCTTCTAACTGCTTTTAAAATTGAAAGGAATGGAAAGTTAATCAATTGTTTTAACTATGATATTCAAAACTTTATAAATTCTTTACAAACTCTTTACAAATTCTTTACAAACCCTTTACAAATTCTAAAGAATTAAAATGATTTTCAATCTGTCGAATATTATGATTCAAATTAAATCATTCCTATTGGAAAGTGTTTCAACTAAAGTAGAGTAAATAATATAATTTAAAATAGAATATAAAATAATAATTCTTTTTTTTTTGTGAATACTATTCTCTAATTTAATATTCAAAAAATAACAAAATCAAAAAAAACAAAGAATTTTTATTTTTTTCAAAGTAACAATACCTAATTTATAAATCAACTATTGAATAAACCTTTAAAGCAATAATTATATACGATTTATTTTTAATGATCCTCTCTGCAGACTTTTATTATTGATAAATATTATATATATATATATATCATTAAGGATATTTAGATCAAAAAATCAAATACATGATATTTTTATCAAATAAATTAGATTCTGGGTACACATTAGAGTTTTAGATTCAAATATTAGTTAAAATATTAATAAAAGTTAAAAAATAAACTTTTAAAGTTAAATAAAAATAAATGTTTATTTCAAAAAAGAAACAACAATCTTCATCCTATCATGTCCATGATAATTTATTAAATTATTGAATCCTCTTTGAGGATTTAAGTAATAAAAGAGTTGAATAGGTTTATTTTTTTTTAATCTTAAATAGTCTTTATTAGATTCCTTTTATAAAGCGAGTAGGAATATTCATGATTATCTTATTTATTGATATAAGTTTATGTTTTTTGATTGTATAGTTGTGAGTATCAAAAATACTATTATTTTCTTATCTAGTAACTTCTCTTCTCAAAGAAAGAATTTGTCTATAATATTAATTAAAACTACACCTTCACCTTTTATTCAGAGACTCTGAAATAGAAAATATATTGCTTTATTTGTTATATTATCAATATAACATATTATATTTAACAATATTTACAAATTTTTATCATTTATTTACTTTCAAAACTAGTTAAAACATATCTTAAAGAGTTTTGAAAGTAGCTATATTGATAGATAATATTAACACATGTATTAGGATGGTCATCCTGGAAGTAGTATTTGATAAATATATCCATAAACAATACTAAAATGACATTACAATCTCTTTAGCCGAGAATAATACTCTACATATATATGAAGATATATAAATAGTTTTAGTTCTCCAAGTAGTAATGTAAAAGTTGGTGATGAAAATTATTATTTAAATAATACATACACATATTGCGAAATTTTAATTACCACATGTCTGATTTAATTTATTATAATCATTTCATCTATTTATTGTGTTCTATACTTTTTAAAATAATACTATAGTCCCCAACAAAACATATTTCTTTATTCATTGTATTGGGACCAATAACATAAAAAAATTTAAAAAAAAATGTTGCAAAAATACAAATTTTTTTATATAAATATTTTATTTAATTGTTCTCTTGTGAAAGTGATAGACACCAAATTATTAATTGTTTCTAAAAATATTGATCTGTCAATTAACTTTTTATTTAATTCTCCTGGTTAATTTAAATTTGATATTTATCCTAAAGTTTATCCTACAAAATCCTAAAATGATATAAATAATAAAGTATGAATTAGAACAATTGATATAAAATCTAAAAGTCAATGATCAAGAATTATAAAATATTATATTGTTTTCCTATAAAAAAAAAACAAAGTATTTGAAACGAAAAACACTACCTAAAGTTATCTATCAACCTAGAGTTCTTTGGTAATTTTATGTTGAGACCTATCAATAGAAATATGTTATGAGAACTACGTGAGATTAGTTCATATGGTGAATAAATATGGCTTGCTATTGATTATTTTGATTAATGATTCTCGCCTAAAAGTGTCAAAATTATTTATAATTATGAATCGATTGTGATTGATTAATTATTAAAAAAAATGTTGAGCTATATATATATGTTGTTGATAGTCTGAATTAATAAAGTATTCTAAATCCTTTTTTTATTTAGAGAAAAACCTAAAATTTGTTTATAGAAAGAAAAAAACATTAAAAAGTGATTAAATATAGCTAATACCCTTTTAGTCTTTTTTTTTAAACTCTTAAGGTTGGTTGATACTCTAACCGACCTAAACATGGTTATCATATTTTAACATTGATTAGATATGAATTGAGTTGTTATTAAGAGTTGAGGATTCTAACCAAATTCAAAGTAGTAACTCAATGAAAAGCTGTGGTATTTCGAGTGAATAAAGCTATGTTTAATAACTATTTTTCCAAATCTATTAAAGATACATTATTTATATTAGAAACTCTTTAATATGAAATAATAATTATAATATCAACCAAAGTTTAGTTGGTGAATAAATACCTCTACAAATTCTTTGATTTTTAACTATTGAGAACCTTTATGTAAAAGTCTGCCTATTTAGGATATTTAGATTATTTGTTTACAAAATCATTTTAAAGTTGATGTTTTTGATTCCAGAAAGGTCAATGTTGCTATTATTAATGATCAAAATACTCTTTGATCATTATAAATCGGAAATATTTATATTAATATTGTTTAAAATAATTTAGCTAATTTTTTTTACAAGATATTTAACCAACTAATATTATTTGCAATCCTAGAGTATCAATCAATAAACAAGAGTAGTACTTTAAAATAATAGTATTAAAATATAAATAAAAAATTAAAAAAAAATAAAAAGATTTGTAAATAATTGGACAAAAAAAATATTACTTTTGAAATCTTTTGTTTTTTTGAAATACTTTTTCAATTATTTATTTTTATTTTTTTAAATTCTATTTTGAGAGAGGATTAATTATATATAACAAAAAGATTAAACTTTTTGAGAATAGAACAATAATAAGAGATCAAATAAATTTAACTGATGTTCAATCTTTTCTTTAAATGAAAATTGTTTTTATTATTTTATTTCTACTAAAGAGAAAAAAAGAACCTTCTGGGTTCCTACGTCCTAATATCAATAAGGATATCTATAGATTCTAGAATTGAGTGAAACACTGATTTCCTGCAGTTATTTATTATCATTTAAATCTATTTCTCTTTAAAATAACCAACAATTCCGACAATTTCTTTACTGATCACTATAATTTCTTAACTAAATATTATTTAAACATTCTTATCTTTACCTAAAAATATTTCTATTTGTTTAGTGTTCTCTTTACTGTTTATGAATTGCAGGTTCTATATTTCTTTGCTTTAAATACTAGAGAAATGACATAAAGTTTATATTAAATTGGTTGATCAACACTTTATATTCTAACCTCTAATAATAAAATTGTAGTATTTGTAATAGATTATTCTGATTGTCTGTATTTCCTACAATGAATTTCTTTAAAATTGATTAATTAATAAGAACTTATTATAATGAACTAAACAATCAGTAGAAGATACTTACTGTAGGTTCGGAACTATCATTTCCTAATTTAAAGAAAAGATATCTATTTACAATACTTTATACATCTTGTACGCTATTTTCTTATTGATGTTGAAAGTTTCTCTCTTTTTTTAAAAAAAAAACATAATGAGAAAAGTGTTTGAGGCTATAAAATATATACCATTAGTATACTCTTATTTATAAAATTAATAAAAAATATACGAACTATTCCTTTCATATACAACTATTCCAAACTATATTGCTAATGAATATGTTTGCATTATGGATTGAAAAAAAAAGAATCCTTTGAGCTATCTATCTATTAAAACCATAAATAGAAGAGGAAAAGGCAAATCTTTGGTTTTATAGGCTTATAGAGAGATGTGATAGGATCATTTGATTGGAAAATTTTAGGATTTGATAATTGTTTTCTATAATCTAATAATACTACGTCAAAAAATAAAAATATATTAATAAATAGTAATAAATATTTTCTAATAATATTATATATATAATTATAATCTATTTTTTTATAAATAAATAAATTCTTTGTGATGTTACTTTTGATAAAAAGCTTCATAAAAAAAAAAAGAAAATAACACAGATTTTTTTATTTATTTTTTTTCATTTGAAAGATTAATTTTGTTGAATTATTTATTTTAAAATAAAGATTTTTTTATACTCTCTTAATAATTATTTTTAAAATCCATTCTATGATATAATATGGTTAGTTCCCTCCAATAAATTAAGTGATATTACTATATTGTTGAATAAAAATATTCGCAATTAAAAAACAAAAAATATTACTTTTGAAATTCTTTTTTTTTTTTTCAACATTTATTTTTTTTTGGATAAAAATTTATCCAATAAAAATTATTACTATTATTATTTTAAACTATGGTATACTTATTGGTATTAATGGTATATGAATAAAGTCTATACTTAGTTTTTATAGAATATTTGAAAGTTGAGGATATTATCCCTCTATTTCTATTTTTGAATAAAAATCTTTAATATTCATTAATGTTGACCTGTTCTATATTTCTTAAAAGTTCTCCTTTTACCTATTTGCAATTGATACTTTTAAAAGTGATAACAGTGTTGGTGAATAAAAAGTTATTGGATTCTCCATCTCATACTTACTTTTTTAGATTGATAATATATTCTAGATTTCTTTAATATAACTAAAGCTCACTATATGTAACTTTCTTTTGTCCTAATAAAAGTAGAATGTGTTCACCTGATTGTGTATCAATGATAACATTAAAACCGAAAAATATGAACAAGTGGCCATTACAATTTGGATTTTAAGTTGCTGTAATACCCTAAATTGATAAGCTGTAGTAAATCTCGTAAAATATCGTTGGAGCTGTAGATACTGTATCAAACTATCTAAAATAGAAATATACTTTTTAATGTCATTCCTATTCAATTCCTACACTCTTTAGGGGGATATATAGAGATAAGACCTATTAGTACACATATTTAGTATTTGATCAATTATAACATACCGCTGTCCGATTATGGCTAAGTGAATTGTGTAAAAGTATGTGTCTTGGTCATTAATATGATATCTAAAACTATTACTATTTTTATTTGATATTAATATCCTTTTATGTTTCTATCTTAATTATAATTATATTGATATTATTACCTTTGAAATATATTGATCCTAAGAGACTAATAAAATAAACTCAAATTACGTGTCTAGTACTGATAGGCAGATGCTAAGATGACCTAGGTTTAATATCTGATATTATTCATATTTAATAATATTTTGAAAAGAGTAGGAACATTAAGGTGTTTAACTGAATTTAATTATTATTAATTGGTTTTGAGAAAAAGTAATGACAGCTGTTAATATTGTTTAGGTTCTTTAATTTATTTTAATAAAACAAACCATTCTTACAATTAAAATTAAATAAATAGTTGAGGAAAGGTAATTCACTGGTTGATAAGCTTATAGAGTGATGTGATAGGATAGGCCATCTTGTATCAATTCATTGGAAAATTATATGATTTGATAATTGTTTTCTATAATCTATCAATTATATGTCAATAATTAATAAAAATAATAAAGATAATAATAAATATTTTCTAATATTATAAATTATTTTTTAAATTCTTTGTGATGTTATCAATGTAGTTATGGAATTCGCACATTTTGATTGAAAAAAAAAAGAAAATAACAGTTTTTTTAATTTTTTTCACCTGAAAGATGAATTATTTTAAAACAAATATTAAATAAATCTTTGATAAACTCTGTAAAAGAATTGTTTTAAAATCCACTAAATCATAAATATTATATTTGTAGACTCCTATAAATGAAAAGAGATATTCAATGATTTCAAAATAAATTATTACAATATTAAAATAAAACATTCCTGCAATACAAAACAAAAAAAAATACTTTTAAATTCTTTAATATTTATTCTTTTTGGAGAATTTGACCAATAAAAATTATTATTATTATAATAATAGATTATACTATGGATGTTTGAGATCTACTTTTTTTATATTATTGGTCTTGATTAATTGGACAGATTTAAAATTGGTACACTTCTATTACTATATTTGAGTCAGGACTCTATCGAAAGTTGTATCAAATATTGAGATTGTTTAACCTAGTAACCTGTTCAAAAAAATGAATTTCGCTTTTTACCTATTTAAATGATACTTTAATAAAGTGATATCACTCGTTAATAAAAAGCTACTAAATTGCTCAATATCTGAAATATTCTTTTATCCTAATAATTGTGAAAGTGTTACCTTCTATATTACCTTCTCTCTCCATCTTTTCTCCGCGGTTGGCTTTCACTGATGATTATTTGAGTAATTCGGTAAATAGGTCGTCTTTCCATACTAACTTGGTTCTTACCTTCCTACCATGGTATTGTTATTGCCAGTCTTCATGCAGACCTCCTGGTTGGCGATAGTGGTGCTTTGGGTATCTTCACTTATCACTTGCTTTTGAATAAGATATTGTTCATGATTTATTGATGGTAAATATCTTAGCTTGCCTTAACTGTTTCCAGTAACTACCTCGTGGATGTATATGTCCTCATAGTTACCTGTTATACACTATTCTATATCAATGATAGCTTTAAAACCGAAAAATATGAACTAGTGATAGTCATATAATGTTGGATTTTAAGTTACTTTCAATACACTAATTATCTGATGTTCTGTAGCAATCTATTTGAGATAAGATCTATTAGTTGACATATTTAATAATTTGATCAATTTCAACTAACCATACTGATGATGACCAAGTGAATGAGTTGGTGTAAATATTTTATTCTTTCTATAGTGGAACCTAACTGATATCTTGGTATCATTATTATTGATACTCTCTATAATAATATTGCAGATATTAAATTATTTATGAACAATTTCTGTATCTAAAACTATTTGATATTAATATCTATTTAAGTTTCTAGCTTTTAATATTATTGATATTCCTACTACCTTTTTGTATTTAAATGCATTGAGTCTCTTTCTGATATTCAATTTGTAAATCTTAATCCTTGTAAAATTATGGTGTTTAGTTGAATTTATTTAATGCTAATTGGTTTTGAGAGAAAAGTCTATACTTTTCTCTTTATATTGATTATTTCTGTAATAAAAATAATAGAATTGAAATTATTCAACAACATCCTCTAGTTGACTAAATGACCGTTTCAATGATCCAGTAGTAACAAGGAGATTGATATAGTCATGTGTGATTGGATTATTTGTATTAAATAAAAATTTGGAAAACCAAAAGATTCTTTTTGATCATATATCTAATAGTTACTAAAAATATATTTAATAGAATATAGTCAATTTAGTTGAATTATAATTAAAAACAATAGTAAAGTATAAAAAAAAAAAAAAAAATTATTGACTATCATTGATTTTTAAAATAATGAAGAAAATTAGTGTAATTGATTGTGAAAAAACCATTTTTTTTTGTTTTTTTTGTAAATCTACACTAAATAATTAGATTTTCATTGATGTTGTTTTAATTAAACAATATTAGAGGATTAATTAAAGGTTCATTCAAAATAAAGATCCAATTTCAATTTAATTAATTTTATATTTATCATTGGTCTAATAGATAAATATTTAATAAATTATTTGGATCATTTTAATAAAAAAATATTTATAAACAAAATTTTTTTAAAACTGGTAAATTAAGTATCAAAAACCAAAGATTTTTTAATATTTTAAATTAAAATAAGAGTAATAATACGAAAAATAACAAAAAATTTTAATTTCAAATACTTTGCATAAAATAAATATTTTGAAAGTATTTTTTTTTTTGATTTTTGGCAAAAATTTTGTCCAATAAAAACTAGTACTTTACTTTAATTTCATGCAAAATAGATTGTTTTGGAAATATACATTCTTTTTAATCTTATTTAGTACTATTGATTTAAATTTCTATTTGTATAGTTCTTTCTTTTAATTTAAAATTATTACTAAATAAGTATGTGTGTAATAGTTAATACTAAAAAAGTAGTCCTGTCAATTATTAGTTGTCTGTTAATAAAATTCTTTTAAAAAAAAAGTTACTTTAAAAAGATTTATTAAAATTATTTATATACATGTTATTGGATCTTTGTTAATACTCTAGTTTTTAATAAAAATAACTGATATAGTAGATACTACTATTGTATGAATGATTACTTAGGATTGTCGTAATTGCTATTATATTGGAATCAAATCTAGGAAATTTAAAGAAATTGAATATTAGGATCGATAAATATACCAATAGGGTGACCTTTGAATTCAAATCCAGTACAAATTCCGTTCAAGATTCTCTATTTATTTTATGATAAGAGGGAAACCATGCTATTATTTAATATCTATACCAACTACACTTAAAATTTACCATACCACTTTTCACTAAAACTATCAATTTTTATTCAAATATTATTGACTATATCATTTTTGATATTGACAAAATAGAAGAGATAATAAAGAAAAGTATTGGGTGGTCTGATTCTTATCAAAAAAATTTTTTAAATAAAAAAATAATAATTTTGTTTTTTTTTGTTTTTTTGAAGAATCATCACGGAACAAGATGTATGTCACAATGAGAGAGAATCATTGTTCTTAAGAAAAAGGACAATACACTTTATAAATAATAAATATAATACAAAAAAAAAATATACAAAAAAAAATACAAGTTTATTTAGAGTTTTGTTATTTCTTTTCTCGAAATCTGGTAGGTTCTTTACTAAATTGTATAAAATATATCCATGCTTATTAAGAAAGAAAATCTAGTGAATTGCAGAAATCTAGTATTAATAAATACAGGATTATTTATTTTTTTAGAAAGAAAGTGTTATTGGTCCTTCAAGATTGTTTTAGGGGTTTCATCTCTCTACTTTGTTAACCTTAGATCTTGGTTGTGTATAATTATTCTTGTTCTCTTTTACAAAATAGTTTACAGGTTAACTATTAAAATTATTTACTAAACTACACCTACTAAACAATTTCATTGTATTATAGATTATAATTTATAGGATTGGAATAGTTTAAAAAATTCAATAGATTACTCAATACCTTAATGGATTATCGTAGTTGTGATACTCTAGTTCTAAAATCAACAACACATCACTCATAACTCCATCACTAGTGTTCTTTAACAAGAAATTTAATTTATTTAAATTTGTGGTTTTTTAGAGAGTATTTTATTATTGTTTATTCTCAAACATTTCTATCCTATTTAAAACCAGCCATAGATAACAATGAACTAGTAGATTTATTAACCATATTCATAAAAGGATTATTTGCAAAGACACCTTCACCTTTGACCATCTCTTGTGAAACCATTTGATTCATTCCTTGTGTTTGACCACCACTTAATACATTATTATTATTGTTTACTGTTGAAGATGGTTGACCCATACTAGTTAAGTTTGCTATAACATTAGAAATAATAATAAGTTAATTAATATTTAATTATAAAAGATGTTATTAAGAAATACTTACAAAATAATGCCATTTTATTATTACTATTATGATTTAGAAAATAGAAAGATTATAGAAGTAGAATAACAATACAGATATATCTTTTAATATTAGAAATAGTTAATTGATTATGAATGAATCATGGCCACTTGTTCAATATTTATAGATCACACTCTATCAACACATCAATCGATTACAATATAATCAATTATCAATAATCAATAATTTGGTTAAAGTGTCATCTTATCACTTTATTTCATAAATCATTACTTAAAATAGATGAACAATAGTAGATAGAATCTACTTATTATAATGACCTATTGTTAAATTAGTTAATATTACCCAATATAAAAGGTTCAAATATTTAAAAAAAGATAATAAAGATTTAATTTAATCAACAAGATTAACATCAATATGTAGATATACACTTTATTTACTTCTTTGTTGAGGTTGTTTATTTATTTATTTTTTTATGTAAGGTTGAAGGTGATCAATATCAATTCTATATTTATCTCTAAAAATTATTGATATTATTTGTTGCTATAATTCTACTTCTATAGATCTATTGTTTGTAATTTAATGCTTAAATTTAAATTATTAGTCATTGTTCTTTAGAGACCACTTCAAATTTTTGTTTGATTCACTACATAGCGATTTGTATTGTGATCCGTAGTTCTATGAACTTTGCTGACAATCCTCCAATTAAGTGTTTAATGATAGAGTATCATCCTCTAAATCTAACCAAAATATCTACTCTAAGACTTCAACATTCTCTATTTGAATAATATCAAATTCTTATTTAATCTGAACGGGGGTACCTAGATTCATTTACATATAGGGATGAATGATGTTAATTTGATATCCTTAAATATTGTAATAAATTACTCCTACTTGATAATATATGAATCTCTGCTACAATATTTGAAGTGCTCTACTATAAACAGACAGGTTTTGTTTGTTATTGTTGATGAATTCACAGCTTTGGATTGAATAATTATTCTTTACTAAAAAGATTATAGATATTGTATGCAATTCAATAGCACATTTGTATAAGAAAATGTTAATATATAATTGATTAATTCTACACTTTTTTATTTTTTTGTTCCCTACGAACCTATTCTAATAATATAGTATTGTGGTAACAATTTCAAATCTCTACAACTGTTTTTTTTTTTTTTAATATTTATTTTCTTTACATTTTGGTAATGAAATAAGAGATTCCTTTAAATAAATAAATAAATAAATAATTTTTTAATATTAGTATTTTTTTTGTTTAAATAAAAAATGATTATCACATTTTTTGTCAAGACACCAAACACCATCCAAATTTTTTATTTTTGTTGTTGGCGAGTTTGTATTTTTATTTTTATTTTTACTCATTCCTCATCAAAATTAATTAAAAATTTATGCATTCCTTTAACAAATGTTTTATATTTACCTTCATAAAAATGATTTCTTTCTCTTTTGATAATTCAAAATTAAGTTTTTTTCATGTCAAAATATAAATAATTATAAATAATTATTCTAGTTGCCACAACACAATTATCTTTACAATCACTTAATAAGATCGTTTAGATCATATGGTTTGTTAGAAACTGCATTATGTTGTGGTAGTAAAGACATATAGTGGTATTATATTAAATGATGTTATAATAAATATTAAGTTATCTTTTGTTCAGATGATTATAAAAATATATCCTGTTTATTGAGTTTATTGAGCTTTAAATACTTGTTGTTGAGTAGTAATCAGTTAGCAGTAATCGGTTGGTTGGAACTACGGGTTCCGATACCTTGGAAATACGATTCCAACAGGTTGAAGTTTTATTTCAATAATAAATTGAATAGCTATGTTCTAATTTTAATTCTATTCTGTTTATTTATAAAAAACTAAAGTGTAACAAAAAACTATCAAAAAAGATTAAAACTCTGAGATCGAACAATATCACTTATATCTATATCTAATATCTTCTTTGTTTATATATGATACCAATAAAACCTAGACAAGTTTTCACTGTGATTTATTTATTGTTTATTTTTATTGGACTTATTATTATTAAGATAAAAGTTGAAGGTGACCAACATCAATTCGATATTTAAATTTGAAATAAATTGATATTGTTTGTTTTTATCCTATTTCTATAGATCTATTGTTTGTAATTTAATAGTTTAAATTGAAATTATTAGTGATTGTTGATTGTAGAACACTTCAAATTTCTGTTTGGTTAATACCTACTTTTAAAAGTGTTGATCAGTCAAAGATTGGTGTACTTTGAAAGTCGATTTATTAAATTTGAGAATCTGATGATAGATGACCATGTTTTACAAATCAATAGAATAACATCTCTAATAATCCATCAATATTCTACTTAAGTGCATGAAGTAGAATAATGCACTAACACTAATTGAATCTAAAATTACTATCTATATTGGTTATATATATCTAAAAGATAGGAAAATGAAAGTTAGTTAACAGAGAGTTAAGTTACTATCTTAAATATTGTAATTAATAAATCATACTGATATCTCTCAAAACCGAAGATAATGTGTTGAGCTACCAAAGTACAGAGTATGACTTTAAAGATTAACTTTATTGAAAAGTACGGCACCACTCTATTTTATTGATATCATAAATCAACTAATTGCAAATACTATCCAAAGGAAAAAGAATAAAAAGTTAATAAACATTATTAAGGTTAATTCTTTAAAATATTTAAAACGAACCTGTCGATATTTTATATCATGATACTATGATTCCATTTTTCAATATCCATTTTTAAGTTATAGCTATATTTAATGATTAAATTTAAAGAGAGAGTAATTAAATAAATTAAATTGGCGATAATGATAGATAACCATCTTTTAAATTCAACAAACAAAAATTTATCACATTCTTTACATTTTAATATTGTGATACTAAAAAAATACAAAATTTAAAATTTTTTTCAATATTTGGTAAATTTTTCTGCAAAAAAAACAAAAAAAATGAGATGTTGGAACAAATATTTCATTTTGTTGTCTGTGATTGGTTAATTTAAATGTTTAAAATAGTATCCAAAAAATTTATTTAATAATATTTAAAGTGAATAACAGAACATTAATTTAATTAAAAATAGCTTTTGTTTGAGTTGGACACTTTACATAAGCCAATATCCTATTAAATCTTTGAATAATTCCTTGTTTGTTATAGCCGACTATCATTCACTAAAATATTTATAGTAATTTTGTAATAATAATATTTTTTTATTTAGTCTATCACATAACCGAGTATTATTATTTCTTGTTGATATTTCGAATTTTAAATGTTACTAAATAATGTTTAAATGATGATTAAAGTGAATTATTTAGTCAATTTTGTTATCTTCATTGTTTTGTTTATTAGAACTAATATTTTATTATAAATATAACAATAACATAGACTAGTCTTCATAACTAAATTGTGATATATAGTTGATGATTTTATTTAATTATAATATATATAATTATATCAATATTTATTGGATACAAGTCCTATTGTGATATTATATTATTTTACTACAATAAAAGTTGGATGATCGAGGTTGATCAATATCAAATGTGCATAATATTAAAACTGATGCTATATTTCTATTTCTATAGATCTATTGTTTGTAATTTAATAGTTTAAATTAATTAGTTATTGTTCATTGGAATACACTTCAAATTTCTGTTGGTTGACACATACTTTTACAGGTTTTGAGCTGTAGATTATCTAATAATTTTGAACTCAAACTGTTTGTTGGTGTTGTAGATTTATTAAAGCTGAGTATTTGATGATAGACGACATTGTTTAAATCGAGCCAATAAAAAGTGATCTCTAAAAATACTTGATCATTCTCCTACTTTATATATTCAAACTATAATAATATCTATAATTGTTGTCTATAAAAAAATAAATCTATAACCAAGTAATAAAAAAGTATGTTAGTTTAAGAGATTATCTGATTGATATCTTTGAATATCGTTTGTAAATACCATTGTTTGGTTGAGCACAAAGTAATCAAATGTTTTTTAGGAATCTGATAAACTTTTGAATTTGTAATGAATTCGGTAACATCATAATCCTAGAGATTTGATGATTTCATCTGGTACAATGATAGCCTAGAATTATAGATCGCTTTTTGTCTTTGTTATGACAAATCAATTTGAACCTCTATTAATTAAAGTTATTGCTAAAATGGATATTAGTTAGTCATTAATTATCACTGAATGTCTCTTTTTGCGATTCTATATAATTATAAATGATATGTTGAAATGTTAGTATGTGAGATGGTAGATGGTATTAGATATATACTATTTTATTTAAATCTAACCTTTGTAAAAGAACAATATATACTGCTTAAAAAAAATATAATGTTAAATGTAACTAACAATTGATTGATGAAATTAACATAAAATCACAAGGCTATTAGCTACTATTATTATTGATTTATTTATTTTTGTCTCAAGTTTGATTGTAAGCTTACTGAATAGAATAAATCTGATAGTATAAATATATTTATCAATTTGATAATATAAATAAATAATATCTTAACGAATATTATTTGGTTCCAATACTATTTAAAACATTCTTCTGTTTGTGTCAAAGTATTTTTGCAAAAATATCAAAGTATTTAATTTTTTTCTTTATTATTTATCTGTAAAAATGATACAAGAGATGTATATATAAAATAATTTAATTTATTTTATTTTAAAATAGAATTTTAAAAATTTGATGAAACATTTCAAAAACATTTGAAAAATTTAAATTTAATTCATGTATTTGTCAAAATGGTAATGCAACTTTGGTTTTTTTTTTTGTTTTGGAAATCTATGTCATACACAATCAATTATATCTTTAAACAATATTATATAACTCATATCGAATATATTTTATAATATATCTATTTCTTCAATTAAACAATTCTCAAATAATAAATTACATATTAATTTAAAAATAATTTAATTTAAAATAGTTACTAAACCATCACAATTTTCGATAAAAATGTTAACAAAAAAAAATTAGGAATAGAATAGCTGATGAATGGTTAATTGAACAAGTAATATACATGTCATTCCTCTCTATATATTTATTTAAACAACATAGATAATAATGAAATTGTAGATTTGTTCATAGAATTCAAAACAGGATTATTAGAGAATGCACCTTCACCTTTGACCATCTCTTGTGAAACCATTTGATTCATTCCTTGTATTTGACCACCACTTAATACATTATTATTATTGTTTACTGTTGAAGATGGTTGACCCATACTAGTTAAGTTTGCTATAACAATAGAAATAATAATAAGTTAATTAATATTTAATTATCAAAGATGTTATTAAGAAATACTTACAAAATAATGCCATTTTATTATTATTATTATCTATTTTTTAAAAAAATAATTCAATGAGTATAGAAATAGAATAACAATACAGATATATCTAGAATTATTTAATTGATTATGAATCATGGCCAAATGTTCAATATTTATAGATCACACTCTATCAACACATTAACAATCACTATCATATAATAAAGTATTTAGTCAATCAATAATCAACAATCATTAACTTGGTTAAAGTGTCATCCTATCAGAACTCATTTCTTAAAAATGTTCAACAGTTCAATAGTTTAAAGAATCTACATATTATGATGACCAATTGTTAAATTAGTTAGTTATATTTGGTACCAAATATAATAATAAAGATTTAATCAACAAAATCGATATCAATATGTAGCTATATAGAGTAAAAGATTTTCTTTAATATCTTTGTAGATTATAAAAAGACAAGTTGTTGATTTGATTTTTATTTATTTATTTATTTATTTATTTATTTATTTATTTATTATTATGATAAAAGTTGTTGAAGGTGATCAATATCAATTCTATTTATCTCTAAAAATTATTGATATTGTTTGTTATAATCCTATTTCTATAGATCTATGGTTTGTAATTTAATAGTTTAAATTGAAATTATTAGTGATTGTTGATTGTAGAACACTTCAAATTTCTGTTTGGTTAATACATACTTTTAAAAGATTGACCAGTCAAGATTGGTGTACTTTGAAATACAATCTTCTTCTTAACGATGTCGATTTATTAAATTTGTGGATCTGATGATAGATGATCATATTTTAAATCGAATCAACAGAATAACATCTCTAATAATCCATCGATATTCTCCTTTTACCACTTATATTATTTAATCTAAAATTACTATCTATATTGGTTATATATCTAAAATATATGAAAATGAGTGCTGTTTAACGGTTAGTTAAGTTACTATCTTAAATATTGTAATTAATAAATCATACTGATATCTCTCAAAACCGAAGATAATGTGTTGAGCTACCAAAGTACAGAGTATGACTTTAAAGATTAACTTTATTGAAAAGTACGGCACCACTCTATTATATTGATATCATCCAAACACTATCAAAGAATAAAAAGAATAAAAAGTTAATAAACATTATTAAGGTTAATTCTTTAAAATATTTAAAACGAACCTGTCGATATTTTATATCATGATACTATGATTCCATTTTTCAATATCCATTTTTAAGTTATAGTTACATTTAATGATTAAATTTAAAGAGAGAGTAATTAAATAAATTAAATTGGCGATAATGATAGATAACCATCTTTTAAATTCAACAAACAAAAATTTATCACATTCTTTACATTTTAATACTGTGTACTAAAAAAATACAAAATTTAAAATTTTTTTCAATATTTGGTAATTTTTTTTGCAAACAAAAAACAAAAAAATGAAATGTTGGAACAATTCTTTCAATTCGTTGTCTGTGATTGGTTAATTTAAATGTTTAAAATAGTATCCAAAAAATTTTTATTATTATTAGATTTAATTTAAAGTGAATATCAGAACATTAATTTAATTAAAAATAATATTATTCACATAAATCATCTTATAAAAATAAACAATATAATACCAACTATTTGACAATATTAAAAAAAGCAATGGTTATTACTTGCCGTACAGCTTTTTTAATTTTCAAGTATTTGATTTAGTTACCCTATATCTTCTTTGTCTTATTTATTAGAACTATTATATATTATTGAAATAGCATATCATCTATTGAAAGACTAGCCTTCAATGTGATATATTTTTGATTTTTTATTGTATTATTTAATATAATAAAATCGAGGGATGATCAACATCATTTCGGTATATAATTGCGAACACTATTAAAAATGTTAGATATAATCCTATTTCTATAGATCTATTGTTTGTAATTTAATCGTTTAAATTGAGATTATTAGTTATTGTTCATTGGAATACACTTCAAATTTCTCTTTGGTTGACACATACTTTTACAGGTTTTGAGCTGTAGTTATCGAATAATTTTGAACTCAAACTGTTTGTTGATGTTGATGATTATTAAAACATTGCCATCTATCATCAAATACTCATCTTTTAGTCTAACCATTAAAAGTGATCTCTAAAATTACTTGAATATTCTCCTACTTTATATATATATTCTGACTAAAATTAAATCAATGATGGTTGCCTAAAAACATGAACCTATAATCAATAGATAAAATTTATAAAAAAATATATACGTAGAGATAAATTGTACGTTAGTTAAAGAGATTCCCATATTGGATTCTTTAAAATCGTTTGTAATTAATCATACCTTTGTTTGGCTGGGAACAAAGCAATCAATTGTTTGGAATATCTTTTGAATTTGTAATGAATTCGGTAACTTCACAATCCTAGAGATTTGATGATTTCATATGATTCACTGTTAGACTCGAGCTATAGTTCGCTGTTTGTCTTGGTTATGACTAATCAATTTGAACTTTTGTTGTCATTCCTTTAGTTGTTAAAAAAGGAGTTATAAGGTCATTGAGTATCTAATTTGTAAATATTTTATAATATATTTATAAGGTTGAGATGTTAGTATATGTTATATTTGATATCTATTATTCTATTTTTAATCTAACCTTTGTAAGAATAACTATATATATTTAACTGCTATAGAAATTTACTGATTTTAAGGATTTTCAAGCTAATTGATTGTTGAAACTAAGTTAGTTTAACCTAAAAATACTGTAGTTATTGCAACTATTATTATTAAATTCATTTTTTTGTTTCTACTATATTAATAATTGAATGGAATAATAATAAGATAGAATTTGAAGAGTAAATCTGATTCTAAAATCTATATCAATTAAATAAATATAACAAATTTTTTTGTTTTTAAATTTAATTTTTATTTAATTATTTTCACTAATATGATCCTGCAAATAAACAACAAAGCCAAACTATAAGTAGTAGATAAAGAATGACAATCTAACATTTGGAAATGATCATACAATTAAATAACAAAAAAAAACAATAATACTAAAATTTGTGAAGGTATTTAAAAATATCAAAAAAATTGTTGAAACACAAAGAATTTATTTAAATATTTAAATTTTTAATTTTTGCAAATATATTTTCAAATGTGTTTAATTAAAAATGTTTTAAAAACAAATTATTTCCATTTTTGACATTCTTTTGGAGTTTTATTCTGAACATTATTGAGCTAAATACTTTTAAACAAACCTAAATTATTTACAATTTATTCTACCGAGTAATAATATTTTATTACTTTGAAAATTCAATCAATTAGATAATTTTAAAATTTGTCCACGATTTTTATTTTTTTTTTTGCGTTCAAAACATACGTTTACTTAATGTTAAAAAGTCAAAAGTATTTAAAACTTTTTAAATAAATATTTTTGTTTTTTATTATCTTAGATGGATGTTGAAATATTGATATTTCTCATGTCAGTCACAATATTTACAAGAGATGATGCTTTGACTTGACTCATTGTCATCATTTGGGACTGATTGCTCCAGCTGATCGTACTACCAAATCCAGATGTCACATTACTTTGAACAACTACAAATGTGGTAGGTTGAATCATTTTTAATAAGTTTGCTATTGTAGTTATATATATAACAAAAATATCGGTTAATATATAAATCATTTTAATGAGTTCATAAAATTTATTAACTATTATTATTGAAACCTACCAATTAATGTCATTTATAGTTAGGAATGTTTTGAAATTAGATGTTTAACTATTATTAAAAATAATTCAACTTAGATCTTGGTTCATTATTTATACCTTTCTCTTCCCAGTATCTATGATGCACCAGTCATCCAATTCAATTTAGTTATATCGAGTTGTACGTGTCTCAGCCCGAACTGTCTGTTATTTAGTTTTTATCTGTGTTTGTCATTGAATGGGTATCCTTTCTTTCACATTATTTATTGAAATCACTAAATTTAGTTGTAAAAGAGAGAAAAGAGTAAGTATATGATAGAAATGACAAAAGTTTTTAATTTATTGTCATTGTAGATTGTTGTTGACAATAACAAAGAAAATAACAATATTTAATAAATTGAAAGTGAACCATCATTCTAAAGCAGTCGTTCATTCGCTAGCAGACATTACGATATAAATATTTATTCATTCATCTATCATTAGAATCGACTTGACTATCTATAATAGATTTTCAAATCATATCTTCAACAAACAACATTTATATTATTATTATTATATATTTATTTCAATCCAATAAAAATACCTATGTGGTTTATCAAATTAAACCATTTGGTATGAGTGTTATAAAATTTTAGTAGTTAGATTATTTGGGCAGTGTTTTTGTGTGTGTATGTATATGTGTGTGTAAGTGTATTAAAGACAATAGTGGTGGTAATAACTTTTAGTTATTTAAATGATCGTTATCTCTATATATACAATATGAATAGATAGGTTAGATGTATAGATTTTATTATGTTCACTCTAAGGTTTCGCTTGGAAATACTCTAAATGATACTATTTTTAAATGAGATAAATTTTAAAATTTAGTAACTATTATTGGACATTTTATTTATATAAATCAAAATAATAACATCATTAACATCATGTATGTAAAGAAAATAAATACTTTTGATCATAAAGTTAACTTTAAAATGACATTTTAGATAATATGATATTCGATATTGATGATCAACCAATTCCACTAATAGATAATAGTTGTCTATCAGTTTTTAATCAGATAAAATAAATATTGATAAACAATCATTGATCAAACTTTTATCCAAAAATGCACAACCAATTTAGCAACAAAAATTTTTAACATACCTCTTCATTTTTTTTTTATTTTTTTTATTTTTTAATCATAAATATTGTTAAATATTAGTTGAATGAAATACAGAACATATTTATTTGTAGGAACTGTATTGATGGGTTTGTTCTTTTCGAAAAAAAGAATATCAGGTGGTACTACTGAAGATGATTGTGCCGGTGTTTCACAGGAAATCATAGATAATTGTGTATTTTGCAATATAATAAAAGATAATACAAGAGTTATTCAATATCAAGTAGGTTGGTTTATTACAATATATATATATATATTAGAACAACAATGATTAATTTGATTCTGGTTCATTATATTATCAATCATTTCAAGGATGACGATGTAGTTGTATTTAGTGATAGAACACCGAAAGCATCGACACACCTTCTCGTAATACCGAGAAGACATATAAAGTCAGTGAAAACACTTAAACCAAGTGATTTACCAACTGGTATGTTGTTAACATCGTACGAGTGTTTATATTCAAATAATGTTTGTTTCGACTAATCAATAGAGTTATACATCTATAGTTTTGAAAATGAAAGACATTGCACAGACTATTGCTAACAGAGATTTCAGTGGGTCTGCATACCGACTTGGATTCCATATACCACCTTTCTATAGTATACCACATCTTCATTTACATCTACTTGTCGAACCGTTTACACCAACAAGAAAACGATTTAATTATACACCTCATCTGGGTGGTCTATGGTATAAATCAGTCGATACAATCATTGAATCATTATCAAAAGATCATATTGTATAGGTAGTTTGTTTTAATAGCTTTATCATATAAATAATAATATTAAATTTTGTAATATATTAAATAGTAATAATAATAACAATATAGATATTTATCTAAAAAAAATCAATTTTTTACAAGAAAATATAATGATCGATAATACAATGATACTAATTCTAAAAAAATTACGCGCGCTTTTTTGAATAACAAACTTGTATCTTTTTTTTTTTTTTTTTTTTGTAATTTGAATTTGTGTTAAGTGATTGCTTTTGCTTATTTATTTAGTTATAATATATCATCTATTTAAAAGATTTATAAATATCTTCATATATAATTAATTAGTATTTTTATTGTTTGAATAATAATAATAATAATAAATAAATAGTTAGTTAGTTGAATATTTAAAAATGGATTATGTTGATGGATCACCTAAACATGATGACGATGACGCCGTTTCATCGCCACCTAGTAGTGTTGGTGGTGAAGATATCGAAGAAGATGTAAATTATATGTATGAAGATGAAAATGTTATTGTGTCGTCCGAGGGTGAAGGAGATGACTTGGAGGACGAGGATCTAATAGAGGAGGACGAAGCAGATATACACAGCGAAGAGGACAACTATGAGAAAGAAGGTCTAGACGAACGAGACTACCAGGAGTTGCCTGCCGAAGAGAGAAGAAAAGTAGAAAAAGAAATAAGAAAGCGTGATCGTGTCGAAAGAAGTCAGAGAAACGAATCTGCAAGACGTGCTTTCAGATTGCCTGTTTCATTGGTTGCAGATGATCAAGATGAATATCTAGAGTTGGACAGTGATCAAGAGAAAGAATTAAAAGGTAAAGTAATCAAAATCAATCAGAATCATTAGTAAATATCAATAAACTAACATTTATATATTTCCTTATAAATACATCAAGTTAAAAGACAAAGATTGGCTGATAACAATAAGAGAGTAAAGAAATCAAAAGAAAAGGTTAAAGTAAAGACTATGATTGAGGATGAATACGACGACGATATAGCATTCAATTTTAATGAAAAGACAAATAGAATCGATGAAGCAGTAAAGAAAGAGGAAGGTGATGATGATGATGAAGAAGAAAGTGACGAAGAAGAAGAAGTATGTAAAACATGTAATATTAAATGTTTGGTAAAGAGTTTTAATTATTAATAATACTTTTTTTGTAACTTTCTTTATAGTATGTCAAAGGACAAGTTAAATTAGAGGATCCACAAGGTCCACTGAAAGAATATATTATATCAGAGGCACCGAGAAGAGAGATCATTCATAATCTAACGGATTTCATTGAGAACTACACCGACAAGAAGGACAACTTGGTATACAGACAGAGAATTCAACAGATGTGTGCATCCAACTTGGAGAGTCTACTAATCAACTATACACATTTGAAGGAACCGTTTGACCAATGGCTGATAAAAGCACCCACTGAAATGTTAGAGATATTCAATGAAGTCGTATTCAAAGTGGTTCTAAAGATGTTTCCAAACTATAGAAACATTGCCAAGTCTATTAACGTTAGAATCACTCATATTCCAACATTATATTCATTAAGAGAAATAAGGTAATGTTAATAACTAAATGATTGCTCCGATATGAATTCATACTAATTAGTAGTTTCAAAATTTAAAAAAGACAAGCGAAATTGGATCAATTGATAAAGGTTGGAGGTGTAATTACAAGAAGATCAAATGTATATCCACAATTAAAGTTTGTAAAATTCGACTGTGTAAAGTGTAAAGTAATCATTGGACCATTCTATCAGAATGGCAATCAGAATATTCAAATCGGTATATGTCCACAGTGCCAATCGAAAGGTCCATTCTCGATCAACTCTGATCTGACAGTGTACCGTGATTTCCAAAAGATTACACTCCAAGAAAGTCCGGGAACAGTACCTGCCGGTCGTCTTCCAAGAACCAAAGAAATCATTCTTTTAACAGATTTAATTGATTCTGTTAGACCTGGTGAAGAAATTGTATATACAAAACAAAATATTTAATAATAATAATACAAATCTAATCTAATCTTTTATATAATAGGAAGTAACAGGTATATTTAAACATAATTATGATTCAAAGTTGAATCATCAAAATGGATTTCCAGTGTTTGCAACTATTTTGGAGGCAAACTATATCAATAAGAAAGAAGATCTTTTGGCATCTTTTATCTTGTCGGAGGACGATGAGAGGGAGATTAGAAAGCTGTCAAAGGAACCCAATATTGGTAAGATGATTATACAGTCAATTGCACCGTCAATCTACGGACACGACGATATCAAGATGGCCATTGCCATGGCGCTGTTTGGTGGTGTACCAAAAGACATCGATAGGAAGCATAGAGTCAGAGGCGATATCAATGTTTTGTTGGTTGGTGATCCCGGTGTTGCAAAGAGTCAGTTTTTAAAGTACGTAGAGAAGACAGCGCATCGTGCAGTCTATACAACTGGTCAGGGTGCATCTGCTGTCGGTCTTACCGCTGCTGTTCGTATCGATCCGCTAACGGGCGAGTGGACTCTGGAGGGTGGTGCTTTGGTGCTGGCTGATCGCGGTGTTTGCATGATCGACGAGTTTGACAAGATGAACGACAAGGATCGTACATCGATTCACGAGGCAATGGAACAACAGAGTATTTCCATCTCAAAGGCCGGTATTGTCACTACCCTGACTGCTCGTTGCTCTGTGATTGCCGCTGCCAATCCAAAGAAGGGACGTTACGATCCAAGCTATTCTCTGCTGAATAACGTCGATCTGACAGAGCCAATCTTGTCTCGTTTCGATATTGCATGTGTTGTTCGTGATACTATCCATCCGATAAAGGATTCACAGCTGGCGCGATTCGTTATCCAATCACATCAACGCTCACATCCAAACAATACCAACGAAGCCAACAACTATTTGGTGAATGCAACTCAGCAATCGCCAATCTCACAGGAAATGCTAAGAAAATATATTATGTATGCCAAGCGCAAGTGTACTCCGAGAATCTCAGAGATCGATCGTGAGAAACTCTCACAGCTCTACGCCGAGATGCGTCGCGAGTCTGGCAATGGTGGATATCCAATGACCGTTCGTCATGTCGAATCGATGATTCGTATGTCAGAAGCACACGCCAAGATGCATCTGCGGGCCAGCGTAACCGATGAAGATGTCAATATGGCCATTCGTATCATGCTCGACAGTTTTATCAACGCACAGAAAACCAATCTGGCAGGTCGTCTACGTAGAAACTTTTCGAAATACATTACCTATCAACGTGATGTCAGTGCACTTCTTTTCTATATACTTCAATCATTGACCGAAGACTATTGTAGTGTATACATGTTGAGGCATGGTGGTGATCCTCCACAAACCATTGAAGTACCACTCGATGAATTTGAAACAAGAGTATGTTTTTATTTCTATTAAAATTATCTTTCAAAAAAAAAAAAAAAAAAAAAAACAAATAACAATAATATTAATAATACTAATAACAATTTAAAACAATCAATCATAGGCAAGAGATATGGGATTACATGAACTAGATAAGTTTTATGGTGCCAATGATTTTACGGAGAAACGATATAAAAAGACAAAAGATAGTATCATCTATATGAGAGTACCAAATGTCAATGGTGCATCAAAACAAAAGTAATTATAATAAATTATATATATATAATTTTTTTTTATTATTCTTTAGTTGGAATAATTGAAAAAAAAACTAAATTAATATCTTGTCTGCATGAAAAATCATTGTAAATTGATTGATTTTTGACAAAACATAATACTATTATCATAATAATCAGATTTAGATAATATCTTGATCCAAATTTCAATTTTTACAAATTTTGCTCTTTTTAAATCTTAAAATGTATGATGACATTTGAACATCAATCAATACCCACTATTAGTCACAAAATATTTGTTTTTTTTTTTTGTTTTTTTGAAACTTTTTTAATTTTTTTTAAATTTTTTTTCATTTTTTTTAAAGTGAAGTCATTAAATTTCGTTGTTTGAATTAAAGCAACTAACAACAAGTGCCAACCAACAACTATTAATAATAGTAATAAACAACAACAACAACAACAACAACATATTAACTTACGATAACATCCGAGACCGATATCGAAGCTTTACTACTATTATTAAATAAAACAAAAAGGTTAATGTTAGATCATCTTACTTCCTATTTGAATTTGAAGTTTGGCTCGAACTCGGCTCAGTTTTTATCTCCCACATTCATTATATATAGTAGTACCACTAATAGATAATAGTCACTAGAAGTAAAAATCAATCTTTTATATAATCAATAACAACCAATAATATAAATTCACAAAAAAAAAAAAAAAAAGTTATAATTAGTTTCTTAATCACATATCCTATTTAATAGTTTGAAATCAAAATGATTGTAAACCTACCGCCAAGGTGGCACTATGAAGGAAAGCATGGTGTTTGTTGTGATGGCAGTTGCGATGGTGGTCATGTAGACAACGATATGAAAGGGCCCAATGACTTTAGCAACTGGGTGGTAAAGGAATATATTATGACTGGTGAATATCCTGGTAACACAAGTGACGAACAACACTTTAAAATATTACAATCTCTGGTTGACAGTGGTATGTTTCTATCAAATTAATTAACATTTAAATAATCATTTATTAATAATATGAATGTTTGTAGGTTTAACATTATTTGTATGTCTGCAGTTGGAATCTGAATTAAAACATTTCAGACCGTATCAAGAGGATCTAAAGCAGATTGCAGCCAAAAAGAATATCGAATTGGAATTTTTACATTTTCCGATTGAAGATGGTGGAGTCGCAGAGAACCTCGATGAGCTATCGGATTTCATTGATTTATTGATAGAAAAGTTAAAGAGTCATCGTATCTACCTGCATTGCTGGGCTGGTCGTGGACGTACCGGTATCATAGCTGCTTGCCTCCTTGGAAGATTGTATCAAGTTTCCGGCTTGGAGGCATGTCGAAGAATACAAGCGTGCTACGAACAGCGTGTCGTCGGTTTTGGTGAGTCCCCAGAGTATCATCCTCAAAAGATGCAAGTTATAAAGTATTTAAAGAATTTACAGAGTAAAGAAACAAACAGTTAATTACTTATTGATCGATTTATTTGTATGAAATAAAAATAATAATAATAAAAAATAACAAAACAAAAGAAATTTAATTATTTACAAAAAAAGGTTTTTATTTTATTAATTGCTTTTTCTTAAAGATAATATTTTATCGGTTGAATATTCTTGCTGGATCATTATGAAGATTCTCTTGTGTCTCTTGCATTAGACCCTTTTTCTTTATACACAATATAGAAATGGATAAGTTAAGAAAAGAGAAAAAAAAAAGAAAAAACAAATTTACAATTTCTTTTTAAATAAGAATATGATATTAGATATTACTTTATGAATTAATTAATGTTTGAAACCAAAACTTACTCTATTATAGTTTGAAGTTGAGCTAGATTGAGTTTCTTGGAGACTGAAACTTGGGGGTGCTAAAGTGGCGTTTTGTACAGAGATAATGGGTGGGGAATCACTGTAATCTCCTAGGAAGTCCTCATGTATCCAAGGTTTCATTGTTGGCTTCTCCATATGTCTAAAAAAGTTGTCCATTTTGAATATTTTTAAATTCTTTTATTTCTAAAGATGATATTTATTTGTTTAAAGAGAATGAAAAATTGATTTAAAACAAAAAAAATGTTCCGACGATTTTATAGAGACAATTGTGTTTTTTTGATATAGGATTGAATTCTCTATACAATTTAAATTCAAATTAATACTTAATTAAGATTAATTAATTTTTAATAAATGTTATATGGTTTATGGTGTTCTTTTTAACTTGAAATTTAAATGGTTGGATTTGGAAAAATAAAAAAAAATACAATTATTGGATAAAAAAGTTTTTGTTTAATTTTTTTTTGTTTGTTCTCATTGCAGTAACTAGATTATCAATAATGAACCCCATTCTCTTTGAAAAAAATGGAATGTGAGAAGTTATTTATCTTTTGCATACCTATATGGATAAAAAAAAATTCGAAAAATTTCCATTTATATAATCTCATTGATATGTTTTTTTTTTTAACCATTTAAATTAACTTTTAAACCTTTTGAACAGTATTTTTGTAAAAAGCACTTCAATAATCATATGATTTTATTAAATTCACCACCACCACCACCACTTTAATATAGTACTATCCCTCTTTCATTTTTAAATGGATATCTTGGACATTGGGATGGAGATGAAAAATTATCATTTTTAAGAGCAAATAAAATTAAAAAAAACCCAACAAATACAAAATGGTTAATTATACCTAAATATGATGAAAGATATAAATGATATAACATTTGATTTTTATTTGACCCCAGGTTTTAACAAAAATTAATTAAAATTTAAATAAGAAATATTTATGTACATATATTTGAATAAGTTTATTTGAATAAAATAAAATAATTTTGTTTAAAAAAAAAAGAGGAAAAATTATTATTATTTGTAGTTTTTGTTTTGTCTAAAAAAAAAGATTATTTATAAAGGAATTCTTCTTTTACAATAAGTCCTTGATCATTCCACTCTTGGAAAGCCCATTGATTCTTCTTAACATTTTCTCCTGCATAAGTAAAGTCTAAATACATTTCATAGGCTGTCAAGTTTCCATCGACAATGACTTTTTTGACTATTATTTTTTTGTTGTAAAAATAAAAGTTAGATACAACGAAATATTTGATTGTTGAAGCGAAACAAATAAAAGTAACTTACCAGTAGCTTCATGAACAACGGCATTCTCAGTGAAGGCAACCTCTGATGCTCTATTTTCTTCTCTACCATGACGATTGGTTGCATCTCCATTCTCATACATTACAATATCATTTGCATAATACTTGTCGAATACCTCCAAAATTCTCTTTTCACCAACTGCTTTCATTATATCCTCCAATTTCTCTCTAATTGTTAAAGTACTTGAGGTCGATGTTGTAGTTGTTGTAGTAGTCGTAGTAGTTGGAGCTGGTTCTTGTGGAGCTGGTGGATTTGATTCCACTGGGTGACTTGGTTCGGAAGCAGGTGGAGGTTGTTGTTGTTGTTGTGGTGGAGGAGCATGTTGCTCTGGTTGTGGTGGTTGTTGTTGTGGAGGATGTTGTCCACCATTTGGTTGCGGTTGATTAGATGCATCAGTTTTCTTATGTCTAGAAAACAATTTCTTAAAGAAACCCATTATTATTCTTTTTTTTTTTTACAAGTTTATGAAAATAAATTATATTGGAAATAAACAAAATAAACTATTTGTTGAAATAAATAAAAATTTGTAAAAAAATAATATAATGTAAAAATTTAATAATATTAAAAACAGTAGTAGTAGTGTTTGTAAATAAATTTAATTAATTAAGTAGGAAAACTATATGTTGTTTTTAATCCAATAATATGTTTAATATTGATGTATTTATATAGTAATAGGATGAAAACATAACAATTTGTTTATGTTGTTGTGGAAGAAGAAGAAGAAGGAATATGAACACACGGTTGAACATGAACATTAACAGTAACAAAATCATTACTATTAATTTGTTTTTGTTTTTTTATTTTGGTTTTTATCACATTGATTTAACCCCACTACACAATATTTTTACCCTCTTTTAAATTAAACCGAGTTCACCTATTTTTTCATTGGAAGTCATGGTTTGTTTTATTTTTATTTTCAAAAATTTCTCTTTTAATTAAATTTACTTTTATTGATAGCGCTCACCCCTTGACACCCCTATTTAAACATTCTCACCTTAAATTTGTCTGTTGAACACAAAGACAAGATGGAACTAATATTCGCGCCGTAATTTAAATATTACTATTTCATATATTTAAAGTTACAACTTACTCTAGATTGTAAAATAAGAACTACTATGATATTATTAATTCATAATTATTAATATTTTATTGATAAGTCTATTAATAAAAAATATTATTTTAAAAAATATCTGGATGTCTTTTTTTTTAGGGATATTTTTTTTTTTTTGAGACTTTAAAGTCAAAGAATAATGTATTTACAGATATTTTTTTATACAAGTTTAAACTGTTTAGGACTCAAGATGTAACAGTTTATTCAATGAAACTTTAATGTTGAATAAACATTGTTGACTTTGATCTTTATTTTCCACTATAATTAATAAAGATATTTGTTAAAATTATAAAATTTTAAAATCACTTTTGAAAATTAGGGAATCGATATTTTTTAATTAAAACTTTTACCTTTTTTAAACCGCTAAATTTTATCATAAACACAAAGTAAAACAAATCAATAACAGTTCCACACATATATTGATTAATTTTAGCATTTCAACAAGATATCAATTTAAAAATAGAGCTTTATACTATGAATTAATTAAGCACCACACTTACTGATTACTAAAGATTCATTTACCGCAGTTGGTCAGTGGATTATTATCCGTCAAACTTCACCAGGCTAACAATTGTGTGTGATCTTTATAATTAATAGTGGTTGTGGATTCCTGAATAATCATGAAGTCTGTTGGTAAGCTGAACCATCCATCTACTATAAATAGTTCTTTAAAAATGTAGTAATCAATCAAACAATCAAACAATCAATCAATCAATCATATAAACAAATAAACAAATAAACAATCAAAAAAGATTTAATTAAATCAGCTTAACTGTACTTTTATAATAAATAATAATTAATAATTAATAATAAAATGGGAGGATCACAAAGTAAACAATTACAATTACATCAAATCATTGATGATATTAAGAAAACAACAACAGTTGTCGATGAGAACACAACTTCGATGAATTTGAAGAATTCAGTTGTCAATGTCTCATCCAAGTTGTTGAATTCAATTATCATTCAGTTGGATGGTACTGACTCTGAGAGAATCTGCTTCAGTCTACCAACATCTGACAAATGGTACAAACAAAAGGATTCCTACTTCAAATTCAACAGTGATACTCTCTACCGATCATTGCGTATCAAAGATCAGTTCCAGTTTACTGCCAACAACGATAAATTCGATGTAACCATATCGTTAAACTCTGATTTTACCATGTTCATCGGTAATCAAGAGGAAATCAAAGATCATCAACTTATGTACTATGAATATTATTATAACTATAGTATGTATCATAAAGTTAAAAACATTCATTTCATTTCACTTTTCTAACTAATCAATTGTAATTTAATTAACATTAAATAGATGATGAAATCATTGATATTCCATCAAAAGTAAAGGTAATTAAACTATCAAACTCATTCAATTCCGATTTGAATCTATTCTTTAAGGATAAACTTGCAAACTCTAATGTTGTCTCGATTTGCTTGGGAAGAGATTTCAATCATTCGTTGGAGAATGTCAAGCTTCCACCTACTTTGGAATCTATTCGTTTGGGTGATTCATTCAATCATCCAATTAGAGCTGGTTTGTTGCCATCGACCGTTACCAGATTGGCATTTGGCAAGGGATTTGCTTCCTACAATGAAACTGTATTGCCAGTGAACTTAAAAGAGCTTGCATTTGAATTCCACTGCGATGTCAACCAGCTACCACAATCATTCCTAAAGTCAATTCCATCAACTCTAACCAGTGTCGGATCTGTAACACCAAGCTCACTCGATCTCCTCAAGAAACAATTCCCATCGATCGAAACGATATCTCTAACCTCTGAGATTCCACAGAATTTAGAGAATGGCAGTATTCCATCGACTATCACCGAACTCACGATCTCTGCACCGACCAATGTAAAACCAGGTTCCATTCCATCAAGCATCAAGCGTTTCAATCTCGGTTTGGGTTTCTTCAGTGGTGAACTCAATGACATCCTGCCAATGGATGCAAAGTACGACAGTTTGGATCTCGGTTACAACCGACATATTATGCCACTCGTAGCCAACTCGTTGCCTTTGAACATCAAGCACCTACGTCTTCCAAGTAGCTACAATCATCCATTGGTTATTGGATCGATTCCCAAATCAGTAGAGTCATTGCATCTCGGTTATGAATTTGACCAAGAGCTTACTACCGGAGTCATCCCCAACTCTGTTAGAGAACTAACTCTCAGCGGTGACTATACCAAACCACTCAACTCTGGATCCATTCCAAACTCCGTTGAAACACTTCATTTCCGTACTTACAACCAAAAGATAAAGAAGAATGTGTTGCCATCCTCCATCAAAACAGTGTCGTTCAGTATCAACGCTTTCCAAGGTAACGATAAGAAACTCATCGAGTCACTTCCAGTATCTGTACAGACCATCTTGATCTATGAATTCACTCAAGCCAAGGTTATCGTCAACTGCAGAAGAATTGAATCAGATCGATTCCTAATGATCAATTGTCAAAAGAGATCATCAATCGTTGGAGGTTTCATCTCTTCCTCATCATTGAATGATTTACTTATAGAGTTATCAAATTCTGAAAATTAAATAATTGTTTAATTTTCGATTCAACATAAAACATCTATGTTTATAACATTTATTATAATATCTATCTATCTAAAATAAATAAATAAATTATAATATTCTGTTAAACATCACTAACTATTAATTTTTTTTTTTTTAAATAAATATGTTTTATTTTTTCTTTTATTATTAAACAAAATGACAATTATAATTTGTTTTGGTCTCTCTTTATTATTACTATTATTAATATGAAGATGAATCGGATACAGTTAAGAATGAAATCAATGTAAATAATTCTGCATTTACATGTTTTTTTACTATTTCACCGGTTGTAAGTGAAACGTAGTAGATGGTGTTGGAAGATACGTTGTCGTGACCTGGCGAAATAAAGTATCCATCCTGGATGATGACTCCGTTACCTCCACAGACTTCAGTCTTGTTGTTGATCGATGTGATCTCACCATTGCTTGGGTCGATTCTGACGAAGGAACGTTCAGTACCTATATACGATGCAGTAGTACCGTAGAGTGCATTCGATGTTGGATCATATGCCAGATTGAACAGATTGGTATCCTGTACGTTGAACCCGGTGAACCAGATGGCATCACTGACCTTACCATCCTTGGTAGAGATTGGAATGATTCCTTCTTTGGTGGTCTGTGTGGAGTTGTCGAATTGTTTGAAAACAATGAATAGCTGTGAAGTGGTCTGATCGAATGCATACACTCCGGAATACTCGGAATCATCTGAAAACTTTCCTGTCTCCAACTTGTGTTTGACAGCACCTGTTGTTTGGTCCAACTCTACAACATCGAACCAACTTGGAACAATTGAATTTGGTGAAATTCCAATCAATTTCTCAGAGTTGGAATCATAAACTAAACATTGTACATACATCTCTGTAGATTCCTAAAATAATATAATAATTAGTATTTTTAAATTAATTTAAATAATAATAACAAACTTACTGGTGAATATCCATTAATAATTAATTGATCATTTGTTAAATCGATACCATAGAGATTGTAATTCAATCCATCACTTAGTAATGTATAGTAGGTGGTTCCAGCGACTGCAGTAACACCCCACGACAAACCATTGTTATTTAGAGTGCTAGCACCTTTAATTCTGGTGACAACATGACCTGGGAATGGATTACTATCGACTTTCGAAGGGCTATAGCTACGAATTGTCATTTCAGTCAATCCATTCTCTTGAGCAAGGAATGTAAAGCCATTGGCAACACATAAATAACCTATTGCTAATATTAATATAGATAGATATATCTTTTTATTAAACATTTTATTTGTTTTATAAAAAAAATGATGATACTATAACAACTGGTTCCTATTATTGTTGTAAAACTTACAGTATATTTACAATTGAGAGAAACACTCAAGATATCTTGAATGATCATTGAACATTCTAAATCAAATTCTAATAAAATGATATCTAGAATGTTTATAAACATTTTAGCATGAATGAAATGTGTAAAGCCATCATAGAGTACTACATATTTTTTGAAGTCCAAAAGTTGGTATTGGATCGGGGAAACGACCCAACAAGAGAGAACAAAAACTACAATTTCAAAATATCTGTGGAACCAAAAATTCATAGGTTCAGATATTTCAAACTAATTCCTTTTGGGAACCAATTTGAGCTCCGAAACAATCAGAAAAAAAAAAACAAAGGTAATATTTGAGAGAACCAGTAAAAGGGTGAACATTCTTAAGCAATATTTTTTTTTTTTTGCTATTTATGTATTTTGATCAAATAGCTTTGTCTTATTCTATTTAAGTAAATTACTTATTATATCTTGTAAATGAGAAGATTTTGAAAAAAAAAATAAAGAACTTAATATTTTTTGATTATTAAAAAAAAAACTTTTGATCAAAAAAAAAAAAAAAACCGTTGTTTTTTATGATTATCCTTTAGTTAAGCTTGTTTTTATTTGGTTTAGTGTTTATATTTTATTTTTATTAGTAGAATATCATATAAAAGATGGGTATTTTAGAAAAGATTAAGGATATCGAGTCTGAAATGGCCCGTACCCAAAAGAACAAGGCCACAGAGCACCATCTCGGTATGCTCAAGGCCAAGTTGGCCCGTCTTAGACAACAACTTTTGGAACCACCAAAGTCATCTGGTAAAACTGGTGAAGGTTTCGAAGTATTGAAATCTGGTGATGCTAGAGTTGCTCTTATTGGGTAAGATCTCAAATCAAATATTATCAAAGATAAACGATCCACGTGTGAATCAAATCACTAACCTATTACAATATTAATAATAATAATAATAATAATAATAATAACAATTATAATCAAACTAGTTTCCCATCTGTAGGTAAAAGTACAATTCTATCAAAGTTAACATCTACACAATCAGCACAAGCAGAATATGAGTTCACAACCTTGACTTGTATTCCTGGTGTCATTCAATATCACGGTGCCAGAATCCAGTTACTTGATACCCCGGGTATCATTGAAGGTGCTTCACAAGGTAGAGGTAGAGGTAAACAAGTTATCTCTGTTGCTAGAACTGCTGTAAGTAATAATATAATACATATAATAGAAGATAGATAGATAGATAATCTAATAATTTGATACAAATTATTCACATCATAGGATCTTATATTGATGATGCTGGACTCTACTAAAGGAGAAATTCAAAAGAGATTATTAGAGGAAGAACTCGAAGCAATCGGTATTAGATTAAATTCACAACCACCCAATATATATTTCAAACAAAAGACTGCTGGTGGTGTAAACTTTACTGCAACTGTAGGACTTACAAAGATTACTGAGAAATTGGCCAAGTCGATTCTACATGAATACAAAGTATGTATTTAGATATATTAGTAACACTTAGTAAATACATAACAAACAGTTATTAATAGTTATGTAACATTTATAGATTTTCAATTGCGATTTAGTGGTTAGATGTGATCCAACAGTAGATGAATTAATCGATGCCATCGAAGGAAGAAGATCATACATCCGATGTTTATATGTATACAACAAAGTCGATCAACTCTCGATGGAGGAAGTAGACAGATTGGCCAGACTACCAAACTCTGTCGTTATCAGTTGTAATTTAAATTTGAATTTGGACTATCTGTTGGATAAGATTTGGGAATACCTAAGTTTAGTTAGAGTCTACACAAAGAAGAGAGGAGGTAACTATCATCAACACTTTGTAACGATAATAACACGATGGATGACTAATCGATTTCTATTTAAACTACTATTAATTAATTAATGATTACAGAGGCACCAGATTTCAATGATGCTGTTATTTTAAGATCGGGTGCAACAGTGGAACATGTCTGTGGTTATCTCCACAAGGAATTGGCAAATCAATTTAAATATGGTTTGGTTTGGGGTGTTTCCGCTAAACATTGTCCACAAAGAGTTGGACTTGCTCATCCACTGGAAGATGAAGATGTCATTCAAATCGTCAAGAAATAGTGTTGACACAATAATCGAACATCAATAATAAAATAATAACAACAACACCACTTAAACCAATAACAATCAGTATAACCAGGATCAATAGTAATAGAATAAATCTCTTATATATTTGATTATGATTTGTTTTATTTTTAATATGAACATTTTTTATTTTTATTGATCAATAACTAAAGCAGTTATTTTTGAAAAAAAAAACAAAAATAAAAATCAAAGAAAATTCAAAGAATTAATTAGATTTTTTGTTGATTCATCCCACAATCAATCGAAGGTTGTTTGCAAATGATGTTTATAAGTTGTTTATTAAACATAAGATGTTGGTGTTTTGGTCTCAGTGCACAAAGTAAACGTCTTACTTCGTATTTCTCAAAAACAAACAATGTATCATGATTCAATCTGGCTGCGTAAAAGACCTCCGATAGCGTAGATGTTAGGCTTACCTAACTTCGTCTCTCATGGTGGATTCGGGACCATGAATTTGGTTCCGATGAAACAAAAAATAACCCCTTGGTAACTTACAAAAAGAAACCAACCACGCTATCGGATGTCGCGCAATCACTGAACAAGACCCACTTTTGTACTTTCAATCTAACTTTTGTACTTTCAAGCTATCTTTTTTTTTCATCTATAAATACAATGCTTTTGTTTTCTCTCAATTAGTTTTGTATATATTTATTTATCTGTATATAAAAACATTAGTCGCGTTTGTATGGTAAAAAATTAACTTATACTTGTTCAATCACAGCATTGTTAAGTTGATTTTTACTTTTTTAACCTCAGACTGGATAGAGTCTGAATCCATCAGTGTGTCAAAAAAATTGTTGTTTTTTATTTATTTTTTGACATGATTTTTTTTTGACCTTGATTGGAAAAGATAATTATTTTCGATATGCAATATATTGTTTTTAGATATCAAATGAATAATGGAGAGTAATAATCAAATAGATAAAATATTCGTTAATCTATCACATTTAAATAAAATAATAGGTTGTTTAGATGAAAACATTCACAGAATATGTTTTAGTTTGGTGTGCAAGAGATGGTTCAATGAAGAGATAAATATTTAATATTCAACACTGATAATATCTATATTAACTCTAATAATAATAATGATATTACTCATAATCATAAACATGCATTGTTGAATGTGAATTTCAGTTTGAAGAAATATTCCCAGAAACATTACAATATCACTTTGAATTGCTCCAATATTTAAGCGATAAGATTCTTTCGATTCCATCCAACGTAAAGATCGATAAGTTGATAATAGAAGGATCCATTAATCAGGAAAATTGTTCACTTTCACTTCCATCTGGAATCACATCAATCAGATTAGATATGACATTGGACCAAGGAGATGGTTTTTAAGAATCGATGGAAATGATCAAACAACTCTGAAAGAGCTACGACTTCCATATTTTGATATCCAACCCCGTGCATTCATACCAAACACCATTTAAGAGTTGGATATTGGTGGCAATTCACTTATTTATTGTTTAGATTTGATCAAATCAATCGATTCAATCAAAACACTTATGTTTTGAAATTTCCAAAAATTGAAATCATATCACCAGAATCTTTCAAAACAATCAACAATATCATCTATACTGTAGAAACTAATAGTAATATTGTTATTTACAGAAAGTTAAACGATAATTATTTTTTAATGTATAGTAATCTTTTTGGAAATATAATAGCCAGAATATTCCATCAATCTAATTTACCAACGAACTTAAACAAACAATTTAAAAAATATATAAAGTCTATTCCTTTAAAATAAATATTACTATATGTTTATTATATATATCATAAATTTTACAAATGATTATTTACAAATTCTATTTTCGAATCGATGTATTCATTCAAAAGGTCATGTAATTCAAAACAATAAGGTAATCTTTTTATCATTTGCTGAAGATAGAGTACCAACTTATCGATAGGTATCGAAATATTTCTGAGAATCCAATGAACGAAACTTGAATTGTGTAAATGCTTCGATTTTTTTGATTATATCAAACTCTATTGACTCGATTGTACATTCAGTACGATTCGCTAGCAACCATCCAAGAATATCTATTTTTTCATTGTTTAACGCTTGAATGAGTGCCTGTTTTGTACATCCTTCACTACGGTTTTCATTTAAAAACCGGATAATCTCCAATTTGTTGAAGGATGCATCACCCATTGTACGCTCACTGAATCCGAATCTGTTTTTTACTCCATCGTTGTTCTGATGGAAGAACTCTACCACTTTAGGATTTCCGAAATAAGCAACTCTTTTCAGTATTTTCTCACTTGGTAGATCACCAGTGTTTTCTTGGAACCACTAAAGCATTGCCACGTCGCCAGCCGATGCTACGACATCCAATATCTGTCCGTGTGAATGACCTTCTGTACGATTCTCTTTCAGCCAATTAACCATTTCCAAGTTAGAGTTAATGGCGGCTATGTTCATTGCTGCTACTGAACATCCTTCTGTACTATTCACATTTAACCATTTCACCAATTCTATATGGCCCGCACCAACAGCTGTATCCATCATCTCGACAGTGTAATTAAGATTACAACTCTCTTTCAACCATGTAATAATATAAAAACGATTTGCCTGTGCTGCGAAATTAAGAGATTTCGATGTACTTCTATGTGTTGTATTGGAATGTAACCATTTCATGGCATCGAAATTGCTTGACATAGCTGCTAAATCCATTACATTGTCTGGGCATACACATCCAACACCATAGATAAATTTGAATAGCGTGAATCTATTTGGATATTTTATTGTTGAAGATATGTATTGTGGTTTACTTTGGTCAAACAAATTGTTATGTAAAAACAACACATATTCTAGGATATGTTGATGATTTGCAGCGAAACCAGAATAAAACATATCGGAACTCGCCAAATCTTCGGATCGATTCTCTGCTAACCATTTGATTATTCCTATATCACCGTAGTAAGCAACTTCATTAAACACATTTCCATCGATTTCAGATCGAGGTTGATCAGAATGCTCTTTCAATTTGCCTAAAAGCAATTTTATCACCAAATCACCAAATCATCGGAATGCGGTGAAATTGTAAAGGCACTAATATAATTCCAGTTGTAGGTTGGAAAGCGGTCGAAAAGATAGTTTATCATATTCATTCTACCGTACATCGAGCAGCAAGTTAACATGGGCTTCATAACTATTGAGAAGACCATAATCTTCGTTCAGTGTGATCTCTACTTTGTTTCTTCTCTCGATTTGAAAGTGCTCCAATAGGTACTCGAATGTATTCATATCATCAGCTCTGATCGCACCAGTAAACACTGGATAGCTATTGTAATTGATAGGTTTGGTTCTATCGCTGAAATAGATTTCAATTGATCGATATATCCGTGAGCAGCTAACACCTCTGGTAGAATGGTTACTCTATCCCATTTATAATGAAGTCTACCATTAATACTTGAAATATCAACTACATATTTGAATATCAATTTATTTAACACTATATTATTAAATACCAATGTAAATTATTTTTTATCCATTTCTTCTATTAAAAAAAACAAATAGATCTAAAAATTATTTAAAATCTTTTACATTTTTAAAAAGTTTTGTTTCAAAGAATGATCACCAACCACTTTTCTTATTAAAAATTATTTTTTTTTAAAACAGATATATAAAATGGAGAGTTGCAGTAATCAAATAGATATTTGTTAATCTATCACATTAAAATATTAAATAAAATAATAGGTTATTTAGATGAAAACATTGACAGAATATGTTTTAGTTTGGTGTGCAAGAGATGAACCATTGAACAATGATAGAGATAAATATTTAATATTCAACACTGATAATACCTATATTAATTCTATTAATAATAATGATATTACTCATAATCATAAACATTTCAAGCCAACTGTGCAAATATTGTTTGACCAGAACGATTCTAATTTTATTCAAATGCAAAAAGAGGAAAAAAATGTTTGTTTACAAAAATGTGTAAAAACATGATTGGAGTATTAAAAAAAAAAGTTATTTTTAATCAAAATTTTTCAAAAACAGAAAATATCTTTGCAGTTTTGATTTTTTTTTTTTTGTTTTTTTTTAGATAATTACCTCTGATGTGAGGTAAAAAAGAATCAATGATTGGCTTCGGGGGGATAAACACCTGATCAAACATCAAGGATATACTCCACAATAATCAAAGTCGATTAGATAAATAGTTATTTCGATTCAGATAACTAACCAAGTTAGTAGCTTTTTCAACATATAATTTTAGTTTTACTTTTGTGCACACAACAAAGACAGATATATAAATATTAATCATCATTGTATGTAATCAGTTTAAAGTTATAATAATAGTAAGAAATTAAAGCGTATTGTTTTCATCCACAAAAAAAAAAAAATCATCGATTCATTTCTTTATGTTCATTGTTGTTTAAATTCTAATACAATTTAACCAAATTAATTATTTTTATTTTCACAACAAGAACAACAACTAAACACTAAAAAAACAACACACCATGTATATCACATGATTTCAAAAACACTCTTAAAAACGAATCACATATAATCACACACACAATTTTCAGCTTAACACTTTCAAAGTATTACTAATTTTTTATCATTATTATCTTAAATTCAACAAGTCTCCTTTTCTTCCCTAATGAATTTACATAGCTTAATGAAATCGTTTTGTTTTTATTTATACAAATAAAAAGTTATGTTTAGTTGTTGTACTAAAATGTTGGCAACAATCTACACCCTTGCAACTATACAACAAAGTATGTTGTTTGAAAATTTTAAATTTATAATTATCCTTTCATAACTTTTTATTTTAAATATGTAGACTTATCTTTTTGGATTTGTTTTTTTTAATATTATAATTTTAATCATTCTTCTATCTATACATAGAATCATCATCACACAATATATATATATATATATTTTTTTTTAAAAGTTTATTTATTTCTTCTTTTATTTTAAAACATAAACTAACAAAATAATTATATTTAAGAGTCTTTTTTATATGAGTGATTAGTTTTAGTTTTGCTCAACATCATGACGATCAGAACTGATTCCAAAAACTCTATACACAGCAATCGTATCATAGAGGATGAGTCAGATAGCGATATAGAGTCTGTCAAAGAAACCAAGAGAAGAAGAAGACCTTTTCAAAAGATTGGAATAACTTTTCTGGGTGTTGCAATCATTTTCTCATTGTTATTAGTTACAGTGCCCGCAGCATTGTTAAATCATGTAAATACTTTTGTAGATGGTGTTTTGTTTCGTGCACTGTTCGCCGCTTTTGTAGCATGTCTCTTTATATGTTTATGTTCGATTTATTATCTTGGTGGTGAAAATCAAGCTTGGGAGGTAGGAACAATCAATCGATCAATCAATCAAAGATATTTTTAGCATCAAATTAATTATTTTTTTTTTTTACAATTCATTCTCTAGGATCCAGAAGGAAATGATCTTAATTTAAGTTTCCAAAATATTACAGTGATTCTAGGTATTGTTATAGAGTTTGTTCAATTGTTTTCATTTTCATTCAATCAGTTAAGTCCATTTTTGGGATCAGAGGAATTAAGAAACTTGAACTACCTAGCAATACCTTATGAACCTGGAAAAGTCTTTAGAGTCATGTATTGGGTTCTATTTGTAGTTTCTTTCTCCCCATATATATTTGTAGTATCAGTTAGATTAATTTTACATTTCTATACTATAAGATTGTAGGTATCAAATCTTTTAAACAACAAACCCAAATCATTAAAAATAAAACTAATCAATCAATCTTGTTTTCAATTGAAGTGGAGAATCATATACATCAAATTTTATAGCTAGAAATGAACAAAGATATTATTCGATATTATGGTTTCTTGTAAACACTATGTATCTACCAGTTATGAGTACTATGTTTGGTGGTGTTGATTGTACATTCCAATCCGATAATAATATAGTTTCTTGGGATTCCGATCCATCATTAACTTGTTTAAGAGTAAGTGAAATCACATAATCTCAGTCTGCATACAACTACTAATTTTTACTAATCAATTTCAAACGTATTATTATTTCAACTTTAGGGAATTCATATAGTTTTCATTGTGTGTTCAATGGTTGCATTGGTAGTTTATTATCCAGCAGCATCATTTGCGCAATCTCAAACACAAAACATTTCGGATATTAAATTTAAACCAACTGTAGTATTTATATTTGCACAAGGTAAAGTCTTATTGGCAGCCATGGCAGGTAAGTTTAAAACAACAATATTGAACATCTCTAAAACTTCCCATTCATTTGTATCTAACAATTTTATTTCAAGTCTTTGCAACTAGTTATATATATGTATATCTCGCAGCAGTTATAGTTGTGAATATTGTATTTTTAGGAATTAATGTTATATTGGAGCCATGTATTGTTGAATGGGTAAATCGTATGAGAACAGTATTTTTTTCATTTTGTTGTATTTCAACGATTTGTTCATGGCTAGCACTGATACCAAATATCAAAGATTTCGTTCCAATGATTTTAATGATATTTGGATGGGTAGCATTTGCCGTCGTCTATTCAATGTTGTATTATTTTGAAATTAATCTTGGTATTTCAGAAAAAGTAAGTAAATTCCATCATCATTTGAAATTAATCAAGTAAAACTAATAAATTAAATCAATCTAGATATTTTCACTTATTCGCGTCAAAGAAACACCAAGAAAACCTCCACCTGAATTAAATAAGAGTAGTAGTCATATAAACCAAAACCTTTAATATCATATATAAAATATTAAACTCTTATTTAAAATATATTTATATCATTAACAACATGCACACAGTTTATTTAAAAAGAAGCTTGTACTTTATATTTACTACCTTTTTTCAAAATCATTCCTTGATCATTGAGTATCGAAAATATTTCTTCAAACTTTTCGATTGGCATTTTGTTTTCTTTCATTATTTGATAGATCTCATTCTTTGAGAATTCATTGATGCCTCTTTTCGTTGATTCACGACTGAGTACCGATGTGTATTTCTTGACCAACGATGCTTTGCTCATTCCAGACGATCTTCTGAAATCCACATTTCCATATTCATCTTCGAAAGTTTCAATGAGTGATTCTTTAAAGATTTCAACCACATCCAATGCGTCTGATTTCGTAACTTCTTCTCTCAACTCTAATTTTGCTCTTGCTTCGGACAATCTGATGAGTGATTCCAATTGTCTGGTAGTAACAGGTGCACTGTCTTGTTTCGATGCTCTGTTTCTAAGTTCCAGATAAAAGTTTTGTATAACTTCGATTGCTTCATCAGAGAGTTGGGGTGTAACAAATTTTTTGGCATAACTAATATACTTTCTCAGAATGATTGGTGAAATCGCTTCAAATTCTTCGTTTGGCTGTAATATGAGTTTATAGAGTAAAGGCATTGGTTTGCCTCCATTTTCAAACTGACTAAGTTGAGAGAACATCTGTGAGGACTGTGATGATGTTGCTTTTCTTTTATTATCATTTCCAGAGTGTAACTATTTAAAAAAGAAAGTTAATTAAATTTTTCTTATAAAAAAAAAACAAAAAAAATAAGTTAAACTTACATCCATAATATGATGAGAAATAATTTTATCCATATTTTGATTCGGTTTATCTAGTAGAATGAATATCAAATCGAATCTGGAAAGTAGAGGTGCTTTCATTTTAATGTTTTCTGCAACGGTTTTAGCTCTACTGTAATGTCCACCAGCTGGATTGGCAGCTGCTATGACTGATGTTCTTGCTGGTAGATTACACACAATACCTGCTTTGGCTATACTAACTGATTGTTGTTCCATTGCTTCCAATAGTGCAGTATGTTCTTTCTCCATCTTATCGAACTCATCTATACAACAACAACCTTGATCACCAAGAACCAAAGCACCAGCCTCCAAAGCAAAATCACCAGAACCACCCTCTCTTGTCAAACTCACTGTCATACCAGTTTTCGTAGTATATCCACCACTGACATATACACCACGAGGCGATATATTCTGGAATGCTTTCAACATCTGTGATTTACCAAGACCAGGATCACCGACAATCAGGACATGCGGATCACCACGAATAGGCAGCTTGTTCTTTTCACTCCTTGCATTGCCACCAAAAAGTGCTAGTGTAAGTCCTGCCTTGACCATCTCATGTCCATAGATAGATGGACAGATCGAGTGAACGATGAGATGAAAGATGTTGGGTTGTTCAGCGATCGCTTTGATTCCATACATGTCCTTCAGTGAGAAATTAACATTATCATTCTTTGTATCATCAGTATTCTTGTTGGAATCTATTGAATTTACATCTATGTACATATAATAAACAGTCTTGTTAGTATTGTGGAAGCCATCATCTTGTTTCAAAACCTTAATGATTCCACTGGCAGTAACAATATCACCAGGCACCACAGATTCCACCAGATCTTCAGTGAGTTCACATTCAATATTCTTTGGAATACCACTCTTTTGATCCTTCTGATCGGGTTCCTCTTGTATCTTTATCTTTTGCCAATCGACGGTGACAGCGGTGTGTCTCAATGGTTCGAATGTCTTACTCTTGCAAGTCAGCTCTTGACAGGCAGTCGGTAAAACAACACGACCCTCTGAGAAATGTTTCAGTTGCTGATGACCACACGATGCGCACCGAAACACCATCGATCTAACCAGTGGTTTCACATAGCCAACTCTAATGACAGTTCCACGAATCGACACAAACTTGCCAACCAGATTCGACTTTAGTTTCTTCATTGGCAAAATCGGTTCAAAGTTGGCAATTCTCACATTGATCTTCTTCTTTTTGTTGAGAGTCTGTGTAGTCTGACTGTATCGTAGAGTGTCATCTTCATCCATTACCAACGGACAATAGAGAATCTGGTACAATACAACACCCATACAATCGATTACAAACTGTGGTTTCTCAATCAGTAGCATATCGAATCTATCGGATGGTTTGAAAACATTATTCTTCAAAGACACATAATCCAATGTAATTGCATTGTTTTCATCTGCAGCATATATATTCTTTTATAACTAATTAGATATGATGATATTCTTGTTAAAAATAAAAAGGTCAAGTACTTACATCTTTACAAAGCACTCTAAAATAAGGTAATAGCAATTGAATGAATGTCAATCTATCTTGATTTAGTTCGAATTCATCTTGTGCTACGTTTAATGCAGATTTAGCTTGACTATCTATCACAGGGAAATACAAACGATAACCAATCAACTCTTCTAAAGTATCTATATTTGGATATACATGTTGTACAACATCCTCATCTACACGCATCAACTGTGTATTTGGTGGGTGATGATTATCTCCATTAAACATGATTCTTTAAATAAATAATATTTATCTGACATATAATAAATAACTCTTATTAAGTTTTATCTACAGAGTTTTGTTTGAAAAATCAATCTGCAATTATATTTTTTTACAAGAAAAATAAATTTTTCGAACTTCTTTTAAAAGGGAAATTTCTTGTCTGAAATCTAAAGAAGTAAATTTAATTGATATAACTTTTAAAATAGACAAGAATTGTTGATGTTCCATATTAAATAAAAGGTTGGTGAAATAGAAAATAAATATTTTTTTCAAATCATTTATTAAATATATGAAAATAAAAATAATAAACTGATTTTATGACCATATACATATGTTGTTGGATCCACAAGTTGACCATACTGTTTGTTGGAATACTCTGATGAGATCAACTACGCTGTTTAGATGTTGTTTACACTCTACTTGTTTCTTTATGGTAAAAGTAGTTGGATCGTAGATATAGATGGTACCGAAAGAACATGCCCATGCATAACTGCCAAACTGGAGAATCTTTGTGATGGGAGAAGACAATTCCAATCGCTTGATAACGTTTCCTGTTTCATTCCAGATGCTGACGGAGCTATCTTGACAGGTAATCCAGATGTTTCGGTCGACGCTACCAATGGAAAGAATAGGTTGACTATGTTCATTGTGAATAGCAACCACCTGGTAGGTCCGAGGATCAATTATACACACCATATTGTCATGAGTACACCAAATGAGATTTTGATGGAGTATCATTTTGTCGGTACCTTTCCAATCGGCGCCACTCTCTGAAACCTTTATCACTTCAATAAGATCTCTACTTCCACACTCGAAAATTAAGAGAACCGGATAGTTTTTGAATGCAACCCAGATCTGTGTGTCCTGTGATGGATTCAAATTGATTGTTATCATCGCAGAAACAATGGGAGTACTTGGTTTTCTTGAGGGAATAGGTGTCAGTGCATTGTTGGTAGATAGAGTGAATGATGTACCCAATGTTGGATTGGAAGTAGAGTTTGATATTGAATTTGTGTTTGTATTGTTATTGGAGTTTGATGACATTGAATTGGACATTGAATTGGACATTGAATTGGACATTGAATTGGATATTGAATTTGACATTGAACTACTTGTAGTACCACCAGTGATAAGAGTGATTTCATTAAGATCAATACGGTCTAGTGGAATATTCTGATTGATCACTCTCGATATGGCCAACAGCCATTGATCTCTTTCAGTGAGTGATTTAAACTCCAACTCTAACTTTCTTGATTCTGGATCCGTGATGTGTAGTGTTACCTTGAGTGGAGTCAAAGCCGATGGTTCTTCAATAGATGATCCGGCCAATATCACAGTACATTTCGGTGATTTATCACTTTGTTTCTTATAGTAGGATAGTGTTTTATTCTTTCTGTCCAATACGAACCAACGTTGTGCCCAAGATTTTCTTCTAAGTGCACTGGTACCTCTTGCTTTCTTATTGATATGCTCCGATTTGAATTGTGCCAAACTATCGTCACAGTTTAATCTCCAAGCATTCCAAATCTTGATGTAGCCATCTTCTCCACCCGTCCAAATATGTTCTTCGTCGACCAGCAACATCGAATGAATCGGTCCTCTATGTAGATTCGTCTCGTAGAGGATCCGCTTACCATTCTCTGCATTCCAAATCATCATAGAGCCAATTGAAGTTGCTCCCCAAACTCTTCTATTCTCCCACAGCAACGATGTAATTTTCAAATCTATCGGTTGTGTTCTCAATGACATTTGTAGTTGTCCACCGATTGGAAGTGTTTCCTCAGGGTTGGCAGTCTTCAAATTCTGATAGGTCATCTGTGGCTGCGAGAGAAGTGGTGGACTAATCATATTGTGACCGATCATCAATGGAGAGATACAAGATTGACTCATACTTGGTGATCCCAGTGCTAGCGAGAGAGAAAGTGGTGTCTTTGGTGACAATCCACTTGGTGACACTGTCAGGGTGATATTCTCACGTTGCAGCATCTGAAGAAGACGCTTGCAGATCTTGGTGAATGTAGGACGTCTCTCAACTTGTCCATCCCAACAGTCTCGGAGCAACGAGCAATAATCTTGTCCAACAATAGACTGTGTGTATTGCGATGGAATCGATGGACGTAATCCACCTTTGATTTCCTCTTCCAGCAGTGAAACCATCGTGTAGTTGTACTCTCGATAAGGATGTTGACGTGTCATTATCTCGTGCATAATCAAACCGAAAGCATAGACATCCGACTTGACTGTGTATTCCTCCTCACGAAGAATCTCTGGTGCCACCCAAGTGATGTTACCAACCGGGAAATTACGTAGTTTATGTCGAAGTGCTTGTATGATCATACGCGACGACAATCCAAAGTCACCTACTTTTGCGCGGATTCTTCCATCCTTGCGAGTGAGTAGAATGTTTGGAGATTTCAAATCACGGTGTAGCAACGGTGGTGAAACTGAGTGAAGGAAATTCATTCCTTTGGCAATGTCCAGTGCCAATGCAATGCGATGCGCCCAGTTGTCATTGAGAATGTCACCAGAGTTGCTATGCAAGAATTTGTAGAGGTCGCCACCATCGACATATTCCATCACCATGGTAAATGGCTGAGTAGTAAAACCTATGAGATTCACTACATTCTTGTGCTTCAGATCACTCATTACGTGAATCTCCTTGCGAAACTCTGAGAAGATACGAGGTGCATCGTCACCTATGACTTCGAGCTGCTTGACGGCAACAGCCACTCCATTTAGCTCAGCGGAATAGATCTTTCCACTCGCTCCACGACCAATTAGTTTTGGAACTTGTATTGTTTGTTCAGCCTGTAACTCTCCCTTCTTTATCGTTCCACGAACGACTAGACTTTGATTTTTCTGGTCGAAATTCACTTGTAGATCGTTGTGTTCGCCAAACGACATTTGTTCAGAGTTGAGTGGGAATCCTTCGGCGAGCTGTGTGGAGTTTGGAATGGTTCCTTCTTTGGTGAGCAGTATGGTCTGACTTTGGTGAATGTCAGTGACATTGGAGTTTGGTAAGACAACTCTGAGTGTTCGTCTTTCCTTTTCCAACTTTATTTGGTCGTATCTCAACTTTTTCGATCCCGATCCCCAAAAGTCTACGAGTGCTACATCCGGAACAAAGCTCTCCAGTGAGATACGTCGAGGTCCACACATTAGGAACCAATTACCATTGGAAGCGGCCGATTCACACTCGTTAAGTGTGAACAGTGTCTGTTGTACACTTGCTTTCAAAATACAATGTGGACATGGAATGAGTTGCGATGCTTCCAACGAATACCAACTGCTACTGAGTGCTTCGATAATCTCGACAATGAGACGTAGCAGTTTGGCAGCCATTCCTTTTCCAGTTCTAAGATCGCTTCTCACCGATACTTTGATGGTCATTGTCGAGGGACTGACTTCAATCAACGACGTTGCCGCTGGAACATATGGATTGGGTGAACTTGCTTCCAACACCAATCCATTACGCCAATAGAGAATTGGTTTCATTGAATACTCTTTGGAAACAATCAAACGGATCAACAAACGACTGAACAAACCGATTGGAATGAACACCATTTGGAACCAACGATTGTATTCAACCCGAAATTGATCGTTTGGTGGCCATAGCAAATCAAAAGATGGACGTTTGTCTGGAAGTTGCGAAGGAATGATGAATCGCTTTGAGAACTCTGGTGCATTGGGATCTTTGAGGGTAAAGCTATTTTGATGAATGATTCCACCTCTTGGTAGTGGTGACATGACACCACTCACATTGCTATCCATACTGGGAACCTTATTGAAATTGGTAGAGGTACCGACCACTGAATTGTAATCGATAGAACTTGATCTTTGACGGTATGAAGTTGGTGTAGATGGTAGTGATTGTTGTGTTGCCAATGCAAGATCAATATTTGATTTTCTATTGGGAGTGGTTTGAGTTGGAGTAGTTTGTTGTGGTGATGATTGTAATTGGAATTGTTGTTGTTGCTGTTGTTGTAATTGTAATTGTAACTGTTGTTGTGATGATATCAATAATGGAGATAACACCTTTTTCATATCGGATTGACTTGGTTTAACACTGGTACCAGTAATTAATGAACTATTCTGTAAACTATTATTACTATTTACTGACTCCAATTGTTGTTGTTGTTGCTGTTTCGATTGGAGATAGGGAGACGATATATACTCCATATTGGACAACTCGAATTCCAGTGGAAACATCAATTCGAATCTCTCTAATAAATTAATAAGCAAAGTTTGAAAAGATTCATCTTCTAAAAACTCAGGTGATTTCCAAATTTGTAATAAATCACTACATTTAAATATTAAATAAGTTTGAAATTAATGTCTGTCTCGTAAAGATTGATTCGAATATAGTTGTTATTGACATACCTCTTTTTTAATATACCATCTTTTATAAATTTATGTTTGGTTGTAATTATGGAAGCAAAAATATCAGTTAACCATTGAGGATCCAGGAAAACATAATTTTCAGTCTGTAGCGAATTTAAATTATTATTGCTATTGTTATTAATGTTATTACTATTACTATTACTGGTGGTTGTCATATTTTGGAAATTTAAATCCTCAAAATAGGCAACACAACCCATTGAAGATAATGTTTTTGTTGCTACTTTGACATGAATTTCATCATGGAAATCCAGTGAAGATAATACCATTAGTGTATAACTATATAATAATAATAAGTTATTTAGAATTAAATTGAATGTGTAAAGATATTTTTAATAACTTACTTTTTCCAAGATAATACAGGTGATGTCAATGATGATCTTTTCTTGATTATTAACTTTTCAAGTTTCATATAGAGATCGGGTACTTGTTGTTTGATGAACGGCATGTCTTGGATAGCCTTTTTCAAGAGGTTCTGGAAGTTATCAATACCAACCAATGAAGTGCAACTCAGTACACATATACCTTTGAGTTTGAACTTTCGGAAGTATTTCATGTAGATATTGTTTAGGATCTGGTCTAGTTCGTCCTCGGTATGAGTTTGAAGGAATTCATCAAGATGAGTTCCAACCAGGATGATTGGGGCATCCTCTGCTTTCATTCGAATCGAATGTAACCAAAATTCAACTTTACTATTCACTTCTGGTTTGCATAGATCCCATACCACCGTATACAATGCTTTATCAGTCAAGAACATCTGATGTGTTGTATAATACAACTCTTGACCTGCACAATCCCAAATTGACATTGTTACTTTTTGACTATGACTCGTATTACTACCACTATTATTATTGCTATTACTACTATTGCTAGTATTATTATTATTACTATTAAAATTATTAATATTACTACCTGATCCTGTACCACCACTTCCACCACCGGATGTTACGTTGTTTGTTGAAGCATTTCCAGATTGATCCATTGTCGGTCCACTATTACTATTATGTCCACTGCCAGCAGAAGAGTTGGTATTTATGTTATTATTATTGTTGTTATTTGAATCATTACTATTGTTACTGGTTATTTTGTTCATCATTGTGTCTTGCATAGGACTGGGTGTGGTTACTGATATTTGAGGTGAAGAGCTAAAGTTGGTGAAACTACCTAAACTTAATGCGTTGTTACCATTAATATAACTATTGTTTGGTATATCCAAAACGATTTTAATTTCATCGATATCGATTCCATCTGTAGAAACATTGCTACCTAGATGATCGGTTGTCTTTACCACCTTCTTTTTCATCTTTAGACACTTGACCAGACTGGTCTTTCCAACATTCTCTTGGCCGACCAACATGAGTTTAACACGGAAACTAGGGTCACCAAGAAACAAATCCTCGAAATATCGTTTAATTTCACCAAGTCCACCCTCGGCAATTCGTTTCGGAGGATTCTGAAGGTAGTCAATGGTTCCGATCAACGTGAGATTCACCAACGATCGACAGTTGATAAGATATAGCGGGAGAATAGATATGATATTATATGAGAGATCCAGACTCACCAGATTGATAAGTCGCTCCAATTCGGTAGGTAAACTAGATATCATGTTGCCAGAGAGGTCGAGACTAGTGACGTGTGTGAGGGTTCCAATGATGGGCGGAACCTGAAGTATTCCAAGTCCGGAGAGGTCGAGTGTTGGCGAACCGGTGTACCAGCACCGGTAGATACGCTCCATTGCTACATCTCTAAACGATCGTTCGAACGACATGTTTAAATCACGATTTCTAACGACTACTTTGTGGTCTATAGATTCGAGGTAGTTGTTGTCGATCGTTACCACCGAGAGATGGTACGGTAGATTGCCGAGTGTTCGCAACCGATTATTCGATAGTTTCAATGTGAAAAGTGATTCAAACGATGGTAGTTCAATGCATTCGATATGATTATATGATAGGTCTAAATTGACGAGGTTCTGAGGTAGATGCGATGGTGGGATTGTTCTCAGGAGATTATGCGAGAGTTCCAGTGTTTCCAGTTGGTGAAGTTGATTGAAATTATCGGGTAGTTCTGATATTGCGTTGTCACAGAGATTGAGACGACGTAGATTGCCCATTTTATTTGGAAACCAGTAGGGTATTTCCACTATGTAATTGCGCTGCATGCTGAGCACTTCGAGTGCACTCATCTGTCCGATGAGCGTGGGAATCTCACCGAGCAGGTTGTCATCCAACTGCAAGTGTGAGATTCGATAGAAATCGATATCACCAAACCATTGCCTATCGAGATAGTGTAACTGTTGTTTCTGAAGATTGAATTTATATTGTTGTTGGAAATGAAGACGTGGTGACGTCAACATGGACAATTGATTTTTAGTGGTTATAACTTGTGATGAGCTTAATCCACTTGTTTGATTTTGCTGTTGATTGCTAATATGGTTATTGTTATTATTATTATTCGATGATCTGTCATCTATATAACTAACAGATCTATTTTTTCCAAATTCCAATTTTTGTTCGACATGTTGTTGTTTTATCAAATTTGAAACAACATTTTCATCTTCGTTTTCCTCCAATATGATATCCAATGTCTTTGGAATTTGATTGATAACAAATGATCGATTATCACTTATTACATCAATATCCATATTTCAAAAATCAATCTATAAAATTCCAGATTACTAATTTAGTTAATATTTTGATTGTAATTAAATTATTTGGTTGATTAGATTGATTTGTATGATTATTTATAGTAGATGTAAAAACTAATGATTAATTATAAAATTTACAAAAATAGAAATACTAAGTAAATTTCATTAAATACTAAAAAAGATAAATTGTTTGATTGGATATTTTATTATGATAAAATAAATTTGATTGGATTGATTTGGATTGATTATATGTTTTTAAAATTTGATGAGAGATTTTGATAATATTTGTTGATTATATGGAATTAAATTCATTTGATATAAAACTAACTTTTAACTTTTTTGTAATATGTTTGGTTTGAGTGGTTAGCTAAATAATAATGTGGTAAGTGATATTTAAATAAATAAATTAATAGTATTCCAATTTTATATTTTATTTATTTATTTATTGTTTTTGATTCTAGAAAGTGTGATTTATGTGCTTGACTGACTGACTAGTCTGGCTGCATTGTATGGTTCGGAATTTTATGTAAGTTTTTAATTAAATATATGTTGTTGTTGATGATGATGATGTGCTTTAAATTTTTATTTCTATATGATATATTTGGTTATTGGTGTGTGTGGTTGTGGGGTGGTGGCACAATTAATTAGTTATATCCAATATTTGATTTGTTTTTTTATAATATTTGACACCCCAGATATGATGAGTGACACCGTGTGTGATGTGGGAGCTTTAGTTAGGTCGTTTTTTATAACTTTATAATATTAATATTGATTTGATGTATTGGAATGATCTAAAAAAAGTGTAAATCTTTGATTGCTATCATCGACTGGAATTTGTGATTTGATTTGATAATTTCACTATATAGGAGGTTGGTTTTTAAAATTTTTGTTTCAAAACTTCATATGTTTGTGTTTTTATAAATTTTTATTGAAGGTATACTTTGAATAAAAGAGGAGTTTCTAAAATCTTTTGTTAAATCCCTTTTTAAAAAAATTTATTGAACTTTATTTTGTTGTTGGAAATGTGGATTTGTGATTGTAAATTTGTTGATAGGAATACGAATTTTATTGTTGATTTGATTGATTTACCTTTTAAAATATAAATAAGACTTTAAGTAATACTGTTGTCTATATTCGCTTTATGTCTATTGATGTCGAATAATTATTATTTATATAATAGAGATATTGCAATATACACACAGTTTTGGTTGAATCTTATTTTTAGTTGAAGAGATAAAATGATTAAATAAATAAAAAAATAAATAAATAAATAAATAAAAATTTTAGTTGTTTTTCTTTCTTTTTAATAAATTTTGTTGTTTGATTTAAATTTGAATGTTGTTTTATTTGATTTGATTTGATTTGGTTTGGTTTATTTGATTTGAAATATTGATGGATTGGATTTGGTGTTGTAACAGTTGCTGTTGTTTGTTCGTACTGTTTGAGTGAATGGAGCAAAGACGACATCGAATTAGTCACAATATTATTCTATTTCTTACTTCAAATAGAGTAGTAAGTAACTACTTTATTTATATATATAATCATAACTACAGTAGTGTTTATTTATTGATTGGAGAATAGGGGTACTGTATTAGAGTGAACAAATCACTTATTGATTGATTGTTTTTGTATAACTGTGGTATAGTGTGTGTGTGTAAGTGTATGTAAGTGTATGTGTGATTGTATTATGTGTATGGTGTGTTTGTGTGTGTGTTTTTTTAGTTTTATTTTTTATCAATGAGGTATGTTTGAATTGATTTTCCTCTTGCTACAATAAAGCACTCTTGTATCAAATAAATTACATAGAACATACATACTTACTAATCAAAACCTTTAAAGTCATGAGATTGATGCTGATTTTCAATAGTTATTCATACTACCATTTATTCAATCTTAGATCTAAATGATCAAATTCCATTGATAACACTGTACTAGTAGTCAATGCTCTTGTAGTTCAATGTCTAAGCCATGATATGTTTGTTGTTTAACTTTTTTGATGATATTAATTTTACTGGTTTGCTAACCAAATAGTATTCCTTTGCCATTCATTCTATTTTGAAAAGAATTACTTGGCTCAGGTTTGAATAAGTTTTTCATTTTTACACACTAATTGAAAAAAATAAACTATTTTGTTCGTTATCGAAAAATAAGGGCCTAACTCTTTCAAATTAATTAAAGAATAAAACTTTATATTCTAAATCTACTATAAAAATGCTTATATTTATCTAATTTTTATTAAAATCCAACAAGGTTTGATATTTTATTTAGAATCTCTATCATTGAAAAAAATTTAACATATTGTATTTTCTGTTAAGGTTATGTATTTTGAGACTCTGAAATTTTTCCTAAATAAATAGATTATACGGTTATTTTTCAAGTATTTATTTATTTTTGTTAAGATTATTTAAATAATTAATTAATCTTCAAATTTGGTTGTGGTTTGCAGGTTTCTGGTGGATTAGTATTTGGAAGTCCACAACCTTTTGGAATTTGGTATCCATAGCCATTTGGAGATGCATTGTTTGGTTTGGAAATACCAAAGTGACAATCGGTGAATATATGAGCACTGAAGTTAGTTCCATCGTATCCAGCTACCAAGTTGTTATTGATCAACTGGGCATCGTTATCGATATACTCTAGGGATGGATCATTCTAGATTGGAGTTAAAATGAATGGACCAAACTTGTCCATAACCTCGGCAACTGGAATGACACATGCATATTTTCTGCCTGGTTTGAGTTCAAAGTTGAAGTTTCCTTTGTCATCGGAGGTGGTGTTGGCAGCTGGAGCAGTAAGGTTGGTTTGATCGTAGAGATAAACTCTGACATTTGGAATACCAGGTTCACCACAGTCTTGTCTTCCATCGGAATTGCAGTCGAACCAAATTCTTCCGCACTCGTAGGTGCTGGGTGCCGATGGAGCGTACATATCGACGAGTGCACCAAGTCCGGAGGCCTTTGCGAAATTTCCTGGACTGGCTTGGTTGTAAATTTCGAATCTGTTAAGTCTGGTTCCATTGTTTGTGTCGATGAAAGAAACTCCACCTTCGTAGGCATTCATGATATCGGAACCAGAGGCAACAATACCGGTTGGTCCGGCACGAGCAACACCTCCTGCAACATTTTGGCCACGAGTACCAGAGGCATCGAGGAAGTGATATCCTCCGGGACCAGTTCCTTGTCCGGGGCCAGGTACTGATTGTCTTCCACCACATTTACCATACGCTTCAAACTCGTAATCTCCGTATTTGTTTGGACATGCCAAATAAAGATCTGGCCAGGATGTTCCATCTCTGGTATCTGTGGTTCTATCTCTGACTGCAATGGCCATATCACCAGAGTCGTCAAAGGCCAATTGTGTTATCATTGGTTGTGGTGTAGTTGCGGTTCTTGACCAAGGTGTCCACTTTACTCCTCCTCTTTCTTTGTAATCGAGATCAAATTGAACAATAACTTCCCATTCCTGCTTAGAGTTGAATCTCATAATAACACCATCAAGTTGGTCACCTGTTTCACCTGTACAAACACCTCCAACATAGAGATCTCCCTTAAAGATTTTGACAGCAAATATCTTCCAATCTGCTTCAAATTTACAAGCTTGGTTTGGCACTTTCATCTTGAATGTGTTAGCGGCGGTTGGTTTCGCTTTCAATGGAATATGAACGATTTCATTAGTCCAGAGATTGGAAACAAACAAATAGTTTGGAGTACTGTCCATGTCACCTAACGATGCTTTTCCTGCATAGATCGAAGCTAATTACGTATCGCCTGGTATAGAAGCGAGATTATGTATATTGTCTGGTCCAGAAAATTCATCACCAAAGATTTCGTCTAGATCTACATAGGTGCTAACATTGAATGTACCATTGGAGATTCTGTAGATAGCACCTTGTCCAGATGGTCCAAAACCAGTTTGAAATTTATAGAATGTTTGATATTAATTGTTTCATCAACTTGAAAATAAATAAGATATCATCATCTATCTAAACAAGTATATTATTGAAAAAAACAAAACAAAACAACAACTCGAGATGTTGTTTATCCGCATTCATAAAAAAAAACAAACAAACACAGACAAAACAAAAAAGAAAAAGAAAATTGTGCTAAGCACAAACAAACAAACAACAACATCATCATCAAAAATAAAAACAGGTGTTAACAAACAAAAAGCAAATAAACAAAACTCAATAATCGACAATAATGAATGTTATATCATAATCCAAAAGAAAAAAAAAACCTTGATAGGCTATCATGTGAGTTGAAATTTCGTGTGCATACTGATAACAATAATAGTTGTACTGAATTACCATTTATCAACAACTGAATTATCATTCAGTTCAGTTTTGAAATATGAAAGCGATGATAAAAGATGATATAAAAAAAAATATGTCAACAGTAACTGATAAAGGTGCTGTTCTATCACTGCAGTATATATCATTGGACGGTAGTGTTTGTTTTATGTACGCACAACTCACTGTACCCCCAAGGATATGCAAGTTGAAATATGATCATCGTATTATAAATATTGAGAGGGTGAAGATAGAATAAAAACTTTTGTGCAAATCATTCTGACAAAGTAAATCATTTTTTAAAAATAAATAATACTATTTATTTTATTTATTAATTTCATTTTTGATTTAAGAGCAGAGTTTATTTTTTTTTTCAAATAAAATATTTGATGGGTTTTTTTAATTAATTAAAAATGTAGCCAATGGATTTTTTTTGTTTTTTTGCTTTTCCTAATAAACAAAAGGTGATCTAGATAGAGCTTGGTACTCGTTCTTTTCATCTTATATCTATTTATAATTATTACAAGAATATTATATTATAATTTTATAATCTTGTTTCTTTATTTTATTTATTTTATTTTATTTATTTATTTATTCAATTAAAAAAAACAGTATATTTGTATAATTTATTAATTTTAAATTATAATTAATATGATTACCATGAACGATAATAATGATAATGATGGTGGTAGTGAAATCTCGTTTATAGATGCATGGTTTGCTAATGCAAAGAGTGGCAATCAATCGGAGGTCTGTGAACTTCTGAGATTGAAGAAAGTGCCAATCGACAGTGCCGATCACCTCGGAAACACAGCACTTCACTACGCAGCAACTGCCGGACATGCTTCAGTTGTAGAATCACTTATCAAGAGTGGTGCAAATGTAAATTCTCAAAACAAAGTTGGTGATGCTCCACTTCATAAAGTATGATATCAATCAATCAACCAAAAGCAACTTATTGATTATCTCAATCTAACTTGACCTGATTTTAATATTTTAATATTTATTTATATGTTAGGCAGCAGCAAGAGGAAGATTAGAATGTGTAAAGTTATTGGTTAATCTGGGCAAAGCAAATATTGATCTAAAGAATAAAGATGATGAAATTCCAATCGATTTAACTAAAGATTCAAATATTCAATCCGAACTGCTACCCGTTTGTAATGGTAATGCCTATCACCAACTTAATAATTACAACCAATCTTAAACAATCAACTAATATCACAATTATTATTATATTACTTTTTAGATTTCGATGATGATGACTCTGATGATGATAAAAAAGATGATTCAGATTATGACAGTGAAGAAGAAGGTGATGATGAATAAACTGAACATAGTCATAATCATAATTATATACAGAAATGATACTAGTACAATACATATATATATATATAAATATTTATCTTTTATAAAAAAAAAGATAATAAATCAACCAAACAACAATCAACCATTACCAACATGTTAAATAAATTAATACTACTATATTTTATTAAAATTGATAAATTTAATGATTTGGAGAGGATGCAGATGCACTTATACTTAATTTACATATTGAATTATTTAATTTTAATTTATCTATATTATTTGAGTCTACTTCAATAGTTTGTATACTATTATTGTTGTTGTTGCTGTTATTGTTGTTGTTGTTCCAATAATTTCTATTATTTAAATACCAATCTAGAGTTTGACGTAATCCATGATACCAATCAACTTGTTGAGTCCAACCTAATTCCGCTAGTTTTGAACTGTTTAAATGATATCGTTGATCGTTGAACGGACGATCTTGAACATATTCTAACATGTTTGATTTAGAAACATGATCACCACCGTTGTTGTTGTTTTTATCATCTGGATATAGAATATCAATGAGTGTTTGAGCAACTTGAATATTGGAAATCTCAAAGTCAGTACCGATGTTGTAGATCTCACCGACGATACCACTGTGAAGAATCAAATCGAATGCTCTCACAACATCGTCGATATAAAGATAGCTGCGGACATTCAGTCCATTGCCGTGTATAGTACAAGATTTGCTCTCGAGCAGCTGTGTAATGAATTTCGGGATGATCTTCTCCGGATACTGCTTTGGTCCGTACACGTTGTTGCCTCGTGTGACGATCGCCGGCAATTGAAATGATTTGTGATAGGATTGCACCAGCAGTTCTGCCGCTGCCTTACTGGCAGAGTAAGGGTTGGTCGGCTTGAGAATCGAAGTGCACTCGGATGCACCCATCGACTGGCCACTGGGTGGTGACGATCCATACACTTCATCGGTGCTAATATATATGAATCGCTGCACTCTATGTCGTCGTGAACACTCCAAAAGATAATGTGTTCCCAATATATTATTCTCTGTGAAATTGATCGACGATTCAAATGAATTATCAACATGTGTACTAGCTGCAAAATGAATAACAGTATCTATATTTGATTCCTCTGTAAACAATCTATCAAGCAAAACACTATCCAATATATTTCCCTTTTAAATAAAATGAAAGAAAACAATAAGTTAACTCAATTTAGCTATACACATGTATATATACATACTTTACAAAATCTATAATTATCATGTTCTACACTTGATAGATTTAATAAATTTGAACAATAATCTAATTTATCTAAAACTATTAACCTATATGTTTTGTAGTGTTTCGATAGATATACAGTGAGATGTGATCCTCTATATATTTATGTAAGTAAGATTTAATAATTGAAAGATATCAAAGTATTTAGACATACATAAAACCAGCACCACCTGTAATCAATATAGATTTTGGATGATAACTATTTTTTTGACAAATATCATCATCATTTTCACAAAAATGATTCATTTAGATAAAGATTAATATAATTATACACTTTTAATTAAAAGATCACAAATAAAAGACAACAATATAAAATTAAACTTTTTTTTTAATGAATTAAATATATAAACAAACATACAAAAAAAAAAACATACAAAAAAAACAAAATTATAAATAGATCACCCCATTTACCTCCGATGAAAAATTATTCAAAAGTCTGGAATAAAATGTGGAATAATTAATTGATACATATAAATGCTTTTTTCAAAAATGAATAATAACTATAAAACCCTATGTTGTGAATATTGATTATTATTATTATTATTAAATATATATTTTTTTTAATTAACATATAATTTCTTGTTTAATGATTCCATAGTTTTGAGTATGTTCATTACATCGTTGAGATTACATTGTTCGAGATGATCGACTATCGATCTCGAGTATACCAAGACCTCTTCAATCTTTGATTTCACAAGTTTCTTGAGATATTTGAATTTATCGTCGGCGGTCTGAGGCGATGATGTATAGAGTGCTTTACTTGTGGAATTCAATGTGAATTGAAATTTCCTATAAGATAATAACTTTGATAATTGTTCAATTTCCTTATTTTTTGATTTGGATTATATTAAAAGTAAGTAACAGTTTTGTTTGATTATGTTGTTGTTGTTGTTGTTGTTGTTGTTGTTGTTGTTGTTGTTGTTGTTGTATTATCTTTTAAATTAATTATTACATACTTCTTGAGATGATCTAATGATCTTTGCATAGACAACGAGTGTATCTATATTGGGTGATTTCACAACACGATCATAGATTGCAGCGATGTTATATTTCATATCGTATCGAATGAGCGTGTATACTTTGTCACGATGAGTGTCCAACTCTGACAGAGGTGATATCTTTGTGACTGGCGATGACAGTGATAGCGGCTGAGGAGGTAACTCACTCGTCAGAATCGAAGGATGTCTTAATTGTTGTTGCATATGCATTGGTGGAGAGTTACTTAGTTCCATTCTCTGTGGAATACTATCATTGATATTAATATATTTAATTTGCTGTGGTAATCCATCTCCATTGTTGTTGTTGTTGTTGTTATTGCTGTTGTTGTTCTTCATTGCCTTTGTTGGTGATGTTGACAATGAAACATCATTATGATTATTTATAACGACGTTACATGTATTTGGATGTCTGGGTGATGCTGAAACTTGAATGATGTTTCTTGGTACTGATTGTGTTGGTGTTACTGGATTAGCTGTAGGTACTGTTGGTCTTGGTGAAAGATTTGGTGTTGTTACATTATTGTTGTTGATATTTACATTTCTTGGTGATATAGGTTGTGGTGTTGTAGTTGCAGATGTTATAAGTGGTGATGGTGTTGTAGAGGATGAAGATGTATTAGTAGTCGTAGTTGTTGTTGCTGTTGTTGAAATAGTTAAGGTAATTGGTGCAATGTTCGATGTTTGTTTCTCTTTCATATTTATATCATCTATAAATGGTGATATGCTATTGCTACCACTGATACCATTGCTATTACTACTATTGTTATTATTATTATTATCGATCGTCAATGAATTGGCTACTTCATTACATCTTTCAATCATTCTTTTCTCAAGATATGCAATCAATTTCTCATGTGATCCAATTGTGATGGCACCCAACAATGTGTAGTCTTCAATAGGGTTGCTATCCAATCGCAGCTGTTGGAGTGCACGACAATAGCCAATGGAGAGTGGCACGCTTGAAATCTGATTCTCTTGCAACTCTAGAATCTGAAGACGTGTCAATTTACCAATGGAGTCGGGTATCGATTGAATGGCGTTGCTTTTGGCGCGCAGCTCTATCAATCGATCCATCTCACTGAGGTGTTGAGGCAGTGTTGTCAACTTGCAGTTGCTGACGTCGAGAATGGTGAGACTGACGCAACCGACCAGTGGAAGTCGGCTCAGTGGATTGTTGCTGAGATCCAGATGCTCGAGTTCCGGCAGTGTGAGGTGGTCGTCGCTAATCTCGCTTATGTCATTGCCAGCCAGTGAGAGTGAACGCAGCATTGGCAGATGTTTGAGATCCGATGCACCTCCGAATCGAGTCAGTTTGCAACAGCTCAAGTTGAGCTTCACCAAGGTTTTGAGCCAAGCCGATCCTGGAAGTCCGATCATAAGCAACGATGAACATGGATTACCACTGAGATTCAGTGACTCTAACGATTGAAAATCATTTGACAAATCCCATTTGAAATCGTTCAGTTGATTCCTACTGCAATTCAACTCTTTTATGACCAATGGTTGTAATTTATTCAGTGGTTTTCTCAGCTGATCTGGGTATTTCGTCAATTTCAACTCACTAAGATCCAACTGATTTCCACCACTTTTATTGCAATTTACTATTCTTGTTTTTATCATATTCTTTTTTTTTTTTTCCAAATTCAAATTTCTATAAATAAATAAATAAAAATAAATAAATAAAATAAAACAAAAATATACAAACAAATAAAATTTGAATTTAAATCAAAATAAAAATAGTACCAACCAATAAATCTATTATTAAAGTATAATATACAAAAATATAAATATAAATTGGTTTTAGATACCTTATTATTTTTTGATTAATTAATAATATTTTTTATAAAACTATTTTAACCAACTAATAGTAGTGTGTGTGTGTAAAGTGATGTGTTATGGTGTGTTTTGAAGTGTTTGTTGCTTGTTACTTGAAGAATTAATTATCTGTGTGTTAACTGTTTGATGTGTGATGATTGTTTTTTTTGAATTTTTAATTTCTATTTGCCTGTACACCTATACAATGAATCATTCAATTCTATATCTTTAAATATACCTTTTGAAATTCGAAATCAATTGATATCTGAACAGTATAGATAAATAGGTAGGTAAATAAGGATGTATATGTATTAATTCTTTTTTTTTTTTTGTTTTATTGATTTATGTATGAATGGAATGTGATGGTGATGTAATAATTTAATAAAAAGAAGAAAAGAGGTTATAAATACAATATGTGTATATAATATATAAATATATATTATTTCACAAAGCTAAAGAATAAAAGGTTGATATAAAAAATCATCACAAAATAAGATCATTAAAACTCCATCTAAAAAATCATTTGCGCGTTAATCCTGAAATTTAATTTTATTATAATAATAATTTTTAATAAAACTTTGCAAATCATCATCTTTTCACTGATTTTTATTTTTTGTAAAAATTGAAAATAAGCATTGCGATTGTTTTAAAAATAAATTAACATTATTGATATTTGGAAACTAAAATTAAGCCCGAATTATTTATCCAGATTCCGATTTTAAATTTGTGAGTTTTGTTTGTTTGTTTGTTTTTTTTTTTTGAAAATAAAGAGGGTATGGAATTTTTATTTATTTATTTGAATTCCTTGTTGTTGAGTTTGAACTCTTCGATTAAAGCATCGACGGTGATGGATCCACGAACGACATTGTCTCTGGTTCTGACGTTGACAGTGTTGTTGTTCAATTCCTCTTCACCGACGACCAAGATGTAATTGTATTGGGACAATTGAGCCTCTCTGACCTTCTTTGGAAGGGTCTTGTCAGAGAGATCGACGTCGGCGTAGAAACCGGCGTCAGTGAGAGTCTTGGTGACGCTCTTGGCGTAGTCGGCAAACTTCTCAGAGACGGTGGCGACCAACACTTGACGTGGTGATACCCAGAATGGCCACTTTCCAGCGGTGTGTTCAATCAAGATGGCCATCATTCTTTCGACGGAACCGAGAATGGCACGATGGATAATGACTGGACGATGACGTTCCTCTGGTCCGCTACCCATATACTCCAACTCGAATCTAATTGGCAATTGGAAGTCCAATTGAATGGTAGCACATTGATGTGCTCTCTTCAATACATCGAAAATTTGAATATCAATCTTTGGACCATAGAATGCACCATCTCCTGGATTTAATTTCCATGGCTTTCCAAATTTATTCAATGCATCTCTCAAAGACTATATATATATTTAAAAAGATGTGATTAATATCATTGTATTAGTTTGTACAAACAAACATTTGTTATTCACTTACATTTTCAGCGACATCCCATTGCGCGGCAGTACCCAAATGATTATCTGGACGGGTGGACAACTCGAGTTGGAATTCGAATCCAAAGATACCGTATACGTGTTGCATGAATTCGAGACATGACGAGATTTCTTGTTCGACCATGTCTGGGGTACAGAAAATGTGTGCGTCGTCCTGTTGGAACTTACGGACACGGGTGAGACCAGTCAATGCACCGGCCAACTCGTTTCTGTGCAAGACACCAAAGTCGGCGAAACGAATTGGCAACTCACGGTACGATCTCGAACGATTACCAAACATCAAACAATGCGATGGACAGTTCATTGGCTTCAACGAGTAGTTTTGATCGTCACACTTCAAGTTGAACATGTTCTCACCGTATTTAGCCCAATGACCGGATTCCTCCCACAACTGCTGTGAGAACATGGTTGGGGTGATGACTTCGGTGAATCCACGACGGTGATACTCGTGACGAATAAACTCGACGAGACGATTGTAGATTCTGGTTCCGTGTGGCAAGAAGAATGCACATCCCGGTGAGTATGGATGGAAGAAGAACAACTCTTGGTTCTTACCGACGTTTCTGTGGTCACGCAGAGCAGCCTCCTTCATGAAGTTCTGGTACTCTTCGAGTTGCTTCTTGTCTGGGAATGCAATACCGTAGACACGTTGGAGTGGATCGTTCTCAGCCTTACCCAACCAGTAGGCAGAGGAGTTCTTGACGACGCTGAATGCCTTGACGTAGCTGGTGTTTGGAAGATGTGGACCACGACACAAATCGACCAAAGTACCGCAACGGTACAACGAGACGGTGTCCTCAGCTGGAATCTTGGAGATAATCTCAGTTTTGTATTTGTTGTACTTGAACAGCTGGAGAGCGAGATCTCTTGGCACGGCCAAACGCTCGAATGCTTGCTTCTCTTGGACGATCTTGTTGGCGACTTCGACGATGGTGGCATAGTCTTCGGAGGAAACGATCTTGTTGTCGGACATGGCCATGTCATAGTAGAAACCCTCGTTGGTTGCTGGACCAATACAGAGTTGGCCACCGTAGATACGCTCCATTGCTTGACCGAGGATGTGTGCAGAGGAATGCCAGAAGGTCTTCTTACCGGCTTCAGAGTCGAACTTGCAGAGTACCAAATTACAGTCTTTCTCCAATGGTCTTGCAATGTCCCAGATTTGCTCGTCTACCAAAGACGATACAATGGCGTCGGCCAAACCACGACTGATTCCCTTTGCCACCAAATATGGAGTGGTTTTTCCAGCGAAACCATCGACAACCTTTCCATCTGGTAATGTAATTTTAATTGGTACATCTGGGAGATCTAGTTATTAATGATAAACATACATTTTGTTAGTTATGTTGATTCTCATTTCTATTTATCTTCTTTTCTTAGAATGTGTTATTCTAAAACTACTACATACTGGCAATTTCAGCATCATGCTTTGCCTTTAATTCATCCCAAATCTTGATTCTCTCAGTGATGTACTCTGGGTTAACCAAATTCAATTGAACCTTTCCTGGCTTCTCTTTCTTTGGTTGTTGTTGCTTTTGTTGTTGTTGCTTTGGTGCAGCAGCAGCAGCGGCAACTGGTGCAGCAGTGGTTTCAGCAGCAGCTGGTTGTTGTTGTTGTTTCGTTTTTATTTTCCATTTTGATTTACAATATTACTATAAAAAAAAATAATGAAATAAAGATATCAATATAATAATATGTAATATTTAAAAATAAAAAATGTTTAAAAAAAAAAAAAAGCAATCAAAGTTTTCAACACACAGTTTGTTCAATTCAAAAAAAATGACCTTACGTTATGATTTATTTTAAAATTTTTTTTAAAAAGAATAATTTTTTTTTTTTGTTGACTTTACACAATTTTTTTTTAATTTATTTTGAAAATATTTTAGTTTAATAGTTTTGTTTAATTAAAAACTTAAATGTTTGTTGAAATGTAGATTTGATTTGTTTTTTTATAGTTTAAACAACACTATTTATAGTAGGGGAGAAAGGTGAGAGGGTGAATAGTGAAAGGGAAGGGGAAAAGTGTGAATTGGTGAAATTCTTGAAAAAATAACAAAAAAATAAAAACCAATACCAAAAGATGATATTTTATTGTAAACTTGGTATTACTAATATTTTTCTCATCTAAATATATTCTTGAATATTTATCATATCAATATATTTATTGGTCATAATATACTTTGTAATTGATGTAGTGAATTTTGGTAAAACAACATTTATTTTAATACATAAATCCAAGCGGATTCAAACTTTTGATCAAAAAAAAAAAGTTAAATACAAATGTGAAATATGATTGTTCATTGAAAAAATGACATTGTTGTTGTTGTTGTTTATGTATAAAATTGGCTGGGTATAATAATATTATTATTGATATATATGGAAAAAATCTACCAGTCATTGCTAATATTTAAAGAGTTTGAAAGGGTGGCATCATTGATTACAGATGAGTTGGAAAGATATTCAGAGTCCTGCTGCGATGCTTGATTATCATTGGATTTTACCAAATTGATGCTATCGTTTGATGGATTGCTTTCAATCTTTGATTCGTCACTCTCCACCTCGAGTCCGGTGACTGACTCTACCTCTTCATTGGCCTGATGCTGGTTGCTCTCGGAAATGGGTGGACTGGTGACTATACTATTGTGGTCAGTCTCCGATTGGTTGACTGCGATGTTTGAGCTTGGCGATTCATCACCCTTGTCATTGTCACCACTGTTACTGTTGTTGCTATGACTGCTGCTGCTACTGCTATCGTTTTGGTTCAGGTTGTTATCGCTGCTGCTCGATAGTGCGATGTGATTGTTTTTGTTGTTGTTGTTGGTAGTAGTTGTGGGGTTGTTGTTGTTGTTGTTGGGAACAACCTGAGCACTGGCACTGCTGCTGTTGTTGTTGTTGTCATCGATGGAAAGATTCGATGGTTTCAATCTTGATTGTTGTTTGCTGCTGCTGTTGCTGTTATTGCTGTTGGTGAAATTGTTGTTAAAACCATAGCTGTTCTTTAGCTGTTTATCGGAACCACTACTGCTTGAGGAGTGTCTAGAGTGTGACAGATGGTTTTTGATTCTGTCTTCGAATGACTGTGGAATGACACCATCCATCTCTTCGTGTAGGAAATCATCTTGTTGACTGTTGATCAACTCCTCTCTGCTCAGAATAGAGCTCTCACTACGCAACTCCATATCTAGATTACTGTGATCGTCCAATATCGATGTTGAAACAGTTGCACAGTTGGATTGAAAGAAACGTTCACTACCACTGTCGGACTCTTGATTGTTAATAGATGGTGGTGATGTAATATTAACAATAGTAGATGTATTATTATGATTATTATTATTAGTATTATTAGTTCCATTATTATTATTGCTATTTGATAAATTTGTATTTGTTGTAGTGGTGGTTGTTGTTGTGGTAGTAGTTGTTGTAGTTACAGGAACAATGATATCATCATTATTATTATTATTATTATTATTATTAACTTGTTGTCTGTCATTGTCTTGATCATTATCTTTATCCAAGCTAGTTGTCGTTGACAGCAATGATTCAATATCATTATTATTATTATTATTATTTTCATTGTTGTTTTGATTGTTATCTCTATTTACACTATTATTATTATTTTCACTCTCTTGAGTATTATTTTCACTATTTATATGGTTGTTGGTTTCAGTTTGATTTGATGTAACATCAGTTGATTTCTTATCTAAAATATTATGATTATCATTGTTATTATTCTCTGTATTCTGTTGTTGTTGTGGTTGTTGTTGTTGTTCATTGTCACTGTTGTTGTTGCTATTATTATTGTTGCTGTTGTTTGTGGTGTTGGTGTTATTTACAAAACCTTCATTATTTACAGGAGGTGGTGCTATTAGAGATAATCTGATGGCTTCAAGTACCATTAGTTCCTCGACTTCGGAAGGTGAATAACTTCCACTGTAGAGCATATCTTGGAAACGAGCACTGCTTGGGACTGCAGGTGGCACTTTGGCACTGACTGGTTTGGGTGGAGCGTAAGCAGGTGGAGGTGGACGCGGTGCAATCATAATGGGTGCTGCCACTGGCTGTTGACTACCACTACCACCACTACCACCACTGCCACTGCCACCGCCATTGCTATTCGTCTTATTCTTACTCTCTTTCATTGCCTTTTCAATCTCTTCTTTCTTCATCTGAATGGTCAACTCCATAACCTTGGCTTGTTCCATCTCATCCTTCTGTATCTCTTCCTTTGTCAATGGACCAGTATAAACTACACCATACGATGGTTGATTACAAAATGGACAACTACAAAATGTTAACAATAACAACCTCATATTAATATCACATCCGTTTGATACATCAATCCCCATTCAATCATTGTGTAGTACACTTACCATACACTACTGGCATCAGCCGTTGGTTTCTTTATTTGTAGATAACATTCTGTACATATTCCTTTTTTACAACACTTTGATCTATTTAGACTTGGATAATACTATTTTCGATCGAATATGTATTATATTAGTTTACTATGTTATTATTATTATTAATGTTAGGTTAATATCAATACATACAAGTAAACAAATTGGACATTCTTCGAGTGATGGATTCTCACTCTCGACAGCAGGATATAAGGGAGACAACTTCTTGTCGAGAATCAACTTTCTAACTGTCTTTGGATCCCATTCACAATCTTTGTATATTCCACTGACACAAGTGTACTTACTATCTACCTGATTGTCACCTTTTTTACTAGCCGAGTTTCCCATTGTAGATCAATCACACCAATCAATCTTTAACAAACTATAATACTACTACTAAAACTCGACTTGTAACCGTAACTGTAACTTGTGATATTAACTAAACTAATTGACTTGCTATTATTATTATTATTATTATTATTTTATGTTTATTATATTGTTTTTAAACTATTTTACAAAACACTTTCTAAATAATAATATTTAATTATGATAACGAATAACTAATAATGATAAAAAATGAAAAAATATATTTATATAAAATTAACTATATACAAAAGTAGATTTACAATAATAAACAAATTAACAAAGTTGATAACAACGTTTATTTTTATGTTTTTCAATAAAAACTATAGGAGTTAGTGAGTGAGTGATTCAACCTATTTTTTTAAATGTTTTATTAATATTATTATTTTTATTGCAAACAACAAAACATTTACTAATTTGATTAATATATGAAAAATAAAAATAATATTTAAAATAAAAATAAACACAAGCAAAATTAATAAAGCAATTTATAATTTGATTAAGAGTAAAACTAAAATACAGATAGATATATTTAAATGCTATGTTGTATTTATTACTACTACTACTATTGTTATTATAATTATTATTATCAAGATTTGAATATATTTGTTACTAAAACCTAATAACTAATGATTAGTTGATTGAATTGATATTTTATTATAATATAAATAAATTTTGATAGATATACTGTTTAATATAGAAAAATTTAATTAAAAAATTAAAAAAAAAAAAACACTTCTTTTTAATATAACAATAATTATTGATGTCTTGTAAAAAAAATAACCACACACTCTAAAAAATTAATGTTTTTTTTAAATTAAATATGTGTAATTATTAATTGTTTTTATTATTGTTTATGTTTTTTAGCAGGTCGACCTTTCTTTTTAATGGGGCTATCAGCTTTATCTGTAGTATCAACAACTGGTTCCTGCTTCTCTTTACTGCTGTTATTTGATTTCTTTTTATTATTGATTGGTTGTTCTACTACTGCTTCTGTCTCTGCCTCTTCTTCTTCTTCTGCTTCTGCTTTGTGTGTTGTTTTATGTTTCTTATTTACAGTTGATTTGATGTTTGAAGATTTAGTTGTTTTCGTTACTTTCTTTGGTGGTGATAGACCATCTTTGGTGTCGTCGTCTTCCTCCTCCTCTTGATCATCACTATCGTCTAAATAGTCTTCGTCGGCATCATCGTTGTTTTCGGTTGATTCAATATTAACATTCCATTGTTTTTGTTGTTGTTTCTTTGATTCCTGTGGATCCAATGAGAGATTCAATTTGATAACATTTGATTCATCATCACTATTATCATCATCATCATGATCGTCATCACCATTGTTATTGTTCAATCTACCAGGTAAACTAAATCTAAGATTCTTATAGGGTGTCGAACTGTTACTTGATTTACTGGATACCGACAATCTGAGTGCTGATTTGACACCAGTATTAGTTACATTGTTAGATGTAGCTGTAGTTGTGTCGCTATGGGATGATGGCGAAGAGAGTGCTGACGACAAGTTCATCATTGGTATCGGATTCTGTGGAGCTGAAGTTGTCATCTTCAGTGGCGTCAGTGCAGAGGACAATGAAAGCTTACCGATTGGTGTTGCAAATGGTTTGTTTGGTGTTTGTCCACCAAGACTGTGTCTCTTTGGTGTATGGGAGGTGTTGGCGGCGCCACTTGGTGTGGAACCTGTGGTTGGCGCGACGCCACCGCCAATCGACTGACGCGACTTGGGTGTCTTGAGTTGGGGAACGACAAAGTTGGTGAGATCCGCCTTACCCGGAGTAGACATGTTCTTTCCGGGAGTCATCGATATGCTCTTGCCTGGAGTCAGTGATAGTTTGCTCGGGGTCATGACTCCACCGATCGACAATCGGCTCGGTGACTGCACCGACTTCTTGTTGAATGTCTTCAGGTCGTACTCAATCTCTTTAGCTAGTTGGCGATCCGCAGACATTATATCGTTCATCTCTGTCTTGTAGTCTTTGTACAACTCCTTCAGGTAGACCATAAGCTCACGAATCAGCGACGATCGCTTCTTCTCAAACAGGTGTTTCAGCTGTATCACCACTGGAACAATGAATTCAATGACATTCTTCTTGACGATGTTGGTCAGGAGTTTGGTTTGTGCAGCACTGACTGCTGCTTCGGCAGCACTGACATCCTCATCGACGTCGGCAGCGCCAGCTCCACCACGCGACAGTGTCTGCAGCTTGATTTCCTTGCATGCCAGAATCGACAGGACATCGTACACCACATTGGCACAGGCAGAGAGTGGTATCTTCTCGTCGGCCACCTCTGCCAGTACTTCGTGGGCGAGTTTGCTTACCAGCTGGAATCGATGTTCATCACCGATGTTCTGTAAGAATATTGTGTAGATTGCCATTCTCTTCTTTCTACCTTCATCTCCCTTCAGAGTGAATTCATCCTTTGAATTGGATGTGTTGCCGCCAGTTCCATTGCCAATAGAGAATACCAAATGATTGTTTGCTTCTTTGTTGTAGTTTGGATGAGCAGTGCATTCATTCAACACAAAAATAGTGTCCAAAAAGTGAGAGTAGAATATATTCTTTGAGGATGACACCTCTTGTTGTGAAGCTTGATCCTTGGCTGTTGCTTTCGATTGCTGTGCGGTTCCATATTTCACTTGGAGTACATTCATCAAACAAAAGTGTGCGAATTGTGAAACAGTTGGTGAAGGATCGACCAGTGACTCTACGAATCTATAGAATAACGATCCCTTCCATTTCACATAGTCCTCTTGGAGTAATCTTGTGAGGAGAATCAAAGTTTGTCGACGTACCAACTCTGACTTGTCACGCAAACAACGAGCAATGTTTGGAATGTAGTTATCAACCAGCTGAGTGTAACGAATGCACAGATCACACATGACAATCATTACATTGTTACGAATAACAGGCGAGTCCGATATTTCAAGCTCCTTTGCAAATGTGGCAATACACTTCTTGGCAAGACGGTCGTCACCAAGACAGAGCTTACCGAGTGTAATAAAGGCATGAGCACGTACCGACTGGGGAATAGCCTGATCCTGTGAAGAGATAGCAGATTGTCCACCGTCTGTAGTCAAACTCATATTATTGATATTCGCTTTGGTCGGAGCAATCAGTGCCTGCACCATTGTCTTTATTCTACTTGGAACAGTCACCTGAGGAATCTGGATAATCTCACCAATTACAAACAGATATTGTCCAATCAACTCTTCCTCCTTGCTAATTATCTTATTATTTCCAGAAGCAGTAGCCGTTGTATTATTTGATTCATTCTCATCGACACTAGACGAGGATGATTTGCTATTACCATTTCCAAACACATAACCACTCATTCCTTCATCACATGTATTCAAAATATCTCTTGTCCACAAATCGATTGCTTTTTCGATTTGTTGTTTTGATTGATCTCTATTAATTCTAACAGTAGTCTTTGTTAGATAATATTATTGAATTGTTAGTTTGTTTTATGGATTGATTTAGATGTAAAAATAATAATAATAAACACTTACTTGTAAAAGAATGGCAATGAAAAGATTAACATGCTGTGGATGATAAGTGAATTGTTTAACACGATACATGATGTCAGTGTAGATTTCATTGGCTTGCTTCTCACTGAGATGCGGTGAGATCTGTTCGATCAAGATGAGAATGTTCGATACAAGTTGGATGATTTGGTCGGGTGCAGAATCGTTGTTGATTTCATCACAGTATTTCTCCCAGGTGGAAAGGATCAGTTGTTGATCCAACTTATCGGGACAGCAATATCCAATCTTTGAAAGTAAAGTCCAACTTCCAATCAATCCAGTTTTCATCTCGAGTGCACTCGATTTGATCAATGACTGTAACGCTTTGATAAGCTGAGGAGTGATCAGCTTCTTTTGAGACATCAATATACAACACTTGTGAAGATAGGCAGTCATTTCAAGCTTAACAATACGATCGAGTATTTGTGCTGTTAAACTAGATGACGATGCTTTGCTATCATCTTTTTCTTTACCACTACCAGCGGTAATTGAATCGAATATCATTGTTATCATTGACTCTAGTGATTTGTCGGCAACGGTTGATTCACGGTCAGCAACCAGTGGAAGTACACTGGTTATCCAAGAGTCAGCCAGTTCGAGATCGGTACGGAAGTGTATGAATAATCTGGTCATCGATTGGATTACCTGTTTTCTTATCAATGGTGAAGTATCGTGAATTCTCTTTGACAGTACACCAATGATCATTCGATTGCACTGACTGGTATCCTCTTGTTGCATACAGAGCACCTCTAGCACTTGAATGGCCGACTTTCTTACACCGGATTTCTCGTCGTCTGCACGTTTCGCCAAGAATTTCATCAGTGAAGATTGGTCGCCTTCCGATGCCTCTGCATCCATACCAAAGGCAGCTTTCAAGTATGGTTTGAGTGTATCGATAGTCTTGTCATCCTGCAACAACAATGCCAAACAAGACAGTGCCTTTGAACGAACTGTCGATACTTTATCCGACGATCTCTGTACCAATATACTCAACAACTTTGGAATGAACACACCATTGTCTATATTCTCCAACATCAACTCTGGTTTTTGTAATAAACAAAGTGCAACTTCAACTGAGAACAATCTAAAGTTACTCTTTATATATATATATAACCAAGTTAGTTTCGATTTGTTAATCCTGGATATATAGAGGGAGAGAGAGATTAACATAATATATTTACCTTTGTATTCTTTGAGAATGTTATTAGGAATTGAATGAATCTTTGGGTGTCTGGAAGTGAGGAGATGATTTGGGTGATGGACTCCACAGTGCCACTACGATAGTCTGCTTTCTCAGGTACACGAACACATATATGTTGTAGGAGGACGAGTATTGACTCTTGAGTGCTGGGATTACTCTCGAGTAACTGATTGATGAATGCAATCGAGTTGTCGCGATCTACATAGAGTTGCTTGGGTACTGTTACTGGAAGCGAACCTTGAATGGTGGTGAGTGTCAGCATTGACACCAGCTCCTTTAGGACGGGTGGTAACACACGACTGACAACTCCATGTCGTCCAGAGATGAGGGTGTTCAATACCTGGAAAGCTGACTTCACCAGTTTACTCTCGTCGCCGGTAACACTGTTCTGACTGCCTTTTTTCTGACCGGTTTTCGACTTGGTTTTCGGTCGACGGAAGTTGATGGATCGAGAGAGCGACGCCACAACCTCAACTGTATATTCATAGGTCTCAACAAAGCTATCCAATGAGAATCTCTCAAGAATCCACTGAAGATCATCAAGTAGTTCAATTACACTTGGAAGATGCTTTGATATCTCTTCGTTGGCTGCATCTTGTTGTTGTTGCTGCTGTTGTTTTCCACCCTTTTTCAAAGATTTTCCAGTTGTTCTCTGTGATGATAGTTGATTTGGATTTTCATTTTCATCGTTGCTGTCCATCGCCATATCGGTGTTGTTGTCGTCGTCAGCCTGTGACTGTTGCGATGACTGTGAGAAGATGTCGGACTTCTTGTTGACTGCTGGCTTTGCACGGAGTAACTTGAGCACAGAGCGGTATGCACTTGGATGGAACATACGTCGTGAGAGAACCACCATATACAAATAGACAGAGGATGCCAAGAATTGTATTTCCTTTCCACGTGACTCTCTCTCTATCATCCAATACATTAATATACACAATGACTTTACGGAGATCATCGATTGTTGAATAAAGTCTGAGAACTCATTCGATTGTTGTTCCATCTCCTCTTCCTCTACATTACATTTCTTATTAAATTCAATATCTACATCTTCTTCTTTTTCTTTATCTTCTTCTTCTTCTCCTTCTTTTTCTTCATCTTCCTTCTCCTCTTCTTCATCTTCTTCATCTTCATCCTCCTCCTCTTCACTGTCACTATCTAAATCCATATCATCTGTATTTCTTCCTCTCTTTTGATTGGTAAGTTTCTTCTTATTCTTTGTCTTTTTCTTTGTTTCTGATTTCTTTTTCGATTTTGCAGAGTTGTTTTTTGCTGATTGTTTCTTGTTGACTGGCAGTTGCTTATTGACTGAGGTGTCTACAGTGATGATTTGTGCCAGTCCAACATTTGAAGAGATATCTTTTAGGCGCGACAATAACGACTCTAGTTGATCTGCAGAGATAACGTTTGCGACAGAATCCAAAATCTCTTGATCAAACTCTGTCAACTCTTGTCCTCTCCATATAGTATTACATAATTTATCTGTAATTTGATCTAAACCAACTGATAGAAATATCTCAAATATCTTCTTTTCATTTAAAACTTTACTATTACTGCCACTACTACTATTCGTTTTCTTTTTACTATTATTAGTAGACATTTTTAACTTAATTAAATATCTTACTAAATAATAGTAATTCTATCTATCTATATCTATCTTTTTTTAAAAAATAATTTAAATAATATTCAAAAAAAAACAAAATGTGATTCAATCAATTATTATGTTAAGAATGAATAGTTTTCGCGCTCTTTTTTTTTGAATTTTTGGCGCGCTGACTTCTCACCACCCAAAGTTTCAAAACACTTTAAAAATGTACTCATGCTTATTATTATAATTAGAGTTATCAAAGTAAAAATTATAATTAACAGGATATTTGATTTATATATACAATGATTATAGTTGATTGTTGTGATTGATTTGTAAGTTGTAGTGTTTGGTTTAGTTCAGCGTCAGTGATATCTTGGAGTAGTAGAGTGTGTCCAGCTTTGACTCTGACCTCTTGATAGGCGTTGTCTTCTTTCTCTTGTCTTATAATGAGGTCGGTGTTGTATGAGTAGACCGCTATGTTTCTGTTGGTTATCTGGTGTGGCTGGTTGAGGTGTTGCTGCTGGTGTTGCTGCTGGTAGATCGCCTCGTCCGGTGTCAGTGCAACGCTCGACGAGTCCAAGCCGAGCGTGAACGTCTCGCCACAGCTCTGGAAGTGGTGCACTCGGACGAGGTGCGTGGCAACCGCGTCTTTGGTGAAGATGTTAAAGTCTGTCGATTCGTCTTGTGGCGGGTGTGTCACCACGTAGCCAGAGTTGTGTGGCGACGACACTGGCGATCCATTGCTATTGTCACTGCTGCCAGTCGACTCCACCGATAGCTGCATCATTCTCGACGAAATAGCATTGCCACTGCGTCTCAGACAGTCGGTTTCCGACGGAATAAAGATAGAGTCGGTCTCCCAGCCACCACTGAAAGTATAGGGTTTGAAGTGTTCCAACTGCACCGGTTGCAACGGTTTCTGTCTGTGGAACAACTGCAGTTGGTTTCCTTTCATTAGCACCAGTGATCTTGTATAGCCATCGAATGTAGAGAACGGTCCAACCGTACTGACAGTAGCTATACTCATGAGTCAGTTGAACAATATCAAATGATCATTTGTCAGATTCACTTAAACAACATTGTTGATCTTGTCATTCTTTTCTTACTTACCGGAAGATATTCTCCAGGCGAAAGGATCCTGTATTGTCATTGACTCTGGTTCGATGTGAATTTGCACTGATTTACCTTTACCACTCTTCCAAACCATATGTTTGTAATTTGATGAATCCTTTGCATACCACTTCATTTTTCAAATAAAATAATCACACTTATTGTTTAAATATTCAGATTAATTAACTAATAGTTAATAAAAATTACTTTTTTTCCTATAAGAATTTATAATTAATTAAAAACATATAAAATGAATAAAAAAACCACACAATTAAATAAACATGTAACCCTGGGTGTTTTATTTTTTTTTATTTTTAATTTAATTTTATTTTTTTGATATTTATTTCTTTTGTTAATAATAAAATGAATGGACAAAAAACAATGAATTTTCATAAACAATTAAATCTAGATTTGATCAATTTATTATTATGTTGATATAATAATTATTAGTTAAAAAGAAATATAATGTTATAAACATTGTTTGTGAATTTGCCAATATTGCAAATCAATGCAGAGCTTTCAGTATGGCATTTGGGTGTAGAAGTTAAACCTGAATGAATAGGCGGCATTGGTGTTTCATATCACTTCTTCTTATCTAAATCATATATTATGAAAATCTTACTAGTTTTACTCGGATTGGAATGTTTTGGTTTAAGTTTTGAGTATAAATCCAATACAATTAATTAGAAAGATATGAAGTTGTTTTGTAAAGAATCAATAATAATATGTCACTGATATCTATATGGCAAATCGTTGTGAACAGACAATGTCTCACATTTACAATAAATAGTTACATATGACAGTTGTTTTCGAAATTTCGAGAAAAAAAAAAAGAAAAAATGATATGTGTGAGATGAAAAAGAGTTTTGTTTGAATTTATTCAATAAAGTAAATAAAAATATGTTTAATATTAGTAGTAATAGTAATTATGTACAGTTAAATGAAAATACATGGTTTCCTCTTACTCAGAGGAGAACCGATTCGGTTACTTTGAAGATGAAACTGAATCCGCGACAGGCACTCAAGACATTCACATTGCCCAATCAAGTACCGTTTACATTGATGCTAGTCGACAATCCATATGAAAGTCTCTCTTTCTACTTACATTGTCAAACTGGAAATCATAGCACCGTCAAAATAGATTATGAAATAACACTTAAACATCCTGAATATAAAAATAAAGATATTAAAAAATGTATGTTAATTATTACTACAGGTAAACGTTGTATAAATATTATATAAACAAACTTAAAAATTATTATTATATTGATTGATTGATTGATTGATTGATATATAGGTGGATCATTTGAATTCAAAGAAAGTAATTCGTATATATATGAAGAGGATTTCTTGGATTCTTCAAAAGTTAAAAGATACACAAACAACAATCAAGAGATGACATTGGTGATAAAGATCAATCAGGTGCAGGAAAAGAAAAATGGAATATTCAATCATATAGTGGATGAGATCGATAAGGTCAATAAGTTGTTTAAGTACAATGAGATGGCACAGCAATCACTGATACACTCTTTCTACTTTATGCCTTTCTTGAAGCGTTGCATCCTCGAGATACCACGATCCAATTTGAATGCAATCGTCGAGTCGGAACCACAACAATCGCGAAACTGGGTGAGTGAGTTGCAGTCGGTGCTCTACCGGATGTCGAAAGGACAGGATATCACTGAGAATCGGCTGACCTCTGCCATCAAGATGTCGGGTTCACTCGGTCTGGCGCCGAGCAACATCTACGAGTTCGAAACAATCACCACGAAAATGATCAAAAAGATTGCGCAACTCTCGGACGAAGCGAACAAGGAAGAATTGATCTACCACTTCTATATGGGACTGGGCGGTGTCTACAACGAGACCGATATGCACGCCATCAAGGTGGAGGGAGACATCAACTTGGACATACTGAACTACATGAAGCGCGAGTCACTAATGGTACGAATGATCGAGCAGTTCCCACCGGTACTCTTCATTTCACTGCCGACCAGTGATATCGCGGGTAACGACCATCTCAGAAACATATCGACCACCTTCCGAGAGGATTTCTACTTTGAGGAGGTGTTGACCGAGGACGAAGTAATGGATCCGCGATCCAAAGAGAATCACTATATCCTCTACAGTGTTTGGTGTCATGAGCATCCCTCAAACAACGCTAAACAGGGTGAGTTCTTTACTTTCTTGCGACCACTGGATCAACCTCACTGGGTTAAAGTCTCATCGAAATCAGTCGAGGAAGTACATCACTTTAACTATGTATTGGGTTGCTCAGCTGGAAAAGCAAGATCTGAACTTGCCGATAATTCAAGTGGCTTCCCTCAGGAAGCAAGAAGTTGGAAATCAACAACTAGTTATGCTTGTAAGTTGATATTTAAATAACAATTATTATTATTCATACAGTGTTCATATATTCTAATAACTTGTTTTTTTTTTGTTTTAGATATGTTGGTATACGTTTTAGAATCAGAGACAAAGAAACTCTTTAATGAAGAGGATTCAAGATATAATATAAATTTAGACGATCAGTATGTTTTTAAATATTTATATTTGATGATTATGTTATTAATTAAACTCTCTCTCTCAATCTTATTTATAGATTATCAAAAGAAAAAAAGTTATCATATGATGAGATGAATGATGCAATGCAATCAAAAGATGTTAACACCACGACAACAACAACCACTACTACCACCATTTCACCAGCAGCAGAGTTGCTACCAAGTATTGATGATCTTTCATTGGAACAAATAGAAGTACCAAATTTCACTGGAATGGATGAATTAAAGATATTCGGAAGTCCTATAGATGATAGTTTCATTAAGAAGGGTAATGGAAAGAGTAGCAGTAATAACACAACATCCACTACTACTACAACGAGTAGCAGTGGTAAAAGTAATACAACCAATGCATCATTAAATAAATATGAGAGACGTTTGGGAATATCAAAACTACAGAATGAGAATCTAAAGAAGGATGTAGAGTTTATAAAGAAGAATACCGATACAAACAAGAAAGAGCTGGACAGACTGAAAAAGACATCCGATGACTATCGCAAACAAATAGACCAGTCGAATGACAAACTGAAAAAGGCAAACAAAGAGAGAGACAACATTAGAAGCGATGTCGATCGTCAGAAATCGTTTGCCAACAACCAGCTCAAGTCGCTCGAAGCTCTGAGAAAGGAGTTGGCTGCCACCAAAAATCAAAAATCCGCGGTCGAAGCTGAACGTGACACCATCCACAAACAAGTGCAAGAAGAGAAAAAGAAATCCAACAAAACCGATCCAAAGTTACTTCAAAAGCGTTTGGAAGCAATGGAGTTAGAGAACAGTCAGCTCAGTGGCGAATCATCTCTTACACAATTGGATCATGAACAACTAACAGTTATTGGACATAAACTTAGTAAATCTATATTCAACATTAATGAACAACTTTTGACACTTGTAAATATGAATTCACATAATAATATATATATATACTAATAATAGAAAGATAATAATACTAACATTTATTTCTTATTATAATATTATAGAGTAAAGCAAGAGTATGTGTCATTTGCTCAGAACAAGCGAGAGAAATATGTTTCTTGCCATGTAGTCATTTCGTTACTTGTTTGAATTGTTCGACTATCATTACAAAATGCCCAATCTGTAGAAAGGATATTAATAAAAAGATTAAAGTAATTAATAACTAAACAAAACAAACAAACTAATGTTACGCTATTCTTATTTTTTATTTTGTACAATTTGTTGGTTATCCTTATAAAATGTTACATTGACTATTTGATTCCATATTTTTTGCATCGACATACAATGTGTTTTCCAATTCTTTCAAATTAATGAATGCAATGTTTGATGTTGATGTGAGAATGAAGTGATCTTCATCGATTCTCTCGAGAGAGTAGAAACTATTGACACCGTAGATGTCGATCTTTATGATGGTCGATTTGATTGAACCGACACCGTATCGATTGAGAAGCTCGATCCGACAATGAATCGTTCTAATTGAATCTGGAAGTCTCTGAAAATCTATTTCCGACTTGTAAAAAGGAAAGCTAAATGTTTCGACAGAGTTTGGTATCGATCGAATATCGACAGGATGTTCTTGATCGTTTTCGAAAATATAGAGATTCTTTGTCGAAGCCGGTATCACTCCTTGACAGAGATACTGCGATTTCAAAGAGGGAAGCCGTAGCGTTTCAATGCCAAACGGTAGACTTCCAGGAACCAGTGGCTGATTATAGCCAAACAATACGAGTTCTTTGATGTTGGCCGGCAAATGGCCGGGTAGAATGGCAGACTTGAAGTCCGATATACAAAGATAGTCGTAGTGAGCATCTCTTGGCAGTACATTCGATTCTACATCGTAGGTACTGCTGATAGTCAGATGTTTGATTGACGAAGGAATATACAGAGAGTTGGACGTGCCAAACGTAGACAACGACAGATCCAACTTTGTTAGAGTATTAGGGAAATCGCCTTGTTCCATAAAACCAACTGGAAAATCAACGCTTATCACCAATGACTCCAAGTATGGAAGATGCTTTAAATGTTTGATCCAACTCAAAGGACAATATTCAATTGTTGTCAAAGTTACAGGTAGTATTGTTCTATCTATTAAATCGAATTCATAATCTTTAAAGAAAAATCAATATAGAAATTATAGAGATAAGTATAATATTAATGAAATACATGACTCTTATAGTTCATGATCGGTATGTTATATACATACTGTATAACAGTAATTTTTTCAAACCTAAAGGAAGATGATTACTCTGTAGTGGAAAGCTATAGTCTGATAATCCTAGAGTATCAATGTTTGATGGTAAACTACCAGGCTGCAGTTCTAGGTTGTACCTACGCAATGAAACCGTTCTAACATTTGATCTCTCCAAGTGTGATTTCATTCTAGAGATATCGAAATCTTTTATCTCTAAAAGTGAAACACTACTGAATATAGGTGATATTACTGATTCCTTCATAAATGTATCTATTGTAAATCAATATGAATATTTAGATATTGACTGATTTCAGTTTGTTCTAATTAGATGATATATACCTGTTGTTGTATAATTTAAACGATTCTTAAAATGATTAGGATTCTCTACGATATTCAAATTCAATTGTTTAGTGATATTATCTTTTTCACAACAATTGATATAGGAATTGAGAGATCCATTCGAGTAATACTTGGCTAGAACCAAATAGTGTAGTCTCTCTTGAAACCAACGTCTACAAACTAGAGTGAATCTGATTCTATCGATATGATCATCAAGAAAACTGATGATTTTCTTCAACAACAAATGTGATAGTTTAATAAATACATTATTATTATTTGAGTTATCATTATATTCTCTATTCATTTTATTTACTTTATATATTACATCTTATAAACTATATACACACTGATAATTATTGCAAAAAAAAAAAACATTCAGATCACATTCCGAATCTAAATCAAATTAGTTAATTAATTAATTAATTTTTTAAAAAAATTAATTAAGATTAATTTATTATACAAAAAAAATGATCGATTTATTTAATTAAAATAATAGACAAACTATTGAGTACTACAATTATTATTACTCTTACTTTCAACTTTAGATTTATCATTGATTATCTTTTGGTGAACTCCTGCGGAATCGATAAACCATAAACCAATATATGGTGAAACGAAATAGTTGCTATAGATACGATTATATTCATAGAGATTTTCACTTTCGTCTTCACCTTTAATCTTGGTCACTGTTGGTTTGATCGAATCTATGCCATATTTCTCTATTAGCTCCAAACGACACTCAATGGTTCTAATTGAATCTGGTAGCAATGAGAAATCGATTTCTGAAGTATAGTCTCCAAGATTTAGATACTCAACAGAGTTTGGAATGCATCTAGCATCGAATGTACCTTCTGTCTCCACTTGAAACAAATAGAGATTCTTTGTCGAAGAGGGTATAGCTCCCTCTACCATATACCGAGCACTTAGTGAGGGAAGCTTCAAAGTTTCAATTCCAAACGGTAGACTTCCAGGTACAAGCTCTTGGTTATATGAAACCAATACGAGTTCTTTGATGCTAGCTGGCAATTGATTTGGCGTAATAGGATAGGTAATATCATAAATATTAAGATATTCATAGTTGGCTTCTCTAGGTAATACTAGTCGCTCAGTTAAATCTGGAGATTGTCTACTGAGTGTTAAATCCTTAATAGTGGAAGGAATCATCATCTTTGGATCGAGTGGTGAGTTTGACCAGCTGAGATCCAACTTGGTTAAAGTCTCTGGGAAATCGCCAGTCTCCAAGAACCCAGAGGGAATATCATCTGCTAACTCCAAAGTAGTTAAAGATGTAAAGTGTTTCAATGACTTGATCCATCTACAAGGGCAACCGATAATTGTATGCAATGCCGGAGGGAGATGCTTCTCGTCCAGCTTTATACCACCGACGAAACCAGAACCTTTGAGATAATGTTAGGCTTTCGAGTAGAGGTGGCAATGATTCAACTTCATTGATATACTCATAGCCATGATTGAATTCCAACTTTCTCAACGATGAAGGTAGTGTATCTTTCTCCAATCCATAGAAATACAATTTAAATGTCAGCTCTTTCAGGTTTGACGGTAAACTATCTCTTGTCAATCTGCCCACACTATCCAACACCAGAAATTCAACGTTTGATCTCTCCAACATATCACGGTACTTTGAAACATCTAAATTGCGTACAGCAAAAGTAATTGATTTAATATTATCTGATATTCCCGATGCTGCTAATTCATCTATATTATATCAATCGAATCATTCAATTTTAAATTAAAGGATTAGTTACGATTAGTTAAGTTTATTTAATTATTAATATTTGCAAATATACCTTCTGTAATATATTTAATATGATGCTCCTCTAAATCATCATCATCATCATCATCTTGGCTGCGAGTTGAAAGTTGATCTGATGAAATATACAATTCACACTCCATTTTATGTTCATATGCAATTGATTTGTATGCATTTGACAACATACTAGAGTTATACCGTTTGGCAAGAACTAAATAACTATATCTCTCTTGAAACCAACGTTTACAAACAAGAGAGAATCTAAATCTGTCAACATTTGTATCAAGATAACAAACTATTTTCTTTATTAATAAAAATGATAAATTAACAAATATATTATTATTATTATTAATATTAATAGACATTTATTTATTTACTCTTCGTTTACAAATTTAAACAATAAAATGATAATAATAATATTAATCAATTAAAAAGTTTAATTTCTAATAATTAAAAAAAATCTGAAATATCTTTATTTGTGTAGAGTTCAAACTATTGATTATCGATAATAACTTTTTGTCAAGATATTAATATGTTGATTGATCTCAAGGAAGATATCTTCATGAAACACTAATTTGTAGAGCTGAGTTGCACTGATTAAAAAAAGATATGTGAATAGTTACATACACCTTTAGAAGTCAACAATTTGAAGATCTTTCTTCTCTTTAGTGATGTGTTGAGATAGCACATACATAGTAGAAGGTGAATATCTTCAATATCTTTAAAGATCACTTCAATTTCTTAGATCACATGCATGTTTGTTTGAAACCAAACCAATTCATGGTTTCTTTTAATGATCAAACAATGTGTAAATCTACTCTATTTATTGACCTGTCTAATCTATGCTCTATAGTAATTTATTTGTTATAACTTAAAACATTAAGATTGTAAACTGAACATTGTTAGATCACCATCTTAAGTTCGAACGTTTTTAAATAAATAAAAAAATTTTAAAAAATAAATAAAAATAAAATATATTAAAAAATAATAAAAAAAAATTCTTCGAACAAACAACAACAAATATGATAGTTTTTTAATAATTGTACCATTTGTTTTTTTAACCCAAAACAACAATAATAATAAATAAATCTCTAAAACTATTTTACTTATTTATTTATTTATTTATTTTAAATTTTGTTGTTTCTTTAAAAGTTATAACAAATCTTTTGCAAACTTTTTAAAATATAAATAAAAGTTAACTAGTTTTTTTTTTTTTTAGTAAGATCTTAATTAAAACTACATAATATTATATCATTACTTTACAATTATTTATTTATTTATTTAAATACAAAAAAAACAACACCGATTTTGTTTTTTTTTTTTTTTTTTTTTTCTTTTACTTTTTTTTGTTAGATTAGATTTTAGCTTTACATATTTTATAGATATAGTTATATAAATAAACGAATGAGTTCAAAGGTTGCGAATAATAGCGGAGTTGCAACACCAACACCAACAGCAGCAGCACCACCACAAAATGGATCACCTAACAAAGGAAAAGATGTACTTGTAAATAAAGTATTTTGTCATATCTGTCAGAATCCGGATCCCGACATCGTAGAGGACTACGCCAAGGGTGATTTGATTTGTAGAGAATGTGGTGTGGTGCTCGGTGATCGTATTGTAGATGAACACAGTGAATGGCGTACCTTTTCCAATTCAGAGTCCACCGGTTCCGACCCCAATCGTGTCGGTGGTCCAACGAATCCACTGCTCAGAGACTCGGGACTCTCCACCGTCATCGGCAAGGGTACCTCCAAAGATTCTTCGGCACTCTCGAGAATGCAGAATCGTGGTGCACTGGCGAACGGCGACCGTAGTCTGCTCGCCGGTTTCAAAGAGATTGCGCGTATGGCCGACCACATGGGTCTGCCACAAACCGTGCAAGACACTGCCAACGAACTGTTCCGTGAAATGGACGACAAAAAGTCGATGAAGGGTAGATCGGCCGACGGTATACTGGCGGCATCGCTCTACATTGCCTGCAGAATCGAGGGAATCACTCGTACCTTCAAAGAGATATGCGCACTCTCAAACAACGTCTCCAAGAAGGATCTCGGTCGTTGCTACAAGATGATGAAGGAGGCACTGGCCAACCGTATCAATCTACAGGCAATCTCCACCGAGGACTTTATGACTCGTTTCTGTACCAATCTCAACTTGCCACTCGATGTAAAGCGTGCTGCCGAGCACGTCTCTCGTACCGCAATGGAACTGGGCATTGTTGCCGGTAAGAATCCAATCTCTGTGGCGGCGGCATCCATCTACATGGTATCACAACTCAGTCCAGAGAAACGTACACAGAAAATGATATCGGATATCAGTGGTGTCTCTGAAGTCACTATTCGTAATGCCTACAAAGATCTCTATATCAAAAGAGAACAATTGTTACCACCCAATTCACCATTCTTAACCAACGTTGCCAATCTCCCATCGTCTTAAGTTCAACACGTTACTCTGCAAAAAAAAATCTTTATTTTTTTTTTTTACTATTTTTTTTAACTTTTTTTTTTTTTTCCATTCCAACTTTTGTCGTATGACATCTCCCCTTCACATTTTGAAATACTGCATTATTTCGAGTAACCTCTTTCTCTATCACTTCTATTTATATATAAATATTTAATCATTCTTTTCTAGTATCAAGTTATCATAATAATATGATATTATAATTAAAAAAAAACAAAAAGGTAAGATTTACTTTATTATTCTTCTTTACTCTCTCCTTTCTTCTTTCTTCTCTCCTTTCTTCTTTCTTCTTTCAATTGCATTCTTTTAAAAGAACATATTAACTTCTATGCGTATGTCTCTGTTGGAGGAATGCCAAATTAAAATTGAGCCATCACTTTACGAAACACTACTATTATTAGTGTTTCGTCATTATCGGTTCAGACAAACAATTCAAACAAATTCTATTATCTCTAATCTCTCTTTTTTCAATAATTTAAATTGATTAAAAAATTATTCATTACTAACTTGCTTTTTTTTGTAAACAGATAATCAAAAGAAAAATAAATAAATTTAATTTGTATAAAACAAAAATAAAATAAAAATAAAACAAACAAAACATTTGTTATTCATTCAATTAAACTTTACATTATTTTAATTTATTTATTAAAACTTATCTTATTTATTATTTTTATTTGTTTCGTTTTCATATAAAACAACCAAAGAAAAAAGATCCTAAAAACCGTTGATTTTTAATTTCATTGTTGATTTTCGCGCTTAAATTTTTTTGTTTTTTTTTGTTTCGATTCAAAAAATAACAGATTTATAGTTATAGTTTTATATTTATAGAAAGGTGTTATTTATCTCATAGATATAGATAGTATCAAACTATGAGTATCAATGGAAATAGAAAGAGAATAATAGAGGAGGATGACGAAGATGAAAATGAACATTCCAATAACAATAACAATGTTAACAATCAGAGAAGAAGATTAGACATGCAACCAACACAGAGTAGTGGTTCCACACCTGCACCGGCATCACAGAACTACATTACGGTACCACCCGCCAAAGTCTATATGGAGGGTAGTATCGTTCGTGTCAAACTGACCAACTTTGTCACATACACAGAGTTGGAGTTTGTTCCTGGTCCGCGTCTCAACGTCATCATCGGACCGAATGGCAGTGGTAAATCATCGATTATCTGTGCGTTGGCACTCGGTCTCGGTGGTGGACCGGCACTGCTCGGTCGTGCCAAACAGGTGTCACACTTTATCAAGCACGGTGAGGATCATGCTATCATTGAGATCGAGCTGTACGTGCAGACCGGAAACATCGTTATTCAGCGTCTCATTCGTAAGGACAACTCCTCAGAGTACAGAGTGAACCGTAGCAAAGTGACAGCGAACGACCTGCACGAACTCATTCGTAAACACAAGATTCAAGTCGACAATCTCTGTCAGTTCTTGCCACAGGATAAAGTAGTCAGTTTCGCAGCGATGACACCGACCGAGTTGCTTCAGGAAACAGAGAAAGCAATTGGTTTACACGATCTCTATGAGAATCATATGAAGCTCATTGAAGAGAGAAAGAATGTATTACAAAAGCAAACTGTAAGTACAATTATTAGAAACTTTACATTTACTTATTGTTGTTATCGATTGTTTGTTTTATTAATAGTACGTACATCTACTCGATATTCATAGCAATTCTCTGGACATGAGGGTATTTTAGAGGATTTAAAGAAACAGAATGAAAGTTTAGAGAAAGAGGTAGAGAGATTCAAACAGAGAAAGGAATATCTTCAAAAGGTTGATCTATTCCAAAAGAAGAGACTATGGGTGTTGGTAGATATCGCACAAAACGAAGTGAATGAAGCCACTCAAGCCAGAAACGAAATAGATGGCAGAGTTAAAGCTCTTGAAAAAGAGAAAGCACCATTACAAAAAGCAGGAGAGTAAGTTTTATTTTATAGTAGCAGTAGTAGAATAGCTTTACTAATATATTTATATTTTAATTTATTAGTGTATTAAAAGGTAATATAGAGAAATTAGATCATGAATCAACTAAACATAGTACGGATGTCAAAAAGACAGAACAAGAGACACAGAGAAAGAGTGCTGCCATTGAAAAGTATAACGATCAAATAGATAGCTTTCACAACGAGTTGGATAACATACAGAAGCGTGCTGATGAAAGATTGGCAAAGATTGCACTAGCCAGACAAAATCAACAGAATTTGACGGAGAATATCAATAATTTACCAAATGAAGATGTTACTCGTGCTAAAATTGTATGTATTATAGTTTGTTTATTAAAATTAATATGTATTGTAGTTTGTTAATAATTAATTATCGTAATATTCATACCTGCTATTATAATAGGAAGAGAAGAATAAGACATTGAGAGAGATAAATGTTCAACAAGGACAGATAAGATCGGATATTTCAAATGCAAAGAACTATTTGGAGACTTTGAATATGGAGTTGAGACAAGTGAATGGTGGACTCGATGCACTTAGTAATATCAATGCAATCAAGTTGGAATCGTTGCGACGTAATGCAAAGAGTGTCTTTGATGCCTATCAGAACATCAAGATGCGTTTGAAGGATAGATTCAACAAGTATGTGTACGGTCCTATCTGCTTTGAGATGAACGTACAGAATCAGGAGCACGCCAAATACCTCGAGAATGCTATCAATTTCAATACACTCACAGCGTTCGTCTGTCAGTCAAAGGAGGATCGTGAGTTGTTCTACCGTGAACTCGATGCGCAGAACATTCGTGGTATCAATTCTTTTGTACTTGCCGGACGTCAATACCAACTGGGGACGTGACTATCAAATCGATAATCTACAACAGTATGGTGTGGAGTGCTTCTTGGACCAGACATTCGAGGCCGATAAGCTCATCAAGGATGTACTCGTAAGCACCATTCCACTGCAAAACATCGCTGCTGGAACCAAAGCATCGATCGGCAAAGAAGAAGAACTGCATCGTAAGACTGGAATCCAAGGTTTTTTCACTCCAGTCCGTTCCTACAATTACTCACAATCGCGTTACGGTGATAAAAACACAATAACAAGAATCACCGCACTTAAAGATGCTAAACTTTTATCACAAGGTGGTATGTATCATTATATCATTATTATTATCTATCTCATTGTTACTAAATCAATATGAATAACGACGCAGTTAATTTACAAGAGAAAAACAATTTGAATCGTAAAAAGCAAGAGATTGAAGGAAGATTAACTGAAGCAAAATCTGCACATTCAAAGTTGCAAGATCAAGAGCAGGAAATCAATAGGCAGGTAAAGATGATTCATACTGAGAGACAAGAGCTCCAGTCTTTGTTGGACGAGAGAAAGAAACTCTACAGTAAACTCCATCATCTTAATAGACAGATCGAGGATATGTCGGTTGAGGAGAATACCGATCAAATGAAGGCTGACATTAAAAAGAAGATTCAAAATGCACATCTCCATAGAGTCAACAACATCAGAGAGGTCACCAATTTCCTGCTACAGATTGGTATGTCCATGTCGCAACGTGATCTCGTCACTTTGAAGAGAAGTAAAGCAGAGGCCAAATACAGAGTGGAATGCGCTGCTCTTGAGAATCTGATTAGACAAATCAATGATCTTAAAATCAATCTAAAGACTGGTAAGTTATTATTGAAAAAACCATCAACACAAAAAGACAAACAATTTACTGATATAATATTTAAAAAAATAAGCTATTGACCAGTTTAATGTTGCAAAGAAAAAGTTACAAGGTGCAACAGAAGTAGCTGAAAGAGAAGCTCCGTTTGATGATTATGCAGATATGTTTGAAGGTGTAAGTGGTAGCATTGTATTGTTATTGAATTCAATTTATTAATCACCTTTTTATTTATTTAGATGCCTGATGATATAGAAGAGATTGATGATGAAATCGAAAGCTATAATGAAAAGGCAAGACAAATAGGTAATACCGATCCTAAAGTTATGCAAGATTACGAAAATAGACAAAAGGAGATTCAAACTCTTACCAATAAAATCGGAAATCACAAGGCAGCGTTGGAAGAGTCACAGGCAAGAATGGAGGAGCTCAAGAGCGAATGGCTCATTCCAGTCAGAGAGTTCATTGCCGATATCAATGAGAAGTTCACACAGTTCTTTAAGGAGATCAGGTGTATGGGTGAGGTCTTGTTGGGATACAACGAGAAGGACCCAGATAACTTTGAGCAATACAGTATTGATATCAGAGTTAGATTCAGAGATGAAGATCCAATGCAATCACTTACTGCTCATTTACAATCTGGTGGTGTAAGTAGTTTTATTTTTTTTTTCGCAAACTGACTGGTAAACTAATATTTTATCAATTTTGCAAACTTTACAGGAAAGATCAGTTGCCACTATGTTGTTTTTGATTTCACTACAAGGTTTAACAAATTGTCCATTTAGAGCGGTAGATGAAATCAATCAGGGTATGGATCCAAAGAATGAACGTATGATTTTCGACCAGATTGTAAAGTCTGCCAACAAACCAGGTAGACCTCAATACTTTTTGATTACACCAAAGCTTTTACACGACTTGGAGTACTCTAAAAATACTACTGTTCTTTGTGTATACACCGGTCCATGGCATGTCAACCAATCGGAATGGGATAAGATGTTAAAGAAATGTATCGAAGCAAAATCAAAATCAAAATAAGACTAATCCGACAATGTATAAATAAATTCAAGGTAACACTTGCTTTGTTTTTTAATCAAATTTAAACTAAATCAATATGTTTAAATCGCAACTTTTGTGTGTCAGCAAACAAGCACTCAGAAAATTAGTTGGTGGGACCAAGTCAATTGTTATTGAGATGAACTAATAAAGCTTAAACCTTTTAAACATGTTTTGAATAAATAATTATGGTAGGCTACAATATAAAAGTATTTTCACTTTTTAAGGTAGAGGGTATGTAGAGTTGGAGATTTTTGATAGGGGGAGTAAGAGATTAGTTACTGACAGTATTAATATCAATAATAATCGTACTTTATAACTAAAGGAGAAGATTCCGATAAGAGAATCATTTGATCGTTGACTGGAGTTGGTGTTGGTGTATCCTCGTCCATTTCATTTTCGTAAAGTGAATTGATAAATGTTGAGTCCTCCTCTTCATTTCTCATTCTGCTGTGCCAAATATAAACCTGTAATAGTGTTGGGATGATGTCTGGTACGAAATAACCAAGAGTCAAAAACATTTCGTCATTCATAAACTTTCCTGTGATTGGATTATACAAAAATATGATTGCTCTAGTTAAGAAACAGAAGCAAAAAGCTAAAGATAAATAAAACATCTATTGACCAATTAATTAAGAAAAAGACAAATTAGTTCTCAATTCCTAATAACTCTCTTAATAATAAAACTATTCTATTTATACCTTTCGAAGTTGAGTAAGTTGATTTCGGCAAACATCTTTGTCTATCGATGTATATTTATGATAAATCCTGACGACTGAAATTAAAAATGATAATCCAAGTAATATTGATATTATAACTGAAAGAAAAAAAAAAAGATGATTTAATGGTTAGAGAAGAAATAGTTACTTTTAGATTTAATTATTGTTGTTACCTTGATATAATGTATTTAGTAAATAAATTGTACTTCCTTCTTTTTTAGATTTGTTAACAGTAAAGAATAAGATAATTAAAATAATTTGAGTGGTAAACAAAGAACAAATAAGCACAATGAAGACTTTTTTCAACCTTGGGAAGAAATCTGATGATGATACATATGTTTGGTAATACATTTCGATCCTAAAATAGGTAATGGATTAATTGATTTGCTTTTTCTTTTAACTGTATATCTTGTTGCTCTAATTTTACCAATAAAAAAGAATAACCAGTAAACCTGAAACATAGCAATTGAATGATAAATTATTTAAAGTAAATGTAATTGGTCCTTCTCCAGTGGCCAACCGCAGTATATACCAAACGGTTCTACCCAATACAAATAAGAATATAAATGAATGAAATAGCTATTTATGTATATGATTAATAAGATTGGTAAATTGAAATATAGCTATACTTGATGATGATCTTACTCTAGATATTATAGCTGATTCTTTTCTTTGAAAAGATTTCCAAAATGAAATCATACATATCAATGTAAGAAATGAATATAAAATAATAGCTAAAAGTTCTATAACAAGAAATACTGTCGATGCCATAGTTTTTCGCTATCTGTTTATCAATCAAAGATTGACTCTATGTATATTAATTAATTTAAATATATATGTATATATCTGATGGTTTGAGATAAAATAATAATAAAAATCTAATTTTCAATATTAAATTGTTGATAACTAACTATTCTAATATTATTATTCTTCAATATTATAATTTTTATCTTATATAATTCATATCAAGTAGATATGTTATTTTGTTAATATTATTAATAACTGTTACATTAATAATTAATAATGATGATGGTAATGAGTAAAGATTGATTGATCAAAAAAAAAAATTTAGTGTTAAGATTAAATATTTAGATAAAAAAAATCAAAAAAAAATTTATTTTGGTAAAAATCGTTGTGATTACCATAAAAAATATCTTGAGTTTTGGGGCTGGTGTTTTCTTTAAACTTTTACAAAAATTAATCCTACCTCGTCCCTATTTTCAAAGGTTGTTGGTTTTCGTGCATAAACATATGTATATGTAAGGGATGTAACTGAGAATTATTATTATTATTAATAGGGGTGATGAAGTTGTTGTTGTTGTTGATGTTTTTAAATGGTTGGTCTACCTCTATCGTCGGTGAGGAAACCCCATACCAAAGCGTTTGGAACACTCTTGATAATGTCATCGGTGATTGTGGAACGACGATTGTTTTTGAATGCTAATTTCGCTGCGTATCTCACCAAAACACATCCGGCATAGGCTGCACTGGCTGCTGCCGATTGGTTTTCACCGATACTCTCCTTAAGATGCTCTAGCTCCTCCGAGGTCTTGCCTTTCAAAGCATTCTGTGTCCAAGCATAGAATGTTCCAATGACACCGGCCAACACATCACCCTGACCTCCACATCGCCTTGGCATACCAGCTTTATCACAAGAATAGCTGATAGTTCCGTCTGTAATTATATCTTCTTGTCCTTTCTGTACAATAACAACATTTCCAAGTCTATATTAATTGTTTAAGTGAGAATAAATAGAAGTAGAAGAAGAAGAAGAGGAAGAAGAAAAGATAGATATAATATTAGTTTGTTATTCTTTACATTGATTAGCGTCTTATTATTATTATAATAAAAGTTAAATAACTTACGCTTTAGCTAAATCTGATGGTGATAAGATATTATTGGAGTTATCGTTGTTCAATTTTTTGGCAGCGTCAGAGAGTGCTCTATACTCGACAAAGTTTGGTGTTAAAATGACTTTATCATAACCTTTTACCAACTCTAAATCTTCACAAATCAAACGAAGAGCATCACCATCCAACACCATTGGCAAATTTATATTTCTAGCAGCCTTGATCACCTCTTTAGCAGACTTCCAAGCGATTGATGATCTACCTAAACCTGGACCAATAATCAATACATGTATAGAGAGCAACCATGGAATAATAGTTGATGGATCCATCTAAAATAAATAACAAAATCGAAAAATAAAAAAAATAATATTAATGTTAGTCAACGTTTGATTTAAAACTATAGTTAATTTACTTACTTGTTGATCAAGTGGATGTACTATTAACTCTGGAGAGAGTGTTTTGATAGCGGTTGCCGTTCCACCCTCTGATGGTGCGAATATGTGAACAATGTCAGCACCGAGTCTGAGTGAAGTAATGCCAGCAAAGAAAGGTGCACCTGTGTACTCTGCACTGCCACCAAAGACACCGATACGTCCGCACTGTCCCTTATGCATATGATACTCTAAACTTGGTACATAGCTCAAAAAGTGGTTTAAGTTTGTTGGTAATTCAAAACTATCGTCCATTGACATTTTTTTTGTTGTGGCTGTTGTTGTAGTTGATAAAGCTCCTTTAGATAAAGTTGAGTATGTTCTAATGTTATTTAATAATAAAGTTTTATTTTTATTTTTATTATTATTATTATTATTTGTTGATTCGTATATATTACTATTTAAAAATTTATAATTTTGACAGTTATATTTTAATTTGCTTGAAAATAAATAACGACGAGAAGAACTTGTGATTGTGGCGGCAACTAACAACAACTCATTGCTGATCATGATGTTCATTTTATATGTTTTCAATTTTTGAATTTTTTGAATTTTGTAAAAAAAATTTTTAATATTATCATGATATTATGGATAATTTAATAATCAAACTAATAAAACACTTGTAAACATAAGATTTTTATATTATTGGTTTTAAGCTTTTGAGAATATAAAGTAGATGATCCTAAGAATTTATCATTCTTTGGATTCCCAAAATGAATTATACAAAACATTTTAATTTTTTACTATTTTAAATTAATTGTAAAAATGGTAGTCTAAAAATGTTAATCAATAACTATCATTGAGATATTAAATGATATAAAATATATATTTGACAATAAATTGATCGTGAACCATTGTTTAACATATTTTGAGATTATTTTATTTTTTAATAAAATAGTTCCAATAATTGCTCACAAAATAAAATAGAATGATGACTACATATTTTTTTTTTAAAATTAAAAAACTTGTATAACCAATGTGATCAGCAATCTCTAACAGTTTTGTCACTGGTTTATTCTACACCAAACCAGGGAATGCACTGTGACTCCATCTATGAACAGTTTTGAATTTTTTTAAAAAGTTTTTAACTCTGGGAACTTTGACCGAATACGATATAAATATTTTGCAAAAAAAAGTTTAATTTAAAATATTTTTTCATTTTTATCTGAACCCTATAATATATTATCAAAGATATATTGAATTGTCAAAGTTAGTTAGTCAGTAAAAATAATAGAAAAATAAAATAAAATAGATAATAATGGATTTACAATTTATATTGACACCTCTTTTAAAGAGTTCAATCGATAGAATTGTAATGAATGTACATAAATTAAAGATCGATAAAGAAACAAAAGATCTAATAGATAGATATTCAAATTCGACTATTGACAAATCAAAATATATACCTTATTCTCTCATAAAAAAGATTTCTGAATTTTTAAAAGAGATCTATTTAGAAGAAGAACAACAAACATCGAATAATAACACTGTACAAACAACCAATGAACAAGATAAACAATCGAATAATAGTAATAATATAGAAGTACCATGTTTTCTACAAGATATATTAAAAGGATCAACAGTTTATATAGAACCAAAACCAGTTGAAATCGAAGTAAGTTAAACTCTCTATTCTCAATATTGTATTCTTCTTTATCACCTGATATTGATATGAAATGATAAACTTTTAAGGACCCCGAAAAGATAGCGAAAAGACAATATTTACAAGGTTTATACAATGAGCAAAGATATAAAAAGATGGTCAAGAACGTCGCTGGCGAGAGAGAGGATGCTATGGAACTTGGATCGATTTCATCACAGGCATCGATCGGTCTGAATATTTTGGCTACATTTTTCACACTTTTGGCATGTGGACTGTTCCTCGGTGGAAAGATGTGGGATAGCTACGTACTAGGTTTGGCATTGGGTCTGGCATTCGGTATCATCGGTGTCGCCGCTGAGGTGTGGCTCTTTGTCATCAAGAGCTCTCAAGTACAGTTTGAAAAGGACAAGTTGAGGGTAACAGAGGAGCGAATCGGAGATATCAAGCTCAAGCGAAGAATAAGAGAAATCAAAAAAGGTATTAGCATTGTAGATCAAAACAATCAGAAAACTCTCACGATAGTCGATGAAACAGAACAAACTGCTGTTGTTCAAGAGAATCAGTAAGGTAGTACGTTCAATCATCAAAGATTAAATAAATAAAAACATAACATTATTTTTTTTTTGTTTTTTAAATATGTTTAGTTGAATCATATAATATATATGGTACGATGATTAACATTGTTTAATTTCCAATGGAAAATTATTAATATCAATATGAAACACTTGATCTGAGCAAAGGTGAGATAACAAACATTGTTTTGAATATTTGATAATGCAAAAGTCATTTCACCATCATCAAAATTAGAGTGTGAGTTTTAACCACAAGTTGTGGTGTTGATCCTCTATTATAACAAAATTTAGTGTTTTAATATGTTTGATTTTGGTGGTTATTTATTCCATGCATATATATATATATGATATAATTATTGTTGGGGGAACATTATTTTAACAACTTTAACATCAAAAACAACTAAAATTGATTGATTTGAAATAAAAAAAAAAAAAAAAAAAAAGATAAATAAATGTATTATTGTTTGTTTTTAATTTTGTATTAAAACACAAAAATAAATTTAAAAGTTTTTTTACAATTAAATATATATTTTATAATACAAGTTTCAAGTTCTATCTATTTAAAGATAAATAAGAAGTTTGAAAATAAATATTTCTAATCATTAAAATATTTTTATTAAATTTATAAATATATAAGACTCATTCATTCATACTTTCAAATAATCGCACAATCATTTTTAAATTCTCCCCCTTTTTTAATATAAAATCATTGAACAAATTACTATTAGTATTATATAATTATATTTTAATTGTTTTACTAGTATAATTTATATATATTTTTGTCCAATTAATTGGACTTTTTTAAAGATGCCAACCAAACAATGTATTATTTGCTATAGTTTTGTATTACTTTTAATATTTTATCAAGATACTGTTAATTGTTTGTATTTTTTTTTCAAAGAAAGAAAGAAAGAAATTTCAAAATAATTAATTAAAAATGAATTTCGAAATATAGGCGATGTATTACCAGAAATTTCAAGTATAACATATGATCTTCACAAGTATTATGTTACAGGAGATATGGAGAATAATGTAAATTATCTGTTGAAGTTTACGGATGCAGATCAAAAACCTGTCTATAGTGTATCGTCAACTGCACAAAACAAGACAACTGTTGCAAATATTGATCAAAATACTGTGAATAGTTTTAAGGTTCAATATTGTAGTACAGATAATCCTGATTTGTGTTCACCTTTAAAGGATATTAATCCTTTTTGCGTCGATGGAGACATTATTAAGATCCCTACTCAATATGATATTCCAGTTCCAGTGACTGGTAGATTTTTTAAATACATTCAAAGAAATACACCAACTTTCAATGTCGATGCAAAGTTTAACACTATCAACGATACTTTTGCCTACTTTTCAATATCCAAAAGTTTTTTCTATCAATATATTTCCAATACAAACACAGAGACAACTTTGACTTTTGATTTATTAAAAGCCTATCCTCAAATTCAATGGATTGGTATGTATTTAATTTCTTGGAAGTATCTAAAATTAGTTTTTATTAATTAAATAATTTAGATCCAAGTATCAGTTCTGTAACTAAGAATGGTGGAGTTTTAACGATCAATGGTGACAACTTTGGATATGATGCAAACAATATAACAATTCAGTATGATGGTACACCATACCCTATTGATAGAGTCTATACAGACAATTCCATCTTGATGGCCACTATTCCAAACTCATTAAATAATATTAAAAACATTTATATACAATCATATAATAGAGCATCTAAAACATTTGATTATAGATATGGTAATTATTTAAATTTTGATATCTGTCTTATTTTTTATTAATCATATACTATTAATTATAGTAAGAAATGTTGCAATTTCAGTAAAACCTTATTCCACTTTTGGTGGTTTCGTTTTTACCTTGATTGGTTTCAATTCAAAAGAAATAAGTGAAATTCGTATGAACGATCAAATCTGTACTATTCAAAGTGTAGTTAATTATAATTCTTTAATTTGCGGAATATCTTCTCTAAGTGATACTGGAAACACTTACTTTCCAAATTTATTTTTAAAAGATGGAACTAAAGTTATCGGCAACATCCAAACCTTAAGCCATACACCAACGGTTCAATATATCAGTCCTCTAGACACTAAGGAAGTTCAATTTATCATTTCAGACCTACCTATCAATACTACATCACAACTTTCTCTATCCATTGGAAACTCAACTTGTGTCATTAATAATAATAATTTTAATCAAGGATCAAATAGATTTACTTGTAATAGAGATCTTACTTCTTCAAGTCTAACTATTGTTATTCAAATTGGAAGTGTTATTTTGAATCTAAACAGTAAGTAATAGTAATTTATGTAGAATATATATCTATCTACTAATCTTTAAATTTAAAAAAGATGTTGTTATTATATATAAAGTTCAATATTTTAATCAGGCAGTTGATATATTCGGTTTGAATCTAATAGAACCCAAATCACTAAATTTGTTTGGAGGTTTCTATGAAACCAAATACTTTGGAAATAATAATTCTATTATTGTTTTTCAATGTTATAAAATAGATAAAACAGTGAACTATACATATACCCTTGATTTCCCAGGTTCTATTCAAACTCACCAAGGAAATTTAATATTTTTCAATCAATCAATTATTTCTACTGGTGGAGGTACTACTATTGGAAGTACTACCGGTGGTACTACTGGTGGAGGTGGTACAACTGAAGGTACAAGCAGAGGTACAAGTGGTGGTCCATTTATACCTGGTTATCCTAAACCCAATGATGGTAAATATATCAAACAAGGACATTGTACAAATTAACATATTTATTAACAAAACAAATCTTTTTATACTTTTGTTAAATTTTTCTACAGATCTAAAGAAAATTATTATTATAATTGCTCCAATTGCTTTTGTTGTAATATGTGGTCTGATAGTAGCAATTATCGTTATTTACAAGAAGAAACAATCAAATTTGAAGAGAAATTATGCTTCTGAAGAAAATAATTTGGATTCAAGCACCAATCCTCAACAAAAGACTAAACTTACTCTTGAGAATATGAGTAAAGATACTGATGATTATGACCATTTCTAATTTATATTTAAATAAATTTATATTTATCTAATTTAAAACTAAACTTTATATTTTAGAATATTTGTGAATTTATTTACACCTCTTTCATGCGAATATTCTTTAAAACTATTGATAATATCAATCATAATAAACACATGATACAGATATTTATATTAATAATCAAATTTCTTTTAATTAAAAACTTTTTGATTTAAAATTATTTTGATATTTGAAAGATTCATTCTCTACATGTATGAATCAGTTGAAACTTTATTTATTGTCTACATTTGGTTATTAGTGTGTGATGTTTTAAAAGTGTTGTGTTCGTTGAAAGGTGGGAATATAATAACTTTAGATTGATTGTCTATTTTCCGCTCAATCTGTCGAATCTGTGGAACTTGGTCTTGCAGTTTGGACAGCTGTGCTCGACGTCCTTCATTGAGTCGACACCGAATGGAATCAAACAACAACCCAACCAGCAACCACAGAGAATGAGAATGACACAGACCAACCAGACCATACCACCGACGACATAGTCAGTTCTGGTGGTGACTCTGTTGTTACAGTGACCACAGGTGACATCAACTGGGATCTCACGGAATTGGACGGCGGCTTGAGTGACGACGACGGTGGTGGCTGGTGCGGCCATGTAGGTTTGTGGTGGGGCACCGGCTGGTGGTGGATAAGCACCTTGTGGTGGTGGAGCGTAGTATTGTTGTTGTGGTGGGTATCCTTGTGGTGGTGGAGCGTATCCTTGAGGTGGTGGAGCGTAACCTTGTGGTGGTGGAGCGTATCCTTGTGGTGGAGCGCTGTACTCAGTTCCTTGTGGTGGTGGAGCGTAACCTTGTGGTGGTGGAGCGTAGTATTGTTGTTGTGGTGGTTGTTGTTGTGGTGGAGCACCTGATGGTGGACCAGTTGGAGCTGGCGATTGTGATGGTGATCCTGATGGTGGTTGTTGTGATTGTTCTTGAGTCATCTTTAATAACTAAATTGTGTTTTTAATAAATAAATAAATGTTGTAATAATAATAATAAATTAAGTAATATTATAATATAGATAATAAACAAAAAACAAATAAACAAATAATGTTAGGTTATATTCTTTAAAAATAGAATTGGCAAAAAAATAATAAATCAAAAAAAAAAAAAAATGAAATTTTTAACAAAAACAGTTGAGCAAAATGATTTTTGGCGATGACAAATAGTTGGTCAGTTGTGTGCAAGATTTATTTAAATCTAATGACAAAAAAAAAAAACAAATAAACTTTTTTGTAAATAAACAGGTGGTGATGGCTGATAAAAAAAAAATTGTGAAATAAATGTATGTAATGGCGGTTTTTTGCACTTTCTATGACAAAATTGTTGTTGAAATGAGGGAGCAGATCGTTGGATATTTATATTTTTAATCGTATCAAACCCTCATCAAAAAAAAAAAAAAAAAAAATCAAAAAATCAAATTAAACAAAAATAAAATACAAGAATTTTTTTCTATACCTTGAAATAGCAATCACTCCCATTAGTTTTTCTTTTCTTAAAAATCTGAGGAACTCAAGAGTCTCTGGTGTAAAAATAAATAAAATAAATTAAAAAAACTCAAGATTTGTAAATTGTGGTTACAAATTATAATCTCCATGGTGTTTTAATCCCCCATTCACTACACGCTGATTTGTATGTTTTGAAAAACCTGAGAATCAAGAAATGTTTTGATCTGATCGCCACCTAAGTTTGCTTGTCAAGTAATTATTGCGCCTCATTATCCAAATTTGGTTTGTAATTACAATTAATTTTTTATTTAAAATAGAGAAATATATATATTAAATTAAACATTTACATATGTTATAAACTTTAAAAAAAAAAAAGAGAGAGAAATAATTTAAAGTTAATTTTTTTCTCTTTTCTTTTCTTTTCTTTTTCTTTTTTTTCTTTTTTTCTTTTTTGATTTTGTTTTGTTTTGTTTTGTTTTAACAATAATAAAAAGTTATACTATTATGAAAGATGATGGGTGATAGATGAAGATAATCTAGAGATAAAGATAATTAATAGTTGTTGAAAGAATAGTTGTGTTGTTGTTGTTGTTGTTGTTGTTTATCGTTGAGTTATTTTGATTGTTGGTTGATTGTTTTGGTTGATTGGAATCAGGAAACATCATTATGATGTGGACTGTGCAATCTCTAAACCATCAAAGTATGGATGTTTCAAAGCTTGGGTGGCAGTGATTCTCTGAGCTGGATCGTATTGAAGCATCTTTTGAAGTAGATTCAAACCTTTGTCGTCGAGTCCATGAACGATCGATGACAATGGATGTGGTGGATGTACAGGAAAGTCGGGCTTGTATTCAGGCAGTTCAGTGATTGTTGGCCAGATCTCCTCATTGGGAGTACCTAAAATCTTAAATATTCTAAAAAGCTGGTCGCTTGTCCCTGAACCAGGGAACAATGGACGACCAGACGCCATCTCTGCGAAAATACATCCAGCTGACCAAATATCGATCGGTGTTGAATACTTTCTCGAACCCATCAGCACATCTGGAGCTCTGTACCAAAGTGTAACCACCTCATGTGAATAGGTACGCACTGGAATACCAAATGCTCTAGCCAAACCAAAATCTGCCAATTTCAATTCACCTTTCTACACAACACACACATTTATTATTATAATAAAAGTAAGTAAACTGTTCTTCTTCCCTCTACTCCTTATCTATCCAAACAACAATCTCAAATGATACATACTCTATTGATTAAAAGATTTTGTGGTTTGAGATCTCTGTGTAACACTCTGTGATCATGACAAAAAGCGACACCTCTCAACAATTGATACATAAATGATTTAATGGTTGGCTTGGCGATTTCACCTCCGCACTCATCGAGGTACTTTTTCAAATCTTGATCCAAGTATTCAAATACCAATGTTAACTTTCTCTCTGTATGAATTACATCATATAATCTTTAAATTAGATATGAAATAGTATGTATGTATGTTTGTATTTAAATTAATCAATGTTTTGTTAGTGATCTCTTTTTTACTTGTATAATTAATGATGATGATGATGATGATACCTACCTAACAATGTTTGGATGTTTCAATTCTTTCAATAGTGAAATCTCTCTGATTGCAGTACATGGTACACCTTCATCTTCAGAGTCCAAACGAATTCGCTTCAATGCAACAATCTCTGTTGTATCACGATTCTTTGCCTTGTAAACGATACCATAAGTACCTTCACCCAACTTTTCTATCTTTGCGTATTTCTCCATTAGTTAGCTCTACTCTTGTTTATTCTCGAAATATATATTTATATTATGTTAATTGATCAATTGATTGCTACTGCCACTATTACTTTATGACAATTTATTGATAGATCTGCTGCTTTTCAAATCGTTGTTGTTGTTGTTCTTGTTATTGTTGTTCTTGTTATTCTTCTGTTGTTAGTTGTTTTGTTTGTTTGTTTTTAAATAAATAAACGATATAAATATACAAGATATATAGTTTTTGAAAAAAATTTTGAAAGTGATTTAGTTTAAAGGTAAGATGATGAAATTATATTTAATGATGATGAAAATTAAAAAAAAAAAAAAAAACAAAAAACAAAATATAAAAAAAGTGTAAAGTTTAATTAAAGTTTATGAAGTTTTTTGTTTAATTAGTATTGTGTAGATATAAAATATATAAAGATAAATTTCTTTTAATTTAATTAATTGTTTGTTTTTCTATTCTTTAGAATATCAATATATTGGTTATCTAATCAATGATTTTTGATTTGGGTACAAACAAGAGTAAAAAAAATAAATAAAAAATACACACAATAAATAAAAAAACAAAAATAATAATTGAAAAAAAAAAATAATTCAAACTGTTCGATTGAAATAAAAAGAACCAAATTTGGTAAAATAATGGATCAATATACTGTTGTACATTGACAAAGACATTGTTATTTTAATTTTATTTTATTTTATTTTTTTATTCTCACCACCATTTTGTTTGTTTTTTTTGATTGTTTGATTGTACAAACATACAAACATTTTGAATATGACATTTCTCTGTTTTGATTGAATCTGATATTTATTGTATTGTATTGTTTTTTGTGTATCACAACAATGTCAATCAATAATAATAATAATCGTCAGATGAAAACATTATCTTTCATATACACATAAACAATAGAAGTAAATTTAATTTTATTTATTTTTATTATTAATCAAATTGAATTGAATTTATATAAATAAATAAAGATCATTTATTTGATCAAATATTTTTTATTAAGTGATTTTTTTATTATTATAAACATTGATAGTTGAATTAATTCAATTCAATTTATCTGTATTTTAAAAATTAATTTTAAATTACATTATCTTATTTTTTGATTTTCTATGATTACACTAAGCTTGATCATTGGCTTTTTTTTGATGTTCTATTTTATACAACTATCATTACTATATTATATCTATCTAGTCTAATACAATTATTATATCTTTGTACTACTCAGAAGATGCAATAGCTCAGCACAAATTGCCTTTACTTTATCGTCTGCCTGTTGAAAATTGAAATCTTTGCCAGTATCAAAGTCCATATTTGTAAAAAATGCTAATATCTGTTGTTTCAAAAAAAAAAGAGTAGAGTGTTGTTTAGTTCGTTAGAATTACATTGTATTCGTTGCTGTTGTTAGTTTCATAATAATTGAACTTACTGAATCACGAACTACATAAAACGAAAACATATGATTATCACCACGAATATGAATGTGTTGTACTTCATCTTGATACTGCAAAGTTGCACCTAAAATGTAAAACAACAACAACAACAATAAGTAATTAGTTTTTGCTATATTATAATTGATGTTATTTAGTAGATAGATAGATAGATTACCAAATGTAATTGCATATGTCTTTAATTGGTGTATGGTCATCGATAGATCTTTCTCTTTATCTTTTTCTTTCTGTGTTTGTGTGCCTGACGTTTCAACTCTAATAAAGTAGTGCAAAGGTGAGTGTGTGTTAGCAAAAACAATAGGTGCCAATGATAACCAAGAGTTATCCTAAAATAGAATTGATATGCATACATAATTTCACCGTTCTTATCCATAATAATACAATTGGTAGTGGTTGGGAATAGCTGTTGTATATCCTTAAGTTTACTTTGAACTTGCTTCAATAGTTTCGGTGCAATTACAGCATTGCTTCTACTACAATTGGTCATTCTCTATATTTAATCTATTATCTAATTTTATATTATATATTATTTAAATACTTTCGAAAAATATCATTGGTGTTGTTTTTTTAAAACAACAGTTTGTTATTTTTTTTAAAAATTTTTTTGTTTTTAAAAACAACACTCCTATTACTAATAATAATAACAATAGTAATAATAATTGATTTAGATGTATAGTAATCAATTTAGTAATTTTAAATATAAATCAGAGATTGTGAATGATAGGGAAGTAATATCTATTGATAGTTCGAGTAGTGACAATGGGAGTGATTTATTTGAAGATATAGTTGATCTTGAGAGTAGAAATGATGGTCTGAACAAAAGTGTTGTTGGAAATCAGGAGAACAAGATTTTACAACAATACTCTTATAGTGGTGTCAATTGTAGTAACAAAAAGAATAATAATAATAACAATGATGGTTATCATAGAAAGCTTCTACCGATATCACAATCGAATATAAATAGATATGTTACAACAACCACTACCACAACAACTACTACAACTATGTATAACAAGAGTTTTGAAAACGATGATACTGAGTTCAACTTTGATTTCGATGATGATCTATTTATTAACAATAGTAATAATAGTAAAAATAATAATAATATTATTATAAATGAATCATCAAACTCTTCTTTTACATTCTCACAGCTATCGAATGAATCTTTTCAAAACAAAAAAATAACAAGTATTAGTGATCAGAATAGCAGTAGTAATGATATGAATGTGAATGGTGACGATTATTTTGATTTTCAATTTGATGATGGTGATGGTGGTGACGATCTGAGTTTATCAAATAGTGTCCTTACATCCCAAAAAGGTAATTATTTATTATAAAAAAATAGAAATAGAATAAATTATCTAAATCAAAATCCATAAAATAGATACCAATACAAACAAATCTATAGTTAAAAGAAATATGGTAAGATTATTTGATTTATCTAAATATTAATTTTAAGTACTTAATAAAAATTAAAAGAGTGAGCTCGATTCATTTATTGGATCAATTTCCAGTGATTTTACCTACCAAGAGGAGTTTAAACAAAAAGATATAAATCATAAAGAAATCAATCCAAAACACCAATTCTATAATAATATTCATATCAGTATCTACAAAGAGTTGATCAAAGTCCACAGATCACTTTTAGTATTATCACATTGTATTTCATATCTCCCAGTTTTATTACTCTATATTATCAACAAGACATACACAAACAATGCAGGTAGCAACAAGATACTATGGATCTCCAAATCCTTGAAAGACAAATCACAGATCGAGTCGATTCTCTATAAAGAAGGTTTGCTCTCACAATTCCAATGCATTTCAAGTACAACCAGTCAAGAAATCAAAGCAGATTCATCAATCATCTATATGAGCAGATCAACCATAAAGAAATTTGTTGATGATTATAGGTATGTTTTTTTTTTATTGCTTATCTAAAATATTTATTTTATTTACTAACAAACATTGTTTAGAATCTTTATAAAAGATTACAAGTTTATTATATATGAAATGGTTGGAGATAACATAGAGAATGAAAGACAAGATTATCAAAGAATCATTGGAGACTACAACAGTTCTTTGTTAATGGTATCCGACCAGCATTCAAAAGACTATTCTCAATTCTTTAAATATTTCAGAGTAGAGGCAGGTAGAAGTGTTATAGTGATACACTATTCATTGGAACTAACCTTTAAATCTCCACATTAAATAGTTTATCTTTAGCCAATATGAAAGTGAACAGATATTATCGAATTTCAAGACACTGCTGTCAATTGAATTAAATAGTATGTGGAGTTGTATTGTTATCAATTATATAGGATATGACTAACAATTTTAATAGTACCTATTAAGAGACTGCTTACAGATATTTCCAAAGTTATCGTTGAAAAATCATATCGTTTAAATTCAAAGAAACTCTTTACATCACCTCTATCACACTCATCATTACCACTAAGGTAATTAATTAAATATATATACATGTAATCAATGTAATGCAAACACTAATATATTTTAAATTTAAACAGAAAGTTACCCTATTCACAAACTGACGGTACATCTGATTCAGAAATTAAAGAAGTCCAGTTCTTGAATAGCTTGTTGGTTAGGCTCATCAATCAAGGAATATATTTAACTCAATTATACATTAATTCTCAAAAATACTATCGATTATCAAGTAAGTTAGTTTGATAAATAAAAACATTATATTTGATTTATTTAAACTTAACATATAAACTCTTTTCTAGAGGAAACAGAGACTATTTTAGAATCAATTAGTTTATATAGTTCAGAGATTGAAGCTGGTATATTGAATGACCATCCAAAGTTTGAGTGCCTAAGACAATTTATACAAAGCCAATTGCAAAGATACATTGATGACCCATCTACATTCCTAAAAGTAAAGTATTTCATTAGACTCTACAAAAATCATCAATTAGCTAACTGGGTTATCTTTAGATACTTGTAATTGTTAAAGATATTATGTCAGCTAAGCACTTGGATGTTATTTTAGGAAGAATAGATGGTTTAAAGATGTATACAGTTGAAAACAATACAACACTATCGTATGTATTCTTGTGCTTAATGTATTCACAGAACACAATTAACATATTAGTATTAGTGATGATGTTAAATTCAATCGATCAAACTGTATTATATGGGCAATGGATGAACCGTTTGAGTTGAATATCAATTGGATTCTTTTTTCAGTGATAATAGAATTTGATTTGTTTTCTGATGAGCAAAATCAATATCTATCGACCAATTGTATTTTTAATCATGCTAAGTACCTATATATATATCATAGTATCATGATCATTCTTTAATCATAATATTGATTTTTAATTATTATTATTATTTTAGATTATATAAACTCTGTGTTACTTCAAAATCAGTTCCCGTTCTATTTGGAGAAGAAAGATCGTTCATAGATACACATAAGCAGTTGAGATGTTTAGAGTTTGGAAGTGGAGAGCATTTACAGCAGTTATATCAACCAATTAATTTGAAGAGACTGACTGCCAACGGTAGAATCGATAGTTTAAAGAAGCAACAAGTTACCAACAATATCAATATCTATGAATCGGACGCCAGTGAATACGATATGCCATTCCTGCAACTATCGCACCACATTACAATCATAGCTGGTGAACTACTTCTTGGAAAGTATCAGTTGGTTCAATTTCTAGATAAAGAGCTCAACATATCGTTGGTAGAGCGATCTGTTGATGACGCACATATCATTCTCGACGAGTCGAATTGCCTAATGATATTCGATGATCTTATCAGTCTAAATCGAAAAGAAACAACTAGCAGCATCATTAGAATATCACTTCAGTACTCTCATCTTTGGATAGTTTTACAAGTTAACGACCGATCTCTTCAGTCACAACAATCAAAGGAAATCATTAGAGAGCTCAACGGATTACTTAATTATCTAGATATCAAAGTTTCCATTCGATATACGTTTTCATACCAACAAACAGCTTCATTGATAAGAGAAATATGTGAGACTATACCTACCAACAACCAAAATTGGAGTAATGTAAGTATTAAATAGATTTTAAAACAAATGAATGAATTGACTAACAAAATAACTAATCATATAGATAGAAATATGGTCAAATAGGAAATGGTTAATGGAGAATGAAACTTTGGTATATAACCTTATAATAATGCTTCAATAGTTAAACATAATAATGATGATATCATAGAATTTAAATATAGCTAACTCTTATTACATAGCATGAGCGATTATTATCTAGAATACCGGGATTGAATTCATTTGCAGCCCAACTATTACTTACATGGACAAATCTATCATACTTTTTAAAGTCTGACATTCAAACACTTTCGAATGAATTCAAATGGATATCTGCTAAAACATGGGTAAGTAATATAGACCAACCAACTAACTCATTGTTTTTACAAATATTTATTTTGTATATCTTTAAAGAGTTTTGTTGAAAAGTTAATGAATCTCCCTAAAGAAAACAACAACAAACCACAATCTAAAAAACAAAAAAATTCCAACACAACCAGCAGTATTAGCAATAATAGTAAGATATCAAAGAAACCGACGCTACTACAACTTAAACAAACTAAATTGGATCAATTCTTAAAGTAATCATTATTTACATGATTTAATGTGAGAATAAATATTTATTCTCCCCCATCAGAAGTTCATAAAAGTTTGAATTTTTTGAATATGATGGGGGTTGGCGCCAAATATTCAAAAAAAAAAAATTTTAGTTTTCAAACCGTTAAAAAAAAACATTCCAATTTTCAATAAATGAATTTGATCGATTTTTTAATCTTTCCAAAATAATTATTATTTATTTTCAATATGTGTTGCTAACTTTTATTTATTACTTTAATTATTAATGAATAGAATAATAATATTTTAAGATATCTCCATTGAGTTTGTGTATTTATTTGCTTATTTATTTAGTGTTTGTTTGTTTGTTGTTCACTTGTTTATCTTCATTCCATTGGTTTCACCATTTGTGATATCTCTCTCTTAATCTTGAGCGAACTGAACTCGTTTATTAATAGGACCATTTAAATAATAATATTTGTAATATAATTGTAAATAATTTAGTTGTGTTTTTTTCAAAAAAAAAAAAAAACAACAATAACAACAAGATAAATAAATAAAAAAAAGGTATGTTTAAAAAAAAAATTATAAATATATATATTAATATTAATTTTGTGCGGATAGACAAGACTAATCAAGTATAAAACAATAATACAATGCATATCTGATATTCCATTAATTATCAGATTGTAAATAATATCGATATTTGTCATATGCCAACCTATATATATTTTCATTCATACATTCATCAATTCATACATTTATATATAAAGGGGTTTCATTATTATTATCATTAACAACCAACAACAGCAAAAACAAAAACAAAAAACAAAAAAATAAAAATAAAAATAAAAATCAATTTTTTTTAAAAATAATTAATAAATAAATAATAGTTATGGTGAATGCCAAAACACCCTTGTTTCAAACAACAAACATTAACAACAATCAAATAATTATAAAAAGAAAAGAATAGAATAGAAAAAGAAAAGAAAATCACTAGATTAATATTTAAAGTAATAGTAGTAGCTATTGTTTGTTTGTCTGTTTGTTTTTGTTATGTTATGATATGTTATCTCATCGCACCGCAACACAATATCTCAACAAATTATAAGCTTGATTCTATAGCAATCAATTCATCCTATATACTATTTTATTTTTAATCTTGATTATTTATTATTTCATTATTTAACTATTGTTTATTAGTTTATCTATATTTAGTTTAGTAAAAGATAATCATAAATATTCCAAACGAAAAAAAAAAAAAGAGAATAAACTAGAGTCGATAATCAATACTTCGGTTTAGGCAAAGGTTAGTATTAAAACTACTCTACTCTACTCTACTTCACTTCACTTCACCATCGACAAAGGCATTCGACTCGACTCGACTCTTCTTTCTACTTAGCATAAAACCGACTTGCTCACTCTTTGCATGCATGTTCTATTCGAACTCAAATCATACTGTTGTTGATTTGTTTCAAATTGAACAATGTCGAAAAGAACGGTCGGTCGGTCAGTCAGTCAATCAATCAATCAAATCATAATAGATTACGATCGTTTTCAATCAATTTTTGTGTATTTGTATATATGTGTGTGTGTTCAAACGGATACAGATTTAGATCATTCAACCAAAGTTTGTCCATCACTGGATTCCTTTGGTATAAAGCAATTCCATTGAAAGCCTGGCTAGGCTTGGAAGTCGCCGTTCATTTTCAAACAACACCGCAACAACATGTTAACCACACATGCCTTATTTATCAAAAACATTATTAGCAGTTAGAGTGAAACTCACCGTTTTTATTTTTTTCATTTTCAAATTTTTGAAAAAAAACATCACCCCCACACCTTTATTTTTGTCACCAGTTTTTAATAATCTAACTAAAAATGAAATGAACATACAAAATCAGCTAAAAGAAACACCTACAATATAATATTATACAACAACAACAAAAACCCATATTGATATATTGAAGATAAAAATATAGATTAATAATTATTATTTATCTATTTAATTAAAATAATAATATATCAGAATCTGACAAAAATATCAGTTACTATATTTATCTTTTTTTTTTTTTTAAAAAAATTAAATATCATAAAAACAAATTATAAATTATATAATTATTATTGGTTAAATTGATTTTAATAACTGGTTTTTTTTTTGTTTGTTTGTTGTTTGTGAACATTCAATGAAATTTGATTTATCAATTCTTTTTTTGTTATCTGGTGTTATTCTAAAAAAAAACACAAAAGTTTGCAATATATATTTTATTTTGTTGGGTCATTTCTCAATATGTTGACTGACCACTTTAGTTACTTTTATCAATTTAAAAATACTCTAATAAAATTATGATATTAATCACCATTTTAATATAATATATTTCATATTTCGATCCAAAAAAATTTTCCACTTTTTTAGATATCTTGGTCTTTAATTCTACTAGGATTTACGGAATTCTGGTTACACAAAACGATTCTTTTATGTTGAGTAGTGGTAGCAATAATAGCAGCGGCAATGGTGTTGCTCCAACTTCATCCTCGTCCGCTGCTGTAGCAAACTCCACTCCTACAACATCGTCCAACAACACCTATCAGATTTCACAACATAATACTCCAGCAAAAACAATGATTTTTCATAACAACAATAATAATCAAAATCAAAATAATAATAATAATAATAATCATAGTGGCAGTTTGAATGGAAGTGGTAGTGTTGGTAATGGTGGTTATCAGATGATATTCTCTCCTGCGCTCAGCTCCTCTTCAAGTTCAGGTTCGCTGATTATGTCAGATACCGCATCGACTATCAATGAGAATTACACTCAGGACGAAGATACCGAAGACGACTATGACTACGATGAATACTACGACGACGACGACTTGTCTTCGAATCTGTCCTCATCGACGACAATCACTAACAATAACGGTGGCGGTTCATCGGGCAAAGGAAGACTCAACTCATCATCTCCACAGCCAAAGGAAAAGAATCACAGTCGTGGCAAATGGACACCGGAGGAAGATGAAATCCTGCGGAAGGCTGTCTCTGACAACAACCATAAGAACTGGAAAAAGATTGCTGAGCAACTACCGGGTCGTACCGATGTACAGTGTCACCATCGCTATCAAAAAGTACTGCATCCATCACTGATCAAAGGTGCTTGGACCAAGGAGGAGGATGACAAGGTTCGCGAACTCGTTGCCAAGTTTGGCGCAAAGAAATGGTCAGAGATTGCGCTCCACCTGAAGGGACGTATGGGCAAGCAATGTCGTGAGCGTTGGCACAATCATCTCAACCCAAACATCAAACGCGACGCTTGGACAACCGAAGAAGACAAAATCATCAAAGAGATGCATGATAGGTACGGTAATAAGTGGGCAGAGATCGCCAAGCATCTGCCGGGTCGAACTGACAACGCCATTAAAAACCATTGGAACTCCTCAATGAAGAGAGTCACAACCAAGAAGGAAACTACCACACAGAAAAAGTCAACAGGAACCAATGGTAGTAGTCGGAAACGTAAAACAGATTCACATGATAATAATAATAATAGTAACAATAATAATAATAATAATAACAATAGTAACAATAATAATAATAATAATGATAGTAACAACAACAATAATCATAATAATAATAATAATTTTGAAATGTCAAGTAAGTAATTGTTTGAAAATTTAATAATTATAGTAGTATAAGCTAATATTTATTTTATTTTCTAATCTAGCTCATTTGGTTTCACCATTTAAAGAAGCTAATCTAAATCTTAGTCTTGATGTGCCATCACTTCAACAATATATCACTGGTATCAACTCATCACCAAAACAAAAAGAATCACCATTAAGAATCAATAATTTAACTCAAGATCATCACTTTCAAAATATTATTACACCAATTAAACCATTTTCCAATCCTGGCAACTCCAAAAAGAAGGCGAGAATAGACTTTTCACCATCGGTAAGCAATCAAATCTAGAAAAACAAAAACTGAAATTTCCAAACCATGTTACTAATAATTATCATTTATTTTAGAAACAAACTGATATTTTTAATTCAGATTTACCTCTTCCAGATCTATTACTATTTTCTCCGATTCAAAAGGTACATGATCGATCGATTCTAGAGACTTCTGAGCTGTCACCTCTCAAATCACCCTTTCACAATACATTTTTCGATACGCCCTACAAGAATGCGTCGTTATACGACCACTATTTCGACTCACCATCCAAATTCCAGCCGTTCAGTCCATTCAAGAGCAATCCTTCACACTCTCTGCCTTCATTCAATGTTTTATCACCATCTCAACCCAACAACAACTATAACAATTCATTCTATCACAAAAACCCATCGACACCCAATGCCATTTTACCTTCAAGTCCTTACCATTCGCTCTCGTTGATGTCACCCTCCAAACAATATCAAGCACTGCCGCAACCAACAACAACAACTACAACAGCAACCTCCTCGATTATATCTGCGCCAACCAGTCAATACAGCTCTCTTAGTGGTAAATTTGATTCGTCACATCGTAAAATCATTGGTATTCAACTCTCGGACAAGGGAATCGACAAGAACTCGCTTAACACTATCAACTCTAAACTGAAGGGAATCGATACATCGGCAACCTCCACACCATCATCCATCTCCAGTAGTGACCAACATAATACAAGCGGTAACAATCTCTTTGTTCCAACAACACCATTCAAAGATCCACTGCCACTGTATCACAACAGTCCAAGCGCTCAATTCTTATCAAACAACAGTTCTGCCTTTTCAACACCTGGCAGTAGTCGTGACAGATCAAGAATGTCTCAGAAATACCAACAACCATTGTTTTTTGATCAAGATACAAATCCAAGTCCATATAAGAAATCTCAGCAACAACAACAACAATCATATAATAGTGATACTAGCAGCAATCATGATAACATTAATAACTCAGTACAAAATAATAATCATAATAACAATAATATTAATGAATCTGTAAACAAGAATATGAATATTATGTACAATGAACAAAGTGACTGCTCCAGTGCCAATACAACTCCGAGCGACTGTTCATTTGAAGCACTTAAACTTTTGAAAGATAATTCTAAACATTCGATATTTACTAGGGCCAAGCAAATCCTTGAGCGATCTAACGATCAGACACTAAAGATATCCAACATTAGCATATCCGATATTCAAGTGCCATCTTCACCATCCACCTCTGTTTCCAACTTTATTTATATTCTTACACCCTCATTGATGAGAAAATCATCAATGACCGAAAACAACAATAACAACAACAACAAACCACATCAACAACACTCAACAACAACGACAACAACTAATACTAACAATAATAATAATCATAATAATAGTAACAACAATAATAATCATAATAATAATAATGGTAATGCACAACCAAACTCGTTAGCAACAGCTCCACAACAACAACAACCCAATACTAATAACTTTAATTATAATCAATCACTTCACACAAGTATAATCTCGACATGACACTAACCCAAACCAACAATTCAATAAATAATTATCTCATTTACCCAATTTTGCTCCAATGAATTGAATTCATTTACAAAAAAATAAAAATGTTTGCATCCAACTGAAAAATTTTGTAAGACCTTGAGCAAAAAACACCCCCACACAACGAGTATCCAAATTTTGAATAAAAAAGCAATGCCCACCTCTTGTCTCTGGTGTGTGCAATAAAATCAAAATCTTGATCGAAAAAAAAAATCTAGAAAAATAGATTTTGCGGTTTTTTATTTTTTTTTAATTAATTTTTAAAAACTTTAATTTGTTTCAATTCTTTGTATTATTATTAGATTTTTTTTTTTACTTTCTATTTTTTCTATTTTTTTCTATTTTTTTTATTTTTTTATTTTTACACATCTTAAAAATAATTTGTTGTTTTCCCTTTGACTAAAACGTCATCAACTTTTCATCTCGAGGCAACTCAACTCAGTATCAGCGCGGTATCAAACTATATACCAATATAGTATTATATCAGATATATATATAGCAGCAGTCAGCCAACTCTTAAAACCAAAAACTTGTAAACAAGGTAAACAATAATTTAATCTAAACTTTTTTAACAACTCGTTCATAGTTTCAGATGGGAAGATAATTTCCTATCTGATACTATTCCCTTTTTCCATTTTCCTTTTTCTCTACATATTGAATCATCAACTAATTTAGTGACACTCAACACACCAACACCAACACTTTGTTTTCACCATTACTACATCACAATATTTTGTTTTAATTTTTCAAATATTTAAATCCGTACTCAGATAATCGCAACAGTCTTGAAAGCATATATAAATATAGTAACAACTATTTTGTATCTCTTCAATTGAAATATACAAGAAAACTATCACCTTGATGATATCAAGTTGTTGTTGTTGTTGTTGTTGTTATATATCTGTTGTGCTATCGTTTTTTTGTTTTGTGGTTGTCATTCATCAATTAAATTCATTCATTTTCAATTTTAAAATTGTATCATGTAATTTTACATTCTATCAGGTGTAAAACATGCCAAGGTTGAAATTGTGTTGTGACTTTTAAAATAACCAAACAAACTATTTACATTTTGTGGTAATCAAACAATGTCAATCAAACAATCTATCAAATAATCGACCATGTAAACTTTATCACCACCACCATCACCACGCTCATTATATACTGGAGTGGTGGCTTCGTGTGTGATGGTAGTGAGCGATTTCCAAAGTTAAAAAAGGCTGTTTTTTGTGAGAAAATATATAATAGAACAGCAGTAATGATTGGAGGATTTTGGTTTGTTATTTATTTATTTATTTTTTCAATTAAGTTGTTGATTATTATTATTTTTTTTTTATTTTGTAAAAGTGGTGGGTTGGTGAGTACACATTTACATATATATAAAATAGTAGTTATTGTTATTGTTGTTGTGTGTTGTTGTGGTGTTGTTCTGGATAAAAGAGTCAATACCACCCACCATCACCCAAATTTGTTTTTGATTAATCATAAAACACACACACACACAAAACACACACATTTATTTTTCATCCAACATTGGCATCTTTAATAACTAATGACACAATGTATGTGTTTCTAAAATGATTATCAATACCAATGTGATTCATTCCGATCATGATATGTAACATTGGAACTAACTACTTCCATACATATTGATTGTTGTTGTTGTTTAAATTTATAAATTTGAATTTATTATTGTTAACGCTAACAATAAATTATAAATGTGTTAACAATAAATCACATCAAATCACACAACACACACATATAACTCATATAGATTAATGGTTGTTCCCTCTTTTTCAACTAGTACAATATCTATCTTGACTAAAACACTACCACACACACACACAAAACAAACACATTAAACCAAAGAATAGAAAAAGAAAGAAAAGAAAAGAGAAACAAATCAAATCAATAACAAAATAAATAAACAATAACAAATCCAGTTATCCATCAACAACACATTAGTATAACATTTTAAATTTTAAATTAATAATCATTATATAATTTAAATATAATATATCTTACTTAATCAACTAGAACAATTATAATTTCTATAAATCAACTTTTTTTTGTTTATTTATTATTTTCTTAATTTGTTTTTTTACAACTTGGTTTAATTAATCCAGAAATTTATAAATAATAATAATATTTCCAAAACATATATCTTGAAATAAATTATAAATAATTTATTCATTAATAATTTAAATCTTTCCATATTGTTTATTTATTTGGTTATTGATTATTATTTTTTTTTTCCAATCAATATTTTCAAAATTATTATAAACAATAAAAAAAATGAATCAATCAGCCAGTTTTTCATTGTCAATACCAAATAGTCCACCTGTTTCAACAGCGACTACAACAACTACCACATCGACTACATCATACAGCGGTGCTTCGACACCAAAAAGCACAACAAGCCAATCACCAAAATGTTCACTCACACCAAGAGGAGTGACACCACGACAATATCCGCCTCACCACTCTAACAACACCTATGGCAACAACAATCATTGCTACTCACCACAACTCTCACAATCATCACCACTTCCATTGCCACCACCACCACTTTTACCGACACCATCTACACCACCGACACCATTCCTATATCAATCGAAATCGGCCATACCGATAAACCCACTGGCCAACTCCACCAACAGCATTGCCAGTGCGGGATACAATGTAAATGGCTATGAGAATGGGCTGATGACACCATCGTCTTCATCGTCGTCCATCTCACCATCGGCATCACCATCATCAATGTCATTCTACCCACTATCTTCACAGTCACTACTGAACACCACCAGTAACACCAACAACAATTCCAGTTCTGGACCGAGTAGGTCGAAATCACAGAACTCCACATCAAAGAAATCATCTAAATTATTTTCCTCTCTATCTTTTGGACACTCATCCTCTGCACATCATCATCACCACCACAAAGAAGCGCCTCTCTACTCGCCATCGAAAGGATCAAGTTCTGCACCAACCACACCTTCCTTACTAACACCAACCACTTCAAGATCACAGATACCCCACCCCTCCACAAACAACAGTAGCAGCAGCAACAACAGCAGTAGCGATAAACTTACGAAATCAATCAGTAGCAGCAGTAGCAGCAGTAATAGCAGTGGCAGCAACAATAGTATCAAGCCATACAAAGTACACAAGAAGATCAAGTATCGATTAAAAATGACTGAACTATCAGGAGGAGAGAAACGATTCGTATTCGATTTGGAGGGTAGAGATCCAGATTTTTGTCTCTGGGTCAAAAAGACCAACAAGAAAGATGTTGTTCAGGATCGTCTTTTCGTTCTGACACAATACAATGTATATTCAATCAAACGTAACAAACTCGGAAAGAAGCACGTACAACGACAAGGTCACCTCTATGACCTCGTTGAGATCAAAACCGACGACATCGATCATGTATTACTACGTTTCTCAACATTCACAATTGACATCAGTGGTAACAACACTGGTATTACCATCCCTAAAATTTTGATCAATGCATTCCATCGTATCAGTTTCACATTCTCTTTGGAGGCATCTCCATCGTTAATTATTATTCCAGTTGAAAGACAAGCTCCTGAAATAGAGAATATTGGTAAGTTACCGTATAACTCAAAAAAGAATAATTATAAACAAAATCCAAAACATTAGGTTTTAACTAACATCATTTTTTCTGTCGTCTATCTATCTTTAGATCCTGGATTTGCACATGGATTCGTTGAAGTATACAAAGCACAATGTAATTATTATAATTCTCCATTTGTTTTGGATTTAGTTCAATTCTTGGAGGAGACTGTCTCTCAGGGAAATAGAGAGTTTTGTTTGGATGATTTCGCAGGTATCGATAAGACAGCGGAGGGAGCTATCAACTTGATTCCGGTCATGGCATCACTCCGTCACAATACATACTTTGATTCGTTCGTATGTCACAACAAGACCAGAAAGGAGGTTCCTCAGTTGCTGGCTGACGTGTTCCACCACAATCGTACGCTAACTCGTGTTTCGCTGCGTGGAATCGATACCGACGAAGGTTGGGTTCAACTTGGTGACGCGCTCCGTGAGAACACATCGAACGAGTTGCGTTATCTCGATATCTCTGACAACCCTGTTCGTGACCGTGGTATCACATCGATCACCAACGCAATTCGTGCATTCTCACGTGAGTTTTGTCAGTTGTCAGCATCGAATATCGACCTACAGTCCAAAGGTGCTGCAGTTATGTTCCGTTCGCTCCAAGCCAACTACGCCAGTTCTGGTGCCATCGAAATTTTGGATCTCAGCAACAATCATCTCGGTACAACCGGTTCCGATCCACTCCAAGATTTCTTTGCACTGATGAACTCATCCAATCCAAATCCAGAGAAGCCGATGCGTCATCTCAATCTTGAGAACACTCAGATCGACACTCCTCGTATCACCAATGCCATCCGTCAGGCAAACGTACAGAATCTTCAATTCCTCAATCTCAGTGAGAACAAGTTCACCAATGAATCGGTACAGGGCATCTGTTTGTTGATTAGCAAAGGTCAGAATCTGACTGATATTCAGCTGCGTGGTTGTGGATTGTTGGGTGAACAAGTTGCTCTGCTCATTCAGGCTTGCACCAACGGTGCCGCCGTCGAACAACGTTCACTCGATCTCTCCAACAACAATCTCGGAAAGAACGGTGCCCTAACATTTGCACCGACCATCAAGAATTGTACCAATATCACATCACTCCTGTTGTCGTTGAACAACTTCCGTAAGCGTGGAATGACCTACATCATCAGTGCACTCGAAGAGAACACCACACTTCGTTCGATCGACCTCTCAAACAATCTCAAGAGCGGAAGCAAAGCCGACTCTGTCATCGACCACTTGGCACGTGTCGTGCAACGTCATCCAAACCTCGAGAAACTGGTGTTGGCCGGTCGTGACTCGCGTGGATTCTTCTTGGGTCGCGAACTCCTACCGTTGGTGAAATCGATGAACGAAGAGAGCCGTCTCGTCGAGCTCGACATCAACGGCAATGCAATGGGTGACGATCTCTGTCGTGAACTCTTTGAATCACTCAAGAAGAACTCGAGTTTGCGCACATTGAACATCGATAACAACGCCATTGGATTGGCCGGTCTCGCAGCAATGAAGCGTTGTTTCAGCGTCAATCGTACACTCTCTGACATTCCCGTGCCAACTCGTGATATCGCCAAGATTCTCGGTGCCGCCAAAGACAGAAAGACCACCAACGACAAGATCGCAGAGATTCTCAACGATGTCCAATGGGCATTGGCAAACAACAAGAACGGCATTCCCTACACCGACATTCCATCGTCCACCGTCAAGACCACAAGTGTCGCCGTGTCGTCGGGATCGACACCAAACTTTAGAGCCACCACATATATTTCCAATCCATCGTCGCCAATGATCAACAACAACCGATCGAGCGCCGACGACATTGGAAGATACTCTGCCGGTGGCGCCGCACCTGCCTCAACCTCACACTTTACACTGTCACACAGCTCACCCGCACCAGCACAAAAACTATACAACCCACCACCTCCACCACCTCTTTACGATCCATACCAACAACAACAACAAAGCTATCAACCACCTCCACCACCACCACCCGCTGTCGATAACAACTATGATCAATACTCTTATGATCATCAACAACAGGAACAACAAGAACAACCATCGGCAACTGACTATGATCAACAATACTACAACCATGATAACACCAACACTACAAGTTATGACGAAAGCAATGCAGATCATGACCAACATCAACAATACGATCAAACTCAATACGATCATTCACAATACGATCAAAATCAATATGATCAATCTACAGAACACCATGATCAACAACAACAATACAATCACAACGATACTGCATACGAATATGAGGCACAGTACTAAATAATCAACAAATTCAATTTGAATATAATAAACATTTATTGTTTTATACTTATGTAATATTATAATTTTAAAATAAGACTTTGATTTCAACATATCTTGCTACAATCTCCAATATGTTAAAATTGAAAGCCTTGTTGAAGAGGGGAATGTTGATGAACTAAAGAATATATGTACAATCGTCCTTTTTGTTTGTATCTACAACTACCCAGAAAATTAACAAGAGATCTCTTTATTTGATTTATTTTTTGTAAATTAACAAAATAAAATAATGATATCTTTAAGTAAATTTTAATTTAATTGTAATCCTTTAATTTAAAATTACTCTAACAAAAGTGTTCAAATGAAGTTCAAAAACTTTAAAACAACAATTTTGAAAAGCTATTTTGCATGGTGCTCACCCATTGAAAAACCCACATTTGTTTATCATAAATTTTGTGAGGAGCATTATTCAAAAAAAGATTTTTTTTTGCAAAAAAAAAACCCAAAAAAAAAGAAAAAATAAAATTGAAAAATTCACTATCTAGTTGTATGGTTGATCATTAGCAAAACAATAATTAAGAAACTTTGTAATTTATACATATATTATTATCATCATTATCAATAATAATATAAGAACAAACCTTGTATTTAATATACTATTCGATATTTTAGAAAAACAAATCACCTCCACCTTGTAGAATATATTTATAAATAATAATAATAGAAACAATAAAAAAAAAAAATGGTAAAATCATAATATTATATCATATAAATCAATAATAGATCGAGATTCATTCAAAACCAGTGGATAATGTCAAGAAAATAAATAAAAAAACAACAGATCATACACATACATGGCAACGATTATTGTGATTAATGATAGTTACAAAAAAATAAAATAAAAAAGTGATCATCAACTATCTATCAATCAACATCACGCACAGACTGATCTTAATTAGAGATGAATATGAAAATATAAATATAAATATAAATCACTAGACAAATAGTGTGAAGAGGAGTGAAATATTATTGATCTATTATTTTCATCATCATCATCATCAACTACATATTATTACATTTAATCAGTAAAGAAACTAACTAATAGTTGTTAATTTATTTTCAAATCTTAGGTCTATCACTCAAATTTCAATACTGATGCTGGTTATCGTTCAATCGGTAACTACCCAATCTTACCATTGAAGACCACCCACAAGGGTCCAGCTCCAAAGGCTGGTATGTAATCAAAACAAACAAAACAAAACAAAACAAAATAATTTAGAATCAATATGATTACTAACTATTCTAATTTATATGATCGTTCAATTCAATTCAATTCATTAAAATAACAAACAACAGATCCAAACTCTCAAGATATTATTGATGAAGCATTGGAACTTTTCAAGGCCAACATTTTATTCCGTAATTTTGAGGTTCAAGGTAATGGTGATCGTGTTTTGATCTATTTGACTTTGTATATTACCAAGTGTCTCTTGAAGATCGCCACCTGCAACAAGGCCGACGCCGAGAAGCAATTGTTCACCATGGCACAAGAGCAATTCACTGTTCCAGGTGACTCTGCTTTCCCACTCGGTGGTATGATCACCATCCCAAGCACCCGTGATGCCACCGACGGTATCCGTCAATCACTCACTCAGCTTCGTTTAGAGTTAGGTGTTCGTCTCGTCCAAAGAGTCTACGCCACCGATCCAGCTCGTCCAAACAAATGGTGGATGTGTTTCTCAAAGAGAAAGTTCTTAGGAAAGGCTCTCTAAATAAGAATCTACAAAAAAAAATAACAAAACAAAACAAAACAAATAACACACATACCATACTCTCAAACAATCACCATCATGAAACCAACAAAAAACAACATTATATTTAAGTTAATTAACAATTATATTAATAAATAAATTAATAACATCTTAAAAACAATATATATTACACACTTATTTGATCATCTTTTCTTTATTTAAATTAATATTCTAGAATTATGACATAATATATATATATAAATTTTATATAACAATATATTGCTTTTTTTGGACACAAAAATCTTCGAAAAAATTGATTTTTAAAATTTTTTTTAGAAGAATTAATATTTTAGTTTTATTTGGTGGGTGTATGATGTTTAAACTTAAAAACTTGATTTCATTTTATTTTCATTTTTGATTAACTAATTAATTAATTAATAGATATATAGATATATAGATAGATAGATATGTCAAATCCATCAACACCTTTAAAAAGAAAAAAGACTGAAGAGATCATCAAGAATGGCAATGGTGATCATCCAGTTGCTACCAACGCCTACAGAGAGTTGAAGAGAGTGAATACAGTGAACTACGCCTATCAGGAATCGAATGGACATTTGAAACCACTTAATGGATTCGTTACACCACTGCTCACCGATATGTATCAGATAACAATGGCTTACAGTCTCTGGAAGAATCAACGTCACAACATTCATACGGTGTTCGATCTTTACTTTAGAAAGAATCCATTCCGTGGTGAGTTTACTGTTTTCGCTGGTTTGGAAGAGGTCATTCGTTTCGTATCGGATTTCCACTTTAACGACGACGAAGTAGAGCACATCAGATCTCTGATTCCAGATTGCGATCAAGGTTTCATCGACTACCTGAAGACTCTCACCTCGAAGGACGTCACTATCTATGCTCTCAAGGAAGGATCCGTTGTCTTTCCACGTATTCCACTGATTAGAATTGAGGGACCACTCGCCGTATGCCAACTCTTTGAAACTACTCTACTGAATCTTGTTAATTTCGCTAGTTTGGTTGCTACCAACGCTGCAAGACACAAGCTGGCAGTTGGAAAAGATAGAGTTATGTTGGAGTTTGGTTTGCGTCGTGCACAAGGACCTGACGGTGCCATGTCTGCCTCGCGATACTCCTACCTTGGTGGTGCCGACGGTACTTCCAATGTTCTTGCACATTGTTTCTTTAGCATTCCAGTCAAGGGTACACATGCACACAGTTTCGTTACCTCTTACAACAGTATGTATCCATTTAACTCTAAAAAAAAAAAAAAAAAACCTCTACTTACATTCTTTTTGTTTTTTCGATAATAGGTGTATCAGATTTAGTTGACAAGACACTCGTTGGTAAAGATGGTAAAACATATAATCTATTTGATTTGGCATTGAAGTATAGAAAAGAAATGGGATGGACAATCACAAACGAGAGTGAATTGGTTGCTTTCACAGCATATGCTAGAACATTCCCCAATGGATTCCTTGCTTTGGTAGATACCTATGATACTCTCAACTCTGGTGTACCCAACTACTTGTGTCTTGCACTGGCACTTAATGAAATCGGTTATAAAGCAGTTGGTATTAGATTAGATAGGTAAGTTAGCAAACGAACAAACAAACAACAAAACTTTATATATTTCATATATTAACATTTAATATTCACTTTATTTTTAGTGGTGATTTATCATATCTCTCCAAAGAGAGCAGAAAGATGTTCAAGACGGTCGGTGAAAAGTATAACATTGACTACTTTAATAAATTCCAAATCGTTGCTAGTAACGATTTAAATGAGAGTACTATTCACGATCTCAATAGACAGGGTCACGAGATCGATGTGTTTGCCATCGGTACCAACCTTGTCACCTGTCAAGCTCAGCCAGCACTTGGTTGTGTGTTCAAGTTGGTAGAGATCGACGGTCATCCAAGAATCAAGCTATCTCAAGAAACAAACAAAGTAACACTTCCCGGTAGAAAGACAGCATACCGTCTCTTTGGTGAAGCCGGTCACCCATTGGTAGATCTGTTGCTGCTCACACCGACCAACGCCTCTAGCAGTCCAGATGAAATACCAAAGGCTGGTGATAAAGTGCTTTGTTTGCATCCATTCGAAGAGCAGAAGCGTGTCATTGTAACACCAAAAGCGGTAGAGGAACTTCACATCAAAGTATTTGACAAAGGTCAAGTCATGACCAACCCACTTCCAAGCTTAGAGGAAGTACGTGCTTTTTGTCTCTCTGAGATTCAACGTATTCGTGAGGATCATCTTCGTGCTAGCAATCCAACACCCTACAAAGTCAGTATTACAAAGAAACTCTATGATTCATTACATAGTCTATGGTTAGAATCTGTACCAATCAGAGAAATGAAATAAAAACAAAAGCAAAAACAAAATAATACATAATATGTATGTATAATAAATATTGATTTGTTATTATAATCGAGTTTATTTATTAAATACTCCCATAGAGATTGATAGTATTATATTATACTATTAATATTATTATTATTATTACTATTTACAATTAATAAATACTTTATGTTTAGATTGTGCAATATTACAAGGTGTCTATATATATATTTGTTTGTTTCTTTGTTGCTTTTATACGTTATCTTCTGATGGTGTTACTGTTGTTGTTGAGTCTGTTGCTGACATTTCAATTTGGGTGGATGGTTCACTGAGAGATGGTGGTGTAGTTGAGACTGAAGATGAAATTGGTGGTGTAGTTGATACATTTGGTGAAGAAGTCTCTGATTTTGGTGGTAGAGCAACAAGTGGAGTTATCGATGAAGTTGATTGTGTTTTAAATAGTTCAATTCCATTTACTTTACGTAAACTATCTGATGCCGAGAATGTATAAGAATCTCCTCTAGCAATAGATGATGATTCACTATCCAATCTGAAACTATCTTCATATTTCTTTGATAAATCAACTATTTAGAATTATTAAAAAAAAAATATATTTTTTGTTAGTAATCTTATCTATTTTTATTTTTTTCTTTACTTTAATATTATTTAATAGCTTACTTGATTGTACACCAGATCCAGTATCAAGACTTGTAGAGCCGGATTTCGATGCAATATTTCTTACTCTTCTAAAGAGAATATAGTTCTTTAGTGAGTTTCTATCGGCCATGACCACCATGACAACGATCATCTGTCCGACGTCTACAAGCATTGTAATGGATGTCTCCAATGGGAAGTATTTGTATGGCTTATCAAGAACAAAGTTGAACAGTACATCGTGTAGAATGATAATGGTGACACTGACAACGGCAGTAGACACTAGGATCTTTGTCTTTCTGATGATCTTATCAAAGTGTTTCATCTTGTTTCGCTTTTGTGAATTTCTCATTCCACGAACGAATGTTACACCATTGAATACCACCCACGATGCAAACAGAATAAAGAATCCAAAAAATCCAATCGCTTCGAGCAACGTCAGATCTCTGTAGAGACACAATATCTCCACTGGCAACTGCCAGCAGAAATAGAGAATAACCAATGAATAACTGACTATCCATACTCTCTTTACTGCTCCCAATCTAACTTCATCACTTATAAAGAATGTATACAATAATTGCATCCTATATATATATATTATATTGTATTATAAGAAGATTGATTGTTTATATTATTAGTTAGTTTTTTTCATTCAAATAAAATGTATTTTACAATTGTTTGTTGATAGTTACCAAAATCCAGCAATGAAAACCCATTCTACCAAGACAAAATACACTCCAAATGAGAAAAAGAAATAGTATACACTACCGACTTGATAATCATGTGGGTTTACATATCTTAAAATATCACCTGTAACTCTACCTATAAATTTTTATATTTTTTATAATAATAAAAAAAAAATCAAGATTAAAATTTTGTTGACTTTTTTGTTTGCAAATAAGCTTTGCAAGATTAAACTTACAGGCACAAAACAATGACATTGATAAATAGGTAAAGAATCTAGTATTTACATTCTTTTTTTCCATAATAACCAACAGTTCAAAAAATGTTTGGCCAATGTTTACCAGTAAAAAGAATATATATATTAGAATTCTTATTCCCCAGAATGAATACATTAATCTGTCGGTTGCAATCGATCCTGTGTATGTGGAATCATCGTCGACACTCGAAGTGGCATTTAATATATCCATCTTGATATTTTATGTTGAGTGTGTGTGTGTGGTTTCTAAATGTCTCCTTCCTTTAATTTCTACTACTATTTCCTTTCTTTTAAAAAATTCACTTTTATATTATACAAATAATTAATAAAGAATTGGCTGATCTATTATTCGAAAATCCGAAAGGAAAGGGGACCTCCACAAATCTAATTTAAAAAAAAAATAAAAAAATAAAATTAAAATTAAAAAATTAAAAAAAAAACTGCAACTGAATTGGCTTGATTAATCAAACATTATTACAATGAGGAGGGAATAATTAAGGATTGATCAACTATTTAAAAAAAAAAAAAAAAAAAAGAACTTTACTGTTTTACATTTTGATTTAATGGATTTTGTAGTTTTCTATGACAACAGAGTACGATGAACTCGTTTTGGGGGGTTCGATTAACCAAACAGTTGCATTTGCTTTTTGCTTTTTTAAAGTGGTTTTAGAAAAAAATATCAGTTCCCCCTAACCAAATTTTAAAAGAAAATTGTTGAAATTTTGAAAAAACCTCGTAACTTTTGGATCTTTGATACACTTAGAGCCCAAAAAATTGAAATCAGATCTAAAATGCAAAAATAGAAATGTAATAGTCTGATAACCAAACAGTACCACATTTCGGGGGTGATCTATGAGATTTTTCAATTCATCAAAAAAAAAAAAAATTGACTTTGGTTTATTTTTTCTCAAATAACGAATCAAGGGTAGACTTACCAGAAGTAACCAGGTTAAGGCCGGTATCCAGTATGCACAAACCATCTTTAAATGGTCGAAACAAATTAAAAGATTAATACATTACACAAAAAATAGATGTATAATTTCCTATTCAATACTATGATCTGATAAAAAAAAACCAAAAAAATTCTTGATGGTTTTCGTGAGTCAACATCGAAGTTATTTTGATGAGCATATTTATTCTCTCAGTTTGGTGGTTATACGTTAACAAAAAAGAAATTCTATTTGATGATTGTTTGTTCACCTAATATGAAGATGAAATAAATAAACAATGTTTAATATATCTACGGATAGACTGTTGTTCTACAAATAAATGAATGTGGTTGTAGTGGATGAATGTGTTAATAGGGTGTATGTAGATTTTTAGTTTGAAATTAACAAATTATGATATCACACTTTCACCGAGAAATCCCACTTTTGTTTATCTTGAAAAATTATATTATATCTAGAATGAAATTGTATCACTAAAGAAATAAAAGAATAGTAGTTGAAGAAATATTTTTATTTATTTTAGAAATAATTATATTTTTAAAGTTTATCTATTTATTTTATAGTTTTTTATCAATAACAAATATTTCCTTTTTTTTTAATAAAAAAAAAAGAGATGTGATAAAGTAAAAAAGTAAACAAACTAGAATTTAGAATATAAAAAATTATATGGATCAAACAATTAATAATACCAGATCAAGTATTTCTAAAAACAAAGATATTAATAGACAATTATTATCCAAATTTATATAAAAGTGAAACCATATAATTTTGAAAGGGTAAAGTTCATCATCTGTTTATTTCTGAACCACAAATCTATTTTGTTAATGTATGATACTCATTATATATATTATTAGCACCACCACTGGAAATTCAAAATTCAATCTTTAATTTCAATGTATTCAAATATAATTCAAAAAGATGATGAAAATAAATTGTGTGTGAATAAGTTATAATAATGTGTTTGTTTGTTTAGTAACAAAACTATTATGCTGTTGCTTCTAATATCTCTAATTTGTCAAGAGTTTCAAAATATAATTTATATTAATTTGTTATTGTATTAAAGTTTAAAATATATTTATTAATCGAATAGTTACCATTTTACTCCAAACATACTGAATCAAAGAAGATTTTAGTTTAATGATTATATATGCTAAATAGAGTGGGTATGGGAGTGGTTCGTAGGAATGTGTTGTTGGCAATAATAATTCGATCACCTTGTTAAAGTTGTTGATGGTTTTTTTTAATATATTCCACAATAATTTTATTCTAACAGTAATAAAAATATCACCTCCACCATCATCAAGCTTAACATACTAAAGAATCAAGAATACATTCACACACAAACACACTGACACATACAAATAAATAAACGATCTAAATGCCACACCACTCTTTTTGTCAACTAAACATCCACCATCCAAATGAATTTAGATTTGTCTTACAATAACAATAGTGTTATCGCACGATAGTATCCTCTTTTCATTTTTTTAAGAGTTTGTTTTGTTTCTTGTTTCCCTATTCCAATTCTTTTCTTTTCAGTCAGTTCCTTAATCAATCCAAAGTTATATCAAAAAGTTAGATTTAATCAATTTTTATTTATTCATTTTTAATTCTTGCTAAATTCACACATTTGTTTTTATATTTATCACTTCCGTCGAATATTTAATTATTGCAATCAGATAAAGATATTAAAATATATGTTTGGAAAAAATAAAGAATTTTAGAAATAAATATAGATGATTTACAACAACAGGATTTGGAATAACAGAAAGAATAAACAATATAAAAAAGGTATATATTAGATTTAGAAGACCAAAATATATATAAGAGATTTTTTGGTGCAAAAAATCTTATCAAGATTTAAATTTTTATTATTTTATAAATATTTTATTTTAATTTTTTTTGGCAAAAAAAACATCAAAAGTGTAAAATCAAAAAACACTCATATCATCAGTAGTTTTTTTTTTTCAAAAAATAAATAAAACAAAAATTTTTGATCGTTGATTTTTTTTATAAAAATTTTGATCTAGAGCTATTGATTAATATCGTTCAGCCCTCTTAAAAACTTAAAATTGGGCAATTCTCCTTTAAGCCCCACCACTTGGTGTAGATTTTAAACATCGCAATAAAAATCACACTCACAATACTCCAACCAAATTTTGTTATTCTCTACTTTTTGGTCAAATCAAACTATTAGTTTCATAATTATCTCTAAAATAATAAAATAATAATAAATTGTAGAGGAGGGAAGCAATCAACAACACCCCACTGCTCATTATTGTACATTAACAACACAAACAGACCAAATAATTATAAAGTAAATAAAAAAACGAACCTTATTTAATTTTAATATTAAAATTCAACAACAGAGACAAAAAGGCAGACACAAAAGGTACATCAACAACACATCAATCAAAAAAAAACAATCAAAGTCTCTATTCCAATACATTATCATTTTTAAACAAAACAAAAAAATGTAAATATTTACAACCTCCCCGCCATCAATAAAATAAATCTGATAAGAAAACATAAAACACCAATAATCATAATAAAAATTCACACAATTTATTGATCAAAAAACCCACAACAAACAACAACAGCCAAACAAAACCAAAAACCAAAACAAAGTAAAACCACTAAACATCAACGTTGATGCCCATCATATGTATACATATATTATTATTTTTATGAGAGCGCTCTCTTGATGTTTATAATTCAATGCAACTTTCTTTATTATTGTTATTATTATTTTAAAGAGGCTGAAATTTTAAAGAGAGACAAATCAAATAATTCTTTAATCATACTCACCATTACCATTAATTATTAAATATAAAAGAGACCTTTCATTATTCTTTCATTCTTTTTTATAATTATCATAATATATCAGAGCCTTTGAGGAGCAGCAGTAGTAGTCATAGAAATAATAATTTTTATTTGGTTTAATTTTTAAAAAATATTTATTTTATTTTAATTTTATTTTGGTTCTTTATTTTAATTGATAGTTATCTTTTTAATTGTCTTTTAGTTGTTTGTTTTGTTTTGTTTTGCCAAACACACACACACACACCATTCAACAAAGCAGCATCACCACAGACAGTTGGTTATCTGTGTGTTGTGTGTGATTTCAGTAACAGTAGTAGTTATAGTATTGTGTTTGATTGTGCTACTATTTATATTTAGTTTATTGAAAACAACAATAATTGTGTTTTCATGAGAATCCAATTAATTAATTCTAAAACTTAGCAATAATCAACATCATCGTTACCTATTTTATCATCATAAATATTATCATCATCACATCTAAATATTATAGTTTACAACAGTAGTAATAACAATCAACCAAACCAATAACAGATAATATAAAAATATATATGATAAACAATAATAAATCATAAAAAAGAATTACATATAAAATTTGTTTGTTGGCCAACAACAATATCGACAAACATCTCACAGTTTTAATCAACTTATTTATTTATTTATTTATTTGTATAATAATAGATTTTCATTTATAAAAACTTTAAAAGTAAAAATTAAAGTAGTCAATTCGTTAAGTTATTTATTTATTCGTTCACAAAAAAAAAAAAAAAAAAACAACAGATTAGATTCAACTAAACAAAAAAAAAAAGTATTTATTATTACATTCCATCACATTCTATCTCTTAAAACATTCTTTTTTTTTTTTGGATCAAATCACAATCCATTTTAGAACAATTTTTAGTTTTTTTTTTTTCAAACTATTTTTAATTTCTTGTCTTTCTTTTCTTTTCTTTTTTTTTTTTGTAGTGATATTTGTAATCATTCGATTTATTTATTTGTAATAAAATTTTTATTTGTATCTTAATTGTATCTCGTAAGTTTTGTGAAAATTAATTAAATTAAAAACCAAAATAAAATAAATAAAATAATATAATAAAACCAAATGATCATTTTCAATCAATCAATCAATCATTTAATCATAATATAATAATTTATTTTAAAATAAACAAAAAAAAAATGACAGAAGAAAGAAAATTACTAAAACATCAAATTGAATTTCAATTACAGCAACAGCTACAGAAATATCAATCTACCTATCAAACACCATATCAGATAAGGCCTTCTTTACAACAACAACAGCAACAACAGCAACAGCAACAGCAACAGCAACAGCAACAGCAACAGCAACAGCAATATAGTCATAGCCCACAGAATCATCCACCACTTCCACCGTTACCACATCATCAACAACAACATAATAATAACAATAGTCAATATAGTCGTTCACCCAAAGGTGGTATTTTATCAATATCTTCTCAACCACCATCAACACCACAACCACCATCAACCTATTCAATAAAGTGTAGTACAAGTCGTTTCGATCAAAACAGTGATAGCAGTTATTATAATCAGAATCATCATTTCGAGGTAGAACCAGAGGAATCTGAATTTGAAGAACCAGAGTTTGAAAGTGAAGAATTAGAAAGCGAAGAAGCAGAATACTCTTGTTATACACAAACTGAAAATTATTATTACCCTTACGACGACAGTTCAGAAATGTCAGATACTGCTTTGGCATCTCCAAAGTCACATTTGGACGGTGCCTCTGAATTAACAAAAAATAATAGCAATAACAACAATAATAATAATAATAATAATAACAATCATAATATTCCAACTATTACAACAACATCAACAACACCATCATCATCATCACCACCATTATTATCAACGTTACCACCAATAATGCAACCACCTCCACCATTAATGGCACCACCAATGTTACCAAATAACAACAGCAACAATAATATAAATCATAATCAATCGGAATCAATAGACTATACAGCACGTTGGTCTATTTTACATAATAAGATGAAATGCGTAGACGACAAGCTGGATCCATTGAAGCGTGGATCGATTTTGATAGAGCATCTCTCAGAGATGAACAAGTTGGCAGCATCACAGGTGATGGTGATGAACGAAGAGGAACAGGTCAACTCGGACGGAAAGGACAGCGACGATCTCTCTGTGAGCAGTGCCAACCCACCAAGTGACACCATCGTACTCACTGGAATCAAGTTGTTTAACGATAAGCCACGCAAAGGTGTAGAATACTTTTTGTCACAGGGACTCATTGAGAAGACACCACAATCGATATCAGAGTTCCTACATACATGTCCACTGCTGAACAAGCGTGCAATCGGTGATTACCTCGGTGAAAGCGATGCTTTTTGTATCGAAATACTCGAGGCATTCATCGCAAGATTCAATTTTCAGGACTTGGATTTCGACATGGCACTTCGTCAGCTTCTCTATTGTTTCAGACTGCCTGGTGAAGCTCAGAAAATAGATAGAATCGTACAAAGATTCGCTAATCAATTTTATAGAGATAATATTAAAAGTGGTATATTTGAAGATCCAGGTAAGCTATTAAAAAAACAAACAATTGCTTTTAAAAACAAATCTACATATTTATTAACTAATAATATTTATTACATTATTATTATTATTATTATTATTATTATTATTATTATTATTTTTAGACGCTGTATATATATTGGCATTTGCTATTATTTTATTAAATACCGATGTTCATAGTCCTGTTATCAAGGCGACATTGACCAAACAGAAATTCATAAAATCACTCTCACGTATCAACAATGGCAAAGATCTTCCTCTCGATTACATAGAGGATCTATATGATAGAATTTGTTCAGATGAAATCAAAATGAATCCATCAGAGTATGTTATAATAATATAGGATTTATAGTTATTCTTAATATTAATTTATTATTTTCTTTTATTAAAGTGCACAATTCCCGTATGCAGTTAAAAAAGGATGGTTATATATTAGAGTAAAAGGAAAGGTAACAGAAAAGTGGAGTAAGAAATGGTGTATTCTAAGTGAAGGATCACTCTATTTCTTTAGAAAGCCAAGTGATACTATTCCCATTCGATATTTACATCCAACCGTTATCACACCACAAGGCAAAGAGGTCAAGGGTAGAAAGTATTGTTTCAACCTCAACCATAGTTCGCCACCCATCTTGATGGACATGATTGCCAAAGAGATGAATCAATTGTCGACCAACAAACACAAAGCACTTGCCAATCAAGTTGACCAACAGCAACAACTGGTATTCCAAAAGATGTTGCAAATGACCGCCAAAGATCGTCCTAAAGTACCGAGATTCTGGGATAGCGTTGCCGAGAAGATGGGTGACGAACTGAGTCCGAGCGTCAACAATATTCTGCGGTTGGAACAGATGCCCGTCGAAGTACTCGACACCGATTCAGTGAGCTCTGTCGACACACTCTCGGAATCTTCGCAATCCGCTGCCTTTTACGAAGAGGAGAGTGTCTCCAGTTCGATCTCTTCAAGTTCCTCCTCGCCAAACTCACCGCTTTCCAGCTCGGTGCAGCAACAGCACGGTGGCAAATATCTTGACGTCACAGATCCAAAGAAGAAAGGATTCTCATTGCGATTCGGCAAGGCAAAGAAAGAACAACTACAGATGCAACAACAACAAGGATATCAAGAGAGTTTGGCACGAGAACGTGAAGCTGCCGCCGCCGCTGCTGCCGGTGGAACCACCAACAACAACAACAATAACAATGGATACCCACCAAATCACTCACTGACACAACCAAGACCTTCGCCAACACCCTACAAACCTGGATCATCCTCTTTGATTAGATCATCGAGTATCTCAACGTTCTCAACACCCTCATCGATGTTGTCTTCATCGCCAGCCTCATCACCATTGTCCGGATCCACCAACTCCAACAGTAGCAACCAAAGTTCTCCAGGTGTACCATCATCTGCATTATCTTCAACATCCACTACACCAAGTAAAACTCCACCATCTTTCCACAACAACAACAACAACCATAGTAATAATAATAATCATAGTTCAACCACCACTACAACAACAACTACATCCAACAACAATCATACTAAATCACTTGAACAACAAAACATTGAACACTTGATGAGACTTCAACAAAAAATGTTGAAATCATCTAAACAAACCACTTGTATACTCAGTACCGAAAGTAAGCGCGAGATGGAATCATGGACCAGATTAATTCTATCACAATTCCAAAAACAACAACACTAAATTATCAAATTTATATTGATATGAGAAAAAATGCGTCGATCAAACGAAGAATCAGAAGAAAAAAAAAAACACAATTAATAATATTTATTTCGATCAAAGCTTAATAAGTGAACATCAATAGAAAAAAAATCATGTAAAATAAAATTAAATTAATGTTAACACCAAAAATACACACATATCTTTATCCATTTTTTTTTTGATTTGATAAATTTCTTAGTTTTTTTATACCTGCTAATTTTTAAAGAAAATTTAGAGAAAAAGTGGGAAGTGAACTTTTAATTAATTGCTTTTTAATTAAAGAAACTCAGTGTTGTTATTTTCAGTTTAATCACTTTTTTTTTTTTTTTTCCCAAAGTAAAACTCCTATTTATTTATTTATTTAATTGTATAAACCTATTTCTCAAATAATAATTCGATCAACTAAATAATTATTTTTATAAGATGGGAAAAGGTAATAATAATTTAGTAAAGTTGGGTGATTTCACAATTACGTCAATTTCTGATCCGGGTGGCAAGCCTGTTTCAGAAGATTTAACATTTGGTATAGATGAATTTTTATTACCAAAAAAGTCAAAGCAAAGATATAATAATAAATCCAAATCAACAAATTCACAAATAAATAAATCCAATAAACAATCCAATAATAATAATAATAATAATAATCATAAAACTTTTTCCAGAACAGAAATTGAACAGCTTTTCTCTTTTAATTATAAGAAAGATATTAGAGACATAGCTGAGGAATATATTCAAGATAAGAATAGTAATACAGAAGAAATGGAACAAGAAATAGAAGTAGCAGAAGAAGATTCCGGAGAAGGTGGAAGCAATGGTTTAACAGTAAAGGATTTTGAATATATTAGTACAGAAAAAGAAGAAGAAGAAGAGAAAGAAATGGAGTTAAAGAATAGTAATAATATTGTAGATAGTAATAATAGTAATTTTGAAGATGTAGTTTTAGAAATCGAAGAGGAAGAAGAGGAAGAAGTTTTAAGTTTTAGTGTAAATAGTTTTTTGGATAAGTGTGATTTTGAAGACAGTTGGGAAAATGAATTTTTTGGAGTAAAGTTTGACGGTGAACATTTGAGACACTGCAACAAAAATAAGAAGGATAGAATTAAGAGATTCTTTGAAAGCTCATACCTGAGTAAGAAGGAGTCCGATCAACGTGCATGGATGTCAAGATACTTCTCCACAGTCAAAGGTGGTGAGCCATTGCGTCAACAAGAGAGATTGAACAGAACTTTTAAGCCAAGCCAAGATCAAACCTACGAAAAGGAGTTGCAGGCTGCCATGTCAATGTCCGCCGCTGAATATGACCGTACCGTTGGAAGATCACTTGCCGTCACAACACTTACTCAACGTCAAATTAACGATTTGCTCAACCGTGAACTTACCCCAGAAGACTATGAATTGCTACTGCTTTTGGACAACTCAGTCAAGCCAAAGACCACCCCAAAGGAAGTTTTGAGAACATTGCCAACCGTAAAGTTCTCGCTTTCCAACACCAATCACTCCAATTGCGATACATGTATGGTTTGTCTCAACGAATTCAATCCAAACGAAACCGTTACCAATCTACCTAAATGCAATCACATTTTCCATGGTGAATGTATTAACAATTGGTTGGCAAACTCTTCAAGAAATTGTCCAATCGATGGACTGCCTTGTTTTGATTGCTGACTAAATAAATATATTTTAAACAAATCAAATCTTATTTTTTCTTTTTAACTTTTACCTTATTATTTTTTAATTAACTTTTTTTTATCACAATCAAAAATAATTTTTGCAACAATTGTTGCTGAGTTAGTAGACGAATATGTAATTGGTCGAGAGATAGACATTACTAAAGATACCATCCACTGCGTATAGTTAAAGTTAGAATTTAAATCTAACAAATAAATAGATGAGAATATTTGATAGTTTTGAACAACAATCGATGCAGTTCCAAAACAATTGGTTCAAAAACTTGAAGATTCAAAGAAATTTAAATTTTTATTGTACAACTCCTTCAATGATGATAGTTTCTTAAGATGATCATCAGAATAAATCTACTCGTCTGACCAATCATCATCGTCGTCATCATCATCTACATCATCTTCTCTCATGTTTCCTCTTCTTTGAGCCATAGCGAATGCAAGAGTGTCTACGAGTGAACGATTACCAGCATCATCAAGTTTGTGGAGTTCTGGAAGATCTTGTTGGGTGTGATCGACCTTCTTGAGACTGGCACCTCCTCTGATAGCAGAGAGTAGATCGGCACGACCACCGCCACCACCATCGCCACCACCTCCACTGGTTGGAGGTGGTGGTGGTGGAGGAGCACCACCTGGGGGAGGTGGGGGAGGAGGAGCAGATTTCGAAGGGGGTGGTGGTGGAGGTGGTGGTCCTCCTGATGAAGGCTTGTGTGCAGGTGGTGGAGGTGGTGGCGCTGAACGGTTGCCCGATGGTGGTGGAGGTGGTGGTGGATTCGAACGGTTGGCAGACAAACCTGGAGGTGGTGGAGGTGGTACACCACCACCGGCAGCAATGGACTCACCGATGACATTGACAATGAACTGAGCGGTTTCGGCATTCTTCAACTCCTTCTTTGTGATACCGGCAGACTGGAAAAGCTTACGCCAATCGGGTGGAATGTTACGGATTTCGAAACCTTGCGATGGATCCCAACCGATGTGAGATTCATGACGGAATCCGGAGGGTGCTGAAATCACCATGACTTCATCCTCCTCATCGGTGTTACCCAAGAGTTTGTCAAAGAAACCCTTCTTCTTCTTCTTCTCTGGCTTGGAGGCGGTGGATTGCGCAGCAACCAAGTTGGTCGAAGACTTTTGTGAAGAGGCACCAGTGCTGACGAGGTTTGGACGCATGCACTTTTGCAAGGCTTCGTTGAGCTCTTCGGCTTCCTTGACATCGGCAAACGACAAACCAAAGACGGCACTGTCACCCTCAAAGGTGTAGAAGAACTCACGAGCACGGTGCAACTCGAAACCTTCGTACAACTCTTGCTCGAAAACGACACGTGTCGACTTCAAGTCAAAGATCTTGATGTAGTTGGTCTTTTCGATACGGTGCGAGATGACAGAGCAGGCACCGACGACACCGGTGTACTCCCAACCACCTTGTTTCACTTCATACAATCTAGCTACTGTCGATGACTTTACATCACAACTAGAGCTATGAACAACTCCTAGTTGATTCTTTTCTTGTTCAGTTAATGTCTGAACACCCATTTACTATTATTTATTACTACTTATTACTGTTATTACTAATATATCTATATTTTTTTTTTTGAAATGAGTTTTTTTTTTTTTTTTTTTCAACTAATATGTGACACAACTTTTTTTTGATTAAATTGTTTGCAAAACCCATTTCTCAACTATTTTTTTCTATTTTTTTTTTTTTGCCAATCATATTTTTGTATCAACCTATTATTTTATTTATTTTAATTTCTTTTGATCAAAAAATCTTCCATTTTTTTATAATCTCAGAATAACCAGTAACATATAAATTTAAAATGAATAGATAAATATGATTAAATCAAATATAACACACAATATTGATAAATATTAATTTTAACTGTTCAGTTTTTTGGTTTTTTTTTTTTTTTTTTGGGTGATGGGAAAAAACTTGGGTGGGTGAAAATCAATCAAACCAAGAATCATATTCAAAATTTTTTTGGATTTATTTATATTTTTTAAACTATTATAATAATTTTTTTGTTTTAAAGAAAAAAAGAAAAAGAGAAATGTTTGCTTTCTTTAAAGAAAAAAAAGATAAAGATAACTCTATCAAACCAAATGTTAAACCAAAGAAGAAGCACCCACAAGGAACAAGCAGATATACTTTGAGAAAGAGTTTGAAAGAAGGTTTCCTCAAAGGAACTCTTGTCAGAGACTCTGTTAAATGTCCACCAGGTGAAGTGGAGAACGATTGGATTGCAATTCACACCATCGAGATCTATAATACGATGAACCATTGTTATGCGTTCGTACAGGATTACTGCACTGAAGAAGGATGTCCAAAGATGAATGGTAATAAAGCAACCTATCTTTGGAGTGATGGTACATCAAAGCCACAAGAATTACCTGCAAGAAAAGTAAATATCACAATACATACATCAATGTGAATGATAGATTGTTTAGTTGATTATCTAACATTTCCATTTCCTTTAATTTATTTGCAAATATTTATAGTATATTGATAATCTATCAAATTGGATTGGTGATCAAATTGATAATCCAGAGATTTTCCCATTAGAAGATAATTATACAAAAGCATTTAGACCTGCTGTAAAGAAGATTTTAAGTAGAATTCTACGGTAACTATCGGTTAATACATTCGTGATTCTTCTTTAAAGTAGATAAAGTTTAAGTTAGGTTTAACTAACAAATATTCATTCTTTAACATTTATAATAGTGTATATTCACATATTTACTATCAACATTGGGCTAATATAAAGACGTTGGAATGTGATAAACATATTAACACATCATTAAAAGTATGTTTAAACAACTATTACAACTCAGTTGATCATTATATTTAGTTTCGGTAATATAACTAACCAATTATTGCTCGTTTAGCATTTCCATTGTTTCGTTCTTGAATTTAATCTGGTTGATGAAACAGATTTGAACTTGATGAAAGATGTATTCGATAAGATTTAAGCACAAACAACAAATAACAACATCAATTTCTTCCAAAACAAAACAACTCAACCTCAACCTCAACCTCAACTCAACTCTCTAGATTTAAAATCAAATATAATACTACAATATTGTAATACAAACAACCGAATGAATTAAAAAAAAACTCTTTTTTTCTTTTCTCCTCTAAACAAAAAAAAACAAAGATAATAATAGTGTAAGTTTACAATAATACTTTGATTTATTTTAATATTTCTTTTAATTTATGACCATTTAACTAATCCTTCTACAATCTCTTGTAGCCAAACGAATTCGTAGAACTTGGCGATATTACCAAAAATAATTAATCTGTGTATATTAGTAATTAAAAATAATAAATAAAACAAAATGATTATGATAGAATTAGATAAAAAAGAAATAAAAATACTTATTAGTTTGATTGATATATTTAAGGTGTATAATTATAAACTTACTCTTTTTGTAAGGTTGAGCTTGGTTCTCTACATTGGTATTGACCTGAACAGGTATGACAAATGTCACTGAGATTGTCAATCTTGATTTGAGCACATTTCGAGCATTTCAAATCCTGAAGATGATATGAGAGTGATCGACGCTGCACAGTTTCAACGAGGACACTTTCGATTTGACCTTTGTTGTAGTTGTTACCGCATTGTGCGCAGACGAGCTTGTTGTTGGTTGCGTTGTCACGCAAAAGATCAATGTCACGACACGAATAGCAGTAGGAGCAAATGACATCGGACATCACATACGACAGACATGGATCTTTGAAAACCGCTTCCTCTGAGAACTCACGGATATTGATGATACGCATCAAGTTCTTACGGAGACGTTGCACTTGGTTATGAAGTGATTGATCCAACATCAATACGTGACAGACCGACTTTACAAACTCTAGTGCCGGATTGGTAAAGTGCAAGTGACTGCCTGGGAGCGTTGGAAACTCATCGGTATTCTCTGAATACTTTAAACCTTGAAGAATTTGTACGATTCTATTGTTGTCTACAACCGAATTGAATTTATAAGGCAGCAACTTGTCTTCCTCTTCTTCATCGTCTTCATTCCAATTGGAATTACTGTTTCTAAGAATATTCTTGTCAGCATTATTATTATTATTGTTATTGTTGTTTTCATCTTCATCTTGTTTATCATTATCATTATTATTATCATTGTTGTTGTTGTTGTTGATGGGTGTTGTTTTTGGTTGAAGAATATTTTGAATTCTCTGTTTCTCATTGTGAATGTAGAGTTTGTGGATGAAATCAGAGATGACCAAGAGGAATGAGTTTTGAATGGATGGTGGCAGGAACTCAGATAGATTCCAATGTGAAATGAGATCGGTGGTTTGGTTACTGGTTGTGTCTGGCGATACTTTGTTGTTTTGATCTTGGCTGGGTGGTTGTTGGTATACTCCACCAAAGTTGGAGACGTCCATCCACAGCAGATTATTCCAAAACTTTGTAGGTTTGATTGTGATCCAAGAGAATAGCTCTTTCTTCTTGATGACAGTGATGATATAGCTACAATATTGCTTGGCATCTTCGATCGATGTCTTCTGGGAGCACAGGATGATACGGTTGAAATTACCGTAGATCACCTTGCAACCGAGTTTCTTGAATTCGAAAATCAACTGTAGGAATACCTTTTTCATTAGTCCGTGAAGAGTACGATGAATGATGGGATCGTACATTCCACTGTAGGGCGAACTTATCCACCGGTAGAAATGAGTCAACAGCAGATCGGGAGTCGGGTTGTTTCTGCGATTTCCCATGACCAAGTCGAGCGACCAACGAGTCACCATCTTTCTGAGAATGTTAAACTCTTTGTCGCAGCTGTTAAACTGCTCCATTGCTGCAGAGGTTTTAACGATCTTTTCGTAGTTTGGCTGCTTGTCGACAGAGTTGTCAAAGTTCAGTGTTTCACTGTCACCGTTGTTCAGTTGTCCACCGATGATTCCCTCGATATCTGCGAGATGCGATGACTCTAGAATTGTATTGACAGCCAAACCACCGATATTCAACTCGAAACAGGCGCTGTTGTAGCAACCCGGTTGGTTAATCTCAGTCTTGCCGAGTTCCTCATGGAATTTGGCGTCGTCCTCTTCGGAACCACCGAGGTCTGGACAATTGGAGAGAGACATCCACAGGAGATGATTCGACTCCTTCAGCATTCTAGAGTAACAGACATCAGAGACAAACGAGGCATAGTCACCCTTGAGATTACCGATTGGAATATTAGCGTAACGCGCCAGTCCAGTAAAGTATTTGATGTAGTTGTCGACTTCGCCAATACGTGTCAAGAGTGGTTTGAGTGCATGAACCTCCCAATTGAATGGTGAATACTGTGAGTCATATTCGTGAGAAATCATTTGAACTTTGGCGAATTCACGAAGCAATGGGATGTCATGATACATCTCGACGATATTTACAACCTGAGTCACCAAAATAGTGGCACCCTTACGCTCGGATTGATATTCCTCGAGCATCTTGTTGACGGAACGTCTACCATTCTCCATCGATGTGTCAATCTTAAAGTTAAAGGTAATCGAAGGATACTTCTCACCGAGTGAGTTGAGAAGTTTCTTGCTAATCGAGTGCGATTGATATGGATTAACAAAAATGATTGTACCTTGCTTGCTGTGGAAGTTGATCACCGCGAAAATACCATCTTTTCCATCCTTACTGTTGTGATAGAGATAGATCTGATGGAAGTTGGCCTCCGACATATAGCTAGAGGATCGATCAGATCCACGCGATTGAATGCTGTCAAGTGGATATCTACCATTGGCATTTGGTTTGGCGTTACGACGCAAACTAGCCATGCAACCGATCTGGACAATCGCAGAGATGTCGAGTGGAGTCTGTGTCTCGTAGACACCTTCGATTTGTGGCAGTGTAAAGAGTGTCGATAACTCTTTGGAGTTTTTGATGAATTCATCCTCTGACATTGAGTGTTGTGTGAGATGCAGACGTGGTTTCGAACGTGGAGGAACGGCGTTGGAAACCACCGGATTGGCACCATCGTATGGGTCGCGCTGGAAGCTGTTCAAGTAGAAATGACGTTGTAGTTCCACCTTGATTGGGATGAGCTGATCACCTATCAACGACCAGAAAGTATAGAATCCAGGATGATTGGTTGGATCGATCGATATGATATGCCATACTCCTTTACGTACCGCTTCATTCTGAGAGGTGAAGAAACCGTTGAAAGATTTGGCACTGTTGGATTGAACGGTCTTGAGCTCATCGAAATCCACTTCCTTTCCAGTTTTTTTCGCTTTGATTCTCGAACGCAACTTTCGCCAGTGTACTTTTTTGTGTTTTAACCAACCGTCAAAGTCAACTTCATACTTGGGACACTCACCAATAAGTTGCTCCTCTTGGTGACGCTTCTTCTTGTTGGCCGCCAGGTCAGAGGCGGTGGTGGCGCCAGTTCGTTTGTGCTTTGTAAACATTGGCGGTTTAGATGCGGCATCTTGGAATTTGTCCTTGAACATATCCTCGATGTCATCCATGTGTTGTGCCTTGTCAACCTTGTTGAAGAAACTGGTGATCTGTGTCTGTTGTCTCGAGTCATTCTGGCGCTTCAACTCCTTCAAGATCCAATCGGGGTGGAGTACACGTGGCACTGGATTCTCAACGTTCTGGAGTGCGGCGGGAAGTGTAATCATCTTTTGAATGACACCGGAAAGACGTTGTCTGTAGTAGTCCCAATCGATAATGTCACGCAAACCAACATCTTTTCCCTTGGTCCACTTTCGCAGGAACATCACTCTGACCTCTTCATCGGCGGCAAAGATCTCAGTGGGGATGGTACGCTCTGTGACTGGCGCACCAGCAGGCTTGTTGGCAATGATATACTGGCACTGCAGACCGGCATCCTTAACAATCTCAGGACCGAGGAACTCCTTCAACTTGAAAGCCGTTCCGATGGCAGTACTCTTTTGTCGGTCGTACTCCTCGAGCTTCTTGCTCATCTTGGACGACTCTGTGATGAGACGAATCAACTCCTTCTCATCGTAGCCATCGGCATGAGAATCCAGTACATCCAGCCAGTGGTTGGCAACGGCGGCAATCGCGTGGTAACAAGTTTCCAGTGTATTTCCTTGCAAGAAACACTGGAACAACTCTGTTTGGAACGTCTTGATGAGCTCCAACTCACCACGACGCTTAATCTCGAAACCCTTCAACTCTTGGACACCTCCCTGCTTATTGAAGACGGCATAACGCTTTTTCAGCTTGACATCCTTCTCCTTACCCGTGGGAATAAACATACATCCGTAAGGACCGTCCGATTCAAACTGAATCGAACACTCACTACGAGTGATATACTCACCGTTCGGACCCAGCTCTTGGTATTGGTGGTTGGTATAGAGTTCGGCAACACGCGCATTCAACAGCGCATTGAGAAAGTTAAACTTTTTACTCTTGCCATTCTTTAGCTTGAGCGAGTATTCCTCGGGGAACGACTCTGGCAGTATACACCAGATACCGTCGGTGTCCAGCTCGAGAGGACGACCGAGTTGCTCCACAGCGATACGTGCATTCTTGATGATGTTACTACCGGTGTGAGTTACGATACCGGCCATCTGCATAGAGTACCAACGAGATCCCTTTCTCATTACATAACCATAGAAAGAGTTGAGAATACACTTGTGTGCCAACTGCATAGATTCGTACATAATAACCATATTCTGACACTTTCCGAGATCGTGTGAGCTCGACCCTTTCTGTGCAGAATCCAAATGTCCTTTCCACTGACCATGTAGATCCTTATATACATATCTTCTATCACGGAACAACTTTACAGTATCGACATAGAATGAATTCTCTCTCATACAAACTGTATCCGATTTAATTTCATTTGAAATAATATGAGTTTTCTTATATACTTTCCTGTTGACAAAAAAAATATTAGTTGGTTAGCTATTAAATTCATCACAATAACAAACATTGTACATACTTTGAATATTCTTTTAATCTTTTTCTTAACATTATATTTTGTTCCTCTTCTGTGTGTTCTGAGAATGGTTTTTCTTCTGGTCCAAATCTTTCAGATTCGAGCTGTTGAAGAATTAAACGATACTCTGAGAAGTTGGAGGGTGAATAGTCACCTCTCCACTCCCAATTCAATGTACGTTGACAGTTGCTCTCTGGTTTGTTAAAGTCACAGGTTGCACAAAACTCGTCGGTGACAATCGAAGTTGGCTGAAGTCTGTTGGTCAAGATAATGTTTGGATACATAGCACTTACGTCCAAATGGTAGATCAACGGTTTGCTCTGTTGTTTCGGATTCTCTCTCAGTCCTGTGAGACGCGCAACAATATCGTCTTTGATCTGCTGGAAGTTGGTGAGATCATCATCGCTGACACCGGTCTCTTTCATCGCCTGCTGAATGATATTGTCGACGGCATCGATGTGAGTCTGAATCGCTTCGGCATCCAGCGAGAAGTGCGTGGGAATATCAGAACGGAAAATACCAGACTCAAGACACTCGACGTGTCCACCGACGTAGGTTTCCGATTCTACCAAGTGGCCTTTGTAGATCTTACGTTGCTCGTCGATGTGTTTGTTTGGGAAGATGACATTGGCACGGAATGCCTGAGTCATGAGTAGCGCTTCACACAGCGAACCGGAACCCTTACGCAGCACATCGTCGGGATTCAGCGGAATGATGTTACAGAGTGAGAAAATGAAGGGATGGATATACGACATGTACAGGTAGTAGGTGGCGACAGCGTCAGACACTGAGTAGTTGGCGAGACGCTCGGGATCTTCACGTGCCGACCGGACCATCTCCTCGGGATCCAACTCCAGCGGATTGTAACGCAGCTTCTTACGAACGACTTCCTTCAGACGGTGACTTCCGTGTGGCAGATAGGAGTCACGCTTCACCCAGCAGAATGCGTCCATATGTACAGCGGTCTGACCACGATAGTCTTCGTCCACCGTCTTTCTAAAGCCAATCTCGCGGTACAGATCCATTCCATGGTGTTTGGTACGCGCGTCTACAAACGGCCAATCGAAACCGTCACCGTGATAAGTGACAAATATGTGCGGACGCAACTCACGAATGTGAGAGAAGAAACGCTCAAGAGTGGCGCGCTCGTCTGGCTCATTGAAAACGGTGAACGGTCCTTCGTACTCTGGCTTGGGGGTGTACTCAAAGTCGTCGATATCCGCAGCGACAATCTCACGATTGACAATGAGAAAACCCTGGCGATCCAACATATAGGAAATCATCATAATCGAATCGATCTCTGGATCCGGAAACTTCTGTGGCAAATGCGTGGTTTCAATGTCAAACGCCAGCACCTTTGGATCGGGACGCTCTTCACGCTCGAGCAAGTGGCGCACCGTCGTTGGCGCGGTGGGAGAATCGCGCTTCACCTCGTACCACAGACCGACACGAATCTCCAGATCGATGGCAGCACGCTGGTAGTAGGTGACATCGTACTCTCTGATATCCAATATATACTCTGTAGCTTGTTTGGAGTGCGCCGACTTCCTATCGGAGCGGGACACCACCGAGTAAGCAGCGAACGGATCCTCATAGGCTTCGGTTGTCGATTGTCTCAGTTTGTTACGCTTCACCAACGGCAGTATATCACTACGAATTTCCAGTAGAGTTTGTACATTATGGAACCTTATCTTTAAATATTTCTTTTTGATTCCACTTAAATGATTTTCCTATATTTTTGTTTGTTTTTTTTTTTGTGGAAAACAACCAAATTAATTAATAAAACTGGAAACAACAAACTTGAATGATCTGATTGATCACCGATATCATACCAAATCTAAATCTTCTTTATCAATTAAATCTATTCCAGCAATCTTATTCTCGTATTGACGTTTCAGGTAGGTTTCCACCTCGGTGTGATGGTTGTCCTTGACGTAGATGTAGAAATAGGGATTGTAGATTACCCATGCTCTAAAGGAGGTTGCATCCTCTTGAATAAAGAACAACTCAATGCTTGCTCTATCGACTCCACTCTCTTTATCTTTTGATGAACTCTTTATTTATATCGTTATTTGATTAGTATGTTAACAATCGCAATGCAATTCAATGCTATACCGTTAGTTACTTACTGGTTTCATATTTAATAACCAACCAGTTCTAAGTGGTTGAAATTGATCTCTATCATCTTTATCTGTGTGATTTGTATGACTGCTGACATCCTCGATATCATTATCAATCACTTCATTGTTATCTTCATCTCCACTGTCTTCGATATCATCATTATCCCATCGTTTGTTAACCTTGAATTTATTGGTCGATGTAACTTGACCACCACCACCACCACCAGTTGTAGTATTATCATTATCATCATCTCTATTTACTTTATTATAATAACTTTTATTATTACTTTTTCTATAATTATTGTTGCTATTATAGTTATTATTATTGCTATTATTATTATTATTATTATTATTATTGCTATTGTTATTATATGTATTTCTTCTATAACCACCGGATCCGGATCTACCACCACGACCTTGTCCCATCATTTGGTTGGCAGTACCCGTAGTATTTCTCTTTTGATATCCACCTCCCATTTCTTTTTCTTCTTCTACTATCTATTTAATCTATCTATCTATTCTTGTCTAACTAATGATTTATCTTATTTATATGTTGTGTAAAAATTAATAAACTTTAGAAAATTAATTCAAGTTTATATGATTTATCTTTTTTTGTAATAAAATATGTATGATGAACTCTCAAAACACCAAAGTTAGAGAGACAATTATATAATGAATGTAATATACTTTATTGTAATACAATATAGATAAAGATATTTGTTAGTTAAATTTAAATTAATTAAAAAAGAAAATAATTATAATTATATTATTCAAAGTTTATTGATAAATTCAAACTTTCGATTTAAATTTTAAAAAAAGCGCGCGCACTTTTACTTTTTTGTTAATTTTTAAAAAATATTGGGGATGTTTGTTTAGATGGAAGTTCGGCAAACCTTTGGTTGGAAGTGTTTTGTTTGTTGTAGGGTAAACTATAGGTGATTGGATGAATCGAATCGAATCGAATTTATACGATTGTAAAAATGATAATAATATTTGACAAAGTAATATAATGGGAAGTACTGTAGAAAAAAAAAATAAAGTGAAAATTATAGAGTAATAAATATATTGGTTGATTGATTAATATGTTGTGTGCTGTGCTAGTATTGTTATTTTTAAACCTGTTGATATCCATGGTAAGCAGTACCGGAAATCTTTCCACGAATAAACAAAACACCATCTGTAATCAAAGTTCCAAATCCTCTCCAGAAATCGATATTTGGGAAAATATTGGCACCTTCATGATGTCTAACCTTCCAATTAATAATGGTTCCAAATATTATATATGCAGCTGAAACCGAAAGTAAACTAAAATTATAATAATAAATTAGTTAGTTATTTTGCTTTTTGATAAAAACCATTTGTATATTAATTGATTGATTGGATTGATTGATTTGATTGATTGAATGATTGATTTGATTGTTGTCAAATTTGATATTTACATGATTACGAAAATCCAACCACCACCAAGTCCACCCTTCTTTGAAGACATGTGATTTCCACACGCAGCAGTGACGTTGATAATGACCTGACAGTTTCCGATCTCGGTGATCGATTGAACTGACTCCTCACCGGTGCAGAGAATGTTGATGGTAGTTTTACGCACATTATTTTGACCTCCACATGTGCTTCCGGTTTGATAATCAACGACACCACCGTCTTCATCGTCGGTTCTCGGTGAGATTTGGATCATATTTTGATTACCAAAGGTGTACATGGTTGGACGTGGTGCACAGACCGAGGACGGTTTCAATTGAACTGCTGAATCATTACAAAATTCATTTGAACTGCAAATACTGAAATGATATTTCGCTCCACTAGTTGAACCTGTTCCAGTCCAGTCCTTACTATAATAGATAATAATGAATAATAATAATGTATACAGAATTAGTCCTTTTTTTTACTTTTCTTTTTCTTATCTTTTGTTTCTTTTTTTTCAATCAATCTTACCCAGCCAACTTTGTGAAATTGTAGTAAACACCTGTATCTTCATTATTTAATTCACATGGATTTACAATTTGTGATTGAGCAATCAATGCAAACACTGAAAGAATAACGAAAAATAATGAAAATTTCCAATATGTCATTATTTTATTTTATTTATTTTATTTTATTCTATTAAATAAATTTATTTATGTGTATGTGTTTTGTTGGTTATAAGTTGGAGTGTAAAGAAAGACAAAGGACACAAAGATGATGGAGATGAGAAGAAAAAGAGAGAGAAGAATAGGAGTTATCTTGTTGATTAATGATTGTTCGATGAGTCTCATAAAGAAAAAATCCCAAACCAGACTCAAGAAAAAGTGAGTAAAAACTAAATATCAAAAAATAAAATATAAAAATAATGAAAAATAAAAAAATAATCGTACCATCGCACACGCTCTGATATCTTCGTTTTAGATAAAAGTAAAAAACTAAAAAACCAAAAAAGACACAATAGGTGGGGTGTAATTTTGATGTTTGAGGACCAAAACAACCTAGCCAATAGTGTGTGGGATCTTAACTTTTTTTCGCAGATAAATAATAAAGTTCTTTTGAAAATTTTCTAAATTTTTGTAAAGAAAATTCCGGAGACGTCTTCACTATTGCTGAAATATCAATTTTTTCGATTAATTTGTGGTGTTACATTACCACCCTAACCTTTCTCTCGAGTTTTAGCAAAACTTTGATTTCAAAGTGACGATGTTGATTTAAAAGACCCATTATTTGTTTAAAAACTAATCAATACAAGTGCTTGTTATTGATGGCATGATAAATAAATATATTAGGTTGGTTGTGAAAATGAAAATATCGATTTTATTAGGATAACAAAACATAAAGCATTGTCGACAATGCTCCTAAAGAGTTCCGATGCAATTTAAAATAGATGAGGCATTGGAAATGAACAACAACTTTTCTTTATAAAACAATTAGGAAATATCTCATTGTTGTTTAAAATAAAAAATAGTTATTTTGATTTCGATATTTTAGTAGTTTAAATTTAAAAAGATATATTTTTAAAGGTATCTTACTAAAATATCTATCAAAATATACTTTTTTAAGTGATACTCTTTATTGAGTAGTGACTTTATAAAAAATATATATTTATGTGGTATGTATACAATCTACATTGTTATAGAATTCTGTTTAATTAGTGATGAGTGAAAGTAATAGAATATTGTTTTTATAATTATATATTATATTTGTGTTTAGTTTATTTTATTTTATTTTGATTAAATCGTATAACAATTATATTTGCACTACTACATTTGAATTTTTGAAACCAAAGTAACAGACTTTTTAAAAATTAATAACTGTTCCGCCCTAAAAAAAATTTTCAAATTTGAAATTCAAAAAATGATGAACATGTAATTCTACCGGTTTGAAAAAATACTGTTAGAAGTTGTGATTTTAATTTAATGGATTTTGAGTGAGGCTCTTATGATTTATTTAATTCATCTAAAAGAGGAAAGGATAAATTAATATATAATATATATATTTATTGTATTTTGTTTGTTTTATTGTTTGTTCGTTCTTTGTAAATACTATTATTAATATTATATTATTATAAAATATATAATTATATAAATGTCTCTAAACTTTAATAATAATAATAATGCTAATATTAATAGTTGTATAAATTTTAATATATTTAATGATTTTGAAAATAATAATGAAGAAGAATCAAATTATAAAAATGATAAGAAATCAACAACAAATAGTAATAGTAAAATAATGATATCACCATTACTACTATCGAGTAAATCACCAAATATCAATTGGTCAAGTACCAATAAATCATCGAAAAAACTGTTGCAACAACAAACGAAACAAAAAAAATCAAATCCCTTCATTGGACCAAAGTCTACCGGCAAGATTCATTTCCCAGAATTTCCAGTTTCATGGACTGTTGTTCCGCCACCACAAACACACTCACAGGCATCCAAAGATGGATCTTCTTCTTCCTCTTCGAGACCATGCAGCAACAACTTGAATCCAAAGAATATATTTAATTTCTCAAAGCTAAATGAAAGTGCTGCCACCACCACCACCACTTCTACATCGATGTTGATGTCGCCATCCATCAGCTTGATGCCACCCACTACCAGTAGCACTGCCACACCCTCACAACAACTGAATACCAGTGCCATGAATATCTCGATGAACAGTTGCTATAGCACAGGAACCGGTTACAGTAGTTTTATGCAGTCTCCACCGAGTACACCATCGCTCTATATGGCATCTGCCACTCCGGTCTCTGGCAATGCAGTGGGATATGGCCGATTGGAATGGTCGATTGATACACTCTCCACACTCCTACCTGTAAATATTACCATTGACGAGACCACCGCCGATTGTGACCAAAATGACACTTCACTTGCTGGCGGTGACGACAACAACACATCACAACTGATCTCCTCACTTCAAAAGTGGAAACAAGAAGATGAATTGATAGCTAACCAATTCTTTGAGAAACCATCTCCATATGAAACTGTATCATCATCATCATCTTCAATTATTGTATGTATATTAACATCTATTAGTTATTGTTTTATATTTGTTACTAATCATTGAAATATTATAGTGCCAAAAGAGAAAGTTAACTGATAGTTTTATTGATTCCGACGCTGATGTCTCTGGAATTTCTATTGTAGAGGAGTGTGATCATCTAGTAAATCAATTAACAATTTCAAATAATAATAATTATAGTAGTAAAATAACATCAACAGCAACACAAAGATCAAGTTATGGTAAATATATTATAAAAAGAATACCAGTAGATATACAACCTCAGCAAACACAACAAACACAACAACAAACACAACAACAACAAATCTGTACATTATTAGATGATGACTTATTCCTTACACCAATAGTACCAAATAGAAAATTAACATCATTAACTCCTCAAACACCTTTAATTTTAAATAATAATAATAATAATAATAATAGTAATAATAATAATAATAATAATAACAATAATAACAATAATAATAATAATAGTATAGTATCACCATTTTTAATACCATCAACACCAACCAATGATATATCTAATATATCAAGTATATCATTGCCAACGACACCGACATCCACCACAACCAATAACAACAAATACAAGTTTAAGCAACCGAATATGCCAGTGATACCATTATCGTTACCAGAGATATCACCAATCAAATGTAAGCAGCCTGCAACCGATCGATATTTAAGTTCACCACCGACCTCTCCAATGAAGTGTTGGTCCACTCTATATAACGTCGATTATGATATATAAATAATCATAAGTAAAACAACAACAACAACAACAACAACAACAATAATAATAATAATAATATTATTATCAATGAATTGATACACAACATTTAATTATTAGTTGTATCAATCAATATATTTACAAATAAATAAAACTATTAAAAAATCCGTTGTTTTTTTTTTTTGTTAAAAAATCTAAAGTGTTGATGAATTTCATTTGATTCATAAGATAGTAAACTATATCTATTGAAATATTCATTCAATGAAAGAGAATAGAGGTGTGATCATTGATGAAGGTATAGATCAATGTTACTCATTGACATTTGCTAAGAAACAAAACAATGGTGTTGCATGGATATCAAAAGAACAATATATTAGATCCGATATCAAATGTGGTTATCCAAATTGTTTAATATGTAAAAGTAGTAGTAGTAGTAATAGTGATAATAACAATAATAATAGTAAAAAGGATAAAGACAGTAAAGATAATAAAGATAGTAGTAGTAATAATAGTGTACAATATATAATAATACCAGATATAGATAGTATAATAAATTATTTAGAGATATTCGAATTACAAGAGGTAATAGATAGACATTTCATTGTGATAGTAGAGACAGTGTATAGATATGTACAGTATAATAGTGGTCCAAAGTACTTTGAACGTCTCAAACAACTGATAAACAACAACAGAGCAATCTACTTTACCAACGAACTCTTCACAGAAACATCAATTGAGAAACAACAAAACGAATCATTACACCAGTTCAATATCAGAAGATTGATAGCCGCTACACAATGGTATAGTAATCATCTACAACAACAGCAACAGCAACAACAACAACAACAATCAAAGACAATTAGTAAATTATCAGTTATATTTATAACATTGAATAAGTTAGAGAATGAAAGTAGTTATCATCAATATGATAAAAAGAGTGGTAGTGGTGGTGGTGGTGGTTCAACTGTAAAAGATGGATATTTAACATTGTCTAGTTATTTGACTATGCTTGGTATTGTCACTGCTTCGGAGTTGTACGATACTCTTTGTCTAAGTTTGACGTTGACTGGTGAGACTTTGAGTGGTGGCGGCGGCAGTGGTGGAAACGACAGTCAGTTCTATGAGAGATATTGGAATGACGATATCATGCAGGTGGAGTTGAAGTCTGGAAATATTATTGCTGGTAAATTGCATATCAATCAGTACAGTCGTGATCAAGCGTTTGTACAGTTGCCTGCCGATAGTATTTTTGCTACAAAGATGGCTGGACAAGACAAGATCATGATAGTCGGAAGGAAGAACATCAACAGAGCGATACACGGTGACAAAGTTGGAATTGCATTGTTACCACCTGACCAATGGATAAGCAACGAGAGTGACTCTTCCATGTTGAGGGATGACATTACCGAGCAAATACAGAGTGATCAAGTCACTGCTATCGCCGCTGATGAGGAGCAACAAACAGCCGGACAAACAGCCGGACAAACAACAGGAAAAACAACAGGGGATAATGGTAATAAGCTGATAACTGGTAAAGTTGTTGGTATATTTCAAAGAAATTGGAGGGATTATGTTGCTACAATAGAGAAGGGTGCATCGGTTGCCTCTAATTATGTTATGGTGGTTCCGCTCGATAAGAGGATACCCCTGATTCACGTGCCAACCAGGAATGCAGTAAACTATGTGGGGAAGAGGTTGGTTGTTAGATTGGATCGTTGGGAGTTGGGAAGCAGTCATCCTTCGGGTCATATTGTCAAGGCGTTGGGTACAACCGGGGATCTCGAGACAGAGTTGCTCTCGCTCATCAATGAGCACGAAGTCGCTCTGCCAAAGTGGACACCGCAACTGCTGGAGGGACTGCCTTCGCCCGGTTGGAAAGTGCCGGACGCCGAGCGGAAATACCGTCGTTCCATTGTGACGAGTCATCGCACTATGAGCATAGATCCACTGGGTTCAAAGGATATTGACGACGCCATCTCGCTTGGCTATCTCGCCAACAATCGCATTGAGATCGGTGTACACATTGCCGATGTCAGCTTCTTTGTTCTCGACGGCACCAAACTCGATGAGGAGGCAGCACGTCGTGGAACCACGCTTTATCTGCCCGATCGTAGATTCGACATGTTGCCTGCGATTCTCAGTGAGGACGTCTGCTCGCTCGTCGGTGGACAAGAGCGTTGCGCCATGAGTGTCATCTGGACGGTCAACCTCAACAACATGACCATTGAATCGACTTGGTTCGGAAGGACTATTATCTTCTCCAGTGCGGAGCTTCACTATCAACTGGCGCAGGATATCATCGATGGCCGAGTCAAGCAGGGCATGGACAAAGACGACGATGTTACCGGTGGAGGATTGAACGCCGGCTACAAGCGTCGTGTCTATAACGACACAAAGATAGAGGAGCTGAGAAACGATCTACTGGTACTAAGAAACTTTTATAGAGTCATGAGAAAGCAGAGAGAGATGAGCGGTGGTTTAGACTTGGAGTCAATAGAGGTTCGTTTCAAATTCAACCAGAACGATAAAACACAGCCCGATAAGATCGTATTGAAGAACGACCTCGAGGTTCATTCTCTCGTTGCCGAGTATATGATCTTAGCGAACGCATCTGTCGGTACGAAAATCCATTCACACTATCCTGGTGGTGCATTACTTCGCAGACATCCAAAACCAAATCAACTTGGATTTCAATCATTAAGAGAGTTATTTGATTTATGTGTATGTTTTGTTTTTATATTCATCTATCAATAGCTAACTAACAAACTAACATTCGTTTATATACTAGGGATTTAAATTGGAAACAGATACCAACAAAGATTTAGCAAGTTCATTGAATAATGCTGTCGATGGAGATGATCCATTTACGAATACAATTATACGTTTGAAAACAGTTAATATTTTATCGGAAGCAATGTATGTATATATGAAATTAATGCTATTTGTTAAATACATTTATACTAACCATTTGTTGATGTTTTATAAATTACTAGTTACTTCTCAACAGGTTCATTAAATGTTATTGAATATTATCATTATGGTTTGGCTTTGGAGAAGTATACACATTTCACTTCACCCATTAGACGTTATGCCGATATTATTGTGCATCGTCAGTTGTGGGATGCCATTAACAACGTTAGAAACGACAAGTATCAAGATCACTCAGTTTCAAAGCTGGCTGCTCACCTAAATGTACGGCATCGTGCCGCCAAGACACTGCAGCGTGATGCCACACAGATGTTCCAGTCACTCTACTTTAAGCATCATCCAAAGCGCTCGGTTGAGGCAATCATCACCGATATCCGTTCGAATTCGATCGTTGTCTACGTACCAGAGTTTGGACTGCGCGATCGTATCTACCTGGTGACCAAAGACAACGAGTACATCACACCGGCCCAATGGAAAGAGTCACGTGGTGACATCACCAACATCAAGTTCAGTCCGCTCGACATTGAAGTTAGATTCACAAAGGAGCGAGATACTATCAAACTGCAGGTGTTCGATCATGTACTGGTCGATATCACAACGCAACAGGATGAATATCACATCCCGCCAGTCAAGATGGAGCTGATACAACAGATGGAGAGAAAACAACGCAATCGACAAATCAAGGGTGAAATGATGAACAATAAGAAGTTGATAGATCAAATCAAGACGAAACAAGACGATAAGAACGATAAGGATAAGGATAAAACAACCGCAGATATCTACGGACAGATCAATGCAATCGACGCCATTGTCATTCCATCTAAATCAGCCGGTGGTAAAGAGCAACAATCGATCTACGATTTAATCAATAAGTTTTCAGTTGGATTACAAATCATTGAGGAACATGGTGGTACTAAAATTAACTATTCCAAAGGTAAACAACAACAACAACAACAACAACAACAACAACAACAACAACAAGCAACATCTATTGAATCAAATACTACTTCAACTAATCAACAAAAATCAACAACAACAACATCCAATAATAATGAAGTATTAAAACTATGGTCAATGAACGATAAACAAATTAAAGACTATAGAACAAAGACAGATCGTGCAGTTCGTGATGCTATCAGTAATAAATATAAAATGATGAATAAGATGATCGGAATAGAAGAGGAGGAAGACAACGAAAAGATCGCACCAACTCAGACTGTTAAAGAGAAATATCAAGATATTATTAATAAGACAGAGCAAAACTTTGCAAAACTACAAAGAGATATTTATAAAAGTAGAAAATAAAGATTAATAATAACTAAAATAAAACTAAATTCACAAGTTTTAAATTATTAAAAAATAATGTATTATTATTGTCAATCACTTTCAAACTTAATTCATCGAGTTTATAAAACTGAATTAGAATTATTGATGATCACCATCAAAAACACACTTTGATAGTTGTTTATTTTTTATTGTATTAAACAAACGTTCTTCAAACCAATAAAATAATTAGTTTATAATAATAATTATTTTTAAATAATAATAATAAATATATATTGTTATATAACAACAAATAAATATAGATTCATACCTTAGTACTGTTATTAATCTATTTTCTATACTTATATATATAGATTATTATTATTTATTATTATTATTATTATTATAAATTAATTGTTTTTTTATATTTTGTTAGAATTATAAAGATAAAATGGAAGATAAACATCAAGATATCATTGATAATAATACAGTTGTTGAAACAGCAACAGAAGTATCAACAAAAACAACAACAACAGGAACAACCACAGGAACAAAACCAGAATATGACAAAAACAAAGATTATGCTAATGATCCAACACTACCTGAGCTCATCGTAAAAGATTATATGCATTTGTTGGAACCATTCATGCAACCTCCAGAATCACCAACATCTCGTGTATTCAAAGCTGTATTTATACCTTATCAGGCTTATCAACCACTTATCGATATCTATGTACAACAAAAAGATTTAGATTCACAGTAAGTATATATATATTCAATGTATTTTATAAATATATTGATCAACTTATATATATATATTATTTATTAGAGCAATGAAAATGTTCAAATATCATGGAGTTTGTAGAAAGTATTTGAGTAAGAAAGATGAATCGTTTCTCTTCTTTCAAGATCTACACAAGAAACCAGACGCTAGATACAATTTCCTATTCAATGATAGAGCCTCTGACTTGATGAGACCAAGACGTATTTTCTCTGGTCATGCTATCTTGGTTCGTACATCCATGAACAAAGAGAAATCTTGGATAGATTATCATGATATCACTGCGGCTGAGCTTGAAAAAGTCATGAGATTCCTCAAACTTGGTACCTACTATGATTTCCTCAACAATCTTCGTGGTACCAATGATATATTATCTACCATTCTCTGGCCAGATTCCATAGTTTATTCAAAAACTGTAAGTTATTGTCAACTACAACAATAATCATTTCATCTTTTATTTACCTTTTTGTTGTTGTTGTTGTTGTATCTCAAACTTAGAATTGGACATTTGAGAAAACACCATTGGCAATATTGAATGAATATCTCTGTTGGGTTGGTAAGGCGGTATTTCAACCGGTGAAGATTGACTTTAAGAAGAATGGACCGTTCAGTTGTTTGTATACGATCAACGATGTCACTCCACCAAAGACACTGGCATCCGGTATTCATGCGCAAGTGAAGAAAGCACAGATGGATTTGGCACATCGTGTGTTGGTGTGGTATCAATCGAGACAGATTGCACTGCTCTCCGACAAGGAGTTCATCGATGACGATACGAGTTACGAGGAGTTCGAAGAGGCACAGGATGCATTCCTAAATGAACATGCAAGCCAAACAGCAGCCAAAGCACAATCGTCGGAATCGGAATCACAATCGTCGGAATCTAAAAACGCTGGTGATAGTGGTGACGGAGTAGACAAAGCAACGGAATCACTTAAAACCAAAGGTGTTATTTCAACTCCTCTTGTTGATTACTTTCCTCCAACGTTTGTCGCTTGTGACAATTATCATTTGGTTTTCGACAAGTACAAACTGCCATTCGATTGTGATATAACCCATTTGGCACCGGAAGGAAAAGTAGTTAAATATGAAATACAACCTGGTGTCAATGAACCACCTGATTTTGGATCAAAAGTATTTGGTATGTTTTATTTTAATATATAAGTTATTTACAATTGTTAACATGTTTAAACAATATGAATTTATTATAATACATTCAGTGTTAGTTCGTACTTATTTACCTGATGGAACATGTTTGGATGATAATTCAAAGACAATGATGTTTGAACTTGGTTTACAAGGTTGTATCATGGGTTTGGAGATGGCTCTTTTCAGTATGAAGATGAAGGAGAAATGTTTGGTTTCGATCGATCCCGAGTATGGCTATGGAAAGCTGGGTGCACCACCTTTAGTTCCACCCAATACACCTATTATCTACTATCTTGAGAATACCGACATTCAATACAGAGTACTTCCATCACATCAGGTCATCAATACCTATTCAGTTGAACAACGTCTAGAGAGTGTATCACAACTTCGTGAACAAGCTAAATCTGCATATGCACGTAGACAATTTGGAAAATGTTTAAAGATGTATAAAAGTGTATGTATTATGTTATTTCATTGATCAACATTGTTGTTTGTTTTATATTAATTAATCATTCAATAATATTTTATTTATTATAATAAAGGCATTAAGATATATAAGTCTTGATTCTTTACCGAATTGTAGTCAAAGTGAATGGGAATCATTGAATGAACATGGTGCTCGTATCTGTACGAATCTCGCCATTACTTATTCTATGATTAAACCACCCATTTGGGAGAGAACCAGAGACTATTGTATACAGGCACTAGAGTATGTCGAAGAAGACTCCAAGGCACTGTATTGGCTAGCCAGATCATACTTGACGATCCTTGACCTCGAGAATGCAACCAAGACAATTGACAAGGCAATCGAATTCGGTGACGACGATTTAATGGCTGCTTTGCTTCAACTGCAAAAACAAATTCAGAGAGAAGTTGCCAATGATCTGGCAAAGGAAAAGAACGTCTACAAAACAATGTTCAACAAATTTTCAGAGGAACAGCAAATGTATGAAGAAAAGAAGAAGAATAATAATAATACTACCTTCACTATTCCAAACGAAGAGATTGACAATGATCATATCAATCCGTATGGATGTGATTATATCAGTGATTCAGATGATGATAATGATAATGAAAAATAACTTTTGAATACTATTAAATTCTAGAAATAAAGCATTAAATCAAATATTTCTATTCGCTAATCTTTTAACTTCTACAGAGCTATGAGTGACAAGATGTAATAAAAGATATAATACAAAAAGGATAAAATTCTGATGTTTAATAAAAATGTCAGTTGATTCAAAACTTTTTTCGTTATGTTTAAGGTTTATTTATTTTCGGTGATTTGATCTTTCATTTTGAATTCCCCAATCTTTTATCATGCTTACACCAGCTCTTTTTGATCTGATATTTGAAAATAAATAGTAAAGCATTGACAGTACGCAGAGGAAACCAATACTTGAAATGATTGCTCCAACTGAGAAAGAACTATTATCTAGAGCTCTTGAGTTGAATACCATTGCACATATACATAATACCAAACCGAAATGAGTTTCCAAGTCGTTTAAACTTTTTTCTTTGTATGGAGAAAACAGCCAATTGATACAAGTGAAAAACAATCCAAATGTTGACAAGATCAATGCTTTCGTATTGATATGATAGATTGTTGTAATGGTGGTGCATACAAAACAAAGCGATCTGGCAATGAGAATGAGGTCCCAAAACTGAAATCCTGGTCGATATTTCTTGCAAAAGTTTTTCAAATAGTAGCGATTCTGTCTTCTCCATTGAACAAAGATAAAGAGAGGAGCTCCAATTAAAATGAAAACGATAACCGCTATGGCAATTCCAAACATTGGGTAGTGGGTATTCGTAAAGCACTTCACACTTACATCCGTTGAGAGGACATATTCATCACCGATCTTGTAGCAAGAAACCAAGCTGAGTGAAATGAATGCCAACGGTGTATAGATTGTAAGAATTTGGCTGAATACTATATAAAACCATTCGTTGTTGAATCGATTTTCAACGATATAATGACTGAATCTTCCAAATATAGCGAGAGCCAAATCTTTTCCAATGGTGAGATAGGAGCATAGTGTAGTGACCAAGAATAAAAGGACAAACGACAGTGCTTTCTTCCAAATATAGTTGAGTTGGTTGGATAAACAGGTGGTAGGATAGTAATCTACATCGAAATTGAAAAGCGGTAGAATGAGAACATATCTAATGTCAAACGAGATGACACCAACAACTTGAATGCAATTCAAGAAATTGAGAATGGCCGTTGCAGATGGCAGTCGATAGAGTGTCATTAACAGGATATAAATGAAAAAGAATACGACCAATCCAGAAACCAAATAGTAATTGATATTGTCGGGACAGTACTCACAGTACACCTTAACTTTTGTATAGCCAGAAACACAGTCATTACAAAGTGTACCGGTTTGGTGTTCACGACATTTTCCTAGTTGACAGATATACGGTTCACAACCATAGACCTTGGCTGGATAGCTATCAGGAAGAATCCACCAACCGGCCATAGCAGAAATTTGTGTTCCACCTGCACAAATTACTTGTGATGTCTGGTAATACTTGCAACTATAGCAACTCTTACCATCCCAGCCATAGGAGCCAGTCGGACACTGTGTACATGCGTTATCATTTGGACTTGGCATGTAACCTGGTTCACATTGAGTTATATTGATCGAAAAAGTTCCAATAAAACCGTTTGTCGAGTTGGCAACAAAGTTTAATTCAGTTCCAACTGGTAAATCCAAAGTAAACGTTTGGGTAAAGAATCCTTGTAGTGTGCTTGGTATAGTAAATGTTTGAAAGCGAATTCCATTCGCCAGATATAAATCCAATGTTATCGATATTGGTGAGCTTAACAAAAGAATCGATTGCTCATAGTAATCATATTCGCTAACAGCAATAATAAAACTTGTGTTTGGATGAATTTTGTCATAGTTTAAAAGTGTAATAGACATTCCAACAGGACCTAACATAATTATAATAATAATAAGTAGAAATAATGTAAATAAATTTGTTTGGTTTAATGATTTTCGATGTTTTAACAAATATTAACTTACTTGATGATATATATTTTCCATATCCATTGATAACACTATTATCGATGAATCTGTTTTTTAATATCGGTGTATAGGTACAAGGATTTAGATCAGTACAATTTCCAATGTAACATGTAGGTTGATTGGTAAAACAGACTGCGCCAGAACCGACAATAACTTGGTTTTCTTCAAACAATGAGTTGGCAAAGAGCGATGTCGAATCAATGTTGGTTATAATACCACCACTATTGGATGCATAGTTTTGCTTGAAGATGTTGTTGATCGCCCAAAGTACAGAGTTGACAACAAGAAAGACACCTCCGCTATTTGGATATTCCGTGTAGAGTATGTGTGAACCTGGTGCAGCAACACGATTGGCGTAGTTGTTTTTGAATTGGCAGTCGCTAATCACGACTTGGTCGCAATTGGCAAACAGCGCGATCGTACCGGATGCACCCTCCATATCGAAGAAAGAGGAACCGACAATATCGATCGGTGTCGTTTTGTTGAGAATCAGTAGACTCGACGAAAGAAGGAGCGATTTGAATGTTGAGTTTCGAATGAGCAGACTACCTTGCGAAGTAGATAGAACCGATATGATATTATCGAAGATCTCAGCTCTAAATTCAGAGTCTATTATCTCGATCGACGAGAATACACCGTGAATCAACGATGGTTGATGTGGAGTGCCATTGTCAACGAAAGTGGTATTTTCCATTTTCAATTTCGTATAGGTTACATCAATAAGAACTTCGTCCTGAATGTTTTCAGTGAACAGAGAGTTTATGATACGTGCGGTGGCAGCACCCGTTTTGATTGTACCTTGGTTCTGATGATAACGAACGTTGTTAATGTACAGTTTGCCACTGTCGATAACAGAGATGAACGGATAGAACAAATAGATATTCGAGTATATAGTGCTGTTGACTAGATATAGATGGCTGCTTATCATATCGATTCCAGTCAGATCGCTTTGTGTATTAAAGATCTCACAATTGTAGATTCTAATGATTGATCGAAGTCCAGCCATAATATTTGTATATGGACTTGTAATGTTGCTGAATATACAATTGTCAAACTCTGCTGAACTCTGTCTGAAATACATCATGATTTCACCGGTTTGAATATTTTGGAACTTACAGTGTTTGAACAAAAAGTTGGAATAATTGATGGATCCCACAGAGTATTGGTAGGATGCTAAGTCCATAAATGTAGTGCCTACAATGGTAACGGATGAATCTTTGGCAAAGATTCCACCGGATGGATTCGAAGAGTTGTAAACACAATCGAGGAACGTTCCATTGGATCCGACAATGTTGAACGTCTTTAATTGCCTGTTATCAGTGGAATAGATATTATCCCAGACTGAATTGTGGAGGTTGAATCTTGAGTTTATCAAACTTATTGCTTGAGTTGAAGATTGAAAGTAAGATTCACTTAATGTTATCTGTGAACTCTCAACGACAATCGGGAAGGTAGTTGCCAAGAATAGACCAAACGTTTGGATATTGACTAGAGTGGCAATAGAGTTGTCAATGATAGTGATCATCTGTCCGATATTACAAAAGTAGAACTGCAGTGAAACCATTGATACTCGTAGTCCGTTCTCAATCTTGATGAGATGGAAATTGTTGTTGGTGTCAAATTGGGTTCGACTGATCTCAACAGAGAGTGGCTGTTGGAATATCATAAAGGGAGAAGGCAGATAGTCTGGACAATAGTTCTTACTGACAATGCATCCCACAATCTTTATGAGAGACATGAATGACGATAGCAATGGCGATTGATTATTGAGTATCGTTGATTGCGTCATGGTTATCGACGAGCTCGATGAACTGATAAGCGATGCCACCTTGGTGTTGTTCGATATCGTGATGTTGTGCATTATCAACGATGAGTTGTTAATGATATTGATAAGCGGACAGCTGTTATTTATGAAAATGGTGTCGACAAGAGTAACCGGAAAGTAGGAATTCGTTTGGATACTGATCAACGGTATCAACGTCGTTGTCTGTGGTATACTTGTAAACAATGATTTGGAAATGGTGGTAATTCCGATACCCTCGTTCAACGCAATGATACCGGGTGCCTTTAACTGATAGAATACAGAGCTTTCAAACAAAACATTCTTGATATTGTGTAGCATGATTCGATAGATTGTTTGATTGAATGTGCAGTTAATAAACTCAATGCTATTGCCATTGTCGATTGTATCGGGAACTTCATCGTCAGTCCAAACCTGATCGAACGTTGCATTGGCAACAGAGATCGAATCGAATGCAACACCCAGAAATACGTTGGAAGTCGTTTCGAAAATGGTGTTGCTAATCGTTAGATTTAGGTTTTGATTGATGGCGATGAATATGTAGCCGAAATTACTAGAGGTGATGGTACAGTTGTCAAACGAAGCAGAGTAGGCACGCAGATAGAATACCGATGCCATATTGAGAAGGAACGATGAATTGTAGATTGCAACACGACATGTAAAGTGAGTGGATATCACAGTTGCATTGACACCATCACCCATGAATTGTTTGATAGCGTTCAACTCGATCGCTGTGTCAGGACCGAGCGTGAATATCGCCGCCTGTCTGTAGTTATATGATATACCATCTTCCAATCTCAAATAACTGAACTTCAATGTTGTATTGGGACCGGTGACAATCATCATCGGATAGGTAAATCCAATGGCAATGGACTGCTCAGTTTCACCGAGCGATGTGACAGTTAGATTTTTCGATAGATTATCCATAGCATAGACGGTTGCTTTGTTCGCCTTGTACAGAGGATATGTATCGTTCAAGTAGATAGTATAGCCAGACGATATCGATGCAATCGCACGTTGTAAACTACAAAATGGATTATCTATACTACCACTACCACTAATATCATTACCCACTGTAGAAACATAAATATCATTCTCTAGAAAAAAAAAAAAACAACATCCGTCAGTTAGTCATCAAACAATACACTACTATTATTACTATTAATCAATAACATACCAATTAAAACAGTTGGAACTGATACTAATGAAATGTAATCAACGATGAACTGATAGGTTTGTAGTTGATTTTTCAGTGTTGATGGTTTATAATTGAAACGTAATATATATGTGCTACCATTTGCAAATTGAGTGACATTGATTGTAACTAAATGATATTGATCTAATGAATAATTTGATGGAAACAGTTCTCCAATGATACTATCATTTAATTTAATTGTTAAAATTGGTTGATCTATATCATCATTATAATTATTATTATTGCTATTATTATTATTATAATTTTGATTGTTATCACTACTACTACTATTATTATTTGTATTATTAATTTGATTTATCTGTAAATAGAAACGAAGTAAATGTTGATTGTATATGGTTGTGTAATTTATATTTGCAAACTTTATAGGTAGTGATTCTAAAAGATGTGATTGGTTTTGAAAGAGTGCATATGCTACACCTTCGTAGGCGACATTGTTTTCCGGTAATGAAGCACTGTAATCGAAATCATTTGATCCATTAAACTGTGAAATGATTGCACTTTCCGATAAGTTTGACCATCCTTTCTTCCAGCCATTCTCTAGATCACCTCTATAAAGATCTGATTGCCATTCATCAGGTATTTGATTTGTACATATTAAAATTTTATTAAAATTATCTATATTATTATTATTATAAATTGGTGTGGTTTGTTCAAGTTGTTTTAGTTGTTGTTGTTGTTGTTGTAATAAAAAATCAAAAGAGTTGTGTTGGTAATTGTGTTGGTGGTGATTGTTGTATTGCGAATCTTTAAAATTATCACATGAAACAATTTGTAAAAGATTTATAAATAAAAATATATATGTAAATATTCTAACTAAATTATGGTTATTCATTTTTGTATTCTTTATTTCTATTTTATTTGTTCATTTTATTAAATTGTTTTAGTATACATTAATTATAAATTTATTATTGAATGATCTGCAAGCGCAATGTTATTGTTATTTTTAATCATAGAAAAAAAAACTGTGACGGATTTTTACAAAAAAATCTTTATCTTAAATCAGATAGATATTTTTTTGTTTTTTGGAATTCGAGGAGGAGGGATGTATAGACAAGAACACACTTTAAATTTATTCTAATAACGGTTAATAACAGGTGTGGCAACAGAACTTTTGGTCACTCGACAGTTTCTTGCAGTCTTTAACTTTAACGGGACATTTGAAAGTACATAGAGGCACATACCCAGGATTCTTTAATCCTTGTGAACAAACTATACCCACAATAATTAATATTATATATAAACAAATTATTATTTTAGATTTCATCATTATTATATATATTCTCGATTTAGAAATTTAAATAAGTATATTTTTTTTTTATTATATTATTTGTTATAAGCAATGTTTTTTTTTGTTTTTTTTTATAGTCAATTGACTACCCTCATTATTTATTAGATTACAAAAAATACTAGCTAGCTAGTTTTGAATTGAAGCATTACAAAGTAAATAGTAAATAAAAAAAAGAATACAATAATCTCCAAATAAACTAATCATTAATATTATGGCGAAATCGATCGGTATGTTCACTTGAACCCACTCGATTTTATCGTCAAAACATTCTCAAAAGATTGTGGATTAGTTTATTTGTAATTGATTTTCGATAACAAAATAGATTAATACCTTTTATCGATCAAGATTAATATTTAAACTAGTTAACTATATTCAATATTTAAATCGTCTTACACCTTTTGTTTATTGTCATTCAATCATTGTGATTTGATCACAAATTGTGGAATACAGATAAAGAAAGTCAATGTCAATTGTAGAATTTATGTTTAAATTTATGTTTCTCTCTAACTTCTTCTGCATTAGTGTGTCTTAAAGTCATTAGAGAGATTGAGTGATCGTGTAAGTTGGTTTAAATTATTAGAGCTTGCAAAAAATAAATTTAAAGTTGATTATTATGATTGTAGCTAAAGTTCATTTATATAAAAAAGTTAAGGGAAAAAAAAAATCATTATCACACGTTCTGTTTAATCCAATACTTTTTAGGAAAGTAAAGAAGTCCAGAAACAATATAAATTTTGTTAGTTTTCTAATTTATTATTATTTTTTATGAAATATGATCGATCATTTTTGTTGTATTTATTATTTTGAAAGATGTGCCAATTCAGAAGCACCACTCTCCCAATTTTGACCGTCGAATGGCTTGACAGTGTATTTAGAGAGATCAAAGTTGTCAAGTGTTCTTATGTTTACATCGACACCATCTGGATTACTTCTTGGAATGTAATGAGTGCAAATACCACAGACACTGCAAAAATAATGTTGTGCTACGTGTGTATTGAATGTATAAGTTGTTATCTTTTCCTTTCCTTGCAAAAGTTTGAATTTACTGTTTGGTACAATGAAGTGAACTGTGATTTTATAAAAATAACATATATTGCCATTAGAATATTATCCATCATTACATTGACATCAATAATCAACCAACCTTCAACCTCAACACACCACACTGACTCATTCTTAACTTTTGTTATTATGATTCATACTTATTCCTTTCTTTGTACAGATTGAACAGTTACAATCAACCACTTCAATTTGCTCTGGTGTTTGAACACTGTATCTTACTTGACCACAATGACATCCTCCAAATTGTTCTATTAAATCGCTCATTTCTTATGAATTAAAATTATATGTATAATATGATTATTTACTCTTTTGCAAAAGAATCAGAATAAAGTACAAGATGCAAAACAAACAACGAATAAAATACTGAATGCAATAACTATCTTAGGTTACAATTTAAGATATTAAAAAAAAAAAAAAAAAAAACAAATCAAATACCACCTTGAGAATTTATGAATGCTTAATCAAGGCAGTTGTAAGATTCACCATTTTCTTATCTTTTTAACAAAAAAATAAGACATGTTTTGACCAACAACCACAGAAATTTAGACAACAATGAATCACAATAAAATTACTTATTTTGGAACTATTTTTAAAAATTGTTTTTTTTTTTTTTTTTGACAATTGCATTGTCGTCCAATTTGAAGTTCGCTTTTATCATGTCTGAAGAAGTTATCGGAATCATTCAATAATAGTTGTAGTAGTAGTCGTTAGTAGTTACCATTAATGATGATTCATAAACAACTAGATGAATCAACAGAAAATCAAATAGTAACAACAACAACATCTATTTCAAATCAAATAACAACAACATCAACCAATACAACAACTAATACAACGATAAATACTACACCAATAACAACATTAAATAGTAATCATATAGAACCATTATCATTATCGACGGTTGACTCGAGTGTAAATACAGTACAAATGTACAATCGAACAACATCAAAGTCATCTTCTTCACCTCTAACTATAACTAAATATCTGGTGTATCTGTCTATTGTAATTGCGATTGGTGCCTATCTTTTCTTTACTGGATTCCTTTTGATTCGGTTCGAACTTCCTCTGAAGAGTCAATGTTCAGTGTCACCACTACCTTCACCGAATAGATTCGTCGATCTGATTCATCAGTCATCGTCGACCAACAGAAATGTAGATAAAGGATGTTGGATGCCGCCAACCTATAGAAAAGCGGTAATAGTCGTTATCGATGCACTGCGATTCGACTTTGTACAGAAACAATCACCGAATGCACAGAATCTATCGCCGTACTTCCACAACCATTTGAACAACCTGACCAGTCTGCTAGAAACCAAGAAATCCAATAGTATTCTCTATAAATTCATGGCCGATTCGCCAACGGTCACAATGCAGAGAATCAAAGGTATCACCACTGGTTCGCTGCCGACGTTCATCGATGTCGGTTCCAACTTTGGTGGCGATGCAATCGTCGAAGACAATCTCATTCATCAGCTATCGTTCCACGATAACCACAATCATAAACACGATGTCAAAGACAGAAACAATGAAATCGATGGTCTGCGAAAGAAAGTAGTTTTCATCGGGGATGATACATGGGTATCGTTGTTTCCCAATCATTTCTACTCACAGTATCCATTCCCATCGTTCAACGTCAAGGATTTGCACACCGTTGACAATGGTGTAATCGATAATCTCTTACCGACCATCACAAGAATGCAAACCGATAAAGATGGTTCAGATTCATGGCATATTGCAATCGGTCATCTCCTGGGTGTCGATCATGTCGGTCATCTTCACGGACCATATCATCCTGAAATGATAAAGAAATTAACTCAAATGGATGAATTTCTATTATCTGTATGTAAAGAGAGAGAGAAAAGGAAAGATTATCATAGTTACTAATCATACATTCAACAATATATATATAGATTATTAATAATATAGATAATGATACATTGTTTGTTTTGTTGGGTGATCATGGTATGACACCGGATGGAAATCATGGTGGATCTTCACCGGAGGAAATGGAAGCTGCGCTTTTCATGTACTCACCAGGACATCCAATAAACTCTGATCTACCGGCGCAATTTCGGTTTGGAGATCAACATGGTGTCAAAAATGTTAGTCAAATCGATTTGGTTTCAACACTTTCACTGTTGTTGGGTGTCCCCATACCCTACGGTAATCTGGGTGCTGTCATTCCAGAGTTGTTCTTGGGTGTCGATGATCATCAGCAATCGAGTAGCACCGTGCATCCGGGATGGTATCGTTTGATCGATGCACAACGAATCAATGCATGGCAAATCAAACGATACCTAGAGAGCTACTCACAGGTCAGTAAGGAATTTCCTGTTTCCATCCTGAAGCACTACAATCAATTGATGGATCGTGCAGAACAAGATTATTCTCAACTGAAAGCTGATGATACCTCTAATTTCTATGAGGTTTACCGTCAGTATCGCCAGTTCCAAGAGGAAGTAGTCGTGCTGTGCAGAGAAATATGGGCAACTTTCGACACATTTGCTATGATGGCTGGATTGTCTATCATGTCGGTTGCGCTTGTAACCATACTGGTGTTTATCTATGTCCTGGCACTCTCTAATTCCACCGATAGCTATCCAATGTTTCCAGCCGGTCGTATATTTATCTATTCCATGGTCGGTGCAATCCTGTCGATTCCAAGCTATCTGGTGTTGCACCTCTCGCTCGTGCAAGAACATTCCTTTGTCATTACATTGATAACCAGTACAGCGATTGTATCAATGATTGGAATGATATCATCGTTAACATCAAACACCAACGTTGCTTCACTCAATCCACTGAAGTACATCGATTTGAATACCGTCAGATCGATAGTATCACAGCTACCATTTAGCATCATGTTTTTACTACCACTCCTCTCGATTATCTTACATGGAGTATCACAAAGTTCCAATAGTTTCATAGAGTCACAACAGAATGTCGTATATTTCTTCTCGTTGACCTCGCTATTGATCGCAATGATGCTCCTCTACCAATGTAAACAGCGGTGGGGCGCCGCCGAGACATTGGAATGTGTAATCATTCTGCTGTCACTCTATTTCACATCGCCTGGTTTCAGAGCCGAGCAGTTCTCATCGTACTTTCTTTTCGATTCCGGCAACAACAATCTAAACACACAGCAAGTGTCGCTGTCAGCACAGATTCTCAATACATTCATTCAATGGAGTTGGTGCGTTCCCATTCTCTACTTCTTCACCGCCGAGCTGACTTACCGCCTCGAACGATACTTTAAAGTCTCACTTGGATTCACTCATACTCTGTCATGGTGGAATCTGATATGCGTTGCACTCTACTTTTATAGCTTCTCTATTGGTCCTCTGGAGCGTGCAACCAACTTTATCTTTAGGGTGTTGACGCCGTGGGCAGTCTATACTCTTACTATAGTTGGCATCTTGAAATCACTGCTAAGCAACAACAGCGCCACTCTCGATGCAACCAAGTTGATATTCTTCAAGCTCATAGAAATAGTGATGCCGTTGTTTGGTGTGTTGGCGCTGTTGTTGGGACCGTCGGTGCTTCCCTCGTTGACATGGATAGTGATACACACGTCGCTCATCACCCGATTGATGGGAGAACTGATGCAACATCGACCGTCGACACCCTACAAAATCGGTATCTTCTGGCTGCTTACCTGTTCACTCTTTGGATTCCTTTCGATTCTCCACTTCTTTAGCACTGGACACGAGTATCAGTTCAACAAGATTCAATTCGATGCTGCGACCATCGGTTTTGAAGAACATGTAATGTGGCGTGACGGTCTCCTAGTGATTCTCAATACTTTTGCATCGCCTATTTTCTTTGCGCTATTCCTACCGATCTATATTATCTACTCTTTACATCTTGTACATCAACCAATCGTTGCCAAAGTATCACCACCTGCATCACCTATAGATAGTTTTAGTGTATTAAATCATAATGAAAACAATACTAATAATACAACAACAACAACTACATCATCAACAACTAAAAACAACTTCAAACCAGACAACTCTAGTAACAAATCACTACGATCTATATTAATCGGATATTTATTATATTTAATATTCTTTTTGTTCAATACCATCAATATTTGTATTAGTGTTTATATGCTTAGACGTCATCTAATGGTTTGGAGAGTCTTTGCACCAAAGTATCTGTTTGAAACTGTCCAACTACTGATAGTTATGCTATTTCTAGTTATTTCGAGTTTATTGATAACTTGTATTAAATCAAAAATAAAGAATTAATATAAATTAACAATAAAGTAAAAAGTGTTATTACATACAATCTAAATACAAAACCTAAAACAGATTTCTCTCTCTCTCTATTTATATTATTATTATTTATAACATCTTTTTTGTGGTCATCAAACTTATGAATTCATTTTTATCAACAAGACCATCACCATTAGAATCGGCCATCTGAATCATCAACTCCAAATGATGATCGGAAACATCCTCACCCAAAGTAGTTGCAATAGCTTTGAGATCAGAGAAACTGATCTTTCCAGAGTTGTCTTTATCGAATAGTTTGAATGCATAGTCCATCGATGAATTAGAGTCTCTCTTTGTCTATATTATATATATATAGAAATAGAATTTGAAAAGTTGAACAATTAACAACAACTGATTAATAATACAACAATAAGATTAATTTATAAATACAATTAATTTTGCAGCAAGTTCTCTAAAGCTAGATACTGATATAGAGATCTGTTCTTTGGTTGTAGTTGCAATAAGATCACTGATATCCTTTTTATCTGGTTCTAATCCTAATGCTCTCAATGCATGTTTTACTTTATTACATTCTATATTTGCTAGAAAACAGTGTTTGATGCATTTTTGTTCTTTGTTAGTTTCTTATGATTTAAACAAGTAAGCTTTTATCTAAATATATATATACCATTGTTATCATTTTTAAACAAACTAAAAGCTTCATTAATTTCAAACTGTTGATCAACTTCAAGTGATTTAAAGTTCATTCTCTCTCTGATATCCTTTTATCTGAAGTTTATGTTATTGATCAATCATTTGATATTTGTGAAAATAAAATTAAACATGGTTACATTTTCTTGGAAAAAAATAAAGTTTTTTTTTTTAGATATCTTTGATCATTTATATTTGGTTCGGAGAATACAAGTAATAAATCAATTGATTTATTTATAACAATCAAAAAATGATTAATATTGTCTTCCATTAAATAACTCTAAATGATTAAAATTTAAAATTTAATTTTTTTATTTTATTTTATTTTTTGACGAGTCGTCTTGCATCTTGATTGCAACGAGTTCATAAATATATAGTGTTTAACAATGAGCGAATCAGAAAGAAATAGTGATTCATTAAAAAGAGATCATCAATCTATTAACGATGAACCAACTGCTGCTGCTACTGATAAACAGAAAATAAATGAAAGCAGAAAGAAAAAGAAATTAGAAAATAATCAATCAAAACCTCAATCTCTTTATAAAGGAAGATACACAAAATGGAAGGTATGTAAATAACACTATAGAATTTTGTAATTACAATTGTTTTGTTATTTAATGTATTAACCGATCATATGATAATCGTAGAAACATAGTCGTTTGTTTGGTACAACTGAACAGGTAAAAGGTTTCTTGGTAACATGTGATAAAGCTAGAGAAGCACATTCTATTGGTGAAACATTGATTCTATTAAATGCTGTAAGTATTTAATAATATTATGACTATTGACGTCACTACTTTGATATTAACAAGCTAGTTACTAGTATGCAGATCAATTCTTCCCTGAGATTTCAAAAACAACTACAACAACAACAACAGATGATGATAAAAGTAAACAAAAAACTCAAAGTAAAGAAGAAATCAAACAGTTCTTACATTCTAGAGGTATGGAGGTTGATGAGGATGAGGATGATGAAGAAGATGAAGATGAAAGTGGTGCTGGTAGCACATCAACTGTGAAAGCAGCTAAAAGATTCGAACTTATCAATGCTGCATGTGGAGGAATGTATGTTATCTCACTTCTACATGATACAGTAGATCCTGTTGTTTTCATCAGTGCCATTATTGTAGATCTTCATAAGAGATTCAACAAGAATCAATCGGATAACGATAGATTTAAAGATATCCTTACAGAGCCTGTCAAAGAAATGTTGGCAAATTCAAAGAATATCGAAATACCAGAACGTTGTTTTAATATGTATGTGTAAATTACAAGCAAACAAAACGATCTAGATTGATCATCTGACTAACCTAACTGTTCTTTAAATAATAAATAGTAAATTTACAAATAGATTAACACCAATTCAAAGATCTACAGTTGCTTCAATTGATACTGATGTAATTCCTGTATTAAAGAGTTTGTTGGAGAAATCATTTAAATCTGATAAACCAGAATCTGTAACTATTTATTCCCATATATATATAGAGGTTAATAATAATAATAATAGTAACTAATTTATTTATAATTATATTTAGTTTGCTATTGAATTAAGATCTAGAAACAATATATCTCTAGATAAAGCAAACACTATCGGAAAGTTGGCAGCTCTAATTGATTCACCACCACATAAAGTAGATCTATCAAATCCAGATAAAACTTTAATCATTGAGAATATAAAGGTAATTTAAAAATGATCATTTTCTATTATATTAATAAATTATTACTAAACATCCTTTTTTTTTTTTTTCTAAATCAAAGTCTGCAATTACAATGGCAATAGCACCAAATTATAAAACATTCTTTAAATTTAATCTAAAAGAGGCAATTGGAAATCAACCACCACAATCAAAGCCAAAGCAACAACAACAAACAGAGAAACAACAACCAACTTTGGAAACAACTAAAGAAGAATAAATTTTTTAATATGATCATAATCTTATATAGATTTAATTATTTTATTGTATTATTTATATATTATCTTTTTAAATCCCCATCGTTGTACCATTCTTTTTTTCTTTATCAAAAACTATAGAAAAAAAGATTAAATTAATAACAGTTTATATTAAAATAAAAAAAATAAGTAGATACGCACCAACTTTTAAACCTCTATCGAAATTACGATATACTCTAATAGAATAATAATCTACTAATATTCTTATTATGACGGATACAATGCTAAAAATTGTAATTGGAATACCTAAATTATATGGTTCTATTTTTACTATCATTTCGCCAATGATAGAATAGATTTTGTAACCAGTATAGGTTGAAGTTAACCAAGACATTCCAATGAAAATAAACATCAAAGCTTTATTTTCTTCTCTACAAGCAATCAATCCAACAAAAATCCAAAATATGGAAATTACAAAACATAAAGCATTTCTATAGAAAGCCAGAATTAGATTAACAATCCTATCACCTTTTTCCAAATAAAATACTTACATGTAATGTTCGTAATTGTGTTCAACAAAAAATAATGAGTAACAACCGAATGTTAATCCTGAAAACTAAAAGATAAAATTTTAATATAAATTTAATATTATTGGAAAATAAAATAAATACTTACAAATATATCTAACTTTAAGAAAGATAAAAATATTTGATATAATTTATAATATCTTCGTAACTCTATATTGGTTCCAATCTTTCTATATAATCTCCAACCAAATTGTTTAAAAGTGAAATAACCAAGAGTAATATTAAGGGGAATAAATATGAAATTAGAAATAATTCTAATAAGTGGATAAATCTCTAGTAGATTTTCGGAAATGAAATACTGATAAATTTCAATAAAAGAAACTACAGTATTGACTAGAATAAAACTAAATAATTGATATTTGTTTTCATTTAAAACCTATTTTTTTAAAATTTGTTAGAAATTTAATAAATCCTAATAGAAATATTGAATAATTACAGAATTAATTGCAAAATATAATAAGAAAGCCGAGACATATAAGTAAAGAAGAATATAATTTGACCAACTTGTAATTGTCATAAATAACATAGTCAATACTTCTAGTAATTCAAAAAGGATTACAAAGACAAAGACTCTACCAACTGTAGAAACATCATAAAATCTTGCTTCCTTTTTCTAATTTAATTGTTTTTTAAAAATTAATATTTATTAAATTATAATTTTAAATAAGTTACTTACTCTAGGAAAAATATCTATAATTATATTTTGTGGTTCTTCATCCATATTCTTAGAAATTAGACTCTTGTTACCAATACTAATAGGGTGATGACTTGTTGACAAGTCTATATCATTTAAATATAAAATATAAAATAAAAATAAATAAATAAATAAATTATTGATGTTCTTTTTTTTTAGAAGCTTCTAAATAGAATAAAAAGAATAAATATTTAATTGAGTTGAATACATATTTCAAAAATAGAATAAATAAATAAGTTGAAACTGTATAGCAACACCAACTTGAAGATATGAAAAGAAAAATTCAATAACAGGAAAAAGGAAACAGTATCTAAGAAATAACAATTGAAGAAGTTTTAATATAAAAGATACCACTGGAACAAAAAATGTCTCTATTTTTTCAAAAATGAACTATTATAAATAGATATAGAGAACAAAAATATATATTTTGAAATTATTTATTTCTCTTTAAAGTATCAAAACAATGATACAATGAAAAATCCAATTTATTTGATATCTTTTAGATTCAATTTTGTTTTTATGGTTATAAGAGTAATAAATAGTTGTAGAAAATTAATAATCCGATTATTTTATGTTTTTAATAAAAATATGTCTAACTTTTTTAAAAAATTAGTGTATTAACATTTACATTCGGGGGGTTGAGCAAAAAACAACAAACACAGATGTAATCAAGCGATAAAAATAAGTGGAGAATATGATTATATACCTTTATTATTTTTAAAAATATCTAAATTGACATTCTTTGATGAATTTTGAGAGCTTAAATTGTTCTGTGACTGAAATAAACTTCCGTTGTGGGTTATATTATTACTATATAAATTATGATTAGCACCAATAAATTGATTTGATTTTGATTTTAAAAAATAACTGTATATACTAGTAAATACTTTCATATTTATTTCTTTTGATTTATCAACTCTTTTAAATATCCATTTTATTGTGTATGTTTTTGTTTTAAATAACATGTTGATAACAAATTAATCAAATATAAAAAATGGGTAATAATTAGATTGATGAGAAGTGGGTTACAAATATGGGTATAAAAATCACACAATTTGATTCAACATTGAAAAATGATATATTAAATTTCATTGGTCATTTTAAAAAAATATAATAAACAGTGTTGAAAATTATATTTTTATTTTATTTTATTTTTATTTTTTTTGTACAATTAATTTAGTTTGGTTTGTTTGCAAGATGGAGTAAATTTTTAACTAAACAATTAATATTTATTATGCTTTAACAATGACGCTATTGGAGTTGGTGATTGTTGATCCATAGATTGTTTTAAGATATTCAATGGCAGCAGCATTGTCGACTCCATCGAAAACGCAAACACCATCTTCAATAATGTTGATTCCATATCCACTGTGATATAATAATGAAATTAAAGTTAGTTGAAATATAAATAATAATGATAATTATTATAAAAATACAAACCGAGTGAATGCTCCGTATGCTGTGTGTCTAACGCAGCAATGAGTATGTTGTCCAGTTAGGTAAACTTCTGTAATACCGTGTTTTTTGCAAATCTCACCCCTAAATGGAAAAATAAGATGATGATGATGATGATATCTGTAAGTATATATGTATAGATAGGATTTTTAATAATATTTAAACATTACATTTCAGTTTCATCGAAACCACCATAGAATCTCTTTGGTACATTGTATTCACGCTCTCCAATGATTGGCTCTAACTCTGGGATAACCTTTGCACCGTCAGTGTCTTTCATAGCGTGCTTTCCCCATACACCCATCTCACGATCGTCATCATGATGAGCATCGTTGGAGAAGAGGATGATCCAATCAGGTTGACTTCTGGCATAGTCCAACAAGGCCTTGATGTTTGGGATGATCTTTGAGGCGTGAGCTTGGTTGTTTAACACACCTGTAACAAAGTCATTTAGCATATCAATAATAATTAGAGCCTTCATATTTATTCTACTATTTATTTGTAGTTTGTAAGTAAAAAAACAAAAAATGATGAATGATTCAAACGAAAATGCAAATGGTCCAAAGACAAAACAGATCAAATTACCACTAATCTTTTGTTTTTGGTAAAAATCGCACAACCTGTTCAAGTTCACAGAAAAAGAAGATCTTCTTATTTTTTTTTTTTTTTTGGTATCCCGTAACGTTTTTGTACTAATATTTTAAATTCACAGAATCTTTAACTGGTCAGCATCATTATTTGCATTCAAAGTATTCTAACAAAACTTGTTTGTATAAATGAGATAGATAGTCTTTAATATAAAAAAAAATCAATAAAACATGTTATTATATAGATTTGATTGAAAAGTAATCATATTAATTATGTGTTTATGATATATATCTTGATAATAATTATAATAATATGATGACACGACAATTAATCGTGTGTGATTTTTTTTATTTTTATAAAAATTTACAATTATTTTTTAAAAGATCTGTAATTTCATTGCTATCTTTATACAAAGAGGAAATTCACTTGTTTTCAATAAAAAACGAAAAAAAAAAAGAATGTTAATTGCTTATAGAAATATAGTGAGAACATGTAGTTCTCTCTCAGCTAGATTCTATGGTACATCGAATAATAACAGTACTCAGAGTACTGACTCTACAACTCATTTCGGATTCAAGACAGTTCAAGCCGATCAAAAGGAATCGATGGTGAAAGAAGTGTTTGATTCCGTTGCCTCTAGCTATGATGTTATGAATGACGCAATGTCACTTGGTATTCACAGATTGTGGAAGGATGAATTCATCAATACTCTCAATCCAACACCAGGTTCTCATTTGTTAGATGTCGCCGGTGGTACAGGTAACTATCAATCAACTATCGATCATTACTCACAATCAACTCATCTAGATCTTCTTTAATTAACTAACAATGTGTTGTCAAATCACAGGTGATATTTCATTTAGATTCATGGACAAGATTAAATCATCACCATATTACCTACCAAATCCAAACGGACAAATCAAGAGTGCATCACCTCCATCCTCAGCTATTGTATTCGATATCAATCAAGCAATGCTTGACGAAGGAAAGAAAAGAGCTATTAAATTAGGATACAGTGATTCTACAGGTACATACATATAAACAATTAATAACAATTAGATCTATTTTAATATTAACACAATGAACGAACGTTCGTTCATCATCTAATTATTATTAGATCCATCGATTGATTGGGTACAAGGTAATTCCGAACATCTACCATTCCAATCAGATACATTCAATTGCTATACAATTTCATTTGGTATTCGTAATGTTACAAACATCGATGCAGCACTTGCAGAGGCACATCGTGTATTGAAGAAGGGAGGTCGTTTCATGTGTTTGGAGTTCAGTCACATTCCAAACCCACTGCTGAGCTATGCTTACGATACTTATTCATTCAATGTGATTCCAGTGATGGGTCAACTGATTGCTGGTGATCGTGATAGCTATCAATACTTGGTAGAGAGCATCAGAAAGTTCCCAAAGCAAGAGGAATTCGCCGAGAAGATTAGAAAGGCTGGTTTTAAACAAGTGACATATAAGAATTTAACTTTTGGTGTTTGTGCAATTCATTCTGGTTGGAAACTATAAGATAAAAGTCAACTCAACAACCTTTTACAATAAAAAAAAAACTCAAATGTAATACATTTATTATATATATATAAATAATTCTTTTTTTTTTATTGTGATAATCTTGTTTCTCTTGGCGATTTCAAATCTACCCAAAGCAATAGAGCAACAAGCATCAAAGCAACTATACAATTACCAAATAGTAAATAAAGTGAAGCGGTATAAGTACCGGTAGATACTTTTAGAGCACCTAAAATAGGTGGATATATAACCAATCCTGTGTTGTATGCTTTGAATTGTAAAATGTATTACATTGATAAGTATTAAAATGATTATTTGATTGATTAATATAGAGAATAAGTATAATAATTACCTGTTCCGATGAAACCAAATGAAGTACCAAGCACTTCACTTGGAATATATAGTGGAAGTGATGATATTATTGTGGTGTTCATCAATGCGAATCCAGTTCCTGATAATATGATCCAAGGAAGTGGATGAATATCTGTTGTTTCTAACAATATGATTCCCATTGCTAAAAGTACGATGGATACAGCCAAAAGATGAAGTCTCTTTCCAATCTTTCTGATTACCAAACCGAATAGTGGTGACATCAGGCAGCTACAAAGTGTCTCTGAAGATAAAATTAAAGATGCCGATTGTTCATTGAAACCATACTTTAGCATGAACAAATCCGGACCAATAATAGCCAATCCGTACATCGATGTATATCCAAAGAATACGATACCCACTGTTATCCATAACCTTGAAGGTAGCTGTGATAGTATTCCTTTTACTTTGATAAAAGATGAGTGTATGAACTGTATTATCCTTTCACCAACTGGCAATTGCATCAATATTAAATCGGAGGAACTCGAAGCCAATCGATTGGAACGATCTTTTTCTCTATCTATAAAACTACTTTCATCAGTATCATCCATAACATTTGATTCTAAATCTCTTAAAATTATATCCATTTCCGCATCTTTTGATATATCTAATAAATTGAAAAGTATAAATATTTAATTAATTTATAAATACTATATATAATTGTATTTAAGATTTTTCTTATGTTTACTTACCTTTAAATTTCTTATTAATTAATAAATAAACTACATTTAAAGCGGTACCAAATGCAGAAACAAAACAAATAAACCAAAGACTCATTTTAAATCCAATGGTTTTGTTTAGGATCGGCAGTATTATCAGAGATGCAACATTGGCTCCATATATCCAGCCAACAGCAATTCCGAGGAATGTCGAAAGTAAACGGTCGTCGAACCATTTCGACATGAGAGCATTCGAGCAGGCCACTAACGACTCACCTGCAAAACCCAGAATAAATCTGCTAAGTAGCATCACTGAGAAATTCGGTGGTGACAATGCACCTATAAAAGTGGAAAATGTGACAATCGACGACAATATAATACTGACTGGATCCGGTCCAAATATATCGACAAGAATACCAGTAATAAATACCATACAAACATTTGGAATAGCGTATAAAGTAAATAAACTACCAAATTGTTTTGAATCAATATTAAATGTATTATCTAAATATTTGTTTTTAAATAAGAAAAAACATATTAGTTTACTTTTACTTGTAAATAATTTATAATTATTATTTTAAATATTTACAAAAAGTATGTGATAAAGCTTCTGGTGAAGTATAGGAAAAGAAAGTTCCGAAACCAAGATTGGATATCAATAATACAATGGCTGCAATCTTTAGATTTCTTTTTGATATCCATTTGTCAAGGAAACCATTATTATTATTTTTATAATTATTATTATTTTTAAAACTAATATTATTATTTAAATTTCTAACAATATTGTATGGAGAATCTAATAGTATAGCTCCTTTTGGTGAATGAATATCTTCTTCTAATATTTCATATTGATCTTTTAGATTATGATATTTAGAATCGGCTCTAAGATCTATTTCTTCATCTTCCTCTTCTTCATGTTGTTCTCTATTATTATTAATATTGTTGATGCTGTCAATTTGTGGAGGACTATCTATTTCTAATGTATCGGATTCCGATTGATCTATGTATTCTGGTGAATTAGGTGATGCAGTGTAAGCTTGTGGAAGTCTGTGTACGAGTGATGATCTCTCGACGCTTGTATTTATTCTTTCAGTATCTAAAACCAGCTCCTCTAGACTACTACTACTATTACGAATACTACTACTACTACTATTTCCAACACTGTTGGCAATGTCACCACTACCATGATCTCTTATCTCCAGATCATCTCTATCAACATCATCTATATGACCACTGTATATTGAATTTGACATTTAAAATTAATTAATTTGTTACATGTAAAATTAAATAAATAAATAAATATTGATAACTAGTATTACTAATGATAAGTAAATACATAAATATGTTTTTCGAATAAAAATAATGATAAAAAAATAAACAAAATTCGATTTAATTGGAGATGATGTGTTTAATTAAAAAAAACAGTTTATAACCGAAAAAATCGGAAATTCAAAATGTTTGTTTTGAAATTTTTGGTGATTTAAATCTGGTTTATCTATATAAACAGTTTAAAGAATACTTGATTGATCATCATAAATTTAATAAAATAATAATTATAATTACTAATTAATACAATATATTTTATATTTTTATTACATGATTTTAAATTCAACAGTTGTATTGAATTATTATTTTAAGATTGGAGTGGTTTGTCGTCGGGATTTAGTGAATTCTCATTTCTACCGGTGTCTCCAATCGGTGTGATTGGTATGCTACTGACTTCGCTTGGTGACAATGGTGATGGTGGATCCACTTGTTTGACATCGTCAGACTCGTTGACTTCAATGACTTCGTCTGTTGACGGTAGTGCTGGAATAGTATCTTTATGGTAGATTACGAGTGTTGAGATTGGGCATCGGTGCCAGAATGGTTCGCTATCGCTTGAAACCTTGAGTGGATTGTGTTGATCGAATACATCGTCGTGTGAAGCATGAAGATCAGACAATGCCTCACCTGAACTACTGTTGTTTTCGTGGTCAGCATGCTTTTGTAATCCATCATTATGATTGTTGTTGATATTGTTGTTGTTAGTGCTACTATGAATCTTATCAGCTTTCGATGACTTTGAGTTGGTATCACCCACTGGATGGTTATCGAGTGAATCCATCTCCTCAAAGTGTGGATGTTGGTGGCTGGCATCCGATGTCTTTCTCGATCCGGTGAGATGCACCATGGAGAGTGAACGCTTCATCATTTCGATGGCCGGCAACACCTGGAATCCAGTGAATGGCGAGGTGGTATTGAGTTGCTTCTTCTCTTCGTATGGCACAACCAACAAGTCGTATTGAACACACATCTCCAACAACACCTTTTGACGATGTTTCTTTGGTTTGTAGATCACAGAGAATTTATCTTTGTTCTTTCCGTTGAGGATAGATTCCAAGTGTGATTCATATTGTTGCAACTTGACTGGATCGTACATCTCTGTGGTTCTGCCCAACGAAGTACTTCCACTGGCGTTGAGTGATGCCTGAGGATGGAATTTGACGGTTGGTGCTGCTGGTGTTGGATCGTGTGTCTGATTGGCATCGACACCGTCGGGCGATAACATTGTAGTTGGAGTGGCGTCGAACATCTTGGACTGACTGTCTGGCAACTTTACAAAGTCGTCGGTGGTCTGCTGCTTGTGTTTCCAATAGAAATCATTGTCAAACACTACGATGGTGACATGGACACCGTCGGTCTCTGCCATACGATTGGCGAGATCAAGTGATTCCGCATCGTTGTAGTTCTTTCCTCCGAGGTAAGCAAGCAGAACACGACGGAAACGATGTGGAATGCTCTTGAAACCGGAACGATCGGTGAAGACACCGACATGGGAAGTGGAGTTTTTGAATAGCGACCATTGCACACCCTGAGAAATCATGCCACCACGACCACTCGACATGCTTGCAACGTCTTCACCGACGATCAACAGCTTGGCGTTCTTGTTGTCGGTAAAGTGTATGATCTCCTTGGAGAGATGGTCGCTGTCCGAGACGATCGAGTTGAACGATACCTTCAACTTCATTTGGATACCCTGTTGAATGAGATGTCCATAGGTCGACTTGGAGATATCCTTACGAATCTGACCGATGAAATCAGAGGGACGATCGTTCACCTCGGAGACCGAGAGCAAATAGATCTTCTTCATCTTCTTACGACGCAGTGTTGAAACCGTCTTGTTACCGATGGTGTAACCGAGATCAACAAGCGCAGGTCCCATATTAAGCGATGGAGTGCACAGGACAACAGTAAAGTCATCGTTACTTCCACTCTTTTTCTCTTTTTTCATTACCATTGAAATCAAAGGACTGGTCATCAGAGTTGTAAAGACAGCCATCAACACCATGATACCAAACACTTCGATATTGATGATTTTGAAGTCCAATCCAAGATTCAAAACGATGAGCTCAACCAAACCTCTGGTATTCATAAGAATACCAATGGAGAGTGAATCACGCTTATTATTTCCTAGCAATAGTGCAACCAGTCCGGAACCGACAATCTTTCCGATGCAAGCACACGAAATGATGACCACTACTCCTATCCAAGACTCTCCGGTGTTTAGTGTTGTCAAATCGGTACGCAATCCACTAATTACAAAATACAATGGGAGAAGGAATACCAGTACGAGATCTTCAATCTTCTCTGTGATGGCTTGGTTGAATCCACCGGTCTTTGGTGTAATAGCACCGAGAGTGAAAGCACCAAACATTGCATGAATACCAATTACCTCTGTTGCCCACGATGCAGTAAAGAGCACAATAACAACACCGCTCATTACCAAATGTGAAGGTGATTGTGGGTGAGTAGTATCGGCATGTGGATCGACATGATACACCATTGCCGTAACCTTGTGTAGAATTGGTCTAACGACCAACAACATCACCGCTACAAATCCTATCGAAGCCAACAAAGTCCATACTGTATCCAATGAATTTGAACTACCTGCCAAACTAACTGACAAACCAAGTAATACCCAACCACAAATATCATTAATGGCTGCACATGCAATTGTTAAAATACCAATCTAGAAAAAAATATTAAAAAAAAAGAAAATTAATAACCATTTTTTTTTTTCTGCGAGTTAATCTATTTTTTTTTTTTTTTTATGACATACTGGAGTTGATAATAATTTCTTTGATGCTAAAATTCTTGCCAACACTGGGAATGCAGTGATGCAAAGAGCGACACCAATAAAGATACCGAGTGAATATGTCCATGCGGTGTCTTGAATGTGTGCCAAATAGACGGATGCTGCCAATCCCAATCCAAATGGGAATACGATACTGACGGTACTGATTGCCAGTGACTGTCTAATTTGTGAACGGAAGAGAGTTGGATCCAACTCCAAACCAATGATAAACATGAAAAATATAAGACCAATCTGTGCAAAGACATAGAGAATGCTCACAGATGCCTTTGGGAACAAGGTGGATGTGAAATTGGGAATCTTACCGAGCGCCGTCGGCCCCAGTAATATACCAGAGATAATCTCTGCTATTACCGGTGGTTGTTGAATCTTGGCAAACAGCCAAGCAACGCATCTCGAGAGAATAATAATCAAGAGACATTGTACAAGGAATAGTGCAACATCCGTGCTAAGTACATTTTGTACCATTATATATTATTACTAAACTAACTTGTAATTATTTGAAAGATCGGCTCTTTTCTTCTGCTTCTTCTTCTGTTTTCTTTTTTAACTATTTAAAAAAAAAAAAATACAATATTTTTATATTTTTCTTTCTTATCTTTTCTTTTCTTTCCTTTTCTTTCCCCTCTTGATTTGATACAAATACTATATATTATTATTGATACTACAGATAATAAAACAAAAGCTAAGATAAAACTTTTGAGATGTTAAGGTGGTAATCTTGAGGTTGTTAATGAACAATTGATTGGTTGCAACTTTGGTGAATTTGAATAAAATTCAACTATTGCTGCTGCTGTTGTTGATGTTGTCGTTTTTTAGTTCTAAATCGATGGAAAAATTCAAAGAAATCGTTAAAATAAATTAAAAAAGTCAATTAATTAATTGGTTGGAAATTTTTATGTTTTTTTTTTTTTTAAAATGAAAAGAAAAATGTTAATATTAGTTATTGATACTATTGGTAAATTATATATTTGATAACAACAAAACAATATAGTCAACAAAAATTTAAATAGAATTGAAAAATTATAATCATTTTAATTTATATTATATATACTTTTTGTCAAAAGATTTACACATTTACTCATTTGTTATTGTTTTGTTTAGAGTTGTGAGTGTGGGTATGAATGATAATAATGAAAAATAGGAGGTGATAATATGAGAATGGTCAATCGATTATTATATTTTTGATAGTCCAAACTCGTTCATTTGAAAATTGTGGTTTTCCGATGCATTGCACACAATTAATTGAATTTTGGAGAAATTATTTGCAATGGTGGATATAGAGGAGGTTCAATGAATTGCGATCTTTACCATGGTGGAATAATATTAACATTCATAAAAAAATCAACTATCTATCTTTTAACATTTTAACACTTTTGTTATAACAAGCAAAAAGAATGATATGATGTTATTCCACTTCTATTTTAATTAAAAGTTATATCTTTAACCAAATTGATATAAAATGGCTATGAATGATTCGTTTTATTGATTATAATCTTTAAACTGCATATCTAAATATCATACAATTATAAAACAAAAACAAAAACAAAAACAAAAACAAAAACAAAACAAACTACTTTTTATTTATTTATTTTTTTGTAACTAAACTAACTCTATCTATCTATTAAATTTATATAATAATTATTTACCCAAGTAGTCAGTCAGATTGAATAAACTAAAGATAAATATTTTGATCTGGTTTTGTTGGTTGTTTAGTTGTATTTGCAAATTAAATTACTTTGCAAAATCTTAAAAGCTGATCAAATGTTTATAGTTGGGGAGAGAGAAAATCATGAAATGTTTGGATGGATGACTGATTGGTTGTAATTGGTTGGAAGGAAGATGAATACTCCACTTTTAATGATGTGATTAATAATTGTGATGCTAGATGAGATATATCGTTTAAAACAAATAATAATATAAATTATATTTGATGTGTTGTTGTGATTTTAGTAAAAATTATAAGATATTATTTGAATGATTTCACTCGTGATAATAAAAATATTGTTATTTTGAGTGACATCTTTGTCTTAACTTAATTGTCGGAATTCATTTTAATATAATTAATATTATTAATAAAATAATTAAATTATTATTATTATTATTATTATATATGTAATAGAGAGCGCTGCTGATCATTTATACAATTTAATCATTATATATTCATTAATATATATGTAAATATATACCAAAACCAAACCGAACCAACCCAACCCCGAAAAAAAACAACACAACACACGTGTGTGATTCATATTATACAAATAGACAACATTGCGGATGTGTGTTTTGTGTGTGTGATTAGATTATTTTGTGTGGTGTTTGGTTATTGTTATGTTTTTTTTATGTTTGTTTATTGGATATCTATATAAATTGATTATTATCATTATTGTGTGCGTGTGTGATTGATATTGAGTAGGTTTAATCCTGGTATGAACATATATAGAAGAAAAATCGAAAGAAGAATGATCATTGATAAACACAATGAATGAACATTATAATATTTTCTAGCGTGTCATTTAAAACTCCAATGATATGGTATTATTGGTTAAAACAAATTAAAATAACCAACTGCTACTCTCATTGAGAAATCATAACACTTTGTTTAAAGAGAAACAACAAAAATACAGAGAGTTGACTGATGAATGTAGGTTCATCAAACAACCCAGTATTTCCTTCAACCTATTTTTTAAATAATACAATTGAAATATTATAATATAACTACATGTGTTGTTACTGCTGACTAACTAACTAGTTTCATCCACCAATATTACTATAAATAAAAAAATAAAATATACAAAAAAAAATTGCTTAAAAAAAAAGATAAAAATTAAAAAAATAAAAATAATAATATAGTTAAGACATACCTAATAATTAAGAGTTAAATAGATAAACTCTGAATGAATAATTATTGATTAGATTATAACTGGTTAATGATAAAAAAAAACAATGATAATGATATGTTTGTTGATTTTCGATCCAAAAACGACTCGTGAGTTTCAGTTTTAGTGTTTTGGTGTTTTTGGTGGATAGAGTGCGGTGCAAATATTTTTTTACTCAAAACTTTTTGTGGTGGTTTTATTTTTAAAACCAAAATTTTAGGGGGTGTAGTGTACCACTGGGGATAGGGGCAATGGTTTTTCAAAACCAAATGTATAAAAAACCACCGAGGATCTATCTTAAAGATCAAAAAAAAAAAATGAGTTTTTGCAAAAAACATAAAAAAAAAAAAAAACTTTATTTTAAAAAATGTAAAAAAAAATACAGAGAAATTTTCAACAGAACTTTTTTTATTATTTTTATTAATAATAGGAGACTTTCATACCATGTTTTTCTTTGCACCTACAAAACAAAATGAAGATCTTTATTCCTATGATGAACACCGGTAACACACACACACACACACAAATTATCTTTATTTTTTGTGGGTGGTGAACAAGCCAATTTAATAATTAAACAATCATATCAAACAACAGATTAGTAATAATAATAAGTTATAATTATTATAAGAATATTTATCATTTTCAACAAAAATTGGCTCTTATTTAACAAGCCATATTCATGAAATATTTGACAATGATTTTCTCAGATGATGTGGTATTTTCTTTTCTTTTTATTGTCTTGTTTATTTATATTATAGTATATTCCCTGATTGTCATTATTATATCATTTAAATATAGTTGTAGAAGCAATCGTCGAAAATTAGCTTATGACATTGTTCCATATAGTCTTCACTGAAATACTCTTTCATTTCACTTTTGGTAACCCACAAATGATCCTTTACAATCTTTTCACTAAATTTGAGTTCTCCATTAAAATAATGTGATCTAAAGAAGAAATTCTACAATAACAGTTAAAAAAAGAAATTAATTAGTTAATTTATCAGTTTTGATTAAATAATGAATGATTATCATTATTATTATTTTTAACATACTTTAATTCCTTCTGCTTTCAATTGATCTTGATCTTCAACATCGAGATATTCTTTGTAGACACCGCATGGTGCTTGTGATGGAATCCAATAGGTCCAATCGCTACCGGTTGTGTCACGGAGTGCACGCTCGGCGGCATTCTTTATGGATTCTCCCTTGATCCATGAAGTCGATGGGAATTGCCATTGACCATCACGACGCTTAATGATGAGATAGAGTGATTTGTCGAGTGCACGCTTCAGTGATTTACGATCGTTCTTCAAATCTGCTTCGGTCTCTCTTGGCTCCGCTACGAAACGGTCGAAATCCTCCTCGAGCGCATCTTCGTCCTCTTCGCCGGGCTTGCTCTTGAATTCTGGTAGATCTTCGATCATGGCGGACATCTTCATTGGTGGACGTGTGACGATCTCGTTGAGACGGTCTTTGGCGTCGAGCCAACGCTGTTCGTACTCGGTGGGGAGTGGCATCAGTGTTGGGAATCGCTCGATGATGATCGATGAGAGCATCTTGAACTCTCCTTTATAACGGCTGTCTGGACGTGGTGGCAATGCATCCTCACGTGCTTTGATCGACTTTTGTGCTTGTTTCAAATATTTTGTCATTCCATATTGTTCGTCTGCCAAATCGATGATTCTAGGGATATCAAACTTCTCTGTTATCTTCTCAGTGTCTGTACGTGTATCTTCTTCTGGTGCCTTTGAGTAGAATCTGACTGAATTTACACTATATGTTGGTTTGATCAATATACTACTGACCAATTTCGATCTACTTATCAATCTACATTGATTAACTTTTTTAAAATATTATTAATATACAAAACTATCTAACGATCTAATTATATTCACTGATCTATCCAAATACTATGTAACAGCGAACTAACCAACCAACCAACCAACCAATCTATTATTTAAAAATCATTCATCACTCTTCTTTCATTGAAAAATAATGTGAAAACCAAAAATCTGTTTGAGTGATTCATATTTCATTATCTTATTACTATATTAATGCTTGTTAGTTTAATAGATAAACCATATCTATTTGTGCTATATTGTTATGACTGAATAACTGTTTGACTGTTATCTTTGTTTTTCAAATGATTCTATTTTTCAACATGTTTGCGTTGAGGATGATACATTGATCTTGATTGGTTGTGCTGTGGTCATAGTTTTTGGATTTAAATGAACTCTTAACAGAACTTACATAATGAATTCATTTTTATTTAACTATCTAATATATAAATTAAATTAAATTAAATAAATAAATATGAATTTTCAAATTAATATGATTATTACTCAATGTCGTTTTTTATTTTATTTTATTTTTTTGCTTTGATCAAAAGTTTTTTAAAAGTCGAAAAATAAACGTTACTATGAGTGAGTGAGATTACTCAGATCAAATTAATAATAAATTAATTTTCAATTACGATTTCTTTATTTTAATGTAAAAACAAAACACTAGTGTGAAGTGACTAAATTGTTAGTATGAAACAACAACAATCACTTTATTATATGTGTTTTACACACTCGTGTTTGAATTACTGTTTAACAAACACACACACACATATAAATACACCCAAATCAAATTTATAATGTAGCATTATTTTTACTTTTGAATGTGTATCTACAATTATTTATTATCAATTTAACCTATTACCAACCTTAATCTCAATATATCCTTACCATTAGTAATACTATACCTACCTGAATTCCTATTGATAGGTAATTTCGTGAGAACTCACTCACTCACTAATTAATTAGTTAACCCAAGTGTTTTTGATAGAAAAAGAGAGTGATACATATGATATGTATTCATATAAAATAAATTTATTAATAATAGAATGATGGATTAATTTAGTTTTGTCTAGCAAATAAATTAAATAATCAATTCTCTCAACTTTACCTTCAGTATCTATTTTTTATTATTTTCCATTATATATTGAAAATCAATCATTAGTACTATTACCAAGATTTATATAAATATATATAAAATAACCAGTATGAGTTTATAAAAAAATGTTTAAAATAGAGATTTTATTTATAATTTTTATTGGATTATTAATTAATGTTGGGAGCAGTACAGATATTCAAGAGCAATCGAATATACAAGTTTATGACAATGTCAACAATCTGACATTGTTCTCATCAAACACTATTATCACACCCAACTCTGAGGCACTAAGTCTAGAGATTCAAAAGATCTTGGACACACTTCCAAGATATGATTTTCATTTTCAGAAAATCGACACGATCGAGTTCGATCCATCCAATTCAAGTTATATACAAGTAATTAATATTTATTTATTTTTTCATATATTAAAAAAGTATTAATTTTTTTTTTTTTTAAAAGTCATTGATTGTAACAGGATCACCATTTGCACTAATCAGTGGTTTAATTATATTATCATTGATTTTTGGTAGCATTGGCTATATGATCCATAGATTTTTAATTCGACCAAGAAGAAAGTTTTCATTAAATTTAGAAACATTCGAACTAAAAGAGAATCCAAGTTGGAAAGGTTATTGTTGGACATCATTTACTATATTCTTTTTATTTTCAATTTTGTAAGTAGATTATTTATTATTATTTTTTAATTTAGTTTTCTAAATTTATTTATTATTATTAAATTAATTATATAGTGGACTTTTACTTGTTGGATTATTTATTAATATTGATTTGGATAATGCCATTACAATGGCAATCGATTCGTTGAATAGTAGTATTCAAGAACGATCCGATATTGAAAGTAGAATCATTGATGAAACAAGAAAACTATCGATCTATCATAAATTACCATACGATGCTTTGGAGGTAATTCAAATGACCAATGAAATAGTTCAGTGGACAAACACCTCTCAACAATATATTCATCACTATGAAAAGATTCGTTTTAATTATGTATTTGGTTCGATCATGTCGATGTTTGCCATATGTACAATCGGTTTGATTGCAGTTATGTTTAGACATCGTTCGGCGATTGTGATATTCATTATTCTAGGACTGTCGGTTTCCACTGTGATATGGTTGATTCCAGCCGGTCATGTTCCTCTCGGTGTAGTGGTGAGCGATGTATGTCCGCAGATTCAAACACTCATTCAAAACAGTGTTCCAGAGGAGATGGATCCATATATCGACTTCTTTTTGACGTGCAACGATAGCTCCATATTTGAATTTGTAACACAGGTGCTCAACGGCGCCATTACAGACACGGAAACACGTCTGAGTCTGGCAATTCAACATCACTATCCTCAAAAGGCCATACAAAAATTGGAATTCCAACTGAAAGAACTCAACGATCTCTCTATCGACGCAAAAGATATATTAAATTGTAATATAACATCAGCTACATATTTATCAGTTCAAAACATTGTTTGTATTGAAATATTGTAAGTATAACGATAAACAATCAACATTCGATATCATCTAGATTACTAACAAAAATACAATTACAAACAAATTTTTTATTCTATTTAGAAACTCATCTTCATTAATGACATTTATATTTATTATTGTTGGTATTATATTTATTGCATCTTTTATTACATCTTGTAAACTATATGGAACAATCGACACCTACAGATCACTCTATGACACAGAGAACTTCTCAACTGAAGAAGAAGATGACAACAACCTTAGTAAACCATTAATGTTTGATTTAGATGAGGACAACAATCACAACAATATATATCATGATGAATATGATATAAATAATAATAATAATAATAATGCTATTAGTAATCAGTCAAAACAACAACTAATTATCAATGATGACATCGAAAACGATACTAATAATAATAATAATAACAATAATAATAATGATAATATAAAGATAAATAATAATGATTCAATATCAAAAATAGAATAAATTAAATAAAAATTTGTATAAAAAATTAAAATATAAATAATTACAAGTGTTGTGTTTCTTAGAGAAACATCTATTTGAGTTATCCGGAAGTTCTTTATGAAATTGAAAAATGATTTTTTCCAATTTTTATTTAATTTTTTTTTTCGCGGTGAACGAGTGAGAGTGTGCTGTGGCAGACGCTGTGGGCTATGCCTGACTGACTTTGAATAGAGAAAAACGCCACACCTTCTTCCTATTATACGTTTCAGGGACAAAAAATGAGCAAGCGTAGGTTTATCATTATATATTAGCGTATCTCTATCATCTATCATCTATCATCTATCGAACATCTTAGACTACAGTAATCAAATAGTGTGGTAGATGAATGAGACGTTAAGAGAAACAGATTATGATCAAAGTTAGTAGAGTTGGATATTAATATTATTTTTGTTATCATTACAATCGACGATCAATAGCACAAGCAGTAGGTAGCAACTACAGAGTCGCACTTGGTCTTCCAGTTGGTGCTGTTATGAACAGTGCTGATAACTCTGGTGCCAAAAACTTGTACGTCATCGCCGTCAAGGGTATCAAGGGTCGTTTGAACAGATTGCCAGCTGCTGGTGTCGGAGACATGGTTATGGCCACCGTCAAGAAGGGTAAGCCAGAACTCAGAAAGAAGGTTTGCACTGGTTTGGTCGTCCGTCAAAGAAAGCAATGGAAGCGTAAGGACGGTACCATCCTCTATTTCGAAGATAACGCCGGTGTCACCTGTAATCCAAAGGGTGAAGTCAAGGGTAACATTCTTGGTCCAGTTGCCAAGGAATGCTCTGATTTATGGCCAAAGGTTGCCACCAACGCTGGTAAGTTTTTCACACATAAAAACCAATACTATTTTAATGATAAAACTAACGTTCTTTTTAAAACCTTATTAATACGAAAACTTTACAGGTACCATCGTTTAAACTCATAAATAAATTATAGTTGTCCCATAAAAATCGAATATAGGCATTGTTTTCAACAACTCTTTATGATATTATTGTAATATCACCGCTTTTACATTTGAATCATAGTCACAGGTTTTTAATTATTTCGCTAAAGTCGACAAGAAAGTGATAATAATATGTCAAAAAGAATATCATTTTTTATTATATCGTTTATTTTTATTTTTTATTTATTGTATGAGTGTTTTATTTGTTAATTTTTATGATTAAAATATATTGTTTAAGAATCAAAGTAATATAAAAATGTTGTTTATATTTGTATTAAAAAAAAAAAAAGGAAAATAAAGAACTTTATCTCTATTTTTTTTCATTCCATTTCAAATGAATCCAAATTATCAGAGGACAAGAAATAGGTTTTACAATTTCAATTCGTTTACCTTTGGTCTTGGACCATGAAGTCTTGTTTGGCAATCTAAAGCAAAAATATCTCACCCCCATCTGTTAGATAAAGTTTTAATGAACACAGAGCCAAACAAAATCAAATTAAATATCTAAAATTACATTCTATTATTTATATTTAATAGTAACTCTTTGTTTTTAATAGTTGTTCCTTAAGGAATAAGCAATAAATCGATCAATAAATTGGGCTATCGATCATTGTACTCCTGAACACTTTGAAAATAAAGATGATATCAATTGAGAAAAAGCGTCGATCACACAAAGGAATCAATAAATTGTGTTAGTGCAATATCATCACAAAAAGTTTGAAAAAACCGTCTAAAAAAAAAAAAAAACAAAAATTAAACTATCTTAAGAAATATGTGAAAGTTACAAAGTTGTTGAATGTTCTTAAAAGACTGTATAACCTCACTCATTAACCTTTTGTTTTTTTTTTTGTTTTTTTTTTAAAAAACCAAAAAAAAGTTTTGCAATATTTGGTGATGATGTTTTTATAAACAATATCGACACCAAAAAGCAGCAACCAACTACTCAACAGACTTATTTCTGCTCCTCATTTATATTATATATTTTATTTAAAACAACAACAAGATAAATTATTTATTTAGTTTTAGTTTAGTTTAAGTTTTAATAAATATTTAACTATTTTACTTTAACTTTTTATTTATTTTTCACCAGAACTTAACATAATAATATCTTGATATATAATATAGATATATATATTTATTTATAAAATATGCAAAATCCACCAAATCCACCACAAGCAGGTACTGCCTCTGATGCTTTCTCACAGATGCCAGTCAAGGTAATGCCAGGCCAACAAAGTCCACCACCAGCAGGTCAATATCCACCACCACCAACTGGCCAATATCCACCACCACCACCAGCTGGAACTCCACCAACTGGCCAATATCCACCACCACCAACTGGAACTCCACCAGCTGGTCAATATCCACCACCACCAACCGGAATTCCATCTCCACCACCCTCAGGTCAATATCCACCACCACCAACCGGAGCTCCAGGTCAATACCCACCACAACAACCGGGACAACAACAACTTCCACCACAACAAACTCCAGGTGCATACCCACCACAACAACCAGGTGCTCCAGGACAATATCCACCACAACAACCGGGACAACCAGGTCAATATCCACCACAACAACCAGGTGCTCCAGGGTCAATACCCACCACAACAACCGGGACAACCAGGAGCTTATCCACCACAACAGCCAGGTGCTCCAGGTCAATATCCACCACAACAACAAGGTGTCGGAGCCAAGCCACCAGCTGGATATCCACCAACTGGAGCTCCAGGACAACCAGGTCAATACCCACCACAACAGCCAGGACAACCAGGTCAATATCCACCACAACAACCAGGTGCTCCAGGACAATATCCACCACAACAGCCAGGAGCTTATCCACCAACCGGAGCTCCAGGACAACCAGGTCAATACCCACCACAACAACCGGGTGCTCCAGGACAATATCCACCACAACAGCCAGGAGCTTATCCAGGTCAAGTAGGTGCTAAACCACCAGCTGGATACCCACCAACCGGAGCTCCAGGACAACCAGGAGCCTATCCACCACAACAACCAGGTGCTTATCCACCAACCGGAGCTCCAGGTCAACCAGGTGCCTACCCACCAACTGGCGCTCCAGGACAACCAGGTGCTTATCCACCAACCGGAGCAGCTCCAGGTGCTTACCCACCAACCGGAGTTCCAGGACAACCAGGTGCTTATCCACCAACTGGTGCTCCAGCCGGTTATCCACCAGCTGGATACCCACCAACCGGAGCTCCAGCCGGATATCCACCAACTGGATACCCAGCTGCCGGTGGATACCCACCAACCGGTGCTTATCCATCGACTGGTTACGGAGGTTATCAAACAGCCGCCTATGGAACCACAACTGCTGCCTACGGTGTCGCAGCATATCCAGGTGCCTACGGATATCAAGCAACTGCCACCTACGGTGTCGCTGCACCAATGATGGGTGTCTACACTCGTCAATCATACAGCTATGCTTCCCCATACTCTAGATCGGCGGCATTCGTCATCCCAGTTGGATTGCCAGCACACTTGGTCGCCAAGATGATGCAAGCCAGTGCAGCATTCCGTATGTTCGATACCAACTACAGTGGATCTCTCAACAAGAAGGAATTCAAGAGAGCTCTCAAGCATATGGGATTCTACTTTAGCAAGGGACAATCAAAGATGTTGTTCCATCAAATCGACTCTAACTACTCTGGTCAAATCGATGAAAGAGAGTTCTGCGAATGGTGGTGTCACTATCAATAAATCATCAATCAAGATGAAAGCTTGTAAAACATAAAAATAACATAATAATATATATATTAAAACATTCAAAATCTTCATTCATCAAAAAAAATATATATGTATATAAACTAAACATATACAGATCGAAACACAAATAACAAAATAAATTTATTGTACAATATATTAATTATTACATTGAAACTGAAATTTCATCATTCTTGGTTCACATTCCAGAATTATATTGTTCAGACAATTGAATCAGTCAGTCTTCAAGAATAGTTTATTGAAAGATCACAATGATTCAAGTGAATAACTATTCAAAACTAAAGAGATTTATATTGTGAATGGGAAATTGGCAATAATAATGATAATAATTCAATTTGAAAGTTGACACTATAGAATCAAATAATAGTGTCATTAAATGAAATACAAAAGAAAATATCTTTGACCTGTTGTAAACGAAAAGATGAAAACTCTGAATAGGGATTGGTGTGTTAACATTGAAAAAAAAAAAATGAAATCAAAATATCACCAATGTCGAAAAAAAAACATTGACCAATCTTTATCCACAACTTGCACTACTTTATTTTTAAAATAAAAATATCTGTCTGTTACTTAATTAAAATAAAAATCTAAATGTAGTATTAAGATTATTTAAAACAAAAAAAAGAACAAACAATATTCCTTACTTATTAAATAGTCAATCACTTCTTTAAAAGTATAAAAACAGTAAATAGTAACAACTTACTTACTATTATTAATAATATTGGTATTGCTAATTGAATTAGTAAAGTAAAAAGAAGTAGAATAAGCAAAGAAAGAAGGTTGAGTCAAAAAAATAAAATAAAGATGAAGGTAAAACTAAAACAAAAAATAAATTTCATTAGTTTATCATTTATAATCATTAGCATTTGTGTTGTCACATCAGTGAATGGTGGAACACCTCAAGAATGGAGTTCACGTGTCATCTATCAATTGCTTACCGATAGATTCGCACTGACCAACAACGCTACTACACCATGTCCTGACATCACTACCTATTGCGGTGGTACATTCGTGGGTGTTGAACAACATTTGGATTATATTCAAGGAATGGGTTTCGATGCAATCTGGATATCACCAATCGTTACGAATACTCCTGTAAGTTTAATAACAATACTAATACTAATAGTAATAATAATAGTTTATACTTATATATATATATATATATATTACGAACAATGTGTTTAACAACAGGGTGGTTATCATGGATATTGGCAACAAGATATCTATACGATCAATTCAAACTTTGGAACAGACAATGATCTTCTAAATCTTATTGGAGAGTGCCATAAGAGAGGTATTTGGGTGATGCTCGATGTCGTTGCGAATCATGTCGGTCCAGTCGACTTTGACTACTCAACCATTGTTCCATTCAATCAAGATTCTCACTATCATGGTTGTTCATCATGTCCATCTCAATGTACAATCAATGTATGTATAATAACTAATTTGATATTTCAACATTATATAATTGATATTGATATTGTTGTTGTTGTTTGTTACTCTCTAAAGAATTTCAATGATCAATCAGAGGTAGAGATATGTAGATTATCAGGATTACCTGATTTAGATCAAAACAATACATTCGTTCGTGAGGCACTAGTCAATTGGATAAAGAATGTAACAGAGTTCTACGGATTCGATGGAATTAGAATCGATACCGTGCCAGAGGTCGATCAAGATTTCTGGATAGAATATACTACTGCCGCTGGAGTGTACTCTGTTGGTGAAGTCTACAATGGCGACGTCGAATACGTGGCATCCTATCAGCCTGTTATCGATGGTCTGTTGAGTTATCCATTGTTCTTTGTGTTGCGTTCAGTGTTTGCTCAGCAACAATCGATGTATCAGATACAATCGATGTTACAACAGTACAATGCCACTGGATTGCATCAACAGTATCTCGGTACATTCATCGACAATCAAGATCAAATCAGATTCCTAAATGAACAGTCCGATATCGAGCTGTACAAGAATGCATTGACTTATATCCTGACATCCGAGGGTATTCCTATTGTCTACTACGGAAGTGAACAAGCATTCAATGGTGGAGCCGACCCAGACAATCGTGAAACTCTCTGGACCACTGGATTCAACACTGATTCCACACTCTACCAATTCATACGTACGGTTGTCCTGTTTGTCAAGCAACAATCACTCTATCAGTATCCTCAGATACAAAGATATGCCGACGACTCGTTCTACGCTTTCACACGTGGTGACACATTTGTAGCTCTGACCAACGGTGGATCAAACCAAGGTCAAATATCTCGTACTATAACCTATCAACCATATCAAGATGGTACAACTCTATGTAATATGTAAGATATCAGCGACAACATGTTAAAAACAATAACAAAAATCATTAGTTAACAAACAAACTAACAAACTAAATATATACAAATCTAGATTCTGGCCGACTGAAGATTGTATTAAAGTAGTAGATGGTCAATTTACTATTTATCTTGACAATGGTGAATCAAAGATCTACTATCCATTAGGTTAGATTTCCAAGTGTTAACTAGCTTGTAAAAACATCATTGTAGTACATTCATTATTTATTTAATAAAAAAATGTTTCATTTAGAACAATAATGGTAAAGTAAGTAGGTTCTTATTTGAAAACAATTTATCCAATTGGATAAAGGTAATATATAATAGTATAAAAAAAAAAAAAAAGAGATACAGTCATTTCTAATTTGATATTTAAAATACATATAAATTTATTTATTTATTATTTATTTATTTATAATGACATCTAACAACAACAGTGTTAACTATGTTGAATGATCTTATCAATGCTTCTTTAACTTTATTCAGAACCTTGTTCTCATTCTTTGGACTTGAACCCTTTCCTTGACAACTTGGATCAACTAAAGCAACAGCCATTTCTTTCATTGTAGTTTTGTTCTTGGCTTGGATTACTGAAAATCCACCAACTTTAGTTGGTCCTCTATTGTCGATGGTGATTATAGTATTTCTCTTCTGGTTGTTTGCCACATCTGTCATCTTCGTAAAAAGTGCAGAAAATGGTAGATTTTCAACTTCTCTTATAAACTCTATTATAGTTTAGAAAATTTACATTAATTGATTGATGAATTTCAAATGATGAGATAATATTAAATTATTACCATTCTTATTATCGTATCTTCCAAAGTTGTTTATTGGAGGTCCGTCGTTGTTGGCAACATCGACATTATCATCAGCATTTGATGAGTAGACTATCAAAACTAAAAATATAAAAAGTATACTAAAAGAAAGATTTAAAAATTTCATAATTATAGCTAGTTTTAGAAATTGATTGATTGATTGATTGATGTTACAAAAAAATAATATCATCCACAATGCCAATACTTGATATTTAAAGATAAAAAATATAAATCGTTTGGTCAACCTTAAGATTAAATTAAACACCCACCTCTTAATTATCATAAGATTTCAATCTAAAAATGAATGATGCACACATGTACACATTAACTACTTTCCCACACACACTGTTAATTATTCTTTGTACACAATAATTTGAATCGAAAATTAACAACAGTTGATATCGTTATAAAGGATAATCCCTTTCTATATATAGTATTCTGATTCATTTAGTTCGCTCTCAAAAACATTAAGTAAATATTAATAATAACTATATTATTTCAATATTAACAACCCATCTTCCAAGTTTGCCGAAATGACGACATCATTCTTTATATATTTCCTAGGGGATCTAGATACCAGTTGGTATTGTAAATGGAGAACTATATTTTTAAGTTACTTTAAGAAAAACAATAAATATTATAAAATCATTATTATTATTATTATTCTGTGATATGTTTAGATAAAAAATATTAGAATTAAATTAATAAAAATCATTTAAAGTTTGTTTAAAAATTAATGAGGTTGTTATAAAACAAAGAAATTATTTAATTTATTGACATCTAACAATAAAAATTCTACTTGTATCATATGAACGTATTGCAGCTTCTTTAATATTTCTTAATATTAGTTGTCTATCATTCTCGTTCTGTTTGTTGGCACACAGTGGACTTGTAAACACTACAGAAATACTATTTTTTTGTTTGACTGCAACGACTTTGGTTTGAGTTACAAAGTAACCATCTTTGGTTTTACCTCCTTGATCAATTCTTATTGGAGCATTTCTTGGTTTGCCACTTGATAGATCGTATTGGGGTTCTCCGAATGCTTTATCATAAGGTAAAAGTAAAATCTCTTTGGTAACATCTTTAAATAAATCAAAACATAATAACAAAATTATTATTAGTAATTTATATATGGAAATCACTTAATATTTTAATAAATTATTATAGTTACCTTCTTTTTTTTGATAAACAGGTGTTTCACTTGTTCTAAATATTGGACCTTGTGTAATATTAACGGTTAAAGGTTTATCAGTAAGTTCAAGTTCTACGGCATTACTGGTACTAGAAAATAGTACAAAGATAACAAAAAGAGCTAAGAAATATTGCATTTTAATCAACTTGATTTAATAAAATGATTGTTTATCTTTTAAAATATTATATGATTATATAATTGTTGTTTGTTTAAAATTTGATAATAAAAAAATTTATTTAATTAAAATAAATAATTAAGAATTCATCTTTTAATATTTTTAACTATCATACAAATATATTTGATCTAGATTTATCACATCAATAAATCAGAGTTCAATATATATATGTCTTTTTACAATCTAAACCCCTAATCTAAAAGTTTTTGTTCAAGTCAGAAACATATTATTTAAAATTTTTATAAATCAACATTAACAATTGCTTTGTAAATTATAATAAATGATTTGAAATTAGTTTAATTTCTAGAAATTATTATATTTGTCTGTTGCAACCATTATTATAATATTTATAATCATTATCATTATCATTATTATTTGTCCAGGTTGATCATTACTTTATTGATTTTCACTTTTTGATCAACACATTATTATTATTATATTATAAGTTATAAAAAAATAACACATTATAACTTTGATTGATATTAAAAACAGTTTACAAAATGATCACAATTAAAATAAATCTTTTTTTTTTTTTTTGTTTTTTTTTTTAATTTTTGGCGGAATTATAATGTGCAAGACTTATTGTCATTTTAAAAATAACAATATTATCACACAATTTGATATCAAAAATAAAGATGACAGCAGATAAAACATTCAATAGCTATATAGATTTAGGTGATCTTACAGATAAGAATATAGGTCAGCTCAAGTTGCTCAATTCTTCTGTTTTGCCTGTCAGTTACGATGAGAAATTCTACAATAAATTATTACAACCAAACGGTTTCATTACAAAATTGGGTTAGTATCAGTTAATCTCAAATAATGCATCCCTTTTGCAATAGTAGTTAAATAATCTAACTAAGTTTTCTAAATTATATTCAAATCAAATAGCATATTTCAACGATATTGTAGTTGGTGCTGTTTCTTGCAGAATCGATCAAGCAGGAAATGAACAATCATTATATATTATGACTTTTTGTGTATTAGCAAAATATAGAAGTTTGGGAATAGGTCTGTTAGCTTATGTTATATAACGATGTATTATATAGATGAATAAACTAACTCTAAATGAATGATGATATTATATGTTAACAGGTAAAAAGTTGTTAGAGTTTGTTGAACAAACATGTAAGAATACCTATTCAAAGATTACATTGCATGTACAAATCAACTCAGAGGCAATCGAGTTTTACAAGAAATATGGATTCACCATTGATTCTACCATTAGCAACTACTATCGTGATATCGAACCAGCTGACTGTCACTTGATGGTAAAGCAAATCCCAAAGAAGTAAACAAACAAACAAACAAACAAACAAATAATAACAACAACAACAAAGCCATTAAAAAAGAATAATCTAAACTATTATTCTTATTCAAATCATTACTTATTGTTTTGATATAACAAATTTATATAATATATATTCTTTATTTTTATTTTTATTTATTTTTAAAAACAACTTATTGATATAGTATTCAGAAAAAAAAAGCAACAAGAACAACAACAACAACAAAAACAACAACAAACTAGAATGAATACAAAAGATCGAACAGAACGAATACAAATTGATATCAATACCAGGAGTAACATACTTATTCTAAAATAATAATAATAGTAAAGTGACTGTTAAATATGTATCAAATCAATTTATATTATTCTGATATGATGTGATACAAATCAGATTCGATGGAATGAATAGAATCGATTCCAAATGGTAATGGAATAAATCCACATCCCTTGCCTATACTAAAACAGGGCATACAACACGAGAAATAGTTTTAAAACAAACCGTTGCAAAACTTTTATATTATTTTTTAATTTTTTTTGAATTTTCTTTTAAAACATGATTTATTGATGTTGTTTGCATTTTCAATTTCGAAAACTTAATCTTATAAATATCTTTATCTTTTTAAAGATATCTTTTATTTATTTGTAAACTTTATTTAATTATTTGTACATACATTGAAAGATGACATCTAATTCATCGTTTACGAAAGTAGATTTCTTTACAAAAGTAAAATCTAGTTTGGCAGGTCTTGCAATTGGAGGAGTGTTTGGATATGCATTGCAACGATCGAATGTCTATTTGCCATCGGTCATTCAGGGTCAAATGGACTTTAGTGATTTCACAATGTTAAAGATGTTCATGACCGCCGCACTCACCAGTTCACTCTCAATCACCTTGCTAGACTATGAACGTTTGTTCAAGGTTGAACACTTGCCCGTTATGTGGAAGCGTAATTTGATCGGTGGTCTTGTTATGGGTGCCGGTATTTACTTGACCGGTGCCTGTCCGGGAACTGTACTGGCACAGGTCGGTGCCGGTTTGCCATCGGCTTACTACACATTCTTGGGTGGATTGGCTGGAAGTGCTCTCTACTCCTATTGCAATTCTCTGGTTGAGAAGATACTACCAACTGACACTGCTGACAAAAAACCGGCACTCGATCAGCGATTGGGTGTTCCATTGGCCAAAGTAACGATTCCTTTCGCAACAGCGTTGATTGCCGTCCTCGCAGTCCTCGAAAAGTTCGTACCATGGACAACTTCCAGTATTTCCATTCTCCAATCGTTCCAGACCACCAGATGGGCACCGTACGCTGCCGGTTTGGTTGTTGGTTTGTTACAGATTCCATCGTACATCCTTGGAAAGAACGGTTTGGGAACATCATCTGCTTATGTCACCATGTCATCAAAGGTGTGCTCATTACTCGAGACCGTTTCATCGTCTTGCTACTTTAAGAAATTCAATAGTGGAATTCGTCAATTCTACGGACCAGCACTCAATATCGGTATGATCTTGGGTGCATACTATTCATCGCAAACCGCTTTGGTACCAGCAGCCGCTAAACTTTTGACACACTCGCCTCTCTACTACTTTGGATCGGGTGCTATTCTCTTATTTGGTGCTCGTTTAGCTAATGGATGCACATCTGGTCATGGATTAACAGGAATGGCCAAAATGGAAAGTAAGTTAAAAGTCAAATCAAATGAAGTAAACTAAATAACACTACTAATTAATTTTTTTTTTCGAAACATTTTAAAAGTTGGTTCATTTATTTCAGTTGCTGCTTTATTTGGAGGAGGTATTGCCACTTGTTATCTATTAAAATAAATATAGCTGCTATTTAAAACATTGTAATCATTTATTTCTCTTTTAAATTATATTTGTTAAATTTTTTGATTAACTTTTTCTTTCTAAAAAAAAACAATCAGTCAAATCATTCTTCTAAATCTGAACAATCAAATTAACTGAACATAATGTTTGCAAACATTATATGATCACATTCATCTATCAATAGTTGTTCAATAAACACATTGGCAATAGGCAGTATCATTAGATTTATAATAATAATAATTATCACAACAATAATCATGTGCAATATTGTATACTGTTATGCATTTGCATGCTGTATTAAAAGATTTATCTACAATTAAAACAATAAGCTACACTACTACTACTATTACTACTGTCATCAATCATTTTGTTATAGTTGTTTTACGTCGATTCATTTAGTGGTGGTGATGGTTAGATAGATCTATCAATTAATATTCTTTTACCCAAACAACATAACTCCAAAACCAAATCAACGTATTATTAACATCACTATCGAACACAACAAATACATTCAACATAACATAACATAACCTTCATCTCTAACATCATTATGATCATGTAAACATTTTTGTTTAACCATTATCAAGTCAAACCAAAGGGAAAAAGTGAATTGGTTATTATTAGACACCATGAAAATAGATTGAAAAATACAAACAAACAAGAAAAAAAACAACAACAAAACAATACTACATTTTTGATAATAAATAAACAAACTATTAGTTTAAAAAAAGTGTAAATTCAATAAACAACAAAGATATATAAAAAAAAAACATAATACATCATCTTGTCACACACCTACACACATATACATGATGATCCACAACAACCACGCTCAACAACTCTCACATTAACGAGTTATGTATTGTTTTTTGGGATAACACAACAAAAAAAAAAAAAACAGTAGACGAAAGTTGTGGTTTTCATAATATTTATATGTTTGTGTGTTGTGTTATGTGTTTGATAGATTATTTACTCAATTATCAATTTTTTTTTGATTTAATTTAGTTTGGAATTAAAAAAAAATCACACTACCTTTATTACTTAATCTGGAAAATAAATAACAACAACACAAGCTTTTAAGTAGATTGTTGTTAAGGGGTGATTGATGAAACACACACACACACACACATAAACACATATTTCTCAAACTAAGAAAAATAATAATGATAAATAAAATATCCAACAAACACAAAGAATTAAAAATCATTATCAAAAACTAAAACGAAATGAATAAATGAATATGCAAACGGTGAGCTGAGACTATTTGAATTGTAAAAATAAAGAGTTTCGTATTAGTTGTAGTTGTGAATATGCATTATTATTAAGTATATTTCATTAGAGTTAGAAAAAGATAGATTGAAACAATAAAGTATAGAACAACCAACAACCAACATCAATATTCACAAACACATCAACTCAACAACAACAACACTATCATCATCTTCCAATAACCTTGGAAATAAAGAAATTAATTTCCACTCAACAACAACAACAACAACAACATCAATATATATGTTTATTTTATTATCCCCAATAGAGTTAATTGTCATCCATATTGATAATAATAACAATAGTTTAGTTAGATTGGTTTTGTCATCTCTAAACAGTCAGTGATTTTATACTACTCTCTGTTATTTATAACAAGAACATCACGCAACAACAACAGCTTCAACCAAACACTATATTTTTAATTTTATATCATTTTTAGATAGATTTGGAATAATAATATCATTTATATCGAATTAGGCAATAATAAAAACTAAAACCGTCGCTTTACTTTACAAAAAGACAATAATTGCTTTTCAATTTATAAATATTATTTTATTACAATTATTTTCTTTTATACCAATTAGTATACTCGAATCAAAATTAATATTCTCAAATCAACCAACCTAATTAAATAATAAAACAATTTAATAAGAAAGTGGAGAGAGTGAGAAAGAAAAATAGAAGAGAGAGAAAACACTAACTTTTTGGTATGTTTAATCATAAAATCAATTATTTGCTTCTTTAACTAACTTTGACAAAAATATCCATTTTGGTAATAATTGGATATTCTTTCTTTACTAAAAATATTCCAATCACATCACAAAAAAATATAATAATTTAATTTTAATTTTATTTCTAATTATATTCATATTTATATATTATTTATTATTTCCATTTTTAACTTAATACTTATTTATTATCCAAAAAAAAAAATTACAAAAAATACTTTATTATAGTCGAAATAATAATAGTATTAATAATATTTGAATGAATATATAGATTATCTTTATTTATTAATATATATAGTATTTTATTTTCATTTATATATATTCATCAATTTTTTTAGAATATATTTTTATTTATTTATATAAATTAGATAAAAAATGAATTTATATTTTAAAAAATTTATTATTTTTATATTTATATTATTTATTGTTGCTTTGTGTAGTGGAGATGGTAAGTTCAATAATTAATAGTTATTTTTTTTTCCAGATTATTAATAATTATTATTTTTTAAAAAAATAATGTGAAATATAGTGAATGTAAATGATGAAAATAGTACACCACCTGTTTCAAATCCAAATTCATTGACACCAGACACAACAGATATACCGACACCTTCATCATCTTCAGCAACACCAATATCATCATCGTCGTCATCGTCAACATCACCAAAAGATTCATCATCTTCATCATCTTCATCATCATCATCTCATTCAGAAGAATCATCTTCAGAAGGATCTGCAGCAATATCACCTACCGTTGGAACCAAATCAAATACATTTAAAACTGATTTTCCGATTATCACCATTGTGAACACCAAAAAGTCAAACAATGCATCAGTTCCTTATGTTCTTAGTCAAATTCAAGATAATGAATCAGAGAGAAATTGTAAAGGCAAAACTTTTTGTACACTTGCCGGTGATCTCACTGCAAAATCTGTCTTTAATGTATCATGTAAGTTTGAATTTTTTAATTTACCAATAGATAATTCATTTATTAATTTCTAATATTAAATAGATGCAAGTGCTTATGATAAATGTATAGGCATGTTATCAAATATTTATTCAAGAGATGGTTCTGTACATTGTAAAATATCTACATACAACACTGAAACTGGTAAATATCTATCATTTAGCATCAGTTTAAAAATATTTTTAAATATTAATTTATTTTATTATTTATAGAAAAAATGGTTTCAAAAAATTTTAATATAAACAAAAAATGTACAAATATCGCTATTGATGATAGATTTATTTGGATTACCTATGACAATATTTTAGAAGTATTTACACACGAAGAGGATTGCGGTGGAAGTAAGTTTTTGAAATACAATTTAAAATTTTATCATTTTATTAACAACTGTTTTTATTTTTTGTATAGTTTTACCAACTGATAAGGGAAAGAAATTTGTTAATGGTTCAACATATATTTTCTCAGATCCAAATTCCAGACCAGACAGAGCCATCTATGTTTATCAATATTCATCACAAGTACTTTCAAAGTATACTTATCCAACCAGTTTGAATTCACTTACCGAAGTCAGTAAGGTAAATGTTGGAAAAGCATGTCATATTTCACCAATTGGTATACCAGACAAAGTTTCTGTCAGTTATCCAGATGGTTTTAGAATTTTTAAAGTTAGTACATCTCAGTCCAGAAACTTTGAAGTCGGTGATTCTAGTACTGGAACCGACTTTTGTGGTCCATTCGTTCAAAATGGTTTAGATGTTGTAAGTATAAAATTATAATTAAAATAATCTTTATTGTCTTGTTATTAATATTTTATTTATTATTAGTTCTCTTTACCAAAAGTAGGAGGAAAACAATTTATTAAAATTGTACCTGGTTTGGAGATTCATGTTAGCAAACCTTGTGTCAATTCATCAAATGGTAGAATCGTTATTGAAGGTAGTACCGAAAGATACAACTTCACTTGGAACGATATCAATTCGACTTCACCAATCAGAAATATGTTGACTAAAGGCATTTACACTGTTACTATCACTGCAAGAGAGATTGATGTTTCGAATGTAAAGGAGATCGAAGTTTACCCACCAAATGATCCAACTCATGCCAATGTAATCGGTACATGCCAAGGTGAATCGTACGGTGGACTAAACTTCTCACTGCCAAGAGATCCTCATTTAAATTACACTTATGTCCTGGTTGATGGCAACTTCACCCACATCAATTCATCTGGTTTCTTTGATGGATTAAAGTCCAAAAACTACACTGTAAACATTACAACAGTCGATCAATATGAATTCCAATGTAACTATTCTGTTTCACTAAACGTAATAGAAGGAAGTAAGTTGAAAAAAAAAAACATTCTAAAAAATATTTTACTAATGACTTGATATCTTATAAAAGTGATGCCACCAAAACCAGTTATTGTTACTCAAGGTTCTACTTGTTTCAATAAATCGGATGCAACCATTACAATTATGAATTATCAGCCTGAAAGATATGTTTATAAATTGTATCCACCGTCACCTGTACCAATCAACAATGGAACCTATATTAATCTTTTTGGATCAACTGTTAAAGATTACAATCTTATGGTATATAATGCTAAAGCAGGTCTACAATGTAAAACAATAGCAATCATAACATTACCAGAACCACCAAGTAAGTAATATATATTAAAACAAACAGTTTTTTATTAATTTATTAATTACCAATTATTTCCAAGAATTCAAATTCCCATTTTTTAATATTACCAAACCACCTCAATGTTATGGAAAGAATTCATCAATGACAATTGAGGTTATCAAAGGTTTAGAATGTATTTTATCACATACCACCAACAAACTTATATATGGATCGTATCTCAGTGCAAACGGTACCAACTTTTATAGAAATCTACCTGCAGGAAACTATTCTTTAGAGTGCTTTGTACCGTCTCGTGATGGATCAATATGTAACAAGAAAACGACCTTCATCAACATCAACCAACCAACTCGTGTTCATCTCAATTCAACAAAGCTGAATCCCAAGTGCAACAGAGATGGTAAGGAGAATATGTTGCTATATGCATATGGAGGAGTACCCATCAACGGATCGTCCTACATGTTCGTAGGAAAGTATGCCAATGCCACTGGTCCAGCACTGAATGTCTCTTACTGGGTCGACGGTGTATACTCTGTCAATATTACAGATGCACAGGGTTGTGTAACCACCTATGACAACTTTACAATTAGCAGACCATCTGCATGTGCTCTGGTGCTGGATCAACATGGAATACCAATCAAAGGTGGTGGATTCTCTCTGATCCAACCAGGAAATGATTTAGCACTTGCACTAGGTGTTGGACTTGGAGTTGGAATTCCTGTTCTCGTTGCAGCAATCGTAGGAGGTGTATTTTTATATCGTAGAAGACAACGGGCAACTATCACTCCATCTCGAGCACCAAACACAATACCAATATATCTAGGAGGTAAAATCCAAAATATCGACAATTATTAGATAATTATAAATTTATAATATATAGTATAGTAGAAAAATATCATCATTAAATACTTATTTAATAAAAAATAATTAAAAAAAAAAAAAAAAAAAAGTAGTATAATCGATAACACAAATATATAAAGAGGTATTTACAAAACTAATTGTTATAATTTATATTTGTTCGATTGGTTTAATTTGAGTTGTAGGGTTGGTTGGTGATGAAGTAGTAGTATTTTGAGGTTGTTGTTGTTGAGCTTCCATTCTTTGTTCCAATGCTTTCATTGCGAGAGCTCTTCTTCTGTCTACATCTACTGATGTTACAGGTGCACCACCTGCTGTTGTTGTTCCACTCGATGCTTGGAAACCTTGACCAGTATTATATGATGGTAGAATCGATGTTCCACTGTGTGCTGAAACCAACTTTAATTTGGTAGCAATCTTGTAAAATATATTTGAAACAAATTGAATTGGTGGTCTAGATTATACAAATATTCAATAACTCATTAGTAATCCTCATACAATTGTGAGAAAATAACTATATACATACTGAATTGGATCAGGGAAAAATGTTGAGAATGCGAATGATTCACTTCTATCACCTTTGACACCACCTTTTAATTGGTAGAATCTCAAGTAGAACCATCCAAAGTATGCACCAAAGATAATAAATGGTAAGGTATGTCCAGATGAGAGACCGAGAAGTGTGAGTACTACACTAATGGCAATCGATATCGATGCCAAATACTTTACTCTTATTGTGGAAAACAAAAATGTGATCTCTTGTTCTGGTATCAATTGTTTCAATGCGACTGTGAATGCTGTAATTATACCTGAAAATCCACAAATGTTTGTTGCATATCTATAGAAATAATAATATATATATTAAAATACAAGAGATACTATGATAAATTATTGTTATTATACATACAAAAACATTGGGTTACCGCTAAACATAAAGAGGAACGTAAATAAAAAGAATGTTCCTACACCAGACAATACATTGACAACCATTATAAACTTTAAGAATTCAGTTGAGCCCCATACTGGTTCCAAGTATTTACCCAATAAAAGTAAGAAAACTATATTAATTATACCCTATAAAAAATTAATAAAAAGAGTAGTTAGCTTAATTTGAAAGACAATCATCATTGTACATTTAGAAATGACATACTGAAAATAGATATATTTCATATAAACCTGCAGTGAATAGTGTCCATAAAAAGAAATATGGTGGTCCAATACTATATATTTAGTTTAATAGTTATCATTGATTATTAGAATGAGTGTGCAGTCATATAGTTTAGAGTAATGATATATACATACGACCCTGCATTAATTGATAAATAAGAAATAGTTTGCGAACCAAAGAATACACCTATAAACAAAAAGAATGCTAATACACCTGCAATAGTCTTACTAAGTCTAGGTAGATTGTTAAATGGATTACCATTGGCCTAAATTATAGAAAATGAGATAAAATCAAGTAAGTTTACCAATATATACTTATTACTACTACTACTAAAAACAATAGATATTTACATATGTAGTTGATGATTCCATCTTTGTCTTGATAAATAAATAAATAAATAAAATAGATATCAAATCTATCAATTTATATTGATTTGAACAAACTTATGAGCTTTGTGTTAAATTAAAAAAAAATATGTAAATTAATTGTTTTTTTTTTTTTTTCATATTTTTATGAGACTTCTCATTGTCCACGTGTCAATTCACAACAAATATTTATATTTATGATTTATTTATTTAGATTAGATTAAATTGATACAGTTTGTTGTTGTTGTTGTTGTTGTGTTTCGTTTGTTGTTTCTGATGATGATGATGATTTTTCATAGTTAATAGTAGAATCTATTGTTTGATTTCTAGGTGGTAGTAGATGAACTTTGTTTGGGAATGCAATTTCAAAGACATCACGGTACTCTGAAGCGAATTTGACATCGATACCATTTCTAATGTAGTCTGGTAGTTCTTCATAGTCGATCTTGTTGTTCAGTGGTATAACAATAGCAGATAGACCAGATCTCTTTGCAGCTATAGTCTTCTCTTTCACACCACCTATGGTAAACACCTTACCGGTGATGGTAACCTCACCTGTCATACCAAGGTTATTAACGACCGGTTCATTCATTGCAACCGACAACAAAGATGTCACCATTGTCACACCTGCCGATGGTCCATCCTTTGGTATACTACCTTGTGGTGCATGCATATGTAATGAATACTTGGTAAATAAATAAATAACGATAGGTAATAGTAAAATAGTTAGTGTTTAATTCTCAGCAATAAAGGTTCAATTGATAAAACATAAAACACTGATAGTTACATTTTCAAAGAACTTATTCTCTGGATCTATTTCATAGAGGAAATTCTTTGCATAGGTATAGGCAATGTTTGTACTCTCAGTCATTACATCACCAAGTTTACCGGTGGTTCTAAGTCTTGGCGATCCGTGTGTCTTTTCAGCGATTGTCTCGATGTAGAGTGTAGATCCACCTCTCTGTGACCAGGCAAGACCATTGACAACACCGATTGGAGTAACGTCATAGTAACGATCTGAAGTATACGATGGTATTCCCAGGTAGTCTTCAAGATTCTCTGTATCTACAACGATATCTGGTGATCCATTGACCAACTCCAATGCCGATTTTCTTGCAATCTTTTCGACTAAACGTTCCAACTCTCTTATACCAACTTCACGACTATAGAATTTAACTAAAAGTTTTATAACTTCATCTGTTATTTGTAATTGATTCTAGAATCATTCAATTCATTATTTTTAGATTAATAAATAATCATTAAATTAAATTATTATAATAATTTACTTACAGGTTTAATTCCACATTCATTTAATGTCTTTGGAATAACAAAGTTCTTTACGATTTGAATTTGTTCTTCCTCGACGTATCCAGACAGATAAATAACTTCCATACGATCAAACAATGGACCTGGAATTGTTTGATCAGAGTTGGCAGTACAAATAAACAATACTCTTGATAAATCATAGGGTACATCCAAATAGTGATCGACAAACGATGAGTTTTGTTCTGGATCCAATACTTCCAACAATGCAGATGATGGATCACCTAAATTTCTCTTTCCAATCTTATCAATTTCTTTGATGAAAATAGAATAGACAACAATTAATATGATCATAACTTTTAGATTTGTTTGTTCTTCTGAACAATAACAAACACTTACCATCAATTAATATAACAGGATTTGAAGTTTGTACTAATTTCATACATTGTATCAGTTTACCTGGCATTGAACCAATGTAGGTACGTCGATGACCTTTAATCTCACCTTCATCAAACAAACCACCGACAGAGAATCTAAAGAACTGACGTTTCAGACACTTGGCAATCGATTTACCAATCGATGTCTTACCGGTACCGGGTGGACCAACAAAGCATATGATCTTACCTTGTACCGATCCCTTGATATGACCGACCGATATAAACTCTAATATACGCTGTTTAATATTGGTAAGTCCATAGTGATCCTGATCCAATGTTTCCTTTGAATACTTTAAATCGAAAAACTCTGGTGAGTATAGTCCCCACGGTAAATTGGTTAACCAATCCAAATAATTTCTACAAGTATTATATTCCAATGAAGAAGGATCTATTGTTGATAATTTATTCTTTGCAAAAATAACATGTTAATCTATCTCTCCAATTCTTTTTTTAAAGATACCGACAATATAATACTTACAATTTCATCTTCAATAACTTTCTTTGGACCCTCTGGTACATTTAACTTTGCTAATCTCTTTAAGTATTTCTGTACGACCTGTTCCTTCTCATCGAATTCAACACCCAATTGTTTCTTTATAGATTTCAATTGTTCATTTAAGAATAACTTTTTCTGTGTATTTACTTTTTCACTCTCCAAGTCACTAAAATAATCATATTTAAATAAGTATAAATATAGAATATATATATAAATGATTGATTGATTCATTGATTGAATGATTTACCTAAATATCTTTTGTTGTTGTTCTAATAAACTCTCTTCATTCTTTAATATGTTGTAAATTAAATCTAAACGATCTAATATCGAAGGTTTCTCTAAAATCTCTTGACATTGAGTTGGATAGTTCAAACCATAGTAGTTGATAATCGATGATATGAATATCTCTGGATCCTTGATGGTAGCGATATGTTTATCATAGTCCAACGATGGATTACTCTTGTAACACTCTGGATACATCTTATTATATCTCTTTATCAATATTCCAATCTGTAACATTTTAGCATCGATTCTAGATTGTTCTTCTTCATCTTGCTAAATATATAATTAATAATATTATTAATAAATAGTTGTTGTTGTTGTTGTTATTATAATTAATTATCGCGATTACTACTATGATTTCAAACATACAATTGATTGTGGTGGAAATTCATCGATTTTAAAGAAATAATTTAATCTCTTTGATGATTGACTTTGTAGTGATTCTTTGCTGTCCGATAGCTTGATACGTTGTTTCACTTCGAAATAGTGATATCCAAATGCCGTGGAAGAGATCTGTGCCAAGACACCGACTGGATGTACTTTTTCAATGGTTTTGTGATCTAATGGCGAATCTGCTTGTACGACACCACGGAATTCATCTTTAATCAAAAACAGTCCAACAAATATCTTACCAGAGGCATTGGGTATCAACATATTTGTGAATTGACTCGATAGATGAATAGGTCCCTTTGATCCAATGAAATGAATCGATTGTGATGGATATATCAATACTTCATTATTAATTGGCATATCTTTATCTATCAAAAAGAAAAAAAGAATAAAAATATTAATATAATAATTGATAATAATAATAATGATATATATATCGTTTAACTAAAGAGTTTACCTTTTTTAGATTGTTTATCAATCTTTGATAATGCTTCTACAGCTTCAGAACTGATAGTTGAAATATCATCTATTCTCATTGGTGTACTTGTTTTATCATTCTTTTTTGAATAATGTCTAATGATTGATTGACCTACAACTACATTATTATTTATTCTATTATTAAATTTACATGTTGTATTATTATTATTAATACTATTGAAATTATATAAACTTTTATAATTTGAATTCAATTTATTTACATTAAATAGAGTCTTACTACTACTATTTTGATTGAATAATAAGATTCTATTCATTGTTTTTTTTGTTTAATTAAAGATTTTAAATGTGTGTTGTATTAATGATCAAGTTCATTTTCAATCATAAATTGGTCATTAATTTTTTTTTTAATTTAATTTTTTTTTAATTTTTTGAACTTACCTGACCTTTGTGATCAGTAATTAGTTAAAAACGAATTTAACCAATCTTCTTTTTGTTATTATTATTTTTATTTATTTATATTTTACTTTAAATATTGTAAAGTAATAAAATGTCAACTAATATTAGAGGAAGTAATAGTGGTGTTCCTACTACTTCTACGTCTGGTAGTGGTGTTTCGACAAATACAACTGCAGCCAATACGAATGCCAGTGTTATTACAAGTAGTACTACTGCTACTACAACTCATCATACAAGTATAAGAGGTACAACCACTCCCAACAAGACAAAGAGTCTAAGAGAGAGTGCAAGCAACATTAATACGAGTAAAGATAAAATTGATAATCAACAACAACAACAGCAAAAGCAACAACAACAGCAACCAGATGAACAACCAATACAATCGATTTCAAAATCAACACAACTATCCAAGAAACACATAAGAGATCAATTGGAAAAGAAGAAAGAAGATATAATTTCTCGGGGTATTAAACCTATTATGCCTCATTTAGAAGAGAGATTCAACAACTTTTTTAATAATCATTTACCAGAGTTAATTGTTATCTATTCTGAACTTTATGTATGCGTTGTTTAATACAAGTTACATTATAACTTATCTTGTAAGATCAATAGAATTAACTTTACTTGTTTTTTTTCTTTTTTTTTCATTTAATAAGGAACAATGGAATACATTTAAATTCATGGATGACGCACAACCTTATTTATCTAAAACAGAGCAAGATTGTGGATTGGAGGCTAGTAAAGTTAAAAAATATACTGATATTAAAACAATGGTAATTATTATAAAACAATCGATTGTTTAAATGAAATGCTTATTAACAACAAAAAAATATGAATTACTTATAAAAATAGAATCAATTGGATACATTCCTTTATCTACAATTGACAGCAAATATTATTCCCTTGCTGGGTGAAATTCTTGTATGTACCTTTTTATATCTACCACCGCCCAGCGATACAAACAGCCATGTTAAAATTCTAACTGTAAATATTGAAACAATCCAATACAATATAAAACTATAACAATAATAGTTACTAGTAGCAACTAACTAACCAATTTATTTAATAACTACTTGTTTTTTAGGAATCATTATATGTTCCATTGTATACCTTTTCCGATAGTTTTGAAAAACAATTATCTCGTATCAATACAATGCCTTCAAAAAAAATACCAGAAGCAAAGGTAATTAAAACTCAAAATGCGTTCAAAGTAAATTCCAACCATTTATATTAACAGTATTATTATTATTATTTCAGTTGAAAAAGTATCCAAATATCGAAGATTATGCCTCGTTTACTGATAATCTAAATTATTTGATTGCCTATAATCGCATTGATACAGTTCGTTCTACTTTGAGTACACTCATTTCATTGTATAATTTCTTTTCCAACAATATGTCAAACTTTGAGGAAATCATATCTTCATTCAGAAATCAACAATAAAAAAAAAAAATATAAACATCTTTATTTAAAAAATTGGTTCTACAACCAACAATATATAAAAATATAAAATAAATTAGATAATTATAGGTAATAATAACAATATTATTAATCATTATAATAAATTTTTATGTTTTTTTTTTTTTTTGAGAAATATGTGAATAAACAAACTTTCACTTGTATCATGAATCGCCGATTTGAACTGTTAAATAAAATATAAAATTAATGTCAATAATGAATTTAATTTTTATCTATTTCTGTACAGTGTGGGTAACCTGCACCTCTTTAAACTATCTATTTGATATTAAAGTTAAAAATAAGAATAATAATAATAAATTTTTCTGAATATCACGTGGTTCAATTATTTTGTGAATTAATTACCTTACAGGTGGACCTGACAGGTTTGTTTCATCATGAAATAAAACGAAAAAATATTTAAAAAGTTTTGGAAGGAAAGGATATATATATTCAATTCAATATAATAAAAAAAATAGAAAGTACTAGAATATCTAGAATAAGTAGAAAAAAATGATGATTTCTTGGTTTACTTTAGTTTTGGTAGCTATTTCAGTTTCTATAACAAGTGCATCTATGGGATTTTGTGATCCAAATGACTGTGGTGTTGATCAAGTCTGTATGCTTGATAACAATGTAAAGCATTGTATCTTACAGAATGATGTCCATAATATAGCTTTAACTCAGGTGATGGAAAAGACATGGGTAGAGAATGGTAGAAATTTCACTCTGTATCGCTTTCATATTATCAACTTTGGTGTCAAAACCTTGAAACATATTTCAATTCAAACAGATTCCACTTTAGATCCAAGAGATAATACTTCTATTTGGAATATTGAATTCAATAATGGATTCTTTACTCTTCCTTTCTATAGTTTTGGTATTCCAGCTGGTGGTGAATTTATTTTTGGATACATTGACCATGGTGTTAAAGCTCCAAACCTCTACATTCGTTCAATTAATTTTTAATAAAATTATTCTTTAAGAATTCAATAAATAATAATTTTATAATCTTTTTAAAAATCTTGTTATCATACTATAGAAATAATAAAAGAAAAATATATTTAAAAGGTTGAGTTGCTAAGAACTATCAGAATAATAAAGAGATTCATAGAGAAGAAGAGAAAAAAAAAAATAAAGAGTTATTTTATATAATAGAGAATAAATAACCTATTATAATATGTAGTTGATTCGATGAATATGTTAAATACTTTTAAAGTATTTTTTTTACAGTTTTTTCTATTTCTTAATTGGGCAAACTTGATTTTGATTATGATTACTGTAAAAATTAATTATTTCTACCACCTATCCATCTATCTTATAGATTTATATTATTTTTATTTATTTGATTTAAAACATTTAAAATATAGGTACAAGAAAGATATATAAATTAAAAATTATAAATTAAAAAAATAGTATTCCAAGACCATCAGGACCCGGAGATTTATGCGGGTTAGACGACATTTTAAGTTTCTGTAACCAATGGGTTTTCCCACTATGCCAAAAGGGAAGTTAACTAATTATCATCTGCTCCACAACCTTCATACACTTTCATTGTTATACATGCGCGCTTATTGGGTTATATCTCTTTTAAAAGTGGCTCAACCGAGAATCGAACTCGGGGCCTCAGGTTTACAAGACCTGCGCTCTGCCAGCTGAGCTATAGAGCCATATGATATGATACCATTGGATCTATAATGCCTTTTGATATGAGGCAAACTGATATTAAATGATACTATTTTAAACGTTACAATACATTATAGAAATCATTAAATAGTATTTCTTTTTTTTTTTTTAAAAACATCTTTTAATAATAATTGTTCATTTGATAACAATGAGTCAAGATTTTCAATCAAACAACCGGTTATATCTCGATGTTTCTGATTTATTTGTTTGTCGATATTCATGAATATCTTTCTTTCACAATTTCCATTGGAATTGTCATTCTAACGTGTGGTATTTCACATTCATAAAACACTGGAATGGTAGTGTCAGTGATAAAACCACATTTCGAATAAAAGCTTTCAACATATTGTTGTGAATTAATAATGTAACATGGATAGTTTTGTTCTTTAGTTTCCTTATAAACAGCTTTGATTGTTTCTTCTACTAAAATTCTACCATAGCTATATGGTTGTTACAATGTTATAAAGTAATAATCAATATCTATATCTTTAGTTAGTTATGGTTTGATTAATCATACCTTTTACCACGGAATTGCTTAAAGATTGCGAATCTCTCTAGCTTATAAACATCTTTATCTGCTAAATGATATTTACGTGATCTAGAACAACCGATTGGTATATCATTATCAAGTAATAAGTAATGAGTTGCTTCTGCATCATATTCATCATATTCTTCATCTAATTATTATTATTATTAAAAAAAGCATTTAAATTTTGAATGTTAGTTAATATTCAAAAGTATTGTTTCTATAGTTAATCAATTACTAACCTTCAGGACATTTTTGCTCTGTTACAAAAACATCATATCTTATCTTTCTAATCTCTTTAAACTCTTCAGTGTCTATCTTTGTAGAAATAAACTTTATATTACTTGAAATCATTCTTTTTTTTATATATTTATAATATTACAACTACACAACAAAAGAAATAAATAAATTAATTTAATAGATAGGATCGACTTTTGCTTAAGTTAAATTACCTAAATCTAGAAAAAAAAAAAAATAGATTTTTATTTATTAATCGATTTTTATTTTTCATTCATTATCTATATCATCTTTAGCAAGTTGATTCAATAATTTAGTATCTACGAAACCTCCAAAAAAAGAAGAATTACCCAAGAATATATGATCGTTGATTCTTCTGATATTGAATCGCATCGATTTATATTCAAATACAATCGATTGTATAGATTCTGGTAGATCTTCTAAACTATTATTTAAAAACAATGAAATTCCAACATGTAATGTTATCCTAGGTGATGCTATTTCATTACTACTACTACTCTTGTTATTAATAATAAAAGCATCTTTAGCAATTTTCGAAGAATATTTATGAGAAAAGTAGATATCTTGAAGAGTAGGTGGTAGTGTTTGACAGTTAATAGGATGTTCATAGTTCAATCCGAATTTCAATGTGCGCAACTTTCTTGGTAGTACATCTCTCTCTATGACACAATTGTATCTCGATCCCAAGTCCAATACCTTTAGGGAATCGGGTAGAACCATCCGCTCAATCGGGAGTAGATTCGATTCGCCAAAGTGAAGTTCCTCTACAGACTCTGGAATATCACCTGGTTTCAATGGTTTGTTGAATCGAAAACCAAGATGTAGTGTCTTGACACTCAAAGGTATGACACCAGGCTCCAAAGCATAGTCGTAAAACAATCCTAAATTCAATTTCGTAACACTGTTTGATATGATTCCTGGTCGCAGATTGTGCAGCGCCAAACTATAAAAGTTTAAATCTTCAATGTGTCTGGGTATAGAGCTTTCATTGAGTTCAATCGCGGCCAAACTCGAAGAGAAACTCAGCTTTTTAACAGATGATGGCACCAAGTGTAACAATTGAAATGGAATCTTACAGAGTGATGTCAGATGGTTGGAGAACAAGCAATTCGGTAGCACCTCTGGTAGTACTGATCGGTTGCTAAGAGTCAGTGATACCAGACTGGGTGGTAGATACTCTGGAAAGTGATTATACGAATGTGCAAATCGTAGTTTTTCTAATTTCGGTGGCAGTACATTCACTTCAATCCTCTGGTTGAAATAGATACCGAATACAAGAAAACCAAGTGATTCTGGAAATATACCGGGTTGTAGTGGTTGATTGAAATACGATCCAAATATAATAGTCTCAATGCCATTGGGAAATGTACCAATCTCTATTGGTTGATTAAATTCATCTCCGAGATACACCTTTTTCAAAGAGTTTGGTAGGCTTCCAGGTATTAGTGGTAAATTAAAACAATCTCCAAATTCAATGACCTGTAATGTTTCTGGTAAGACACCGGCAATCGAAGGTGATACAAATATTCCACCATTCAATATCGATTTCAAATGTGATCTATTTAAACCAGGTATATTCTCCAAAGTTCCAAATTCATCTATATACAATAGTTCCAATCCATTTGGAATACTAAAATTTTCATTTCCCTCTAAAAATAAAATATTAATATCTTTTAATTTACTAAACTATTTCTTATTTATTTACCTATAAAGTCCATATAATCATATTCAAATAAATCAGATTCTATATCATTTTTGTTTTGATAGAGAATCATAGAGTTTGGTATTCGTAATGATATTGATTTCTCGAAAATATTTCTATATGAATGCATACAGAAAGATTCAATCTTATCGATTTCTCTTACTACCAATTTCGATGGATTGAAAATCATATATTTCTCTCTTTCCAAAAATAGTTTTCTACATGTTAAACTGAAACATATGAAATCTAAAATTGATAATTTTTTGAATATTTCCTTTATTAACAAAAAAGATAAATCTAATATTATTAATTTTGTAGTAATTGATTTTATTTTCTTTGTTGATTCAATTTTATTTTGATATGATGGTGATGTTGATGATGGTGATGGTGATTCTTTGGATTGTAATACTATTTGATTTTTTTCGAACATTTAATTATAAATTGATATAAAATGGGAAATTAATTAATTATAAATAAATAAATAATAGTTTTTTATGAAAAAAAATATTGTTTTAAAATCAATGAAATAAATTTAAAGTTTTATTTTTTTTTCAGTTTCAAAATTATTGGGTTGTTTTAAATGTTGAAAATAATTATTACTAAATTAGAATTTTTGATCTGTGTGATTGGGGAGATGAGATTACGATGCATGAAATTTTAAACAATGATGATTCTTTTTTGGTGTGTGTGTAGGTGAACTCCTTATTAAAATGTAAAATTAAAAAAAAAATAATTTTAACCAAAAAAATATTTGCTGATCGATGACCAGATGCCACTTTGCACTTGCATGTTGATACGATCGAAATTGATATTGGACTTATCGATTCTGTTGATAATGAGTAGTGTTGCAGAATCGATCATAAGATCCTCTACAGTGAGCAAAAGATCTTCGTTTGTAAAAGGTGCCTGGTTGGTACTTGAACTGATAGAGTATGGACCATTATAACCATCGGTTCTATTAAAATTTATATAGTCTCTAATATATTTAAAATGATCTTTTGGACTTAATTTATATGATATTGTATTTCCATCTAATTGTTGAATTTTAATTATACTAAAAAATTAAAAAATAAAACAATTAGTAATTAATCCTCCTATTTGTTAACAAAATAAAAACTCTAACTATTTTGTTGAAAATTATATTTACCTTTGTGATTGTTCATAGTTATTGAATTTCTGTCTTTGTGCATTTCTAAACTCACGTAATTGATCCTCCTGTTTCTTATTTTCCTTTTCTAAATCTGAAAGTTTCTTTCTCTTCTTTTCACCTGTTGTTGTATCGATCTTTGTTTTTTCATTATTTTTTGCATTGTTTTTGACAATCTCCAAACATTTATGTTTATCTTGTTCTTTATGACTAATGTTTTTTTTATAATTAAAAACAAAAAAGTAGTGTAAGTTGTAAGATCTACTATTATTTAACTTGGCTCTTACACTTACATATAACAATAATAGAGAGTACAATCATAACACTTGAAATTAACCATTCCTGTATCTACACAATTTTCAATTGCACATCTCTTTACTTGAATTCCACCACATTCTTGTGTGAGATGAAGTGATAGCTACATGTATATTCGAAATATATAAAAGTAAATATGTATTCTTATCTTTTGTTTTTTTTTAATTATATTACAGCTAAATCTATATTTAATTCTGATTTAAGAGTTTTTAGACACTGAGGACACTGATATGATATTTCTTCCATGATCTTAAACAATATTTATTATTTGTAATGTAAACAAAAATGAATGAAAACTGTTAAAAATGATCATAAAGTAATGAGGGATATAAATTAATCATTTTTTCCTAAAAAAAATGAAAATGTGTTTGCAAAAAATGATTCGTTGTTTTGTTTCTACGTCTACCACTACTTTTTTAATAACTTTGATTTATTTTTATTTTTATTTTTTTGGTTTTTCACCGATTTAAAATTTTAGATTGGCAAAAGAAACTTTGATCACTTTACTTTGATTCAAAAAGAAAATCTTTGATTTTTATTGTTTTTAGAAGTATTTAACTTTTAAAGGTATTGATTAATTATGACCAAAACTCTTCTTTGATGACCTTTCCTTCTTTTGTCCATTCTAGTTACATTATATTGTTAGAGATAAATCATTTAAATGAAATTGATGTTTTTTTTTTGTTTCTTACCTTGGATTGCCCATTGTGTATTCTTTGAGTTTACTCCACCTTCAGTTATATCCATATACATTTCATAAGCACTATTCAATCCTTTTAAATATTTATTAATAACTTTATTTTAAAGATTTAAATCTTTATATTTAAGTTACTTACCATCTACCATCATCTTTGTCAATTTAACTTCATTGATAACAGCATTATCTACAAACCATTGTTCGGCTATACGATTTTGTTCCTTGAAATTTAATTTTTAACAAAAATATTAATAAATTGTATTAATTTATAGTAGTCGAGATACTATACCTTTCCGACTCTATTTGTACAATTTCCTTTCTCATACATCACTACATCATCATGATAATACTTTTCAAATGATTCCAAGATTCTATTCTCTTTAATTGAATCAATGATATCATTTAAATTATCTCTTACCATTTTACTAAAACAAAATTTATAATTAGCAGCATATTTTGATAATTCTTTTAGTAATATTTACGTTTCAGGGTCTTCAAACCAATCATATCCTTGTTTAAAAGATAGAATTAATTCTGATCTACATATTGAAATAAAACAAAAATAAATTAAAATATTTACTAAAATTATAGTTTTCATAGTTTATTTTAATTGATATAATTTTTATTTAAAATTAAAACAAATAAATCATGATTAATTTTAATCAAATAACATAATATATATACTTTTTACATAACACTAACAACATTAATTTATTTTAACACGAACAACACTAATAATAACTCTGTTATTCCGATTTTTCTCCAAAGCATTGTAATTGTAAGCACAAAATTTAAGAAAAAAAAAATCTCCTTTTTTTTTTTTTTGTATTATTGATTAAGATATATTTTTTACGTGTAGAATAAAAAAAGAATAAAGAATAAAGAATAAAGAAGAAAGAAGAAAATAGATAGAATGGTTAAATATTTTTTATCAAAGAAATTAGCTAATGTTTCAAATAGATTTAAGATATATGATGAAAACGATCAAGTGGTGTATTACACAAAAACAGATCTAGCATCACTCGGGCTCAAATTGAGTGTGTTTGAAATGATAGCTACACCGCCGCAACAACTACAACAACAACAAGAAAAAGAACAACATGAAATATACTACATGAAAGAGAAAGTCAAACTATCAATGCATAGAAAGTTCGAAATCTATAAGGGTGGTGATCACCTACATGTGATAGCTGTAATCCGGCAAGATAAACTATGGAATCCGACATTCTCTGTGAAAGGCGATAGCTTCACACTAACTCTAAAAGGTAACAAAATGGCTAGTCACTTTCAAGTATTAAACGATGATGGTATAGAATGTGGCAGGATCGAAAAGACTTGGAGAAAGACAAAACCTACCTATGAACTAGACATACTTGATAGTTTTGAATTTGAAATACCATTCTTTTTTTGTTTCGCACTGGCAATTGATCGTACTTTCTTTAATAATACAACAAATGGTTAATATTAATTAATTAAAAAACTACATAGTGTTAATAATTAATAGTTATTTATAATTTATTTAAAAAAACAATGTTTATTTTATTTGATTAAAGGTGTTGTTGGATAGGTAATGGTTACGTTGTAAACGTTTGTTTTAGTGTTGAATTCAATTCGTGTTTGTACATCTATCAATGTGTAGTTATTATTATTATTATTATTATTTGAATTCTGAGCTTTGAGGTAGACAACGACTTTATGAGCTTTGACATCCTGGTTGATCCATCGCGATGACAGATCCGTTTTTGCACCGCTCTCAAAGATAAAGGTCTCTCTAACTGTCTGTGCAGTTGTTATGTTTGTGTAGCATGCTTCACCGCTTATCTTGGCATCGTGGTAATGTGACTCTTGATATGGCAACGGTTTTAATTTCAATTTAAAATGTTCTTTTTTTTGACATTGGTTTGTTGACTTTATTTTTATCTTTGGATCATCAGAGTGACTTTTTTGTTTATGATCATCATCATTTTTATGTTTATGATCATTTTTATTTTTATCTTTATCTTTTTTATGATGATCTTTTGAACAAAACACACCAACTATTAAAAAACATACTAAAATAATTATTATAATATTATTATTAAACTTCATTGTTAAACATATAAAGAGGATTGTATAGATAGAGATAAATAAAATAATAATAACAAAGTTTAGTTAACTACTACACTTTTATCATTAAATTTGGCAATGATAAATTTAATTTGTTATAAATATAAATTTACAATCAATTATTAATAATATTGTCAATCATTCAAATAATAAATAAATAATACATTCATTTTTTTATTTTTATTTTTTATTTTTTTGTTGGTGTTTAATCTTAGGAATACCATAGTGCTGTGTTGTATTGTGTTTTTACAGAGGTAGTCTGAATTGATGATTGTGGTTGTAAGTTGTATAAATCAAATAGCGTAATTGTATAGGATGTGGTAGCAGTGGGTTTCGATAAGAAAATCACGTGTCTATCGGTATTCTCGGTGTATGCAAATGGTAGACCGTCACTTGGCGATCCAAACGCATTGGAAGTTGAGTAAACTACCTTGGATTGTGCTGTCATCGCTGAATCAGACAATTCGATTGCAATGAGTGAAATCATTTGATTGCCAGTGTCAACCATGTAGAGAATGTTGCCGATCGATGTGAACAAAAGGTAGACTTGGCTTGACAGTCCAGAGGATACATCCTCTGTGAATTTATATTGTTTAACTGGCTGATCGGTGGACAGTGTATTGAAAACCAAAATCGATCGAGTGTTGTCGGTGACGTAGTTAACATAGTATAGTCCTGTATTTTGGTCGAGTGCACCAACCAAACTATTGGTATACTTTGGATCAACCACAAATCCAGTTTTATTATAATAAAATCGGTCAATACTGGCATCGTAATTATCAAAAGTAAGAATGTCAAGGTTGTAATTGTTGTGATTCCATGCTGGGAGATAGAGGTCAAGAGTTACTTTGGATTGTGGTACAAATTGTTTAGTAAAATTAAAAACACCCATTCCATTTCCATAATAATCTGAAAAAGTAACAAATCCATATCTAATTGAATTAAATGTTCAAAATTATTAATTATTTTTTATTTTATTTTTATTTATAGAATATGATATTTACTTACCCTAGGTCTGAAAATGAACCAGGTCCAAAAGTTGGATGGGAATTTATATAAATTTGTTGAAATAGGAAATCGTACCAATTTACTCCATCATAATCTGTAACACTAATAATATTATAATTATTCTGTGATGTCAAAGTTTTATTGAGACTTCCATCTTTTAAATTGATTTTTGTGTATTTAAAAGTTTCTTTTGATCCTTGTGGAGGGGAACTAAAAAAAGCAAGAGTATGAGGGATCCCTTCTTGACTCTGTAATTATTAATTTTAAAAAATTATAAAAATTAATAAAATTTTTAAATTTGGTATAAGAAAAGAAAAAATCTTACTTTTATTAAAGAAACTGAAATAAATATACAAATACATAAAAAGATTTTTTGGTAAGAGATAAACATTTTTTTATTTTTATAAATTTTAAGTAGTTTAAAACGAAAACTGAACTTGATCTAAGAATTTTAATTTATATTGAATTTCAATCCGATCAAGATATTTTTAAAAAATAGAAATCAGTTTACAAGTTTAAAGATCTCATCATTCTTCTTTTCAAGAAAAAAAATGAATCTTAAACAAAAATCGAAAAAAAAATGAAAAATAAGTTGACATCATTTTTTTTGGAGGGTTTGCAAAAATAAATGATCATCAAATTAATTCCCTCGCATATCACATCAACATGGTTTATTTGAAGTCAAGTGTTGTTAAAACTCTGGTCAAATGATGATAACAAATAAAATTATAGAAATTATAATAAAATATCATAAGTATTTACAGAAAGATTATGTTTACGATTTATAATATTTAGTGTATTCTTTTGATTGCTTTACGAATCAAAAGTGATTTTATTATACATTTATAGATTTATTTAAAGTACAGTGAATACCTCGATTTCAGAGACAGTAAAGTTATAGGTTGTTGCGAATGTTGCTTTAGCTTTGCCTGTGGTGTCAGCGTAACAGTTCGGAAAGTTTTGATAGCTTTGTTGGTTTGCGTTGCATTGGTTGCTGATGTAGAGGTCATGACCACCACCAAAGGTTGGTCCATAGCCGTTGTGTCCATAGACAACGTTGGTGTTGTTGGCAATAGGTGCGTACTTGGTAGGTTGAATATTATTTTTATTAACCATTGTATAGATGAAACACTTGTTATCACCATAGTATGCACCATTACTATTCCATGACTGACTGTTATAACCACCAAACACATTGCCATCACTCGATTTGACAACAGTAAGAGTTGCACCTTTACCATTACATTTATTATGGAAAGTAGCTGATTCGAATCCATCTTTTGTACCCTGAGTGTTTTGTTGTATTATTAATAATATAAAAAAACAATATTAATAAACGTTATATGTATTTGGCTAAAGATATGATAGTTTTTTGTTACCTTGTAAATCAATTCATAACTTAATTCGCCACCTAACCATCCATTGATAATCTTAAATTGGTCATGAGTTATCAAATCGGATTGTGTTGGCGGTACAAGTTTGTAAAATTTCATTTCTTTGCTGACTTCAGGCTTGACGGAATCGGGTATAGGTGTGTCACCATCACGTAAGAAGTTCAATATGTATCTAAAGTGAGTTCCATCTCTATTAAAATAGTTAGATTGTATGTTAAGTTAAATGTAATGATTATTAAAAAGTGTAAACATATAGATGGATACATTTTACTTACCTGTCAATAAAGAATGTATTATTTGGTTTACCGGATACAGATTGAATGTCAATTTGACCGGAGAGCATTGCATCAAAGTAGGAACCAGGTATCTTTGTCAATGTTGACTTTGATGTCTGGAATTTCATGCCACCAACGTTCAGTGTGATTGGATCGGGTATCAATGATATATCGATGGCCTTCTTCACATCGAGAAAAGCTGCTTTTCTAATCTCAAGATTTTTGATCTCTTCCTTCAAAGCATTAATATCTTCATTGTATAACTCTACCAATTCTTTCAATGAACCTTCAATCTCTTTGGTTTTAGTTTGAGTTCTATCTAACATTTTATTTACAATATAATATGTGATTATTTATTATTATCTTTTATTTAATTTACTTAATTAAATATTAAAGTGTTATTTTTTAGTTTTTTAGTGATCATGTCACAACTTAAATTTTTAATTTAATTATCCATTTTTGGAATGCAAAGAAAAATCAAAATAAAATGATGAATTTTTTATTTTTTTTTTACAAAGACGACTATTTTATTTTATTTCTACTAATAGTAAATGACTCAGTTGACATGTAAGATTGAAAATGAAGAAAAATGCATTGCAATCTCTACTTTTATTTGTGTATTTGAAAAAAAAACACTTCAAGTTGTGGATGATTAACAAGATTTTAGTAATTAGGTATTACTTCAAAACCATCTTAATCTTGTCACTCTAGACAGGTCTAAATATCTAACTTTAGAGGTTACATGAAACCCTCATTGCTCTCTATTTCTAACAACAAAAGATCATCATTCTAGTTTGTAGATTCTAGAAAAAGTATGATATCTGGTAATTATCATGATTATTTAGTTTATTAATAATAAAACTGCTGATTTATAATTACTCGAAACCCAGATCTCAGATTTGTTGGATTCAAAAGTTGTTTTGTAAAACACATCATACACAATAAACACATTTGGCACCATGCTCATTTTTTGTTAATCATTGCAAAAAAAAAAAAAAAAATCACTCAAAAAAAACCATCAAAAAACCAACCATCTTAGATAATTTGCACATTAGCGGATCGATCATTTAATGGGGTTTTTTTAAAGAAAAACAAAAAAATCAAGAAGATTTTTTGGGAAAAAGAATCTAAGTTATATAACTCAACTATTCATTCACCCGACGATTTGTTTCAATATCCATCTACTCTCTCCATGTTATTTTGATTATTAGATGTTTGTGTTTTTAAAGATATTTGCTATCATGTACATGATTCTGTGTTTTTTTTTTTGTTTTGATTATCTTACCTAATTATTGTTAGATTTTACGATGTTGTCATTCGTATTGGAACCGATATCAATTGAATTTTCCCAAACAACATCAAATCTAAGAACTAACCTATGTTGTTTCATTTCTAAAGAATTGTTTTTTTGTTGTATTAATATTTTTTTGTTGTATTGTATTTCTTTATTATTTAATTATTTCTTTTTTTTTTGAAATAAATAATAATGGAGAAAATAAATATATTTTCCATTTTTTTAATAATTTTAATATTTACACTAGGAATTAAAAAAGTTGATTCTGCTGTGGCAAGTATTTCCCAGTGGAATGCTGGTTTGGGAGCAAACTACCATTTCTATGGTGTTCTATCATCGGCTGGTCTTACTTCGATTGGTCAAGTTTTATCAGCAATCAGTATGGAGGCACCTCCTCCTGCATGTCCAAAATGTAAACCGTAAGTTGAGGTTGAAACAATTTTATATTTATATTGCTTTTTTTTTTAAATTTAATAATTATTTAATATTATAATATATTTTTTGTTTATAGATATTTGGCAACAGTTACTAGCTATGAAGAATTAAATTTCTTATCAACTAGCTATTTGAATAGTTTTGCAGTGGGAACAGCTGTTTTCGTAAGTGGTAGCAGAGACGATAACAATCCCGATAATTGGGCTTTCAACTCTGGACCAGAGATAAATCAAACATTTTTCACTACATCCACTGGTCAGTATACATATTTTTCTGGCTTTCCTTTATCTTTACCTGGAGACACTCCATCCGTAGACTACGTATATGTATTTCCAAGAAATAATTTCCTAAGAACTTCAGGTTTCAATCAACCAAATAATATGGTTTACTATTTTGTTGAATTCTCTCCCAATGAACCTTATATTCCACCTGTTAGCACAAGAGGTGAAATAGTATTAGCCAAAGTATGTAAAGAAAAAAAAAAACTATTAATTTCGTTTATTATTAATAGTTTTTAATAATATCTTACTAAAATAACCATTAGTATCTTGATAGTTTTGTTATTGATCTATTGGTAATCACATTGATACCAGGTAATGGTGGCCTACCAGTGGAGTGTCCAATCACTTCAAGAGATAATCACTACAAAGAAGTAAATGTCCAAATACCACCGATGATTGGAAATGTAAACTATGATATCATATTGTCAGATGGTTTCACTAATTTCAATTTGACCAATTATAAATATAAAGGTATTATTTTATTTAATGAATATTTTTTTAATCATTTTATTAATTTTTTTTTAATTTTATTTTAGCACCTGTTGCATTATCTATTTATCCTGTATTTCAATTAAATGATTTATTAACAATTGGTAAGAAAGATCTATTTTAGATTAATTAAAAAGAAAAATATTTTAAATTTAACATTTTCCTTTTTTTTTTTTTTTTCATTTACTCACTTAATATTATAGTTGGAGATAATTTTGGTAATGATCATTCGATTATTACAGTTACAACAGGAGCCAATTCAAATCCATGTACATATGTTTATATGATAGAGCCACACCGAGTGATATCATGTCGTCTCGGTACTCTCGTTGATACTACACCTCTTTTACCAATTAATATTAAAGTTGGTACCAGCTATTTGATATCAAACTTCCGTGTTCCATTTTGTAAGTAAATTTTTGATAAAAATAATCATTGTTAATGATATTAATTACTATTTAATAAACTATATATATATATATATATATATATATAGATGAACCAGAAACTGTAAAGATGCACAAGATTGTTGCTAGTTTCAGTTTGTTTAGTGAGATGCTACAAGGTGTTGTCGATATGAGAAAGATATCGAATATAGATGGCAATAAACCGTATCTTGGAAACTTTGACAGTTTAAATCAAATGCAATTGATCAAGAAAGTGTATGCTTGGGGCGCAATAACCAATAACGTTGTATTCGTCGGTCTCATCGGTAACAGCTCCAATGATGCTCTGATTGCCAATGGTGGTGGTCCGCGTGACGGCACTGTTGCTGTCCGAGCTTTAAATTGCCAAACAATCTACTGTCCAAACGCATTCGCCGGTAACACGGCAGTCAATGGACCTACACTCTACAATGGAGGTGACAACTACTTCAAATTGGGTGGTTCTTCACCACCGCCTACCGTCGGAGCATTCTACCAATTCGGAGACACCCCGGTTATTCCACCTCAAAACTTCACAATCGATGCAAACGGTGGTATCGTTATCGTTCCACTTCTCTCTGGATCCGTTGGATTTAAATACACAAAACGTTCCTACTTCTTGAATAACATCAAGCAGAATGCTAGTATTACGATTATCGATAATTCAAACTTGGGTATTACCATTCCACCCGGTGTAAATCAAACACTGAATCTAACGATTACCATTGAGAATTTGGTGTTCTCTGGTCACACCGTTACTTATAAGCCACCTACTATTGTGAGTGTTACACCTACTCCAACCACTGGTGGTAGAGTTACCATTCATGGTTTCAGTCTTGGTAACGATCCAAATCTCATTCAAGTGTATCTAGATACTCCGGAGAACGTCTGTAGTCAGCCTTCCATCCTACTCGAAGGTTATATCATGTCGTGTGACATACCACCTGGAGTAGGTGTCAATCATATTCTCTACTTGAGAGCCGGTGACTTTAGAATCAACGGATCGTTCTCATACCTTCCTCCAACAATCCAGTCGATCACAACTCAACAAACAACCATTTCTATTCTTGGATCAAGTTTCGGAACGAGTGATTTCACTCCTTCTATCTTTGTACCGTTTAATATCACACCTGAACTCTATCTTACAGATCCACAGTTGCTTGTTGCCACCATTCCTGTGTACTCTCAGAATGGTATGGTAACCGTTACAGTTGGTGGACAATCGACTCGATTCCCATATGTTTTCCAACCACTTCTCACCTCTGTGAATCCTAGCTCGATGACAAATACCGAAGGACAAATGATAAATATTACCGGTATCTACTTGACTAGATATCGTACTGATAACACTCAGACATCGACCTCTGTCACTGTTGGAGGAAGACAATGTTCAAACCCTTCGTTCAACTATGATGTTAACAACACTTATATCTCGTGTTTCGCTCCACCCGGTACTGGAAAGTCAGCAGTTCTTTTGGTGAATATTGATGGAAAGTATTCGAATGCTCTACACCTTAATTTCCCTCCTCCAGCTATAACCAGTTATACTCAATCGAAAACCATTCTAACTATATATGGTAGCAACTTTGGTCCTGATCCAAGCAAGATCAAGGTGGAGATCAATAATCTTATATACATTGCCAGTAGTGTAAGTGCCAACCCATCGATTGCAATTGTCACCATTCCATCTACTACACAAAATGGATATATCAAATTGATTATCGATGATCAAACATCGAATCAACTTGTTTTAAATCTTCAACCCTCAATCGATAAGGTATCAAAGGCACCAGTTTTTGGTGGACAAATTCTCATCAATGGTCTATTCTTTAATACCATCGATAGTAATGGTCAATCGATGTCATTCAATGTTACCATTGGAGGAAAACTATGTACCAATCCATCTATAGTGATAAACAATCAAATTAAATGTCAAGTCGCAAGTGGTACAGGTGTATTGGAGTTAAAAGTTAATATTGGAAACAATATTTCTATTGCCACAGAGTACAGCTACATTTCACCTGCTATTTACAATACTGCATTCTATCCAGTCAACGATACACTAGTAATTCGTGGTACTAATCTTGGTACTGAAGCACCTCTTATCTCCTTGATGGCGTCAACAGGCTATCCAACAATCATCACTACCCTTGTTAATTCTTGGTTTGTCTGGGGTGACACATCGTTCCAGTATGCCTATTTCCAAGTACCTGAAGACATGTTGAATGGTTACCAGAATGTCAGTGTCGACGGCTTACAATCAAACTATATTGAATTGATTCTGTCACCCAATATCAGCTCTATTCAAAGTGATATTCCAACGACCGGTGGAATGATTACCTTGACCGGAAATCATTTCGGATGGGTAGATAACGGTAAAAACTCTAATGGTTTAAGCGTTATTGATGCCGGTTACTATGTTGAAATCAATAGGATTTCCTTCACACAGATTATCTTCTCATCTATTAGATCCGCAGGTTTTAGAGATTACGTATACATCAAAACCTGGAGGAGAAATTCTAATGTTGTCAATGTAAAATACCTACCACCAACAATCGATTATGACTATCTCCAGTTTGATACTACTAAAATCAGACTCAATGGAACTAACCTTGGAGAATGGATTTCACCCAAGGCCTATTTGAAATTCGCTGCTTTCAATGGCGGTACTGTTACCATTGGCTTGCTGACAGTAAATCATTACAAATTGGAAGCATGGATACCTTGGAATGCCTATAATGGTAAACTCTCGGCGATGATCTATGAACAGGAATCAAACGACATTGATCTCTTCCTTCGACCAAGTGTAACATCGATTTCATCTGTAGACTTTATCGGTGGAATCTGTACACTCTCTGGAAACTTCCTCAACACAATGAGATCCGATAACTCCAGTACCAATCCAACGCTCGCATTCCCAGATGGCTCACAATGCGAAAATATCAGACAGCTACCAGCCAATCTATTGACCAAACAAACCGTTTTAATATGTGATATGCCACCAGGAAATGGTACAGACATTCCACTTAAATTGACTATCGATCAACAATCAACAACCGTTTACTTCACCTATGGTGCACCACAGCTTATTTCATTGGAAGTAAGCGACACCAACCTTGTTACACTCAGAGGTAGATTGTTTGGTACCAATACAACTGCTATCAATGTTTTCCTTGGCACTGTTTCCATTCCCTTCTTGACACTACAGGACGATATGATCACCTTCCAAGCCGGTCCACTCTCCAAGAACAACATGGTTTATGTTTACAACGTTGGTAATCGTAAGCAATCTGAACAACTATTAGTTAGATTCTATCCAATTGTAAACTCAGTTACACCCACCTCGACTGCAGGTGGTAGAGCTACCATCACTGGTTCCTATCTTCAACCATTAAGAATGATAAACCAAGCCAATCCAATGTCAATCATTATAAACAACACCAATACCCAGCTTGTCTATTCCAATACCAATAACCCAACAATACTGATTGTAATGTCACCGGTTGGTTTGGGTATTAATAATAGATTGATTGTAACAATCGATGGATTATCGGATGAGATCGATACATTCAACTATATTCCACCAATTATCTATAATTACACTCAAAGTGGTCAGTCTCTCATATTAAATGGTGATAGTTTCAGCAATATGATTAAGTATATTCAAATCTCACCACCATTCCTTCCAACATTTGCCAATCATATCAATCTTGCTATTGCATTACCAGCATCCGCTCAGAATGGTCCATTCCAAGTGACTGTAGCCGGTCAAATATCGAATATTCTTCAAGTTAAAATCACTCCTATCATCCAATCCTATACCAACGTTCCAATCATTGGTGGTGAAATAACATTGACTGGATTGTTCTTTAATCAGCGACGTGCAGATGGTTCACCAACTACTCTTAGTGTCAGTCTAAACTCTACCGCATTGACAATCAACTCAATCATTTCAAACACACAAGTATTATTACAAGTTCCAGCGGGTACCTATCAAAATGTATTGTTAAACATCACTGTCGATGGTTTCAACACATCCACCAGATACAGCTCGAGAGGTGCAACTGCAACTTCTATCGTTAAGAGCACTTTGTACCAAGTTCCAAATATCATTACAATTACAGGTACCGATTTCAGACTTCCTCTCTCCATCTATATCGATACGGTTGCATGTATCAATGTTCAAGAGGTTGTAGAGAATCAAACTATAAGTTGTTCTTTTGATGCCAGTGTACCACCTTCAGACAATCTTATTCCAGTCACTGTATATTCCAATGGACTGGCATCAAAAAGCTATATCTTTGATTACGAAGATTTGCCATGTCGTGCCAACTGCTCGAATCAAGGAATGTGCTTCAATGGACTTTGCTCGTGTAACATCGGATTCTCTGGTTCACTCTGTAATATCAAAGTAAATCTCACTGTGCCAATCCCCACTGTAAGTGAATACTCCGGTGAATATACCATTTTCAATGAAACATATTCAGCTGGTATTGACTTCCTCCGTGAGCTCAAACCAGGTAATTTCAATGTAATCACCGTTCCAATGGAAAAACTCAATTGGGAATCATTGGAACCTGAGGATCAAGGATCGTACGTTCTCTCAACTTCCATCGGTACCAATGAAGGATTGTCACCAGACTTTTCAATTACAGTCAAGACATTCAAGTTAAAGTATGGTGTTGTGTTTGAGTTTGCAGGTGAACACGTTTCCGCAGAATCTCATTCCTTCAAACAAACCATTACAATTAACCGATGGCCATTCCAATCACCTCTCAATACTCTCCAAGTAATTTACATGTCAGAAGCACCATCGTCTATTCTTTTGAACACACCAACAAAATCTGAATCCAACTTGACTATCTTTGAATCGCCTGCAATCGGTGATCTTACTCCTCAGGTATTATCCTATGACATTCAGAATAATCAAACAATCTTCACTGGACGATTCACTAGTAGAATGATCAAAGATGACATATGGTCAATGCTTTCGGTAAAGAGAATCGATTTATCTGATCCAATATGGCCAACCATTGATGGAAGATTGAGAACAATGATCTCTGTCAACCTACCAATGTTTGAGCAATCTATTGTTTTTGATCCTACCTTTACTGCTTATGTAAGATTAGGAAATCAAACTGAACCACCACCCACTACCACTACAGATACTAGCACAACAACTGATACCTCAACCGCTGAAGCAACAACAACATCAACAACCGGTACAGGCACATCAGGAACCGTAACAACTGGTACTTCAACATCAACCACCACCGGTACTTCAACATCTACTTCCACAAACAACCCTACAACTGGTACAACTAGTTCCCCAACTACCTCGACCACCTCTTCAACTACATCTAGCTCTACTTCAACAACTGGAACCACAGGCAGTCCAACAACATCTACAATATCTGGATCAACTACTTTCTCTCCGAGCCCGACAACACTTTCTGGTTCATCTATTCCAGTAACAACAACCAACTCACAAACCACTTCTTCAGGATCAATTAAGTTCTGTCCAGGTAATCCTGTATGTAACGGTAATGGATATTGTAATGTCACTCTACTCAGGTGTGTGTGTAACTCTGGTTTCGGAGGTGCCGATTGCTCTGATAAGGTGGATCCATCAACTCCCGTCAAACCAAATCCAGGTGAACCATCGACAAATGGTACAGATACCAACAACATTAACACTCGTATCGATGTTGTTGCCCTTAGACAATTGACCTATAGAGGAGTAGTTCTCACTGAACATCTCCTCTCAAATTGGAGCTACTACGAAGTGAATCTCACTCAAGGAATATCGAGATATCAATACAGCACAAAGATCTCTGGTACACAAACAATTCTCAATATAACCATCGACACTTTCACACAATCGACAGATGTAACATTTGCTGGTATAACGACAACAATGGCGCCTGGAGCCATCAAATACTCGGCAATCCTAGAGAATGCATATCCATTCTCTGCTTTCGACAACCAATTGGAGCTGGTATTCCAAACAACGGTGTCGGATCTTAATAGCTTTGGATCATCGTGTTCCTACAGCTCTGCGGAATACGATAACAATCAGAATCTTCAGTCGATCACCATCCAAGTCAATGGACGAACCCTTTATGGCAGATTCATGGACAAGGTAGAATTGGATGGTGTACCCATCCCAACAAGAAGTAGCTTGCTATCAAATGATGACACACTCAGAAACAACACAAATACAAAGAATCAAGCACTCATTGGTATGATCATTGCTCCTAAACCATACTTTACAAGAGCAGTTGCCGATCCAGATTTTTCATTGTTACTCTCTGGTAAAGATGCTTCCTCCAAATCAGGATCAGTATGCAATGGCAAGAAAAAGTTAACAGGTGTCGAAATTGCTGGTATTGTGCTTGGTTGTGCTGCTTTCGTTGGTGTTGTAGGTGCAATTGCAATAATATCTATAAGAAAGAAGATGGAAAAAAATAGACAAAATCGTTTGATTTCCAACAAGCTTTCTCAACTTAAAAAAGATGATAATTAGTTAAATAAATAAATAAAATCAATTTTTTACGAAAAAAAAATAATTTATTCGAGAACATTTGCTTCTGATATTAGAGCTGTAATTAAATCTAAAGTTTGAGATCAATCTCAAAAAAAAAAAAAGTAACTTTTCAAAACATCGCGACGAATAAATAAAATTCGACAAAAGAAGTTCAAAATGCATTTCACATTAAAAAAAAAAACAAAAAAACCAAAAAATTTGTGGGTATCAAATCTGTTTTTGACCTTTTTTTTTGTTAAGGGGTTCGCAGATCTGATCAATCCAATGATCGAAAAAAATTAAAAATAAATGTTTAAAAAAAATAAAAAAATCTGTATTTTTTTGATAGATTGTGGTTTGTAAATAGACCAAAAATTTAAAAGGTAGTTTGTTCAGATAATTATGTACACATATCAATTTTATTAGTTGGTCACCACTTTTATTTATATAAAAAAACAAACACAATATGTACAATGACTTATTATTAAATATACTCGCTTTAACTACTGCTAATGATACTCTTACTGATAGTAATAGTACAAGTAGTAGTAGTGGCGAGTATCTTCCAGATTTACCTATTAGAATGCAGAGATTATATTTATTATATTCTTCAATTAGAATTATTTTGTATTTTTATTTTTCCACAGTATCATTTGTACAAATTATTTATCTATATGCCGAGGAATCAACTCTATCACTCAGATTGATTTTGGCAAAATTCCTAGTATTTCTATATATCACACTATTCTGTATTTTCAGAACTGTAGCGTTTTTAATTAGAGTTCCCTCGGAGATAGGTCTCCACCAATCGATAACCACCTATGGAGCCACCGGTATCGCCTACCAAATTATTCTACAATGTGGTACATTGTTGGTGCTTCTCTCTTGGACAGCCATTGGATTCTATTGGATCCATCTCATGTACGTGCTCCAGCAACGACAGAGAGAAGTTGACAGACTTCTGCGCATATTCAAGATCATACAAGGACTAATTATTTTGTGGATGTGCGCGTTGGTCTTCTCGTTTTCCCTACTTCCACAACGACAAAATAAGAAAGTTTCAATGGTGACTTCGATTCTATTCTATTCGTTTGTCATTATTTTCGGAATTTTCTTTACTTTCCAGGGTAGAAGACTTATGGTACAGCTTCGAAAGATGATGAAATCGTCATGGGGACAAACTCATTCCAACGTACATCTCAGAAGGACAATTCTCCTACTTTCTTGTCTGCTTATTGTCACCTTGATCATCGTTGTAAAGACAATCTTTAGCATTTTCATCTTTAAGGATACCTTCCTCAACCAGTGGAAATTAGATTTCGTAACAATGATCATCGAATTGGTGATGGTTGCAATCGTAATGGCTGGTGTATCTGGTAGTTATCCATCTCGAATGTATGCTTATAGAGATGCATCGAAATTCGAAGAGAAAAAATCAAACACAGGTTCAGAGCTTTCATCAAGGTCGGAACAAACCAAATCTAAATCTTCCAGTTCTGGCTCTGGTTCAAAGGGTGAGAAATCAACAGTTTCAACATTATCGTCAACCTTGAATTCAACTTATTTAGATGACAGTGCAATCAACAGTTCTGATAATAATATATAATTAATATTTATTTATAAAAAAAATATAAAAATAAACAAATATATGTATTTAAACAAATAATAGAAAGATAAATTGTTTTTTTTTTATATAATTTCAAGTTTTTTTTTTTATTTATTTATTTCTTTTTAAGATTAAGTGTCAGTTTCATTGGGGGTTTCTGTTCAGTTGTAGTTGTTGTAGATTTTTGTTCTGGTTTATCTGTTTTCTTCATCTTGTTAAACAGTTGCCTCAATTCCTCACCACCTCTTGCTGTGAACTGTGATGCGTAGTACCACAAATGATTCTCTAGTGATTCGTTACCTTTGTGTTTATCCATGACACTGGTAATCTCATTGCCAAGTGAAAGTAAATACTTTTTGGTTTTGTGAAGTTTATCCTCACGTGACATGGTCACTGAGCTATCGGAAAGATGTTTGAACTTCTCGAGATGCTTTTTGATGGGTGTTAGATACTGCTTGCACTTATTGAGCGTAGTTTGGTCGTATTTGGTTCGCGATCCACTTTCTTCATCACCCGAAGAATCGTCCATATATCGTTTCTTTTGTTGTGCTGAGCTGGTGGAGGAAGTTCCTCTTCTAGCTGTATGAGCACCTCTGTCACTGTGAACAACCGTTGATTCTTCGTCAGAGAGCAGATGTCTACGACTGTTACTATGATTGTTGGTGGTGGTTGTCGTTGTGGTGGTTGTCGTTGATCTACTTCCACCTCTTCCACCTCTCTTTGAGGGTGAAGAGTGTGGAGATTGATTAAGCTTCGAAGGTGGCACTGAAACTCTACCTGAGCTAGTTCTTCTCGATGGTTGCTTAACGACTTCTTCTTCACTGACCTCCTCCTCCGACGACATCATCTTGTTGCTTGGTCTTCTTCCTCTGGTTGGGGTGGAGTGAGCAGATGTCCTACTGCTCTTGTTACCGCTGCTACTACCGCTACCGCTATCTCTACTATGACTACTTCCACCTCTTTTACCTCTACCTCTTCCTCTTGAAGATTTGGTCTCTTCAACCTCTTCAACTTCCTCTGGTTCCTGTTCTTCTTCGTCTCCTCTACTTCTTCTTCGTTTCTTGGAGAGTGGAATCTTGGCAGTAGATGCAACAGGTTCTTTCTTTTTCAAAATGACAGAATCTTTGGCAGCTTTCAACAGTGAATCAACACGACGTTGCAATGTTGCAGCTTTAATCTTGGTTTGGGCAGCTGGCACAACCGATCCATCGGGAGCAGTGGTTGTTTCCTGTGGATCGTTTGTCAAACTGATAATCGATTCGAAACCAAGTGATTTATCCTTTTGAATTGATTCGAAATTGCCATTTCCATACTTGTGGATACCCATCAACAGCATGGCATCTTCTTTTGCACCCCATTTAATTGCCCATGAAACCGGACGAGTTGGGAAGGTGACTCTAAATTGCTCTTGATTCTTTACATATGCATCACAGAGCTGACTGAGAATATCCATCTCCTCTACCTTCTGAACGAGTTCCGAAGCATTGATATCTACACCTGCAAATAGTACATGAATCTTATCAGACTCTGGGTTCTCTTTGACACAACGTCTACAAACATCGATAACCTCTCTACAAATCTCCTCGGTTGCTCTAGCTGGCTTATTAGACATATCGCAATCCACCAAAATCTCTTTACTACGACGATAGTTTCCAAATTTTCTAAATGATTTAAATAGTGATTTCAATTCCTTCTTGTTAAATGCAGTTATTTCTGTAGAAATTAATATTTAAAAAGTTAATATTAAATTGAGATTGTGAGATTGATTATTGTTTAGTAATTACCTTTTCTTGGATTCTTTGTTATTGTAATCGGTTCGTTTTGAGATTTCTTTGGTTCAGCAGATGATTTTTCGATTCTTGCTCTTCTCGGTGGTAGATAGAGAGGTGCTTCTTCGACAGGTGCAACTCTATCTTTATCGGGGATGATGTTTGCCCAATTGGTTTCCTCCTTACTGTTTGTGTCGCCAGTGGAGAAGTTTGCCACCTTGAAAGAGTTGAGCAGTTCCTCACCGGCAGTGCTCTCTCCAGTGGATTCTCGTTGTTCTGCACGCGAGAGAATCTCATCGATATCCATCTCTTGCATGGTGTTTGAGTTCTCATCTCCCTCCTTAAAGAGATCCTCCGCTCCAAACTTTAGAATGGCATCCAACTCTTCTTTGTTAAAGACGTTGGACGATGTTGTTTTGGTCGATGATTTCTCCATCGACTGAATGACAAGATGATCGAGAACCATCTTTTGTTTGGCACGCTCCAAAATCTCCTCTTCGATAGTCGATTTCGAAACGAGACGATAGATGTTTACGGTGTTCTTCTGTCCGATACGATGTGCTCTTGCTTCCGCTTGCAAATCGTTCTGTGGATTCCAATCACTGTCGAAAATGATTACAGTGTCGGCCGTCGACAAATTAATACCCAAACCACCGGCACGCGTTGACAGCAGGAAAGCAAAGTCTGGCGAGCCCTCGGCGTTGAAACGATCCATTGCCTGACTACGTTTCTCACGCGAGGTGGAACCATCGAGTCGTTGGAACAAGAAGCCTCTTCCCTTGAGATAATCGGCGAGGATATCGAGCATTCTGACCATCTGTGAGAAAATCAATACACGATGACCGGTCTCTTTCAGTCGCACCAAAAGTTTGTCGAGCAGAATCAACTTTCCAGAGGCTTTGACCATGGCGTCCAGTGGATTCTCGGCATTGAGATCCTCGGCATTCTCAAAGAGGTACGGATGATTACATGTCTTTTTCAACTCTGCAACGATATTGAGTAGAGTTGTTTTCTCTCCCTTGACACCCTTGTTCAGTTCGTGGAAATTCTTTGAGAGAATCCAACGATAGTATTTCTTTTGGGTCGGTGACAGATCGACACGCAAGATTCTCTCAGTTTTCGCTGGCAGCGACTTTTCCACCTCCTTTTTGATTCTTCTGAGTAAATGTGGTTTCAACACATTGTGAAGCTCGGCAATCTGATCCTTCTCCTTCAAGTCTGCATATTGATCTTGGAACTCATCGAGCGAGTGGAACTTATTTGGCATCAAGAAATTCAAGAGATTCCAAAGTTCCTTTAGCGAGTTTTGCAAAGGAGTACCAGTAACCAATAAACGATTACTAGTATGGAAATACTTTAACACTTCGTGGAGCATCGATTCATTGTTTTTCAAACGATGTGCTTCATCTACAGCTAAATATTCCCATTTAATAGCTCCCAAATAGTTTTCTAAATAAAAAATTATAAATTTGATTAACAACTAATTCGGAAATATCTCTTTTTGAATTTAGATAAAATATCAACTTACTATCTTTCAAGATAAAATCATAGGTAGTTAATAAAACATTGAAACTAATCTTTTTCTTTCCGAATCTAGTTGGTTGGTAGAATTCGAATTGACGAATGATATCTCGACTTGCTGAGCTACCAGTGTAAACGATTAAATTCATTTTCGGTGCCCACTTTGTAAATTCACGATGCCAATTCTCAATGGTAGACAATGGAACAACCACCAAAAATGGACCACTCAAATTCTGTACATTAAATAAATAGGATATAAATGAAATAGTTTGAATTGTTTTACCAAGACCCCTAATATTAAAAAAAGAAAGAAATAATATTAGTTATTTAGTTATAACTAATCTATCAACCAACAATAAAAACGTTGAATAATTAAACTTACATTTCATCAGCAAGAATTACATTAGTATTGTTTTTCCATGAATGAACCAACCAGTTTAGACCCTCCATTTGGTAGTCTCTCAACTTTCCGGCGTTGATCCAATCGGGTTGCTCTTCGAACTTGACGAAACCTTGTTCAAGACGTTTCTTTGGACTGACACCACCAGTGTGTTTCGAGTTGGACTGGGCGGCTTGCTGTCTTTCCAGGTAGTCGTCAATCTCGTTCTGATAGAGTTTGATTTCCTCAGGATACTCCCATGTGACATCACTATACGGTGTACTTCCCCACTTGACTAGATACTGAATACCACCTGGATACTCTGTTGTGACCTCTACCTCACGAGATGCAATGATACGCTCGACCTTGAGAGACTCTTGATACTCTTGTTGAGTCAACTCCTTTGCAATATCAGCCTGTTCAATATCCTCACGCGATGCCTCCTTTCTCCATTGATTCAACTCGATGATGTTCTTTGCATAGTTGGTCAATTTCTTTCCACCTTTGAATCCCATTAATGTTTCATAATTATCCCAACTAATAATATATATAAATAAAAGTTTTAGATTATCTTTAATTATTATGATATATAACATAATATAACAAAACTTACGTATTATGAATATGTGCCCAACCTTTCCATTTTACTAAAAATTCGTATAGTTCAACATTGAATGTTGTTTCATTCTCATTGACTTCACAACCTGTTTTCAAACGATGATCTACGATTCTCTCGATTGTATCTTCTGTTGTTTCTACTGGTCCTACTTGTTTCTCTGTTGTTGTCGTTGCTGCTAACATCATTTCATCTTCATCCTCATCACTCATGAAATGTGCTTGATAATCGAATCCATTATTATTTCTCTGTCTTAGATTACCCATTGTAATAGTTTCATAATCAACATCTAAAAAAAAAAGTGATGATAAATAATAAGTATGCTGCAAGTTGAAATATGAGAAAACATTGACATTAACATACCATCTTTTGATTGTTTTCTTGTTGTTGATGTTGTTTGTCTGTTTCTTTTTGGTTTCTCTTGATCGCTATATTCGTCCGATGATTGTGAGTAACTGTGTGCATCGCTAAGTACTTCATCTGCAGATTGTTGGTCGTCGACGTCTTGCATTCCTCCTTCCTCTCCGTCACCCGCCAGCTCTTCATATAGTCTGACAGTCTGTCTACGTGCTCTTGTCGGTCTGTTTGCCGGTGCCCAATCTTCATCGTCGTCATCATCGTCGTCCGCTCTTCCATAGCCATCCTCCTCCTCACTCGAATACTGTTGTCGTCCTCTTCCTCTTCTTCCTCTAGTGTTCGCAGCTGCTTTTCCTTTCTTCTTTGTCGCCGCTGCTGCAGCTGCAGACTTTTTCGACTTTTTCTTTCTTGGGTTTGGCTCGTAGTCAGAGCCAGACTCTGATGCATCGGATACGACGAATCCATCGTTTTCATACTCGTCATTGTCGTCCATTAGATAGTCGTCGTCGTATTGGTCGAGTCGTGACGATGGACCGGAACGTCTGGATCTTGTGCCACCGGCGGCGGCACCACGTCTTCTGGCGGGTGGAGACGGTGATCGGTAGTCATCTTCCTCTTCCTCCTCGTCACTGGGTGGTTCGTAGTCGTCATCACTTTCCTTCTTGCCATCAGAGGAGTCAAAGTCATCTGCAACCTCTGACTTTGATTTCTTTGATCGCTTTCCAGGGGCGGCAACAGCAGCAGCGGCTTGTTGCTCAACGACTACATTGTTACCGGCTTCATCTGCAACCTGATTATCTTCCTCTTCATTTTCGATATCGTCATCGTCTTCCTCGACAACATTGAAACTATTATTCAATCTTCTATTATTTGTTTTATTCACAATGATCTCTTCTTCATCATCTTCATCTTCTTCTTCTTCGTCTTCATCATCTATACTTTCATCTGTTGTAGTAGTCGTAGTTGTTGTCACCTCAACATGACTATTATTATTAATCTGAGGTTGTTGCTGTTGAGGTGGTTGAATCTGTGGTTGAACTATAGGTGATTGAATTGTAGGTGATTGAATTTGAGGTGATTGAATTTGAGGTGATTGCTGTACTTGTAACTGTGCTAAAGATATTCCGTTCTCTTTAACCATACTAAAAGTAGAAGATGATGATATATTCAGATTATCTCCATTAGTTCCGTTACCGAATGGATTATACAATTGATGATACTGTGGGGGTGGTGGTGGCTGTTGATACTGTAGAGGTGGTGTTGTCTGTTGGTACAGTGGTTGATACTGTTGTTGAAACTGTTGCAGCTGTTGTAATTGTTGAAGTTGTTGTTGTTGTTGTTGTATCAATTGTTGTTGCTGTTGTTGCTGTTGAGATTGTCCAACATTATCCATATTATATAATTGTTGTTATATTATAATGATATTATATTATTTTACTATTATTACTTCTTATATAAAAAATGATTAATTAATTAATTATAATAAATAAATTTATACAAATTTCATCAAATTACTAAAAATAATAATTATAACAATAATATAATAAATAAATAACTAACTAACTTTCTTTTACATAAAATAACAATAACAATATTATTATTTACTATTATTATTGATATTGATTTATCTTAATCTTATCTTTAAATCTTAATCTAATAAATCTGACTATTTACTATTTTAATATATATAAATATAAATATAAATATAAATATAAATATAAATATAAATATAAAAAATTAAATTTTATATTTAAATTTTTTTCAAAAAATCAATAATAATATTACTATTATTTATAAATATTTGCTTTGTTTCCTTTTTAATGTTATTTTGATTTTTTTTTTAAATTAGATTGAATCAAAACACAATATGTTATTAATTAAGTAATAAAAAAAATAATTATTTAACATACAAAAAAACGTTAAAAATTCAAAATATGATTTTTTTTTTTTTATGTTGATAAAATTCTCAACGGTTTTTGGTGAAGTTGTAAAAATTTGAATTTTGAACTAAAAATAAAATATTAATTTAAAGATTTTGCAATTTGATTTGATTTAATTTGTGTAATTAATTTATTGAATTTGCATATTAATAATGACTACTTGATCTTTCTTTCTTTTTCTTACGATCTGAATCATCGATTGCCGATGATAGTCTCTTCTTGGTTGAGAATGATTCACGTCTCGATCCATTGTCGTCACCGTCGCTCTTGATGATACCTTCCTCGTCGCTCTCTTCGTTCGAGAGATACTCCAAGTATTGATTGAAAATCTTCTCACGCTCCTGCTCGTCTTCCAGTCGATCAAAGTCGGAAGCACCCGAAATCAGAGGTCTAACCTCACTCCACGTCGAATGCTTACTGATCGAACTGGTCTCCTCCAGTAACACCTTGAAATTTGAAATCGCTTCTCTTCTTCTCTTTTCAATCTCTCTTAGTTTCTTTTCTTCTCTCTCCTCCAGCTGTACAGTTTGTATTGAAATGTTAATTAATTAGTTAGTTGGTTTGTTGCTGCTGTTGTTGTTGTTGAAATCTTACATATAATAGGAAAGGTGGTAAATTGGCAGGTAATATACTGTTGTATTTTTCATGTTTCGATAGATCTTCTTTGAGTGACTCCAGAGTTGTTTTCGGTTTGTATTGATAGTTGAGATCTTTGATGATATCTTTTATCTTTTTGAAATCTTTGTCGTAGTTATCTTCCATCTCCTCTTGGAAGTCCGTAAACAACTCCAGTGGTGTAGATCCAGTTGTCTGTGTACTCAGATTCTCAAACACTGACAATCCATTGTATTTCTTATAGAACGACTTCCACTTGGTAGCAGCATGTAACTCTCCATTTTGATATTTCTCATTCAAGAATTCCTTGTTTATTTGTAAAGAACAAGAAGAAGAAGTTGCTGTTAATCTTTTGTTTACTTGACATTTGTACATTGAATAATAACTTACTCTAAATAATAATCTATATTTTCTTGCATCTCTCTTTAATCTTTCACGATCTTTACGTTGAATTTCCTCTTCTTTCTTCTCGAGATCCTTGATGTAGTTCTCGTAGGTTGTGAGCACGTCGAATCGGTCCATGGCAACGACGAGTGGATCGGCCTCGTACTCATCTTTGACCTTGCGCCACTGCGATTTCAGATTGATCGTTGGATCGCTTTCAAACTTGTGACGCAGCTGCCGGATTTGATCGCGTTTCGCTTGTTCGCGTTCGTCTTTCTCGGTGTGCTCGAGGTCGACCATGTACGAGCGGAACAGGTCCTCTCGCTCCTTCTCGCTCTCTACGGCATCCCACTTGGGATCGCCGTCAAAGTAGAGTTGAGCGCGTCGCCAGCTCATCGTTAGCGTCACCTCGGGTGACTCTTTCAGCAGCTTGACAAACTCCTCACGATTTCTCTTCTCGCGCTTACGTTTCTCCTCCAACTCAAACTTCTTGCGATCCACCAGATACTCTTGAAACACCATCTTTCTCTCTGACATTGTTTTCAACACCTGGTATCGATCGTCATTAATTATAATCTTTTGTGCTCTTTCAAATGACCATGTCGATCCAACATCATTATCATTCAATAACTCTTTGAAAATCTTATTTGCACTATCTTTATCCATTTCTTTATTACCAATATTACTACTAATGCTACTGCTACTACTACTACTATTATTATTATTTCCATCACCACTTTCTTTAAGATTATTATTATTACTACTACTATTTAAATTTGAAGTTGAACTACTATTACTATTATTATTGTTATTGTTATTGTTTTCGGGTTGTGATGTTGAAATTGGTGGAAATGATGATGAAGATGTTGATGATGATGGTATTACATTTGTTATTGCAGTTGGTAATTCCCATTTTGTTTCCTTTGTAAGTTCATTGTGATAGTATTTCTTTCCTTCGGGTGTGGTATATTCCTTCCAGTTTGGAGGTAGTTGTTGAGATGCCGACGAAGGATGATGATACTGATGTTGATGTCTATGATGTTGATTGCTCGACGCCGATGTAGATGAAGCACCTGCACCACCACCGGCAGTATACTGCTGAAAGTTTGCTTCATAGTTTTTCAACTCCTCCGGTTTCTCCCAGACAGACACTCTAGTTATCTTGTGATAATAAAATTTCTTGCCATCCGCTGCAACTGCTTCTGCCCAATCACACATTATTATTTATTCTTTATCCTTTTTCTTATTATTATTATTTAGTTTTCTAGGTTTTTTGTTTTTTTTATTTACTTTTTCAAACAATACAATATTATATTATTACTATTATATCCTATCATACATAATATAAATCAAGTATTAATTATAATTCATCAATCAAAAAATTAAAATCACTTTTTTTTTTTTTTTTAAAAAAAGCAAAACACAAAAAAGCATAGCCACATGATAATAAGTATTAGTTTGATGCACCTCTTTAACAATATTTCTATTAATGATTAAATCTATAGATTGTTTTATTTTTTTCTTTATTATTAAATTTTAATATATATATATATATTGTGTTTTGTTTTTTAAATAACTATCTTTTGATCCATGTATAACCACATTACCAACAGTCTACCTGTTTGTAGAATAATACCAAAGAGGTTACGAGGGGTCATTTTATTTGTTTTTTTCTTTCTAAAGAAAAAAGAGTTACTTTGGAAACTTTAAAGAAATACTTTAATGTTAATTAACATCTTGTGTTATTATTACATTATAGAAAGCAAACAATATAGACCTTTAATCGATTAGTAATAAGATCTTATTGATATTAAAAGTAGTTTAGGAAAAACAGAATTGTTTGAAGAATTATAATGACGAGACACCTTACAATCTTATCTATTTGTTTTGAATCGATAAGAAGTTATCACATCGTGTTTTGAAGTTAACAATACTGAATAATAAATTTACCCAATGAAAAAAATGAGAGGTTGAAAATTATTTTTTTTAAAACTAACAAAACTGTAGAGGAAACCAACCACTTTCGTCACTAATTTTCAAAATGTAAAAATTAAAAATTGGTGGGGTTAATGTGATCTACCTAAGCGGTTTTTTTTAATTTATTCGATTTATGTTACAATCAAGAGCCAGTTTTGTTATGGGTATTCATGTTTTATTAAAAGTTGTATTAAAAGGATTTACCATCAAGTTTTTTTTTGTAGTCTATTTTTTTTCTTTTTAGTTTTTGGTTGATTTAATTAATTAGTTAGCAGGTTGGGAAGAGTTAATTTCATTTACTTGATTAGTTGGCTGGTGTTGGAGTGTTGTTTATTAATTTTAGAATGTTTCTGTGGATATCGAAGTCGGATATATTAGATTGGTTAGAGAAATCGAGTATTTTGTCATCTTGATAGAATTGAACTGACATGTTTCCAAATGTAGTGTTCGTCTTCGTAGTTGGCAATTTGTAGATGTTGTGTGATGTGTTTGAGGTTGAATTTGTTTAGGATGACTCGACAATTAAAAAAATAATGTGTATGTGGGTCAAAGTCATATGCTGAACATAGTTTACAACTGTCTTATTTGATGTATGCCATACCAAGAAGTGATCTTGAGAATCTGAATACTGTGTTTCTACCTCTGTGGTGTTTGATGATGTGAAATCTATTTTGGTGGGGGGAGAGATAGATGAGAGGTTGAAAACAAAAAAAATTTTATTCACAAGATAGTTTGCAAAACAATCCAGACTTTTGTGTGCCCATTCCTTTTATCACCAAAATAGAGCTATTTTCAAGGTGGTTTTGTTCTCCACAATAAAATTAAAATAAAATAATCTTTTTTTAAAAAACTATTATGCTCTCAATTTAATAAAACAAAATATAAAAATAATAAAAAGTAGTAATAGTAGTAGTTGATCAAATTTTATTTAAAAATAAATTCTTTTTAAAAATATCTCAATCACACTTCTCTGATAAAGAAACAAGATGTTGGAAAAAAAGAATTTACTTATATCGTTGGTTTTAGGTGTATTCCTAATCACTACTTTGATGATTCTCTATGGAAACTACCAGTTGGATGGCAACAGCAATTCCGATGTCGGTAGTAGTACCACCACCACCACATCGGTGACTACAGGCCAATCGATTCACAAATCCAAAAAGCAAAAATCCAAACCTACACCACCACCAAAACCACCATTAGTTACATTCATGGTGCTGACGGCAGACGATTTCAAAGAGACTAGAACCAAGGCCATCAGAGAGTCCTGGGCACCCAGAGCACTCGCAATGGGCTGGCGAATTTTCTACTACTCTGAGACCGATCAAGGCAGTCCACACGACACTATAGCCACCAACGAAACCGACAAATCATCGTATGGAAACGACAAGAAACAGTGGATGGCATGGGATCACATGGAATCAGTCGAGAATCCATCGCCGTTCTACATGAAGGTCGATGACGATGCCTATGTGTTCGTCGATCGTCTCAAGCGAACATTGGAGGGACTCGACCCAAGCGGAATCAAAATGTACGGTCGTTGCGATGACTTTTTCTGGGAGCCAAAGCCGTTTTGCGACGGTGGATCCGGTATCATCTTGACGCGCGAAGCACTACAGGCAATGGTGCGATGGCACAACGAAGGCAAATGCAAAGACACCGGTCACAACGATCTCTCGACATCGTGGTGCATGGTAGACAACGGTGTCAAACTCACCTACATTCCAGGATTACACGGTGATCCACCCAATGATTGGAAGGAACTTGCTAACGATGTCACATGGCATCATCTTAACCCCGATGATTTAAGAAGAATCGATAGATTATTTTATGATTAAAAAAATAGATAATTTATAATATAAAATAATAATAGTGTAATATCACAACAACCAACTAAAACACAATCCATCATCATCATCAACAACCAATATAACCACTAAAATAACAACAACCAACTACAAATACAATCTATAGTACTAACACTACTAAATATAATATTAAAATCATAGTTACCACTGAACAAACACAACACACAACACATACATACAAAATAAAAACACAAATAATTCACACACACACACACACACAGCCATCCATAACATTATAAGTATAGATGGTTTTATAAGAAGAGATGAATATTTTTTACTATCTTTAGACATTAAAGAAAATATACATCATTATACTTACTAAAGTATATGTTCAAAACATAGGGAATTCCTTTCCCCCACTTTTATATATTATATACAAGCCCATTTGAATCTTTGAAAGAATTACAAATAAAGAAAGAGTTTGTGTATGAACTTAAAAGTTAAAGGTTATATAACAATGGTTTTTATTTTTTTAAGAATTATTTGTTTTTTTATGATAATTACTACTAAAATCATGTATATATTTGATTTCAAATTAATTTATTATTTCATTGTTATCAAGTAATTACTTGTTTTTATTTATAAATAATGAAAATAACAATATTATTATTAATTTTGGTTGGTTTATTTACATTGTATGTCCATGCTCAATGGCCATGTAACACCTATTATGATATAGACTTCTCGACTGTTGTCAATGGTAAACAAGAAAAAGGAGCTATCTATGGTAGAGGTTGTCTCTTCGATGCCGATGAAACTAGAACCTACTCTATCTTTCCACCAGTGACCTCAGACAGAGTACCAGATCTATTCATGGGACAATGGAACTACGGTGATTTCTCTGTCAGAAATAGAAACACCAGTGAAACTGATCACCTAAAGAGTTCATACACTGTTGTTTGGGGTTTTAAACCATTCCTCTATAACTTTACCTATAATAAACCAACTACATGTCATAGCAGAAGAAAATAGAAAGAAACAATACAAACCAGACTATTTATTCAAGGAAATGAATAAAATGAAACAAATCAAATAAATCATTTTCATCAATCTTATAATATTTATATTTTTAAATTCTTTTATTATACTAATATTTGTTATTATACAATTATTAGATTGTTTTGACTATTATTATTATTATTATTATTATTATTTATAGTAATTGACCAAGGTTGGGATAAAGTTGATCTATAACAACTCTATGAGCTTGATAAATTGGTGTAAAGTTTTCTTTAAAGTATATAATTGGATCTTCTACTTGTGGGATTGGATCGGTGTCTTGTTTCTTTGTGAATTGGAGTTGTGTGAATGTTGGAACGTAACCATCGGGTTGTTCGGTATCGATGTAGTTGGCTTGCTCCTCTTCGTTGGATGTGGTGGCGGCAGCAGCGGCCGGTTGTTGATTGGTAAGCAATTGGTATTGACGGGTGGCAATGCTGATCCACGATTGCTTCATCGAGGTGAACATGTCGGGACTGCACAGCATCAGGGTCATACCGATAGAGATGATCTTCTTCTCGATGGCACCAGACACTTTGTCGCATGTGACAATCCAGAGTTTCTCAATGATCAGTTCCCAGAGACCGGGCTTCACTGTATTGCAAATGGTAATGGCGCGAGCAACACCGATCTTGTAGATAAAGACACCGAGGAACACGATGAAGCAACGGACAATCTTGTCGGTCTTGTGCGAAGAGATACGAGCGAGAATCACACTGAAAATCTGCACGATAAACGGCTCGAACTGTTCGTATTTCAGGGTTTCAACGATGGTCTCCAACAGGTAGAATCCTTCGTGGTCGTTGGCCGGCGAGGAAATCAAGCTCTGGAAGACACCCAAGACGTTCTGGAAGTGGTTGGCCTGCACGATAAAGTCACCGTCCTTCTTAAAGTAGGCTTGCAGCAGACGCACCAAAGCTGGAACATTGGCGTTACGCTTCCAGAGATTTGGATGGTAGAGTGGTGGGAAGATTTCACGGTACGGTGCGAAACTCTCGATGCTGGCATTCTCGACGAGGATAGCCAGTAGCTGGAAGGTGTATGGGGCAAACTCTTGGACATCCTTTTGGAGGACGTATTGGACGAGTGGCATAACGATCTTGAACGACTCTGGGACGGTGGCGATCGACTTTAGGATCGATCCAATCACTTCGAAGCAATAGTGGTCAAAGGCGTGGTTGCTGGGATTGTCGGCGTCGGTAATGGCAATCTTGGTGAAAATCTCTAAAAGTTGAATCGATGTCATCTTGTCGATACGGCTAATCATTTGGAGAACGATTCTTGCGATTGGACGCATGGTACGTTCGTTTTGACGCGAGCATGGGAATTCGAGTACCTTGACGAGTGGCAACAAGATACCCGGTAGATTCGATTGGAGATAGTCGGCAGAGATTCTTGGTACTCCTTTGTCTTTGACCTGTAAGAGATAGTCGATGCAGGTAGACGCATAGGTGTGTACGATATAGTCGGGATTGGCAAGACAGCTGATGACCAGAGTCAAGAGTGATGGATAGTATTCCACTGGCAACTGGTTACGGAAGATGCTAATGAATTTGAGACAGTCGGCCACCAAGATTGGACGGTTGTCTGGCTTTTGGAGTTCGGGTGCAATCTCCTCACGGAAAAAGTCGACCACTGGAACCAAGCTGTTTTGAGCGGCGTTGTTGTCACGCTTGACTGCCAGCGCTGTCACCAAGAAGATGGCACTGTCCTTGGAGAGCCAGTTCTCCTTGGGATTGGCACGGTAGTGGTGCAACAGGTTGTTGATATCGACAGAGAGCAACTGTGTGATTCGCGACTCGAAATACTTTCTCAAACCCTTGACCAACTCGATGGCTGCACGACGACGTGTGTCTGCGTCGCTACCCTCAATGTCACGACGCATATACTCTGTTGGATTGTCCTCAAACAACTCTATATCGGCTTCCTTCAATTGAATGTTTGGTGTGACAACACACGAACAAATTTGTTTCAATGTTTCCTCCCCTTCGAACAATTTATATTGAATACTCATCGATACTGTACTTAGGAATTTCAATGATGCATTGATAAACTAAAATAATTGATATAAAATGTTAATAAAACAAATATATTTCTACAAATATTATTTTAAAGCAATGTTAACATACTCTGTCATTTGTCATTGTATCTTCATTATCTTTGGTTGGTTTCGAAAGATTTGACAATAGATTCCAAACACTTCCAACGAATGGTTGAAGATAATTGGAAAACTCATCATCGTAAAGCTGTGTATATAAATTTAGGATTTCGCAAATAACTGTATGAATTTGACTTAATAAAGATGGTTCCGTACCATTCTAAAAGATAGATAAAAAGAAAAATTAATATTTGTAAGATAATAATAATAATAACAATAATAGTAATCGAAACATACTTTTGATTCAATCAATTCTGGAATTGTTGTATTATAAGTTAAAAGGAATTGGAATTCAATGGTAAAGGCAGCCAGATTATCTTCAAAGAACTCTGGTAGATCGATAGAGCTGAGCGATAAGAATATCTCTAACAAAGACAACATCGATGTGAACAAAATCTTTAATTGAACTGGATTGTTTGCTGATTCTTTAATTTGTTGTCCAATTCTCTGGATTGATTTGATTTATATATATGCATAAGTGTGTTAAGGGAAGAATGTTTGTTTGTTTAAATTTTGATCAATAATATTATTAATACTTACACCGAATAACTGTAAATAGGTAGTTGGGAATAAAGAAAGAATGTATTGAAGTTGTAAGATGACTTGGTTGGTTTTGGTTTGATGACGATACTTTTTGAAGAGTGCATTCGCCGTCATCAGTACGGGATTGACAATGTTAAAGTCGTTCGATTTGATCTTCTCGATGAGCTCTGGCAGCAGAGTTGGCCAGTCAGTTGGGAACTCGAGTTCACCGATGAAAGCGAGTGTCTCCATCAGTTGTGATTGGATGGCGAGTGGCACTCCCAGCAGCAGATTGACAATACCCTTCTTTATAGCGTCTTTGTCAGTACGCGAGATCGTTACATCGTTGCTGTCACTGTTGGCCCAATGCTGCTTGACGTGATTCTTAAAAGCAATGGCCACTGCCTGACGCACTGAGAGATCCAACTGTTGTGATTCGATCAATGTAGAGAGTGCTAAAAGCGATCCTTCACTCTTTAGGAATTCTTTGATTCTTGTTGTAGCTACAACAACATTAAAAAATAAAGAAGTATATTAATAATCTAACAATATATATAGATAGATAGTTAAAAAAAAAAAAAAACTAAAACTTACCATCATCTCTTATATTTTTATCGAGTGAAAATGTAGCATTCTTTACTAATTCTACAAGTACATCTGCCATTTTATTTATTTATTTATTTGTTTTTAATGATATATATATATATATATAGATATTAACTATAATAATTAAATATAAATAATAACAAAAGATACAAACAACAAAAACACACAAAACACAAATAAATAAAAAATTAAAAAAAATTAAACTAATTGAAGTTGAATAAGTTTTTAAAAGCTTTCGCGCTTAAACGACCTACTGAGCTGTTTCCACGTCTTTTTTTTAAATTCAAATTTTGATCCTACTTTACGAATTTCGACTGTGAACTTTGATTTAGCTTTTTTTCTAAGAAAGTTTTTTGGTTTTTTTTTTATATTATTCTCAATCCTTTAGAAAAAATTAATTAATTTTTTTTGGTTTATTGGAGAAGTGATATTACTGTAGTATAGTTTTATTTTCTCTTTACCTGTTTTTAAGATAGTTAATGGATACAATTAGTACAGATATAGATAGTAGTGTTGTTGTTGATCAAAATGGTTGTGAAAAACATGCTAAAAGATTTAAATTTTTTTGTTTTCAATGTAATCTGTTGATTTGTCCCAGATGTCTAACACAACATCAGGCAGAATATCGTGATCATCAATGTGAACATCTAGATAATATTAAAGATGCTTTATTAAAATTAGATGTTTTTAATATTGCTGATAATAATAGTAATAATAATAATAATAATAATGTTTTTAGTAATAATAACAATACCAATAGTATTAGTAATAATATTGATAATAAAGTCAGTAATAGTAATGAATATTTAATTAAAAGATTATTATATATTTGGCAAAGATTAAAATCATCGACAGTTGCAGCTCAATCATTAGAAAATAAAATCGGTGAAATCAGTTACCATTATTCACAGATATTCGAATATCTGATGACTCAAGAACTTAAATCAAAGAAACCATTACAATCTCAATTAGAAACAGTCGAACTAACAATACAGAAAGATTTAAAAGATTTATCATCTTTGATTGAATTAATTGACCATTCTAAATATTTAAATCAATTTGTTAATAACAGTAATAATAGTAATAGTTTATCAACATCATCAACCTCATCTTCAACATCATCAATATCACCATCTGAAATATTTGATACAACAGATAAATACCAATTAGAAAACATTATTAAATCAGTTAATAATTCTCAATCATTATCGAAATTCATTACGACTCATAGAAATACTTTGTTTAATAATAATATTAATTATCTTGATAATCAAGAGAACAATATTAAATTTATCAATCAAAAAATTCTGGATTTGTTTATAAATTATACTAAAAACAGTAATATTGATATTAATGATAATAGTTGTAATAATAATAATGATAGATATAATAATTCACAAGTAATATTTAATCGTAATGATCTAGAGGAATTTAAGTCGTATATAAATAAGATATCGTCAATCAATTTGATTGATAAACGTTTAAAGACATTTATGTTTATTACCAATCGTGATAAATCATATTCATTGCTCAACTTGGATGAAAATGTTATTCAGACAGTGCATTGCGATACGTTTGACTTTATTCGTACCGTCAACTCAATGGTAACGGTTGGTCCACACATCTATATATTCAGCAGTTACTCTGAAGACTATCAGAACAAGTATTGTCGATTCAACGTTGAGACAATGTCAATCGATCACTGTGCCGCCATTGAGAACATAGAGATCGGAAGAACTGCCTCGGTTTGCTACGACGGTGTCTCTGACTACATCTACTTGATCAACGGATACAACGATGTGAAGAAACAACACTACAATAGAGTCGACCGATTCAACTGGAAGACTTTGACATTCGAAAAGTACTACGAAGAGCCGAGACAGCATAAAATCAACTACCTAAGAATATTGTCATTCTTTTTCAAAGGATTGATCTATTCCGTGCCGGTCGTTGGTAAATCACTACATATCTTTGATCCTGCCGATAAGACGATGAAAGAATTCCAATCGAATCACTTCTTTGAACGTTCATACGCCGCTTGTACCGATGGCAATGGTATGATCTATATTCTTTCAACCGATGGCAGTTTTCAGAGATTAAGCGTCGAAACCAAAGTATTTGCAAAGTTAAGCTCACCGATGGAGACCAACAGCTATATCTCAATGGTATACCACCAAAACAAAATCTATCTATTTTCCAACGAAATCCTTATTTACTCCATTGAACATGATAGATGGGGACCAGCTTTTTTAAAACTTACCGATCAAACGGCCAATGATTTTTCAAAGATTGTCAGAACAACATGTGGTGCTTCTTTATTCCAAAAATTATAATTACACAAACAAATAAATATATTTATCTTTTCTTATTTATAAATTTATTGTTTTTAAAAAGAACAAAGTAATATTTTGCTTATTAAATTGGTTGATATACATATTGAGTTGTGTAATGAGTAGGTGTTCCATTTGGTCCTATTACTGGTATTTGTTGTTGTACTAAAGTGAATCCAGGTGGTGCAGGACCTGGTTGTGTAATTGGAGCTGGTGGAGGTGGAGAATATCCCACATTAGGTTGGTTTACATAGACAACTGCACCAGGCGATTGTAGTCCATTTGCATAGACTACAGGTGGCGCTGGTTGGTTTCCAACAGAGATATTTGACATCTTTGTTGAGTTCTTTTCCAAGGATTTCTTTAGTCCTTTTAGCACGAACCATTGGAGTATACAGAGGATAGTTCCAAGCACAGAGAATACAAAAGCAGCTACGATCATTGAGAATCCTTCTTTTGGTTTCCAGTAGTTGACACCTAACGATCCTTTGAAAGAGTCACACCAGTAGGCATAATTACAATTAAAAGCTAAGTCCTCTTTAAAGGTTTTTGGTATGGTAACGAATCTAAATGCTCCTACTCCCACAAAGACAATTAAAATAATCGGTAATGTAATCATTGCTCTTCTAGAATGTATATTTTTTGGTTGGAAAAATGCAACAATAATACAAATGATTGAAGCGACCCAAATGGCAATAGAGACAAACAAAATAATTGCATTATTTATCATAAACTCCTCATATTTAAATCTTGTATCAACATTTTCTTCTTTATATGAATCCAAAAAATTCCATTTATATGATATATTACTTGGGTATCCCTATTAATAAATTTATTTTAATAAATAATTTTTAAAAAAAAATAATTAAAATATCTTACTTCTTTAACTTTTATTTGGAATAGAGATAGTTTTCTATTAGTCATATAGAAGGAATAATCTTGTGACCAATCTTCACGCTCCACTTCATACCATTCTGCATCTAGTGCAGCTGCAATTAATGCAATAATTACAATATATACAGATATAATAATAGATAATAATATTCTTGATTTTAATTGCCAATCTAATCCCATGATTTATTTATTTTTGAATCTTTTAACTTACTTATAAAAATGATTAGAAAACCAGATTCTTCCTTTTTTTTTTAACTTACTTTTCAGAAGTGAATCATTGATTTACTCTTTTTTTTTTTTAACAACTCAAAGATTTTATTATTTGAACAACTTGTAGTTGATGTGGTCATATTTTGTGACGAATTATCCTTCGATGGTCTGTTTGCGTGATTTTATCGTGTAACCTTAAATGACTAAAAAAAAATCTTCGAAAGATTTTATTCATAAAAATAACTATCTTTAAAAAAAATCTATTTTGGTCATTGTTTGATTACTGGGTTTTTACAATAATAAAAAGAAGTTGTTTTGTCCACTCCAAGGACAACCAAAAAAATTGTTTTTTTTTAATTTTTTTTTTTAATCAATATTCTACAGTAAATTTCAATAAAATTACAATTTGTTTTAATTTTTATTATTTTAGGTTAACCTAAATATCTCATTTGGACATCGGTATCACCATGTTTATGATGTTTTACTTTATTCCTACGATGTCTATGAATGACTGAAGACAATGTTACGATCGCTGCAAATCCAACGACTCCAACCACAACTCCAATGATGAGTTTGTTTTTAGTGGTCATTCCACTTTCACCTAGATGAACATAGTCAGTGCAACCGACATCGATTTGCGCACGGTATACACATCCACTCTCTGTTTCAAAGTTGATCCAATAAGCTCCAAGTGGAAGTGAAAGAGTTGCAATCTTTGATTGGTTTGTTGTCTGGGTGATCGGTGAATTCACATCACCATTGTCCACTGAGTATGTGAAAAGATAGGTACCAACAATATCAATAAAGCCTGTAGTTTCTGTACAATTATAGGAGCTGATGGTGGCATTGAAATGCTCCACTCCAACCTCTAAAGTTTGAATCCATACTCTGTTACATGATTCGCTTGCCGTTGATTTTGTTGTGACTTGCAAGCTATACAGACCCTCTGCCAATCCCGAGAAAGTACCATTTACATCTACGGGAACAGTAATGTTATTTCCAGATGTCTCGACCAATTTATATTCTACACTATCCCATTTACCTTCCAATTTACCCCATATCTGACCTTTCGGGTGAGTTTTGTCTAAACATGTTTTCGATACTCCGGAGAAGAGTGTTGGTTCACCACTTGGAATGACCAAATCCACTTCTTGATTACAATATTGACAATTGTTAACGAGAGTCGTCAATCTATAAGATCCAGCTGGTAAGCTATGAATTCTACCTGTTGATGCGGATCTGTTGTCGAATTGATATGCAAAATTATAGTTGGAAAGATCAGAGCTGACCAAACGATATTGTGTGTTGGATGAAAGTGGGAATTCAATTTGTCCATTTTTCGCTCCATTACATGTTTCTGGTGTTATTTCCAATTGAGATACTCCAAGTGGTGTTGCACTATAAACAGGTACATTGATTTCTTTTGAACCCACACAACCTGTTTGCTTGTGGATATAGTTGAGCTGTAAACTTGAGCCAGGTTGCAATGATTTAAACTCTCCAGCTGCCGACATGAAATAACCATGTTCACTGTTACTACTTGAGATGATAAATTGGTCGTGATTCAGAATTCTAACAGTACTATCTGAAAATTGACATGTTGGTGCAGTGTATTCGATTTTTAGCGATGGAAGTTGTAATAGTTGATCAAGTGATACATTGTATTTCTTGGTACATAAACCTTGATTCCATTTCAAATCGAATACTAAATATGGATTGTTGGTATCAAAACTGGTAATTGAAATTTCGTTTGGTGATACATTGATTATTTGAACTGGTCCGGTTGTATAAGCTTTTATGTCTCCAAGTATAATATCACCATTAGCTACAATATCTATTCTTTGACCATTCTTACTCTGACAGTTTGGTTGCAGTTGAACTGAAATTTGATAATTCGATACTTGATATTGAATGGTTTTGGTGAATCTACATTGTCCAGAGTGAATATCAACTGACAATGCATTGCTAGTTTCACTTGAGTTTGTGGGTAATGGCAATCCTGAGAATAGATTATCTCCAATGGTTAATAGTTGATCAACGGACTCCACTAGAATTTGTTGTCCACCAACTGTTGCATTGAAATAAACAAGTCCATCTCCTTCACAGCTAGGTTGTCTGACTATATTGTATTGAATGTCAACCGATGGTGAATCGATGGTAAAGTGAGATGAAGATATACAACTACCATCTTGACCTAACTTTGTGTAATATAAAATATGATATCCTGGTGCCAACGCTGATATAACTCCATCTACTGCACTTTGTGATACTGAATCAACGTATAGTTTATCATATTGATCGTAGGATTCGATCGTGATCGATCCATCCGGAGGTGAGCATTGTTGGGCATTTTTAATGCTATATTTGATGATGTCGGTCGAGGCACCAATTGCTGGAACATCCATTTGCACGGTGGCATCACAAACACGTGGATATGAAGAACCATAGATAATCTGGATGGTACGGTTACCAGGAACGACGTTAATGAGTTGCGATCTATAAGGATACTCTTGGTTATCCACTAATATCTTGTTGATTGAAAGATAAGAAGATATTGAAATGGGAGTGGTTGAGCTGTAACAAGATGATTTTTTCACTACTGTCATTGTTGGTGGATACGGTTCAAGTGGAGGTGATTGCCATACATAATTGAAAGAACAACTTGGTGATTTTTCAACTTTGAAAGATACAGACGAGCTAGGTGTATAGGGTCGTGATACAGTCCATGTCTGATTATTCAAAAGTTCACTCGAGAAATTGGCATGAATATAACCATTTGCATCCAAGCAGGTTGGCATGGTTTCAACTGTCAGGAGAATCAGGAATCCATAAGTGGTTGGTTCAGAGTTGTTGAAATTGAATCGATAGGAACGGACTGGTGAGCATTGACCCTTTGATTGATAGACAATGTTTGCTGCGACATTCGATCGTGGAATATTTTCAAAGTATCCAAAGCCGTTGACCGACGAAGCCACCTTTACCTGAGTGGTATCTTCAAGGACGATAAACATCTCTAGCATAGAGAATAGATGGAAGTTGGCAACACGAACGCTAGTATTGTAGAAACAATTGTCTTGGTTTTCGATATTGATAATTTCAATGACAGGCTCCGGTGTTGTGACATTGATGTGTCCATATGTGATTCTGTCATACCCTGGTAATTGAATAAAAAATGTCAACATCCTATTGATCATCATTGGAATGTTATTATTTGAAGGCAATGGTATATATTCTCCGGCCAGCCCAGTTGAATAGGTAATATATGGTTGATAATTTAATGGATAATTTAATTGAATATCAAAACTATTACAAAAATCAATAATATTGGGATCCAATATATAACTTAAGGGTACTAAGTCGAAATCTATTGTTAAAAAAAATAATTATTAATATTTTGAGAATTAAAAACTATAATAATAATACATACGAGGACTTGGTAATATATGGAATTGTGAAAATTGTGTGATATTATTTATATATGTTACATTGAGTTGATCCAAGTTGTAGAGTGGTGTAGAGATTGGTGAATCTATAGTATCGTTATAGAAAGGTGGATTTACTTCTTGGGTGCCTACCAACTGAATGGATGTTACATTGAATTGTGGTGATATTCCTGTTACAATATTGAGTGAAATTGGAGGAACTCTTCTTTGTTTTTCATCAATCGTTATTGGAATAATCTGTTTACCACACTCGTTCGATTGTAATATAAGATTATAGCTACCAATCGATACATTTCTGAAAGTGTATTGGTTTCCAGAATTAAATTGATAATCTGGATGACCCTGGATCTCTATCGACTGATAGTTAGCGCCATTGTTAACTGATATTATTCCATCACTATTACTTTCATATGTAATTGAATAATAATCATATTGTGGTAGAATATCTATTTTTAATAAATAATAAAAGTTTTGTTAGTTAAATAACTATAATTTTATAAATATTATATTTAAGATACTTACTTTTTATAGGATTTAAAATAAAAGGTAAAGTACAACCATTTCCAATATTTAATTTATTTAAACCAAATGTGGAAACTTGGATTGGAACACCTTGGCTTATGTTGATTGGTATTCCATTTAATTGATAGGTAAAGTTGCTGTCGATTACCAAATGGTCGATGGTAACTGCAGTCTCTGAGTATGGACACAACATCTGTGGCGGCGTCGTGATTGCTGGTCCTTGTTCACCAACTATCTCTCTGTTGGTGCATCCATTAACTCCATAAGTAACAGTATACTCCAGATTATATTGTAATTGGTAGTGATAGGTAGTGGATCCTCCACTATTTTCCCAGACTAACGGAACAACTGGATTGATGGACAGTACACTATACAGTGAGGAATCTATGACCAACTCTACATAGTTACATTTTGGTACCATTGTTTTTTGTAGTGGTCCTACAGTGGTGCATTGTTGTGATCGACAATACGAAGAACAATTCAAAACAATGAAAACAACCAAAAATAAAGAATAAATATTATTCATTCTCTACTTTTTTTTCGGTTGATGTAATGTATAAATATATATATAGAAAACTGATGATTGGTAAGAAGGCTAGGGTTATAATTTCTTTATATCTATTAAATGAGTTGGACAGATATAAGAAATAATAAAAAAAAACCCAATCAAGTTGAAATGGTTATAGAGTTACTGTGAGTGTGTATGTTCAGTTTTGTGGTTTGAACTTCCCCGAAAAAAAAAGGGTAAAAAGCAATTGTTGGAAAGAGAGTTAAAAGTTTGCTGAAATATTTCCTTAAAGGTAATATATTTTATAACACTGTTCTTGTGTTTTTGATTTGATCCCAAATCAATTTGTGTGTTTTGTTTTTGTTTTTTTTGCTTAGATTAATAAAATCTAGATGCGAAACATTTTGTGTTTGTGATGGATTCTCAAACATTTTATTTAATTTTTTATTTTTTGTCTGGGGGCTACCTGCATGCTAGAAATTTTCGATCCACAATGTTGTATTCACTCGAGTCGATTATAAAAGTTTCAGCTAATTTTGGATTTTTTTGATCTGAATTTTTATAATAATATTTTTTTTTAAGAAAATAGAATTTATTCAAAGTTTTTGTGGTCAAAGATCTTTTCATTGGCAAAAAAAAAAACGAATCTAATGATTCAATTGATGACCAATCATTGGTCCTATCGCCAAAAACTTTAATAGAATTTTGTGATCACAACAACTTTATTTATAAATACAAAAAAAAAAACATAAAACTGTTTTCTAAAAAGTAAATTACATATTTGCTTATGGTGTTGTTGTTGATGTTGTTGATGTTGTACTATTGATTATGGCCGATGGTATAAGTTTTTCAGATTCACCTGTTGGAAGTATAACTGATGTTTGTGTTGATTGACCTTGATTAGTATTGTTTGTCTCTTGAAAAGGTGGTGTTACTGACTCCGAGGTTGACGTTGGATTGTAAAAGTGAGCTAGCGAAGGATGACCAGCCCAATCGATATAAAACATTCCCTTTTTGGTGTTTCTCTTTACATAAGAAGTGTAGTCGGTGCTTGTAAAGTATGCTTTCAGCTTGTTGGAGAGTGGACGAATCTGCTTGTGGAACTCCCAAGTGACTCTGTTTCCGGTGGAACGCTCCTTGACACAACCAAACTCGAACGCCCATGAGACTGGTGCCAGACCGAGTTGCTCGATTGCCGGCTCGAGATCGCCGAGCAACGAAAGGAAGAACGACTGAATCGACGGGTCGACAAAGAAGTACTCTCTCGACTGATACATAAACGCATTGTAGAAACGGTACGGTGTATTCAGCAGACAGTCACGATTGGATTTGGTGGCGGCTTGCACCAAGAGCTGATCCATTTGCTTGGCAATTCCAAGACCTGGGTATTGCTGACCCGGGAGTGGAGGACGATCGTTGGAGAACTGTTTCTTTGGATCCTGGAGAGAGAGCCACTCGATGATTGTCGCTTTGATCTCCATGCTTCCAAGGTGTCGCTTCACCAGTTCGTAGCTAGGTTCTGTCGATACCCAGTGGTAAGGTTCACCATGAAGCGCATACTGTGGAAGATGTCTCTCGATTTCACCTCTTATTCCAAGGCTATTTACACTATTGCTTCTGTTTCCGTTGCGAGTACTAGCTGTCGGACTGTCAGAGCTTACAAAGTCTGACAAATACAAATCCTTTCTTCTAATGAAAATATCCATTAACAATGAATCTCCACCTCTAGCCGATTCTATTGAACTATCTGTTATCTTTATTCTATGAACAAACGAATCACTATAATCTGGAACCAACTTTATATTACAATATCCTCTACTTGACTAAAAATTAGATAGTAATAGCAAATTTCATTAATTAGTATATGAATCATAGCATATGATGATTCTGATTCTATACATACTAATATTGTTTTAATACCAAAAGAATCGAGATATCCAATTAGCTCAGGTGTGCTATATGTATTAAGTAGTCTATCGTTGTCAGAAGTACCGAATGGTGCGAGATCATCTTCATCCAATTCATCGATGGTCAGTTGAATGTCGAGCTGTGGATTAGAATACTTTTGTAGAATGCTACGTAGTTCATCGAGACGATCTTTCCATTTGAGAGCGACTGCATCCACCCAATTTCTGAGATACTCTCCAATGATATGATAATGATGCAACAAATAGGTAGAGGATCTAGGTGAATGTGGTGGTGTAAGTGATCTTTCTTTCTTATTGGTCTCACCAACGTTGCTAAGACTAATACTACTAATATTAAGACTGTCGTGAGTACTACCAATACCGCTACCACTACCAACCGCATCATCGGTATTTGGATTCAAAGGTATTGCAATAGTTGGAATACCATTACTACTGTTACTATCTCTATCATCCATTTTTGTTTAATATAATAATAATATTACTAAATATAAATATATAATATATAGTTTTATCTAAATAAGAAAAACGAAACAAAACAAAACTAAACAATAGAAACTAAAAAAAAAAAAAGTAAATAAAAATAATTGTAGGTTAAATAATTATTTAAAAGCAAAAGTTAAATATAATTAATTCAACAGTCTCTCTTAAGTTAGATATAGATATTTAAAAGTAAAGTATTAATACACAAATATAATCATATCTTTTTGTTAAATTTATAATATTTATAAATATTGGTTATATTAGAAAAAGATTTAAAAATAAATTTAAAAGTTTAAAGGTCAGTGCACATACTGTTAATTTTGAAATAGATCTGCTTTCGAAAAAAAAAAAAAAAAAACAATGCACCGTTTGTTGGTCCACTACTTAACTGTCTCCCAATTTTAAAAATGTAATCCAAATATTTGTTGTTGTGTGTGTATGTATGTTGGGAACTCTTAAGATTATCTTCAATAAACAACAATGTTAAAATTCATGAACGGTGTGGTGTCGACACTTTCGTCCTAAATAGGAATAAAAAAATAATAAAATTTTTGTTCAAATTAAATAATTTATTAAGTTCCCAAAATTTTTTTATTTTTTGTTGATTTGTATGTCATTCAAAAACTTTGTGTTACTTGTTGGTAAAATATTCCTTATCATTTTTTTATTTATCTCAAATAACTATTAAAAAAGATTGATGCATAAGAAGAAAAGAATAATAATAAAAATAAGTTGTACTTTTATTTCTGATTTTTTTTACTTTTGCAGATTTCACATATTGGAAAATAAATGAAAAAAAAAAACAAATAGAAATCTATTTGTTCAACGTCTTAAGAACCGACAATTCAATTTGAGTTTCGTGTTAGTGTTTATTCATTCCATTTTATAACATATTAGGAAATTTTGAAAAAAAGAATACATGTATTCTTTTTCATTCTTTGTTCTTTTACAAAAATCAATCTGCTCATCATAATTACATCTTTGAGCTGTGGTGTTGTGATGATCAACTATTTAATTAAAATTTGTGAAAAAAATCTAAATCACACATTAAACAAAAACAAATTTGCACTTAATTTTTTTTTTTTTTAGTATTAAATTAAATTTTAATTAATTAATTAAATAGTAAATGGAACCCTCAGTCACACTTAATTCTGGTCATAAGATACCAATGGTAGGATATGGGTATGGATTAACTAAATATCATTATTTCAAATAGATAGATAGGAAACATTTTATATCTAACTGTAATTGTTTATATATTTTAATATTAGTACATATCTATCAAAACCAAATGAAATTGGAGAGTGTATTAGAATTGCATTGAAAGAAGGAATTCGTCATTTTGATTGTGCTGAAGTTTATCATGTAAATATAATAATAATCAGAAAGTTGATAGTGATAATCAATATTAATATTCATTCATTCATTTGATATCAAAATTATATATATATATATATATATAGAATCAAAAGGAAATAGGTCAGGTTTTTAAAGAAGCTTTCGATAGTGGTTTGGTAAAGAGAAGTGACTTGTTTATCACTAGTAAACTATTTGCTACTTGCCACTCAAAGGAACATGTTAGAAAGCATTTCGATATCACACTGAGTGATTTGCAATTGGATTATTTGGATCTCTACTTGATTCACTGGCCACTTGCAATGGAGTACAACGCTGCGGAACCAATGAAGTCGCCAATGGAGAATGGATATCCTAAACTTGCAAAAGTGCCAATCATTGAGACTTGGCGTGAGTTGGAGAAGATTCACGATGCTGGATTGGCTCGCAGTATCGGTGTCTCCAATTTCAATGTAAGTGTTCTCAACGATCTTTTGAACTCGGCACGAATCCCGCCATCAGTTAACCAATGTGAGTTACACCCGTACTGGAGTCAACCAGGCTTGAGAATGTTCTGTGAGAAGAATAACATTCATATGACTGCCTACAGTCCATTGGGTAAGGGCTCAATCATGAGTGATCCGGTCATCGTAGAGCTGGCCAAGAAGTATAATAGATCGACAGCCAACATTCTCTGTCGTTTCGGTATCCAAAAAGGTTACTCTGTCATTCCAAAGAGTACCACTCATTCACGTATCAAAGACAATGCCAACGTCAAAGATTTCGTCATCTCTGATAGTGATATGGCTATTCTAGATGCACTCCCACAAAAGAGAATAATTCAACCAATGAATTTCTGGGGATTCCCATTGTTTGACTAATTGCAAGTTCTTTATCCTTTGAATAATCATCAGATGAAATATTAAATAAATATCAATCATCATATGTGTTTAGAATTTAATAAAATGCTTTAAAATAGAATGATAAAAATAAATTATCATTATAATAATAATAGTAATAATGAATGATTGTTCTAGTAACAATTTAATAATGTTCATTGTACTTATGGCATTTAAATATATAAATATATTAGAATTATCAATATTAGAAAGAGATATTAGAAATCGATTTGCAAGAGATAGTACTGCTTTACCAGTGAATGATTAACCAAAAAAAAAAAAAAAAAATTTATTTTTTTCATCTTTATAAACAATAGTTAAAGATAACATCTATAACAACCAACATTAGAATATTTATTATTAAGAATAGAGTTCAATCATTTCGACCTCTTTCAATACTAATAGTATTACTGTAAAAGATTAATAGATAATAAAATAGAATAGAATAATACAGTTAAATGAATATTATATTTTATTTTTAACTGTTATTATCATTTGAATAAAAATAATAATTAATAAGAAATAGTAATAATATTTTAAGTCTTTAATAATATAGATGATCTTTAATTCAATCGATTATATACACACACTGCACATTCATTTATATGAATATGTAAGGATATTTTAGAATATTTTTCATTGTTAAATTAAACACCTCAGCACATATTAACTGCTAGTATTGCGATGAGAGTGATATATTATCTGTAGTAGATTATCTTTTAAAAGTTAAACGTATATAAAATCAAATTGTTTACAGCAAGTTTATTGTGTATCTTGTTAAATATTAATATTTACAACAAGTTTATTGTGTCGATATATACATGTAGTTTGTTCTGTTGTTATATATTTATATCGCACCGCGCAATGTCTACACTCGATACACATTCACTTGTTTTATTATAGCCATAAACAGATATTATAATATTAACTAAAACAATAAACAGTTACTCAAAACATGCATAATAAACAGTGAGGTTATCTCATTCCTAAATAGGTAATAGTGTCAGAGAATACAGATAATTCCTATGTTGATTGCAGGAATAAAGATAACATCGGAAGAAAGCGATTACAATGTGAAACTGCGATGAAAAATAGGAATGGATTTAAGCAAAAGTTTTATACCGCAAGCGGGGTGATTCGATTTACCAAGCAATAATAAAAGACCTCCCTATCCGGGAATCGAACCCGGGGTTTCAGTGTGAAAGACTAATGTGTTACCACTACACCAATAAGGAATTTGGATGAGATTAAATCTTTGTAATAATTTTTTAAATGTCAACTCTTTAATCCTCAAAAAAGAATTTGGAGTTTAATATTATATGTTTAGTCTTTTTTCAACCTTAATTCGATTCCCAAAGTAATTTGAATCAAATCATTAATTTCTAATATTCAGTTATGTCATAAACTACATTTTATTTAAACTTCTTAGTCTTTTTTGATAAAGGAACTCTTGTAAAATAAATTTAAAGATATGATCTATTCCGCCCCATTTTGATTTGTTCGGTCCGAGAATGTCAACTTTTTTTTTTTGTGGTATTCAGCTCATAAAACTTTAGATATTTATATTTTATTTCTTTAATTTTTTTTTTTTTTTTTTGTAAAACGGTTTTTTGCGAAATGAAAAGAGTTAATATAAAAAAAATTATTTCGTGATCTATCAATCAGAAAATGTCATTATCACTCTGTTTAGTATTTTTTGTTCTTCTATCAAATTCAGTGTGGACAGTTAGATCAGAAGATGCCATTCTCAAGGCATACCCTGAGGTGTTGGCTGTCAGTAATGATCTTGTCACCATAACATGGAACGGTGTCGATACTCCAACTATCTACGACACCATTGCCATCTACTATCCACCTTCATCAGATGTAACATTACCAATTGGTTTCATTCCACTATCAACATCAAGTAGTAAGTGATTTTTATTTTAGTATTAGCACCGTAAAATAAAATAATAACTTTTCATTTTTTTTCTTTTTCACTATTAGCTTATAAACAAGGATATGGTACAGTTTCAATTCCACTTGTAAATGTTAGAGATACTTATATTTTCAGATTATGGCTAAAGAGCACTGAAGCCTCGACTGGTCCAGCCATGCCATCACCACTAAGTGGAAATGTTAACATTACATTGGTTGCCAACTCAAACAATGTCACTTTTGAAAATCCAAATGCACCAGAAAAACCATACTTGGCATTCACAAATTCCACAACCGAAATGAGATTGAAATGGATTAGTGGTTGTTCTGATGTTCCAATTGTAAACTATGGACTTTCATCGTAAGTTTTTACTATATTTTTTAAATTTTGTTAAATATTAACTCAATATCTTTTTATATTTTAGAAATAATTTAAATATGGTTGCAAAAGGAACAGTTGGAACTTATTCTATGAATCAAATGTGTAATGGACCAGCAAACGATCCAAACTATTTCAGAGATCCAGGATTCATCCAAGATGTTGTTATGGTAGGATTGACAGAGTCCACTCAATATTTCTACAATTTTGGAAGTGAACAAAGTGGATTCAGTGATATCTATAGCTTTGTATCTGCACCAAAGCCATCGACTGAGGCATTCATTGTTGCTTTTGGTGATCTTGGAATGCAACCACCATTCGAATGCAACTGCGAGATGATGCCACCTGCCTACCTCACCGTTAAGAACATTGAAACAACCATCTCACAACCATGGTCACAAAACTCTTTTGTCAAAAAACTTGGATTGAAATCATCAAATAGTCAAGTCGATACGCCACCCGCATGGAGTGTTCTACACATTGGTGATATTTCATATGCTCGTGGTTTGGCATTTATTTGGGACTGGTATCAAGAATCCATTAAAAATATTGCAAGTCGTGCACCATATATGGTTTCTATTGGAAAGTAAGTTAAAAAAAAAGTTATAAATATATATTTTGAAATGAATTATTAATAGTCTAACTCTATATTTTAATAATATTTTTTAGTCATGAATATGATTATACAAAACAACCATTCTATCCATCATGGAGTGACTATGGAGGTGACAGTGGTGGTGAATGTGGTGTTCCATTCAACAATCGTTATCATATGACTGGATATGGCGAAGCTACTAATCTTTGGTACTCTTATGAAGTAGGACCCATTCATTTCACTCAGATGAGTGGTGAGCATGACTTTTTGATTGGTTCAGAACAATACCTTTGGTTGGAGCAAGATCTTAAATCGGTTGATCGTTCAAGAACTCCATGGGTTATTTTAAGCGGACATCGTCCAATGTACTGCAGCCAATCTGGTGAAGCTGAAATGTTTGCTCATTTACGTGATAATTTGGAGCCACTATTAATTGAAAACGATGTAAATCTATGTTTCTGGGCACATGAACATGTTTATGAAAGAATGTGTGCACTTATCAATGGAACTTGTCAAGAGAGTGATAATGATGCTCCAGTTCATGTAAGATATATTTGATTTCATAACCAGCTACATGTAAACTAAATTATTAATTTATTTCCATTTTACAATTTCTTTAGATTGTTATTGGTATGGCAGGTAATACAGACCAATCTGCTTGGGATTCTACTTCACCAAATCATGAACCACAACCTGACTATTCCATGTTTAGAGCTATCAACTATGGATATACAAGATTCTATGCAAATATGACCGATTTATATTTCGAATATGTTGGAAATCAAAGAAATCAAGTACATGATAATCTTTGGCTACACAGTAAATATTCAAACTAAATATTACTTTATAATTTTAAAAAATATTTATAGATTTTTGAATTGAAAAAATTAATTGAAATATTTTAATACTTTTTACAGTATTTTTTTATATTTATTTGATTTTGAAAAAAATATTCTTTTATGATTGATTTCATAAACAAGATGATTGATTGTTTAATTTAGGCATTAACTCTAATGGTATCAGCGGTGACCAATCCGTTGGCAACATTAGTGTCCTTGACGGTTGTACTGACAAGGTTAGTTGCATGGTTGGCTGTTTGGTTCATTCCAACACCAGATTGGCTGGAGAAGGTTGAGGCAGAGACGGATGAGGATGAGGAGAACAAGTTAGCAATTGATTCTAAAAAAATATTAAGAAATTATAAATATTAATATTTATTTAAGTTTTAATTTAAATTTTTTTTATTCAACTTACTGTACAACATTTTTGATTGATTTGATTAGTGTTAATTAAAAGTAATAGTATAAATTTAGTATTTATTTATTAGTATTAGTATTTGTTGATTGTTTGATGATTAGAAATGTCAAATGACCTTGGTATTTATAGTTCTCTCTTTCAATATACTTTACAAATGATCATGAATAATTTTCAAATAATCTGAACATGGAGATACAATCAATGTATTTATTAAATTCCACGAACTACTATTCTAGAAATCTTGTATGTATATTACTTAAATAATATTAAATATTTCATATTCTTTCAATCATCAGATGCCAACTAAACACTTTGGCTTATATTTTTTAATTATTGTTAAATTTGATCAATTTCAGAATAAAAAGTAATATACTAATAATAATTATTAACAATCATTGGCTCTTTGATATTAAATACAAATACACTGTTATCATCTTATAAAGATATGTTACGAAATTCTATCTACTATCTAAATTGACAACTCATACTACAATTGCATTTGGTATCTACCAAAGGTATGACAGTATATATCATATTTTTTTAATAAAATTATAATTAATTTTAATGATAAACAAAACTACACAAAAATTTATCTATACCCCACTGTTTACTCCACAAAACCATCAGACATTTTAATCAACCCCATTTTTTATTTAAATACAAACACAAAACAAATTTTATTGATTGTCCACTGTCCACACACACATAAAAAATAATACTTTTTTTTTTTTTTGTCAAAATCATCTTTCTCCAAAGTCTATCTATATTCATTATCTATATGATTGTTATTTTAATGCTTAATATAGATGTGAATTGTAGATAAATTATTCATTGAATAAATTTATTTTCCCAATATTTTATTCATTTACTTTATGTTGAATTATCAAAATTACAACTCTTTATATAGATTTATTACGTATATTAGATTATTAATTTAAAATATCATTATCTAAGCTTATCAATTTGAATACTTGATTAGTAATTTATAGAGTTTATTAAGTTGAAATTGTACTATCAAACTATTAATTTCTCTTTTAGATATAAAATTATATCTAAATATATAGTAAGATTAAACAAACCGGACAGTGCACTTGATTGTAGATGAATATGATGATAAAAGAGTCATTTGCACGTTTGATTATGAATATTTGAGTGGTAGAAATCTTTGATTGCTTCTTGATAATACTAGTAACTTGTCATAGTGTATAGTTTATAAATATATGCTTTAAAATAAAAAAAGAAAATAAAAAAAAAAAACAACTTAACGTTATACATTTACTCTGACAAAAGTTTTTGATTTCAATATCTTATAAATAATATTTGGTTAAAAGTCAATAAAGTTGTTTGGAAACTTTGATGGGTTCAAATATACCCAATTAATATGGTTTGAAATTTCGTGAAAAACTGTAAAGTCTTTTTGTTTACAATAATAATATGGTTTATTTATGATTTATATTTTTTGTGGTTCAAATTCACTACCCAATTTAGGTTGTTTTTTCATTTTAAATGAATATTGAGACCCATTTTTGGGTTTTTTTTTTTGATGATTTTTTTTTTTTTGAGAATGATTGATTTTCATGAAGATATAAAAAGGTAAAAGTTATGTATCGTTTCATATCATTTTTAAATAACTAACAAACAAATAAATACAATAAAATAATGGAAGGAGAAGACGTAACTGCTTTGGTAATTGATAACGTATGTCTCATATAATTAATATATTTACATTTTGATATCTCAAAAAAAATATTAACAATGTTATTTTATTTTTTTAATTATATCAAATAGGGATCTGGTATGTGTAAGGCTGGTTTCGCAGGAGATGATGCCCCACGTGCTGTATTCCCATCGATTGTCGGTCGTCCAAGACACACTGGTGTCATGGTCGGTATGGGTCAAAAGGACTCCTACGTCGGAGATGAAGCTCAATCAAAGAGAGGTATCTTGACCCTCAAGTACCCAATTGAGCACGGTATCGTCACCAACTGGGATGATATGGAGAAGATCTGGCATCACACTTTCTACAACGAACTCCGTGTTGCCCCAGAGGAACACCCAGTTCTCTTGACTGAGGCACCACTCAATCCAAAGGCCAATCGTGAGAAGATGACTCAAATTATGTTTGAGACCTTCAACACCCCAGCCATGTACGTTGCTATCCAAGCTGTTCTTTCCCTCTATGCCTCTGGTCGTACCACCGGTATCGTTATGGACTCTGGTGATGGTGTCTCCCACACTGTTCCAATCTACGAAGGTTATGCCCTCCCACATGCTATCCTCCGTCTCGATCTTGCTGGTCGTGATCTTACTGACTACATGATGAAGATCTTGACTGAACGTGGTTATTCATTCACCACCACCGCCGAACGTGAAATCGTCCGTGATATCAAGGAGAAGCTCGCCTACGTTGCCCTTGACTTCGAAAACGAAATGCAAACTGCTGCCTCATCCTCAGCCCTCGAGAAATCATACGAATTGCCAGACGGTCAAGTCATTACCATCGGTAACGAACGTTTCCGTTGCCCAGAGGCTCTCTTCCAACCATCCTTCTTGGGTATGGAATCTGCTGGTATCCACGAGACCACCTACAACTCCATCATGAAGTGTGATGTTGATATCCGTAAGGACTTGTACGGTAACGTCGTCCTTTCTGGTGGTACCACTATGTTCCCAGGTATTGCTGACCGTATGCAAAAGGAATTGACCGCTTTGGCCCCATCCACCATGAAGATCAAGATCATCGCCCCACCAGAACGTAAATACTCTGTCTGGATCGGTGGTTCCATCTTGGCCTCCCTCTCCACATTCCAACAAATGTGGATCTCCAAGGAAGAATACGACGAGTCTGGTCCATCCATTGTCCACAGAAAGTGCTTCTAAACAATTTAATAATAATCTTGTTGTAAATTATAATAAATTAAATGCGAAAAAATCAATTGTTGATTTAATCCAATTGGTTTTATATTTGTAAAACAAAAAAAGATAATATTTGTCCAAAAAATAGTAATTCATTTGAGAATATAAATCAAACAAAGTTGTAATGACATGATAATAATATTATGATAAACCATTTTTGAATTTTGTAAATTGATGTAAAACATTGTCTCATTGATTTACAAATAAAGGAGATTGGAAGATTGTTCTTTAGTTTATATACCCTTCATACATTGATGACCGCACCCATTGAAAAAGCAGATGTACCCTTCTTGACATCCATTTGTACTATTGATTACTATTTACTTTATTTATAACTAAATCCAATCTCAGGAATAGTAATAAAGTGTGAATAACTGAATTGGATAGATCCAATTTTTTAAATCTATTATAATCGTCAGTATTAATGTAGTCATTTTTATAAATAAAAATTAATATAAATAGTACTTGTTGTGAAGCTAAACACAACAATTGTACTGCTGGTTTTATTGATTCAACTAAAACCAGACGTCCAAATATGATATCTGTTATATGTTCTAGGTTAGATCCTCGATTTTTAACAAGTGGAATCCACTTGTTTTGGGTACGAAAACATGAAGAGAATGATTGAATTTAAAAAAGCATTAATTTTTAAAAAAAAATTTTTGACAATTTATGAATAAGAACATCATCATCTATTGCTCTGTCATATAAGGGTTAGTATCCTGGACTTTGAATCCAGTCATCTGAGTTCGAATCTCAGCAGAGCAAACTTTTTAAAATAAAAATGTGTACATTTTGCGGCCTAGATGCGGAAAAAAAAAAACAAATCCACTCTTGCTTTCTCAAATTAATTCAGCCACTTCTTCTATGGTAAAAGGGAATTGTATACCAACTTTCTCACTGAACCTAGAAGAACTGCAATCCCAAGCTCTCTTAAGCATCTCTGCGTGCAGCTCTGGATTATCTTTCTCAGCGGCGAATAGTTTGGAGTAGAAGCGATGCATGATCTCACTCCGGGGACTCGTACTTCTAAAAAAATGATTTAAACCCCTATCTCACACATTGTTGGCATGTTTTTTATAAAAATAATTGAAAATAAAGCACCTATATTTGGTAATCGTACGTAGTTAATTTTGAACCCCCAGCAAGATTCTCATCCTCACTGAAAAACAAAAAAAAATTGGCAGTTGCGTGGCCACCCACAATTTTTTTTTTTAATTTTTTTTTTTTTTTTTAATTTTTTTTTTTTTTTTTAAATTGCCATATCTTGAGCAAACATAGCTTCACTCGACATAAAGTCATCTAATGCTTCTATATAATTGATATAATCTTCATTTATATCATCTTTATTAATACCACTAATGATAATCGATATAGTTTGTTAGTTTAATCAGATAGATAGTATTCATTAAAATTCCTATTTATATTTACCTAATAAGATCAGGTGGTATCAATATCTTTTAAAAACTTTTGATATTGAATCTTTGTCTAACATTCTATTTACTATAGTGCTCTTGATAGTTGTTGTGTAGTGATATGAGTTTCTGGCATATCTTTAATCTAATTAGATTCTGTAGTTCGTCATCGAATGATCTTTAAAGACATCTCCAATCTCTGATAAAATCAAATCATTCGATTCAATAACCTTATGTAAATTTACAAGTTCTTCTGCTTGACTAAGATCTATAATATAATATTAGTTAGTATAGCTAAAGAGAATAGAATTGAATAGATAAAACTAAATACATGTATTAATAACACCAGATGGCAATGATTGTAAATCTTGATCGATTGCATTCGGCATCTTCAGTGCATGGTGTGGATGTTGTTCGATGTCAAACATCAAGTCGTTCAGCGAGGTGTATGGTTTACCATCTTTGTTGTGGTGAGCAACGAGAGTGTCGATACATCTATATCCAATACCGATGAATCGTCATCTTGATATTAAGTTGTATAGTCACCTGCAAGTATATGATCAGGTACTAAATCATCATCTTCATCAACACTACCATCATTCTGATTACTAACTAAACCAAAATCAATATTATTATTATTACTATTACTATTGATGTTTAATATATAATCTAATTCATTTAATACATTATTACAACTACTTCTATCATTATCATTCATTTTTGATCATTATTTGATTTCAAAATAGATGTTAATGTGATGAAATTTTTTTTCAAATTTTTTTTCAAATTTTTTTCAAATTTTTTTCAAATTTTTTTCATTTTTTATTTTTCCAAATTTGTAAAAACTGAAATAAGTGGGGTACGACTTTCTGAAGTGTAGTCATCTCGTCGATGTCGGAAGTAACGGATTTATTACTTCTGTACAGCCCAGGTATGGATGAGTCTTTCTTGGATTGAGCAAGTTTGGCAGTGAGCATTTTAGATGGAACTTCACCATGGAGTTGCTGGTTCATCTTGCGTATGGAGTCACGAAAAGAATGTTCTTCAGATTGAAGTAACAGTAGATCGCTGCTGGCTTTGGCTCTGATGTTAGATGATAGTTCGGTGGAGCTAATGGTATTGATCAAACTCTTAATCATCTTCCTCTTGGCCATGCTACGCAGCCGCTGGTATTTTTTATAGACGTTGACTACCAATGTTCCATTTGAGATTTAAGTACTGTTTTTATGTTAACATGTTGAGATGTTCATTAATATTGAAATAATCATTCTATTGATAATAATTTTAACTGAACAATATTTGATTTTAATCTTAAAGTCTTATGATTATTTATAATATTACATCTTTCCAACAATCTTTAAATAATATAGTACTACATACTCATTGTTTGCAACTCTGCTATATAAACTAGCATATGCATACAACAATACAAGCGTTCATTCAATCTAATAATCTTAATCTGACTAAATTTAATATTATTTGATCATATTTTTGAACAGACTTTCTATCCTATTATTATCGAGTCTTTGCTATAGATTATATTTTCAATGAGTTATCACAATGCTGATTAATAAATTTATGTTGTGAAAAATATGAATAGTTTAGAAATGATTAAACCTAAAAAAAAAAACAAAAAAAGATAATAAAAAAGAATATATTATTATTATATTATGCTGTAGCATGTTTATTTAAATATATTTGTTGTTATTTGATTGATTTAAAGTTAACTTGTAGGTGTTTTATTTGTTGTTGATGATATCAAAAAAACTATTGAATTGTTTGCTGTTAAAAAACAATTTGTTTTTTTAAAAAATAAAATAAACTCAACAAACATTATTATAGAGATGGATGATATAGTTATAGATATCAAAAACGACAATGTGATTGAGACAGCACTATTAACATTATCATCTTTTATTAAAGGATCATTCGGACCATCCGGTGTATACCAAATGGTACTAAGTGATTCTTCAACTGTTGTTGTTACAAACAAAACATCTGAGATTCTAAAGGTATGAAGATCATCTACTCTACTGTAGATAACATGGCAATATGTGATTGACGTTACTAATGTAATTGTAAAACAAAGTATATTAAAATAGATCATCCAGTCACTGATATTGTAAAGCGTACTGTAAATACACTGGAATACGTTGCTCACGATGGTACCACACAGTTTGTCATTCTCATGGAACAACTATTCTCACAATCACAGACAATAATAAGACAGCGTGCGTTACACCCGATATCGATTGTCTATTCTTTGCAGCGGCTACTTAATCAGATCGATACTTGGTTGGAAAGATCTAAGATCAGTGTTTTAGTTGATGAACAACTAGCGGAACTCAATGATCGTTTAGCCAATACAAAAGAAATCATGTCGTTACGAATCGATATCAAACCATCGATACTTCAAGATACTATATTGACATCTATCAAAAGTAAACTAAAAGATTCCGATCAATCTAGAGATATTGCTGATGTTGCAACTAGACTTTTATTGAAAATGTATAACAATCAAACCGTTCAACAATTGAAAGATAGACGTATCTCTTTCCAAGATCAAATCATTATACTACCTTTAATATCCAATACTTTAAAATCAACGTTTATAATCAATACATTCTTACTTGAAACAAACGTAACTATCTTTCAACAATATATATTAGAACAATTTGTTTAAAATTTATATTCTTATCATTCAAAATATTTTAGAATAGTCAATGTTTAGATAATATAAAGAACAGAGTTAATAATAAGAAGATATCTATTATCATTATCAATGAATGTTTGGAGTTAATAAAGAAGAAGAATAATCAACAGCAACAGCAACAGCAACAGCAACAGCAACAGCAACAGCAACAGCAACAGCAACAGCAACAGCAACAGCAACAGCAACAGCAACAAGATAAAGGTGATGCAACAAAGTTATCATTCAATTCATCTAGTCAATTATCAACAATGTTGGAAAAAGAAAAACAATTGGTTATCAATAAGATAAAGATATTGAAAGAGATGGAAGTAGATGTAATTCTATCAACTTCAGATATTGATAGCGAGGTAATGAATATTCTGGTTAAAGACTATGGTTTGATAGTATTCAGTAACATCAATAAACAAACATCATCGGTGGTCTGTAAATCACTTGGTATACAATTCATCAATTCAATTACAACACTACCACATCAAATCAATCAATCTAGTAAATTCATCGGACATGTACAATCAATTTCTATATCAAAATATCAAGATAACACAACAAATACAAGTTATAATCAAAATAATATAAATAGATTAATAGAGTTTACAATGATGACAACTGATAAAAATGATAGTGATAATCATCAACAACAACAACAACAATTACCTATAATGGCAACAGCAATTATTGTATCATCTTCAATATACAATGTAAAACATAGAGTTGGTTCATTCATTAGTGGAATGGGTGTTGGAAAGTGCTGCTTTGAAGATCTCTATGTTCTACCGGGTGCTGCCACAGTCGAACTCGATCTTATTAGAGAACTTCAATTACAACTAAAACAACAGCAACAACAACAACAAAAACACAAACAACAATATGATATCAATGATTTCGCAGTCTATCAGATATTCTCAAATACTCTAGAGTCAATTGCCAGTGCATTGCTTTACAATGCATCACTTTCACATGTCGATGTACTTCATCGATTTCATACAAACTACCAATTATTTAAGGATCATGGACTGAATCTAAATCAAGAGAGTGAACAAGACAACGATCACAACAGTTCTATCGATTCGGTTCGATGCTTCCTAATTGCAAAGGATCATGGAATCTATGATGGCTATAGATGTAAGAAGTTGTTATTCAAGTATGCAATCGATACTGTTTGTCTACTGTTAAAGATAGATCAAGTGATATATCCAAAGAAAAACAATCATAAAACACCAACACCTCCAACAACCACTAAAAAACAATCAAAAACAACAACAACAAATAACTATATTGAATTTAAACCAACATCATTCAAATCAGCCAACACGGAGAGTAAGGAAAAAGAGATTCTACGCAAGAAGAACGAGATATTCTACTCTAAAGAAGAAACTGAAAAGAGAAATAAGATAAATAACAACATAAATAATAGTTATTAAAATAGATAGAAAGCAATAATCAATCAAAATTGTTTTCTTTTCTTTTCTTTTCTTTTTTGGTTTATCTACAATTAAATATTGGTTTTATAGTTATTATTATTATTATTGTTAATATAATTTAATGTAATCTAGTTGGTTTTGTTGATTATTTGGTTCTAAAAGCTAGTTGTGTAAATTTTGTTGTTCTAATAAGTTATTGTTAAAATCATGATTTTATCTAGTTTCGAAACTATATAAGATTACCCGATCTATCTACTTATTGTATAACAATCATCCATCCAATAAATACATAAAAGAGTGCAACCGGATAGGTGGCCAATCCTTTTCTTGATAATGGTACAGATGATGCTAAAAATCCATATGATGCTAATTATTAATAAGAAAGAGAAGAGAATAGGTTAGAGTCATTGTTTGTCTTCACTAACTATATTTATAAATGATGATAACTCACCAAAGATTGACCAAGCAAGACAAATCAATACGATTGGTAACTTAATTGCAATGTGTAAACCACTAAAGAATGCAGTTGGTATCCAAATAACAAAGGTTGCAATCGTCAGTGGGAATACACAATATCCTAAAACACAAACACTTTGAAACAATGATCTAGATAGATAATTTTGGTAATAAGGAATGTTTGTTAATTCTTCATTGTCCTAATTATGATTATTATTATTATTATTATTGTTTCTTTTTCCTTCGAATTCATTTGCTAAACCTACAAATTTCCACCTAAAACTTGAGCGTTGAGTGTTACAAGACCGGCACCAACCCAAACTACAACAAATACCAATGCGAATACCAATGCCTTTTGGTTATCTGGTGCTGACGTACTTAACATACTGCAATATATCGATAGATAAGTTATATTTTATTAATATCTATAGATTCTTTAACTTTATCAATCGATATCTAAATGAATTGAATTACATACATTGCCATCAATAAACATAAAAGTAAAGGTCCCCATAAATCCCAATCTCTTAAAACAGCGATAGCGTTACCACGTGGTATAATAACATGATACAATTTAAATCCTACTGTTTTAATATCTCTTAACTAAATAGATAATATAATATAATATAAATAAATATATCAATGTTCCAAAGCATATAGATATTAAACACATACTATAGTAACATATACTGGTTCGTCCAGTGTATTCATTGACATTTGTTGATGTTGTTGATCCATTTTTATGATATTCTATTTCTTTCGCAAATCAACCACTATCTATCTATCTGTATATACTCAACAACTTTTAATTATCTATTTCTATTTTTTTATATTACTACTAAATATATATAAATAAACTTTATTAAAGTAGTAGTAGACCAAAATTTTATTAAAACAAACAAATAATATTAAAAATTGAATTATTTTGAATTTTTTTTTGTTATCAAAAATGAACCACCACACTTAACACCTCAACACTTTTTTTTTTTTGTTATTCACGAATGAAAAGTGTGAATGCAAAAGATAAACAATACACCATTAGAATATCATCATATAATAAATATATATGTATATGAAGTTCATATTCACCTCTTCGAAAAACAATTATCAAATTTTCATTTCACCACACTTACTATCATTTTATTTATTATTGCACATCAAGCTGAACAATATGTATGTTGTGGAGATGAAATGGGAGAGTGGTATAGTGATGTCTACCATTGATTATTATTCGCACCGAAATATTGAAGAGTGTGCGATATGAGATATTAGGATAGGCAGATATGTTATGTAGTTTCAAGTTTTAAATGAATTTGGCAATGAACTCTCATTCTAAACGAACAACCTATCTGATTTTATTTTTGTGGAATTAATTTAAATAAAATAAAAGATCCAAACTATTTAATTTTTTTATATTTATATTTATATCCCATTCCTATCAAATCTACCAAAACGATTCTATCTATATTTGTCTTACCACCAAATAAATAATTAGTTTTTTTTTTTTTATATTTGTCAGATTATTTATAATATTGATGTTGTTGGTTGTATTATTTATTATATAATAAATATATTATTCTATTTATTTATATTGGAAAAATAAAAAAATCTATTTTTTAAATTTAATTTTCTTTTTTTTTTATGGTAAAAGATAATAAATTAATAAACAAAGGACGTGGATTATCAGAGTCTACAAATGGATTATTCAGAAGAACTCTGACTGGAAGTGGTGGATTTTCAACGACTGGGAATGGTAGTGGCGGTACTAGTGGTGATCAAATAGAAATAAATACACCTGGTAGTTTAAGAAGAAATAGTATAGATGAGAGAATACATCTAAATCAGAATCATCAGGTGAAATCCGATGATCTCAAGAATCGTGGTGGTGATGATCAAGATGATCCAGATGATCTACCGATCACTGGACATCAACATCATTTTCCAATTCCAGAGACTGAGACTATCGGTGAGAAACAACAGTTCACCAATGAGATTGTCTATCTCAAACACCTGACAATGCCAGACAAGACAGGAATGTATGTCTATGCACACCATCTCTCCTACTGTGTCAAAGACTTGGACAACAAAAAACTGGATAATCTGATTGTCAACGATGTATCGTTCTATCTGCGTCCGAAAGAAATGACATTAATTCTTGGTTCGCCCGGCAGTGGAAAATCCACCCTCCTGAAAATGTTGGCTGGGCACACCAAAACACATCGCCAAACTGGAACACTGTTGTTCAATGGACATCCGATGAATCCGCTTAATCACCATCGTGATATTGCCTATGTGCCACAGGACGACATTCATCAGCCACTTCTCACTGTGAAAGAAACACTGAGATTTGCTCTGGACTGCCAAGCGCGAGAAGGTGTCACCAATCAAGAGAAAGACTATCGTGTCGATCATATGATGCAAACTCTTGGACTGTGGGAACAGCGCGATACTCTCATTGGAAATGAGTTTGTCCGTGGTATCAGTGGTGGGCAGAAGAAACGTGTTACCATTGGTGTCACCATTATCAAAGGTAGCAATTTGCTGTTGATCGACGAACCTACCAACGGACTCGATAGTACCACATCACTGGACGTAATCGGAAGCATTAGAAAGGTAGTAACTCATACTTTCTCGCCTGCTCTTGTCACTCTCTTGCAACCCAGTGCTCAAATAACATCGTTGTTTGACAATTTAATAGTTTTATCACAAGGACAGATTGTTTATTTCGGTCCAATGTCAAATGCACTCAGCTACTTTGAGGAATTGGGTTTCACTTGTCCCAAACATTTCAATCCATCTGAATTCTTTCGTATGTAACAACTTATAGTATTATTAATTTTAATCAAAAACTAATATTTTAAATATTTTATAGAGGAGATAGTTGACGATCCATTAAAATATTCATTTTTACATCCTCCAAAATGTCAAACAACTGAAGATTTTGCAAATGCATATAGACAATCGAAAAGTAAGTAAACATTTATTTTATAACAAACTTTTAATAATTGATAAATTTGTTAACAATTTGTTTTACCTTAATTTATAAAGTTTATAGAGATTTGAGGGAGAAAATGGATAGCAATTCTTCTGGTATTATTTCCGATTCTCCAGTTGGTGAATTGAAAGATAATTCAAAGCTACCACCCTATACACTACCAATGACAAAACAAATTGAATATTGTACAAAAAGAGGATATAAACTTACCTATAGGAATTTCGGTGCACTCGTTACGAGATTTTTTAGAGGAATTCTGATGGGATTGATTTTGGGAACTCTTTATTTAAGAATGGATCACAACCAAGGTGGTGGAAATTCTAGATTCGGTTTATTATACTTTAGTATGACCTATATCATTGTTGGTGCTTTTGGTGCATTGTGTAATTTTTATTCTCAAAAAGTTTTATTCTATATTCAAAGAAGGGTAATAATTTTTATGATTTACAATCTTTTACTTTACTAATATAAACTATTTATTTAGCAACGGTATTATAGTACAGCTCCATTCTTGATAAGTACAACTATTTGTGAAATTCCAGGATCATTATTGGAGATTTTCATTCTAATGACACTTATACATTGGATGTGTAATTTACGACCAACCGTTGATAGATATCTCTTTACCATATTGATGCTTCTTTTGTATGTATTACTTTTTCACAAATATAAAAACAATTCTCAATAATATCATTTTTTAAAGATTGGATACAATGAATAACGGTGCATTGAAATTTATATGTAGCTTTTCAAGCAGTCAAGAGATGGCAGCTATTCATGGATCTATTATTTTGGGTTTGTTTTTGTTGGTGGCAGGATACATGGTGCCAGAACCAACTATCAGAGGTTGGTGGATTTGGCTGTATTATTTATCGCCCTACAATTGGATGTATCAGGGAATGATAATCAATGAATTCGCTGGGCAGGCATATCACTGCAGCCCCAATGAAATGGTTCCACCGCTTGGCTATCCATTGTTGAATGTAACTTTTGACCAAGGTGGCTATGGGGGTGTACAATCGTGTGCCAAAACTCAGGGTGAACAGTTTCTTCATCAATTCGGTATGAGAACCAACGATAGTTTCAGAGTGGTCTGTTTAATTATTGTGATTGGATATTGTGTTGTATTCAACATTGCCGCTTACTTTGGACTTCGTTATTTCAAACCGGAATCCAAACCAAAGTCAATGTTAGTCAAACCAAAAAGTTCAAGGAAATCCAAACATCAAAATCCAACGACCAACGATCAAAATGTTTCTCAGTCGATTGAAATGGGACTATTGGATCCAAGTGCGTCATCGATGACAAACAACCACGGAATAGATAATAATAACTATATGAAAAATGGTTGCGAATTACATTTTATGAATTTGACCTATGAAGTGGACTACAAAAACAAGACAACCAAACAGAAATCTAGATTGAGATTACTCGATAATGTCGAAGGATATGCTAAGCCTGGAAGTATGTTGGCAATAATGGGTCCCTCAGGTGCTGGTAAATCAACGCTTCTCGATATATTGTCTGATCGCAAATCCATTGGTTACGTCACAGGAACCATCCTCATTGATGGAAAAGAGAGAACCAAAGACTTCGTAAGGTATGCATCCTATGTTGAACAACAGGATATTCTACCTCCAACACAAACCGTTGGTGAAGCCATTCTTTTCAGTGCAAGGTGTCGTCTTTCCAAAAAACATTTTGACAAAGAGAGATTGCATAATTACTATGAGCAGATTCTCGATGTTTTAAATCTTAGAAAGATACAACACAATAAGATTGGAATAGTTGGAAATGGTATATCGCTGTCACAGAGAAAGAGAGTCAGTATTGGAATTGAACTGGCAAGCAATCCAAAGTTGTTGTTTATTGACGAACCTACCACTGGACTGGACTCTGGATCAGCTCACAAAGTAATGGAGGTAATCAGCAAGATCGCAAAAACAATGAATAGAACTGTGATATGTACAATCCATCAGCCATCGGCTGCTATCTTTGAACAGTTTGACCAACTTCTTCTTCTTTGTCACGGAAAGGTCATGTATTTCGGTCCACTTGGAAATCAATCAGAGATTGTTCTCAGCTACTATGCTCAACAAGGTAGAGTTATGAAACCACATCACAATCCAGCCGATTTCCTATTGGAAATGCCTGAGGAATGTAATGAAGAGTCTGTCCAAACCTTCAAACTATCACACCACTATCAGATTTGTCAGGAAGAATTGAACAGAGTGATGCAAAATCAAAATATTCTCGGCTCACAAGAAAGAGATGTCGGTGACAACGATCGAAATTCATGGATTGAAGAATTTAAGATTCTAATGCGACGTGCATGGGACAATAGAGTTCGTCGTCCTAAAATCTATGTTTCCAATTGGACTAGATCGATCGTCGTATCTTTTGTTTTGGGAACTTTGTTTTTCAGATTGAAAGCAGAGTCTATGGATGCGAGAAACAGGATATCTCTGATGTTCTTCTCGCTGGTGTTCTTTGGAATGTCATCGGTCAGCACCATTCCAACCACTTGCATGGACCGTGCAGTATTCTATCGCGAGCAGGCATCTGGATTCTACCGAGAGACCACCTACTTCCTCTCTCACATCGTGTCGAACTACCCGTTCATCTTTGTCATTGTATTACTCTATTCTGTGCCACTCTATTTCCTGGTGCAACTGGACACCGATCCATTTTCGAAATTCTTTTTCTTTATATTCATTCTCTATATGGCGAGCGTTCAGTTCGACGCCATTGCATTCCTCTGCAGTTTGGTTCTTCCTAACGACGTGGTAGCGAGTTCCGTTTGTGGATTGGTCTTCTCGTTGTCGTCGTTGTTTGCCGGCTTTATGATTTCGAGAAACAACATGCCCACTGGCTGGCGATGGATGAACGACGTCTCCATCTTTAAGTATCCGATAGAGTCGGTGTCGGTCAATGAATTCGCTGGTAAACATTACTCTTGTCCGGATAATCGTGGTGCCGTTCCCATTCATGTCGCCGACAACCAAACCAGATATTTCTGTCCAATCACTGACGGTGAACAATTTGTACTGCATAGTTATTCATTCAAAATTCAAGATCGATATTCCAACATTGCCATTATGTTTGCATATCTCTTTGCATTTTATATTCTATCATTTATTGCACTAAAGAAAATTAAGTGGCAGAAAAGATAAAAAAAAAAAATTGGCAATCATAAATTAACTAACTAACTTATTCATCTCCCCCAAAAAAAAAAAAAAACAATCAACCTTTAATATTATAATATTATTAGATCAATTTTATTAACAAACTAAATTATTTATAAATAAAATAAACAAAGTACTACTTAATTAATCATATGATTTATTTTATTAAAACATTTGAAATTGCAAAAATAAAAAATAAAAAATAGGATAAAGAGTTGACTATGATTTATCTTTGAGTGGGTTATGTTGAACACATTGAAATTGGGTTATGGAAGTGGGTTTTTTTTACATTTGAAATTTGAATTAAAAGAAATAAAATAAAAAAATGAAAATGTGAAAAAAAAATAGATTTTTTTCAAGTGAAAAAAAAAAAAAAAGCTCACTTCAAAGCCACCAAACTAACACTGATTGATGATAACATTTTTGTTGATCATATTAATATCATTAACATCAGACCACCGCTTGTAATAATTGTATTATATATATATTTAATTTTTTTCATAAAAAACAAAAACAAAACAATTGTCAAAAAGACTTTAATATAGATTTAGATAGGTTGAATAAATAGTAATAATTAATCAATCCAGTCAAGTCAATTTTGTAATTAGTAATATCACACCACAACACAGAACAACAACAACATTTAAAGATAAATCATGATTTTATTAGAAACAAGCAATCGTATTCTCTTTGACGAAGTATTCAACTTCAATGGTGAGAAGAGAATCTACAATATTTTCGCAGACTTTGATGGTGTCAAGTTCCACACTCACACCTCTGAGGACAAGCAACAACTCTTTGTCTCTATTCAATTCAAGGGTGCTGCTGATCTCTTGAAGAACGGTGGTCAAACCTATCTCAAGGCCGTCTACGGTCCATTATTACAAGCCAAGCCAGAGCCAGGTTATGATATTACCCTCATCATTGATGTCAACGCTCCAAACAAAGGTAAAATCAATCACACGATCGATAATATATTATAACAACAATTATTTTATAATTAACTCTTTTTATTATTTTTTTCTATTAACTTTTTTTTTTTTTTTCAACTTAAAACAGAGGAACTCGCACATAAAGTCAGTCAATTGAAGAGAAATCTTATGGCAGCACCATTTTTGATGGTATTCGACGCTATTGAATCAAAGAAAGCAACACCAGAGATTATTTCTATCGACTATCGTAGTGACGAGTCATTCTATATCAAAACACAAGGTGACAATGTAACAGTTATCTTTGATATCATCTTCAAGGACTCTGACGATATCGTTTTGTCCAAGATTTTCTTACAGGCATTCGTCGACGTCAGAAAGACATTGAATAACGTACCATCGGTTTCATTCTCACAGAAGGACCCACCCTTAGAGTTGAAGGGTGTCCGTGGTGTCCGTGCCGGTGTCAACCACGGATTCGTCTCGATCAACTTGTTCCCAGGTCACATCAAGAAGGCTCAAGAGACTGCCGACCTCATCCAAACATTCAGAGATTACCTCCACTACCACATCAAGTGCGCCAAGGGTTACATGCACACCTCCATGAGAAACCGTGTCGATGGTCTCCTCCAAGTTCTCAACCGTGCCAAGCCAGAGCCAGTCAACACCGTCAAGCGTACATTCAAAGGAAAGTTCTTCAAGCAATCATAAACAATCAATAGCAAAATCAATAAACAAAAACAAAAAGCAACCAATCCACAACAACTAAAAAAAAAACAACATTAATAACAACAAAAAATACTTCATATTTATATATATAAATAAAAACAATAAATAAAAGTTTAAATCAAAAAAAACTTTTAAATTAATTTATTAAAAATAATAATTTATTATTTTATTTTATTTTATTTTATTTTGTGGTAAAAGAAATTAAAAAACAAAAATTTAAATGATGGTTGATCATCATCACAATATGAAAGTTCATTTTTTCAAAACAAAAAAAAAACAATCATACGCATTGGAATTAGGTAAATTGCGAATAGAAAAAGTAATATATAATGGCACCAATTAAATTGACTGAAGAAGAAAGAGCTACATTACTTCCAACTGTACCATCGTGGTCTATGGTAGAAGGTAGAGATGCTATCAAGAGAACCTATATCTTTAAGGATTTCATTACTGCTTTTTCATTCATGACTCGTACTGCTTTAGTTGCTGAAAAGGTATGGATGTTCTTCTCTCTATATTGTTATTTTTATTATTTTTTGTTGATTTGAATATGTTTTATTTATTTATTTATATGTTTATCAAATCATTAGATGGATCATCACCCTGAATGGTTCAACGTTTACAATAAAGTAGATGTCACATTGGCTACACACGATTGCAGTGGTCTATCAAAGAATGACATCAACTTGGCCAAGACAATGGACGAATTCTTTGTTCAATACACTCAATAAAATTGACTATTTATTATTATTATTAAATCAACCTCATAGCTCTGTGTTTGCAGTCTAACCACCATCGGAATTGCGGTATTGTAAATGAATAATATAATTTTAATATAAGGTATTCACAAAAACTTGAGAATCTCTTATAATCTATTAATTATATTGCGATATTTTGATTCTCTGGGAAATATGTCTGCAAGTCAGCGCTGTTATGACACCTTATTTCAGAGTGACTCAAGGTTACCAATCTTTAGTCTATTAATTTAAACACCAACCAGCAGCATTACACATATTAATATGCAAAAAGTTGTAAATTATTATTATTTTCATTTAAAATTCGATCAATAAAACTCCATAGTTCGGGATTAAACAATTTTTTTGATGGGATGGTTTCTGGTTGCAACCAGAAATATAAAAAAAAAAAAAAAAAGATGAGATCTGATCCAAAGTGTTGCTCTTAGGATTGGTAAACAATCATTGAGAAAGGCTTGAAGTCTTCATCTATCTGGCTAGATAGTGCTTCAATTTCGAGAGACCACCATCCCACACAACAATAAAATATTTGAAAAATTTGTGTGATCTAAAATTGGTCGAATCATTTACAAAACTGGAGAGTCTATGTTTGTTTTTTTTGTTTTTTCATCATGATTGTTGACCAGCACAACGGCAATCAACAAATTTAAAAACAACAAAACTTGTGATCAACAAAAGTTATTGTTTTCTCCCTTACCCTCATTAGCACTTTGGTATGAAATTTAAAATTAAAGTTGGATTTGAGAGTTGTGTGTTGGGGTTGTCAATGAGGGGATGCGTTTTTTTTGTATGGGTGGTTTTCATTGGCTACAACAGGTCTCTCAGGTTTTTTTGTTTTTGTTTTTATTATTTTTTTGTGCTTTTTTTCAAAAAAAAAATGTGCAAAATTTTGATTTATTTTTCAAAAATAAAACACACTCACACTCAAAATCTGGGATACATACTTTTGCCCAACCACCTCGAATTTGATTTAAATTTAATTTTATTGAAAAATAAATATTGATGATTTTCAGGTGTACCTCAAACGATAATGGGGTGTTATTTTTTATTAAGGAAATAATCCTTTTAAGAAACATATAACGTTAAAAAAGGAAAAACTTTAAAATGGAAAAACAATTTTGCTGACAATAAAAAAACAACATTATCCTTTTTAAAAACAAACATTCAAATACTCCGCCTCCGCATATAACTAACTAGGTATCTATCTCTTTTTGTACAAAAGCTACTTTTTTAGTCTATAGTTTTTGTTGTTTTCAGTGTTTGCCAATCATTGATCTACAATAGCTGTTGGTTTTTGAGTGAATTAGGTTATTTGTAAGCACAGGTGGTGTCAATGACCAACAACCCACTTACTTTACACTTGATAAATCATATCAGTATAATTATTAGTTAATCAAACAAACAAACAACATCAACAACAATAATAATAATAATAATAATAAATGATAATGTGGATTGATATTAAATCAATCAATCAAACAATTTCAACCGCCGTAACATCTAAATATAATTACTACTTGTAACAATAACAAAATCAATTATAATAGTAACTTTCTTGAAAGGTTTTAACAATAATATTTTAAAAAGTTTCAATAATTAATTACTTCACACACAACCACCAAAAGGTTTGACCAATTTGATCAAAAAAAAAAAAAACAATAAATAAAAAATTGGAGTTAATTGGTGTAATAAACAAAATGAATAACATAAATAACAACTTTGCATATTATTACTATTTACAAAAACAAGCCATATTCTTTCAACAACAAACCAAGATATTCAAAACAGTCTTAAACTCAAATAATCAATCTCTCTGTTGTTTGTTGGTAATTTGATTAGTGTTGTTGCTTGACTGTTTTTTTATTTTTCATTTCTGTTACACAAACCACAACATTCTTCAAAACAATAACAATTGCTTTACTTTTAGCAAAACCAAAAATAAAATTCAATTTTTTAAAAAAATTTTTAGTTTTTTTTTTTTTTTTTTGGCTATGACCCCCCATTTTATATAAATCTAGTTGGATCATCTCATTGCTCTCTAACAATTGTTCAATCATAAATTACTTTCCCTTTTATGGTGATGACTCACATATTAATAGCATCAATCATCAATCTCTAAATCGATTACTATTTTTTTTCTTTTCTATTCTTTGTTTTAATGCTCCATTCAAATTCAAATATATAACTAACTAATTTACAAACTTTATTAAATTTTCAATTTATTTATCCTATAGATTAGATATAGATATATATTTATATATTTATATTTATTTTAAAAATTTTGTTACTTTTTTATTTTAAAGTTGTTGTTTGTAAACATTAAACACAACCCATATTTGCTTGTGATATAGCAAACAAACAGATAGATTAAGCAAAGCAAATAATTAAAAAAAACAACAACAACAAAAACAACAACAACAGCACAAACAAATCAATATAAAAAAAAAAAAAAAGTAAAAAAAAAAAAAAAAAAAATGAATAATAACGGTCAACAACAACAGTACGAGATTCTTCCGAATGAAATGTCGCCCGACGACTCACCACCAACCTCCGAGGAAGGTTCCGAGAAGAAGAGCGTCGAGAAGAAGTCTGGTCGTAGAAAAATCAACATTGAATTCATCACTGAGAAATCGAGAAGACATATAACATTCAGTAAGAGAAAGACGGGAATCATGAAGAAAGCGTTCGAACTGAGTACTCTGACCGGTACACAGGTACTGCTGTTGGTCGCCAGCGAAACCGGCCATGTATATACTTTTGCAACACCCAAGTTGCAGCCACTCATCACCAAAGCCGAAGGAAAGCAACTCATCCAGACCTGTCTCAACACTCCCGACAATCCCAGCAACACATCATCGTCCATCTCTAACAACAGTTCCTCCAACAATGGCAACAACAACGACTCCTCCTACAACAACAGCAGCTACGAAGACAGCGATACTCCACCACAAACCACCACCACCACCACCAACTCATCATCATCATCCTCCTCCAACACCAACACCGAAGAAAAAAGAGTTCAAGAGTAAGTAATAATACTACACAATATCCGCTGTTATTATCAAGTTAGTTTGTTTATTAACTTTTATTTCCAATTTGAGAAGCTTTCAAAATCTGCTTTGAAGCAGCAGGCGGCAGCTCAACAAGCAGCTCAACAAGCCGCAGCACAACAGGCAATTCAACAACAAATTTCACAACAACAAAGTCAAGCAGCTGCTCAGCTATCGAATTTATCATTGCTACAACAACAACAAGCAGCTCAGCAAGCAGCAGCACAACAACAGCAACAACAACAACAACAACAAGCAGCACAAAATGGATACACAGAAGTTCCACCATATACATCAATACCCTATGGTAGTCAAGTGTATTACCAACAACAACAACAACAACAGCCACAACAAAATTCATCGCCACAACAAAACTCATCACAGCCACAACAACAAACCAATAGATCACAACCAATCATAGCAAACTCTACATTTTCAAGTTCGATTCAAGGTGGATCCACTCACCCAAATATATATTTACCACCATTTACACAAAGCAACCAACCACCATACAATGTGCCTTCATTTTCAAATGGTTATGCCAACTCACCTCAACAAGTGGCCAGGTATAATCAATCTCATGTAAATCTATCTCACCAACAGCAACAGCAACAACAACAACAAGCTTATAAAGAATAATAATAATAATAATAGTTATAAAATAAATAATTAGAGCAATAGAAATTCAAAGAACAACAAATAGAATAACGATAATAACTAAAAATATAACAAAAATCAAACAAAACAAACCATATAGTCCCATATATATATATATAAAACAATTTTAATATTCCAGAGATAAATAAATAAAATAAAAACCAAGATTGTAATTTATTATGAATACGAGAATTCTCGAGAAGGTTGAACAACATCATTCATCGTCCCGTTGTTTCTTTTTTATTTTAATTTATCAATTATGTGGTGTACATTTGAACAAAAAAATAAAAAGTGTGAACTTTTCAACAAACACATACAATCGATTTAGAATATTTTTTAATTGTGTGCACATATTTTTCAATTCGATAAAATAATCAATAGAGATATATTTTAATGTTCTACCAAAATTGTTTGTATACACTCTCAATATTAACTCCTTTTTTAAAACTAGTTTTAAAATAGATGTGTTTAGTTGATCCAATGTTATTCGAACCGAGCTTTTAAATGATATAAATTACAAAAAGATGAACAGTTTTTTTGATTTCTTCAATCTTTAATTAAAGAACAAAAAAATCTACATATACTATTTTGTTAAAAAGTTACAATTTATTATTTATAATTATCTATCTTTATTTTTTATATATATTTTAAAATGTCTCTCTTTTATAATGGTGAGGCATCAAAGTATCTTAGTCAGTTTTGTGCCAAGGAATTACCACTACCTTCCACTACAAATATACTTCAACATTTTGGAATGAAAATAGAAATTACTAACCAAGATTTATTGCATTCTTTTATGGTCTATTTGGTTCTTCCAATATTTTTGTTTAATTTAATGACAGTTTGGATGGTTCCATTTCTACTTAGAGTCTTTCCGAATAAACGTCAGCAAACCTTACTTTTATCAAAGGATAAAAAGGTATTTGAATTGAATCAAAGACTTATCAGAGGATTTCTTGCATCCTCCATCGCTATCCACAGTGCATATTATACATTTTTCAGTAAATCTGACCCAATTCCAGGTGCAAACTATATTCTAGTTTCTTCGTCCTTCTTTCATTTGTCAGATACTATTATTCTCTACCTCTATAGAAGTTCAGATAAAACAATGGTAGTTCATCACCTTATAGTTATTATACTTTCTTGGGTATTAATGGTAAGATTAAAAATATATTTTTTTAAATTTTGAAAATATTTTATTAACAATTTATTCAATTTTTTTCAGATTGTAAGAAAATCCTTATCAGTAGCTATAGTAGCTAGTACAAATGATATTCTAGTTCCTATTAGCACAATTCTCAGTTGGTTATATAGTTATAATTTACAAAATACTTTTTTCAACTTATTCTGTTCTGTTTTATCAGTTTGTAAGATATATATATATTTTTTTAATATAATCAAAACCAAAGGTTAACTTTGTATTTTTCAAACAATATAGTAATTTTAGTTTTCTATAGAATGCCATCGAATACATATCTTGCATATACAATTATTGGAAAATCTGATTATTCAATTTATCCTGTTGCTTTGTTATTGGCAGGTATTGTGTTTTTGGAAATCAAATGGGCCCGTTCTTTAATTAAAATATGTATGAAGAATTTCAATGTATTATTATATTCCAAAAAAGTTAAATAGACAGATCATATTTTATTAAATAAAAATAAAAAATAATTATAGTTAGTTTAACAATGCTTTTTTTTTTTTCTAGTTGACAACAAATAATTCAATTGATTATTATCAATAGATTGACATTGAATCTTCAAATAGTTTGGCCAATTCCTCTGCACCCACTGGTCTTGGACTTAACTTTGTGACTCTATGTTGAGGGAGTGTACCTTTGACCAACTCTGGTATATCATCTCTATTGAATCCAACTAATATATAATTTGTTTTCATTGTGTTAATAGTTAGAATAAGGCAATCAATTGTAATAATGCTTGACATACCAGCACTTAATCCATCAGGTATATTCAATCTCTTCATGATCTTCTTGATTTGATCAGAGAGTACCAATCCAACATCCTCATCTCTTACATTGGTCATATCAGCACCCATTAAACTAGCACAAAGTCTATGTCTATCTACATTGGCTGACGCAGTAAATTTAAATACCGCTGGTGCATTTAAAACAACACTCACTATAATTTGAATTGTTTAAAAGTCAATAGTGTTAGATAAGTAATATAAACCGGTTAATCTGATGTATAAAAATGAATGATTCATACTTCCATGTGGAATTATAGGATGATCCGCACTATATCCATCTGGTCTATAGGTTTTAACCATTCCCGAAACAGGATATGCTAAAGAAAAGATTTGATTAGATTGTAAATAAAAAATAGTACAAGCTATAAAATAACATACACATTCCATGCTATATTTTTAATTAAACGTTAATAGATATATTAATTTTATTTTTAATTATCTTTTACAAATTTATACATACACATAAATGAACACCAGCATTTCCAAAACCAATACCAGCATATGTTGCTGCCAACATTACCTTTGAGCGAGCTTCATCATTGCTTGGATCCTCAACAGCCATTGGAAGATATTCATGAATCATCTTTAATGATTGCAAAGACCAAATATCAGATATTGGATTTGCTAGATTAATAGGTAATGTAAAAGAATTGTAAAGATATGAATAGGTGGATAATTTAAAAAACAACACTTACATCCTTGATAGGCAGGTCTTTGAATTGGTGTTAATGGTCGTGGTGTTCTATTGCTGAAAAGAAGTGCAGTGTATGATTCCAATGCATGACATAGTTGATCGAATCCCGATGATATTGCAACATTTCTTGGCATGGTTCTGGTGTTGTTTGGATCGACTAAACCGAGTGTCGGTTTCAATCTTCTGCTTGCAATACCAGTCTTGGCGTTCATCTCTAGCAAATCAAATACGGCAACACCAGTAGCTTCCGATCCTGTACCGGCAGTTGTCGGGATGGCAATCAAAGGTTTCAAAGCACCGGGAATCGGTTTGGCAAGACCGACAGGTGCATTTACATAGTCCAAGAAATTCTCAGTTGGGAAGGTCGAGTAGAGATTCGCTGCTTTGGCAGTGTCGATGGTAGATCCACCACCGACCGCAACAAATCCATCGACAGGTCTCTCTTGATTCAGCACAAATTGAATTGCCTCCTTGAATGACTTGTCGGTTGGCTCAATTGATACATTATCAAACACAACGAAATTGACACCGTTCTTCTTGAGAGAATCACAAACCGTCCAGACCGGTGACTCGTTGCCAAGTGCGACCAAGTTCTTATCGGTGAATACAACTACATTCTTACAGTTGAGATCGAGCATATCGAATCCAACATCTCTTGTTACACCAGGACCATATCTAATATTGGAGGTTGCCATCTCGAATGCATAGTCAGTGTCAGCAGCTGCTGCTGACGACGAAGATGATGATGCAGACCTCTTAAAAGTATCTAATCCACCACCAACTGAATAATGTAATCTTTGTTGTTGATTATGATATTGTTGTTGTTGTTGTTGTTGTTGATATTGTTTTTTAATACCATTTTTGAAATCAAAAATAATTGGTAAATTCAATGTTGTTGATGTTGTTGATGATGATGAACCGGTTACTTTGTTATTGACACTATTATTATTTTTGTTACTTTTCATGCATAATGATACTTTAATACCATGGCATGGACAAGTAGAACCATGTTCAGCAACTGATTGATAAACACCTACTACATTTGAAAGTGCTTTTTCTTTCTTACTTAGTAATGAACGAATTATCATTTTGTATATATTGTTTATTTATTTTAAAACTTTATTCTCAAACAAACTAAAATAAGTTTAAATTTTTTAACTTTTTAATTATTAATTCTTAACACCTGACGGATATCACTTTGTAAAAAAAAAACAAAAACATAGTGGGGTTCTGCTTCTAACAATTTTTGAACAGTAATATTATTATACAATTAAATCACAGAGAATATTGTCATTTATAAATAAATACAAAGAAGAGAACTCAAATTATTTTGATTGATTTAATTAAATTAAATTTGTCAATTTATAAACAATTGAACAATTAAATTATTGTTATTAAGACATAATCGGGGGATAATATGACCAGATAACTTGTTCTAACATACCTGGTGCTTTAGCAAATGTTCGGAAATATAATGATAACTTTCCAAGTAATAATTTGCACAAAGAAAAAATAATAATTTATAAAATTAAATAATAAATTAGTTTTAAAAAAAAAAACGATTTGCACGAATGATGTATGGTTGTACCTCCTTATAAATATTTTTATAAATATCCGACGGTGGTTGGAATTTTGGAAAACCAAAAAAAAACAAACAAAAATTCATCTCATCTAATCTTGTATCGCTGGATCAGAGTTTTTTTTTTGATTTGGATTTTTTTTTTTTTTTTTTTGATCTGTTTTTATTTAATTTTTATTTTTAAAATTTTTTTTGTTTAATTTCAGTTTTGTGTAAAACTATTATATTTGACATGACACACTGTGGGTTGGTAGCATTGAATTAACTTGGACCAGTTTAAAAAAACAAAACAAACTTATCAAATAAAAACAGAATAGTAAACCATAGTATAATAATAAACATAGACACACATACAAAGTAAAAACGAATACTTAATTTCTTTTGGAAAAAATTAATATTTATAAAAATTTGATACCAAAGGTAAATAGAATAACTTTACTTTTATTCATAGTAAAATAAGTGTTTTTGTTTAGTTTTTATTTCCAATTCAACTCAATTCATCCAAATTTAACCCATTATTTTAAATTCGATTCGATTCGATTAGATTCAATACGATTGGATCAACAACAATCATTGTTCACACCAGTTATTTTATACACTTGTATAATTATATATATATTTTCATTCACACAACACACCAACCAATCTTGAAATAAATAAATAAAATAAAAAGGCAGTCGTAGTAGTTGTTGTAGTTAGTTACTAAAAACAGATGAAGTTGTTGCTGTGTTATATTTGTAGCTACACTTGACAGCTTTTCTCATAACAATCATCATCATCATCAAAACATAGCACATTCTTTCTTCAAATGAAAATTTGGATTTCTCACAATCACAATCAAACCTCATTAAAAATAAAATCAACAAAGAGTTATATGTGATAACTGTTCCCCCTTATTTTGGTTTTGCTTTTTTTTTTGTTTTTTTTGTCTTTTTTTTATTATTTTATTAATTTTGCTCGTATTCAAAAATTTTTTTTTTGAAATATATGTATGCATAGAGTGAGTGGTACTTTATTTGTACCCCAATCAACTCAATTAAATCAAATTATAATTCAAAAAATAAAAAATATTCATCATTTATTACTACTTTGTCTAAATTGCTAATAGTGTTCAGCATCATACACATACCTACATATCATTTTTTATTTATTTATTAAATTATCATTTTTAATCAAAATCAGTCAAATCAAATCAAAATATATACTGACTTCGAATTTTCATTTTATTAAATACATAATACATTTTATAGGATAGATTAATATTATATTTAGTTGTTTCAATTACCAGTTGTTGTTGTTGTATTATTAGAAGTTTAGAGTTTTTGGATTTAATTTTTGGTTTTTTTTTGTTGTTGTTATCTTAATAAGATTTGCAAAAATTTGTTTGTTTTTGGGTTGTGGAAAAAGAGAGAAGAAAAAAGATATCTTTTTTTTTTTGAAATTCAAAAATTAAATTAAGAGACACAAGAAAGAGAAAAAGAGATTAGATTGTTGTTGTTGTTGTAGTTTTATAAAACAGAAGAGAAGAAAAGAAAGGAAAGTAAAGTCAAGCGAGCGAGCGAGCGATGGAAGATCAAGATTTATTTAAATTACCAGATGGTATCAAAGATCCTGCGACAGAGTTTGAGCTACTTGAGAGTTTGGGACGTGGATCGTTTGGTGCCGTCTACAAGGCAAGACACAAAAAGACTGGTCACATCGTGGCCGTCAAGCAGGTGCCTGTCAATGAAGACTTTCAAGAGATTCTCAAGGAGATCAACATCATGAAACAATGTCGTTCGAAATACGTTGTACAATACTATGGAAATTATTTCAAAGGTGAAACTTGTTGGGTATGTTACTGTTGATCAGTTATTGACAATCAATCAAATCAATCACTTACTTTATAAAAATATCAATATCAATATAATATAAACAAACAAACAAACAGATTATTATGGAATATTGTGCAATGGGATCAGTTAGCGATATGATGAACATTACCAGTCAGATTTTAAATGAAGAGCAGATTGCACTTGTTTGTTATAGTACATTGAAAGGACTTTATTATCTACACAAAAATAGCAAGATTCATCGTGATATCAAACCAGGTAATATTCTGGTGACTCTATCTGGAGAATGTAAATTAGCAGGTATGAAATTATCAATATTCTAAAAAATTTTTTAGAGAGAAAGAATTGATTCATTAACTATTTACAATTGTTTCTTTATTTATTTATAATAATAGATTTTGGAGTTAGTGGACAACTAAGTGAGAGAACTAGAAAGAGAAATACAGTTATTGGAACACCATTCTTTTTGGCACCAGAGGTCATACAGGAGGTTGGATACGATTCAAAAGCCGATATATGGGCACTGGGTATCAGTGCCATCGAAATGGCAGAGTTCCATCCACCCTACCATGATTTACATCCAATGAGAGTACTCTTTATGATTCCTACTGCTGAATCACCGAAATTGAAAGAAGCACACAAGTGGTCACCAGAGTTCTCTGACTTTATTAGACTCTGTCTTGCCAAAGAACAATCTCAAAGACCATCTGCAAAAGATTTATTAAAAGTAAGTCAAAACAATAACAATGATATCAAACTAATTTTATTAACAAACTAAATTCTATTATTCTTCTTTTTTTTTTTCCAATTATCTTATTTAGCATCCATTTTTCGAAAAGAAAGTAAAGGGTAGCTATGTAATGAGAACATTGACAGACTCTGCACAGGAAATTATAGATGTAGCTGGTGGCAGAGAAAAGGCAATAAAAGAGGCAGCCGAGAGAAAGGCACGTCTATCGGGTGAGTCCAGTGACTTTACTCAGTCTGGTTCGGTCGATGACCCAGATTCCGACGAAGAAGAGGAAGACTTGCTAGAAAAGAATAATAAGAAACACCAACAGGAAGAGGAGGAGAGTGGATCTTCGTTTTTGAGTAACCAAAACCTGTCGAAACCACCTCTGGCCTCTGTGTATGTCGGTAGCAACAACAACTCTCAGCAACCGGCACAGCTGCAACCACACTTTACTAGACCCAACTTACCCACCGGCAACAACAATAGACCCAGCTCGATGCCACCACAACAACCACCACTCTTCCCACACATCCAAACCAATCCACACAACCATAGATACTCAAATCCACAGCCATCTTCATCCTCGTCAAACTCCACCTCTCCAGCTTCCAACGAACCTCTCAATGAATTGGATTCATTGTTGAACGGTATCATTTTAAATAGTGGCAGCAGCAATAACAACCAACCAAAACGTCCAACTTCAACAGGAAATTTATCAAACAGTTTTATCAATAATAGTTTACAACAGCAGCAACAGCAACAGCAACATCATCAAAGCAGTAGCATAGAATCTTCACCTGCCAAACCAAGTCTCAGTTTTTCACGTCAACTTTCGAATAACAGCGTTTTACAGCATTCAAATTCACCTTCGACAACCACTGCCAATCCAAAGGCACCGGCCAGTGAGTTGGACGATCTCCTTGAGCAAATGTTGAATCCATCGTTTGGAACTAAACAGCATGGTCTCACACCAAAGAGTTCACCGAAACCATCGCGTGCCAATGTCTCACCACAGGCAACTACCACTCGTGTCTCTGGTGTGTGGTCCGGTAGAAGTGCTGGTGGCTGTGCCAACTACTACTCATGGAGATACAATCCTCAGTTCCTTTTGCAGTTGGCCGCCCCCACTAACCTCAGAATTGCATTACGTCAAACCGGTGACAAGTTGGTACATATTGGATTCTATTTTGCACGTGCCAATCCAGATATTTCAAAACGTCTTATTACACTGGCCAGAGATAGCTTGGTGCCAGGTGTCGACATTACATTCCTGAGAAACACCGAGGTTTCCACCAAGGTCATGGTTGAACCAGGCAACTACATCATCATTCCAGCCACTTTCGACGCAAAACAAGAGGGAACTTTCGAGTTGGAGGTGTCGCCATCCGAAGTTGGTACCACACTCAAACTCGCTGAAATATTGCCGGATCGCGATTATCGTTCCATCTCTGGTTCATTTGAATGGCGCGGACAAAGTGCAGGTGGTAGCTTCAGCGGTAGTTCCGCTACCTGGAAAGACAATCCCAAGTTTATGTTTGAGATCTCAGTTGCTAGCTCAGTAGCTGTCATTCTTGGAAAAGAACCAGACGTCAGTAAAGATATATATATTGGATTCTACGTGTTCAAGGTCGTCGATAAAGCTATGCCCTACGTGAACTTGACCGCTTCCAACTTGGTTGCCAAAACCAATTTCCTCAATGGAAACGAGGTGATTCACAACCAAAGCTTTGCACCCGGTGCCTACATAGTGGTTCCATGCACCTACGATTCCAACCAAGAGGGATCGTTCACCGTCGCATGTTTCAGCGAGGCACCACTCAATAGAATCGAACTTAAAGAACAAGTGTGTACTATTGTTGGTGAGTGGAAGGGTATCACTGCCGGAGGTTGTTTGAATCACACCTCCTGGAGAAACAATCCACAGTACATGGTAACCAATACCGGTTCGCTACCAACCAAGCTAACTATCATAATGGATCAGCTGGCAAAGGACAGTGCACTACTTCAATTCGCTGGTTTCTATGTAACGAAATCCAGTGTCACTCAAGTGTCACCGGCGGTCTCACAATACAAAAAACTCTATACTTTAACACCCAAAGATATCATTGGTAACACCGAGTTTATCAATGACTTCCAGGTCTACTACAACCTGGTAATCGAACCAAACACCTCTTGTATTATCATTCCTTGTACATTCACACCGGGAATCGAATCTTCCTACGCGCTCCGTGTTGTATCATCGCAACCATCGTGCGTACTCACTCAACTTCCAGACTGGGGTGTAAAGAGAGTCAGTGGCGAGTGGCGTGGTGCAAGCTGCGGTGGTCGTTACAGCAATACCTCGAGCTCATGGACACAGAATCCACGATTCCAATTCAATTTGATGCGTGGCGGTCGCTACACCATCATTCTGAATCAATCCGAGAAACAGGTGAACCACGGTATCGGATTCTATTTCTTCAAGACATTCCCCGATGGTAATCTTAAAGAACTAGTGTGCAAGAGTGGTTTTGTATCTGGCAAGGAAGTTGTCGTCGAAGGTGCCTCTGCCGAGTCCATCCAAGGTACCATCTTACCGGCAACTTTTGAAGCCGGTATTCCAGATACCTTCTCGGTAACCGTTTACAGTGAATATGAATTTGAATTTGTTCCACCAACACAAGCATTTGCTTCGTAAAATTAACACAAACATTAATCACATCAACAACACCAACACCAACACCAAACAACAATAATACATATATATTTTTCCCCATTATATTTTTATATAGAGTTTTCATACAATGAACTACGTCATCATTTAATTGTAAAGAAGAAAGAATATTTGAATATTATATATTACATTCACATATATATATTAACAAAAGTATAATATTCAATCAGTTAAAAAAAAAAGCTTAAAACTAAATAAAAAAAAAAAAAATACAAAAATGTAATTTAAACAACATCAACATAATCTATCTATATACAAAACTAATTGATTTTATTAATATATTCTAATAATATACAGTTCTATAATATCATCTGATCATTTTTATTGTCTGATGATTCCTCTTTTTGTTTGAAGATATTGTAATAATTGGTTGTTGTTTGATGTTTTTGCGTTTAGAATCGAGATATCAGTAACTTCATAGTTTTTACCAAACCAATTCTTTACTTCTTCGCTCTCTATTAGATAGGATACTATTTCAACACTACTACCTAAGCAACAGTAGTCTAGCAGATGAATGACGTTAAATGGTGCTTTGAATTCATCGACCGCCAACTTGTACGCAAAAAGTTTGAAACGCTCTAAATCTTTGTTTTTCTGCGAGAATGAACAGAGTGATGCAGGTGACAGATAGCTATTTGAGTCATATTTGAATTTATCCGTTAGCAATTGTAGATTTCCACTCTGACATATCCAATCAATCTTAAGATTCTTAAATGAAAGCGAATAACCACTCTTTGCAATATTGATACCATTTATAAAACTAAATATCGATAGCCTTACTACTTGATTCTTTATTAATGAAAAGAATATGTTAGTATTGCTCTCTGTCATTGTTTCTATAAAAATTAATTCTTTATATCAATTATGTAAAGGCGATCTCAAAAAAGAATGGAGATCATGAATCCCACCTTTATTAATCGTGAACGTAATTCGTCATATAAATAGATATCTCATATAACAGGATATCAGATTAATTTAATTATGAGATTGAAAGTGTCTAAAGTTCGGAAATTAATTTAAAAAAATTAAAGTTTGGTAAATATTTAAAATTCTAATTGGATTTTAAGCAAAAATCGAGGCCCGGTTAGCTCAGTCGGTAGAGCGCACGGCTCTTAACCGTGTGGTCGTGGGTTCGAGCCCCACATTGGGCGTCTTCTTTTTTAATAGTCTTGACCCGCATGCGGTATGACTTACTTTCTCAAGGATGAGGTCAAGAAACTCGATAACATACTGTTTTGGTACCTGTGGTCGTGCCACCACTTTATACTGTTGTTCATAAACACTCAACTACTGTTAGATCTATTCTATCCTAATACTACTAAACTTATTAATTAATAATAACTATAAAAAATAATAATAATAATAAAAATAATATTTTATTGGCTATTTCTCACGGCCTGTGTGAGAATGTATATATAATATAAAACACGAACTAGCAGGTTTGTATCAATACCTGCAATTTGTTGATTGATCATGAGTCAACAAATCTTTTTTTGCAAAAAAAAAAAAAAAAAAAACTGTGGTCGTCCAACTCCAATCCGTTCATCGACTCCAAAAAGTATAAAAACACAATGAAAAAGACCAGAGCTGTACAACCATGGTTACGTGGTGGCATCTAGCTATGGGACATCCAACTTCGTAATGATGCGCAACATGTGTGGATATTCAACAGATTCCTACTTTCATCCTCTGATCCTTCCAAAGTTTGTTATTATACCAGTTGGCTATCTCAAATCCAATGCAGATCTATCACCTCGCCATATCTCAATCTATGCTACACTCTGTGACACCAATTGGCAGTTCATCTCAAACATCTGGACAACAAAATCAGATCTGCTAAACCTATTCTGATTGATGGTCTACCACCCACTCTGAAGCAAATCTACGACCACCTATTGATCATCAAACATGGCATTCCACCACTCCGCCACTAACTGATGGTCAGTTCCAGCTATCTCTACCACCAACCAAATTCGACTACACATCTTACGACAGTATCTTCACCTATATATCGCTTATCAAACACCAGCGTGGACGAAACACTGTCTTCCGGTTCTTCTCTCGTTCGCTTCCTGGATTGGCTTAAAACAAAAACAAAGAATGTGAACTGTGCTTCACATACTGCTCTGACCCATATTTCCATACATTCTTTAATTGCCGAGCAGTTATGCACAGATTCATTTAACACCATTCTTGATTCCTTAGAGCTTTCAGGTGGTCAACGATTCGATTGGGCTATGGAAGACGCTTATCAGTTTGTTAGAAGAAAGGACAACATCACTACTCTCGCTTCACTTGTCTTTCATCAAATCTGGAAATTCTATTGTAAATCCTATTTTGGTGGTACTCCTCTCCACGATAACAACCTCCTATCTAATGAATCTATCATAAATGAATATATACAGCACATATCAGTTATGAAATTAAATATAAATAACAGTATCAGTAACTTACAATCCAAACTTAAATAACCAGTAACCAATCAAATGTCAACCAACTATTATTTCCTCTTCTTCATTTCTTCATTTTCAATTAACCCAATCGATGATCAGTATTCTGATCAACTTAATAATCTATTAAATAACAATAACTAAAATAATTATAATAATAATCAAAATAGCAATCAATTTCCAGAATTATGAAAAAGTAAAATTTTCACGGATGAGCTCCAATCTTAATAAAATACTATTATAAATTGATTGAACGAATATACCATTAATTTCTACCTCACTTCCATTTTTAATTGAAATTGATATATCTTTGGAATTTAAAGAAAAATTCCACAAGTTATTGAAGAAAAATATTCCTTTAATTTTGTTAGTGGTATTCATTTTATTAATTAAATACTACTATATATATTCTTATTTTAAGATTGATTAATATTATATTTTTTAATAATCTTCAGAAACTTATTCTAAATATATAAAAAAATATTTAAATAATCCTTTTTGAAAACAAACTTCAATCAAACATGTCGGCTAAGCCTTCTGATTCCAATATCAAAAAATAGATTTTCATTATCATTTAATAAAATTAATATTTTTATTATTTTCATGACTTCAACATTTACACGTACAGAAACTGTTCTTTATATTTTCAGAGAAATTAAATTCGTTAAGAGATAAACTCTAGTTTTATATATCATCTTCTACTATAATCATCCTTGATTCGATTGATCTATTTATTAATTTTAAAGATAAGAACAAATGTTTTAAAATGTTTGTTTTAAAGAATTACATTTTTTTATTCTTTTTTAGTATAAATATATTTTATAAAATACTTATATTAAACATATTGAGGATAGGTCACAGAGAGAAAGTATAGAACTAAGATACAAGAAAGATAAAGGAAATGAATCTGAGATAGATAGAAAGAGTGATCTCAACGACAAATCATCGCAGTTTAACTAAGCTAATAGATAAGTGCAAAAGCCAATAAATACAATTTTTTTTTTTTTATTATCAACAAATTGCAGGTATTGATATTAACCTTTATAAATATAATATACTATTATCTATAAAATAATTTTTTTTTTTTTTTTTTTTAGGTCCTTTGCACTTTAAAACGTTTTTATCACCTCCTCACGAGTTGTATTGCCCGTGGGCTCTTAGGACATTAGTTTTTTATACGTTCTGGTATAATTATTTTAGTTATTTTTATTTATAGATTATTAAGTTGATGAGAATACTGATCATCGATTTGGTTAATTGAAAATGAAGAAATAAAGAAGAGGGATAATATTTGAGTGGTTACTGGTTATTTAAGTTTGGATTGTAAGTTACTGATACTGTTATTTATATTTAATTTCATAACTGATATGTGCTGTATATATTCATTTATGATAGATTCGTCAGATAGGAGGTTGTTATCGTGGAGAGGAGTACCACCAAAATAGGATTTACAATAGAATTTCCAGATTTGATGAAAGACAAGTGAAGCGAGAGTAGTGATGTTGTCCTTTCTTCTAACCAACTGATACGCATCTTCTATAGTCCAATCGACTCGTTGACCACCTGAAAGCTGTAAGGGTTCAAGAATGGTGTTAAGTGAATCTGTGCATAACTGCTCGGCAATTAAAGAATGTATGGAAATATGGGTCAGAGCAGTATGTGAAGCACAGTTCACATTCTTTGTTTTTGTTTTAAGCCAATCCAGGAAGCGAACGAGAGAAGAACCGGAAGACAGTGTTTCGTCCACGTTGGTGTTTGATAAGCGATATATAGGTGAAGATACTGTCGTAAGATGTGTAGTCGAATTTGGTTGGTGGTAGAGATAGCTGGAACTGACCATCAGTTAGTGGCGGAGTGGTGGAATGCCATGTTTGATGATCAATAGGTGGTCGTAGATTTGCTTCAGAGTGGGTGGTAGACCAACTATCAAAAAAGGTTTAGCAGATCTGATTTTGTTGTCAAGATGTTTGAGATGAACTGCCAATGGTGCCACAGAGTGTAACATATGGCGAGGTGATCTGCATTGGATTTGAGATAGCCAACTGGTATAATAACAAACTTTAAAAATTTTGATTTTTTTTTTTTTTTTAAAGTATTCTCATATCATGAAGAATACTCAAATGGATTTTATTTTTATTTGTTTATTTGTTAATGAGGTGGGATGGCGTTGGGAAGTTCCAGGTTTGGTGGTTCCAGTTGAGTTTGAAGTCGTCTAGCTTCTTCAGACATTTTGATTGATATGCTTGAATGTTTGAGTTGTTTCGACCGAAGTCTTGTTTTGATTTTCTGATTAGTTTGTGGTATTCTAGTTTAGCTAGTCTGTTAATGTTGTTGGTTGTTGCGTGATAGAAGGTGGTGGGTGTGATGGGGAGTTGTGTGCGAGTTTGCAGTGGAGAATCCAGACCTGGTGCAGTACGATAGCAATAACGTTTCGATGTATCTCGTTTTTGCTTGTCATCTTGAGGATGTCCAACTCCCAGTCGAGGGTTTCCCCTGTAAATTTGTGTATGATACGTTTTAAGGTAGGTTTGTAGGTGTTAAGTATTTTGCATTTGAAGAGGTGGTGCTCGGTTATCTTGATCGGTGGGAGAACTGTGAATACGAATGGTAAGTGTTACAATTAATAATAGAAATCAAGATATCTCCTTTTACTCAGCAGGTAATTTGTAACAGTAAGCAGTGCATACAGAAGGTGAGGTCGATCTTTGAGATCGGTAGACATCTTGGGAAGAGTTTGAAGAGAGTATCTCGTCTTTTTAAAAATTTTGAATTCAATTTCGAAATTCCCCAATAGTAGCCCGGTTAGCTCAGTCGGTAGAGCGCACGGCTCTTAACCGTGTGGTCGTGGGTTCGAGCCCCACATTGGGCGACTACTATATTAAAAAGTGAAATACCGCATGCGGTGTAACTTAAATAACCAATATAGTTTTTTTTTTTTTTTTTTTTCGCAAACAGTTAGTATTTGTAGATAATTTTTTCATATTTTTGTTATCAAGTTATCTAGCTATTATAATTATATATATTCGTTCCTCTTTAGTTATTAGTCTTAAATTTACGATCATATCAGTTAATTTATCAAATTTCACTAGTTTTACGATCATTAGTAGATTCACTATTCTTAAATATGGATAATGTCGGTGCTAAAATAGCTAAATTCTACAAATCAAAGCATAAATATACGTATGCTACCGAATTCAAGCAATTGATCAAGCTCAACACCCTCTATGTTAGACTTTGCTTCCCCAACTCTAAGTACATAACTACAGCCACCAGAGACAAGCTACACGACTTGTTTCAAATCGTCTACAAAGATAGTGTGTTAACTGCCAAGAAAAACAGTGTCACCTTCTCTGGCAGAGTCGACTCTGAGAGACTTGGCGAGTTGCATCAGTTTTGTAATGGTAACCTGTCTGCCACCAAGTCTCGCAAGGTCACTGCATTCTTCCCAGAGTTTAACTTTATCAGAGTCTCGGCACTTGCATCTAAGGACTGTCTCGAAGCTGTATCAAAAGAGTTCGATGATGAAGGTATCGAGAGAATGTTCGGTCACACCCCTGTTCACTTCAGTCATAGCTCAACCAAGTTAGTGACAAACGATGTCAACAAACCTATCTGGAAAACGTCGTCGTGGTACTTGTTTCCCAATGAAAAAATCTTCAAAGGCATCGATGCCAAAGATGAGAAATCAGGTTTTAAGTGCACACTCATACCGTACAAGCCACCCCCTGTTAAACCTGCACCAGCTACTGGCAATGCTCTGAAACCAAAGACTGACTCCACTGCTGCGCCGGCGAATGCGCCAGGTAGTAGCTCTGTGGCCGACAATAAGATACAAACCGCTGATAAACCATGTGCTGTTCCAGAAGATCTCGGTAAAGATGGTGAAGAAGATGATGAAGTAAAGCCTACGACCTCACGAGGTCGCAAAGGTAAAGCTTAATAACCACCGCCAACAAGTGCTTTAAAGCACTGGTATGGAACTGCAGAGGAGCAGCTTCCAATGCCTCAATCGCTGACATTTCCTCAACTATTACTGGTTACAACCCACAACTCACTATACTTACTGAAACCAACAACATTAACAATCAATTTCATCAAACATTCAACCCTTTCAACCAACCTAACAAAATCCTTGCTGTATCTAATGGTAAAGGCACTGGTGTTGCTATCATTGCTCACACCAGCCGCATCAAAATCAAACCCATTCTGCTTGATAAAAGTGGTAGATTCATTTTATTCAATGTCAATTATGTCGGTGGCCACAGCCTTAATATGCTTGCTGTGTATGCTCCTGCGTCATACTGGGAAAAGAAATCGTTCCCAGAGATGCTTCTCTCCACTCCTGAGCTCTGGTGTCCTAACAGGATCGATTTAATCTGCGGTGACCTCAACTGTGTACCCGGCGACGGCTCTCCTCTTTCAGTGGTGCTCGACTCTCTTAGTGATGAGCACGATCTGGTCGATCTTGGTCAGACTGTCGACATTCCCACGTACCGTTCGCCAATTACCGGCATTGCTAGACGTATTGATAGAGCTTATGCTAAAAGCAGTCTGTTAAACAACTCCTTCAAGGTTGTTCCCAACGCTCTCTCTGATCATGCGATGCTTTCATTCAGCATCCCAACTGGTATCTCCTCTAAGCTTCCACCCACACCTTGGAGACTAGACAGATACACTGCTATGGAATCTGTAGTCAAGTATGAGATAGAATCTATTCTCTCGTCCAGTGTCATCTCTTCGCTAAATGACTGGTTGTCTGTTAAGTCTACTATAGTCAACGTCTATAAAAAATACCAGCGGCTGCGTAGCATGGCCAAGAGGAAGATGATTAAGAGTTTGATCAATACCATTAGCTCCACCGAACTATCATCTAACATCAGAACCAAAGCCAGCAACGATTTACTGTTACTTCAATCTGAAGAACATTCTGTTCGTGACTCCATACGCAAGATGAACCAGCAACTCCATGGTGAAGTTCCATCTAAAATGCTCACTGCCAAACTTGCTCAATCCAAGAAAGACTCATCTATACCTGGGCTGTACAGAGGTAATAAATCCGTTACTTCAGACATCGACGAGATGACCAAGATCATGCATCGCTTCTACTCCAAACTATTCGCCGCTGAGAAAGACAATCCAGAGCTGCACGCGGAGATGCTTAAGAGAGCTTGGGATTGCAGTTCATCTAGGTTCAGTGAGATGGTTGGTATACAATTCACCATCGAAGAAGTAGCTGATATCATCTTGTCGTCTAACCCACATAAATCTCCGGGTCCTGATGGTCTTGGTCTGTGGTTCTATCGAGAACATATTGACACTATCGCACCGATACTGACCACACTGTTCAACAAAGTGCTCACCGGTGAACAACATATCCCTCAAAATTTCAAAGTTGGTGTGATCACCACTATCTTCAAGAAGGGAGATATCTATGATCCAGCCAATAGAAGACCTATTACATTGCTTAACTGTGATTATAAAATATTGTCTAAATCTATTAATGAGCGTCTGAAACCCGAGGTTGAGAAAGTCGTTAGCGTCTATCAAACTGGATTTGTCAAAAACCGTTACATCATGGACAATATAATTACCATGAAAGAAATCATTGATTACTGTAAACAACGTGGCATTAAAGGTTTGATCACTCTGTTCGACTTCAATAAAGCGTTCGACTCCATATCGCATGGGTCCATCCGCCGTACTCTACTTCATGTTGGTACACCAATACATCTAGTTGAACTTATAATGAACATGATCTCTGGCTCTACCGCTCAAGTTCTGGTCAACGGTTTTCTCACTGACCCAATCGCGCTGAACCGTGGTACCAAGCAAGGCGATCCGCTTTCGGCCACTCTATTCGTTCTAGTCATTGAATGCTTATCTCGTTGCATCAGACTGTGCCCTGCCGCTGGACTACCAATAAACGATCATGGACACGCGCTCAAAATCAACCAATTCGCCGATGACTCTGCCACTTATTCACCTTCATTCAAAGATCTTAATACCAAACTGCGTATGTTTGATATGTTCTGCGATGCCACCTCGTCCCTAGTTAATGCAACCAAGTCAGTCATTATCAAAATTGGTGATCACACTGACGAGAAAACGTACCCACCGATCATTAACAACCAGAAGATACCTATATCCACATCCGCTGAAAGATACCTGGGTCTGTACTTCACGTCCGACGGATTGCATCATTCGCTTGATTCTCTGATCAACTCTATTAAAGGACACCTGGTCCGTTGGAAAACTACTGGTGTCACTTTACGCACCAAGATGGCCATAGTCAAAAGCTACACACTCTCTAAGCTCACCTACAACATGTACGTCGATAGATTTACCGATGAGGAAGTCAAGAAACTCGATAACATACTGTCTTGGTACCTGTGGTCGTCCAACTCCAATCCGTTCATCGACTCCAAGAAATATAAAAACACAATGAAAAAGACCAGAGCTGTACAACCATGGTTACGTGGTGGCATCTCGCTATGGGACATCCAACTTCGTAACGATGCCCAACACGTGTGGATATTCAACAGATTCCTGCTTTCATCCTCTGATCCTTCCAAAGTTTGTTATTATACCAGTTGGCTATCTCAAATCTATTGCAGATCTATCACCTCGCCATATCTCAATCTATGCTACACTCTGTGGCACCAATTGGCAGTTCATCTCAAACATCTGGACAACAAGATCAAATCTGCTAAACCAATTCTGATTGATGGTCTACCACCCACTCTAAAGCAAATCTACGACCACCTATTGTTCGTCAAACATGGCATTCCACCACTAACTGATGGTCAGTTCCAACTATCGCTACCACCAACCAAATTCGACTACACATCTTACGACTGTATCTTCGCCTATATTTCGCTCATCAAACACCAGCGTGGACGAAACACTGTCTTCCGGTTCTTCTCTCGTTCACTTCCTGGATTAGCTTACAACAAAAACAAAGAATGTGAACTGTGCTTCACATACTGCTCTGACCCATATTTCCATACATTCTTTAATTGTCGAGCAGTTATGCACAGATTCAACCTTAACACCATTCTTGACTCCTTACAGCTTTCAGGTGGTCAACGATTCGATTGGACTATGGAAGACGCGTATCAGTTGGTTAGAAGAAAGGACAACATCACTACTCTCGTTTCACTTGTCTTTCATCAAATCTGGAAATTCTATTGTAAATCCTATTTTGGAGGTACTCCTCTCCACGATAACAACCTACTATCTAATGAATCTATCATTAATGAATATATACAGCACTTATCAGTAATGAAATTAATTATAAATAACAGTATCAGTAACTTACAATCCAAACTTAAATAACCAATAACCAATCAAATGTCAGCCAACTATTATTTCCTCTTCTTCATTTCTTCATTTTCAAATTAACCAATTCAATCATCAGTATTCTCATCAGCTTAACAATCTATTAATATCAATATCTAAAATAATTATAATAACAATCAAAATAGCAATCAATTGCAGAATTATGAAAAAGTAAAAACTGTAAAAAAAAAAAAAAAAAAAAAAAAAAGAAAAATTCGATGGTTTACACCATCCCAATATATTACTTAATAAATCATTTTTTACTTCTTAAAAAAAAAAAAAAAAAAAAAACTTAAATAACCAATCAAATGTCAGCCAACTATTATTTCCTCTTCTTCATTTCTTCATTTTCAATTAACCAATTCAATTATCAGTATTCTCATCAACTTAATAATCTTTAAAATATCGATAACTAAAATAATTATAATACAGCAAAAATCTGTGAAAACGGACAGAGGTTTCAAAATATCAAACAGTAATACATTTATTTGTTATAGAAACTAATAAATATATTCTAAGATAGATCTTTGTAAAAGATTAATAATTAAAAAGAAATTGAATCATTTATCATTTTAAAAAAAAAAATAAAAATAAAAGATAAAATTAATTTTTGCAATATTTCTGAAGTAATAAAATATTTTTTATTATAGTACTTTTAAATTTATTTTGAAATATTTAATTATATTATATATAAGAATGATACCAAGTAAAATGTTAACAGAAAGTTAAAAGATTTGTGGAATACTTGATTTGGATTACTGAACGGAACAAGAAGTTATAGGTTTAAAATACAATTCTAATTTTCAACAGTTTCAAGACTAAAGAAAAACTAAGCAAAAACAAACTCAGAACTGAACACAAATACTATTTGTATAAAAAGAGTATATATTTAAAAGATTACAATTATATTTAAAATAAAATTTAAAATTTTTTTTAAAAAACAATTAAAACATTAAAAAAAAAATGATAGCAATACATTTTTAAAATGATAAACCAATAACATTATTAGAAGAATAATAAAGGATTAAGGAATTACTTTCAGAAATAATACAAAAAAAAACCTTTTAGACTCTTCTTCATATTCAAAATGTAAAGGTTTTTAACTGATTTACATAAACAAGTATATAAGAAAAGTAATTTAACAGATTAAACGAAAATAAAACAAGGAGAGTATAGTATAAAGAAAGGTTATTCTTTAAAGGAGTTCCCGATTATAGAACAACTAATATTCTATAATTAAGTTGAAAGTGGTAGATTCAAATTCAATCTTTTCTCTCATTAATTTAATATGGAACTGGATACTTAGACAATCTATCTTAAGCTCTAGATTCCCAGATTTTTTAGAAATTTTAGAGTATGATATAGATCGACGAATAAATAATATTGTTTAACTAATTTTAGTATATTCCACAACTGTACAAGAAATCTCACTTGTCATCAATATACTAAAACTCATAATATTTTTTACTTAAAATGCATTCTTAACTAAATTTGATATATAAACAAACCAGTCACGACCTGAATGTTTTTTAAAATTCTTGGGTATTCGTGAGATAAATATATATACTAGATGCCATTCATTCTAAACTCAATAGAGCTCTTAAATAATGTTAATAGTGGTGATATGAAATAACATAGGAGTACTGCCAATCACTATATGAATCAATGCCAAACAGATTGAATCAAGTAATCCTCAACCAAGGTTATTGGACATCCTATTTAATTGTTTTCTTTTAAATCAATTTAAATGTATATATATATAAAATATTTTATCACTTCAGAAATATTGCACAGTTAATTTTTGTTTTTTATTTTTTTTTAAAATGGTAAATGTTTCAATTTTTTTCTAAAAATTAATCTTTAACAAAGATCTATCTTAGAATATATTTATTAATTTCTATAACAAATAAATGTATTACTGTTTGATATTTTGAAACCTCTGTCCGTTTTCACAGATTTTTGCTGTAATATAATTATTTTAGTTATAGGAAGGGCTGCGAGACATCACATTATAGCTTAAAACCCAACACACAGCTCTTTGTATTACCTCTATTATTATTATTATTATCAATTTAAATTACAGCAGCACCAGGTACTACACGTCATCGAACAGATTTCTGCCACCCCAACTCCGATTGTTTTGGTCATCCAAGAAGAGATCGAACATAGTGGTAAAATATAGAACAGATACCATATTCCCCGCCTGATAATTACTTATTAGTTGCAATAAAACCCGTGGTACAAGTGATTTGTTGTTGATAATCTCAACTTCCACCTAATATTGTCACTTAAAAAAATATATCTCATTTTTAAAATCAATTCATCTTAAACATACTCTCCCTCTCTTAAATAACCTCTACAATAAACTACGAGTTTTAATATAATGATACATTTATTTATTTATTATTTTAAATACTTTTAAAAACTATTATACTTTATTATTTTTTTTACTGTCTATTTCTATTGAAACTTCTTCAGGGTTTGAATAAAGTCCATCAGAGTTTGCTACAGAAGCTGGAGATACTCCTGTTGGTGACGTTGGGGCATCTACCTTTCTTACATCCATATTGATCTCACAAGACTTGTTATGATGATGAGATTCACCTGTGGATCCCGATTCGGAGCTGTTGTCTCTCTTTGATTTTCTGGATGCTGGCTTACGGTTGAGTAGTAGCGAAAGTCCAACCATCAGAATAATGAATAAAACCGAATCAAAAGTTCTGTAAATGTACAAGTTCATTTGGTCTCCCTGGTTTACATATGCATATATTAAATATATATCCAAAAGAAAGATCAAAGAGAATAAAACTATTGAAATAATTAAAATCTAAATATATTGTTTAGAATGTTAATAGAATTCATAAAAAAGAGGGATAGTTTAACTTACTCTATCATTAAGGTCAACTTTTCCGGTACTCTTTGAATTTCTCCAAAGTAAAAATCCAAAGGTAGTAAATCCAATACCAAGTAACCCAGCATAACAAATAAGGAATAGGATATAAACATTATTGTAGAATAAGTTGAAATAATAAGTTTGGTCATCAAAGACAATGATAGGAGTGAATATTGCAACCATACAGAGATGTACAAAAATAAAAATATATGTGGTGAAATGTCTGAGTTTGAAAATAGCCTGCTTCACTTTGAATACGTTATGATACAGTCTCACCCAGAGAATCAAGAGCATACTGTAGGAGGTGTACATCAACATTCTAGAGAAGAGGAATCCCGCCAACAATCCTCTGTACATTGATTTTTCGTTGGGTACCCATTGCATGGAATCAAATGTAGACACAAACATATATCTCACTAGAAATTAAAATTTTGTTTTATTAATAACAAAATTAAAGTGATTTGATAGTTTATAGATACTTACAAAACATTCCAAACATTAGAAAATAAAAAATAACCAATTTAAAACTATTGAATGTCTTTGATGTTATTATAGTCTGGACAGATACTATTGAAATCACTGAGAAACCAATCAGGAATACAAAGTATAATACGGCATCTGCAATTTGTACAGTTTCGGTCGAAATAAAATCTTTAATATTACTTGTTTGATTGAGAAAAAAGTCTCTTGTATTTGGCAGAAATGTTGTTGAATTACTGGCCATTTTTGTTATTTATATTATTATTTTTTTATTACAATTATTATAAAAGAGTACAATGAAAATTTTTGTTACTACTTTATCTACTATATATATTTTTGTCTGCAATTTTATCAAGAAATAAGAAATAGATTTGTATTTATTATACTTTTTTAAAAAAATAAAGTTGTATTTGTAATAATATATTTTGTATAATGTTGTTTTATATTAAATTTAATCAATGTGATTGCAGCTGACAATATATATAATTATATTAAGATTAAAATATTTTTTAATTTATTAACCATATTTAGTTTAGTTTATAAAATCAAAGTTGATGTGAGTGATCCCCCTATATCTTCAGACATTCATTTCTAACTATCATATCAGTTTGGGTACGAGTGTGTGATACATATTGATCAGGCTGCTGGTTGCTTCTGTTTATATTCACAACAAATAAACTAGTATCATTCATCAGCATCACAGTCTGTTTTTATTGATTGCAGCTTTATTGGCTTCATATATATGGGTGGTTGGTGTGTTATCACCTTCATCAAACTACTTTAATTACTGATGATTGTTTCTACTTCATTTATCTTATTTTATCTAAAAATGTGTGTGAGGAATAGGGTGTGATATATATATTTCTATTCAAATATACTTTTTTTTTTATTGAGCTTACTTTGCTTGCAAGCAGTGAAAGTAAAATTTTAATAAATGAAACAACACACAACATCACACAAACCAACATCTTATCTCGTACTATTATATATATAAACCAACTTAGAGGTTATTTAATAACTCTCATTCCATATCACAAACCAACTTCAAATTAATATAGATATGTACATATATTGGTTGTATGTTTTGGACTATTAATTTATATTAATTTTTTTACTCAATTTGTTAACCACACAAACATTAACCCCCACCTACTAATAGTATTAATATTTAATAAACCCAAAAATAAAACAAACACACACTAACAACAACAACACTTGTGATATTTAATTAATAAAACTAGTGCACCAATATATCTTTGATAGAGTGAAATTTTGATTTGATTTTACAGTTGAGAATTCTAATAATAAATTATATTAAGTCATTGGAAAAAAAGAAAAAAAAAAACATAAATAAACTTGCACAAAATCACAACCTATTATTCAAACATATAAGAACAACAATATTAATATCAACACACACACTCTCTCTCTCTCTCTAACACTCACAACAATTGGTATAATGAAAAAGATGAATATCTACAGCTTAAAGTTGACTAGATTACCATCTAATGAGAATCTTCAGGTTACACTTAATAATGACTCTTTACCATTTATAATTGGAAGAGGTATAATGGGTATTACAGATGAAGATACCAGAGTAAGCAAAAATCAATGTATGTAATATTAAGTATTGTTGTTGCTGTGTAGTAACATGTCAAATTGACAGTTGATGTTTAGAGTGCTGTTGTTGCTGTTGTTATTGTTAGAACAATTGTTCTGTAAATTCTATTCAATTCTATTTTAAAATTTAACACATTGTTTATTTTATTAAGATAATAAGAGTAACTATAACAACAACACTCTAAACATAAGTGTTGATTGGGTTGTCTTTTTATTTGCCTGTTTGTTTTTGTAAGCTTAATTAATGAAATTAGATTGATATTGATAGTTTTTATTTGATATGTTCTGTTCTATCATTAATCTGTCTGCTTGTTGTTGGTGCGTGTGTGCTTGTGTCTATTTAGGTGAAATAAAGATATCCAATAATCAATGCAAACTCTTTCATGTAAGTGTGTTGTGTGACTATATTTATCTGTCTATTTTAACCAATCAATCGTTCAATCAAATACAGAGAGGTTTAAATCCTACGTTTCTCCAATCGTTACAAAGATTTAACGAAATACAATCGAAACAACAGAATGTATCACTTAAGGAACTACTGGGTAATCAACTCGAGAAATCCGTTGGCTATCCAATTTCAGAGGATATAGTGTCATTTCTTGTACCAAATCAAGATCCAATCCAAATTCAGCTAAATGTTACTACTGATCGACCAGCACAACCTTCTGTAGATAGTGAAAACGATACGTCTGGTGTTAATTCGTCATCATCGATAACTACAACAAGTACTACATCTACAACGACTTCAACAACAACTACAACATCAAAAAGACTAAACAATGAGAATGAAATTGAAAATATTGAAGAAAAGGATATAGAGAGTGGTAGTAGCAGTCATTCAGTAAAAAAAGTAAAATCTGATGAAACCTATATAAAATCTAGTATACCCAAAGATAGCGATAACCTTAAAGGGAAATTATCAACTCCCACACCAACTTCAAATTCAGCTAAACCTAAACCTATAACTTCAATTGGTAACAGATGGAGTGATGCATTACTTCCATATTGCAAATCACCGGAGGATCATAAAGACTCGGTTGTTTACTACGATGACCAAATAGTGATCATAAGAGACTACTACCCAAAGGCAAAACATCATTATTTGGTTATGCCAAGAAGAATTGTAAGATAAAGATAATAATTTCATCCACAATTTTTCATTATAATGAAACTCATTTTTGCTATTTCTTAATATTAGATACCATCAATCAATGATTTAAAGATAACAGATATAGAGCTTTTGGAATATATGAATGAGAAATCGATTTCCTATATCCACCAGACGTTGAAATGTGATTTGTCAATGTTTATGTTGGGATTTCATGCGATTCCATCCATGAAACAACTTCATATGCATATTATCTCCAAAGATTTTGATTCTCCTTCACTCAAGAAAAAAGAACACTGGGTTTCATTTACCACAGATTTCTTTATTCCATATCCATCTCTATATAATAATCTTAAATTCAATCAAAAGATAATTGTATGTATTTGGTACTATTCCTACAAACAAACAAACTAACATTACTTTTAATAATTATAACAGATTGATAAAGAAAAATATTTAGCATTAAAATCAGATCCAATCAAATGTCCTAAATGTTCAAACGTTTTCAAAACACTTCCAAGTGTAAAAGAACATTATAAATCATGTTAATTTAAATTAATAGTAATAAAAGAAGAAAAAGACAATTGTTTTTTTAAGATTTATAAAATATTATTTAATTTATTAAAAAATATTATAATTGTTTAAGATAATGGGTAGTGTCTTTGGGTTTGGTTACTTTGTGGAAAAGATGGGTTGAAATGAGATGGCATATATTGTTGTGATTGTGGTGTGTAGTAGTTGTTTTGGTCGTTGGTGGTGGCACGGTTGTATTGTCCCTTTCCATATTGTCCAGAGAGATCGCCTGGAGCTTGTGAGTTTGGTGCAGACTGGTTGTTTGATGGGGCGGATTGGTGAGCGTTGGCGTTTTGTCCAAAGGTCTTTGAGCTAGTTGGTGAGCTGCTCAATGGTTGTTGACCTTGTTGTTGACCGAGCTTGGCTTGGAGAGATGGATCGGTGTTGTTTGGGAAGTAAGAATAGCTGTACATGTTCTTGAATTCCTCTTGCTCTGGGTAAGCTTGGGTTTGGTTTGGATGATAACGTCCCATGTTCAAGTAGTGCTTTGGAGCATAACCGTATGGTGGGAATTGGAATTGGGTGTTTTGGTTTGGATATGGGCTGTATTGCGAGTAGGCATATGGGTAACCGTATTGGTATGGGAATGGTGATTGTTGTGGAAGTGGTGGTGATTGCGAGGATGGGTGAGTCGATTGATTTTGGCCATCTTGGTGGAATTTATTGGTATTGTCTCCAGATCCGCGGAAAGTTTGCTGGTTATTGTTTTGATTATTACGCTGGAAGGATTTGTTAGTGTTGGAGGTGGTGTTGTCGTTTACTGGCGAGGTGGTACGTCCGTTGTAGGCATTTTGGTTGTAGGATTCGTAGAACTGTTGTTGACGAACTCCGAAACCATTGTCATCAAAGAATGCTGGCATCATTGGGACCATGTACGGGTATTGGTATGACATGTGCTGGAGATCGGTTTCTTGCATCATGTGTTGTGGATCCATCGATGGAATGTTTGGATTTTGGTTCATCGATTGGAATGCTTGGTATTGTTGTTGAACAGAGGCTTGAATACCAGTGTTTTGACCAACTACGTTGTGATGATGGTGAATTGGTTGTTGCGATGGTTGTTGTTGTTGTTGAACAACGGCTGGTTGTTGGTGTTGTTGCTGTTGCTTTGGTGGTTGGACAACGGCTGGTTGTTGTTGTTGTGGTTGTTGAACAGGAGCAACTGGTTGAACGACTTGGGGTTGTTGTTGTTGTGGTGGTTGAACTGGTGTTGGTGTTTGGGTGGCAGTGGTTGGTTGTGATGGATCTTTACCAAACTGAACGTCATAGTTTGGATCAAAGTTGAGAGCATCTGGCAAAGCAACTGGGGCATCAAAGATTTTACTTTGTTGTTTGGTTCCAATTGGTTGTCTAGAGGCATTTTGTTGATTCGAAGCAGATGATACAAGGGAGGGTGAAGTGGATGGTGAATCCTTTGGTTTCCAGGCATGGGTGCTACCTGGCTTTTGTCCAAAGTTGGTACGCTGTGGAGTTGGTGCACCGGTGGTGGCAGCGGCAGTAGCAATTGGTGCTTGAGCAGCTGTGGTAGCAGTGGCGGTAGTGGCAACTGGAGTTGGGGTAGCAGTTTGAGTTGGGGCTGCAGAGACAACTGGAGTTGGGGTGGCGACGGCAGCAGCTGGTGGAGCAACTGGTTGTGGGACTTGAGTGGATTGTGGAGTTGGAACTGGAGTGGCGACTGGTGCAGCAGTAACGGTTTGGGAAGCGGTAGTAGTGTTTGTAGATTCGGCAGGGGTGGTTTGAGTGGTGGCGGCGGTGGTGGTGGTTGGGGTGGAGGTGGTAGCGGCAGCAACTGGAGTTGGTTTTGGTTGAGTAACGGTATTGCTCTTATTTTGTTGTGCGGTGAGAATGGAAGCATAGGTTGGTTGACCTGAAGAAGTGGTAGCAGAGGAGTTGGTGGTTTGAGTGGCAGCGGCTGGTGTAGTGGTGGTGGTGGTGGTTGAAGTTGGATTTGGGAGTGGCAATGGTGATGGTGCTGGGGCGGCAGCTTGTGTAGATTGTTGTGATTGGTGGGCAGCAGCATTTTGTTGCTGTTGTGCAGCTTTTTGGGCTTGTTGTTGTTGCTTTTGTTGTTGGGCAGCACGCTCCTTCTCTTTCTCTTGAATCAGTGCACTCATTGATGGCATACCCTTTCCACCGATGGTTGGATGTGATGAACTATCGAGAGATGCAACTACTGAAACGGATGGAGTGTTGGTGGAAGCTGCTGGAGTTTGGTGTGTAGTGCTGGTTGAAGTAGTAGATGGATGTGCTGGTTGTTCGGAGGTTGATGTAGTTGTAGTGGTGGTGGAAGTGGCAGAGGTCGGTGGAGACGATGGTGATGGTACAGAATTGCTGTGCTGTCTTCTATTGTCTCTTTGTGGTTTATTGTTATCTCTGTGTGGTTGTGGTGAAGATGAATCTCCGTTTAACTTGCTCTTGTTGAAGTCTCTATTTTTACCGCCAGTACGGGCGTGGTCTCCATCTCTGTCGGGTCTATCTCTGTCACCTCTGTGCTCTTTCTTGATTGGTTTACCACCTTTTTGGTTGTCTTCCTTATTCTTTCTTTGTTCATCACCACCCTTATTTTTAGTCTTTATGATGTCACTCTAAACAATCGCATAAAAAAAAAATTTTAAAAAAAAAAAAAAAGAAAAGAGAAAAATTTTTTTGAAAAATTCCAAGTTAGTTTTTGACGTTAAAATAAAAAATTACACACACTAAAAAAACGATTGAATTGAAGATGGAGAGATTGGGTTGACAGGGAGAGAGGCAAGTTGAATTGAATAAAAGATGATCGATATCATTAAATTATAAATGATAGAGATCGTAGATATATGAAATTTGAGTTGATATATATTGAAAATGTTGAAGATGAACTTTTTTTTTAAAAAAAAAAAATTAAAATAAAACAAAAAAAAATTACAAATTATATTAACTTACTCTTTTCTTTACTTCTTGCCATTGACCAGATTCTTGCTTTAATACACCACCCAAGATGTAATCTATAGTAAGATTAACGTCAAATTTGCACTCTGTGAGGGCTTTGATAATATCTTCCTCTTCGGTCCAAGCAGTGACATCTCTGATAATCTTAATCTTATCTCTGTGCTCTACGTTTTGTTTGGGAGTATTATCTGTGTGTTCTTGTTGCTTGCTGGCTGCTACCTTGCCACTCTTACCAGTTGTAGCGCTACCACCTTGAGCGCCATTATTCTTTGAGGTAACTGTATCTTTTTGCACCATTTTTATATTCTTTTATTTATATGTAGTATATAGAAAATATATATAACTATAGGTTTTTATTAATATTTATTTGTGTTTGTGTTTTGTGTTTTGTTTTGTTTTTTTTTTTTTGCTGCTACTCTACTCTTCCGAAAATCCGTTCCTTTTTGTTGCTTGCCTTGCTTATTCTTTTTTGTTTTTTAAAAAAAATAAAGCAGAGTAGTAGTTTTGTAGGGAGGATATTTGAAGTGTTTTGTTTGTTTGGTTGATTTAGGTTTGTTTGATTATGTCAATCTAAAAAAACTAAAAAGTTATCTATGTGTGTTTGGTTGTGTATGTGAAGTGAAAAAAAAAACATCGAAATATATATTTTGCAAAAAAAAATTAAAATTTCAAAAATTAAATTAAAAAAAATTATTTTTAATTATTTTCATTCAGTTGCTCTCTGCCCCTTTTCAATTCAATTCTCAATTTTTTTTAAATAATTGTTTTCTTTAACTTCATCGCGAAATTTTTTTTTTAATTTTAATGAAAAATATCGTTAATAATTTTTTTTGAAAATCAACCTAATATTTGTTTGAAATGATACTATTAAAATGAATCTCTATCTTTTTAAGATTCGTCATTTATTTATAAAAAAAAAAAAATTTAGAATATCTTTTTTTTTTATAGTTATTATTTTTTTTTTTAAAGATAAAATTACAATTTTTTTTTTATTTTTTTTTATTAGTTTGTATTATTATGTTTTTTTAATTGAATTTGTTTTGATTATTATATTATATTGTTTTATTACTTTTTTAGTTATTTTTTTTTTTTTTACTCTTCTGATTCTGAACTTGAATCTTCGGATGCCTCAATCTCTTCGATTTCTATTGGAACCTCGGAGAATAGTTGAATTCTAAATGAACGATTGACACCTTTTTCAAAGGTCGATGGAATGACGGTGAGTTCGTTTGGTTGGTCTGGCTTGATGGTGACACGACAGGCAATGTCGTTTCTCTTCTCCCAGTTGTTGGTCTTGGTGAAGAGATCTTCGTTTTGGAAGGTGGAAGCTTGCACTGGTTTCTCGTGTGACTCACGTGTGATCACAATGAAACCGATACCCTCGTCGTTCAAAGTGGAGTCTTGAATCAACTGGACGACGAACGACACCTCCTCGGTTCTGTCCTTTGGCAGCTTCAAACGGAACTGTGGATTGTTAAAGAAAGATGCTCCGTTGTTTGGACTACCACCGGCACTCTTTCCGACCCAGGTTCCCTTGATCAACTCGGTCTCCTTCCAGGTGTGAGTGATGGTTGTGAAGGTTGCCTCTTGGTCGTCGGTGTACATTGTGATGTGGTAGGCACCCTCGAGTGCTTGGTCGTAGGTCGATGGGATGACGATGTAGTCACCCTTCTCCAAGGTCATGGTGCATCCGTTGTGACACGATGGTTTGAATGCCTCGGTCTTGCCGACTTGGTCGCGGAACTCGACGAGACGCTTACCGATGTCGGCGGTCTGCTTGAGCACATAGAATCCAATCGATTTCTCGTTGTCGTCCTGTGAGAGAAGCACGCATGCTCTTGCCTTCTTGGTGAGGTGGATGGCGTATTGTGGGTTCTTGGTCCAGTGGAGTACGTTGATGTCTCCTCCACCATTGATTTGCGATGTCCAGAGACCTTCGATAGTGACTTCCTTCCACTGACACGATTCATCCTTTGGCAATGGATACAACTCTATATTGGCAATCTGTGGAGAGTCGACATTCAACTTGTAGGATCCAGCGAATCCGAATGTCTCTGCATAAGGAACGATACAATATTGTCCAACTTCCAATTCAATTTGACAATCGACTGCAGTTGCTGCAATTGGACAAATGAAATTGTCTACCTTCTTAATATCATTGACTGTATCTAAAATAACTTTCTTACTTCCACCATAGAATGCTATTATTATTGTTGTTAGTTAGTTAATTATTCAATGGTCTTTCTTTCTTTTTTTTTTTTTTTTTTAGTTGTTAATAACTTACGGTCATAGTTGATAACAAAGAAACTAACACGTTGGTCAGTTCCTTCTGGTTGACGAAGTTTGAGAGTGAGTGGAGTGTTTTCATTTTTGACGGTGAGTAGATATTGAACACATTTGATCCAGTGTGGATTGCTAGTGAGACTACCGACACTGTTTTCGGTGGTCCATTGACCGTCCAAAATGATACCTTTGAGTACTTCCTTGGGTGGCTCGTTCTTGGTGAATTTGATTTCCAAGCAGATTTCGGGTGGATCCTTTGGCTTCTTGGCCGAGACACTGGCGGAACGAGTACGTTGCTTTGGTGAATCTTCATTTGGCTCACCTTCAGAGGTGGTGTCTTTCTCTTGAGCGTTTTCATCTGGAGTTCCAGCTGGTGCCGATGGATCTGGTGATGTTGCAGTACGTGGACGTCTGGTCTTCTTTGAGGTTGTCAATGGATACCACTTGGCTTCGCCACCGGTGGCACCGAGCAACTCTGAAATTGGCAATACAATTCTACCGGTAATCTTGTCTTTAAAGAAAAGATTCTTCTTCCATGCTTCGATTTCTACCTCTGAGTTTGGTGATGATACACGGCTAGATTAATTGATTTATTATTAATTAAAAAAAAAAAAAAGTTAATAATTTATTTTTATTTTTTTGTAAAATGAGTTTTGTGTGTTGGGCTGCAATTTGTGTGGGAGTGTGTGGTTGTCATGATCTAATCAGATCATCCTTATTAAATGTAATTTGATTTTTGATATTTTGTGTGATATTTTTTATTTAGTTATAACTTACAATTCAAAAACATCAACAAAAGTGTGATTCGAAAGTGCTTTACTCTTAATCTCAGTCTTCTTTTGGGCCAATTCACATTTGGCAAAAAGGAAATGTGTTTGACATCCTTTAACTTCTTTAACTATTTAATTTTGATTATCATTGGGTCAATTCATGAACTATTACATCTATTTAAGTGAAATCCAAATTTACTTACTCTTTACTTCGACTGTTCCAAAAATATTCTTATCTTTAATATTTACAGCTGGAGCTTCACCGGTAACTGGAGATCCAGTGGTAGTTGTAGTGGTGGTTGTTGTTTCTGACATTATTTATTTATTATTATTATTATTTGTGTGAAAAGAAAAAATGTGCAAAAAAAATAAACTATAGTTCTATGAAAATTTATACAAATGATTAATAATATTTAACAGATATATCAACAATGAATGATTTGATTTGGTTTGGTTTTTTTTTAACCAAATGTGTTGTGTTAAGGAAAATAAATAAATAAATAAATAAAATAAATAAATGATGATGAGCGGTGATGATTTGAAAAAACAAACAAACTTAAGTTTAACTTAAAGTAGATTGGTGGGGAATGAATGGATATGATTGAAAAGAATGATGAGTTTTAAAAAAAAAAATAAAAATAAAAATAAAAAAAGTTTTTCTTGCTTTGCTTGTTGCAATAATTTTAATTTAAATAAAAAAAAAATGAAAAGCAACTGAACATTGGGTATAAAATTATCATAAAAAAGTTATGAATTTGAGTGTGGTTTTCATTCAGTTTTTTTTTTCAAATAAAATTTTGTTATTCGATTTTTTAAATGAAAAACCAAAAATTAAAAGAATTTTTTTGGCGACTTGCTATAAAATTTTACACCTTACAAAAAGGTGATGATATCAAAAGAAAAAAAAAATGAAAAATAATTTCAACTACTACTAAGTATAATCTTGTGACAAACAAAACAAAAAAAAAAAAAAAATCCAAATATATGAAAATGACCCAAAATCAAAACAAATCTGATAATCAGAATTATAGATATATTTTATTTTAATCAAAACAAGAAGTAAAGTAATCAATTCATTTTTTGTTTTTTACAATATAATAGACAATTAAGCCTTTTTATTTTTTCGGGTAATGTAAGTCGTTTAAATAATTTCTTTTTCTATTTTTTTTTGTTTTTGTTTTTTTTTATAAATATATAATTAATAGATATTTTACAGTGTAATATTATACATTGAAATTTGTTTGTTGATTGAAGTTGATTAACTTATTATTATTATTATTATTTAGCTTAGTATTTGGTTTTTTTTTCTTTACATTTTTAATTTCTTATTTGGTAACACATTTGATGTGTTGGTATCTTTTGATGTTCTAATGCATTTATTACCGCTTTGTCTGCAAGGAACTGTTGGTTGTAGGCTTTGTTGTTGTTGTTGCTGTAGTTGTGTTTGTTGAGGTGGTTGTTGTTGTGCTTGTTGGGGATGAACTGATGTAAAGTATTGCTTCGAATCCATAAAATTGGTGTTTTGAAATTGTTGGATGTTGTTTTCCGATGGTTCTTCTTTGTTAAGAATATTATTCAAGATTAGCATCTTTCTGGCTTCTCTCTCCTTTCTTAGCTTCAACCCACACGCATTGCATAGATCTTGACCCTTTTCGCCCTTACGCCATTCCGGTGTCTCAGTGGCTTTGCAAATAGCACATCTTTCAGGTCTCTTGCTTCTCGGTCGCCCAATTGGATTCTTGGCAACCTTTTTAATTGGATAATAAAAATCGAATAGCTGTTGTTGATGATGTTGCTGTTTGATCTGTGCGGATTTCAATGTAGGCGATATCGATGGAGATATGGAAGGAGAGGACTTGGATAATTGAAGCGGTGTCTTATGCCTTGGAATTTGAGATTGAATTACACTTGTGGATTTTGAGAGTGCAATGGCCACTGGTTGATTAAGAGAGGTACCAAGATTCTTTGTTCTATCGATTGGCAGATGAATCGGTGGTAATTGTATAGATGGAATTGATGCCGCAAATGTAGGTGAATTGAAAAAATAGGAATTTGAGGATAAAATATTTGGAGATGTTGAACTTCCTTTCATGAAAGGTGACACTGGTTGGATCATTGGAGATGTAGGTACTTGTGGTTGTAATGGCGGTGATGGTTGTACAAATAATAAGTTTGGAGAGATTGGGTAGTTACATAAATTATTATGATGATGATAACTATTTAGATTTGGGCTTATTGAAGTGGGAACGGTGCAAGAAGTGGCACCGATTGAGCAATTGCTCGATGATAAAGAAGGTGATGATTGTTTCATTATATATAGCTATTATTGGTAATATTTTAGCTATCTTTCATTACTCAAAAAAAATATTAATATTATTATTTATTTATAAAAAAAAAAAGTTGGATATAAATTGATTGATTGATTGATTGATGGATAATAATAATATTAAAGTTTTAAATATAATTATAAAATAAATAAAATATGTTTTAAAAAGATTTTAGTTAATAAATTAATTAATACCAAAAAATATATTATTATATTTGTATTAAAAAGAAAAATAAGAATTTGTAATTTTATAACTTTTAGTCTTTTTTTTTTTTCAGGAAGGATTGTTGTATTTTTTGGGAAAAGAAAAAAATATAAACAATTAAGATTGAATGATTTTATAATGTTTATCCAGTATGATATAGGAGGATTTCTAGTGGAGACTTAGATAGACCTGAGGTTGTCGCTATTTGTATTTCAACCATTATTTTATTGATACCATTATTGCTTAATAAGGTACTTCTAAAAAACGGTTTATATATTTATATGCTTGTTCTTGTTAGTGTGAAGCAGCACAGTGTACTTGTGGGGTGAAAGTAACTACCACGATTTTCCATAAAGGTCAAGAACAGAATTTGGATCTCCACTATGATTTTTCAGTTAGTTATTTATTTTTTTTATTTATTTGTATTGTTTTGTTTTGTCTATTTTCTATTTGGTATATACACTCTAGTAGTCGAGTTTCACCCTCGCAACCTTAAAGAAAGTAACTCTGTCATGACCCACCCTTTGGTGGTGCATACGGTGAGTTTTACTTTTGAAATTAAAATAATTTATTGAAAAAATGAAAATGAAATAATTTATTAAAGTTGTTTTAATTACTAAATCTGGAAGTGATTGTAGATTCCCAAAAATAAAATAAAAAAATGAAAATAACAAAAAAAAAAAGTCGAGTTGACATCAGAACAAAAAAAAAAATCATTCATTTCCCACACAGATTTTGTTGAAATTAATATATTTCAAGGGGGGTTTCTCCGTATGTATATATGGTTTTTAATGAATTTCAGATGTTTCAATTGAAAAACAAAAAAAAAAAAAAAAGAGTGGTGTCTTTTTGCTTGAAAGAGAGCGAATTTTGCAGAAGAGGCAAAATGAAATATGGAGAAGAAAAAAACAAACCACTTAAATCAATCTTAATGGAAGTTATGTATTTAAAATTTTTATAAATAACCGAATAACTATCCAATGGCTGTCACTGGTGGAGTGGAGGGACTATGGGTATCAGCTGATCTTGAGATGCCTGTGAATGAACCAATGTGTGAGTTGTGTTGTCAATTCAATCTAAACTGAAGAATCTACATTTGATCTAGATGTTGTTGTTGTTGTTGTTGTTGTTGTTTTAAAGAATGATGTTTTATTTTTTGGAATTATCTATTTCGCCACATATTTTGCTATATTTCACCATACCAATAGTACCATATTTATCAATTTACAAGAATATTAGAATTCTAATGTTCTACCAAAAAAAGGCGAGTCACCAAATACCCCCTCTATTCACCAATTTCACCAACACCATTACTACTATTACTATTGCTATTGTTGTTGCTGTTGTTATTGTTATTGTTACTACTAATAATACCTCCACCACTGACACCATATTTCTTTGATGTCAATTGTGATTTTGAGAGGAGTGGATACACTGTGTCTTCAATGAACTTTAAAAGCTGAGAATAACCTTGTCTAAAGATGGAAAGGAAATTTGATTAAAATTTAACCAGTTACAAAGCAATCTAGATCCAACAAGACTTTTCAACTTACGGTTTTTGGTGTGATAGCATTTTACAGTAATTCTCATAGATGTTGGGGATCTTTTTCAATGTCTTTGAGATCAGAGCTGGATTTAATAAAACTGTACCAATGACTAGCACCCATTCGTTACATCCTGCATTTGTTAATTCTTGAAGAAGGAAACTATAAAAAAAGATTATATTTAAAGATTTAAAAAGAGATTTTAAATTAATTAGTTATCGATGTGTGAAGATACATATTACATTTTTTGAAAAAATATAAATATAAATAAATGTAATCTTTTTTGAGAAATGAAAAGGTTTTTGTTTGAATGATGTCAACAGTGTTTTGTTTTTCGTTTCGTTTTTTTTTTTTGATATATATAGTAATGACTCGAATCAGATTTGTTAAATTAATTTAGTGGTTGATACTTACTATAGATCGTCCATTGAGGAATCAATACTATCTTGAAGGAATGAAGGGTCGTTAACATCGAAATTGGTGAATGAGGGAGCAACCATAAACTGGTGTGATTTGAATGAGTATATGGCGGTTGTGCTTGAAGGCATTGTTGATGTTGAGTTTGAAAGACTGTTGATTGATTCCGTGCTTGTTGAACTAACCAAACCCTGTTGTCCTGCATAATGATGATGATGATGATGTTCGCTTGGTGCCATTTGTATTCTCGATTTGAGAAGTTCAATCATTTCATCTCTGGTGATCGAAGATGAATTGTCATCGGATTCCAACTTCAACTCTGAAACAGCGGTACCGCTGCTACTGTTCATTCCAATTCCGGTTGGAGTGGATTCATTGTTGTTGTTGCTGTTACTATACATTTTCTCTCTTTCATTTATCGATCCACTATTTTTTAGTGTACTACTGTTATTTACAATGGAAACTGGTGATGGAATTGCTGTTGTTGAACTTGTTACCGATCCATTGGAGGACGGGCTTGGTGCCGGTGAGAAAGTGGATAGCACAGCAGCCGGTGAAAATGGAGCGATCTGATCCACTGGAAGATTTATATAAAACTGTACATGTATTGAGTTGAGTGCCATATCCAACTCCTCGGCAGTTCTCAAAATGGTAGAACGTTTTTCACTGGCCAAAAAGTGTGATATCTCCATATTGACTTTGCGCGAGAACAACAGGAAGTTTCTCAGTAGCTTTGATTTCAATAGCTTGCTGGCATAGGAACTTAGGATTTGGAGCTTCTCTTGTTCCAATTTACTGTGAATGGTCGGTGAGAGATTCTCGTCCTCTGGCTCCATGAAACGAACGAGATCACCCGCAAGATCCATATTGTCGAAATCCAAAACAATCTCTAGCATATCGAGTGCACACCGCTGACTGAATTCATTGCTCTCCAGATTTTGAAGGATCTTCAAGTACGATGCTGCAATCTCGATCTTTCCGCCGGCCAAGCAACGCTGGTATAGCGCCACCGGGTCGCCAACGTGTGAAAACAAATCTGGCCAGTGTGTGGCATCTATTTTACGAGCGCAACACATTGCCACCTCTGGAAACTGTGGAAAATACTTTAGGAAATTAACAACTTGGTCTATTTTACTGGTGGAATGTGTCTCGTGAAGAAGCAACTCCAATGAGTGTGTAAAGTGTGGAATGGTATGGAACCGACTACTCAGACTCCACGCCTTCTCAATGCCACCGCGCTCCAACAGATGTTTGAGAATCGAGTGGAGGAATGGGTGTGTTTTGATGTGTAGATCGTAGCAAGGATACTGAGAGCAAGAACTATAGGCAATACCCTGTGACAGTCCAACAATGACACCGAGCTCACTCAAGAATCCCACTGGATACACCTCATTGTCAAACGACAACGAACGATTGTGATGAAGAGTTCGTGTCGAGTGTATCTCCTCGCTTGAGAATGGAAACCATACTTGAATGCCATGCAATCCGTAACCCCAGAGAGTGTTTCCCACTAGTTCCCTGTCCCTATAGATATTGGTGAACCAATACTGTTCAATATTGTTTGACAAATCAATGTGTGCTGCATTCTCTGCGTTCGAAAGGATAAGTCGTCCATTGGTATGGAGCAATAGACAATATACATTATTGGAACGACTATAACTTCTTGGTGATTGTAATGGTGGTATCTCTTGTTGTTGTTGTTGTTGATTCATCGTTGGTGAATTTACATTGCTATTGCCAGAGGGTGGAACCTGGATGGGTGGAAGCAATGAGAGTGAAAGGGGTGTGGATGGAATGGCCATGGAAAGTACATGGAGTGTATAGAGATCGATTCCAGGTCGATCCTGTCGCTCTACCACTCGGTAGAGATAAAAGAATGATTCACTTGTCAGCAGTGCAAGATGTGCGTCGTTACAATCGATGAGGGCGGGCGTCTGACTCGACGGAATCAGCGATTGATGAAGTAGACTAGAGTTGTCGAGATGCTGTTTTGGATAGATGAGAAACTCGCACTTTCCCTGCGACGAGTAATTCGCAATGATTGCTGTATGTTTGTACCAAGTGAGTGCTAGTGATTGTATTGCCTGCTCCTGGTTGCGATCGCCAAACATCTTCCAACGCTTCGACAGCGAATTATACAAAATGATACCACGACGTCCAGCCACTGCAAACTGTGAGCGATCTCGCGACAGTGCAATATGTTTAATTGGCCAATTGTCGTTGAGATACGCCGATGGAATCTGCAAGTGTTTCCAACGAATATCGCCCAGTTCCTTACCCTTGTAGTTCAATAGCATCAGACGATCCTCTGTTTGTAGGATGATTCGCTCCGAGTAATTTAAATTGGTATTTGCCGCCAAACTTGATTTCAAGAAAGTGAGTTGGAGAAACTCGCCAACCTCATTGCCGTTCGACAGCAGAATAAGATGATATCCCTCGGGACCCCAACTCAGTGAGAGAACACCCTCTCTGCACGGTTCAGAGTATCTACTGCAACCGCCGCCGGAATCGCTCATCTGCGGAATGGTACACGTTAGTTTGCAGCCGTAGACCGACCAGATGCACAGTCCACGATTTCGCCAGCCCACAGCCAAGCAGTTTCCATCGCTTGTCCACGCCATATAGGATATCGGACCGATCTCATCGGCTGTAACCTCACGAAACTGGAACAAAGAGAATGTTCTTAGCAATTGGCAAGTCTGTGCGGACTTGGCGTCACCCCCCACCAGAACCGGTGCCGGCAGTTTGTAGATGGCGACCTCGCCATTCTCCAAACCGACTGCAGCCAGTCGATGTCGCACGTTAAGCGCCACCGCCACACTTCCGGAGCGCGCCAGCCAGTAGCCGCGCAGTCTGTCCTTCGAATGCTTCCTCAGTATCGCCGAAGAACCATCGGCAAACACCAGTCCAAAGATTGGGAAGCTCGGTGTGTAGTGCACGGACTGCACCACCAACGCGCTACTAGAGATATCGCCGTCAAACGGAACGACATCAAGCGAGAACTGACTGATTAACTCACCGGTCCAACTGGATCGCACGAGATAACCTTCTCTTGTGAATATAAATATGTAATCGGTATTGCCAGTGATGCAAATCGCACCCATAATACTTGCTCTAAACGACGAAGAGAACTTCAAGACGACACGTCGCTTATCGTGTTGCAGATGCGCCGAATGATGATCCTTGTGAAAGCGTAACTGTAAAACATCTGTCAAATCTCTTTCCACTAAATAAACTAATATAAATCCTGTTGATGTCTATAAAGACAATGTGCATAACAATTTGTGATTAATTGACTTGTTGTTCATTACTCTTCTTCTCTGATCAAACACTATTCTATTTTATTTACTACATACTACAACTGCAATGGCAGAGGAATCTGGACACCACGATATCGATTGATTTCTACCAAACTTATTGATGGAATCTTCCGAGCGAATGACATATCCCAAGTGAATACGGTGTTGATCGCCCGACCAAATGGAGATCGATGAAATCGAGAGTAGTGCAATCAGTGATCCATCGGCATTGTGAGAAACATCAATAAAAGTCTCATTGATCCCACTGCTAAACACCTTTGGCCATCCAAAAGCAAAATACATAGTTTATGTTTTTTAAATAAATAAAAAAACAAAAAAAAAAAAACAAAAACACTCTTTACTTTTTCTATACTACTACTTCTCTTCTTCTTTCCTTCCTTTTTATTTATTTATTTCTCTACTAAAAACATATATGACTTTAATACAAATCAAATAAACAATAATCTGAAAAATAAAAATCTGGCATAATAATATAAAAAAAACCAAATTGATGAAACTATTTTTAAAACTAATGTTGGCAATATTAAAAAAAAAAAAAATGATATCACTTAAAGTTACTTGTGTAGTTGCACCGCTTGCAAAAAAACAGCTCATAAACAAATAAAGTTGTTTAACTATGTTATATTCTAACTATCTCAGTAGTAACAAATATATATATACATATTAAAATATGAAGTTCATAAACTTCTTCTTGATGTGTTGACAAAGAAGAAGTTTTTGGTTTGCAAACAAACTTAAAAGCTAAAGTGGAATAATATTTAACAACAATCAAAGTTTGTTTTGTTTTTTAAAAAAAAAAACAGCACACCAACATAGAAGAAAAAAAAAAAAAAAGAAGTTTGTTATTGTTTTAAATTAAATTATGCATGATGTTGAATGTTAGCATGGTTTTGAAAATTGTAAAAAAAAAACTCCAAACACCAAAAACACATTTTTTTTTAATTATTTATTTATTCAAAAATTAATTTTTTTTTTAAATTTGTGTGACAATACCCGCCACATAACAATATTGAAAAAAGAAAAAAAAAACAACAACAACAACCAAAAAAATTAAATAAAAAAAAAATTGTAATTTTTTTTTTTTCAATAAATAAAATTTGTCGCTCACATAAATATGTTTTTTTCCTCCCCACATTAATTTTCTACACCATATAATTTTTTTTTGCAAACTATAACTTTCTTCACCTATTAGAATAATTATTAATAAATATTTCAGAGGCTTTCGTACGATTACACCGAAGAGCTCATCTTTCTCACGTTCTCTACTATCTATCTATATATAATTCATCGATAGTTCTCTAATTTTATTTAATTAACGAGAAGTGAGAGCAAATACAAGCTCAACAAATAATAAACAAATAATAACAGTTATAATTTATACAGCGGTATCTCAAGATCAAAGCACCTCTAGCTTGTCAAAAAGAAAACCAGCGGCATTAATTCGAGCCACTTCACAGGTATCGTATTAAATTTATTTTTTTTATGCGCACCAACATACTGTTTTTTACGGCGTCATATAAATTCACAAATTTTGTGTGGAAGACTAAAAAAATTTTGTCTTTTTTTTTTGCAATTGTTTAATTTCAATCGAATTTTTTTATTATTTTAAAAATTGTTTTGACAAGATGAATGAGATCGATATTATTTATTTACACCGATGGATGGATGGTGACAAAAAAGGAGTTGTTTTGTTTTTTTTTTTGTTTTTTTTTGACGTTGATATCAATACCACTTCCACTTCTCATTCTTTATTCATTTCCCACAAACATCAACAACTTTAACTTAACTTTGATTTTTGTCAACATGTGCATAAAATATGAAGAATTTATATTAATTTAAAAAATCTTTTTTTATCTTTAAAAAACAAAAAATAAAATGTAGAATCAGCAATCTGAAAAAGGAAATCATCTAACAACAACGGTTGATTTCGAATCTTTTTTTAAAATATCATCAGATTGTTGCCAACGAGTTTTGTTTTAAATTTTAAAATTTGGGAGGGTTCTCTTTTTTTTTTTTTTCAGTTCATCGCTATTATTGGTTTGGTCCAAATTACTTGTTTGATTATCTAACGTACGTTACCAAAAATCAAGGGATTTCTAGAATTCCCTAGGTAATTCCGGCGCGATGAGTGGAATAAGTAGATCTGGCAGTCGTATATCGTTTCGTCCGCGTCCAATCGATGTTACCAAGCCGCTTCCCATTGTGCGCACAGAGATCGACGACGATGACTCACAGCGTATGGTTCCTCTGATGCCAACCGGTATGGAGAGTAACGAAGAAGGCGAGCTTCATATCCAGGAGATCATCCAGGCATCGATGAAGAAGCGTACTGACGACCTGCCAGAGATTCCGATCCCCGTCGTCAAGATCGTCGACAACTACGACACCGCCGACAATCCACATCCTTTCGCCATGGGCACTACCTATGCGCTCTACAAGCTACTCAACGATGACGAACTCGACCAGACCGTCGAGTACGATATGGACAGTGAGGACGAGGCATTTGTAGGCAGCATCAATCAAGGCGCGTCGGCGACGTCGCCACCAATGAACGGCGGGACCGCAACTTTGTCGGCGTCGACGTCCGCGTCGTCCAAGCGTCAAATACTGTCGATCGACCGATTCGAATCGATCATTGACAAGTTTGAAAAGGAACAGTATTACTTTGGCCAGTGTGATCTCGCTAAGGCTGAACAGATATGCAAGGGTTTGAAGCCGTCAGTAGTCGCCGCGCTGCACAACCACTGGCTGGAGAAGCGAAAGGGCAAGTCGACTTTGATTCGTCGTTTGCTTCGACAACCGGATCGCGAAGATCCCTCACCCTACAAAGCATTCCGTGCGCGTGAAGTCGAGCAGAAGCAAAAGAAGGCGCGTAAGAACGATGCCGCTTCGCTAGTCAAGATGAACTCGCTGCGTCAGGAGTTCGAGCGAGCCAGAACCCTGTTGGAGATGATCAAGAAGCGTGAGAAACTCAAGAAAGACTACATGGCTGTCATCACAGATCTTCACTCCAAGCTAAGAGAACTCGCTGAAATCAAGCTTACCGAACCGGTCGAAGTCGAACTTCCGCCACCTTCCTCCACAATCAAACACAAGAAACACAAGTCAGCGGATCTACACAAAGATGGCTCCTCTGCCAATATTGCCATCGACGAATCGGTTTCACCCGCTGTGCCAGTCCCACACAACTATCCGGGTCCGGCATTCATCAACAAAGAACAACAACCGCTCATTCTCGGCAACGGAAAGGCGCGCCAAGAAGGATATCGCCACTTCATTGTCAAGCCAGGACAGTTCCCCTCACCAACACTTGAGAAGCTGTATGGCGGTGCTGCATCGCCATCACTCAAGATGGATCAGTCACTCGACGACACCACTCAACAGGAGCTGGAGGAGCAGATGAAGCGCGAGAAACTCGAGGCGCAAAAAGCACTGGAACTTGAAGAGGCAGCCAACAAATACTACAACTCACTGCCCACACCGACATCCGCTGAATACTACAACGACGATGACGAAGAAGATGAAGAAACCGACGATGAATCAGTAGCTACTGCTACTGCTACTGCTGCTGGCGGTGCCGCGTCTATCAAGTATAACCCTCGTACTCGCAGTGGAAGACAACGTGCCACTGGCGGAAAGGCAGCACCTACAACGACTGTCAACAACCCATATCACTCTGCAAGCTACTCAACCAGTATACAACCAAAGATGAATGCCGATGGCAAACCGATCTATCCCTCGGTGAATCAAGGCTATATCTTTGTCAGTCCCAACCTCCCACCGATTCTGGGTCGTGCTCGTATCGGTCGATACGGCGGTACCTACATCGACTTTGTTCCAGTGGACAAGCAGACCAGAATCAACTTTTTAAATCATCTCAAACATCAACAACAAGAGCAAGAGAAACAGAAAGAATTAGAAAGAAAAGAACAACTTAAGCAACATTTGGATTTATTTAATAACATCGATTATATAATTGATAATAATTATGGTTTAAACTATAATAATAATAATGACGATAATAATGATAATAATAATAACAATAGTAATAATAGTAATAATAACAATAATGATAATAACAACTCTTATCAATCATCTATAAATTTATTAGATAGAGTAGATATAGAAATGAATGATTTTATCGAGGATATCGATAATAATAATAATAGTAATATAAACAATAATATTTCAAACAATAATAATATATCATTACAAAATTCACCTATTTCAACATCAACAATTGACAATTTAAACACAACACCAACATCAACAACAACTGTAGATAATAACAAAAATAATCAAACACCACCAACAAATTTTGACAATGATGACCGATCTAGTAACAAAAGAAAATTGGATATGATCAATGAGAATAATGATAAAATAACAAAGTATGTATCAAAATAATAAACATTATTAAAATATATTATAAGCATTTACTAATAATGATATGTTATAAAAATAGAATAACAGATTTTCAAAACTTGATAAACAAACAACAACAACAACAACAACAACATTTAAATGGTGGAAGTAGTAGCAGTAGTAATGGAGGTAGTGGAAGTTATCATCACCAGAACGGAACAACGACAACTTTACACAACAATGGAGACAGTGTCAGTAGTCTGGTAAACAATGCCTCTCCGCTGGCACAAAAGAAACTAAAGACGACAACAAGTCCATTGAACTCACCGAACGGTCACCATCATCTCACCCCAAACAAACAACTGAAAAAACAACTGTCTTCACCCCCTCAAGCCAACCATATAGATCAATATTTAGTTAAAAAGACTGCACATACTCCATCATAGAGTCAATACATGTCGACCACCACCCCGAGTTGAGGCTCCAACAACAACAACAACAACACTATTATGTAAACTAAATAATAAAACATCATCAAATATATAGTGTTATCACATAGTACTACTTATCCTATTTATAAAGAAAACAATATCGATTGTCTAGCCTATCAATCTATCAATCTATCAGTATATTCACCATCGTTTTTGAAATCTCTCGATCATCTTTTAACTATTAATAAACAAAACTAATTATCTATTTTTCATATTTTTGTACAAAAAAAAAAACAAAACAAGCTAATTTGTTTATTTGTTTAATATATATTTCTATTTATCCATATCCATTGCATCTTCATCCGGTTCTTCTTCTTCCTCCTCCTCTTCCTCTTCTTCCTCGATGTTACCGAGCTCTGAAAGTAATGGTTTCAATATTTTCAAATGTCCAAGAGCAAAGAGAACCTCATCTTTATTGTAGTGAAGTGTTATCTTTCTCTGATTTTCTGTTTTGAACATCGCTTCCAGTGTCATTAAACCCGTTGAGGTAACACTACTCAAAACATCATAAAATTCATTCCTATTACATTGCATTCTTGTTAATATACATATATCTTTTCCACCAATATAGTTCAAATTACTATACATACTTATTTACAGGATCAATATATATTGATTTACAATTCAAACTATAGGTTTTAAACAACTAGAAAGAAGGAAAGAAAACAAAGAAAAAAGTTAGCAATCAAACTGAATAGCAATATAATAGCAATGAATCATTACTAACTTACATCTCCAAATATAGTACTATGTATAGATGAAGCGGTAGAAAGTGATGAAATAACTATGAGTTGACCGTGAAGTGGAAGGTTTTTGATTTTCGTTGTATTTTGCTGACCGAAAATGTTGTCGATAACGTCCATCATGTCGTCCAATGAGATGATGTATTCGTCTTCCTCGAGATCCTCTTTATTCTGTTTGAGATAATCGACCTGCTTGACCGATATCAGTTGCCTACATATGTCCAATGCCTTTCTGATGTCACCATTGTTGACCTCCACCTGCTTGGCCAAGTAGAGTAGTGCTTCGTCTTCACACACCGAAGGATCGGTAATACTTTCTATTCTTCCATAGATGATATGGTAGATCTGGTCACGATTGTACGGTGCAAAGTGCACTAGTGTTGGTTCGCGACCACTGCTCGAGAGTCTGGGCAATGAGCGCTGCACCAAATCCAGTGCGTTGGCAATTCCCACCAGTATCATTTTCGATTGTTTTTCGAATGGCCATTCGAATATCCTATATAGATCGGCATTTGTCTTTGATATCAATTGATCGACTTCATCTAAAACTACACACCTATATATATATATTTATTTGTTGGCAAATAACTTGTCAATAATAGTTTTCCAAGCTTTTCCAAAACTGAACATTAACGAAATTTCCACATACATCATTTTATTTGAGGTTTCGTCAAAGAATATGGATTCCAGCTGCTTGATGACATCACTAACACTTATAGTCACCTTCTTTGTTTTGGTAAGCTGTTGGTATATATTGAAATATGCTTCTTTTGCATCTTTAAATCCCATACAATTAATATAAACAACTTTACATTTCTTTGGAAAATATTAAACACAATATTAATATTAACTTTGAAATGAATATGATAAATCTATTATTAGCATTATTATTATTATATACTTTTGAAGATCTTAATGAAATTTCAGTGAGTAAAGAGGTAACTGTTAAACTCTTTCCAGTGCCTGGTTGTCCACATATATATAGAGCGGATCCTTTCTTACTATCGATTGAATTACTGAGAAACCTCTTGATTGTCTGTGTCTCGCTATCTCTTGAGATGACCTGTGCAGCGCCATTCAAAGAGAATGTCTCCGATAGGCCTTTTAGTAGATCTTGCATATCTATTATACACACTTAATGATAAATAAACTATTCTTAAACTAAAATAATAAAACAACTATTTAATATAGCTATTTATTAATCATCGTTGTTTTTATTTAACAAAAGACAAATAAAAACCAATATAGCAAATATAAAATTCGTTAAAACAATTCTTTATTTCATATTCACGCGCCCTTTTATGAATTCTCGTCTGATTTTTTAAATTTTATTCTTTATTTTATTTTTTTTTAATTGTTCATTTTTAAGAGTTTGTAAGAAGACAGAAACAAGTATCTAGAGTGTTACCATCTTAGATATTCGATCGAATCACTGTTTGAGTCACACAAATATATTATATTAACTTTAACAGTTTCAAAACCCTTTTGATTTTTTTTTTAAAAAAAGAAACACACAATTTATAAACAACAAGATATCTTAAAAAAAAAATTCAATAGTACTATTATTGATCGATGAATTACTTAATATTAATAATTAAAGAACAGATCTTGAAAAAAAAACATAAAAAAGAAAAAAAAACAAAAAAAATAAAAAAGAAAAAACATCATATTGAACTTTTAAAAACTATCTATAATATATATTTGTATCTACAGATTTCATATTTTATTTGTAGAGGTGTAGTTTACTCATCTTTTTTTTTTTTTGGTAGATGTAAGGATCTTCTCATGCTAAAATGAGTAACGTTAAAAAAAATGAAAAATGAAAAATGAAAATTTTGTGTGTGTGGGTTGAGTGTGGCGTGGCTGTACGTTCTCTCTGTTCTCTCGCTTTCAAAATGTATCCTTTATCTTTATCTGTTTTTTTCTTGTTATCACATAGATACTATTAAACACATAATATAACAATGGCCACTATTGAAGAAATCCCAGAAAACGTCGAAGTCGAAGAAGAAGAGACTACCACCACCACTGATGCCAACCCACAAGCCAGAAAGACTTCCCGTGGTGAGAAGAAGACCAGAGGTGCTATGGCCAAGCTCGGTATGAAGCCAGTCCCAGATATTATGAGAGTTACCCTCAAGAGCCAAGGTGTAAGTATTAAATAATATATATGTACACACAAAAATAAGAAAAATAAATCTAGTAGAGTAGAACAGAACAGCAGAACAGTTAGAACAGTTAGATTATTTTTGTAAAATCAATAGCAGTAGCAGGTGCGATAGTTTTCTACTTTTTTTATTTATTTTTTTTATATTGTATTGTGTACGCAATATATAAACTTAAATTGTATAACTAATTGGTTGTTTGGTGGTTGTTGTTTTAATGTATAGTTCTTGTGCATTGTTGCTCAACCAGAAGTCTACAAGGCTACTGGATCAGATACCTATGTGATCCTTGGTGAAACCACTTTCGAAGATCCAAATGCCACCCGTGCCTCCAAGGCCGCCAAGAAGGTTGAGGAAACCGCCAAGTCTGAGGCTGAAACCACCACCACTACCACTACCGCCACCGCTGAAGTTGATGACGAAGATGTCGACCTCCAAGGACTCGATCCAAAGGACGTTGAGGTCGTCATGAAGGAAGCCAAGGCTTCAAAGGCTAAGGTCGTTGAGGCTCTCAAGAAGACCGGTGACATCGTCTCTGCCGTCTTGGAATTGACCAGCTAAATTATTTAATAAATAATTTGATAATCAAATATATATAAAAACCCAAACAAACAGTCTCAATAATAGAATTACAGGTTTAATTTAATTATAGGTCAAGCACAAATCAATATAACTTCCACTGATCGGACATAGCATAGAAATCGTGGATCAATTCATGTCGATTAACATTCTCTAATTCATGATCTTCTTTTGTTCATAAATTTTTACAATTTTTAATTTTTAATTTTTTTGTTTTTTTTTGTTTTTTAATTATCCTTTTTTTAAAAAAATTCCAAAATAAAAAGAAGATAGTAATAATATTTGATTGACAATATATAACTTTGTTATTCAAATAAAGAGAAGAAGAAGAAGAAGAAGAGAATTTGAGAAAGTGTTCAGTAGAGTGAAGTAATACTACCTATCTTCTTAGTGTGAGAAAGCTTTTGTTTAGAAAAGTAATACTATAGGTTTGCATAATATCAGTTTTAAACTACTGTTATACTATACATTCCTACACTGAATTCCCACACTATATAAAATACCACGCCACCTTTATATAGATATAGATAAAAAGATAGAGATAGTTGGAAAGAATAGATTGTATAAAGCAAAAAAAACAACAACAAAAAGGTAAAACAAACAAAAATCAATTTTTTAATTTTGAAGATCACTAAAATTAATTTTATGATAAATTTAGTTAGTTAGTTAGTTAAACGTTATTTAAAAGAAAGAAAGAAAGAATGGATAAATATTATAAAGTACCACCAGTTCAAGAGAAATCTTGTGAACCAAATGAAATTAGATTGCCTTTGCACTCTAGTAGAATCAGTCCATCGATTGAACATGGACTGAATCTCTTTGCCAAGGGTGAGGAAAGTGTTTTCATAAAGGCAGTCGGTTCGAAACTCGTACCGAAAGCAATCTTTGTCACTGAGATCTTGAAGCACCGTATCACTGGATTGCACCAGATCACAGAGGTCGGAACAACCGATGTCCTCACTGTATACCTCCCAAAGGAGGAGGGTCTCGACAAGGTAGAGCTGACCAAGCCTGCACCATTCATCAAGATCACCCTCTCGAAGCAGCCTCTCGACAGTGCCAATCCAGGCTATCAGGCACCGTTACCAGAGAACCAAGTTCACCCACGTGCCACTGGCGACTCGACAACTACCACCGCCGGCAGCACCAATGCTACCACATCATCATCATCACCAACCGAAGAATCACAGGGTGTCGCTAGAAGACGTGGTGGATTTAGAGGTAGAGGTAGAGGTCGTGGACGTGGTAGAGGTAGAGGTCGTGGAGGTCGTGGTGGATTTAGAGGTGGTGATTCACCATCATCTATGGGAGATGACAATGTTAACAACGATAACAACAGCAGCAACAACAACAGCAACAATAATAACAACAATAACTTCAGTTCCGAGTCAGCAGTAACTCCAGATGCAGAGCCATCGTCAGAGACATCACCAACAGGAGAAGGTGGATTCAGAGGACGTGGTCGTGGTCGTGGACGTGGTGGATTTAGAGGTGGACGTGGTAGAGGTGGATTTAGAGGTCGTGGTGGACGTGGTGGTAGAGGAAGAGGACGTGGTGGATTTAGAGGTGGTATGAGTAATGGATCACCATCATCAATCCCTCCAACATCATCTTAAACAAACAACATAATGTTACATTATTATTCCACCAAGCTTTTTGGATCAACAAAACAATAAAAATCATTTTAAAAAAAACAAAAAAATAATTAACTGCAAATTGTGCTTGATAAATCACTTTCGCTTTCTGTTGGAACTGATTTTTTTGCGAAAATATCTTTTTTTTTTTTTTTTTTCCACAACCCTTTGACTCAAAGTGTAGCTTTATATTTTGGACCTTCATTTTGCAATTACCTAAGAGTACACACAATGAAATATATATTATATTCTATTATCTTATCTTTATTATTTCTTAGTGTTATTTCAGTAGATGTTGAAAGAGTTAGTAATGCCGATGTAGATTTAAATGTCAATTCCGATTACAAAGAAGTTGTAGAACAACCTTTGGATGTAGTTACGGAATCAAATTCACATATTAAAAAGTATTCTTCTCTTTTGAAGGATATAGATTTGAATGGTAGGTTTTTTGGTTATTTGTTTAGCTCTTCAGTTTTTTTATTATTAAAGTTATTAAAAACACATTATTTATTAGATGAACAGAAACTTATTGAGTTGTATGGAAAGAGTAAATTAAAGTCAGTTGCAGTCATCAAGAATTCATCTCTTGTAGCATCAAAGAATAATATTATGATGGTTTCATCTTCTGGATCGAGAAAAGCATACAATAAGAAAATGTCAGGCACAAAACCCAATCTAAAGAATTTAATAGATTTTACTGAGGAGCAGATTGCTGCACAATGGGAAAACAGAAATCTACTCAATGAAGTTTTCGAAGAACGATTCTTCCGACAATTATATTCAATCGATGAATTGATTGATCTAAAGTTTAATGTAATTATTATTGTTATATACTTTATACCATTTTATTATTATTAATTCCATCATTTCGGTATTATTAGAATAAAAATGTTATTGATCTTATTTGGTTAAGAATTCCTTTGCCTATTGTAGAGAATGATGACTATCCTTTGGATTTGTATAGAAATGTAGAGAAGAATCATCAGATCAATCGTTATCCTTTAATGGCACAGGAAATCAATGCTAAACATTCATTAGCAAAGAATATTAGGGAAATGTCAAAGAGATTCAGTGCCGAGGAGTTCTCATTTCATCCGACAACATTTATTTTACCTGAGGATTTTGAATCACTCAAACAATATTCACTTGACAATCCAGATGTTCAATTCATTATGAAACCAAAGTTTGGTGGAAGAGGTACTGGTATTCATTTATACGCAAATGCCAATCAAATTGAAAATGACCCAAATTATGTTGTCCAAAAGTAATTCTTTAAAAAATATTCAATATATATTAATCAAAACTAACTTATTGGTCTTACAAATATTTTATTTTAGTTATATTACAAATCCATTTTTGATTGATGGAAAGAAATTCACATGTAGATTATATGTCTTGGTAACTTCATTGGATCCATTGATTATTTATATTCATAATAATGGTGTTATCAAATTTGCAACAACCGAGTATGTACAGCACTTTTTATTTTTAAATTAAAACTACTAATATTTCTTTTTTGATTTTTTTACTAGGTTCAATACTGATAAGACCACTTTCAATGATGAAAATATGTCAATGCATATCACCAATCAAGCTGTAAACTCTGGTAAATCAAACTTTGCATTTAGCACAGATATAAATGTGGACGACATTGGAAGTAGATGGAGTCTTAAAGCATTCTGGAGATATCTTGATAATAACAATATCTATTCATCTACTTTGCTGTGGAAGAATATCAAAGATGTTGTTGTCAAATCGATATTCAGTGTTGAACAATCAGTTCTCGAAAAGACAAAGGAATTAATGAAGTCTGAATCAAGTGTATTCCAATTATTAGGTGTAGATGTTGATTTATTAGACAAGTAAGTTGGATTCATTGATTATTAACAATACATCATCTTAAACTAATTTATGAAATGAATAGTTTCCAACCTATTTTCATTGAAGCGAATACCAATCCACAATTGGGAGGATCAAAAGCACCATTTGATAACTATAACAAATTGGAATTAATCAGAGAGACATTCGATTTAATAGGACACACCATTTACAATTCTACCGCAATGAAAGAAGACATCAAATCAAAACTATTACAACAAAGAACACAGTCCGACGATAATGATTTGAGCAAGACCGATATTGGCATCATGTCGACGGTTGATATCGATCCGCTACAATTCAAAACCATCAAGCAAATAGATGAACAATCACTCCAAAAACTCGTACAATTTGAATTTGAGGTAAATTACTACAAATTGATATCTAATTACATATAATTATACTTATTATTTTTAATTTCTTGAACTACACACCTAGAATATACATCATGCCAACTATGAATTGATCTACCCAACCAAAGAATCAATTGATACACTCTCTAAGTATCATCTAAACAAAGAGAGTAGCTTGAATCAGATGTTACATCGTTATGTAAAGAGTGATGCTAAAGATTATTGAAAAATGTAATTAATAATATTAATTGGTTTAAAACACCAAGTGTGGCTTCACCAAATTTAAATAAGATTTACAAAAAAAAAAAAAAAAAAAAAAAAAAAAAAACAATCATTCACACATGTTTTATCCATTGTTTCACCCTCTCAAAATAATAATAATATGAAACAGATTAAAATGTGTGTGATAGGCGTCGATTTAATTTATTTTAAACCGTTTATTTATTTAATTTTTTCTGAAATTATAGTTTATTTATTGGCATAATTATGTTTGCAAACATTATTATCATTTGCAAACCTTTTTTTTTTATATCATTAATTGTAGTTAGAAAAAAATGACAGTTTCCAATAATAAAAGTTTTAATAATCAAGCGGATCCATTGTCACTTAATAATACATTTGAGTGTAACAATAATTTCAAGAGATATTCAACTGTTTTGAAGAATGTAGATTTAAATGGTATGAAAATGTAGAGTTAATCATAATTTTCTGTGTACCAACTAAATTTATTAAACTTTTAATTTAAAGATGAATCAAAACTTATAGAATTGTATGGAAAATGTAATTTAAAATATGTTGTTATTATTTCTAAATCATCTAAGTATATACCTTGGGTACCTGAACCTGGTCAAGAAAAAGACAATGAACTAATGAATGAAGATGAACTATTTGCATTGAAATGGAAAAGGAGAAGACTTTTAAATGAAGTACTCGAGGAAAGATCTTTCCAATTTGTGAGTACTATAAATGAAGAATATGACTTGAGATTCAAAGTATGTTGTTCGGTTTATTTATTTTGTTTGAAGAGTACTAAAAATTAAATTTTCAATTTAGAATACAAATATAGATTTGGTTTGGCTTAAGATTTTATTATCTGTGACAGAAAAAGAAGACTTTCCCAATGATTTATATTGTAGATTTGATCAACTGCATAATATCAACAGATTTCCTCAGATGCCATATGAAATCAATGCCAAACACTCATTGGCTAGAAATATCAAATCAATGGCTGACAGATTTGGTGAAAAAGAATTCTCATTCCACCCAAAGACATTTATACTTCCAGAAGAATTTCAATCATTGAACCAATATTCTAAAGAGAATCCGAATGTCCAATTCATTATGAAACCAAAGTTTGGTGGAAAAGGAATTGGTATCCATTTGTATTCAAATTCTAATGAAATTGAAAATGATTCTAACTATGTTGTTCAAGAGTAAGAAGTTTTTAAATTAGATTTAAAAAACGGAAATTGACTAATTAAATTTAAAAGATATTTGGCAAATCCATTTTTAATAGATGGAAAGAAATTTACACTTAGACTGTATGTCTTAATAACATCTTTGGACCCTTTAATATTTTACATTCATAATAATGGTGTATTGAAATTTGCAACTTCAGAGTAGGTCTAGGCATCTAATCCTGTTTTAAATTTATTGATCTTACTAATTATCTAAAATAGCTTTACGATTGATAGGAAAACATTCAATGATGATAACATGTCAAAGCATGTCACCAACCAAACAATAAACATTAATCTACCTACATATAAGTTCAGCACAGATCTTTCAGTGGATGATATTGGAAGCAAATGGAGTCTCAAAGCATTCTGGAGATATCTAGATAAAAACAAAATTTATCCATCTACATTATTGTGGGGTAACATCAAGGATGTTGTGGCAAAGACCATTTTCAGTGTTGAGTTGGCTGTTCTGTCCAAGACAAATGAATTGATGAAATCGGAATCAAATGGATTCCAACTTTTGGGATTAGATATTGATTTATTAGATAAGTATGTATAAAATATAATATTTTATCACTTAAAGGTCATTAAATATTAAACCCTTCTTTTAATAGTTTCCAACCAATATTCCTTGAGGCAAATGTAAATCCTCAACTAGGTTCTGCCAAACCACCATTTGATAACTATAACAAATTGCTATTAATTAGAGAAACTTTTGACTTGATTGGACACACCGTTTACAATTCAACCACAATGAAAGAAGATATCAAATCAAAACTATTACAACAAAAATCAGATATATTTGTTGATCAATCAGAGAATATAAAACAATTTGATCAAAGCTCGCTTGATAAGCTTGTACAATTTGAATTCGAGGTAATTGTTTTAAAAGAATTAATAATCAACTTATAGATTTCGTTTTACTTATTTTTTATGAACAACATATAGAATATACATCATGCCAACTATGAATTGATCTACCCAACCAAAGAATCAATAGACTCGCTCTCTAAATATCATCTGAACAAAGAGAGTAACTTGAATCAGATGTTACATCGTTATGTAAAGAGTGATGCTAAAGATTATTAATATTTTTAATTTACTTTTCGCTAACCTGGTAAAAGCCACCAACCACAATATCTAAATTAAAATGGGGGAATGTTCTACCTCCAAAAAAATGCTAACAAATAAGTATTTTGGTTGTTCATTTTTCAAAAAACTTACAATTGAGACTTCGTTTTGTTCAGATGAAAATTGAACTGTATAAATATAATATAATTTGAAACTTTTCGATGAGAGCAGATTTTTGAAACGATCAATCTCAAAAAGTAGATTTTTAGTTTCAATTTTTTTTGAAACTTTTGTAAAAACAATGACCTTAAAAAAATGTAACCCCAATTTCAGGCTAAATTGAACTTTAATTAATTTTTGATACCAACAATTATTTATGTGTCACAACTACTTCAAAAATTATGACTCATCCAGGATATTTTTAATTATTTTTCAAGATTAAAAAATAAAGTTAATTTTTTTAGTATAAATATAAACAAAGAAATATAGTTTTGTGCGACAAATATTTGTTCTAGATTTAAAAGACCATTCTTATTTATGTTTCAACTTGCCTAAAGCATCACAATTGAAATAATTGGACCAACAAAATTTCAAATTTTAACGGTTTTTTTTTATTAGGTAATATTAAAATTGTTTTCACTTTGGTGGGGGTGTGTTCATTGTTGACCTATAATTTAAAAAAAAAAAAAAAAACTGTTCTTTCGCATTAACATTAACCATTTTCCTGAAGCAAAATTTAATCAAAAAAAAAAAAAAAAAAAAACAACGATATTATAGCACCTATTTAATTAATATATATTGATCGAACATATTTAAATAATTAATAGTTAGACATAAATATTATTAGTTAGCTGTGTAGCTTATAATTTTGTAGTTAGTTTGTTTGTTATAGAAACAATTACTTTTTATAAATTCAAAGTATTAATAAAAGTATTAATAAATTTATATCGTATTGCTAAAAAGTGTTTTGTTGTATTAAGCAGCGCAGCAGCAGCAGCGATAACAACAACAAGTAAGTATAGTAATCCAATATCGTTGTTTGCTTTTAAAAGCTGTATCTATTGAGAGTTCTATTTTTATCACATAAAACAATTTTAAACAATTTGTTCATTCATATACATAACACATAAAAGCATAGTCAACAGTCATCTTTATTTGTATAGCTACGCTCACTAAAAATGAAGACATTGGTTCAACATTTAATACTTAGATGTATCTTCATAGTTGTCTTTATTTTTAGTGAATGCTCTCAATATTTAACAACCAATAGGATCACAACACTATTATTGTTTATTTTTAACACAATTTAATACTTCATCTCCTCTTGACTCTACATTCCACACCTTTAATAATAACATTAATAATAATAATAATAATAATTAAAAGAGAAAGAGAATTAGAGAACAATACTACCCCTCTTCGATGTGTACATTATTGTTGTTGTTTTTTTTTCTGTTTAATTCTTTTTCAATTTTTGTTTTTTTTTTAAAATTTTTTTTATATTAATAGTAAAAAAACACACTTTAAAAAAATACTTATTTATTGCTGATGTATTACTGTTAGACAGACCACAAACAAAGATTTATTTGCATTCACTTTAACTTCAATTCTTTACTATATTGCCGAAGAATTAATTAATTCAAAAAAAAAAAACAAAAAAAATTGCAAAAAAACCCAACAAACACATCCAATTCCTTTCGTTATCAACAAAAACCAACAATCACAAGGTTCAAGATCTTCAACATAAAAAACATACTCGTACCAATTCATTAATAATTGAAATAATAGTAATAAGAATAATTAAATTTTGTTGTATTTATAACTTTTCCTTCTTTTGATCTCTTTTATTAAATTATTAATTTTATTTATAATTATTATTGTTTTTTTTTTTTTTTTTTGAAAAATAATATATTTTTTTTTTTGAAATTGTTTTGTCCATTATTTTAAAAGTCTTTTTTTCATTTACAATATTTATATATTGCAATATATATTTTTTTATTTATTAGTTAATTTTTAAAACAAAACAAAACAAAACAAAACAGTCAAATAAAGTCAATTTATTAATGTTCTAAACATTTTATTATCCTCATAATAATTAAACAGAGCAGATAATTGAAACTTTGTACGATTTTATGATATAGATGGACCCAGTTGGATCATTTGAATCATTTTTTCATCAATTGGTTCCTTTTGCAGAGGGCGATCAACAGCTATTACTTTCACTTTATCAACAACAGCAACAACAAAATACAAATAGTCCATCAACAACAACAACAACAACAACTACTACTACTACCACACAATCATCCAATACATCACCAACTACAGGTCTACCATCTCAAACAGCATCATCATTAATCCCAAATCAACAGGGACCACAACAGTACCAGCAACAAATGTTCTATCAAATTCAACAACAACAAGGTCAGCAACAGCAAGGTCAACAACAGATCCAGCAACCTCAACAACAACAACAACAACAACAACAAAAACAATCAAAACAATCAAAGAAGCAACAACAACAACAACTACAACAGCAACAACAACAACAACAACAACAACAACAACAGGAGGTAAAGAGAGAACCAAATTCACCGGATAGTGACTCTGACTCGGATCGTGAACGTGAAAAGAAAAATCGTAGTAGAGCCAATCAGAATTTAGCCAGTAGAAACTATAGACAGAGAAAGAAGGAGTATATTCGCGATATAGAGGAGAAGCTCGCAGTTTTGGCGCTAGAGAATGACCAACTGAAAAAAGAGAATTTGAATCTAAAGAAAGGTGGTGGCCTCGAAATTATGAAGCCAGACCCTGCATTCATCACTATGATGATGGAAGCCAAACAAATCATCATTCAATTGGATGTAGCAATCAAGAAGAACGATGACCGTTCACTCATTTATTTATTACAATTGTTCCATCTCTCGATTGAGAAACGTCACTCGATCATCGAGCGAGAAGTCGAAAAGATGGTGCATCCATACACACAGGCAAAGTTAGCCGCAATGGGTTATGTTCCCTCCCTGGAGAATCCAATGATTTCGTCGATATCTGGACCGAGCTCCGATGGCTGGTGGATCAAATACATGTCAGAGGCACAGATCACTGAGGACCAGTCACGTGCCATCAAGCAACTGCGCGCCAACCACTGGAAAGCCGATATCGAGCTGCGTAACGAGCGTGAACGTTTGGACCGCTCCATCAAGGAGTTCTATCTGAGTAAGGTTATGGTGTTCCCCACCAACGAGCGTCTCAACAAGTCGTTCGCGGCCAACCTCTCTATTACCGACGCGCCCATACCACAACCAATCAACAACACAATTACCGACGCCAACAGTGTAGATATTTCAGAGATCCTCGAGTTCACTCGCAAACTGGAGCACTTGAAAAAGAATTTTGTAAAGCAACGTACCCTTATGGAAGATACACACGCGGCACTCTCTGCCATTCTGACACCCCGACAAGAAGCCATGCTACTTGTTCGTGTACATTACAGCACAAGATACGATTTCGCCAACATGGAGATGCTAAAGAATGTGTGGGGTAGCGTAGTTTCCAAAGATTCAAACTTCCCGCCACCTCCTCCACAATTCCCACCATCATTAATGAATAGCAACCAAAATCAAATTAACAACAATCTTTTAAATATTCAAAATATGTATAGTCCATATTCTACAACTACAACCACAACCAACAACAACAACAACAACAACAATAATAACAACAACAATAATCTATCATTACCACCACAACAACAGCAGCAACAAATCAATCCGAATCAAATGCCAATTTTAAATAACAATACATCATCACCAATAATATCAAACAATAGTAATATAGGTAATAACAATACACCACCAGTTCAAATCATTCAAAATCAACCTGGATACTTTTAAATAATTTAAAAGAAAAAAAAAAAAAAGTTTTAACAGGTTATAATGTGGTTGTTTATTTTATTGAATTTAAAATTGTTTTTTTCTTTGCATTCCTCCCCTTCACTAAAAAAAATAAATCTGTTTGTACTTGGTTTGTGATAAAAATTATAAGTAAATTCAAAGATTAACAATCGATTTTAATTACCCAAAAAATTAACAATAAATAAATAAATATTAAAAAAAATAAAATTTCAAAAACAACGGTTATCAAAGAAAATTGTAAAAAAAAACACATCTATATTCTATTTTTTTTCCTCTGATAAAAAAAATCCTTAAATTATTTAAATTGTTCTTTGTTGTCCCGATTATGTTTAAGCTTTCATTAATTATTCATTCAACAATTAATTATAATTAAAATGATTGAAACTAAAAGTAGTGATAAAGAAGTTAACGAGAGTTCTACTTCTACTCCCACCACCGATCATTCAAATATCAATTCCGACAATCAAAATGAAAATGATAGTCATAGTGATGATAAGAATAACAACATTGTAAATAGTAATAGTAATAGTAGGAATAGTATAGATGTACAACAAAAAGATAATACAAAGGAATTGGATTCAATTGATAGTAAGAATGATGGTAGTGACACATTGGAATGTAATATTATAAATGATAGTGTACAACAACAGCTACACCAACAAACCACAGAATCAGAGATAAACAAGAGTTCAGAGATTAAAAAGATGTCTATAGTAGAGTTGATGGAAAAACAAGGTGATCCATCAATAAATTTGACTCGATCTGCATCTTCGTTGTCACTCGACAGACCAATCAGTACGTCTTCCCCGTCAGAGATGGACACTTCAAAGAAAACGAGACCACACTCTATCAATCTTTCGAAATCACAGTCACTTGTTCAACTTCCAACATTACACTCACCGACACTCTCTGGAAAGTATCTTCCTTTGACGCCACATCTCTCCATTCTCGAACAAATCAAGGTGCTCTCTGAACTAGAGAAACAAAAAGAACTACCTATCAGCAATGAGCAGTATGAAAACTTGTTCATTGAAAACCCTTTACCATTGTCTGTCTCTAACAAGTCAATATCACTCTCTTCTTCATCGTCCATTGAAGATATCAATAATACCTCCAGTGATGAGCTATCTGTTTCAACAGAAATCACCAAAAACAACGACAACCATGGCAATCACAGCAACAACAATAACAATATTATCTCAACCAATGATGACTTAATTATCACAGAGATCACCGATGAGCTTAGACGTTTGATTGACCTTACAGCCTCTAAGAATCAAGAATCAGTTAAAACAACAACAACTACAACACCTACAGCTACACCAACACCAAATCAAACATTAGAACCCCAAGCGACAGATTCAACACCATCAATATTAGAACCCGAAACGACAGATTCAACAACATCAACAGCATCAGCATCAACAACAACAACATCAATAACATTGTCAAAAGAATCTGCTTCACAAGACAACCCTTCGCCTCCTCCACCACCTCCACAAAAATCAGTTGATATAACAAGTCCAGAGAAAAAGAAAATTAGTATTATGAAAAAGTTAGAATCAACAATATCACAGATTTTAAATAAGAAAAAGATTGCAGAAGCAAAGACCGATTCACCAAATGGAGAAACAGCAGAGTCAACTATTTATGGACCAAAGACATGCATTGGATATAGAGGTGAGACATTTGAAGTCGATTTCAGTATGCTTTCAAAGTTACCAACACCCTCCAAAGATGATGGTCATGTGTTTTTGGTATACGGTGACCTGTGCAAGTTGGTATGTGATGTTAAGATGGTACCATCACCTGGACACTCTCTGCTAAGAGTTGGACTTGGTGCATGGCTCAAGAAAGATTGGGACCAGTTTTCACCAGACATTCGCAACCGTGTTTTACACGCCAATCCACCGACCGCCCAACATCTTCGTATCGAGAAGGATGCACGTGTCTTCAAGATCAAGGACTGGCCAATAGAGTATCCCAACATCTCACAGCCATGGTTCACTACAGTTGTTCCACCACATGGAAGTTCACCGAGTGCACGTCTGAGCTGGTATATCGGTGCTGCTCGTGATTTTCTCAATGACGTCGGTAAGGATCTCGAAAAGAACAAACCTCCCATTAAGAATGGCAGATCAAAGTATTTGGTTGCGCTTCCAATAGTTGGTACGGGTGGAGGTGGTGGTGGTGAATATGCAGGTGTTATCTTATCAATGTTGTTGCACGAACTCTATGTTGCCACAAGAGTTTGGAAATACGATGTTGTGCTAGTGACAAACGAACTACCAATGTACACCGCAGCCAGAAATACAAGAAAACAAATGATGGAGAAGGACAAGAGTTTTAAATATATCTATAATACTCTGCTGGGCAATGCGATGTTGGAAAAAGCAAAGTATTTGTCAAAGATGCTGACTGATGGACAGTTGGCTATATTTTTGGGGGCGGGTTGCAGTCGTTCTGCAGGTCTACCAACATGGGTGGGATTGTTGAATATGCTGGGTGAAAAGCTGGGAATGAGGCCAGAGGAGATGGCAGCAATGGAGCAACTACACTACTTGGATCGGGCAACTGTTTTGGAGAATCGATGGAAGAAAACACTGGCAAAGTATCAACCAAAGGAAGCAGAGGACAAGTCATTAAGCAACAGTTCGAACGACGACGATGATATTACAGATATATTCACGGATATGCATGAAAAACATAAATCCATGTACAAACAAATCAATGTTCCAATGCAAGAAGAAATATCGAACCTGATGAAAGTAAGCTATAGTGGACTGCCGCACTTCCTGTTAGCGTCGACACCTGTTACCGATGTAATTACCACCAACTATGATCAGTGCTTTGAAATTGCATCACGTGCTATCAATGTTCCTTGTACTGTACTTCCTTATGAAACTATCACCGATAAAAAGAATCGTTGGATTCTCAAGCTACACGGTTGTGTTTCTCATCCATCCGATATTGTAATCACCAGAGAGGACTATATACGTTATGGAGACAAGAGAGAAGCTTTATCAGGTATACTTCAGTCTTCGTTAATTACCAAACATATACTTTTTGTTGGTTTCAGTTTGGTGGATGATAACTTTTTCCAAGTGATGTCTGCTGTCAAAGCAGCAACACAAAAAACACAAAAGAAATATGGAACTGCATTATTTATACAAAAGAATGATTGTAAGTTGATTATTAATTTTATGATGAGAATCCATTTCTAATTATTTTTTTATCGACTTTAGTGATGAATGAACTATGGGGACAACAAATTGATTTTCTTTGTTTCGATCCAGAGAATAAAGGTAAAATTGCAGAGTGTGCAAGAATACAAGAGATCTTCTTGGAGTATCTTACATCAATGTCAATATCAAATACAAGTCATGTAATGGAGAAAAGATTTGACTATCTATTGCAAGAGGGTGAAAAAATATTTAGAGATAATCTGAATATATTTGTAAAGGATATGCCTGATGAAGCAAAAAAGACAGAGGTTTACAAGAAATTCGAACAATTTTTAACCGATATTGGTTATTATAATATGTAAATAAAAAATGTTTAGATAAAACAGATCGTTATTTAATCAAACTTTTTAACTGTATAGATTTATTTTTGTAAAAATTTTGTTACTTGTTCTATTTTGTTGATGATTGCTGCTTTGAAATTGTTATTAGATTGACCAAGTACAAGATATTGTTTGCCTATTTTTCGAATTAATATTTTGTGATATTTGTCTGGCATAACACAAATGTTGGAGCTCTTTATTGTGTCGTCCATAGATGTAGTGGTTATTGTACGAATTGAATCTGGTACTATTTTATTTGGGAATCGTGTTTTTGATATCGATTTAACTACCAACTCGTCAACAAAATTTGGAATATAACCTGTTGTAGCCATTGTATAGTTGTTTTCAAAGATTATCTTTTTAACTGTTATTGGAATCGAATTGGGATCCACAATTGGAACAAGGTTGTTAGAGAAACGGAGTGTTTCGACACCAAGTGGAATGTCTCTCATCTTGTTTCTTCCCTTTGTTTTGAAACTTGACAAATACATATGTTTGATATCCAATTTTTCGAGTGATTCTAATTTGTTTCCATCAACAGTGAGTGTTTCCAAATGATATTGTGATCGATCATTGAATATCTCATCAACATCGTATTCCGCTGTGCAAATATTTAGATTTTTGATTGATGAGGGCATTGCAGAAGTTAATTGGGTTGAGTAATCAACTTTTAGGCTAGTGAGAGAAGCTGGCAGATCACTGACAACAATCGGTTCTTGAAATCGATGCTTAAACAATGACAGTGATTTCAGGTTGGGAAGGGTGTTGATTTCTGAAATCCATCCTGACGGTACATTTTTCAAGGTGTCAAGTGAAGGTGGTAGAACACCTAGACCGATCTCTTCACATGATCCAGAGTATGTTAGAACTCTTAGATTTGGAGGAAGCGATCCCACTTGAAAACCAAGTTCATAGTCTCGGTTTATCATTTTTAGAACCTCTAAAGATTCTGGGAGTACACCTGGTTCAATTGGATAATCGAAACCTTCTCCAAATATTAATGTTTTCAAAGTATTTGGTAGAGTATCTTCTTCGATGGGTTGATTGAATGCGGCGCCCAACTTTAGTGTAATTAGATTTGGTGGAAGGTATCCTTTAAGCAATGGCTCATCGAATTCTGATGAAAATGACAACGATGTCAAATTCCCTGGCAGTCTATGTTCCAAAGTTGGACATCTCTTTAGTTTAATTACATTAGATTCCGGGATCAATTGAAGAAGATGCTCAAATTTTTCATCCTTTAGAATATCCTTTGCTATTTGTTCAGATATAGTAATTTTATAGATATTCGATTGAAGATTATTGGTTTCTAAGATATTATCTAAAGTAAATACACATTGGAGATTGATTATTAGTTTATATCTTTATAAATTTAATATTTGTATAGTTTTTATAGTTACTTGGATGTAAAACATAGTCACATTTATATCTATGATAAAAAACAATTGCAGTACATTGTTTCTTTTGTTTGTTTGCATCAATTATCAATGTTTGATATGAATTTAAATAAATGCTCTTTGGTTTCTTCATTTATTATTTTCATATCTTTTGTAGAAAACGATAAATAACTATCTCTTTCATTGAACCATCTTTTACAAACTAAACTAAAGCAAATACGGTCGATATTGTAATCTTGCTAATAAAATATGTGATAGATTATCGACTTGATTCATTTTGTAAAAATGTTTTGAACAAACCTTTATTAATATAAATTAAAAATTGTCAAATTAATTTCTTGTTTCTTTCTGATGCTCAGATTTATCGAATTTTGATCAGTTTTGGTATGAATTACTTGTCATTTGCAGTGTCATATAAGATTTCGTAATCTTTAAAAATCTAAGAAGAAGCAAACAAGGAAGGGCATAAAAATAGCAAAAATAAACTCATCATAGGGACTTTAGCTCAGTTGGAAGAGCGATTGGCTACGAACCAATAGGTCGCAGGTTCAAGCCCTGCATGTCTCAAAAAATTAATTTCTTCTCACCGCTTGCGGTAAGGACATTTTCTGTGATTAATCAATGGACCGATAAGTTCTAGAATTGTAGAAAAGTCGTGGATATTTCAGTGAACACTCATAGAAATTCCATAGAAATTCCAGAAGACGTTTATTAACGGTCCATTGATGAATCACCAACCGGAGAAGTTCTAGAATTGTTTACCAGGATGAAGTCAATCAACCTTTTGATAAAGAGTACTATCCTAAGAGGTATAATACCTCAGGTATTACTACTTTACAAAAGAATTGTTTACCAGGATGAGTCATCAACGAATCCCGTCCAACCGATGGTAAACCAAGAGTATAAATACACGAGAGAACTCCTTGTTTCGATATCTCATTTATTAATATCGAATCAAGGTATGTTTAAATAAAGATAATAAATAAAGTTATATCTCATTTATTAATATCGAATCAAGATCTTTTCTACATATCTCTCAATCAAGCTTTTTGATAAAGAGTACTATCCTAGGAGGTATTACTACTTTACAAAAGATTGGTGCTTTTTTTACTTGGAACCACTTGATTTGGTGTCTTTTAGCAACAGGATTAGATGATATTATGAATAGAATGTCTTCTGCAATCTACCTTCAACGGTATCACTCTAACTGACATACAAAAACACATACTGCTCGCTAGAAACATTCTACCGATGCAAGTTAGATAATTATCTGGCAAGCTAACTTACTCATTCTAAAACATATTTACTCTTGTTTATTCGAGTCAATTCATCCACACATTTATTCCACGAATAGAAAGGAATAATCGCGATATATATATATACGGTACTGTGTATGTATCAATTTTCATCTTCTGTTCACCAATTAATTGGTGCACTATAAATGTAAACACCGTGAAGATTACCTTTAAAATTCTATACTCATGACCTCCCAATCAACCATTTGAGAGTTAAATGAGTTGTATTATGCAATCAATCGGTAGGTATCTAACCATGATATCGATTTATATTAATACACTGCAGTGCAGATAAATTCTAGCTCGATAATAATTGGTTAACTATTAATTCTCAATTATAAATATTGGAAATAACTTACAGTTGTAAGGAACTACATTGGAAATAAACAACCGTTGGTTCAAGCTCTGTTAAAATATTTAAGGACCGATTATACATCTGATTGCTTAAATCATTCGTTCTATCTAGCTTGCCAGTTCCTTTGCATGGTAATAAATCACGAACCTGTTATAAGATACTGTATAATACCGACGCTATACCAATATAGTGTATACAATGTTTACAACTATAAACTTATGGTTGTTGCTTTTTCTATATTTTTGCAATATATATCATTTGTGTAATTTCATTTTATCCCTCCGCCAAAAAAATGAAAAAATTTGGCTGGGTTTTGTGCATTTTGCAAAAATAATTGGGCATACAAAAAAAGCTGTGCAAAAAAAAAACCCAAACTATAAAATGAAATAACACATTTGGTAAGAACATCGAACCGCTAGTATGGGTCTTGTTATCAACTTTAATAATGGTGATCGCTGCTCATATTCGTATATATATAATAATAATTGGATATTTATTTAAATTTGTAATATCCATACCAGTTTGCTAAATAATTACTTTTGTGTTTACAAGTTTCTAAAAATATTACAAATTTTTTTGTAATAAAATCTTTTTTGACGAGAGTGCAAAAAACCGTTTATCTGGTTTCGAATTTTAAAAAAATCAGAACAAATCGTGGAATAAAAAAAAACCAATGGAAATTTACGAGCTTTGGCATCAGATTTTTTATAAAAATACTTAAAAAAGTCTAAATTAAACTATACTGGTACCTTTTTGAAACATCACTTTCAAATTTTGTTTACTTTTCATCATTATTTTATTTTCTTTTAATACTAGAACAACAAATAATGATTAAAAATTATTTATTTATAAAATTATTTTTATTAGTAAGATTACTTTCTTTGGCTAATGGTCAGTATATTTGGCAATATGCATATCCCTATGGTACTCAAAACTGTGCTGGTACACCGACTATAGTATCATCATTTTTTTCTGGCCAATGCTATAACAGTGGTATTGGAGGTTTCAAACATGTCATTTCTGGAACGACAATCACCACATATATATACTCTGACGCAACCTGCACTAAACAAACTCTAAGTGATTCATTAGCTTCTGGTGCATGTTCAGCTGGAATTTATAAAACAATTATCCAAAGCAACTATGTAATTCCTAGCTATGGTTTTGTAAGTTTACAAGAGATTTTTTTTTTTTTTCAGTATTTTTTTATTTATTTGTTTTTTAATCATGATAATTTAATTAATTCAAAATTACGATAATTTTTATTTAGATTTATTATGAAAGATATTCGTATGTATTTTTCTTAATTTTATTTATATCCAAAAATATTAATATAAATAATATTTTTTATTATTTATAGAGCAACAGCTTGTACCAGTAAAAATAATGTTAGAGTTGTTTTACGTCCTGGTGTTTGCAGTTATACCGATTCTGTAAGTGGATACATTAAAGGTACAATGGGTAGTTTAACATCTGCAACTCTTGGTTTCACAAAGGATCTCACTGGTCAGTGCCCAAGCGTAACCAACGTAGTTTATTCAACTTCCAGCTGCAAAACAAATAATGATTTCATTATGAATGCATTCAGTGCCACAGCAGCTGCTTCTATCGGATTCGGTACACCTAAAGTTTTAAGTTACACATCACTAAGTATCCCCATCACTCTCAATTGGCCATCACCAATGACCATGAAAGTTGAAATCTACAACGGTGCTTCATACGATGCCACTTCTTGTACAGCGACAACCAACGGTCAGACCTGTACAATTACCAATGTCAAGGCTGGTATTGCTACCAATGTAAGAGCCACCATAAATGGTGCTGCCCCATTCGGTGGAACTATTACCGCCACTTCAGGAAATATCCAAATGCCAACAGGTATGTTAATAATTATTAGTCAAAGAGATTATTATTTCAAAGTTTATTAATTTTATTATTTTTAACAAAACTAGTGGACACAATGAAATCGGTATCTGTTACTGCCAGAACTACCAAAACTATCACTGTCAGCTATTCTTCAAATCAATTTGTAAATGGAGTGACAACTTATGTTGTAAAGTCAAATGGAGCACAGGTTTCAGGATGTTCTGGTACAACTTGTACCATCTCTGGATTAACTGCAGGTATTTATCAACAATTCTCATAAAATACTTAAAAAATCAAATAATGATTTTATTAATCACTTCTTTTTAAAGGTACAACTTATACAATTGCTGTAAATGCTGTAAACTATGGAACAAATTCAGCTGCCATCTCAACTTCAGGAGCAACATACACTGCTGTCACAACCCCATCTTTGGCAACTGATCCCTCGCCAACTTCAATTGTTGCAACCTTTTCTTCTTTAGGTGGTGTTCCTACACCTGCCACCACTTACCAAGTTTTATTGAATGGAGCAGTTCAATCTTGTACTACTTCACCATGTACTCTGTCTGGTTTGAAAACTTTAAGTACATATACAGTACAAGTAAAAGCAACCAACGATGGAACTGTAGCACAATCCAGCGTCGTATCTGTCAAGCTCTGGGATTTGATTAATAACCCAACCCTTTCAGCAATCATGTATACCAACAGAGCTATTTTATCATTCAGTGTATCTGGAGGTAATCCTTCTCTTACTAGATACTCTATCACCTCTAATGGTGCTGCAGTAACTGGATGTCAATCTATCGCCACCACAACTTGTACAGTTTCTTCGCTCGCTCCTGCAACTTCTTATAGTTTTGTAGTAATTGCTACCAACGATGGTACCTCTGTAAACAAACCACTCACACAATCGACTTATTCTTTGATCACCACACCAACTATCCAAGCAACCACCATCGCAACCAAGAGAATCGTATTAGGATATTCGACTACTCAAGGTGTTCCAGGTGGTACACTTTACACCGTAAATAACAATGGAGCCAATGTAGCGGGATGTGTTAATATTGCTGGAACCACTTGTTCAATCGCAGCACTAACACAAGCTACCAAATATAATTTCGTTGTAACAGCTGTCAACGATGGAAAATCTATGCCAGCTTCACTTTCAGTGACTACTGTCACTGAAGTAACCACACCAGTTGTTTCCATCCAACAATCAGGTCTTTCCCTCACAATTTCATATTCCACACAGAATGGATATCAAGCCTCTGTTTATGATGTTTTAGTAAATAGCGTTATTGCTTGTTCTGCCACATCGCAACTTCAATGTAATTTCAATTCAGTTGTACTTGGAACTAAATATGATGTCCAAGTTAAAGTCACAAATGACGGTACAGTTAAAACTGGTACTGCAAGTTTCCAAACTGTTGCAGATACCATGAAAACATTACAAGTCGTCAGTTACTCAAGTACAGCTTTAACTTTTACTTATTCATCAACCTACGGTGTCCAGGGTGTTACAACTTTTGGATTCACTATTAATGGTGCTCCAGTTACATGTACAGGCTTCTCTCAATGCACTGTTTCGGGATTCACTCCAGTCAATCCAGGACTTCAATTAACTATTGTTGGTAAATCAATAAATTATGGAAATGCCTCTCCAACCAAGACAATCACTCAACAATTGTATCCAGTAGTTAGCACCCCAACTTTTACAATGTCAAACACACCCAGTTCCATCTCATTGTCATTCCAATCGACAGGTGGTGTACCATCGCCAGTCACAACATATCAAGTCCTTTTCAATGGAACTGTTCAACCCTGTACAACCTCTCCATGTACTGTCTCAGGTTTGACAACACTTCAAACCTATGTTGTACAAGTTAAAGCTATCAACGACGGTGTAACAACTTCATCCACTACTCAAACTGTCACACTTTGGGATTTGTTGACAACTCCAACCATCTCTGCTACTATGTTGACCAAGTCTGCTACTCTAACCTTCTCTGGTACTGGAGGTAATCCAGCTCTCACTCGATACAGTATCACAATGAATGGTAGTCCTTATGCAAGTTGTCAATCGATTACCACAACAACTTGTGCCATCACTTCATTGAACCCAAGTACCTCTTATACCTTTATTGTGACAGCTTCCAATGCCGGACTAACACTTACCAAAACAATTACTGCTTCAACGTTCTCTGAAATTAGTGGAGGTACCTTGACAGCAAATTCCATCACCACCAAGTTGATAACAATAAGTTTCGATGTCACTGGAGGTGTTCCTGGTTCTACAAGATATACACTCACAAGCAATGGACAGTCTATTTCAGGTTGTACTAATATCGCGACAACAACATGCACATTAACAGGACTTACTTCATCTACTCCTTATACCATCCAAGTGACTGCCACCAACGATATCAAACAACTAGTCCTCTCCAACGAATTCACTACCTACACCACAGTTAGTAAACCAACCATGACAGCTATTGGTAAACCAACCTCCATTTTTATTAGATACTCATCTACCAATGGTGTTCCAACTCCAGCTACAGTGTATCAAGTACTTTTGGATGGTAATGTCTACAGCCCATGTACTGGAGTCGCCACTACTTGTAATGTTAATGGTTTAACAACACTATCAAACTACTCAGTTCAAGTCATATCTTCCAATGATGGAGTGGTCACTCAATCGGATTCCCAGAACCTTACTCTTTGGGATCTAATGGGTGAACCTATTATAACTGCCAATGTATTTACTAGAACCATTCAAATAAGCTATGAGGCACCAGGTGGAGATCCACTCCAAACTTCTTTTGTTGTCACAATGAATTCAATCACAATCAATGGAATTGGAAACACAGTTTGCCAAGAATCCAAGCCTGACGCATCAGGAGAATGTAATCTTTTGAATTTGGCACCAAATACCTACTATTCCTTTAATGTCTCGTGCCAGAATGGTGACAGACAATTTAGCTCCACATTGGATGTCCAAACCTTTGCTTCTTTGTCAAACCTCCAAGTCTCACTTGACTATATTACCACCAAAGAATTATCATTGACCTATTCAGCTGACAATGGTATTACTGATCAAACTTTCTTCAATGTAACAGTCAAGGGAGTACCAATATGTGTCCACACTCAAAATACAACCTGTATAATTAACGGTCTGGCTCCAGGTTCCACTCAAGACATTAAAATTACTGCTGAAAATGATGGAACTATCTTGACTTTCAATAACAAGTATTCCACCTATCAACAAGTTAGTACTCCATTGGTTCAACTCACACAGTTATCAGTCAATTCAATTGAAATAGATTATTCAAGCTTATATGGAATTCCCGATACAACCACCTATGATGTTTTGGTCAATGGATCAGTCATCTCAACAAACACCACAGATTTGACAAGTATATTAAATCCTTTGGAACTTGGATCACTCTACCATGTCGAGGTCATTGCTTATAACGATGATCTTTCCAAGACTGGTGAATCATTTATTCAAACCTATCAGTCACCTTCCGCTCTAAATTTTAGTGTTAAAGCAACAGTATCATCTATTCATATCTCTTGGAATGAATCACAATACGGTTTCCCAAATTCAACTTACTACGCCACTGCAATTTCATACAACTCTCAAGACTGGATTACTATCTGTCCAAAATCAAACAAATTGTTTTGCGATATTCTTCATTTGGCATCAAAGATTAGTTATGTAGTACAAGTCACAGTATACAATTCATTCTACCTTCCAGTTGAAAATTCTGTTACAGTTACTACTCTATCCAACCAACTAGATGATTCAGTTTGCAAAAAGAATGAATCATCACCAATTTGTTCAGATAATGGAGATTGTGTAGAGGGACTTTGCACTTGTAAACCAGGTTGGACCGGTATCTTTTGTCATATCGACAAAAACAATAATCATAATGGAAATGATACAATCACACCAAATCCAAACAACCCAACAATCGATATAGAAAATAATGGTATCACTTACAAGTTTGAGTTATTCCTCCTCACTGAAATCAATGACATGGGTGAATCCGTACAGACTTTGAATATTTCAGACTTCATTTGGGATCTAGATTCTGATTTCAACTACAATGTGAGTCATCCAATTACTGGAGAGATTCTCATTCGTAACAGTTGGGTTTACTCTTCAAATTCTTCATCCATGAAGTATGTAGATTCAATGGAGATTGCTTTCCTTCAATATCAAGCTCCAAAGAATTCTACTTTGACTGTTACTTCATATCCAGTTTCTTTTGCGGGTAAAGAATTCCAAATCAATATTGGTTCCAACAAGTTTACTATGCGTGTGGACAAGTGGCAATTCACATCGAAATTGAATAGCTTGGTTCTTTCAATGAGAGTAACCAATCCTATTGGTGTCAAAGATAGTTGTGGAAACCTAGTGAAGCCTTCATCCAATGATACTTTTGTATCTACTACTTCCGATGTATCCATATTCAATATAGGTGATGGCCATGGAAATTATATTATTGGATCAATGTTAAATACTTTAATCGTTGATACTATACCAATGACTGCAATGCACACCTATATTCAAAAAGAAGGACAAGTTGAAATTAGCACTGTTATTCCACAATTTGAAGAATTCGCTATAGTTGACCCTGATTTTGGTATGATCCTTTCACCAGAGAAGGAAGATGGAGTCCAAAATCAACAAAATTGCAATCAATCCACCAAGAAAGATGATAAATGGAGAATAGTTGTTGGAGCAGTTGTAGGTGGATCAGTTGGTATTGCGCTTGTTGCTGGTACAGCTCTACTCATTAGAAAGAGAAAGATTGCAGCCAGATACAATAAAAGAATTAATGCTGCTGCTCAAAAAGCAAGAGATTCATCACAATAAATCAATAAATAAATAGCTTTAGAAAACAATCATAATTTATTTTTCTTTGTTTGAATTTCTACGATTAATAAGTGTTGTATAAATATTATTGATTGAAAGATTGGGGATTTGGGCGATTGTGAAAATATCTTGTTCAATTTTCATATCTAAAAAGAATTTAACTTGAACAGTCATCAATGAATCAACTCCAAAATTCTTTAGGGGTGTTTCAATATGGAGTTTTTGTTTTGGGATAGATAACAAATTTGAAAATCCGTCTAAAATAGTCTCAAGTGGATCTTCATCATCTATTGAGATATTTGATTTACGAATTTCACCAACAACCATGTGATCAACACCAAATTGTGTATGAGGATGTACTTCATATGCACGAGAAGAAGTGATATTGCATAGAACTGGAGTACAGTAAAGAGGTTGAGAGAGAATCATTTCAAGACCTCCAAAGAATATTGAAAGTGGAATTGGGTAAACACCTCTAGTAATAAAGAATTCTTGAATTCCAGCAGATTCAGCAACAGTTCCTTCACCAAGAATAGGACCTAATCTGATTGATTTAGATTTCAATCCAAGTGTATCATTTCGATATTTACACAATGCATCAACTGCAAGACATGCTGAATTGTATGATGGTTGTGATGCTTCACCACTAAATCCTGAAATCGACGAAAATACAACGAATTGTTTCAAAGGTAGATTGAGATCTATTGATAAAGTGTGAAGATTATGTCCTCCTACAACTTTTGGATCATGAACTTTCTTGATATTATCATATGTCACTTCATTGATTGGGAACGATTCAAAAATGACTGCAAGATGGAATATTGTTTCAATTGGTGGCATTGAATTTGAAATTGATTCAATTCTTGATTTCAATTCATTGATATCGGTGATATCAGTTTGATAGAAATGAATTCTTGTTGATTTTGTTGAATTGATAATTAATTTCAATCTATTGTTCAATGTCGATTTTGAAAGAACAACAATATCAGAGGCATTTGTATGTTTTGCAAGCCATGGAACCAATTCAAGAGATAATCCACTTTGACCTGTGACAATGATTGTATTTGAAATATCAAGTTTGAAATCATTCTTTGGTAATGGTTTTCTATCTTTTGATTCTATCAATGGTTTAAGGATTGAATTGCGAATATTTGAATAATCGATCACAATTTTACCAATTTGTTTTCTATCCTTCATATAATTGAATGCATCTTTTATTTCGAAAGCATCAAATACTTTGATTGGAGTCATTTGAAGTTTACCACTTGTGATATCATTGAAAACTGTTGACATTAAATCTTTACAATATTGAATTCTATTGCAGAATAAATGTTTAAGATCTAAAATACTATATTGAATATCATTTTTGAATTGACCAAATCCAAAAGTATTATTATTGATAACATGAGTAACAATTAAATCAATTATTCTTCCATATGGTTTCATTGATCTAAAATTCTCTTCCATATATTCAACAGGTAATGTATTAATGAGAACATCAACACCGTTACATTGTTCTTGGATTTTATCAGCGAATTCATATGAATATGAATCGAAAACATCAATTAAGATATCAGAATAATTTGATTTGAGATAATCAATCTTTTCCTGAGATCCAGCAGTTGCATAAACTCTTTTACATTTCAACATTCTCATGACATTCAATGCTGCAATTCCAACACCACCAGTTGCTCCATGAATTAATATTGTCTCTTTCTTTGGATTGAAATTACAAACTTCAAACAATGAATGATATACTGTTGAATATACTACACCAACAGAAGCACATTCATTGAATGATAATTCTTTTGGTTTTACTAAGAAATATGATTGATCATTGATAGAATGAGATGCCATACCATTGCATGTATATAATGAAATAACTTCATCACCAACTTTAAATTGATTGACTTCACTTCCAATTCTTGAAACAACTCCAGTAGCTTCATGTCCTAGAGAAGGATGATAGATATCTCCTCCAATCATCATTTTTTGTGGAAGTAATTTGAGATGGAATAAATTATCTTTGAAATTCAATCCAATTGATTTAACTTCAAATTCTAATTCATTGGGTTGTAATTCTCTTCTATTCCTGAGTTTGTAATCAAGATTGATATTAGCCATTGTTAATATATTTTCATCCTTTGTTTCATATGCTTTGGAATATTTGAAAACATCATTTTTGATATCTTTTTCTCTTAAAACCATTATTTCATTGTTGATTATTTTATAACTATATTCTCCAAGTTTTTCCTTGTTCACTGATAATTTAACAATTAGGTGAATAATATCCTTGTTTAATGAAGAATCAATATCTATAATCAATAGATCCAATTCCCTATGATCAACATATGCTGTATTTAAAAGTCCAACAATGGAATTTGATAAATAATTTGATGATTCATTATCTTTGGTAATTAAACTGATTCTTGGTTGTTTATCTTGATAGGTGAACAATTGTAATAATTGGACCAATGAATACAAAGTTTGTTGATATTTATCAACGATTTGAAGTTCAATAGTTGGAAGGAATAGAATTTGAGTTGAATTTTGAAGAATATCTGAATGTGATTCAATTTCATTTGATTTGATTAATGAAATCGATTCTTTTGAATATCCTTCAAAATATTCAATGGGAATTGTTTGGTTCTCATCAATAATGATTGATAATTTTTCAATATTATTAACTTTGAGTGATTTGATTGATGATTTCTGACTATGAATGATATACATATGTCCTAAATCTGGAGAAAGTTGATTTCCATTTGAATCATTTGGTCCATAAATTCTTGTATTCTTGAACTTATTATCTTCAGAAAGTAATTCAACCCATTGATCTGGTTTGAGAGCACAATGATCACGAATTTCATCACTATAACTCCAAAATTGTTTAAATCCACCAAATAATACATCAGTAGTGACTGATTTATAAGCAGGTTCTGCAAATAATAATATTCCATTTGGTGAAAGAATTTGATGGCAGTTTGAAATTGGAGATCTGATATTTGGACACACATGAATAACCAATGACATTAGAATCATATCATATGATGATTTCAAAAGTCCTTGATCAACTAAATCTTGATCCAAATCGATAACTTTGAATTTCATTTTCAAATTTGATTTGAATTTGTATTCATTTGAATATTTATCTTTCATTGGATTCACAAAGAATGATGAAACATCAGAAAAAGTATAAACAACTTCAACTTGATTCTGATCACCAAGAGAATATAACATCTCATCAAGTTGTGGAATCAAATAGTTTGTTACTGTTCCAGTTCCACCTCCAATTTCAAGAATCTTGATGATTCTATTTCCATTCGTTTGTTTGATTGATTCCAAAATAGATTGAACAGCAATGAATGATGTTTGTTTGAAATAGTATTGAATGAATGGAACTTTGTATAGATTTGAAATTACACCATCTCGGAATAATTGTTCACCATACTCATCATTTCCAAGTAATGTTTCAATAATTAATTGAGCTCCTCTTACTGAATTTTCGTATAGAGTAGGATCATATTTTGAAATGGATTCTGGAATTTCAGTAAGATTGAAATATTCTCGACCTTCTTTAAATATTTCAATTACTCTTGAGAATAGTTTGATATTCGTATCATTGGAAATGAATTTGAATTTGATCATTGATTCCTCAATTGATTGATTCAAAACTTCTTCAAGATTGAATTCTGGTATTCTTTTGATAAATAACAAATAAAATGCTATAATAAAATCAATTCTTAGTTCATTAATTTCGAGACATGCCAATGATTCTTCGATGAGAAGTGATGGAATGATATCATTTGGATTTGAAAGTTTTGAATCTATAGATTGACGGAATGAATCAAAAAGTTCTTCATGAGGATATTTAAGTTTCTTCATTCTTAATCTTTCACTAGTTCCAACTGTGAAATTCTTCATTTCCAAAATTAATTTACCATTGGGATCAACAAGTAAACAATTTCCAATACATTCATAATTATTGTATTCAACAATTCTTGTCAATAAGAATAAATGATCTGGTGGATTTGATTCCAATTCTTGAAGATTCTGATAACTGATTCTCATATCATCGATGGATTTGAAAATGAATTGTCTTCGTTCGTCAAGAAGACCAATTAATCCATGAGCACAATTATCAATCAATGTTGAATTGAGAATCTTTGAAGGTGTATTTGATGTTGATTTTGTTTGTAAAACTGCAAATGACATTTGATTTCCAATCGAAATCGATTTTATATGTTGGAATGCAGGTCCATATCTCAATCCAACTCTGGGGGTTCTCTTGTACAACTCTTCTTGAGTGAATGTTGACAAATTACATTGATTCTTGAATGATTCAATATCAATTATTCGATTACTTAGTTTTGAAACAAGAGTAACTTTAGATTTAGCAGATTTAAAGAATTCATCTTCTAAATCATAAAAGTCAGAATTCTTATTGTAGAAATCGATTGAATATTCCAATTTCGATATCTTTTCCATATCAGTGACTAATTTTAAGGATTGTCCTTTTTTAGTATCCAAAAAGAATGGAACCAAAAATTCCAATCGATTAATTATAATATCATGTTGTTTTGATTGGAATATTTCAATGATTGCCTCAACATACGCAGCACCTGGAAGAATGGGACGATCTTTAACTTGGTGATCTTTTAAATATTGATATGGTTTCCTTTCAATATCAATATCAGAAAGATAAGATTCATTTCCATTGAAAACTGATTTTCTTCCGAGAATTGAAGTTGAAGGACCTTTTAATCTTTTGAATTTTGATTGATGTGATTCTCTCCAATATAAATCAGAATCCCATTGATATCGAGGAAGAATTGAAACATTATCTCTCCAAAATGGATTTGAAATATCAGAATGATTGAATTGTGATTTGAAATCAATATTGACACCAATACAATGAAGTGTTGCCAATGATGATTTGAATAATAATTGTTCATCTTTGTTTCTTTGAATTGGTGAAATCACTTTTGCAGATGGAATTG